TCATCTGATACTAAGAGATTGGCGCCTTGATGCGCACTCTCGACTTCGAGGAGAGGTTCAGAAATTGGAGTGGTTGTTCCCGATTGCTTTCCTTTGCCCTTCTTCGCTTTTTTCTTATCTTTCTTGGACACCGAGAAACCCCCGTCGTCTTCGGCAGGTTGCTCGGGCTCTGGCGACGACGTGGGTATCAGGTGGGCTTCATCTGTTGCTGAGAGAGTGACGCCTTTCTGCGCACTCTCGACTTCTAGAAAAGATTCAGAGATTGGAGTGGCTGTTCCCGATTGCTTTCTTTTGCCCTTTTTCGCCTTCTTATCCTTCTTGGACCCCGGGAAACCCCAATCATCCTCAACAGGCTGGTCTGGCTCCACTGGTAGTGTGACTGTTGACCGGGCCTCTTCAGTTACTGTGGGAGAGATGTTTTGACTTGTACTCCCACTTTTAACTTCGGGAAGGGCTTCGGGGACCGAAGTGACCGCGCTAGACTGCTTGCCTTTGCCTTTCTTGTCCTTTTTCTTATTCTTTGAAATCGGGAAGTCCCAGTCTACAGGCCTTGGCTCTGTGAGTTCGGCGGAAGGAGTAACAGATTGTTCAAAAGTGTCGATGGAAGCATGTGGCTCTTCGGACAAGATATCTCGAGTCGTTTCTTTAGCCTGGGCTTCAGGCATGGCGCTCGGAACGGGTGGCAATGGTAAAACCGCCTCCACCTGAATCTGATCACCTTGGGAAGATGGCGAGTCTAAATATTTGCCCTTTGGCTTCTCCGGCTCTAGTGGAAGGGCGGTTTGGTCGTCGAAAATCACATCTTCATCCTTTGCTGGCTCTGGTTCAGGCGGAAATGTTAAATCATCTTGAATAGGAACGTTGTGGGAGGTAGATTGAGGCTGCATTTGGGGAGTGCTGCGTTCTTGGCTAGGGTCCTCGACCACAGGCGCACGTTTGCCCTTCTTTTTTGGGTTTTGCAAGGTCGAAACGTCCCACTCTTCCTCCGCCTCAGCTAAAAGTGTAGATGAAGAGTCTTCGATTGGTTGGACAATTGTAGGATCAGGTTGACTCGGAAGCGTATGTTCAACCGTTTCCTCGGTATTAGGAAGTGGTTTAACTTGAAAATCTGAAGGCGTAATGTCGGTAGGAAGTGGCCCAGGTTGTGGCTCAGGAGGTTGAATATAAGATGCGGGCTCTTCAACGACAACTTGTCTGCTCTTTCCTTTCCTCCCTTTCCTGCCCTTCTTCAACGATGTGAAGCCCCAGTCATCCGTGGTCGAATCTTGCGCCTCACTTGGTGAAGCGGAAGAATGAACATCATCCATGGACCTCGTCTCGGTTAGTTTGCTGTCGTGAGCAGTAGTCTCAGGCTCGGTGTCGGAAATATGGATACCCAAGGTTTTGCCTGCTTCAGAAGAGGAGATAACTAGTGGAACCTGAACACTGTCTTGGAACGATTCGTCGACTCGCAGTGCTATGGGAGTTGAGAGCTCCATTTGCGTTTCTGGGATTTTGACCGCTGATTCCACCTGATTTTCAACAATTGGCTGAGCATGCTCTTCATTAAATACAGGGGTCATTTCCGAAGTTTGCTCTTCCCGATTTTTCACCTTCAACTGCCTAACGTCCAGCATTGGTTCCTTCAACCCCTCGGTTGATGCAGAACCAGGGTCCAGCGTTTCGCTTTCAAATTTTGTAATCTTCTTAGCCTTCATAGCCTTCTTTCTGCCCTTGGATGTAGGGGCGAAGCTTTCGAAGCTATCGTTAGGAACCTGTTCAGCTTTCACATCCTCGAGCTCCCGGGTCCCGGGGAGAGGAATGTCTTCAGGAATAATCTCTTCAGACTCGCCGACAGGCGTTGCGACGGATAGAGAGGTTTCGCTTCCAATAAGAGCAGATTTTTTGAGCTTCTTGCTTTTCTTGTCTGTCCTGGAAATAGGTGCCAATCTATCAACGTCCGTATTCCCCTCGAGTTCTTTAGTTTCAGATTCAGGAAGATCCTCAGAAATGAACTCCTTGACTGGTGTTGCAACGGACGGTGGAGTTTCGCTTTCAAGGAGAGCAGATTTCTTCGCCTTCTTTCCCTTTTTCTTGTCTTTCTTGGAAATGGGTACCCGTTCATCTACAACCTTCTCCTTAAGCTCTTGGGTCGTAGATACGGCAAGGTCCTCAGGAATAATTTCTTTAGACTCCTCGACGGGTGTTGCGATTAGTGATGGGGTCTCACTTTCAAGGAGAGCAGATGTCTTCGTCTTCTTGGCCTTCTTGGCCTTCTTGGACATAGGGGCCCATTCGTCACCGTCGTCCTTCGCTTCCTCGAATGTCTGTGTTGAAGAACCACCTTGAGTGTCCGAACATGGTTCCTCCTTGATGTCTCGTTCAATCTCGGAGCCGATCTGAGGTTCAGAAAGACGCTGAGATTCATGGAAGCCTTCGGGCTGAGGAGTATCTAGGCTTTGAGAAGGTATCTGAGCCTCAGAATGATCTTTAAGGTAAGCCTCGCCAACACCTTCCATTGCGGCTTCATCTCGGACCTTAGGGATAGCTTCAGGTAAAACCTCAGTTCGGGTCCACTCTTCTATATCCAGCTCATCTTGCTCCTCGCCCAGCATCCCCACATTCTCTACAAACTCACTCTCAAGCGCAGCCTTCTTCCCTTTGCCCTTCCTCTTCTTTCTCTTCATAGACAAAGGTGCTTCCCAGATATCATCACCAGCTGTGAGATCCCGACTCTGATCGACGGGCATTGACTCAGCCTCTTTTTTATCCACATCAAGAACATCATCGACGTCGTGAACAGGCTCGGTAATTTGCGATGGTTCATCTTGCGCAGCTCTCTTTCCTTTGGCTTTTTTCTTGTCTTTCCTAGAGACGGGGGCAGCCCATTTATCTTCCGCAACATATTCTTGTAGTGTTTGAGGCAGTTCTTCGGGCTGAGGTGCGATCTCTTGCTGGATGACAGGCTCAGGTTCCAAGGCATCATCAGTATCACGGACAGGTTCGAGGACTTGGGACAGTTCATCTTGCACAGCTTTCGTTTCTTTCACCTTTTTCTTCTTGGCTTTCTTAGACACGGGAACTGCCCATTCATCCTCTGCAACAGGTTCTTGCACTGTTTGAGGTATTTCTTTAAGCTGGGCTTCGATGTCGCGCTGAATGGTGAGCTCAGGCTCCAATGGCTGAGATGTCTGTGTAATATCTTCCTCCATGGCGGCGACGACGTCTCGCGTACTCGGGGCTGACTCGACGAAAGTAGAGGGTTCATCTTCCTGCATTGCTTTGCCGCTCTTGCCCTTCTCTTTCTTTTCCTTCTTTGACGATGGCACTGACCACTCATCTAGAATCTCTTGCTCCTTTGAAAGCTCCGTAACATTATTCTTAGTTTGAGACTCAGAGGAAAGGATGTCTAACTGCGCCCCAAGCTCAGATTCGTGGGCTCGAGAAACTTGCTCCTGCTCAAGTAGTGGGACTTTTTGCTGAACACTCAATTCAGGTTCGGGAGTGACAGACAACTCTGATTGTGATGTAACCTCAGGCTCAATGCTAATCTGAGGTTCGACAGTTCGAAGGATGTGCTCCTCCGTTTTGAGCACCAGAACATCTTCCTGAGTACTCAGCTCAATGTCCAAAGGGCCAGGTGGTTCGACCTCAAGTGAAGCGTCTGCCTTCTTGCTCTTCATTTTCTTGTCCCCCAATGAAGTTAAGGCCCATTCATCCTCTGGTGTTTGTTCCGAGAGCTGTGGGAGATCTTGGATTGGCTCGCCTTGAGTGATGACGGTGTCTTGAATGCTGGAATCGATTTGAGTGGATTCCAAAGATTGGGCCGGATCTCGTACTTGCCCAACACTGTCTTGTGTGTTAGACTCAGGTTCGAGGACCTGCCCATGAGTTTCCTGCTCGATACTTTGCCTGTCGTCCATTCCCTTTCTGTTCTTGCCTTTCCTCTTCGGAGTGAACACTGATTCATCCCTCTGGAGTATAGATTCAGGATCAGGAAGGACGTCTTGCTCAGTGATGCGAGGTGTATCCGATGTTTTAGGATCCACGTTGAGAGTCGCATCAGGTTCCTCTAGGGTAGTAATGTTCTCTTGAGGAGCAAGGTCTTGATTGCTTGGTTCGGCTTCAACAAGGCTTGAAGGTTGCGTGTTCTCCCGCCAGGCTTTCTTGCCCTTCTTGCCCTTCATCTTGTCTGGAATGGCCCACTCATCTTCACCAGGGGTTGATGGTTCGATTATAACATCTGTCATACTCTTTCCCGTCGCTGGAATACCTGGTTCCGACTCAACAGAAATCTGCTCCCCACCCAACTGTGGAATGTCTTGCCCAGACTCTAGCTCCAGAGAGTGAGACTCCTGTACTTGAATTGCCGCTTCAGGTGCCAGCTCAGGCTCTACCGATTCAGATACTTGAAGACTTCCCCGCTTGCGTATTTTCTTGTCTTTCTTGCTCTTTTTCTTACCCTGCAAAGCCCATTCGTCATCTTCGGGGTTTGGCTCAGAGACGGGAAGATCTCGCTCTAGTTCACGAGTCTGATCTCGGGGCTCAGCAGCATCAGACTTCTTAATGTCACTAGGTTCAGCCTCCATAGATGTGAAGGGGGCAGTGTCCGTGGCTCGGCCTTTACCCTTTCCTTTCTTGTCCTTCCTCTTTTTTGACAAGGGAAGAGCCAACTCATCATTTCCCGCTAGGGTTCGGGGTTCGGATAGAACTTCAGGGACAGTTTCCAGGGGGATCTCCTTATCTTTATCGCTAGGAATCTCCTTAGCCTCTTTGGTACTCTGGGTTGTCTCCTCATCTGGACCGATTCCCTTAGCCTCCAAGTCAAGTTGGGGCAGAGGCTCTCCTATCTCAAAGCTTGGTTGTTCCTGAGATTCAAAGGGGGTGCTAAGCGGTAGGACCGAAGGAGGCAGCATCTCCGAGGACGCACCAGCGAGGCCCAAGGGCTCAAGAGTTTGTTGGGGCTGAGCCAGGGTGGGCTGTTCCTGTACTAGAACACCCTCCTTCTCTGACACCGGTGCTGGGGAAGGTGGCAGTGGTTCGGGCGTCTTTGGCTTCTTCTTGCCCCATCTGAATGCACCCCAAAGAGATTTTGTGAAAGATTGAGATGGTTCGGGAGTAGGAGTAGAGTGGACGTCTCTAGTAGGTTCTTGCTCGGGTAGGCTTGTCTTCGATTCAGGAGCTTGGGCATCGGAAACAGGCTGAACGGACTCTTGCTCAGGCAGGATCTTCCTCGATTCGGGACCTAGGACATTAATGACATCTCTAAGGCCATCTTGAACGGACTCTTGCGCGGACAGACTGGTTTTTGATTCAGGAGCTTGGGCATCAGGAACAGGGTGAACTGACTCTTCCTGCTCGGGCAGGATTTTCCTCGATTCTGGATCGAGGACATCGAGGATATCCCCAAGGCCACCTTGAACGGACTCATGCCCGGGCAGGCTCCTTTTCGATTCTAGAACATGGGCGTTAGGAAGAGGATAAACAGACTCTTGCGTGGCTAGGCTCATTTTCGATTCAGGAGCTTGGGCATCGGGAACAGGTTGAACGGACTCTTGCTCAGGCAGGATTTTCCTTGATTCCGGACCGGGCACATCGGGGACATCTCTAAGGCCATCTCGAACAAATTCTTGTGCGGGCAGACTCGTTTTCGATTCAGGAGCTTGGGCATCGGGAACAGGTTGAACGGATTCTTGTTCGGGCATGTTTTTCCTTGACTCAGGACCTAGGACATCCAGGATATCCCCAAGGCCATCTCGAGTGGACTCTTGCGCGGGCAAACTGGTTTTTGATTCAGAAGCTTGGACATCAGACATAGGTTGAACGGACTCTTGCTCAGGCAGGATTTTCCTCGATTCTGGACCTAGGACATCCAGAACATCTCCAAGGCCATCTCGAACGGACTCTTGTGCGGGCAAACTGGTTTTTGATTCAGGAGCTTGGGCATCAAGGACAGGCTGAACAGGGTCTTGCTCAGGCAGGATTTTCCTCGACTCTGGACCTAGGACATCAAGGACATCTCCAAGGACATCTCGAACGGACTCTTGCGCGGCCAGGCTCGTTTTCGATTCGGGAACTTGGAAATCGGGAAGAGGTTGAACGGATTCTTGCGTGGGCAAGCTCGTTTTCGATTCGGGAACTTGGGTGTCAGGAACAGGTTGAACTGAATCTTGCTCAGGCAGGATTCTCCTCGATTCTGGACCTAGGACATTGAGGACATCCCCAAGGACATCTCGAACAGAATCTTGCGCGCGCAGGCTTGTTTTCAATTCTAGAACTTGGGCGTTAGGAGGTTGGGCATCAGGAAGAGGTTGAACAGATTCTTGCTCCGGCAGGATTTTCCTCGATTCTGGACCTAGGACATCCAAGACATCTCCAAGGACATCTCGAACGGACTCTTGCGCGGGCAGACTGGTTTTCGATTCAGAAGCTTGGACATCAGAAACAGGATGAACGGACTCTTGCTTAGGCAGGATTTTCCTCGATTCTGGACCTAGGACATCGAGGGCATCTGCAGGAACATCTAACTTCTCCTCAGGAAAAGGCATTCTCGTCGATCGCCCCAGCGAAGTATCCGCTTTGTCTTCATGAAGAGCAGATGGAACGAGGTCAGGTTGACTCATCAACTCCTTCACCTCAGCCGTCGTCGTGCCTTCTAGGGAAGTTGACTTGTCCTGAGCAACAACGGGCGTCGGAGTTTCAACAACAACCGACATATCTTTCCCAAAAGCCGGTTGTAAGATATCTCGCTCCAACTCACTGTGTCGTTCTTCTGAAACCGGTTCAGACACCACTTCATTCTTTGTCACAGATGATTCAGTAGGAAGGCTTGGAAGTTCAACTTGTTTGCTTGCCTTCCGACCTTTCTTCCCCTTCTTTCCTTTCTTGCCTTTGGGGGCCGATTCGAACTCTTCCTCAGCGACTATCACGCTCGGTTCAGCCACGGGACTTTCGCTTTTTTTGTCACCGAGAGACTCCACCGGCAGCAGCGGCTCAACCACACCCTCCTTCTCCAACTTCGGCGTCGTCGCCGCCCAAAGATCGATCGGCCTCTCTGTCTCTGCCTCCAATTCCTCTCGCTGCCCAACATTCTGCAACTTGCTCTCCGAGATTTTCCTCGAAAGCACTGGGCCCAGCAAATCTTGCAGCGAAGTCTTGCTCCGAAGCTGTTGTGCCTTAGCCTCAACACCGGCATTCATAACATCAAGGTCATTATCATCCCGTGGGGCAGTGCTATCCAAAACCTTCTGGCGGCGAAACTCCTTCGAAGAAATTTCAGGCGAGCCTCCATACTGGCTTGCGCTCGGCTCGCCTATAAGCGTAGCATCATCTGTAATGACAGATTCAGCTCGGTTAGTTTTCCAGTCTTCTTCACTCGGGACGAATTGCGGTATATATTGTGAGGAGCTGGGGGAAGGATAGGGGCGTTCTTCCGTCGGTGTTGGCGGGAGTGATTCGGAGATCGAATCCTTCTTAGACTTCCCTTTCTTCTTCTTCCCTTTGGTTTTGCCTTTGCTGTCGCGACGTAAGAGATTTGGATTAAGCTCTAAAGGTTCTTGAATTGGCACGACCTTCCTTTCTTCGATGGGTTTTGGTTCTTCTATGGGAGCAGAGAACCATCCTTCAAATGCTTCCTCTGCATCCTTCTCCCTAATCTTTTGATGATCTTCAGCGGTGAGCTCTTTCGGTGATTCAATACCATAGTCAATGCTCTTACCCTTAGAGCCCTTTCTACCTTTCTTCGTCTTCTTTGAGCTCGATGAAGGGGTTCGGGAAACGCTTGGTTGCTCGGGTTCTTGCGGCTCTGGAGGGGGGAAAGACTGGGCAGCGAGATCAATGGTTTCCTGATCAGGCTCACCAGCCATGAAATCGGACCCATAGCTAGCAGGAGATGGACTCCGATGCCTCGACGTAGCAGCAGCCGCTCCCCTTATCAAAGTACCAAGAGCGGCATCCTGGAGGGCAGACGAAGATTTAGTAGGGGATGGATCTCTGCTTCGTGAGGCCATCGCATCAGCCATATTTGTATCGTCTATGAGCGCGCTTGGAGCCAGAGGACTTTGAAGCTTCGGTGATATTGCTCGGGGTTTGTCGGATGCATCAAGCGATAAGCCTAGGCCTCTAGAATCATCAGAAGTGAGAGGGGCAATCTCAAGAGCTGGTAAATCAGAGTGCACGGGCAGATCTAATACTCCAGATGGAAATGATAAAGCCTTAGGCGTAGTCTGCTGAGACTCAGTGAGTTCGTCAATTTCGCGTTCCTGTAACTCAGAATGTGGCGGCGAAACTACACGGCTTGGCGGCTCTGTGAATGGATCTTCAAAAGTATCGCTCGCACTCATATGTGGAGACTCAAGAGCAGATTGGTACTCATCTTCTGTCGTTCCGCGTTCTGAAGGAGTTCGCGATGTTCCGCCACTCGATGGAAGTGCTGGCAACACTTCTTCGATGTCATTGGGTTTACGATTACGCTCGACGAGATATAGAGGGCGGAACTCACGAGAATCTTTGAACTCAGTCGAGGCAGCCTTAGAATGGCGTCGGGATAGCGGTTGTTGGAGAGGCGAGCTAGCTGGAGTTGCCGCATGCTTTAGATCAAGAGTGAGATCGCGCTGCACGCCAGGCGATGTTAGTGGTCGACGAAAGCGAAATGGAACAGATGCCGATGCAGATCCACGGACAGCAGAGAGAGGGGAACGTGGCTCCGGAGTCTGAGCTAATGGGGAATTTGGTCGAGATACTGGAAGTGGTGGCAATTCGTCGGGAAAGGCTTCCAATAGCCAAGGCTGAAGCCCAGTAAGACGGGTCAGCAGCGCGCGGGTGTCTTCGGTTGGTGTTTTTGGACGCTCGACATCGCGCTGCTCAGGAGAGAACGCGTGGGAATTGTCGAGAGTTGGGAGAGGGAATTCGGGTCGATCTCCGGGTATGCCACTTTCCTTTTGGGTATGAGGTGATCTTGTTACGATATCGTGAGATTCACCCTCACTTGCGGGCAGTGGAGTGGCTGCCACTGCCCGATCGCCTAAAAAAGACTGATCTTCTTCGGCGGTATGTCGTGAGTCCCTAGATCTATCTCGTCTAGATTCTTTGGAATCTTCATCACGGCTGTCAGTAAGACTTCTCCGTTTCTCACGACGATCTCGAGATGATATGATCGAACGGCTATCATCGTCATCTGACCCGTACGCTGAACCACGATGTTTCTTTTTCCGATGTTTTCGATCCACGTCCTCGAGCTCTTCCTTAGATTTGGAGGACTTGCTAGAAGTATCTACCAGGCTCTCTTTCGACTTACTGAAAAGACTAAAGAGTCCGCTGGAACGCTTCTCTTTTTCCTTTTTGGGAGACCGCCCTTCATTATATCGCGCAGGTGATGAAACTACAGAGGCTGTATCATCGTAATCGCCATCCCGTTTCGATCGTCGTTTCGATGACTTGTGCTCTCGTTCGTAGCTATCACCAGGCTCAGACGCAGCTGACGAGCGGACTCGATCTTCAGGAGAGCCGTTCCTCTCGCTCTCGCGTCTCCTATGCTTCTTCCGACGCTCGCCATTGGCTTCAGAGCGAGTTTCGGAGTTGGCAGATCTTGTGTCCCAATCCTCGGATCGTTCATCAGTTTCTCGGCGCCTGTGATGTTTCTTTTTGTGTTCGCCATCATCGAATTCATATCCACGGTCACGACTCTCTGATCGTTCACTCTCTCTACGACGATGACGCGTGTCCTTGCGATCTAGGTCATCGTCGTACCTACTACTTGATACAACCGACCTAGAGTCTCGAGCATCGATGTCATCTGTCTCGCGAGACTTGCTCTTTGTTTTCTTCATCTCATCCGAGTCGGCAGAGAAAAATTCGTCCCGATCATCTCGGTCAGCAACATCAATGCGTTCCTGGTCGTCAGGGGCATAGTATCCAGAATCATGTATGCGTTGGGATCTTGGTTCTTCGGCTTTGTAGGTGGGAATGGTGGTGGGCGCTTTTAGCGGATCGATCAGCAATTCATCTCTGCCCATGGGTGCAATTGGCGTCGCTTGGAGGCCAACATAATCCTCGTGTTGCACCTCGGTCCGGAGAGGGGACCCAATTGGTGGCGTAAATTTATCACTAACCCTCTTTTCTTTCCGCTTTGGTGTCTTGACCTCTGCGAGTTCGTCAACGTCTTGGAACGCTGTAGAAGGAATAGAGGAGAGAATAGGGGAGACTCTCTCAGTAGCTGCGAATGAGCGAGCTCCATTCGCAGTAGATGGGTAGTCATCGCGCGAAGCGTGCGTGTCTGCGGCCTCCACGCTCTTCTTCGCTGACTCCAAGTCGGACGAAGTCTTGTCCTGGTCTGATTTCATTGTACCAAAAACAAGGCTGGCAAAGCCTCCAGCAACAGCAGCGTTCGTAGTGTTGCTAGCGCTTTCATGCGATGGGGTCTTGTTAAGATCAACGCCGCCTTCGTAAGTATCGGTGGGCTTGTAGGAAGTAGGATAGGATGGCTCCACATCCCTTATGTCGCGCTCGACCTGGGGGGTATCTGGTGGGCTAGACTCCGTGTCATCCCGGTTATCTAAGCTAGCACGTTTAGCTTTTTTGGCCTTCTTCTTTTCCTTTTTGCTTAGTTGACGCTGAAGCTCGGGAATTGCGTCCCTGACTTCGATCGGTTCGGGGACGGGCTTCTCCTCGATCTTCCTTTGGGTAACTTGCGAAGAGAATTCGTCGTCAGTGCTCCTTGGTTTCTTCTTGCCTTTACCCTTCTTCTTTGGAGCTTCGGCCCATTCCTCAACCGCAGCAGGTTGGGGTTCGGGTTCGGGCTCAGGCTCAGGATCTTCCTCGAAGCCGCCAGGCATGTGAACTCTTGTCATAGGCTCTGGTTCCTCAGTAATCTCCCCTACAGCAAAACCTTTTGGCTGAGCAGGTACATATGCACTGACATCAGAAACCGATTCATAGAAAGGTGCTTGATAGACGTTGCTTGAAGGTGGGATTGCAGATTGTACGAGCCTGGAGTGCGTATCTGAGACAGGCTCGTCCTTGGGCGTTGACGAGCTTCTATCTGCCTTGTCCCCAAAAGATGATGCCACCCCTGCTGCCCCAATAGTCCCCGCTGCGGCTACAACTTTAGACTTTTTCTTGTCTTTCTTGCTCATTCTCCTAGTTGGAATCTCAGGCCAACTCGCATCCTCTTGATTCGGGACATATTGGGTGCTTGGTGCATCGTCCATCTCTTTGGGTCCATAAGTCGATGTTATGGCCTCCTTCTCCGGTTGATAGGAAGACGTCCGTTTGCCAGACTCTGGTGAGTCGAACTCAACTACAATCTCATCTTGTGAATGCTTCTCCCCTTTTACTTCGGGGTCGATCCATGATTCGCGAGAAGATTCCGGGGTCTGAACCTCATATTTGTGGAACTGGTTTTCGCCCCAACTAACTCTTGATCCTCTTTTGTTTGCTTCAGTTTGCCTTGGCTCTTCCTTCTTCGGTTCATCTACGGGCGCAATGGCTGGCGAGGGAGGTAAGGATACACCACGAATAGAGTTCGCTCGGCTTCCAGGAGGAGTCGGCTGGATCAAATTCAGAGAAGGGACAGGATAAGGTAGAGACAACCCAAACCCATCTCTTGTGGCCGTGAAAGAGTAGGGTGAAGGGTAAGGCGGAACTTTCGGAGCACCAATATCAAATTCGTCATGAGCATAGAAAATATGAAGATCGGGGGCACCTTCGTTCGGATCAATCTTTGGCGAAGGGCCTGCGGAATGGTCCTTGAGCTCTTCTGGTGCGAAGAAGTCAGCTTGAGAGACGGGATGCTCTTTATACCGGGCGTCAATATCTTCAAGAATCTTCACAGCCGCTCTGCGTGATATTTCTTCCTCCGCCCTCCGCTTCTTAAAAATGTTAGGGTCGAAGATCTCCTCATCCGCATAGTCTTGCGCAATTTTCGTCGGTTCTACATGCTTGACAGCGGGCACAATGGTCTTGACAGCAGGCGTTACAGTCTGGACAGCTGGTGATCGATCGCAATGCGACGATACTGCAGCACCAGTAATCACCGCAGCAGCGCCAGCCACAGTGGCGGCCGCCGCAGTTGATTTCCAAGTCTCAGGCTGAACGGTATAATGCTCCCGTTCTTGAAGTTCGTTCTCTTTACGTCCCACATCGCTGGCGATCGAGCTTCCAGTTGTTTGTTGTTCAAGCGTTCGGGTCTGTCGATTATGGTCGCTGTCGGAGTCCCGGTTTCGACGATCATAAACTGCTTGGGTTTCGGCCTCTCTTTGTCGGCGTTCAGTATCCTCACGAATATCGGCTTCTCGGCGCTCTCTCCGCATCTGCTCAGCTTCGCGTTCAAGATCTTCTCTACGTTGAGCTTCCATGCGAGCCTCACGAGCCCGGCGCTCAACCTCCGCCGCCTCTCGAGCCCGACGCTCAGCCTCAGCAGCTTCCCGAGATTCTCGGGCGCGTCGATCTGCTTCCTCTGCTTCGCGAGCTTCTCGAGCTTCTCGAACACGTCTCTCAGCTCGTTCACGGCGACGATCTGCCTCATGCTGCTCAGCTGCAATCCTAGCCAAGCGTTCTGCCTCGTATTTCCGGGCTTCTTCGTCTCGGCGTTGCTTCTCACGACGCCGGCGTTCTTCTTCCTGCTTGCGAGCTTCCTCTTCTTCGCGCTGTTTCTCGCGGCGGCGGTGATCTACCTCCTCTTGGCGATCTTTTTGTCGTCGACGTTCACGCTCCTCCTTCGATGATTGGTCGGCAGTTAGATCGAAGCGAACATTAATCGGAGAGCTTGTCCGGCGATCACGGGACTTCGAGGCAGCGACCGCAGCAACGCCAACACCAGCGGCTACACCAGCAGCTACACTAGTAAGAGCAGCATCGCGTTTCCAAGAGCTCAACGTCGGTGAAGAGTTTCCACGGCGCGGAAGTGGTGGGACAGAATTCCGCTTAGGGGGCTCCACCATGCCTGAGTGGAATTGTTGTGCGGAATGTGAGGGCTGAGGAGGAATATTCGCGAAGACTGGTGGACCAATAGGCGCTACATAACCCGGCTGAGGTTGGGCCTGGCTAGAATATAGGGCCCCAGGTACTTGATGCACTGGCTGCGGTTGTTCAATGATACCCGGTGGTCGACCGGTCACAATAGGCTGAGGCGTAGGAACAGCACTCGTCCGTCTCATGGCATCATACGAATTGACATCTGTTTGAACAGGATAGACGGATTGGAGAGTTGATGCGCTGCTGGCGTTGCTGTCATGTCGACTTAACCCTACACCAATTGCAGTGCCAGCAACGACAGGGGCGATGAAGGATGCTGAAGCCACAGCATTGTGAAGGCTTTCGGTTGAAGGCTTCTTCTTTTTCTTGCTTCCCCAGCGCCAGCCCCACTTGCTCGTACCTGAGGCACTAGACGCAAGAGACTCTGTGCTCTTCCCCATCTTCCAATCATAATCTCCAAATGCCAGGCCAGAGTTGAAGCTTCCCGAGTCAGAGGAAGTATCATCCTCGGGTAAGGACTCCCACCCTTCTTCGTCAACAATCGAGGAACGAGATGAACGACCAGGCTTGTATCGATCAGAGCCCCCCCGCCCATGTCGATGTTCCCGAATGGCTACAACCTCAGGTCTATGCTTGCCATGCTTAGAGCGTCCAGCTTGCGTAGCAGCTATAGCAGCGCTAGTGGCAGCTAAGCCGACTAAGGCGGAATTAAACTTCTCGTCTGAGTTGCGTCGTGTGGAGCGTCGGCGCCTCCTATCATACCCCGCCCCAAAGGCAAGGTTCGAGTCTGAAGAAGAGGATGAGGCATTCCCGAAATTAAAAAAGCCCTTCTTTTTCTTTGAGTGAGAATGAGGCTTCCGCCGCTTCTCTTTCGGTGGGGGGGCAGTAAAGAAGCCGCCTAGGAAACCACCTGTTCTAGGCCTGGAGGGTTGAGAGACGTCGACGTAGGAACCGGATGTGAGAGAGCTGCGAGATGACCGATGGCTTGGACGATGGGGTTTCGAATGCCGGCGGTCATGATCGCTACTATCTCTACGGTGGTGGACAAACACCTTCTGCGGAGAAGTGGATCGGCTGCGGCTTCGCTTCCTCTGCGCGTGGCCAACCGCAGAAGCTGCGATCCCTGCTCCAATCGCTGCTCCCAGGAGTCCTGATTTGCGATCCCTAGAGCGAGAACGAGATCGCGAACGTGAACGGTGGCGTACTACCTTGTACTCTTTGCGGTCGCCAGTTACACCTGTAGAGAGCCGAGACATCCGATCCCTAGAACGGCTCCTATAACGAATCTCCGATCTTCCTGAGGAATGATGCTTCCGATCTCGAGATTGGCTACGGCTACGGCTGCGGTTACCCCGACGATGGAGGGAAGTCCGTGAGCGGGATGCATGTCCTGACTTAACACTGTAGGTATCATCGAAATCATCTCGATTCAAAAGAGCCTTTCCGGCTTTAGCAAGACCAACCCCTCCGAGTCCTGCAGCCAGCCAGCCAGCCTTGTTGCTCTTCCGTTTCGCATCAAGCTCCGAGTAGGAATAACGAGACTGCTTTTCAATACCCGAGGGTCGGAATTCTCCAGATCGCTTTCGGCTGTAGTGGTGCTTCCTAGGGGCGTCCTGGACTGACGAACGTGGGTCAAAACAGCCGCGGCAGACTCCAATATATTCTGTATATTCTTCCATCTTCTGAACATCCTCATGGTCCTTCCACCAATCTACGAGCTTGGTGATTGGTCCCTTCTGTTCTTGCCTAGTAGCCATACCACCGGACATGAACGGGCTTGGGGACGGACCAGGTCCATCATGGTCGCCAGGAAAGCCGCCAGACATGGAAGACGAGTGCTGGTGCGAACTGTGGTGATGTATTCCATAAGCTGCGAGGCCGGCAGCTCCGGCAGCGTACAATCCAGCATTGGAATGGGAAGATGATTCTTTGGACGGTTTCCCAGGCCGAGGTGGCTTCGGAGGAGGGGCGTCCGCCATGGCTGCCGAGTAATTGGGCATATAGCTACCGTCAGTGGCGGCAGTTGAATGGTTAACGCCTTGCATATACATCGAAGAAGAGCCCTGGACGCCATTCGTGTAACTCTCAGAATGATGGGCATTAGAGCTATGGCCCAGAGCATATGTAAGACTTGCTGCGCCTGCCAAAGCAGCAGCAGAACCTAACTTGCCTGGTTTGCCGGAGCTACTAGGCTTCGAACTGGGTCGAGGAGGTTTCGGCGGAACTAGGTCGTCTTCAAAGGCGCCCGGCATCGAGGGCCTCGGAGGTTTTGAGGGAGGCAAGTCTATGTTACTAGATCCATAGAAGTCGGCCGCAGCACCAGCCCCGGTATCTTGGACTGGGTTGGCCTGAGCGGATGCAGACATTAGGTGTGGAGTATCAAGTGGCATAAGGACGGAGGGTTGTTGGGGTCGTACACCAGGCTGAGCACCCACAGACTGTCCTTGGTCGCCGTAATAGTCGGCCGCGGCGCCAAATACTTCACCTGGAGCGGGACCCGGAATAGAGGGAGCAGCAAATTGAGCCGGATTCTGGCCTGGAAATTGGTCGGTGATATAAGAAGACATAGGAGGATTGGCGGGAGTGGGCAATGCGCCAGACATCATCGGAGCTCCATCCTGACCAGGGAACTGAGAAAAGCCTGGGCGGGAGACCTGGTCGCTGAATGTTCTGGTGAGAGGCTTTGGACTGTCCACAATGTCTCCGCGATAGCCACCAGTCTGGGACAGGCTGCTTGACCGGTCCGAACGGCTCTTCTTCTGGTCCCGCTTTTCGTCCTTCCTCTTCCGGTCCTCGCGGTCCCTGCTTCGTGACCGCTCCTTGCGGGTCGTCCTTGTATCATAGCTAGAAGAGCGCTCATCTCGACGGCGGGAAGATCGTTCGTCGCGGGTGTCGTCGTACAAGTCATCGTTGGCGCCTCGGGAGCGCGACGAACGGTCTGCCATGGGGTCGTAGGTTGCATATTCTGAAGCTCCGTCGTGCGCAGTAGCATAGGAAGATGCTCGCGACGGTGGAGCTTCCGGGGGGAATGAATTTCTGGATGAAGTTGGCGCTCGACGCGAATCGCTGTCGGTGCGAGTGGGTCTGCGCGAGGAACTGGAGGAGACGATGGACTCGGCGGCGCGTTTAGCACGCGTGGATTCGGTTCGGCGGCGATCGTCCTTGGAAGACGGGGAGCTGTCGCTCTTCCCCGTGATCTTGTTCCACATGCTACAGGGCGACGAGCGCTGAGAGCTCGTGCGGCGAGAGTTGGAAAATTACGTCGTCGGTCCGTGTCGCAAGACTCGTTCGACGTGGGATGCTGGGTATCGATCGGAAGAGAGTCGTCACTTCGTCATGTCGTTATATTGTACACGGTTTGCAGAAAATGAAGTCGCCGGTTATGCCAAAAGACAAGAAAACTGGCTGACGCCTCTCACCGGTCTATCTCGATGATAGCTGAGTTGTTGTGGCGATGGGAGCTGTCGAGTGGTGCCCTTGCCCATATGCAGATCATTTGCCAGCCCCCCTTCACCTGGCCAATGAAATGCAACCTCCGGGTCCCAAGACGTGAGCTTACGGCAATTCTCGCTTGATGTGCGAAACGCATCACAAAAGCAATCACCATATGCACACCAGGTGGAATTGTGAACCAGTTTACTTGTACGAGCACCGCCATTGAAGACTCCCCGCCGAGGGCAGAGTGCGGTGACATGAGCTATCTAAATGAGGCTGGGTCGAGTTTGGAAACATTTCTGTCAAGAAGCTTGCTTCAACTCCCATGTCAGCCCAACCAGGCATGCTCTTTCCCCACGCAACCTCCGACTTTTCCCTGATAATAAGTTTTTGGGTATTGGTACAGATGTCACCACGTTTCGCACGTCCCGAAGTGGCCCAAGATCCAGTATAATCCCATTTATTAAGCCGGCCTATCCAACGCCGCGCTTTCAGTGCCTTTAACGCCGAGCTCCAGAATATGAACCGGAGGCCACCTTGACGCGCCGGTGAACCGTATATCTATTACCGAGCACCAGCTTGCTGAATCAAGCCCTGCCGGATCTGCATGATTTGCGCGCGTTGGTCTGGTGGAAGTTGATCGATATCCGACTGCGGCATGTTCATAATCATGGCGTACAAGTGGCCCTGGTCCATCGCCGGTTGAGGCGGTTGTGGGGCCTGAGTCGGGGGCGGAATATTGTAAGCCGGTGCCGGTGGTTGCACGTGAGTTGGAGGTGTCGGAACGGGTTGTGGGGGATACACAGGGAAGTTTCGCGGTGGTTGGGGTGCAGGTGGTTGTTGTGCAGGTGCGGCGGCAGCTGGGGGTGCAGAAGTGCCTTGGTCGATAAACTGACCAAGAGAATTCGTGTCTACAAGATTGAGCAGAAGGAGCGACTGGAAGATGGCATAAGCCAGTTGCGGCGCTTGACGCAGCAGCTCCGTTGCCTTCGCTGGATCTGTTGTAACCAACCCCTTCATCTGCGAGAGTATGTCGAGCAGCTGCGGAGCCGGCAACGTATTCAAGGTGCGTGAGATAGCATCCGGGCATGTAATATTCGGCGGAAGATCGACACCTGGTGGTAGAGGAGGCAATGCGCTAGATGATGGAGCGAGAGCGGGCTCTGGTTGTCCATTCGTAGGGGCCGGCGGGGCAGTGTAGCTTGCGGGCGCTGCATCACCAGCGCCATTGTCGTTCGACCAATCCACCCTCAGTTTCCTTCCCATAACTTCGTAGTCATTCAGATTTCGGACTGCAGAGGCTGCGGCGTCTGCGTCGGCGAATTCTGCAAAACCAAAGCCCTTCGGTCGACCAGTCTCTTTGTCATATACCAAACGGAAGTTTAGAACCTGTCCAACTCTGCTAAGAGTATCGACAATCAACTCCTCGGTTCCTCCTGTGAGGTGCGAGTTAGCGCACTGTGGTTGACCGAAGCTCTAGGAACTAACCGTAAGGAATGTTACCAATGAAAACCACCCGGCCGGCTTTATCGTTCGGTGCCATCGTCGGTGCACGATCAATGAGGTCCTAGCACGGTTGAAGAAATTGAATGTGCGTGAAAGAGGACCGTTGGAAAGGTTGTCAGGAAGTGAACTAGTGAGCTTGGACTACTTGTACTACTTGTACCACGTGAATGCGGCAAAGCTTGGCATGCCAGCCGGCTGCTTCACTGGAGCAGGACGACAATGATTGCCACCAAACTCACTCAGATAAGAGATTTTTATCTACCATCTATTCATGTTCCATTTCATTTATATGATCTATGCTCTACATGTACTCATTTCCGGTCCCATCGCTGTTTCATATTCCCCCTGTCATAACTTGGGCGCACAGCACGAACCATCTTCTGATATCTTGGCCTCAACGCTAGGTTGATGATGGCTCTTGCTCAATAATGAGCTCTTATTAAAGTTTTGCTCACTCGGGGGAACGTCTAGTGCGGGGTTCTTGTCGAAGAAGTTCACGGGCTGTGGGTGACGTCAGCATCCTTTATCCTTCATTCATCTTCACCCATTAAACGCACCTTCATATGCAACTTCAAAATTTCGCATGGCATGACTGGGAAATCCTGTACCAAAATTAGAGACTGATCATACCAGTTATAGAAGGCGGCATACCTCAATTCTTGGGACGTGGTTGATACCCATCTGAATAAAAAGCACGAAATCCGTGTCCTTGACATTATCCTTCCTGTCCGCCCAGGCACGCACTCCGGTGCCTCCTCTTGACTGATTTGTGTATAGCCCTCCAGCGTAGAGTTCTCCGTCTTGGTGCTTGACAACATAGACATTGTGATCTGCAAATTCGGCGCGTTTATAGTTGAAGCTGTCCTTATCCGAAATTATCTTCTGGAAATCTGGAGCTTGGATCTTGTACGCAACCGGCTTGCCATTAATCGGGTTCCGCACATTCGGGTTCTGGATCTTGAAAAGGCGGTTCTTGCTGATATCCAGGTCGTACCCCCCCGACTCCTCGACCACCGTTTCTTGCACGTAGTAGCCAATGCCATGAGGGTTGAAGTCTGACCGCGGCATTGGATGGGCTTCGTCGTAGACGAGCCTATTGTCCTGTCCCTCTAGATGCGGATCAACACGGAGACTAAAAATGTGCTGGTGGTGGACGGCGAGAACGCCAGGGTGAACAACTGTGCCGAAGGGTACCTCGACGCCCTCATCGACTGGTTGAGTGCTGAGGATACCTGTAGCTCGTACTTCGTAGTCAATCTCACCAGCTTGGTTGAATATGAAGGCCAATATGTATTCGTAATTTCTGAAGCCAGGTTAGTATATCTAGTTCCTCTGTTGAATATGTGAAGACTTGCGAGACAGTGATGATGGATTGCAATACCAATTCTCTAGAGCGGACAACAGCAGCACGTCCCGTTCTATAATTGGTGTGCTTCCATCCGATTCCGGCGTCCTGCTCGTGTATGCAGACTACATTCTCCATTGGAGTAATGCTGCCCTTGTCATCAGACAGGACTGCATCTAAGTAGTAGATGGACCCTAAGCAGTCACATCCCAGCTTGAGATTGTTGGCCATGATGCCAGCGCCGGCGTCGCCAAGATCAAACGCGGACTTTTTGTGGTAGGGATGGCGTGGATCTGCATATGGTATGTTCATATCGCTGAGGCTCAGGCGATAGAACAAGCTTCTACTGTCATACCGTACCTGTAATATTCAGCATTCAGTTAATTTGTGATTGATAGGCACTTACATCGTATAGAACCATACCCTCTCTTTGGTTGAAGCCAACTCGGAACTTCCACTTCTGCCATGAAAGTACATGGCTTGTACCTTCCTGGGTAACTTGGAAGCTAGCCCCCTCCGGCTGAACAACATTCAACGGCTTCAGGTCGGTCCGTAACTTCTGGTGCTCCGGAATATACTCGTTCGGAGGCTTGATCTTGTATGGTTTGATGGGTTTTATTGTCTCATCCACACCAGTCGGCAAGATATCAATGCGAATTACTTCCATTGACTCGGTGCTGATAACAGGAGAGATTGGAAGCGGCAGCGCATAGTGGTTCGAATCTGCTTCTGTAGGGTTCAAGGGATCTCTCATGTAAAGAAAGCACTGGTACATCCTCTCCGCGTCATTGATGCCATCAGCGCCTAAAGGTGATCTATCAGTACTTAATCGCACACTTCAAAGGCCGAGGGATTTGTTTACCATATATCCAGGGGTCACTAATCACTACAGTACCTTCAGGAAGCTGCAGCTTCGCGATCTCAGCTTTTACACCTTCATCAGCGAGAGCAGCCTTCTCAATGGCCACAATCTCCTCTCCATCCCCATTAGCATGGATAAATGGTCCCAGTAGAAGGTTCTGCAGCACCCGTCCCGTCGAGAGGTCAACAATCGCTTCGTGGAATTTGGACTATAACAATCACATTAGCCCCACAAAAAAAATACCACATATCTAACAAGGGCGAGCATACTGTGTTACGAATGTAGTAGTTCACGAAAGCTTTCCTACCAATAGCAGGCAGTGACTTGTTGTTGTGCTCAGCTTCCAGATAAGGTAGTACATCGGCCTTAGCAGGCTCCTGAAGAGTGATAACCTTGAAATGGAGATCAGTATGTGCTGGCCATGAAGCTTTGATTATTGAAGAGGTGAGAGTTATTTCCGAGGCTGAAAGAGGGGCTAGGGGATGTGAGGGCACACTCTTGGCGGGTCGTGGATTGGGAGAAGCAGCAATTGTCTCCATCGACATGGTTGCTTGAATTCGTGTTAGGAAACCAAAAGAGAGAATTGTAAAAATCCCCGGAGCGTTTGGGGGCCGGGAAGGTTATATAGTCCCCATCCTACCGCTTGAATAAAATATTTATACTGGATGTACATTTTTACCTAACGCTGTTGTCGGAATTGCTCCTTCCAAGTGTCAATGGCGATAAGAAGAGTGGATCTTCCGAGATACGGGCGAGAGCACTCGCATGGACCTAGCCTTTCAGGATAAGAGCAGCTAGAGCTGCACACGTGATGAGACTACCCCGCTTGTGTGCCGAGCCCGCATGGGCGTGGCTGTTTGCTCAGTTTGCACCACTGGGTTTGTTGAAGTCAACTTCGTCGATCACGGCTCGCACGCCACCGCCTATCGTCAGTTGTGAAACTCCTGTTTCGTATCATCATTAACCTTCTCGAGACGCCATCGATGAGAAAAAAGCGCGAGAAGCTTCTTCTGTATGCGGGTGGTCTAACATCAGGAAGTGGGCACTGGATGAAGAGACTCGCCCCCATCCATCAGTGTCTTTCCGTCATCATCATTTCTACGTCGTCGCTTCTCGTCTTCATTATTTCTCTGAACCCAGCGCTGTCCATGTGTTGTGTGGAACACGTTTCCCTGGAATTTTCATGTCCACTGCCCGAGAATTCCTGTTCCGTGTCATATTCGTATTCCAAGTCAATTTATATCAACATTTGCCGACGATATTAATGTATCTGGCGCCTCTTTTGTTCGACAAAATACCATCCACCTTCTCGCCCTCCCCACAAAACGGCACCCTTCCACATACTTTCGTCCCTCATTTCCCATCTTGATTGGCTAAAACCGTGGCTTGTCCATGTGCGAACAAGATCACGGACCTTAAGTCCTATATAGCTTTATATTACCCGCTCTACCGCGTTCTTATTCCCCAGCGCTCATCCAATGTGTTTGTCACCTCTAAGCTCTCGACCGTTCTCAATTAAGACAGGTCCGCGGTGGATTAATGGACTCCGCCACTCATGCGCCGGGGGATTCATTGCGCGTGCCGACTTGCGGAGTGCAGAAATGCTTAACATTGTGACGCAGTTTCATTTGGGCGTCAATGCTTTCGCCAATCAAAGCTGAACGTTTAGTTTACATGGGGAGAATTATGCTCTATAATATGGAAACAGACCCGGGGTATGGCCTTGCGTTTCCCTTGGACAAGCATATAAAGCCAGTACGAATCGACTAAGTTGCTCACGCAGATCACCGCATCCCCCTCCCTTCAGATCCAGCAATGAAGATTTTTGCTGCCTCTTCTCTCCTTTTCGTGACCCTCGCGCAGGTTGCGCAGGGGCACTGTACGTATCCACCCAACCGCCCTCCCTTTGTTACGGACTGCTGACACCCTTCAGATATATTTCAGTATCTTACCGCCAACAACCAAAAGGGAGCACAATACCAAAATGTTCGGCGGAATACAAATTACAATTCTCCTGTTACCGCTCTAGCCTCGCCAGACCTCCGCTGCAATGTTGGAGGATCAACCGGTGGAAATACCACCACTGTTGCCGTCGCTGCTGGGTCCAGCGTTACATTTACCGCAGATACTGCCGTGTATCACCAAGGTCCGGTTACCTTCTACATGTCGAAAGTAGCGGACGCGGTATCAGCAGACGGCTCCACGGATTGGTTCAAAGTCAAAGAGATTGGACCTACGTTTAGCGGTGGTCAGGCCAAATGGGACATGAGCAGTAAGCCCACGATTCAAAAAATGCGCTTGCTATCACCGGACAGAGCTAAGTCTACTGTAGTCTCGTATTCAGTTACCATTCCTTCATGCATCGCGGCCGGAGATTATCTTCTTCGAATTGAGCAGCTCGGAATCCACAACCCAGGTTCAACACCTCAGTTCTATGTAAGAAGGCCCAGGTACAGCCTTAATATTACGTCTTGAACTTGCTGCAAGAATCTGAGATGCCACTTAGTGGTGTTGCTGATAACTGCAGGTCGCTTCAAGATAGAATATCGAGGTGCCAGAATCCCGTTTTGAAAGACTATACTGACTTTATATCTTCGCCTTTACAGGTCGCATGCGCTCAAGTCAAGGTTACAGGAGGCGGATCGAAAGCCCTATCTCCGACGGTTAAGATCCCCGGTCACGTTAAGGCAACCGATCCTGGGTACACTGCCAACATTTACAACAACTTCAATTCATACACCATCCCCGGTCCCAAAGTCGCCACGTGCTAAGCTGACATTAAGCCGTGAGCAGGTTGGAGGGATTTGCTATATGCATGGTTGGGTTACTGTTTAATATTTCATCTGAGAGTATCATTTGATCTACAACTCCATTGAACTTCTTGGCAAATGGCTTTCACAATTGGTGCCAAAGCGCATCCTATTTTTATTCATATATTCGCCTCTAGCATCTGCGTTTCCGCTTAGGTGTTGAAGAGAAGTATTTGGTTTGACCGTCGCATCCTAGTTTGGCACGCTCTATCCCATCCTCACATTTGTTCATCCGAAAGGATACCAGTAAGGAACTTGCGCGTGTCCAGGTTAAATTCAACACCCCCAACATTTCAACCACGTCATATTCTGAACATCACCCTTACGCACGCAGCATCATCCCCTAGCGTCATGCAAGTCTTTCTTCAAACACATTCGTTCCCTAGGATTCACGATAAGCCACATGTTTTCAACTTGCTCTCCCATGGTACGAACGCAGCACCCGCCACTCCCGTTTGCGAATGGTTCACTTTGATCCATGCATACGACTACTAGTCACTATCGCGAACCCTGCTATGGCCTTTGCTCTTCACAAATAAAGCAAACCTCGATCACCAAATCATTCTTTTCCTAAGCCTACTCCAAAATATCTTCACATCACACGCAAAGCACAATGGAATTCACCAATTTTTGTCTCAGCTATTCGCGAGACAACATCAAACACGGCAACAACTTTACACTTCACACTCCATGGGGGGCTCTTCACTCCTCATCATCTCAACAATTCTGTCTCTATCTGGGGGGATATAAATAAGGACCTTTCCAGCTCTGAGCAAGTTCAGCAACAGTTTCATTCAGCTGTTCTCTTCGTCAACTCCTTGAGCGGTTCCCTTCATCTCCATTCATCGCTCCTGCCCCTGACTTGAACTCTACTCGCATTATTCATACCCTAATCAGAGCCATCACATATAGGATCCAGTTAAGCCGAATCCTTCTCCGAATCCTTTTTCTCTATCAGCTCGAACTTCGAAAATGGCTGGCCCGTGGTACGTGGATGTCGCCGAAAATCCCAACATTCACCGCGATGCCCCACCACCTCCTCCTATCCCCGCCGCCGGAGCTCCACCTCCATATGCCTTACCACCTGGCGTGATTACGTTCGGCAGACCTGATCCTCCACCTCCACTAGCACCCGCCCAGGCCCAACCATGGCCAATACCAATTGCTTTAGGCGCTCCCCCAGCCCCCGTCATGCTCGGAGTCCCTGCCCCACCTCCACCACCACCCCTAGCCGCAGGTGTATTCTGCGCAGGACCCCCTGCCTACGCCCCGGGAGGTTTCCTCTGGGGCGGCCCAGCACCCGCACCTGCACCCGCTCCAGCCCCTTGCGCCGCTCCTGCACTCCCCGACGCCGGCCTCCACAGCCACGTAACCTTCGGCCCCATCCCAGCCGACCAAACAAACCCCGTCAACCTCCCCGGAGGCCTCGTCTCCGGTGTATCCCACTTCTTCAGCGACTCCTACACCATCCTCGGGTGGCTGAAATCCGGCTTCCGACCTTGGGAGCGCAATTTCGCGGTCATGAACATTGAATGGATTCAAGTTGATTCGAACTGGAAAGTAGACCAACTGATTAAAGCAATGCGCGAAAATGGGGATTGTGAAGGTTGGGCAGTGACCGAGTGTATGGAGCGTGGGAACGGAGTTTGGGAGCGTGGGACTACGTTTGTGCACGGGAGTGAGAGAAGTGGGCAGAGTTTGGCGACGGTGGGGTGGACAATGAGGAGGAACAGGGATGATGGGACGGGGGCATTGCATGTCTGTTTATGGAGGCAGTAGGGGAGGAGAATTTGGGCGTGGGGTGTAGATGGAAATGGGTTTGTGAAAATGGGTTTGTGAATATTGTTTGGGATGTCGGGACTTATTAAGAAGACTGGACTTGGATATATAGAGAGTTGGGGACGTGTTCAGATCAGCCGGTCTGGTCTCTGGTTCGAAAATAGGATGGATGTTGTCTGATAATTTATGATTAGGTATTCGTGTTAGCATAGAGAAACCTGAATTTGTACTTGTGACATGTAGGTAAATGTACTTTAGTAAATTAGTAACTAGACGTATTGTAGCACTAAGCCGCACTTGAGACAGAAGTTAGCATCCTCTCCTGATCTACCCTAAGTATGTTCTGCGGTATACGAAAACACACTGTATGATTGACCACGTTTGTTACCATGGAGCCGTCCATTTTTGGACGTGAAGAAATCTATTTATCATTTCTATTCTAACATAAATGTATTCCAAAGTCCCTTCCGAACACCTCAACCTTAACCTCACTAAACTGTCCCCTCCGAAAGATTGGAGGCCTGTGGCGTCGAACTCACCATTTTCGACCTCATCCCAGCAGTCTTCCCCCACAACCTACCCAACCACCTTTCCCTCACCATCTTCAAAATCACATACGCCAGCACCCTATATACAATCGCGCAGATACCCAACGCCATTATATTTATTTCTGGATTCTTATTGAGATGGTACAGGTCAAGTACTTCCTCACCCGTCGTAATCGGGCACTTGCCGTTCGGAAGTTTCTGCCAGTCTTGGCAGGTAAAGTGCTGGTTGCGGAGGGTGTATGGCGCCATGTTGCCGATGGCGTATTTGATTGGAGAGAGGTGGTTGAAGGCTTGGAGGAAGCTGGGGATGTCGAGGGACATTACACCACCTACGTCCATTAACATCTCGTACGGGCAAGATGCTGAGAGCAGGTAGTTTAGATTTCACCTACCCATAATCTGTGCCACTGATAGAAACACGCTCATACAGTTTACCGAGAAACCAGTATGCGTAAAAAGAGTATTGAAAGCGATACCAAGGCTTTCTCCACAGCTTACAATGCAAAACGCATTGAACGCCATAATGAAGTATACTTTCGCTGTACGTTGTAACCCACAGGCAATACATACCAGTATCGAGAAGATGAGTGAGCTGACGATTTCAAATGGCGTTTCGATCACAGTGTAGGTTAGGAAGAAGGCTTCGACGCCATAAATTCGGTCTTCATAGTCGCGATAGAAGACGTCTCGCTCACCAGGGTAAACGGCAACGTTTTGGAGCACTGTGAAATGTCAGTGGGCATGTCCTTTCGCGCTAAGAAGGATCCAAAACCCGACTTACTGCCAACAAAATACAACGGTGCAATCTCGATAACAAACCCCAACCGATTCTGAATGCTAAAGTAATCATTCTTAAGCGGCGCAAAGAACAGTGCAAGTACAATCCCTAAACCAACCACCTGCATAATCCTCGCAGTGATTAGATCCGGCTGTCGAAAGAAATTTTTTGTAGCTCTCCTAACTAGAATTAGGAATGCAGATACGAAACTCGCAGGAGATCGAGCTAGAGCACCAAGTTCAGCAGGAGTAGCAATTGAACCTATTCGAGCGGCAGGGAAGCGGTCCGAAGTCCAGGATTGGATAAGAGAACGAACTTTGGCTCTGCTGGCTACTTCTCGTGCTTCATGTTGGAGGTCCACAGTTATTAGGTCGAGAGCAAAGTCTGCAGGATTGACGTGCCGAGGGCACTCGTGACCTAGGGATTTGAAGTGTCTGAGCATTTCTCGTCCTGGCCCAGCATAAACTGGAGCGCCTCCGCGAGCAAGAAGCAGGATGTTGCCGAAGTGCGCGAAGGTATCCGAGCGTGGCTGATGGATCGTAATTACGAGAGTACGGCCCTCATCTGCGAGGCCACGCAGGACGTCCATTATCGAAGAAGCTGTGAATGCGTCCAACCCTGAGAGGGGTTCATCAAGTAAGAGTACGCGGGGCTCCGTAAGAATTTGAATCTGCGAAAGGACCTTAGAGATGGTAATACTGTACTCTCGGGAAAGATACTTACAGCGATAGTCACTCGCCTCTTCTCTCCACCACTGATACCTTTGATGAGATCGTTCCCAATCAGATTGTCCGCGCAGTCCTTCAGACCCATCTTCAAGAGGATTTCTTCCGCTTTCTGGTATTTCTGCTTCGTAGACATCCACTTGGGAAGTCGAAGGCCGGCTGCGTAACGCAGCGTCTCTCGGACTGTGAGTGACGCAAGAAGGGCATCGTCATCTTGCGTAACAAACGAACAGATAGCGTGAACGACGTTTTCCGAAGGGGCAAGACCATTGAAAGTCATGCTGCCAAATTTCTTGTATCTCGTTGATATATCATCTTTTAATCTCCCTGCCATACTGTTCAATAAAGAAGTTTTGCCTGACCCCGAAGGCCCCATGACAACATTAAGAGTTCCAGGCTGGAAGTCAGTAGTAAGAGGCTTGAGTATCTCCTTGGTGAACTTTCGTTTCAATGAACGCTTTTCGACGTCTAGCCCGTACCCCTCGAGTCGAATGGTGATAGTTCGAACCTCACCGACGGTCCTTGCAGCCATCTTCTCTTTTCCAGCCGAATCGTCGGTATCCATTGGTCTAGCTCTAGCCATACCAATTTCTACCCTCCAGAACGTGAGAAACACTGCGGCACCGAGGTAAAACGCCAAAGCAAACCCGAGCAGGGCCAGGATTGGGCGCCATACCCAGTCATTAGGAAGACCCAGGGAATCGAGGATATATTGGCCGGTATATTCTTTGCAAGCGGGATTCGATGGACCTCCTTCGAGTGGACAGGTGTAGAAGTGGCCGTAAAACTCATTGGCGGCAAGAGCACCGAACGCATAGAACTGCAAGCCCAGTTAGCAGCAATATCTAATTAAAGATGGGTGACCCGCCAGCCACTCACTACATAAGCTATCCACTTGGTCCATCGGACATAGATAGGAATGGTATTTGACTGAATGAAGTACCCGCAAGCCATCGATTGAAGGGTATACGCGAGATTAGCAACGAGACTAGCTAGTTCATTTGTCAATGATACTACTCAGGGGTGTGGTTCATGCAACGTTACCTCCTGCGAAATGTCTGCAAATAGCGACACAAGTAGTTGCAAAGCATACAGCAATATACTGCTCTAAGAGAATAACACTAAAGAAGGTGAGAAACTCGGCTCCATCTTTCCGGAAGCCGGCCATAAAGTAGAATACGAGCGAGAATATTAGTGGCACTGGAACATCTTCGATGAAGAATCGGGCCAACCTTCTGGAGATAAGAAATGCTGGAACTCCCACCACGCCTTGTCGTGACTCTTCGTCGAAGAGCTGAATATCCGTTGTTAGACGATATGTCTCGTAAAGAAGAATCAAATACCCTTGAAGCGCGGCAGCAGTATAAAGGGCACCTTGGCGAGAACGGATGCCAGAGAGTGAGCCATCAAGCTGAAGAAAGATCCATCCAGTAATGATCGCCATACCAATAGCTTCAACAAGACTGCCAAACATGCCCATAGGATCTCGAATAGTAACGACCCATGTCCGGGCAGTTAGAACGCGGATTTGCTGTAAAAGCGAAGTTCGTTTGGAGTTGGGAACTTTTACTGGCCGCCTAGCGATGGCATTGAAGCCTTCTCCATCGGTGTTAATCGAGATCTTTGAACTGTGCTGCCTCCAGGCATCCTTGATACGATTAACACGAATTTGTGCTATCTCTTCAGCTTCTGCACTACGGTTGTCGATAGAAACGATGTCGATTAGATGCTCTGCTGGATTGACAAAGGGGGGAAGGTTGTAACCTAAGCCAGCGAAATACGAGATACAGTCATCTGCCCTACCAGCATATGCTGGACTTCCTCCCCTGCTCAGGATAATAATGTTGTCGAATAGATTCCATATCTCAGAACGAGGTTGGTGTACTGCATATTGTTAATATACCTAGCATGCTCGCGAGGTTGAGAAACTGACTAGTCATAATGATATTCCTTCCTTTTCTTGCTAGGCTCTGCAGCGTCTTCACGATTTGAAATGCGCTCGTCGAGTCTAGTCCGGTTGTAGGTTCATCAAGCCATAGTAGGCTTGGATTTGACAGCAGCTGTGAATATGCGTTGGCCATCTTAAATTAAAGCACTTCATGCCATTACAACTTGCCTGAACACCAATGCTCGTCCGCCTCTTCTCACCGCCACTACAGCCACGATGTTCGTGGTTTCCAATCCTAGTGTCTGCCGCTTCTTTCAGACCAAGCTCCATGATAACTTCCTCGACTAATTGCTTGCGCTCATCTTGACTGATTGATGGCGGTAGTCTTAATTGAGCAGCATACGTCAACGTTTCACGAACTGTCAGCGTAGGCAGGAGAATGTCTTGCTGGATAACGTATGCGCTCCTGATCCCTGAACCATTCCCCGCGTCGCCATTAAACAAGGTGCGTCCTGAAACAGAAAGTCGATTACCATGCATGCGACCGCTCATTTGGTTAAGCAGGGACGTTTTCCCGCTTCCGCTTCCGCCAATGATCGCCGTGAGCGTCCCGTTTGGGATGTCTGCCGAGATGTCGTCAAGAATAGTCTTGACATGGCCGGTTGTTGTATCTACATTGCTTCCAGGGGGTTTGGCTTTTGACTTCGAGAAGAGGCCTGCTACGAGGCCTGGTGACTCGTCAACCGACACACAGAGGTGGTCAAGCCGGAGTGAGACAGGGTCGACCTCACGAAGAGAAATTGCAGTCTCACGGTCTGAGGTATTGTTGGTGTTGGGGCGAATAGAATCTGTTGTCATGAGCGGGGGCTCGAGTTCGACATGGTGGTCGTTGGGCCTCGGCAGTGGCGAGGGGCTTTCTCTCCTTATTTTCTCCTTGTTGTCCGTCACCATTTCCAAACTGTGGCCTGACACTTCCATCATGGCCGCTGCCAACTGCGGGAAGACTCAGAGGGGTGAGAAAGGGAAGAGAAGACATGATGGAGGCGAAAACTCTGCCCTGGAGAGGACAAGAGTTTCCTGTCGCTACGCTGCGATGTTTTGCAACCAGCTTCTGTGACCCCAGGCAGGATGGCCGTTGTCTCGCTTGCCAACCGAGAGCGGCACCGTGTGCGTTCCTTTAGTTTTACCACCAACAATATTCATGCTTGGAACAAAAGCAAGAAATCTCGAAGCTTAGGATGAAGTCGACGTCCCCAAGGTTTGGCTGAAGACCTCTTTCCTCGTCTGCAGGCAAGCCACAGTGGCTGGAAAAAGGAGTCTGTATCCACTCGAGAGAAGAAGTCTGTTCCCTCTCAACGCCTCAAAGCATGGGCACAGCTGCGGGATCCCGTACTGGACCCACAAGCTGGACTTTGGGACCCGATCCGGCCGTCCTGAGCTACAACCATCGGACTTCCTTCCGCTGCTCCAATCGCGACCACCGTGTAACATATAAAATACCAGCGCAACCGACGGGCTTGATATCTTCTTACTGTCAACAGTTTTTGATACACGTATCCGGCAGATCCTGGGCTGCTCGGCACTTCAACAACGAGGAGGATCCGACGGGTGGCATGAGCTCTGAATGATGCGCCGCTCGGCGCCGCCTGAATCGCTGAGAAGCGACGATGCAAGGGTGAGCTGTTTGGGTTTTGGGATTTGGGGGTCCTCATGTGGCCAACCCAAAGAACAGCCAGTTGCCGGAAGCCAGATCCACTGGTTTACCTTTTCAGGTATGTCGCTACGTTGGAATCAAAGAAACCCAAGATACGAGCCATTGTGCAGCATCTCTGTTATACTGGTAATCTGTTTGCCCTTCCCTGATCGCGATAATTTTTCGATCCAATCCTTCGACGTTGGACGACAGCGGCATAAAAGTTCCATTCGACCTATCGACGGCTTCCGATGGCCTCCTCGAGTCATATTCGCTTAAGACGCCTCTATGCGCCATTGTCTCAGAGGCGTACTCATTCCAGAAAGTATGGGTGTTTCGAGCGTCCACGCATGCACGTGTCCTCAAACTTCGTCCTGCATGTGTTGGTCGGACATTCACGAATGATCTTCGGCCTGGAATTACCCAGCCGAGCTGAGACTCGCACCACCATCAGGCGTTTGCTCGCTATTGGCTCTCTGCCCTTTCGCACCAAGTTCCGCATCAGATAATCAACTTGTAATCACGACGGCCGAGAGGGGACCAGGGCATCTCTCACGTGGACCCCCTCCTGAGTGCCTCGTGGTCGGACAAATCGTGGAGTGCCAAAATAGGTAAACCATTATATCCGAACATCCTCCTGTTCTCGGCGACAAGTCGCCCGACGTTCTTGACGACCAGGCACCTCGACACCACGTTTTCTGACGGTTATTTCGGATTGCAATGTAAAATGCTGACTGGTTCGTGTCAGCTTGATCAAGTGATGGATTATGGTTGCAGGTCCGTGTTATGGTGTTCACGCGGCCTGAATTCAAAGTTCTAAATCTCACTCTCCGAACTGGTGTTGATCCCTCCATTCTAAATCCTAACACCATTTGAACCGTTTTGCCTCGTGGGTTTTGGCACTTGGCTTGCTGACATCGGTGAGCAAGGAACCACAATCCTTACAGTTGGTGCCCACCCACTGCGTTATCCGGTACCGTTGAGCATCTGAGATGCAGGCACAAGAACTCCGATTCCCGCTATCATTGATCGACAACAACTTAAAGCACTAGTCATTACTGTGTATCTCAAAATGGTACTCCTTAGCTGAATCTGGACGCTGCTGGCATAAACCTCTACGGGAATAACGACAAGCGGTGTGGCACGCGAAGCGTCTTGTATAGCCCTGTATCTTATCCGGCACTCCCGAGGGCGAAGTGTCAGGCTCATCACATGAAGGGTCGGATGGCCTCAAAGAGGCTGCGTGCGCAATCGGAAACGTGAGAAATCTGAGGACTTTGCAAAAAAATCTTTCGCACGGTGGCCTGAGAAAGCCACCAGAGTGGAAATGAAGCAAGGGAGGACCAACGGAAAGAGGTTAATAATATATGTGATATTCGATGGATGACGTCCAGAATGAGCCTGTTGCAAGTGTCTTCAAGCGCACTGTTTAACATCTAGTCCCAACGGGGAGAATCTGCCCTACGGGTCACCCCCACGCCGGCCGCATTGGACATGGCGATGTTTCTAGCAAGCGCTCTCAGGCACCTTCTACCCAATTTGAAATCGTGAAAAAGGGGAAGCCGACGGAGAACGTTCCAAAGCTGCTCTGGATAAATAGCATGCAGTGTCTACTGCGCGCCACAAGAACCAAGGCATGGCAATGGCATGGCGACCCGTTCATGGCCGACCATCTGTCCATCTATTCACCCCACGCAGCCTACCGCATTGAGCCATCTGGCGCCGAACTACTGGAATGATTTTCAGTGACGGTTCATTTATTTTGGATCGCGGTCAGGCTTCCCGGTTCCTGAGGCATGCTCTTAGACTCCGCGTTTTCTCCACAATTCGAACGAATGTTCCCGCGCCGGCTAAATGCCAACCTCTTGCAGGCCTCGCCTTGACTCTTTGACAAGCTTCAATGGACCGCTCACGTTCATCCATGAGTCGACTAAACGCCGACATGGTGGTACAAGTGTCAAGAAACACTTTTTCGAGTAAAGAGTGAGACGAGGGCGAGGAATGTACTGGGGTTTGGGCGTTAGCATAATTGGAGTAGGATATTATGCCGGTAAAACCAGGAGCGGTAACGAACCGGACGTGAAGGGATGCCCCTGGTGACGAATCACACTCTCATTGCGATGTGATGATGATGGATAGGAGAGTGGAAGAACATGTGTGCATGATTGTCCCTAAGTGGGTACCTACATACGTGTCCAAATAGTGCGAGAAATATAGTCTCCCAGATCGTCAAGAGGCTCCCTTTACAGCTATGTGCAACCACGCCAGGCCATGCATCATCCTCCGACGCCTTCAAAAACTTTGCCTCTACCAGAGAAAAAACGCTAGACAGAATTATGGGAGATATTGTAAAGCTGACAAAAGAAGGCAAATGCGAACTGGAAAAAAATTTTGCCTCCAATACCGCCCATGCTCAAGAAGCATGCCTGCCCGATGCAACCCGGAAACCTGATTTGAATACGCCGATTTGACATAGAAGATGGAGTTCAAGCAACCCTTGGAATATAGATCCATGTCAACTCCGAAAATTCGTGATCGAAAGCCGTCTATCCATTTACTAAACGGTGTGCGCAACGTAAACGCATGCTTTCTTTCAAGTCGCGAGGAAATCCCATCCTTTGGTGTTGATGATTTTCTCCCAGTCCCATGATTCGGCGTCGTCGGCGTCCATTAACTCCCAGATTTTGTCAACGACTTCTTTCGCAAATCCAATGTTTCCAAGTCCAGTACATGCTGTTAAACCCATAAAGGCTCTGTTGATCTCAACGCGCTGCTCTTCTTCAAACGCAGCGCATCCAATTAGAAACAACGGTAGTAGTACATTGCTCTGTACCCAACCCTCAGCGGGTAGCTCGTTGATATACTTGATTCCGTCGTCAACGGCGTCTTTGATATATGGATGTGGGCGGGACTCCTTTGTAGTTCGATACAAATAAACCCATGTGGCTTGTCTGTATAACATGGAAATGGTGTATCGAGGAGTACCTGGCGTCTGCGGACATACCCAGCTGCGTAAACCAGAGTCGATCGCGTGCGTGGCAAGCAATGCTTCGTAGTCCATAGTCGGATCCAGATGATTGTCTATACGAGCCCGAATCTTGCGTCGCAAATTACTAATCTTCGAGATAAATCCGAACAAGCCGTCAGATACCCCAATCAGCGCCGCTGTTTCCGGGTTGATCTGGAAAGGAAGTTGGAAGTCCTCCATCATCGGAACCTCATGGCCATCCAGAGATGTGATCTGACTCGCAATCCAGTGATAGTAGAAGAACTCGTCGAAAAGACTCTGAAATTCCGGATTCTTCGACTTTTGCGTCATCGATATTCTCTTCGCGGCTAGCATATGCATCCTGTATTCACCAGACGTGTTCCCATCGCAAATCGAATGCAGCAAATGTAGCAATATCTGAGCAACGTTAGAATCCTCATAAATCATAGAACCTCCTTGGCCGGCTTTGTGTCGTTCTAGATCCTGGTTGAGCAAATGTAGTGCCTTCCCCCTGTGGTGCGTTTGTCTGTCCTCGTATTCTTGCGACGGATTTAGCGAACATAGATGTGATGCGGACAGACACAGCACAGAGTGCATTAGCCCTTCATGTCGAAGTGCCATTGGCAGAAGGATCCTGGTGAAAGGATTGGTTGACTGATCGCCGTGCAAGCTGAGAACGCAACTCGCTCTGCTAACGAAATGTTGTAAGAGAAGACGATCTAGGTCGTTCTCTACGCCTTCCATGAGAGGAGGGAGCTCAAATTTGATATCGACGGAGGTTCTCCGGGCTTGAATATGAATTAGCTAAGCCCTTTTTGTAAGCATAGATTCACACCTTCTGCTGCCCGCTCTTTTCCACTCTTCCATATTTCTACGGGCTTGTAGCCTTCGCAGTGAATATTATTCTTCTGGCAAGACAAGCCTATATCATGTTAATTCGCCGGCTAGGGGATAGGGTGGTAGGATGATTACAGAATGGTTTTGTCTCATCACACTTCTTCTTCCGTCTGCGACAAGTTGCGCATCCAGTCTTTGACCGCGCCTTTGTATTCTTCGACGACGTGGTCGGGGAACGAGGAGGATATATGCGAGGGCGCCCGCGTCGTTTTCGCACTTGTTGGGGTTCCGTAGGTGAAATAGGTGGTTCCTCTGCGCCTGGCTCTTCCTTTACATCTGCCAAATCTACTTCACATTCCTCGATTTTGGGTACAATATCGTCTGAGGCGGTCCGTGATTCCGACCGTGAGTCGGTGCGTGCATCTGAGAATGGTAGCATGTTTGCGTCGAATATGGGCGTGTTTATCGGGGAGTCGCTGCTGGATGACATGGAGGGCTGTGGAGATGAGCTAATGCTCAGGCGAGCGTGCGCTCGAGGCGGCGGTTGCCCGAAAGAGAGGGTCGAGATCATTCGGCCTAACCGTCGTGAGAGTTCGAAGTTTTACAGGCTGATGGCGGCACACATTGGACGTCGCGGTCCCGCGGGTAGGAAGGCGATCGGCAATGGCCTGCTTCCGGTGCGAACCCTCTACCTCTCGGCCAGTATGAGAATACAGGCGAGGATAGGAGATTCGAATGGAGAAATTTCAAGACAGACAGAATGAAGTGCCGCGAGTCAAAGGCGTTGCCCGTGCTCCGAGAGAACGTGGAGTTGTTGACAGGAAAATTGGGGAGAGGGTTCAAGGTCTGGGTCTGACGCCTCGAGCGATCGCACGACGGCAGCGTTGCGAGGAGCGGGGGACGCCTCCTTAGCGAAGGGTGGGGCGCAAGGGCCAATTAGAGGAGGGTGGATGGACGGGAATGAGGTCGCAAAATAATGCACCTGCACACGCACCGCGGCGACGGCTGAGGAGCGATGAGCTGGAAGCAGAAAAGGGTGGCGAGCGTTGTGGCAGGGGAGTTGGTTGTAAGCGGTAGGTGGCAGGTGGTAGGTGGACAGGCGGACCGAGAGGAGGGGAGACTCAACGTGTGCAGCCAGCCGTGCACAGAGGAAGATGTGTGAGAGGGCGATCTGCTGAGCGGGGAGGGGATACGACTTTAACGACTAGGAAGACAGAGCTAAAGTGCCGGGGCAGGGTGCAAGAGCGCTCCAACTCCTCCTTAGCTCAAGTCGCACAGCAAGGTAGGGAAGAAGGTATATAGTGAACCGAGTAAGTTAATGTATAGATCCTGCCGTGCTCGGCGGAGACGTCCAATTCGACTCAGACACACCTCTGAAGTGGTTGAAATGGGTGACCCTAGAAGCTGGCCCGAGTTGCTGGGCCACCTCTTTTAAACTTAAAGCAGGGTGCAGGCCAAAGGTTGGAGAGGTGCACTGCGCGCAAGTGGGACTGTGGGAGGTCGGACTGGTGTGGGAATGAAGGCCTGCACCGTGGCTTCGTAAAAGACGACGCCAGTGTCAAAAGGCGCCTGTCTGTGAGCACTAGGTGCTGCGGACGCTGCCACCTCGTCGATGGCTTGTTGTATATAACGTATTTGCAGTACGGCCATGCGTATTGTATCGTGTCATTACTCGTTGCGCCCTAGACCCATCATCCTTTTCCTCACTTGGCCAGTGTGCCCACGCACATCTCTGCAATATTGTTGGCTGATAGGCCTCAGCAACGGCGGGCCATGATGATGGTGGTTCCATGATGGGACAGCGGGGAAGGATGCAAAACCAGTGAACGCTGCTGCAGCTATTTGCAGCATCAAACACCTGATTAGCCCTGATGTCTAGCCAATGCTAGATTGGCAGCGTCGGCCTTTTGATATGCTGCTGCTGAGTATTTGTCCCAAACGCCATCAAACGATGGCTGCGCGCTCCAGCAGTTAGTGACGACGCGACACTTTGGTCTAGACTGCAACACAACCTTGGAAGATTGGTCCTGTGGAGAGTGAGGCCTGCTGTACCACGGTCCATTGCCATCTTGTACAACAAGTGACAGCGTTTCCGTCTTTTCGCGAATTTAGATCATTTCCATCCCGCATTTGTCAATGCTTCTGGCATGAACATTGATGACGAAGCTGACTCCAGCCGCGTCGAACGTTTGGAGCTTCAAGCCGCAGGAAAGCAAGGACCACGATGCGCCTCTTGGTGCGTAGATCCTGGGGAATTCGGCCATCCTAGGTCACGTTGGGCTAGGCTAGCTGCCGGTCCAAAGTTTGAACAGTAGTTTTACGCAGACGCGGGCAGCCCCCGCATGAGACGACTTTCATGTGGGCAGTGAGCTCGACAGCAAAAAGGAATCTACACCCCGCTATCTGGGCCTCCTTGTGGGATAGTCTTTGCGCAGCACGTCATGTCGCTGCCCAGTCGGAGAAAAGCCGATTCCCTTTCATTTGATACTTATTGACGAACTCGGATTTGGATGAGCTGGTATCGCGTATCTGTGCCGAAATTTGAGACTTCAAATTTTAGCATTTAGCGGGCGGGAGACGGAGCGCAGCGGGTTTGAGAGCACGCTCCAGCAGCTGGCTCCAGACTCGTTTCCTTGAGAGCCGCCTAACCTTGAATCGGGATATTCCCTTGACAAGACGAGGTTGGGGGAAACGGAATCTCTTGTGCTCCAAACCCTGTGTACTGTGGTACTGGGTAGTAATTTGCTCATAACGCTAACGAAACCTTGAAAGTGCGGAGACAACGACAGCTTCACATCTGTTTTCGGTGCATGGTCACAACGCCAGATTGAGCTCGCTGCAGCTGCGTCAGCCCTCGGACAAACTGTACCGCATTGTTTTGCCCTGCAAGTATTGAAAGGGCCGAGGAAGCATCAACCTGGCATCCGTTGGCAGGACTCTGTTGGGCGCTGGTGGACGCCGTGATGTGCCGGTAACACGCTAGCTTGCAGAATCTCGATCAACAAAGTTTCGAGTGAGCAGCCAGTGATCGTCGGGAGTTCATGGCTGCATTAGGCCCGCGAAGTTCCCGCGAATCCGATTTTCAGCTCTCCGCAAACTTGGAGTCTGATGAACGACTTCCTGAATGCTCGTCCCTGCAGAAGGTAGCGAGCGCCGTCAACAAGATGACTTACATTAGTTCATTATTGCTTGGAAGGTAACGGACGCAAGGAGCCGACGAGGTGGTGTGGTAGTCTCTGTGGAGGAGGAAGCGAAGGATAAATGCGTGACGTGCATATTTTAGCGGCATGGCTGACGCGGGGTTGGCTTGGTTGGCTGACACGTCTCGAGGACTGAGAGGGGCTGCAAGTCACCCTGCGAAAAACATATTGTCGATGGGAAATGCAGCTGAAGCCTCAATATTCCCTCCTGTTAAGCTTCGATGAATTACCAAGGAGACGGTACTGTGTGTGGGACATCCGGGACGTCCGCCCAAGCGGGAGGCGTCAACAGAGGCTGCATGTTATGACAATATATCAGAGAAAATTCTAACGAGGGAAATGCGGGAGCCTGAACAGAGCGGACAACCCCAAAGATTGCAGAGATGATTAGCGATTTGTGATCGGTACTTCGAGCCTGAGGGTATATGGTGGATAAGTGGTGAGCTGGAGATGCTTTTCTAGCTAAGCTGCTCTCGGTAACCCGACAAGCAAAGCTGTTTCGAGAATAGGAACTCAGCAAACACTTCAGATCCAATCACAGAGTAAACAGTATCCAGTTGTGAGCAACATCAAAGGCCAGACATCGATGAATCTGCCTCAAGCGAGCAACGGTGGTGTCGTTCTAGAAAGGGATATCCTTGTTGGTGAGTAACCGAAGGTAAAGAAACTCGATGGAGGAACAACAGACGACACAGGAGAAGAAAATATTTAACGTGAAGCTTTCAGGGATAATCGTTGCCGGATATGGTGATGCTCAACATTACTAAGTTTCGTGCAGCTGGGTTCCGGATAAACTATTATTCCGTGCCAAGATAGATTCCCGACCGCGTCGTCGCTCGAACCTCATTCACTCCAAGCAGGCAAGCCAAAGCAATCACTACCGTGCCACCCCGCCGCCCAGCATGCGCGCTAGCTTGTGGTGTCGCAATCTTCCAGATAACTAAACGCGTCTACCATGTTCAACTTCACTCCGCTTCTGGGCGCGCAATCCGCCTCGGCGGCGTCACAGTCTCTACTCGAATTCGATGGCGGCATAAAAGTGCTCATCGACGCGGGCTGGGACGAGAGTTTCGACGTGGAGAAGCTGAAGAACATCGAGAAACATATTCCCACGCTCTCGTTCATCCTGCTGACCCACGCAACAACCTCCCATCTCGGAGCTTTCGCACACTGCTGCAAGCACTTCCCTTTGTTCACGCGTATACCCGTCTATGCCACCACTCCCGTCATCTCCCTCGGGCGAACCCTGCTCCAGGACTTGTACGCCTCGACGCCGCTGGCTTCCTCGGTAATACCCCAGGACGCGCTCAATGAGTCAGCCTTCGCTTTTCCCTCGTCCAAGGACGGAAGTAATCCGAACATATTGCTTCAGGCGCCGACCGTCGATGAAATCGGCAACTATTTCTCCCTCATCAACCCTCTCAAATACTCCCAACCGCATCAGCCGCTCCCGTCACCTTTCTCTCCACCCCTTGGTGGCCTCACGATTACCGCTTATAGCGCCGGGCACACCCTCGGAGGCACAATATGGCATATACAGCACAATATGGAATCGGTGGTTTATGCAGTAGACTGGAATCAAGCAAGGGAGCACGTTCTCTCGGGCGCTGCCTGGCTCGGGGGTCCCGGGACCAGTGGCTCAGAGGTTCTCGAGCAGCTCCGCCGACCAACTGCAATGATTTGTAGCAGTAAAGGGGCTGGTATGGTGACAATAGGGGGGCAAAGACACAAACGAGACGACGCTCTCCTTTCAATGATTCGAGAAACAGTGGCGAACGGCGGATCTGTGCTTATTCCTTCGGATTCAAGCGCTCGCATCCTCGAGCTTGCCTATCTCCTAGAAGAAACATGGCAGGCGGAGACAACAAAGGCGGACGGAGATAGCCCGTTAAGGCGCGCTAGGCCCTTCCTTGCCAGCAGAACCAGCGGAGCTACGATGAGATATGTACGGAGCATGCTGGAGTGGATGGAAGAGGGTATTGTGAAGGAATTTGAAACCGCCACCGGGGCCCAAGAATCCCAAAATCTAAGACGTGGCCGGGGACAGCAGAGTAGCCATGATAAAGCAGACGAGGACAAGGTAGCAAAGGCGCCTTTTGACTTCAGACACATCACCCTATTGGAACGAAGATCCCAAGTAAATAGGATGCTAGGCTCTGCTGAGCCTTGTGTGATTCTCGCAAGCGACACTTCTTTCGAATGGGGGTTTTCCAAGGATGCCATCAAAGTCATGGCGTCAGATCCTCGCAATCTTATAATCCTCACGCAGCGCGCGGGTGAGAAATCCGGGCAGGAGAAGGGTCTCGGTAGATATCTTTGGGAGCTATGGAACGAACAGAATGCCTCATCAGGACAAGATGCGCCCTCTACCGCTGTCATTAACTCAGCCGGTATTGAAGCACTTATACCATCCATGCAAAGGGTTTCGCTTGAAGGCAACGAGCTCCATTTGTATCAACAGTACCTAGCCCGCCAACGGCAGCTACAAAACACGATTCAAGGAGACTCTGGAGCAACATTAGAAGCGTCCGCGGACGTGGTAGATGACCGCTCTTCCTCGACCTCTACAACTTCCGAGGACTCGGATATAGAGCATCAAGGCAAGGCGCTCAACACAGCAACGACATTACAACACGCTCGACACAAACTTGGGCTCAGCGATGCGGAGTTGGGCATCAATATCTTGATTCGACGCCACAACGTCTTTGACTATCAAGTTCAGGGGAAGAAGGGTCGGGAGAAATCGTTCCCTTATGTTGCAAAGAGAAGACGGGCGGATGATATGGGAGAGCTGATTAGACCGGAGGAGTTTATCCGCGCTGATGAGAGGGATCAAGTTGAAACAGAAGGTTTGCTCGAAGGTGCGGGTAAAAAGGAGAATGCGGTTGGGATGAAGAGGAAGTGGGATGATCCAGCTATTCGCCCTGGTGATGGAGCGCGACGCATACCAAACGGCGCCGGGAAACGACGAAGGACAGATGGAGCCGGAGGGAGTACTTCAGGCACTGGTATTGAGGACGCCGAGTCCTCAGACAGCGAACCTGAGGATGAAGCAGACAAGATCGAAGGCCCGTCCAAGCTCATCTTCGGAACTGAAACCCTCCAACTCAACTGCCAGATCTCCTTCGTCGACTACTCCGGCCTCCACGACCGCCGCGCTATCCAAATGTTAGTCCCTCTCATCAAGCCGCGCAAACTCATCTTCATCGCCGGCGAAGCAGCAGAAACTAATGACCTCGCCTCCGAATGTCGCCAACTTCTAAACGCAAGCTCCAGCGACTCTACCAGCAGCGTCGACGTCTTTGCTCCCGCCATTGGCACCACAATTGACGCCAGCGTCGACACCAACGCTTGGACCGTCAAGCTTAGCCGCGACCTTGTCCGCAAACTTCAGTGGCAAAACGTCCGCGGCCTCGGCGTCGTTGCTATTACCGGTCTCCTACGGCCCGCCTCCCTCTCCCTCCCTATCCGACAAACCGACGGCACCGCGAAGAAGAAAGTTAGACTGCAAGACCCCGCCTCCGACGTCCCCATTCAGAAAGCTGGAGAGAAAGAAGAGCAACCACAGATAAACCTCACGCCCATCCTCGACATCGTCCCCGCGAACCTCGCATCTGCCACCCGCTCCGTCGCCCAGCCCTTCCATGTCGGCGATCTCAGACTCGCAGATCTCCGCAAAACCATGCAGGCTTCAGGTATGACGGCCGAGTTCCGGGGCGAGGGTGTGTTGGTCATCAATGGCACTGTTGCGATTCGGAAGAGTGGAACTGGCAAGATTGAAATCGATGGCGGAGCATATAGTTTCGCGGATCCGAAGAATGGGGATGCGGGGACCTTTTTTAGGGTAAGGAGACTGGTTTATGGAGGCTTAGCTGTGGTGTCGGGGGTAAATTGAGGCGGGCGAAGAGGGAGTAGAGGGTGTGTGTAAGATTATGATGGTGAGAGGGAGAGTTTTGGGCTTTCTGGATTTTGTGTTTTTGGGAGCGGTTTGATGCTCCGACAAGATTGGGGGCAGCATTGAGCGAGTGATGAGCCGTGAACACTCTGCATGGAAGCTATTCGAACACGTCCCATCTAGCTACTGATCGCAGGCGGGACTAGGACGAGCTAAATGTAAGAATAGTCACAATTTCTTCCGTGCACAGTGCTCTCATAAACATGCAGGTAGTCGGATAGATGGGGGAGAAATGCGTAATAGAAAAATGAATCAAATCAGGTGGGAGCTACATTACATGATGTCTTAGTCTAGTGCCTAGGCAAAATACGCGTGAATTAATTCTACTTCACTTCCACTCAACGTTGTTTTTCTGGGTTCTGTTATGATGGAGACAGTTGAGGTCAACAGTGAGCAGAAAATAGCAAATAATGAAGGCGAAGGATGGGCGTGAAGGGTGGACATGCATATTAGAGGGAAATAGTGAATGTGAGGGGGGTGACGTGAGAGGTAATCGTGAAGAGTGATTGTGAAAAGTGAACGTGAGAGAGCATGGTGCCCCGAGTAGTTCTACTCTCACAAACATCAAATCCCAACATCACGCAAACCCATCAACAATACAGTTATACTCACACTAGCATAAAGACCAAACATAGTCTATCCATTCATCATGCTATCTCAGTTCATCTCATATACCAATAAGCATACAATATCCATAACCATATCCCCTCAAACCAACCCCCTACTCCAACCTACTTCATTCACATCCCATGACATCAGCCATCCCCTCCACTTAGTTCATCCACCCTATTCTGATCTATAGAGCAGCTGTGCAGGGCTACATCCACCCCTAGCAACGCAAAAGTGCAATGGTCTTGAGTCGAAAGTAGGGGAAAGAAAATAGAGAAGCTGGAACAAGCAAGCCATGCATGCATCGAAAGCCATTGAAAGGAGAGCCACTGGGGTAACAAATCGAAGTGAACAGTGGTGTTTTGTGTGCTTGGTTACCTCGGAAAATGGGTTCCACCCAGAACAAAGGGGAGAGAAATGCTATCCATGCCTCGCCTTATGCCTCGAAGGTGAGTGAGAGATATCGAGAAGTTGAAGCCGAAGAAATTCTTTGGAAATTTGGTGTCGTAGATCCGGGCAGAAAATGCTAGAAACAGAGTCTTATTGGGTGGCGAAGGTTAGCTCAAGGGAAGGGTTAAGCCATATCAATGTCGAGAATATTGGGTACCAATCATACATAACCGGGCCGGAATCGCAGCTGAGGGAAGAATTTCGAGGAGCCATTGTAGAAGAAAGAAGGAGAGGAACGCTCAATATGCAAACCCCGAACCCCGATGTGCTTTTCAAAACCGTTCCAAGACTAAAGTCGTTGCTCAGTTGGTTGGCTAGAATGAAAATAACGTAGAAGCATCGAAGTTGATTGTTTTGATTGTAGATGGCCGCGCCATCGAAAAGGACTCCTGAACACCGGTTCATAGGGTATTTTGCTATTTTCGTGTTAATGGTACCGCTTTATCGCTTGTGGTCGTGTAACTTCATCGTGGGTCATGTATTGAATATCTTCTCTCGTGAGGACACGGTGGCAGATAGGTTCAAGAGCAAGTGACGAGGCTGGATGTTCTCCGGTTGTCCGCAAGGAAGTAGTGATGCGCCGAGTCTTAAGTTTAACCACCCAATCTTGCCTCTTTCATTGCCTTCACGAAGCACTTCCCCAAGGCCCTGCCTCCTTTCCTAAACCCGACATCGTTCCCACTGGACCCTGCGCCCTATGTCCTCCAATAGGTGCCAAACTTGGACTCGCTTTCCCGCCACTTCCCCAACTCAAACCACTAAATCGCTTATTGCTCGAAGTCGTAGAAGTTGTAGAGGCCGCATCTTTGTTCTTACCCCGCTCTATCTCATCTTCCTCTTCCATACTGAACAATCCCTGCTCTTCCTCGATCCTTTCACGGCCAATGCTGCTAGTGCTTACGGCGCGATCCATGCCGAGCCTCCCGCTAGAACTAACGATACTCGAACCGGAGGTTACGCGATTGATTCCAGGGTGCAGAGGATTACTGCCAAGGCCGGCGGCTTCCGGGCCCTCCGAAGCACGTGATGAGAGGCGGGTACGTTGGAGCTGTTGGCTGATCATGCTCATGGACGCCTGTCGTGGAGGGGAGGAGACAAACGGGCTGGATTCTCCGGATGTAGCACGGGCGCGCATGGATGGGCTTGCACTGGGGTGAAGGCTAGAATTTCGGAGCGGAGATCCCACATGGCCGAACGCTGAGACTCCCGGCAACGAACCAGATTCGACGCCACCATCGTTCGTCTGGCGAGACTTGCCCCAAAGTGACTGAAATCGAGACGGAGAAGAAGTGGCTGCTGAGGGCGAACCGACTTTCACATCAGATGCGGTTGGCGAAGCCCCTAGCCTTGAGAGCGAATGCCGATGCGAGAGTGAATTTCCGTCATTGTCACCATGGTCTCGAGACAGGTGGCGCCTCTTTTCTTGCTCTGTAAACAAGTCCTCGTGGAGAGAGCTAGGAATCATGTCCTCCTCGAATTTTCCGATAAGCTCACTATCATCCCATTCGTCGTTAATGGTCATCGGAGCCCGTGCTCCAACGCTCGCAGAGAAATTCATCCCTCTCGGTCTTGACGCACCCATTTCGGAGTGCATGATGCGCCTTCCCACCGGCTGCTCAATCGAATCCGGCGGAGAAGAAGCGAGAGCCCTGCTACGCGAGTCGTCGCCAAACGCGGAGTTGTGAAGATTTCGGACTGCAGGTGAATCGTTTTGATAGGAAGATGGTGGTGAGCTGCCTAAGAACTTGGCCGGCACAGACGACGCAATTGGGCCGTACCGGGCCATATGAGAGATTCCCTGACTGTCAAATGATGCTGGTAGCTGCACGTCCATAACCGTAAGGCCTTTCTGGACTGGAGAGATTGGCAGACGTCCGCCTTCGTTTGGAGGTGAGCCGTATTGCGAACCTGGATGGGAGGAGAAGGTGGTGTCGATAGTAGGAATCATGTCGTATTGTGACTTCTGAGCTCCAAAATACTCGTCCTGCATCTGGTAGGGGTAGTTTGGCTGCATAGGTGCCATGTGCGCCTGCATGGTGAGAAGAGAGCTTCCTGGACCAGGATCAGGGTGAGGAGGAAGGTGCACACGCCCAAACTGGCCTCCGCCGCCGAGATTGTTGCGATTGACTACATGGCCGTTTGGGAGAATATGGGCGAGGGCGCATTTGGCACCAAACTTGCAGTTTCCCTACGACGAAATTTAGACCAAGCAGCGGCAGAGCTTATCACGAAGGAGCCTACCTTGGTGAAGTACTTGCAGGGGGCCCGCTCCGCCAGAGGCTCATCCGAATGCAAGAACGGACAAGCTTTGCCCGCCTGACACGCGCCTTGTCGGTAGAACTTGCACGGGACATGCGAGGTACCTAGTCACAGTAAGCCGTACCCACTAACGACGAGAGGAAAGCTCTTACTCTTATTGTTCGGCGGACTCCGTTGCCCCTCGAATCCCAAGCCGCGCAAGTTTGCCGCTCCATGCCCGTGTCCGTTGCCCATGCGACTATGCGGCCCGCCTGGGACGGGCACGGGACCGTTGCCGTTTGCGCCAGCCATGTTGCCGTTCGCAGACGGAAGTCTCAGGTCCTGGGAGGCACGATGCGAAACTCTTTGAGGATTCGGTTTGGCGAGCGCGGAGAAAGATGGACTCGGCGAGGTCAACTGGTGAGAGAAGGGGCCTTGCTGGCGGTGCCGTGGTGGAGAAAGGTCGTGGTGGGGGTTGTCGACGAGCTCGGGAGCTAGGTGACTGCTCGGCGGGAACGCGGTCATGGTTGAGCGTCAACGGGGGGCGAGGCTCGGGGCGTGAGCAGAGCGACGAGGAGGACAGGATGGGTGAATGCCTCGAGGGCGAGGAATTTGGGCAGAGGAAAGAGAGAAGTAGTGGTTTGTGTCCCCAGGTAGGACAAGAGCAGAAGAAGAAGCTAGGCTGGAGTCGGCATAGGCAGAAGAGAAGCCGTTCGCTTATGGCGGGCGATGCGACGATTTTGCAAGGCGGACAGCACGCAACCCAGCATCGGTGCCGCGCCTCAACACGCTGCTCGCTCACAGCACGGCAGCAAGCGAAACAAACGAAAAAGCGCGGCGCTGATTGGGGGGGCTCGTCGAAAATCAAAAGAAATGAAGAAGGGTTTGCAGCACGTACCTTGAGGCAAGATGAGCAAAGTCACTCCGGATATATTAGGCCCTGTCCTCCCCACCAGGGAAGGCTGATATCGCGTCACGCGCAGCCAAGCATCATCACGCGCGAGCTTCACCGGGGCAGGATACTGATAGACGGCCCTGGAGAAGAAGCTGTCGATGATAAGACCTGCAGACCTGCTGCGGAGAGCGTGGAGAGCGCAGAGGGGTGGGAACGCCTCACGCTGGACCTCTCACGGCCGCCGACTGGGAAGTCACTGCCAGGCACACCGCGGTCAGAGCCACCGCCACAGCCATCACCCTCCACTTCCACCCCGCGACATCGAGCCAAGATGGACGGCTGTGGAGGTGGCTGGAGCTCGAACCATTGACATGTCCTCCCAAGTAAGACACTAAGCCATGTGAAGGATGCGCGGAATGGCTCCTATCCAACGAAAATGCATAGCCCAGGGACTTCTCAGACATCGCAGCACCAGACAACGCTGATCCATGCTTCGAAGACCATGAGTCGAGTCTGAGACCGCCACTCCATTCTTTTCTCAGCTAATTACTACTGCTGCATCGTTAATTACATATTTTCTGAAACATACGAAAAGCCATCTCATCCACTATTTGTGTTTGTGTTATCATGCTCTCCCCGTCTTGACTTGGTATCCTTTCATATCCCCGCAAGCAAGCAAGCAAACCTCTCGTCGTAGCAGATGGCAGCAACTTTTTTGTTCATCGGACGCTTCCCTCACGGTGGACCCCAGTCTACCACCCCGAGTTAGCACAGCTTGCCGCAACGACGACTGTGCCGCTGCAATACTAACGATGACCGATACGCAGGATGCCCGCTGAACACGTATTGTTATACCACTCCATCTGTAGGTTATCCATCATGAAGACCTGTGGGACTCCGAGGCCATCGATGTACGCCGCGAACTGAATCCCTGACAAAGCGCGAAAGCTATCGTTGAAGCTGACCTGTGTGAACCGACACCCGATGTATCCCCAGCACGCAGGAATCGACACGTTTTGCTCGGCTGCCAGCACTTCCTGCTTGAGTGTTGCATCATACCGGTAGCCCGAGATTTGCAGCGTGCAGGGGACGATGCCGTTGAGAGCGCACCCAAAGAAGCCGCTGTATGCGTTGAACCAGTATGCGTCTACTCCAGCACGTGGCCCCGCACCGATCTCCCCTGGAAGCATCGTCCCCGCAAACGGCGTGTTAGGAAGGAGTCTGCCCCCGATCGGAAAGAACATTGCAACGTTAGGCTGCGAGATCGCCGGATATGGCTCCCATGAATCTGGGATATACGCGAACCCATTCGCGTAGAATAGGTGGTGGTAAGGGTTGGTCATACCATTGACTGGCAGGATGCCGTGGTCATCTGGCACAACCGTCGTGTCGTCGAATGTGAGTGTAAAGTTGCCATATTCGCCGCAAAGTATCGGAGACGGCTCTGCTGCTGCTGCGGCGACGGCGGCGGCGGCGGCGGCGGTTGTCGTTGTGCTCTCTACTGCAACGCTAGTAAATGTACTCACAATTGTTGTAAACCCCGTTGCCGCCCTCTTCACTGGCGTGAAGAAACGAAATGAAGGCAAGCTTGAAAGAGGCGTTACCCGAGCCGTCCTAGTTGTGAGAGGGAGCGGTGAGGTTTCCGTGCCTGTTATCGTGGGGTACGTGCCTGTCCAGTACGACACTGTGGTGGTGATATCTGGTGTGGGAAAAACAAAGCTGATCGCCGTGTCGCCATATGAAATCACTCTCGTTTGAGCCCCAATCACACCGGTCGGGGTAACGCTGACACATCCGGTAAAGAACGCTGAGGCTGAACAGCTAGGCGTCGATATTGTTCCATTCCAGCCTGAAGGAGGAACCCGCGATAATGACAAGCTAGGAGGACTCGTGCTCGGTAAGATTGAGATGGTCGGCGTGTTGGGTGTGGTGAAAACAATGGAGCTGGGGTTAAGCGAACTTGTGCTGCTCGTTACACTCGGGTTGAAAGTGGTACTCGGGGTTGGCCTTGAGAGACTTCCACTTGATGCAAAACTCACAGCCAAACTGCTCCTAATGCTAGTGGTGAACGATCCTGAAGAGGTCCCAGTTGATATGGAGCTGGCAGAAGAGGACGCTGATGAGCTAACAAGGGTTGAGGTAATTGCACTCGTCGACGTTGACCTAGACCCGGATGAAGGAGAAGTCAAAGAGCTTCGTGAGTTAATTGGGATGGAGATAGTTACACTCGCGGATATAGACGCTAATCCAGAGGAAGATGATATTACAGGGCTTGCCGAGGTAATTACTAACCTAGATGATGTACCAGAGAACGTTACGTTCGCAAAACTCGTCAAAGTAATGACGGGCCGCGACAAGGAGGTGAACACGCTCGGGTTGCTAGCAGTGGTCAGGCCGGGCCTAGATGAGGAGGAAAGTAATCCGCTGGACGAGATCGATGGCATTCCAGACAAGGAAGTCGGCTTAGATGACCCACTCGAGAAGCTCGATGGCAATCCGGGAGCAATTGAAGGACGGATAACTGGGCTACTTGAGCTACTTCTTATTGACCCAGATGGGGTTGCCGACGGACTGGGAGAAGCTGATATTCCAGAACTCGAGCTCGCAGATACTGATAGTGTAAAGGTCCCAGATAAAGTAAATGGAACTGACATTGAAGATCCAACAGGAACCGAAGACTGCCCACTACTGCGCGAGGCTGTACTTGAGCCAGGCGACGCTTGATTACTTGAGGTAGCTATCGCTGGGCCTGTAGACGAACCGGGTGAAGTTCCGAACGGAGATGTTATCGTTACAGTGGTTACGGGAATGCTCGAGGATGGCGGCTGTGAAGCGCCAGGTAGTGATTCGCTGGAGCTGGGAGTTGGTGGGAACAATGAGGAATCCAGAGTGAACCCAGGGAGCGAACTCAAGGAAAGTGTCGTGATCGCTGGTAGACCGCTAGAGGCTGGAACCGATGTGCCAGGGACTGGCGAAGTGATCGACGACAAGGGCGAAAGGGTTGACACCCCATTAGACACTCCCGGCGGCACATTTGAAGAGAGCGACAGTGGAACGCTGAAAGTTGAGGGTATCTGGGAAACTGTACCAACAAACGAACCAACGGTGGTTGTGGTCGGTCCAATAGAGAGTGAAGACAAAAAGAGCGTAGACAACGATGACAGTGGGCTAGTCGGAGCACTTGGAACCAAGGCGGAAGACAGAAGCAAGGTGGTCCCACCTGACGGGCTCGATATCAAGCCTGAGTTTGGTGGTGGACTCTGTCCCGTACTGGCCGTTACAGTTGGTGTGACTATGGTGGTTGTTCCGTTAGGCATTGGCAGAGTAATCGATGGCAAATTGGTAGGGAATCCAGACGACGACGCGGGGGTACCAGAGCTCAACACAAGAGAGGGTAGTTGGGATGGACCCCCAGTCGAAACAATGAATGTCAAACTTGAACTTCCAGAAGGAGTTGAAACCGGGCCGCTTGGTCCAGCAGAAGTTGAAGGCACCAGGCTACTCCCATTCGCAGTGTTCAACGTCGTCATCGAAACCCCCAGGGAGCTCGGCATGGTGAGTGTCGAGAGAGGTGGTGCCAAAGATGTAATCGTCATCGTTCCAGGGTTCAAAGAGCTCCCTATCCCTGAACTCAAAGTAATGGGAGGTTTAGATCCAGGAGCAGTGGGCTGTACCGGCGAAGGCTGGACTGTAACCTCGAAAGTCTGTGTCACAAAGGAAGTAAGATGCGTTGGTGGTGCATGACTGTTTAGCCACTCCGTGGTCCCATGTACAACCGAATAGTAGTATGTTCCATGATTTGGATCGCTCGCCGTTTGGTCGATAAGGGACACCGTAATAATCGGTCCAGGAACTGTGACATAGACAATGCTGCAGTCGGCTTCACTACTTGAAGTGTCTTGAGCAGAAACTCCACTAAATATCATCAGTAACCCTTCCATGGCTACCCAGCAAGCGAAAAGGAATAATCCCAGCAACATCGGAAACAAGACCTTGTCGTCAGAAGTTAGACGGCGAAGCGCTCCAGGGACGGCCGCAACAAAGTTCTTGATCCAACGACAGGCTCGACAGGGCCACCAGTAGCATGGTCGGATTCTCCATCGCCATCGACGCCGACGAGGTGGCTGGGTCTTCAAGACTTCGACTTCCTGTTCGCTGACGGCACTGTCTTTTCTGAGTTTTTCCTCGTCTTGAGCCCAGTCGTGAACTGAGGTCCATTCGGAAGACTTGCGAGATGGCGCTGGCGTTGATGACACTGTAGATCCGTTGCTAGGATTCCTGGCGTTCTGATTTGCTCTCTTACTAGACGTTTGTCGGTTTCTGGCTTTGCCCTTTGGCCCCATTTTGAAAGTCGAATACGGTGTATATGTTGCACCTATCGTATATCAAGGCTTCAAGATATTCGTTGAAGAGTGTTGTACAGCAATTGTGGTGATGCTTGTCCAAGGATTGAATAAAGATCGAGGAACGCAACAAACACAGATAGTATTGTTTGTCGAAGCCAGGGAATTGCCTTCCTCATTGTGATGTTTCGGCAAGATCGTTGGGGAGTGAACTAAAGGAGGAGTGGTCTCGAAGTTCATCCAGGTTGGGATCCAGCGCCAGATCCAGGAAACTGTGGCCGGTGGATGGGTACGAAAGAGAAGTCGCAACTTACCTGAGGGCGCAAGCAATCCCATCAGCGAGACCTTTTCCTATCATGAAACAGCCAGCGAGCAGGGTTTTGGGGCCCATCGTGTTCGTATTCCTAACGACCGGAAGGTGCTACTTAGAGAAGAGAATATAGAATGAAGGACTAAAGCTGGTGGAAAAGAGTGTGATGGGTTTGGGCGACAAAGGAGTAAATGCGAGGACTTGTTTGTTTAGATCCCCCAGGTGAGACGGTGAAGGCCCGCCATCTTTGACAAACGGGAAAAGGACCTACTTTCATATCACCGATAATTGATCGTCGCAACTCTCACTCTAGCACTTGGCACGTCATACTCCATGTCATTATACACAGTTCCCCAACTCTCAAGCCCGAATCTCCCACAGCTTAACTCTCCCCGTCTCACTCCCCACCGCCAACAGGACCAAACATCCTTCTCTCTCCTCCGCCTCACTCGGCCTCCCCCACGCCACCGCACTAATCCTTCCTAGCGGCGTCTTGTCTGTAGGCCAATTCTTGAACACCGTTGCCGTTGGCAAATGCACCAGCCTCAGCGCATTATGCTTCCACCGGCTCGCCATCGCTAAGATCTGCCCATCCGAAGAAAAGGCAAGATGTGAGGTCGGTGTTGTGAGGTGATCCAGAGCGCGGACTGGTTTTGGGGTACTGGGTATGCCGTTATTTGTGTCTTCTTGAGTCAAAGTATCGTTAGTTGAGGGGTTGTTTCCGAGCCAAGCTCGCCGGTCGTAGATGTTGACCACACCGCTGGAACTACCGACAGCAACCCATCTATCGCCACCGAGCCATCCATCTCGTCCACTCTTCCCGCCGACTGCAATGACGGTCGTCCCTATGGCGCCCTCGTCGTTCCATCGACCTATGACACCATCTCGAACACTCCATTCCGTTATTTCTCCATTCTTGCCGGCGATACAGAGCCCACTTCCATCGCCCCACCACACGAAATCTGCAACTCCGCCTCGTGACTCGATTCGGGCCTGTGTTACCCATTGGAGCGTCGTGGCGTCGAGGATGTTAACCACGCCTCCGCCTTTCTTGGAGGAGCCTCGTAGGGCCATGTACTTCCCGTCAGGGGAGAGCGAGAAATTCTCCATAGTACGCTGTTCGTGCTGGTGTCCATAGACGCGCGTGACCTTCTCTATAGACCCAGTTGTGAGATTCCAGACATGGAAGTAACGGCGGCGAGCACTGAGGAAAATGCGAGAGTCGGAAGGGGAAGGATGGAAGGCGGTAGTTGCGAGAGGCGTATGTTTGATGTGGAGAGAAGTGAGGAGGGGGTTTGGATTAGGAGGATTTGGGTTGACGTGGTGGAGGTAGAGCGTGGAGCTGGGTCCGGAGGAGAGGAGGAGGGGATATTTTGGGTGGAAGGAGAGTGAGGTTATTGCAGACTGTTTGACTGATTAGCGCATATGTATGCTGTTGCAAGGAGTGGGTACGTACTGGGCCTGCCTTGGCCACATCCTTCAGTCTCTGAATATCAACCGTCCCTGCCTGTAGCTTCCTTCTCTTCACAGGCCCTCTGCCTGTCCTCGAGAGTATATCTGCATCTTTCAATAGCCTGGCTAGCGGTTGTGCAGACAAGTCATCCTCTTCATCCACATCCATCTCACTCGCCGACTCCTCCCCACTCTCACCGTCCTCGATTGTGCGTCTCCTCTTCTTCTTCGTCGATTTCTCCGTAGCTTGTATCGCCCACTCTGGCGTCGGGTATAGTCTCTGATACTGTTTCCTCAATCTGCGCACATATTCCTTCCCACTAACCACATCGTCTTCCTCCGTCTCTCTTAGCTTCCTAAGCCGCGGCACAGAAGCCAGGCTCACGGCCAATCGCTCATCATCGCTATCCTCCCACGCCGGCTTATCCCCATCATCCTCCTTGTCCCGCGCATTCCCAGCAACCAACGATCCCAGCGGAAGAACCCCAGGTCCCGAATCAAAGAAAAACAAATCTCGATCCGCGACGTCCCCCAAGTCTACCTCACCCTTCTCTTCTTCTTCAGACTCCTCTCCAATTCCACGCGCCAACCGATGGAGCGCGAAAGATTTTATCCCGTCCTTGAAGCCCGCAGGGTCGCCGAAGACCAGTCGCTCAAGCTCCTCTTCGGACTCATCCTTATCAGGAATATCTTCTTCCTTATCCAAAACAACTTCCCCACTCTCATCCTCACTTTCACTGTCCCCATCCTTGTCCTCGAAGCCTTCCCACTCAGGTTCCTCCTGCTGCACGTTCACAGTCTGCAATTCTGCATTACTGGGTTCCGCGTCGAGTCCGTCTTGATCGAAATTCCGTACTTTCAACGGCATGACGCTCTTCCGCTCATTCACCCTCTCAGCTGTTTTGTTCGGCGCCATTGTCGCGATTCGTCGGGAGCGAGGGGTTCATGGGTTGTCGCAAAAAACCGCCGACAAAAAAAGTTGCAGGGGTCTGAAACAAACTTTTGGCAACAACAAGCAAGGGCGAGCGACTGTGATCGACGATTTTCCCACCTCCTACCACAATAGGAAGGATAATGTGTGATTGATGGTGATTGAAAATTTCGGCGTGCTTGTGAATTGGCGATTTGTTGTTTTATTCGGTGTTCAGTGCGGTTTCGAGGGCGACATAACAGTTAACAGTTAGCACTTCCCCGCTCTAGTTAGTGCCAAGCATTGAAGATCTGCCAAAAAAAATTTTGAAAAAAGGTGAGTAGAACTAGAACAAGAGGTGGATGTCTTAGAGACACGTAGAAATGTGATAAGAATTTGTAAAAAGAAGCAAAATGGAAGGGCCGATCCGGGATCGAACCGGAGACTTCGGGATAGTTGCTGTGGTAAACTGCAATCCTACACTCTACCACTGAGTTACCGGCCCATTTTAGCATTTGAGAAAAATCTATGATATATATAGTATATTACTTTAGAACTAATTTTTTTTATAAGGCCGGCTTGGACTGGTTGAGAAGAGAGTAGTAGCCTGGCCATTCAGGAAGCGAGGGTGCAGAGTTTTAACATGACTCATTCCTTACGTGTCATGGTGCCGACAGGAATGAGTGTACGGATTAGTTCGTATCTAAAACCACAAATTTAAAATTAATCTAAAACGTGGCCCTCTTAGCCTAACTATCTCTCTTTACATCTCTACTGGATTCGAGATTAATTCACACTGTGCTTAGGAATATGTAGAAACTCAAAAACCAATACATATATCCCCGGGCCCAAGACTTACCTCGTCGTTCGGACCCTCTCTTACCTTCTAGAATTATTTGAATGATCTCGTTCTGCATCTAATTATTCGTTATTGCATCTCACTACGTTTTAGTATCATGACCAAAAATCCCGTTCCTCGCTCTTTCAACTGTCCGATCTTCCATTCCAGAAGTGCCCCAAGTACAAATTGTGCCACATACCATGCCCAACCCGAATCCCGACTCTACATATCTAAAGCGTATCGCCTCTTTGAAACCCTCCCGGCCGTCCATCCGTCGCTTCCATCAGGATGTGACAATCCCCCACCACTTTCGGAAACTCGGACGCCGATTTCGCAGGCTCAACTTCTGACCACAGAATTGAAAGCTGAAAACCAGGTGCATTCTCTACCAATATTTCTTTGCCGTCAAGCTAGAGGTTGTTAATAAGTACGGCGAGAAATGCGTGCTCGCTAAGAGAGAGGGTCAAGCTTACAGTCGAGATCCTCCATCGCAGGTTATTTTTCAAATACTTCCCCACAACACCTTCCTTCAAGCTCTGAAGCTGGGAAGTCCCCACTTTTGTTTCTAGAATGGGAGTAAGCGGCACAACGCCATTTGCCTCGATCTTTAGTTTCCTAGAATCCGGATTTGCGGCCGCAAAGATACCACTCATTCCAACGAACGACGATTCACTAATCCACTTTCTAGGATCAGAACCCGGTTTCTCACCCAAGAATACATACACGTTGAACGATCCGTCAAGGCCGAACTTGCGAACTTTGATATTCGCAGTGTACTGTCGTCCTAATGAAAAGCTGGCGGCTCCTGCAATGCCTCGAGACTTCAAAGTGGACCGTTCCACCAGCTCACCATCGGTTAGTAAAATTGTACGCTTCTGGGGAGTAGCGTTAGGACCGTAGAGGGTGTTGATCCTATTGATGAGGCCTGGTGTGTCGTTTCCGTTTAGTCCGACGAGTTCTGTATAGGTGTAACCGAATGCTATAGTTGAGCGAGTGGTCTCCGACGTCCAGAAATCCCCCATGTCATTTCGATGGAAGGGCTGCAATGCTAGGTTGTATTAGTAACAGTCTAAAGAAAGATTAAATCTACTCACGTGAATTCACGTCTTTGACAACCTGTGGCGGACTTGAGAATGTGGAGTAAGGTTGTGCCATCGGCGTGACATAGCTATCAGGATTAAGCGCTTGCCATATCGCTAGCATGCGGTCAATGTTACTGCACTAAAATTAGTATTGTCTCTTCCTGTACTCCTTTGCAAAACGCACGTATGGTGAAGCCAGAAGATTGGATCAAATGCCGAAAATGGTACTTCACCCATATGCCCGCCCGAACCTACGGTGTTGTGTATCGCATCGTGAACTGATTCCAAGCTATCGCCTGGAGAACCGTCATTGCTGATACTGCCGTAGTCATGATGCATTGAGAGGATATTGAAGACTCGAGATTGTAGATTAGGTCGAGCTGAATCCATCTGGTTGGCTACCAAATCGATCCGACTTGCCGCATTCACGTCATTTGAGCTAGGATTGCGGATTGTAGATGGCCAGGTGGCGAAATTACCTGAACCGCCCTATCGTTCGTTAGCATCGGACGACATTGATTCTAGAGTTCAGGCATACCATATCATTCTTATTCAAAGGATGGAACGTATACGAGAACAGTGGGTTCGGAATTGTAGCTGTGCCACTCGGAAGCGTAACCTCTACTGTAGGTCTCCGTAAGCTGAACGGTAAGGTGCCTTGGTCTGAAGGGGGAACTGCTGCCCAGTCCCAATAAGGCATTCTGAGAGTCGAAAGGGCATTCGTAAATCGGTCCTTGATTGGTCCACTAGGGAATTCTGAGACAACTTGACGAGCGTTTAGGTACAATATCTCCTACATACTTCTTAGTAACGAGGATTCAATTAGGCTGCCATGAGAATTACCTCAAATAATGCAAGATATGGCCTGTGCCAGGTGGGGAAAATGTTCGAGCCATGGATACAGTAGCCACCAAAACCGCCAGCCACCTGCTGGACGCCATCCCATGCGATGTATGGCCGCCCATGAATTCCTGTTAAACAAGATTAATAAACGATATCGGCAGAATAGTGAAGACTTGAGACGGTCAAATCAGGGGGCAGGCAACATGTCGAAATGGGAGACTTGTGCTAGCATAAGAGAATCACGCATACCCGCGATTTGATAGTACGATAACTTGTCGGATTGACTCATATTCTGGAATCGGCGTAGCCCAAGAAGGTACACATTCCACTGGTCAGCATTTTGCTCTAGTTCACGAATCTCTAAACGCGGATGTGTTGAACCATCTCCAAGTCCCCCAATTCCGAGAACCGAGAAAAAGCTATTTCCGCTTTGTCGCTCTTGTAAGTTCCCAAGCTCCTCGAGGCCACCATCTCTCTGAGAGGTGATCGGAGAACAAACTGAAATAGAGAGCTGTAAACCGAGAAGGAGAAAATGGAGAATACTGGGAGAAATTTCTAGAACCATGGTTCCTGTTAAGTGTGGAGTTGCGGAATTTTGAAGCCTTGTATATAGCGTAAAATGTGAGTTGCGAGATTGAACAAGTCTCAGGGTGGAAAGATAATGTCTAAGACTCATTGTATGACGACCAGCGAGTGTGAGAGCAATTGCACTGAAAACGAGAGAATGTGCAACCACAAAGCTAGCTTGGGCAAAACAGGAGCGAGAGTTCGCCATCTCGATTGAAAGATATCGTGAAATATATCAAGGCATGAATTAAAAAAACAGTACTCAACACCGAGAAAAACTTTACAGGGATTGTATGAACAGTGACGATCCTCGAGAAACCTTCATATTATGTCAGGAACAGTTCCGATGTACGGTCTTGTTAGGTTCAGCCCCCCCATCCTTCACTGGAAGAGCGCGACGTGCTAGCTTCTCGTATGCCGAATCTTGAAAAGCTCCTCTGTATGGATGCTATGTTTAGCTGTTCATCAGCTTTAGGGCCCGGTCAGCCGGTGGGATCGCCAACGCCCCAGCATCATGGCGTGCATGCTCCTTGAGGGTGGATTGATGCATGATTCCGAAGAAAGTCGAGTCGGTGAGAGCAAGGCGCAAGGCTAACAATCGAATTGTCTAGCGAGTGCGCGGGCGAGGAGACACAGGTGGGCTTCGTGTGTGATGTTGTGTGAGAATGATGCAGAGGAGAACAGTTGAAGTTTTTGTCACCAAGCTTTGGACTAACACATGACGCAATATGATTAGCTAGCATAATCTTAATTGAAATAGAAATACGCAAAAGAGATCGATCAGCGCCAATCTCTGAGCACTTAGTTAATTCAAAGGTAAAGTCTACCCAAAATTTACCAACTTGAAATAAGAACAATGGGTCACCTCGTACAAATCGGACCAGCCTCTGCTCGACCATACCAGTGAACTCCATATATTTCGTAGTTATTCTGTCACACAGCAGTTCACCGCTTAGACATCATGATCATCGTGGCTGGGAAACAGCGGGAGCCTTAACGCCATGCAGCCGGGGTTACAAGAACGATTCGATCCAGAGATGTGGAAATGTAACCCTGCCCAGGTGCGCATCATATGTTCAGAAAATGCCGACATAGCAACAAAGCGATGCGGTCCTCCGATACAAGGTCCTTCGAAGCACCGCCGTACATTCTTGAAAATGAAAGGTGGTCATGTCTACCCTCCTTGCCGATCCTATGTAGGTAGGGCTGGCGTGATTCTTAGAACGCGGGAACTCTAGACATTAAAACCGCCAGTGTGCGTTCATCGTGCATCCTTGGGGAACCTCGTTGCTCTTCGTGAGTCTCAATGTAACGCAAGGGCGGCCCAGAGTCGAAAGATTCGAGCACCACGAGAACTTATTGACCACAAACACAGCATATCCGAGATGGAATGTCGTGGATCAAGCTGGTAGAGATAAAGAGTACAAGAGGGTGATAATATGACTACTGAAGTTAACAACCCCACTATCCCAGCCAGCCTTTGATGCCTGGTTTTCATTGACGCACGGGTCGCTACAACCACAAGGCAGGAAGCTGAAAACCCAGACTCCAAACCGAAGTTTCCGGAAACAATATGCTCATTCTCTGAGCTTCCAGGCCAGCGATCTATATATCAAGTCCCATATATTCGACGGCAAGGGCCTACCCATCGCTCGAGACACCACGCTTGCAGATAATGGGAATGGGTCCAATACACACTTGTGTCACGAAGCAATCTTCGTCAAATTAATGCTCACGCGTTATCTCCATCCACAGTCTCACCGTGATGCGTCTCGGTCCCGTGGAAGGCATCACCGAAAGCTGAATCATCCACTAGGTCGAGTCCCATCTCATCATCGGCATTCGTGTAGGCTGCCAACGCATCCCCGGCAGTGTCTAGATTGTCGAAGCTTCCAAAGTCGGCAGCGTCGAATATGCCTGTCGTGGGTTCTGAGTCTCCACCGGATGTTGGCAACGTGTTCTGATCGGCCAATTCTGCTGAGCCTCCAACGCTGATGGTGGGTTGGTCATTACTGCCGGTCTGCTGCCCGCTTTCCATGGTCTGATTAACCATGACCCAGTCCCCTTCCCCGCCTTTCTCTTCTACGTTGGTCATGCCTGACATTTCCACGTCGAGGTCTACCAAGTCGTTGGTACCACTAATGGTATCAATGTTGGCTTGCTCTTCGAAAGAAGTACCCTGGATGGAGTCGGCCATAGTAACAATGGGAGTAGCTACAGCGGATTGGGCTTGGCTCTGAGGTTGAGAGATATGTGGTACGGATAGGCTGGCCCCGGGAGTTCCAGCCATAGAGTTCGAGCCGTATTGATCTAGAAGGCTTGCTGCACTGTTATCAGCATCCAATGCACCCTCGTCAATTAAGCCGTTCAACGCTCCGTCTCCGGTAACGGAATTAGCTTGAGTCGCTCCATTGCCGTTAACCTGTTGAGGTGGGGGACGTGGTGGTTGCTGCTCTTCAATGAAGCCCCCTTTATCCACACAGACCACGTGCTTCTTCGTGTCGAATGTAACTCCGAGTGATTTTTCTAGCTCGTGCACCACTCCGTCAGAAGGATCGATTGGAGACATGACATCTTTATCCTTTGCGCCGTCACGAGAGCGTGACAAGTCTGGGACAGCTGACAACCGACGTTCAGCTCTAATGTACGTTCGTGATCGCTTTAAGTCAGCCATCTTCTTCGCATGAACAGCTTTCATTTGCTCCAACGCAGCCTCCTCTTTCGCCATATAGTCCGCTACGCGCTTCTCGAAGTCTGCCAGCTTCTCAGGGGCAAGTTGTTGATAACTCTTAACCGCATAAGCGTCCGAGCCGACCGGTGCAGTTAACGCCGCAGGAGCGTCCAGGATTCCGCTGGTCAGCGGAGCCAATTCACCCATCAGACCCAATCCAAGGTCAACAGGGAAAATTTGCGCTGTGCCGTAAGGCGATGAAAAGATTTCCTCCATCCACACATGGTGCTGCCTATACCTCATGCTGCTTATTTGACGGGGAGTCAGAAAGTCAAATGAATCCTGTGCCGCATTTTCTTCATCTTCAAGGGGATCCGGTATCGTCGGTCGGATCTGCTGTGGGGTGCGGTCAAGTGGTGTCACGCGCGGTCGTTTAGAAGGTGGCGGGCCCGGCGGATTAACTCGCATTCCCATTTGCTGGTTCATTGGATTATAGAAAGCTGCCGGCTGTGCTGGTCTTTGCTGCTGTCCGAATTCCACCTTAGGCCAATTGGGCCGGTCCTTTAGCATGAATTCCTTGCGCAACAACTGTCCTGCCCTATCAAGCTGTCCGCGATGTGCCATCTTCATGTGAACTTCGGGTGTCATCTGTATAACACTAGAGGGCATCCTGTGACCGCTATCGGCGGTGCCGTAGTGGACTATCCAGAGGTTGGGATCTATCATTCCTGGTCCTTTAACAATCCGGAAACGTAATCGAGAGTGGGTAGTAGTAGGCTCATTCGGATACTGGAAACCGCTTTGGTGGATGAGGATTTGAAGGGTCTACTCAAGGTTAGCTAGGTCGAAAGAAGAAAACAGTTGCTTACATAGCCTCGCAGTTCCGTATTATAGCTCATCTCAGGATCTGCCCATACTATGCCATCGGATGCATACTGCGTCTGCATGCGAGGCGGTTGCCATGTCAAGAGAACAGTACCCCTTGGCGGCGGAACTTGGAAATAGGTCCAGGCAACGGGTGAAGTATCGTTGACGATCTGGGGGCCTCTGATGAGGTACTCGAGGGCTTGCGCATGGTGTAGTTGCGGAAAGTTCGGGAACTTGTAGGAGGAGACCAGATGCACGTGGGGAAGCTGTTCGGGTTAGCCGCGTCAATCATCGAGGTGAAGGGCGCGAAGAACTCACGAGGTTGTTGGGGACTAGTGCGCTAGGGTCCTGCGCCATTTGACCTTGGTTCATCATGGCGACGTAGTATGCGACAACGGCGCAGTTGCGGAGGGGGTTTGGTCGATGGTGGTTGAGATGCGCGGCGGGTTTGGAGTGTGAGGTGCCCCCGAATCTTCAAGTCGCGTTGCAGGCGCGGTTTGCCAAGAGGACAGAATACAGTCACGTGATTTCGCCTCAGCCGAAGATTTTAGCGATTCCAGGAACAGTGCTGCTGGGTAGTGGCTATCATCCAAGCAGAATTTTAATTGTATTATCGCAGAGCACTTGATCAGCAGTAAGATCAACGCTTGCATTTTTACATAATCGTTCCCCAATGAAACTGCCTTCTGCAGTCCGAATGCCTATGTATCTACCAGTGTCCGCGACTTCGCCTCCTTAGGGCATGATCTTAAGCCATCACTCTATTCCGATCTATACACTCCTGAGGTGGAGACTCTCGACTCTGCCCTTGGACTGTGGATGCCAGTCTGACCAGATTTAACGCCATCCCACGATTGAAGGGAAGAAGATATGCTACACATAGAAAATTGATAGGGAAGGGGAGGTTGATAGGAACAGAGTCTACACACCTTGGAATCTTGATTTTTCCAACCCAGTAATTGTCGCGGCTTTCTTCAGGAGCTTTAGCAACTCCTCTAACGGGCAGCTTCGTCATTCAGAACATCCCGCAACCGAAATGTGAAGATGGATCGATGAGTGATGATCTTAGCTCAGCCAAGCAGCTTGGGGCCGAGAGACTTGTGGCCCTTTTGTGTCTTTTGCACTCCGTTTCCCCCAAAGCTCCCGCCACCCCCTCCGCCACCCTTCTTGTTGTTCTTTCCATGCTTTCCATGCTTGTCGTCTCGTTTGTTGGTTGCAGTGACCTCGGCAGTTGCGCGTTTGATTCTGACGGGGTGGCTGCCAATGTATTTTCCTTCCATCTCCTTTGCGGCACGGAAAAAGTCGTCCGTCTCTGCGAAACTTACGAAGCCATAGCTCTTGCTTTTCGTCGTCCTCTTGTCTCGGATGACTCGGGCCTTTGATACTGAGGGATATTTCGAGAAAGCTTTGAGTAAGGACTCATCAGTGACTTCGCCAGCGAGGTTCCCGACAAATAGTCGGGGATGCAGAGGGTTCCATTCCAGGAGAGAAGAGTCTTCCCAGACCTTTCCTCCGCCTTGGCGGACGACAGTCTTCTGCTTTCCTCCCGCCGCAGACCCTGCTTCAGTATCGGGAGTTGTTTTGGCATCTCCAGGCGCGGTAGAAGCTGGGCGGGTACCGAGGGGCGTCACGTTCGCATTGCCCATGCCACTCTGTCCAGCTTTGTTATCCTTGGGAGCGTATGCACTGCTCCATTCTGCGATTCGGGCTTCCTCTTCTGGGTCATAGCCACCGCTTCTCCCAGTCCCAGTGGTTTGATTAGGGAGGGGGTAGGGGTTGATTATTTGCGGAGGTGTGGCCGTGGCGTAAGTCGGTTGCTGCTGGTAGTATGAGGTAGCTGCTGGGTATGGACTTGGTTGGTACCCACCACCGTTGAAAGATGCCTGTGAATTCATGACCGGCGCACCAGACACAACGGCGCGAGACGCGTAACCACCATAGCTCGCATTGTTGGCTGGATAGCCTCTCGCGCCAGGAAGGTTATGGGGGTAGGGTGGCGGCGACTGAGCGGAGGGGGGTGGACGTGCGGGGAGAGACGGGTGTGGCTGGAGCTTGTTGGCAGCCATCTTGTCTCCAATGCTGTCTCTGCTGCCGAGGCCCGGGGGAGGGGGTGGGAGTGCCATGTCAGCTATTCGGTGGTGTAGCTTCCTTGGATGGAGATTTTGAAGGTTGGGCAAGGCGACGAGTATTCGGCCGTGGGGAGTGGATGCTATCTGGAGGAGCCGTTCGAGGGCGTCAAATATTACCGCGCCTGTGGTTCGTGTAGTGCGGTTACAGGTTGCTGAGGTTGTCGCTACCTGACTGACCTTCCAATCCGCCAAGTCTTTCCCAGTTGCGCGGAAGTGGCAAGTTGGATTTGCGGGTAAAAGCCAGGCCCTGTTGGGCGTTGAGAATGCGACTGCCTTGGGCTGCAGGGACGCTCTCTCGGGCCGCGCAGATGGGAATAGATGTGGTAATCTGCTGCGCGGGTGCGTGAATTGTTGACAATTTGTTGGACGTGGGACAGCGACGGAGTTTTTGGCCGCGAGAGGAAAAGCGGCTGTCTTCGGCAGGGTGAATGAACCCACTGCGCAGATTCCACGTGATCAGCCACACCCTCAAGCCTCACAACCAGCCTCCTCTCGGACCAGGTACAGCGATGGAGGGGTGGAAGCTATGAAGGCGTCGCGCATGCTACTATTTTCCGCGGCGACGCTCGGAGGTGCACAGCGCGTTTGCAAAAGGAACTGACAACAGCGGAGTGAAGTCGCAGCGCTACCGCCGCGGCCGAAGCATTCTCCGTGGATTATGAAGAACTGTAGGGATCATTTGGGGCGTGCTTCATCTCAGCCGCCGCGCTCTCATTGATGCAGACGTGCCCCGCCCACGCAGCCGCTACCACTACCACCAGACTCCAAACTCTTCCGGTCGGAAAGGCTGGGGACTACTTATTATCCACAGACACCCCCACTATCTGCTGTCAACAATCTTCATCTCTCATCCATCTCCCTCTGTAAATTGCTCTTGTTGCGCCGTCGTGCTCTCATCGTCTGCGCATTACCCCGCCATCCCACCTCTGACTTTACACAGCCTCCATTGCTCGACAGTTAGTTGTTCGTCACCATGACTGAAGCAGTTGGCGACTTCGGCCTCATCGGCCTTGCTGTAGGTTCTGCTGCCCGCCCTGAGAAGATCAGGAAAAGACGTCGAACTCACCATCAATCTCCAGGTCATGGGTCAGAACCTGATCCTGAATGCGTAAGCAATTACTCAAGTCTGCGTTGTTTTCATAAGCATAACTGACAGGAGCCAGTGCCGATCATGGATTCACCGTATGCGCCCATTCTAAACCGAACACTGGATTCGAATACTGACAGACGTTTAGGTTGTTGCATTCAACCGAACGTGAGACCTACCACGTCTGCAATTTCTAATCAGTGTACTGACCGCTGTGGCAGTGTTTCCAAAGTTGACCGATTCCTTAATGATGGTACATGCCACAGGAGGCTACGTGAAAACTTTGTAATGAGGCTAACCAAGAGGCAGAGGCGAAGGGCAAGTCAATTGTTGGCGCACACTCCATCAAGGAGTTCGTCCAGAAGCTCAAGAAGCCGCGACGAATGATGATGCTCGTCATGGCTGGCAAGCCCGTCGACGATTTCATCGAGCTCCTGCTTACCGAGGGTGGTGTCGAGGAGGGTGATATCATCATCGATGGTGGCAACTCCCACTACCCTGATACAAACCGCCGAACGAAATACTTGGCTACGAAAGGCATCCGCTTCGTCGGATCCGGTGTGTCTGGAGGAGAGGAGGGTGCCCGTTATGGTCCAAGTATCATGCCAGGTGGAAATGAAGAGGCATGGCCATATATCAAAGTAGGCACGTCCTTAGTCAATTTATCGAACGTAAGCTCTGACAAACATATAGGACGTTCTCCAATCTATCTCCGCGAAATCTGACGGCGAGCCCTGTTGTCAATGGGTCGGTGACGAGGGTGCTGGCCACTACGTCAAGATGGTCCACAACGGTATTGAATATGGTGACATGCAGCTGATTTGCGAGGTCGGTGCTTCCCAGACAGTAAAACTAGAGGCGCTGTGGCTGACACATTGCTAGGCCTACGACATTATGAAACGTGGTCTCGGAATGAAGGATAAGGAAATTGGCGATGTTTTCACCAAGTGGAACAACGGCGTTCTCGACTCCTTCCTCATCGAAATCACCCGCGACATCATGTACAAGGACGATGAGAAAGACGGCCAGCCCATTGTCGAGAAGATCCTTGACTCGGCTGGCCAGAAGGGTACCGGAAAGTGGACCGCCATCAACGCGCTCGACCTTGGCATGCCTGTCACTTTGATTGGAGAGGCTGTGTTCGCTCGATGCTTGAGTTCGCTCAAGGCTGAGCGTGGCCGCGCCGCCAAAGTCCTCGACGGACCTACCCCAAGCTTTTCTGGCGACAAGGAAGCTTTCATCGAAAACCTCGAGCAGGCCCTCTACGCGTCAAAGATCATCTCTTATGCGCAAGGTTTCATGCTGATCCAGAATGTGAGGCTCACTACAATTATGAAGTGGACCAGTAGCTAATGAATGAATAGGCCGCCAAGGAGTACAAGTGGAAGCTGAACAAGCCAGAAATTGCCCTGATGTGGCGTGGTGGTTGCATTATTCGATCTGTCTTCCTGAAGGATATCACCAAAGCGTAAGTGTCTGGACCACAAAGATTGTAAGGGATCTCACTAACCTTACCATAGCTACCGAGCAAATCCAGACCTTGAGAACTTGCTGTTCGATGACTTCTTCAACAAGGCTATCCACAAGGCTCAATCTGGGTGGAGAGAGTGAGTCTCTTTTCGTTGTCAGCCTTCCGGGATAGGACAGTGAACTGATTTCTGCTAGTGTTGTCTCCAAGGGAGCTCTGTGGGGTATCCCCACTCCTGCATTCAGCACCGCCCTTAGTTTCTACGACGGCTACCGCTCCAAGGACTTGCCCGCGAACCTTCTGCAGGCACAACGTGACTATTTCGGCGCGCACACCTTCAGGGTCAAGCCTGAATGCGCCAGCACGGACTACCCCGAGGGCAAGGACATCCACGTCAACTGGACCGGAAGGGGAGGAAATGTGTCTGCCTCGACATACACTGCATAGGGAACAGGAGATGTTAGTAGGCTGGTTAGACGACAGCAGAGAGTTGCATCAGATGTGCCTGTGAAAAAATAATGCATATATAAGATGAATCAGAGTGCATCAACAGAGAGGCAGTATCAATTGCATGTCTTCAATAGAGAGGGACGTGACATTACATGCCAGCGTGACGATCGCGGAGGGCATGATGTTGCAGATTGGCAGGGCGCGCTAGTCCTAACGTAAGAGGCACTAAACCGGTTGCAGATTCGTGTGAGGAGGGCAGTGATGAAATGTTTAAAAGAAAACGAGTCCACGAGCTGTTGCAGCCCGTTGTCGTCCGCGTATTTGCCCTTGAGACTTAGTAGTTACCGTTGACGCAGGGTTAAGATTTATCGCAGCGTTCCAACAAGCAAAACGTGATCGGCGCGGCAGCAGGCGCCCCGGAAACTTTTGTTGGACCCAAGGCTTGTTTGACCGAAACGACTGGCCGTCTCTCTTGCGCAAGCACCGCAGGTACTCCACCACCTGCATTCGCCCGGCGTCTCTCCCCCTACAGTCGCGTGCGCTCTTGTTCTTGCCCTCTCTTCTTCTTGTCGCTCTTTTGCATTGGGCTTTCTTCTGCTTGCATGACTCTCCGGCGTTGGGCTTCTGGGAGTCTTTGGCGAGCTTCGGGATCAGAGGAGTAGCAAAGTTATCGTGTGAGACGGCACCACGCACCCGCGAGCGTCGGATTCTAGCCAAACAGAGCAAACATGGCGGAGAGCAAGAGACAGAGCATTGTGGGCAAGATTGCGACGCCCAAGGTCGGCGGTGGGCCGACGAAGGATGTCATTGATGGAGACTCGGTCTTGTATAAGGCGGTTGGGGCGCGGTAAGTCTCTGTCTCTCTTCCTACAGGACAGATTCTCTGGGTCGCATTATCTGAGCCTGGAGTGAGACTGACGGCGGGGGCCTGCAGCATTAAGATTACATGCGCTCCCCACAATAACATCCTCGAGGGCACGCTGTTCACCACGTGCAACATCACCAACGCGATTGCCATCAACACCGCGCCTGCCCCGCCGAACCCTTCCGCTCCGCTCGCGAGCCAGCCCGGCGACTACCACATCATCCCGTTCGCACACATCCTTAGTTTCGACCTGGTCGGCCCCGGTGAGCGTGTTCCTGAGTCAGGACCCGGGTTTGATGGCGCGCTCCCGAGCATCTCCAAGGTAGATCTGGAGGCACTGAAGGCACGAGAAGAGCGCACAATCCGGGAGATGAAGCAGAAGGATGCAATGCGGGGCAAGAACGTGACGAGAGAGGCACAGGACATTTTCGACTTTATTGCCCGGACGTAAGTCTGCCCTCTGCAGCCCCCTTGCCCTTACCGCAGAGGAGCTCCCAACTGACAATCCTCGCCCAGTCTCCCCACCCGCTGGGCGGAACCCAGCATCGTCGTCAATGACTCTGTGATGATCGACCCGCCGTACACCGTCGAGAACCTCCGAGCAAACAAGGACAAAGCCCAGAGCCTCGCCCATGTCCGCAAGATCCTCGAGAGCTACTACCAGCGCAAGAAGAGCTCCGCTCCCAACCGCGCCCCAGTAGCCACGCCGATTGCGCCGAGAAAAGGGGGTTGAATCAATCCTCCAGAGAGTGGACAAGGAAGGATATCTTGGACATGGGGAGGCGCGGCAAGGCGAAGAAAGGGATTCTATGAACTTTTCTCTCGAAGATGGACAATCTCCTTGGTTGGCACATATGTAGCTCGCGTGGTGTGCTTTGTTGCCAATGCTTTCGGGCAAAATATGTAAGCCAGTTGATAGTCAAAAGGAGACAAGCAGAGCTAGGCGGCTGTTAATATGGAATGGGGGAGTCTGAAAGGTCTCTCTCTTCTCGGTGGCATTTGTGCACTACACTAAAATGAACTGTACCTAGTTACCTAAAGAAACCAACCCTTTTGTCCGAAGGTTAGGATTAATCGAAACTGCTAGATACCCGTTGTGACTGCACTGACAGAGGTTATTTTCGGGCTCTTGCAAACACTGTGTCTGTGCAGCGCTTCAATCCTCCTAAACAGAAAGCCCAGAAGTTTTAGCGGCCAGACAACACCTCAGCTATCCTTCAAAGGCGGATATCTATACTCAGGCCATTTTTCAACATCAAGCCCGCCCACAGTCACCCTTCCTTGCTTGCATAGTCCATCATTCAACTACACGACCCACTTCAAAGTCATGGGTAGGTCAATATCTACTCAAATATCGCTTCGGAAAAATTCATGAATCTCATATTCCAAATTTCCCAAGCAGGAACTTTTTTATCTATTACACCAAATACCGAGCAAACGGCCCTTTTGAACTAAGAAAGGAGATGGCAGAGACACCATACCATCTGTGGTATGAAGAAAATATAGGGGTATCGTCAAGTCTGGGCAGAGACCCAACACCGAGCGCCTACCGAAGAAACATAAACAGGAAATGAAATCTAGATGCGCCCCAGTTTACCAGAAGCCGAAGTGAAGTGAAGTGACTCCAACCGCTCAGTCCTGATACACAGTGGCTGTTGTAGAAACAACCTATGGTTCCACCTGGTCAAGCTTTTTCAATCGTCTTGATGGAGCTCCACAACCTCTTTCCTCCCCCCCCCCCCCCCCCTTACACCCACCCAGATTTCCCACCTCTTCAGAACACAAACCGCCTCTTCCCCATCAGCCCCCACAACTCTCTCACAACGCTCTCCTGCTCTTCCCTCATCGCTCCCCTCACAGCCAAATAACACCTGCCCTCCAACTCCGGTCTCCAATCACCAGGATTCGCACTCGCCACCATTCCGCCAGCCTCTTCCAGAATGCACCAGCCCGCGCAAACATCCCAAATCCAGCATCCGCCCTCCCAGAATAGGTCCATCTGGCCCGCAGCCACGTAACAAAAGTCGAGGGCAGCGGAGCCGGAGGACCGGATCGAGTGCACCATAGCGCCGCCGGTTGAGCGGGACGACAAAAGCGTCTGTGACATCGAGGTTCGGAGATCCCAGTTCGGACCTTGGCGCTCGGAGCCCCATTCTAGAGCTACGAGGCAGCCGTTTAGTGAGGGAAGAGCAGCAGGTGTGGACCGAATGGGGAGGTTGTGAGTTCGGCCGGAGGCTGTGGTGAGGTAGGCGCCTTGGCCTTTGACAGCAGTATACAGATCCCCGCGGAAGGGATTGTAGATGACGCCTACAACCGGCTTTTTTGCCACCGTGAGAGCGAGAGAGACGGCTGTGTTGGGGAATCCGTGGATGAAGTTCAGAGTGCCGTCAATGGGGTCACAGACGAATGTTGGCTTGTCGGACAGCTTTTGACCGACTTTGAATGTCTCCTCGCCTAGGAAGTCAATGTTGGGGTACGCGGATTGGAGGCGCGAGTGCACCATTTTCTCAATGGCTTTGTCAGTCTCGGTGACGCGGTCGCTGGTGTTTTTCTTCGTGTCCGAGGTGCACACGGAGGGGTCAGCGTTGATCATCATTTGCCCGGCGTTGCGAGCAATATCGACAAGGGAGTCTCGGATTTCGCGGAGCGTTTTCTCGCTCATCAAGTATTTCGCAAGGATAACTTTGAGGTCGTTAGGGGTCGGGTTGGGTGTCATTGTGTCAGGAGTGGGTGCAGTAGAGACGTCAGATCCGTCAGGGCTGTCAAAGTCCCTGAAGGATAGATACTGCTTCTGTCCAGACCGCATATCTGTTCGCATTCTGAATAAGAGATGAAGTGGGAGGTGAGTATAGGTGGGCTGAGAGTGTCCAGTCCAACCTGGTAGGTTGATGGGAGACGAGAAGACTTTTGGGAAGAAGGTTTTGAGTAATGTGAGGTCCTGGTTGTAGTGGACGACGTCTAATAAGCCGAGTAAGTTGAAAGAATCGGAATTCCGGAATTGGTGAGGGAGATAGCCGGCTTATATATATGGCTGACAGAAACGCATAAAACACAAGAAACCCCTTGGCTAGAAAAGTCTGACAAGGCTAGGGTACCCTTATCTTTAAGGAAGAACTCGGTGAATGATAGGGTCACACGGGAGAGAGAACGGTGAATATGTGACGGTTACGCAGACGTGTTTTATGATGCGATGGAAGAGGAGCGTCCTCCTCTTTCTTACCGGCAAGGTTGGTGGCTGATGATGAAATTGGAGCTTATGCAGGTCGCAAAGAAGCCTTAGCTCGAAGACACTGATAAGCTAGGCAAAACCCTGTTGCTCGTGCATTGGAGGCTACTGAAAATATCGACTCCGTTCTGTCGGACCTCAAGGAGCTCTGCCGTGATTAGTGGTGAGATGCACATTGGTCCAAACGGATATATCTCTTTCCCTTAAGACGACGACTGCAAAAGCTTATCGCCCAATTGAGCTTTCATAAACCTTATCAAGGCCGAAGTCTTAAGCAATGACAGCAGCAGGCGGGATTTTACACATGTTGAGGTGTTCATTGCAGAGAGGATCTCGGACCGCTCCAATTGAACGGTTAGCGCCATGCACGACTAGGTCGATGGTTCCCTTTCCTCCTCTCTCCGTACGTTGTTCCAGATTCACATGAAAGCTTCATCCTCGTTGTTTTCCTTGAACACGAACGTTGCTGTAGACGTTTGAAGCATAGCGGTATGCGTTGACCCGGCTATTTCCGATCGGAAAACCCAAGCCTCGGGCGAGAGCTGACTCTCTCGGCGCGAGGGCTTGCTCGGAGATTTCGGATGCATGAATCAAAATGGGTGCAGAATCATCTACAGGATTTCTTGGGCTAGAACAAACGGTTCGGTCTTCTGGAGAAAGCTGTCAAACTACTTGTCGTTGGCCCGAAAGGCTAGGCTCTGAAAGATCGTCCGACTCTTGAAGCTAAATTAAAGCTCACTGGCTTTGTAATGATTCCTGACAAGCGATTACAACCACAATCTCATAAGACGACGTCTAAATGGCGGTTGGCTAAGGTTGGCTAAGGTTGGTGGTGAAGAAAGATCGACGGCGCGGACAAGCGATTCCGAGCGAGAACGTGGTTGTGGGTCGGGTATACTTTCCTTGTCTCGCCACCTCCCCCTTCGGACCGCGAATGAACAAACTGTCTGTAAACACTACCCATCATAAGTTCTTCGGAAATAGGGGTGCCTGACTCGAAATCCAATTTCGAAGGCTTGGACCGGCCGCAGGACCGTATCGGGAATGTCTCCACATTACAATCAGTCTTCCGATTGAAACCGTGATCAATGTAGGTCCTTGCTCAGCTTGATAGCAATCATACCCTATCGTTCTGAATACCAAGATCCTAGTAGGGGCAACGATATAAAATCTCAGCATAAGTCTCGCCACCAGCGAGCAAATGGTGCCCGAGCACTCCGGCGTTCTATTCAAGAAATTACCCCCGAGAACTCGCATCAACAAACCCAGAGTCCACTTTTCTCAACTCTCCCAAGCGAAATCCGAAATCTGATATTTGAATATGCCCTCTGCGAATGCCAAGACGAAACAGACCCGGTAGACTCTCAATCCCGCCACTTCCGCCCCGGCCATGAATACAAGACGAGAATCGAAACTGCACTCCTTCAAACATGTCGACTGATATACTACGAAGCGCAGGCTATACCACTACGGAGCGCTACCCACCATCTATTTGCGTTTACCGGGACTGGTTCAAAAATTGATTGGGATCACTACATATTTCATCTAACCAAGCAGCAAGGCCAGAACCTTTATCATCTCCATGATATTATGGGCATGATTGGGTTCGCGCGTCTAAGCAAATATCTCAAGCACACGCATCTTCAATGGAGGAAGATTACTTGGACCATCCGCACGAGCCTTTGGGGCCCATTATTAGCACCCCCTTCTGCGTACCTTGAGCTTGATGGCAGTCTTCGAGCTCTCAGATTCCCGGTCTCCTGCCAAGAAGTAAACATTGAGCTAGAAACTTTAGAAAACGGCGCCACCGAGCTACGCACGGCAGTCGAGGATTTTGCTGCGATGTGTCGGAAAATCAAAATGCGGAGGAGAGATGATACATATATCCCATTTGACTCGGCAGGTTCTTTTGAGTACACATGGACTGGATTCTCTCCATCACCTACTCAGCATGGAACGTATGATGAGCTTGCACATACAGGCCCGCCGTTGACGGTTACGTATCATGTTATTCGGCTACGTTGGCATTCTGGTGTACCGACTCGAGAGTATGCGAATTACGACAACTTAAATTGTCTCTCCAGTCGGTTAGCCAAGGTGGTTACGCGGCAAAGCACAGAAAGCGCAGCTCAATCTCGATAATATCAAGTTCGATTCAACTTTCTGACTGGAACATGCTAACTTTAGAGAAAAATTTAAGCCTACCCTTTTTGTACCGTACGCAATAACATTCAACTAATGAAGCTCTTCGCGAAACACAAACTCAAGCGCTGTTAACCATGTAGCTCCCACTGCTGAATACCCAATACTAATTCCCCAGAGATTGAGAGGTCCGTAAGTGCTAAGGGTGGGGACTTTATGTGAAGCTTTTGGTAGCACCAGAGGCATGAGGAACTGAGTTGATTGCTAAAGGAGTGTACCTAAGGGTCTATATATACAGAAGGGTGGACTAGGCAGCATGCTGCTTGGCAGGCAGCAAGTAACTATAGTAGACAGCAGTGGTTTCATGGCGGTGGGGGCTCTCTGAGCTCTATAACTGCAAACACTTGATCCTTAGCTTCTAACCCTTCTAGAGGGCCTCAGTCTCCACCTGAATCCACACCACTGATTCATTATGTCGAGAAAAAAATTGTCGATTATCTTTGATCTACAAGCCTAGAGGCTTGATTATAAGCGGCTTGTGGATCGAAGACGCCTCTAGGCCTGCGATTCCTCCTACAGCTTATCCAACACCCCCCTAACCAAATTGGGGCCGTTTTAGAACATACACACTGGGATAAGCCTACCGTTATACCAACAAGTGCAACAGCCCTAGTACTAAGGCCTAGGCCCAAGACTATCTTGTCTGATGTGCTCAATCCTGGGGTTTGTTTGGCGATCACTATGATCCCACAGTTGAAGTGGTTAAGGATAGTTACGTACAGATCCGTGTACAAGCAACCATATTTACCAACTGGCTTATTCAGTTTGTTTTGCGATAATAAATTCCGAATTTAGGGTATTGAAACGCAATTGCGTTTATTTATGCCTCGTTCTCCTACGAAAAATCATCTGACTGGTGGCCGCAAAGTCGGTTGTCTTACTCGCGCAAACCCCAGCCTCCAATAGCCCTTTGAATAAGATTCAGGATACAATTACCTCGTGATGCTGTGACCTTTCTGATCAACTAGCACTGCCTCCCTCTGATATTTCGAAGTTCCCAGTTCTGTAGTAGGCGTGGGAGGTTGTAACAAGTAGGATGACAGACTGTTTATGCTGCCCTATTTCTGCCATACTGCACCACGGAGGTAGACGGGGCTCTGAGTGTGACCAAAGCTGCTCTATATTCAAGCAATACTTGTCCTAATAAATACGCCGTTGAGAAATACAAAATAAACACAAAGGAGCGCATGACTCCACGAATATAAGAACCCTCTGTGTTGAGATCATACTTTCCGGGTTATTAATGGAGAGGAGAAAACTGATGACTAAGATTCCAAAATGCCCCATAGAGTAGCCGGGTTTGCCATCTCGTCGTCCCCAGCAAAAGGCATCAATCCCCATAAAGAGTCCGAGTCTATGTCTTGAACGTCTTGTTCAATGTCCTCCTCATCACTATTGTCATCGTCCCCATCACTATTACCAGTTGGACGGCTCTCAATAATCGTTAATTCTCTCTTGTCAGGAGCAGAAAACTCGATGCCGGCCAAGGCAAAATCCCGGTGAAGGCTCTCCCAACCTGGTTCAGAATCTTTATGAAGTATTGCTTTTCCAACGACGACCTTCTTAAGCTGGGGAACTTTCTCGTTTGCGTGTTGTGCTATAACTTCAAGGGCGTGCGTGAAGTCTGCGTCGAATCGACAATCATGGAGTTGAACAGTGAGTTGCAATTCTTCTAGACCGGAGGGTAAAAGATCCAGCACTGCTGGTGTTATGTCCAGATCCTTTAAAAAGGCCTTGGTAGGAACGAGAGCGGTCAACGGTATGTGGAGGATTTTCAAATTAGTGAAGTCCACCAGAGATTCGAGCACACGACACGGACCGGGATCACTCCAGTTGTGTGAAAGCCAAAGCTCTTCTAGCGATTGACGGTGGTGACGTAAAGAGGATGTTAACAATGCGTAATCTATCTTAGCAGCTTCCCACCAGTGACCTTGGCCGTATTCGAAGTATTTCAAGGCCCGTGGTACTCGGATGAGGGCTGCTAGGACCTTTGACTCAACAAGGGAATTTCCAACACGAAAATGTTCGACAGTCGAGGATCCGAACGGCAGAGATGTGTAATAAGAGCTGGTTGGCATATCCCACTTGCGGGCCGTTCCGTTCTCCGTCAACTCCATAAGCTCTAATTTCTTTATCGATGGGAGGAAGAGGAAGGTGGACGCGCCCTCCAGTCGCATGCAAGCGATATGGACATACACTGACTTAAGGTGTTGAAAGCTATGTGGAAAGCCAAGCTTCATAGACGCAGTCCAGGGTCGCTTTTGTTTCTCTGGCTGGTATTTGCCCCAAACCACCAGATCCTCGATGTTAGGGGTAAACATTAAAATTGCCTCAATGACTGGGTCGTCTCGGTACAATACATTATCGAAATCCACGCGCCCATTGTCCTCGAACGGTAAAGTCTCAAAGTTCGCGGCAAAATCCATGGCAGACGGCGTGCCCATCTGTAAGAATTTCTGAGAGATGATCCGACGGTCGGCTGTGTCATGAAGACGGTGCAGCCAGCCGTCGCATTGCCACTCCATCTTCTTCACATACTCCCCTAGGGTTGGGTTTTCAACCAATGTTCTCAGAAAGTATTCAGGGTCTCCTCGGAACGGACAATCGTACTCCTTGTAGAGGAAAGGAGTAGCGAAGCGGTAGAATCGACGGCATGTAAGGGTAAGATCGAGGTAACAGTAAACCCCATTTCGGCAGCATAAGTGATCCTCACATAGAGAGAGAAGTTCCAGGATTTCCAGAATGAGTTCGTCGGGGAGTCGATCTAAGTACGGTCCCAGAGACATGTTGGGTGACAAAAGTGTTGAGGTGAGGGTACCCAGGGGAGCAATGAGGCAACCTTGAATGGAATTAAAAGGACGTGAATGCAGCGGAACAAGTATGAAGGGACCTGAAAACTGCGCAAACAGCTGAAGAAGCTTGGAAGCTGGAGCTGAGCTGTTGTTAGAAGAATGGCTACAGTACTAACCTATATTGGACTAGCGTTCGCTATAATCAGGGTTCAAAAGAAAGTAAAATAAAGACAACTCCTTGTCACTCAAAGTCGAAGGTGGGAGTTTAAGACTAAAACTAATGAATAGGACCATTTTAAGAGCGAATAGGTGATATTAGTGGGTGCTCATTGGTATTTGTTCGGAGGGGTCTATTCTGCCTTTTCACTGAGTTGCTTTGTCTCAAATTAGGAGGGCGACCTGAATGGATACATCTGGAGACTTGCCGCTTGCCAACCAGGGGTTTTTCAAGTTATATCAGCTGCGTATGCCTTGGGAGATCTGCCTTGACTATTCAGGGCACTCGCGGAAGCAGTGGAGGCAGGCTCTTCATGGTTGCTAGAGCACCCTACCATATAACCTGGAACATGACTAGGATAGAGAAAGTATACCAAACTTCTTGCCGTAATCAAGGAAGACATCAATAGGGTTCTAGTTTTCGTCCCGGCCACCTTCCTGTCATATGCCACCTTTGGTTATGACTTATAGTGCAGGTCTAGCCGAATAGCCTATCAGAGAATGCTCGTCTACACATACTCTCGTTGCGAGAACGACCGGTAAAAGGACGCCAGCAAACCTGGCTATCAAGCTCTTAACTGCATGGTGAACATGAACAAAAGCCAAATTGTGAGGTTAAGGTGTTCAGAGATGAGAGGTGAGACTTGGAGCTACCCCACCTCACGTCACTCCTTCCAAATCTAAGCTACCCCGCGATTCTCTTTTCTTACCTAGGTTGACAAACAGCCTCTAGATTTGTAAGGCGTGGAACTCCACAGATGAGAATGCATTCGAAAGATGCTTCATCTCTATACTCTATCTCCAACTCCAGCCTCACCACTTCCTCTTCTTCTTCAAGAAAAAGCTCCCAACATTGGAGAAAATAACCATACACTATACACCTCGTATTCAGATCGATAATCTATAAACACAGCAAAATATGACCACCTTCCCACCCCCATCCCTCTACTCCCTCCTCCTCGAGATCGCTCCCCTCCTCCAATCCCGCAAAGAAACCATCTCCGTCGCCGAAACCGCCGCTGGGGGTCTAATCTCCGCAACACTCCTTTCTTACCCCGGCGCCTCGGGCTTCTATAAAGGCGGCCTCACACTCTATACGCTGGAATCGCGTATCGCATTCGCTGGTTGGACCGACGCTACGATCAAAGACTACAAAGGCCCAACACCGGAGATCGTCGCAGGGCTGGCTGAGCACACGCGGAAGCAGCTGGGGAGTACGTATACGATTAGTGAGAGTGGTACGGCAGGGCCCACGGGAGGGACGACGAAGAATAGGACGCCGGGGTATGTGGCGTTGGCGGTTGCAAGTGAGAAGGGGACTGTGACGAGGGAAGTGGAGACGGGGTTAGGGACAGATAGGGAGGCGAACATGGTGCAGTTTGCGGTTGAGGGGTTGAAGTTGGTTAGGGATGTTATCAAGGAAGAGGGAAAGCTGTGAGTATATAGGAGTGGAAGGGAGATGGAACTGCAGGTTATCAACCCCTGCTTCCTGTTGACACCCTCCCTGATTTCAGCAGGAGATATAAACATATTGAACCCACTCTGGTTGTATTCCATGTTAAGTAATAGCATGTGGTGAGAAGAGCGGCTGGGTGAGATATTAGTATTGGTAGCTAACGATACATGATTGTTGATAGAAATGGTATCTCTGTCGTCGCTCGAGAATCCAAAATGATCCATAATAATATACATATCCAAACCAAAACGCCAACGAAAAAAGAGCCTTTTTGAGGAGGTGTAGACGCCGTGCCGATGCATGCTCCGCTATGCTATGCTCCGTGAAATGCGTAGTGACAAACACCTTGGCTGTGAACAAGTTGACTTCGTAGAGGGAGAATATGGACAGTGAAACAAGAAGTAGGACGAGATTGGCCAACCAGGGTGATGTTCCAAGACACCAGGCGCCACACTTCTGACTGTTCTCGTGACTCTAGCAAGAGGTGGGAGGAGAGATCTCCTTTCTTGGTACTGTGAGTGTGTCAACATCCTGAACGAGCAAGGTGGTATCAAGGCTTTGATCCTTTCCTCTCCTCAACTACTATCATCGTGTCCTCTTCCTTTAAGCTTCCGGTAAGCCACTGGCCCATGTGCGTCTGCCACCTCCTCAAGTCCTCTTGTTTAGTAGCTTCCCTCATCCTCCTGTGCCGCACCAACCTCTCGGCAACCTGTTGCAACATAACTTTTGGCGGGGCATATTCGTGAACGGACTTGTTTACTTCGTCTCGATCCAGATAGGTTTTGGTGACCGTCTCCATCTTCGATAGCGTTTTTCCGCCGGAAACTTGCTTCGTTTCTCCTGTGTGGGGATTTTTCCATAACCCTTTTTCCCAGCTATCTAGTGGCATATCTTCCAAGCCTTTGTCAACATTCAGCCGCTTGTACCACCGATGCTCTCCTCGCGCAATTGTCTGCATTGTCTTGTGCCGATTTTCTCCTTCGGTGTACTTGATTAAAACGTTCTTAAAAACTGCGATTTTTTCCGACCACTTCTTGACCAGCGGAACCTTGCCAAAAGGGCCTGGCCAAACTGCTGCGAAACCATCGTGCTGAGTATCTGGGCGTCCAGTCCCAACCGACAGCAGTATGGCTGGTTCGTGGTCTTCGCCTCGGAGGGAAAGATGTTCTGTATAGGCGGCATACGAGGGATTGTTCTCACGAATCCCACCATCTTTGAACCCTATCTTCCCCCTTGTGCCTCCAAAGTCAGCTTCGAGCATCTTGAAAAAGAATGGTGCGGCAGAAGTGGCCCTGGTGACCTGCCATATCCTCAGCTTGTCTGCGCCTGTGTTGTATGGCGTCACCCACGGCGGCGCGATGTCAGGGTCGTAACGGTGGTCGTACGTGCGCAGAAGGTAAGCCTCCGATATTTGCCCGGAATGTGTTGCAGTAAGGCAGATTGATTGACATATGCGCTCTGTTTGCCCGTCAGTGCTCGACGATGAAGAACCACCTTCGTCTTTTGCGTCTTCGTCAACGTTCCATGGGTGCCAATCGTTTCCATTGCAGCTATCGCCATGGTGTTTGCAATATTGTTTGACGATCCTCTGCACAGCTTTCTCTAACGGCTTGTGGTGGTATTTAGTCGCTAGTGGGAGGATGTTCCTACGATGGCCGAAGAGATCGTTCCCAACTGCACGGTACAACTCCAAGCACTGGGGAACTGTCATGCGCAGTCGCGCAAGCAGTACGGATATTAGGCCACCAGTGCTTGTGCCGTATATGTAATCGAAGTAGTGACATGGTAGGAGCTCGTCTTCGTTGAAGGTGCGCCGTTGGCTGTTTGCGACCGGACCTTCCTCGTCCTGTAATCGCTTTTCGCATTCGGCGATCTCGTGCATAAGCCGTTGAAGGATGAGTAGGCTGGCGTAGCCTCGAATACCTCCGCCATCTAGATAGAATCTTCAAGTCAGCAAGGCGATCGGTAGTCTGGGACCGGAGTTTGCATCCTGGCGGCGTTCTCCTTGCTTCTAACAAGAGATTTAACAGATCAACCCCACTCTAACCATGTCGCGCAATATCTAGAAATGCGACAGCATGCTGTCAGTGGTACGGTTGGCTCCGCGCCCGTCGGAGCTTGAACTGTTGGCACCACTGGAAGGCTGTCGCTAAAAAGAAGGGATCAGGAGATGGGGTACAAACCGAGGGTCAAGATCAGGTCCTCCCAGGCGTTTTCTTCGTTCACGCTCTTCGACCACGTCACACCTGACTTATCCTGGGCTGAGGCAGATGTGGCCGTGGTCATGATACTAAGTGGCCTCCGGGGCGAGTCGACCGGAGGTTGAAGCATCTTGATGGATCAGTTCTGGTTTTGTATCTGGTAGGAAAATAGACAGGGGAGGTAGCATAAAACAGAACAGTCTTCAGGCATAGGGGACAGCCAACCGATAATAAGGCAGTCAAACATCAGCGCCTCATGTGCAAAGTCGCGGAGACTCATGGGGGCAGAAGGGCGAGGTGTGTAGTGGGCGGAAGCGGGAGTGGCTGGTCGCGCTCCGATCATGACGCCGAAACGAGTCAAGTGCCTCACCTGGGAATAGACTTGCTCCTATTGGTACGCCGACGGTGAATTGCCCTGGCGGTGCACGAGGATTGTGTGGTGCTCCGCCCCCTGCACTCTGCGGGCGTCCTCAATGCCTGCCATGCCGTCGACTCATCAGTTTGCGGGAGATCACTCAGGAGTTCCATTCCTTTGACGGGGGTTTTGTGTGACAAGGCGATTAAAGTGATGAGATCATCTTGCGATCCGCATCCTCATCCGCCGTCTGGGGAATCATTTGGATCCGGACATTCGCAGTTGGAAAACAAGGCCCACAGGCAGCAGAGAGCCTTGCGCTGCGACTTCGCAAGCAGTGGTGGCCTGCAGCAAACAGTGGTCGCGGTCCAGATGACGCCTCCCTTGTGATGGAGGGCAGCAAACCTGAACAAACTCATCAGCAGGCCTGCGCAGGGCAGGGCCGGGACACAGCCGAAACAGTTAGTCAGCTGTGCGAAGGGTCTCGGTTTCTGTTACGTGACACCGAGAATCTTCACCCTCTTCATGTTTCCATTTCATAAGGCCTTGAAACAAGGGAGAAGGATGAAGAAGCAAAGTGTGAAGAGTTTCACTGACCTGGACTGAAGAAGTGCTCAGCAAATCAAACCTAAAGCCACTAACTGCTGCACCGCCCGCAACCCTTAAAACATCAGCCAATCGGGCGAGCCTAGATATTGCCGCCGCAGTGAACGCAGTGGTACCGTGACTTGTCGCCACACTCACCAGCCACCTCACCGTTGGGCCTGAATCCGGATAGTTTGCGGCGCAGCTATTGTGACGCTGTCTCTTTGATCCAGACGCTCACTCCACCTGCTCACTCCGCAACTCGACTCAAATCACCGGGCCTGCCCTGCCTCTCTGCCTCTCTGCCTCTTCTACTCATTACAAAAGCACGAACACGTTCAACGAACCATAGACTGACCGCCGATACATGTTAAGTTGACCGCTGCTCAACGTCCTACGTAACTCAGTCTCAGCCTCACTTTGTCCGCAACCGCTGCTATGACGTGGAAGAGTACATCGACGACTGGCACGAGCTCCTCGAAGAGCAGCGACCTCTTTGGCCTAGATGAGAACGACACGTCGAATATCCTCGTCTACAAGTACCGTTCGGGGTGCAAGTCTCTACAAGTTTCGTCGCAACATGACCTTTGTCAAACTTTGGATTCCGGTAAGTTGTTTCTCCATATCCGCCTCATTCCTGGATTTTGAATCTCGCTAACAAAGGGCGGCCTCTGTAGATCCCGATCTACCTTTTATGCGCGTCACGAAGAAGAAGATCCCCCGAGGCAACAGTCGGTTAGAAGTTCGCGCCGAAGACCTGCTTTTGCCTGAAGATCTGGAGAAGTATAAGGACAAGCCTACGCTTCAGTCGTCGCTCGCAAACGTTGGACTTCCCTCCAGTGCATACTGGAAACGACTTCTATTCAACTCGTTCCCAGAGCTATACATCGTATCCCGCTCTATCACTCCTAGTCCCCTAAGCTCCACCAACAACTCTCCTGAGAGCTCGCAGCACGTTTCGCCTTCGGCCACAATTCCCGTAGACACACCACATCCCTTACAGGATCGTCAAGCAAATTAGCCTTGCTGTACCCGTTGCCCTGGGTTGGAACGAAACGCTCACATTTGAGTGACGAGGATAGTCGAACCCTTTTGGGTTGCATGTGTCACCTGCTTGAGTCGCCACATATCCCCATAATGCCTCAGCACTGTGACGAGTCACTCGAAGTCACAATCCCTGCGCCTCAGCCGCCCAGCAAGCCGTGCGACTCAGACCTCGAATACGTATTTATAGCTCCATCAACGATACCCTATGACCTGCGAACCTGCTTCTTCAGCGAAAGGCGCCGGCTGGCGTACAAGGCGTTTATTGTCCCACCCTCTCTTAGAATTTCTTTGTCTCTGGGTTCGGTCTCTTGGCTTTCCTCACAGCCAGCTTGGCAGGCGGAGTCTTGGTTGCATGACAGAGCGATCGAGGACCACTCTCGCTTGTCGGTATTTCTGTATGTTAATTTATGTACTCAATCCATATATTTCCTGAATTTCTTACTCGCCATATCCTCATGTGATACAATTCGAAAATAACAAATGGGTGCATGTATGTTTATCTTATTGGCCGAGCACTGGAACCCAGCAGCGACCGTGGAGAACTTATCCTCCATGTATATACAGCAGCACCTGTCATGAAGTCCCAGCAGCGAAAATCCAGTAACGTGCTTCATCTGAACAACTAATCCCCCTCTGAACCCTCTCCGTGTCGCCTCCTCATCTCTTCAATTTGCTGGCAAGCGTAGACCGCCCTCTTCCTTTTCCCCCTAGTTTTTTTTCTAAGACCCTCTGCTTCTCCTGCATTTAAGACCCTCTCTTAACCTCTCCCCCAGCCCCTTCCACATCTTTCTTCAACAGGAAGGAGTGGCGTGTCGACGTACTTGACCGTACTCCAAATTAGGCTAATTATCTATGGATGAGAGCTGTAGTCCTGCGTTTAGGCCTCAAAATCCGCGCCATGCGCGTGTCCGCCGCACACGAATTTGGCGACATAACGCTGGTGATGGTACTATTAAAAGGACCTATAGTTTACGTTAGTCCTTCCTGCACTGTATTCAGGTTTTCATCCTTGAATCGCAATAGAATAATACCTCCTAGCTGGTGGCTTCTACTCATGGTGTTTAATAGAACGTAACTGTTACTGTCAGTAGTATTTTTGAGGCGTTACTAGCAGCAATAGGGTTTTGTCCTTACAGAAAGAGTGAATTAAAACAGCCTTACAGGCAGTAACAGTTACTGCTAAGTTAATTAATAGTAAAGTTACTGTTTAGTGCAGTTACTGCAGTAACTAGTGTTTCTAGAGGCTCCAGAGGGCTTAATTTTAACGCAATTTTGCTGATATAGTCGCAGAGATTGTTTAACTCTAAGATTATAGGAGGCAATAGCTGTAATTAAGTTCTTTATATAATATCTTAGACCCCTAGGTTTTACCTAGCAACCTCTAGTCTAGATATTGTCCCACTTAATGTTAAAATTTAGGCTGTTGTTAAGGCAAAAGTCCTTAGGAAACTTGTAAGAATAAAAACACTAGAGGATAAGGCCCTAATTATAGAGCTTTAAGAGCTCTTAGAGGCAGCCCTTAACTTTTTAAGGTATTAAAAGCTTGTAAAGTAAGGCTCTAGAGTACTTAGGCAAGTAAAGTTTAAACTAGTGCTATAAGCTTTAACTGCTACGTGAAGTTTAGCATGCTTATAGTAATGATAGAAGCAATATTAGAAGCAAGAAGTAGGTAAATTAAGGAGTCACTTTAATATTCTATACTGGCAATAGATAGGATAGTTAAAAAAGTATAAAATCTAGTGTATTAGTGCGCGTTTAGCCCTTGTACTACTACGCGCTAAAACGTCCTCTGCGAACGCGTTAACAAAACACTAAGAAATTAATTAGTATAGGCAGTTACTGCAGTAACTACAGCCTCATTAACTGTACAGTAACAGAAGGCAATTCACTTTTGTTCTAACTGCTAAGAGATTGTTACTAGTAGTAACAGTAGGAACAGTACTACGTTCTATTAAACACCATGCTTCTACTTCGCTGCTCTAGAGATTTGAAATCCGGTGTTGATTTCAGAGCACTGTGGGGTGACTAGGGAGGCATTGGTTTGTATGTTTTTTGTAGGAGGGGGGAAGGATTGGTTTATTTGAAGGTGTGGTGGGAAACTGTGGAGAGGAGTTCTAGCGGAAGAGCGGAGCTTCTATCTCTTAAAATCTCACTAATAATTGGAACTTCCTTACTTCCATACTTATCATTATGATTCGCAGCGTAATAAGAAATGTGGCTGTGCTAGTTTGTGTATAATCCTCGGTTTGACTACAAAATCAGACGAGCAATGAAAATATCACCATGCAAACACAGGTAATACCACTATTCTCGGAGCGTTTTTGGTAACAATTTCAGGATTGGTCCCAGAGCTCTAACGTAACTCCTATTGACGAGGAGAGAATTGAGAATGGCTGGGCTGTGAAAGAACATAATGCACAGGCTTGGAATGGAGAACCCATTATGCTCAATCTTGGTGGAGAGTACAACCTTGATTCAGTTTAATTTCCTAGAGTAGTAGTCCAGGCTGTCCTTCTATTCTAACGAATTCTAACTTAAATCTATAAATCAGCCCATATCCTCGAACAGTTTCCCTGTTGTCACCTCCTCAGGGCTTCCAACGGGCCGTACTACGGTCCGTACAAAGTGAACCGTAACGGTCACGTGTTCAGTACGAACGTACCGAGTTCGTGAGCCGTACCGTACGTTTAATGATGCCCTAGGTACGGTACGTAGTACAGATCGTATTACCTTTTTAGGAAGTTTGTATAGGTGTTCTGGAGGGGTATAAGGGCTCTAGCGAGCAGGAGGCCTGCGGACGCTTAAATCTCTTTCTAAGGGTTTTAATCTATCTATCTGTCTGTCGTCTTAAAAATGCCTATTACAGACTATTTTCTATTGCAGAGTTATCTATCTACGCCTCTTGCAGCCTTACAGGCCTCATCTAGTCCTATCTGCTCTTGTTACTAGGGAGAACTAATTAATTAGACCTTAATCTTGCGTCTCTAGAGACCCATAGTCTTAGCTGTTTTAACTAGAGTACAGCGTACTTTAATTAAATCGCACTACTTGTACAGATCACGTGAGCCGTAACAGTTACGATACGTACACCTACCTCTCCTCCTCCCTGTTGTACGAACGTACACAAAATCTCACCCGTACAGGCCTCAAAATCGCCCAATCGTACAGTACTACGCCTCGTTGGAAGCTCTGCACCTCCTATCCACCTTGGCCGGAATGGTTCAGTCCGGGAATTTGTTGGCTGCCAGCTCGTTTGCAATGCTTGAGATGGTGTGCTGTTGGGCATTTTGTCGGCCCTACCGTTGGGAATTTCGCGCCGTCTCGTCACGCGTGTCTGTATGGCTATGTGTGAGGTTCACTTATCATAACGTCGCCTAAATCTTGATTTGAATGCCGCAGCGTGTTTTCCGGTACCGGTTTCACGATGTCTCTTGCTGAGCAGAGGCGGCAGTATCGATATTGTGGGTTTTGCGGGACGATACGGGTGCGGAGACCACCCGGAGGAAGTAACTGCTCGCATACTTGCCCCGATATCCAGATTCTGCCAGCTCAACTCTCTGCACACTGGAGGAACGCGAGCATAGGTAAGTAACTGGATAGGAAGCCAAGCCTAGCCTGCTGTGGACGTTCGTTCGGGTGTGGAGAGAGACATGCCGTGCGGGTGTCACAAGAAACGTTGTTTGGATTGTAGCAAACACTTCGGGGTATTCGCCTATAGTTGTGTTAGTCGACGACCTCTGGGCAGGATGTCTTATTATGCTCGGCCATGGAGCCGTCATAGGGTGTAGATATAAGAATCCTCAGGGTCTTACAGCATTGAGGGTTTTCGTTGAAGTACTAAACTTCAAGTTTCCGAACCTCTCGGCCACGAATTTACACATTGAAAATTTCCTAACATGCAGTCACCTCGATCTGGCAGAATGCCGTCGTATAGGGGCTACATCGACGGAGGTATCCCATTTAGAGCATCACCTATGCGCTCTCAATCGTCCCGAGATATGACTAGATATGGAGAAGGCGAATTTGATGGGATGGGGGAGAAGGAAAGACTTCGACGTGCCCAGCGTTTGCCAGGGACGAGAGCACTCTGCTTCGACGAGGGCATTGCAGAGCTAGTCGGTTCCATCGCTGCGGCACACGAGCACCTTGAGCCTTTGAAAGGAATATTCGAAGAAGAGATCCAACACATTAGACCGTATACGGACCAAGCGATCATCGACGCGTTGTGGGAGATGCGATTCGAACTAAAACGGAAGCCCAATCGCCGCGTTTCGAAACGAAACGATGAAAAAGATGACGTTGGTCGTTGGAAGGAGTTCGCAAAATCAAACAGGAAAGTCAAGCAGACGTCAGCCAGACTTGAGAACGCTCTAGTGGCTGCTGCTAATGGGTTTAAGCCTACAATTAGTCAACCTAGAAAGAAAATTAAAGAAGCTGAAGACAAGGCCTGGATTGAAAGAACAGTTTCGAAGCTCAATATCTCAGGAACTCAGTGCTTGGAGCTCCTCCGAGTGTCGAGAAAGAAGTACTCGCAATTCGACCCATTACTAGAAGAGCTCAGATTTATAGAGAGAATCCTTGAACCTTGGAAGGCATTTGCTGATGGGGCGGGAGAAGGCGAGGGTGACGAAGACAATCCTGACTTTGATGAAGGATACTAGATGCAATATGGCTAGTACTGTATGGTAGAACAGGAGGGCACGATAGCCTTTCCCCACGTAGGTCGTTTAGTTTGAACTATTTCCGCAAAAACGTCCCTCCCTGTATAGCGAGAAACCCATCGTGCCAAGAACAATTCGTTACTTAGGCATCTCAAATCTCTCCCTCGCGGATTTATGGGGTGATGGTCGATGTGCGACTTCTATTCAACCATTTCTATACAAGGAACAATGAGACAGCAGGAAAAATACCGCGGTCTTGGTCATGCCGTCGATCGTTCTGTTCATTGTATCATTCACCACTTTATCTATTCCCCCTTGCTGTATCACAATTATCTACATTTTTCTTTTCTAATTTAGGAGCTATATCATGAGAACCTCAAAACCATACATTACGGGAGTTTCGCTGTGCGAAGGGGCAAAGGATGACAGCCTTGCATCTTGGCACAAGACTCAGCTTGAATTAGCGTGCTTCTATTACTTTGTATCGAAACTGCATCATATTTACCCACCATCCCGAATTCAAAGTGAGTGTGGTGCGCTGCGGTGTGTTTTTAGAAGCTTCCATGAGCACCCACATGCACGCATTGGCTCTTGCATACCACTGATCTGTGCTTGTTTGATACCATAGAGACATGCGCAAGTATAAGGCGGATCTGATTTTATATTGCCAACTAACCTCCTTTTATCTCAAGCACTTTCCAGGCGGCAACGAATGTCCTGCGCATAGTGCGCATCCCAATGTCCCTCCAGTGTCTTAACTATCAACACTCAGAAGGCGCACACCTTTCTCCTCTATGAAGAGGGTTTCCAAATGCCATCGAAAGGTCATAGTCAGCATTGAAAAGGGGCCGGAGGGATATGCTATTTACGCGTGATGGCAAGACTTGGCAGAATTTACGTGTATCTTTCATACCAAGTTTAGCCAGTGGCTCACCCAAGCAGTCATTTGTGCTCCATAAGGACAATTCATAACCGTCATTAAGGGCAATCGACCAACCCCGATTCTCAACGCCGGTGTCATTGAGAGTTTCAACCGGTTTACATTTGACGGGAGCGGAAAAGTCCTGCGGTTGAAAGGGGGAAGAGCAGTTGGTGCGTTCAAGATAGAATCCAATCTGGAAGAACAAGGGCACCGGGACGTTGCTGCTGGCAGCAGGCACCATAGGGGTTTTTGTGAAATTCGAGATTAGAAAGCCGTTATAATTGTCGATATGCGTCGCTGTTTAGGTCTTGTTAGACACTTCTTGCTTGGATATAGTAAGGGGGGTGTTAAACCTAAATCGAGGGTTGTTCTGATTGTTGTATGATTCCCGCCTGCGACCACACAATCGCCAAACAAGATTCCGTTCTCCACACCAAGGGCTTCACAGCTGTCGTCGTAGCCACCACTGTATCATGTTAACCATTGACCTGCTCTCTACCCGCAGAATCTGTTGCGCTTATGGCAGAGCGTACTTTCGACTCCACTAGATCGGTATTTAGCTTAAATCTTGGAGAGTAGAGCAGCTTCGAGAAGGGGAAAGAGTTACGTACAATGAATTGAGACTGTTTGTTCACAGACACTATCTGATTCAGCAAGAGCGAGCTCTCCACCTGGATGGGAGGGTTTGCGTCATTCGGGCAAGTCGCAACCAACCAACCGAACCTTACACTCCATTTTGTACATAGCGATAGGCGATTTCCGAGTGAGGTAGACGCCAACATAAGAAGGCTGAAAGTGAAAGCGACGTTATGAGTTGAAAAGATCATCTTAAGAGAGCTAGGTCATTTAGGTGGATGTTGGTGCAGGGTTAGGGTGGGATCTAGCAAAACCTCTTCCTATTATATATTCCCCTTGATAGCATACATTCAACTAATTATAGATTTAATTTGCAGCTGTTTAAACACCCTTGTCAACGTTTACTGGCCTAGGAATGCGGGAGATGGAAGGATTTTCATGATTGTTCGGGATTGCGAACAACTCCTAGAAGGATTCGTATCACTAACTTCAGCCTATGTATTGCCTACTTTACGGCAATTTTATTTATATGACCAATTTCTTCCGCTGGGTCGGTCTTGAGATCTTCGTTCATGCAAAGCCTTACATGGTCGGCGCAAATTCAACATTATGATTAACTTTAGCTGAACCAGCCCGTGGGATATAAGTGTACCGATATGAAAGCGAGCACCACGGGATGAGGGGACTGGCTCCCTAACGAGTAATTAAACCTGCAGCGTGTAATATATCTTGTATCTATCAAGTCCATCGCAGCAGAAATTTGGCTCCTATGTTCTGCTACAAGCATACTTGTGCGGTCCAGGAGAGGTTAGACTGGGGCCAGCCACAAGACTACCAGCCACAAGCTTGGAATTGTGTTATGCAAGTTAGATAACCGGTAATCGTTATATGAAACTTTCGCTCTAACCAGGATAGTCACCCTCTTTGACTGGCGGTACCGAGCAGTGGCAATCCTGGGGAAAATTTTGCGCACTACTGTAGACACTTGGCTGATGACAACTTACTAGCATTACTGTGCAACTCCAAGAATCGGATATGAGTGTTTTATAAATTCTGACAATGGTATAAGCTTGATGGTGTTGCTGTGGAGAAAGAATTCTGTTACACCATAGAGGGAAGCTCTCCGCAAATTAGGCGCCATGACGGCGACGCGAAAATAATTCTCTAAATGGGAAGGGTTCGAATGCCTAGGAGTAGCCGTAGCATATGGCTTATACAGAAGTATGGGAAATGTCCATGTGTGCACGGAGTTAGTGTTACTTGAAGTCAAAGTACCCATAGTTTCTCGGAACAGAGGGTTTCTCGCTACGGAGGGACGGACACTACGTCCTTCAGTTGTGTACAATTAGCAATAAACCGTTGTATTCATGACTATGTGGTGTGTACATTTCTACACGAAGGGTTTAGTGGTAACAAGAAGCCGATTGAGAGTTGGGTAACTCCAATCGTAGTATGAGCTTGCATTTATCCTAAACCTTTCCAGCCTATTTCTTGTTAGTATTGAGGTGTGTAGAGGAGTGGTGAATTGCTGCTTACTCCAAACCGTCCGCTCTGGATTCAATTGCGTGACACTAACCTCATCCCCGACTCGGAGCACGACATTGCCGTTCTTAGAATTAAGGAAGGAATATCGCCCAAACACCGGGCTCCATCTCGCACCAGTGTCGACCCTTCTGTCTTTTTGTAGCTTCTTCAGTACGGAGCCGGATTCGCCTGTGCCAGGCTGTCCCGTGTTGTAGTCAACATTGATGCTCTTACATCGTACGCAGTTATGTGCAAGTGTGAACTCGACATTGTTAACCTTGACTTTACCCCAGAAGTCCTCTTCCCACGCTTTCTCTGCGCCGTCAAGCACGATATTTGGCCTGAACTTCGTCATGTCCATTTCCTCGCCATCAGGGAGTCGGGAAGAGACGTCTCCCAGCGAAGTCTTAGACACAATGAGGTAAGGGGAACAGTCGGCGAATGTGATCTGTTCCCTACTGTTGGAACCACCCAAGATACTGCTCGAAAGTGTTGATAGCCAGGAATTTCCTTTTGCTGGCTTCATCTCTTCCCACAAAACATCCCGCAGATTACCTCCCAGGTACGCGAAGACGACTTCATAACCAAAGCGCGAGGAAAACCACGAGCTGTACTGAGATGGCATTTTGAAGGCTTTGGTGGGACTGTCATGCATATGGACTTCGAACATTTCCAGATCCTGGGTGTCAGGATGCAGAGGAATCCTCAATATGTCCTTGGGCTCAGTATCGGCGCTTCCTGGAGTCTTGTATCTCACCGAGAGGGTCCCTCCGCTTTTATCGTCGTCTTCAGGGTATGAGATGTCCGTCAGGAAGAGCACCATTTCAGGAAAGCTGGATACGGCCATGTTCTCGCATCCTCCGGGGATGACTTTCAACAGCATGAATATGCCTGCAAAAGTTCAGACAAATGCCATTAATGGAGCAAGCACTATAACTAAACCTACGGTCATATCTAAAGCCATGCCGCGTAGCTAGGGCTTCCGAGAGAGCCGTCCCTCGCAAAGACTTGACGGGATAGACGTAGAGCTTCAACAAGGACGTCAGCAAGTGACATATTGAGCTTGAAGGGAGCCTCGAAACTTGCCCCGCTTATCTTCATGGCTGGTGCAATTGCTAGTAGGAGCGTGTGCAGGCACGCAGATAGTTGATCCGGGACAGCAGCTGTAGGGGTTCTGAATGGGGCCCAAAGGATGAACGGTCACTTAGATAATGATAAGAGCCATTGCGGGATCCTATTCCCTCTAAGGCTTAAGCGGGGTCAGGACAAGCACCTTGAGCATCTTTGGAGCTAGAGTCTGGTCCTTCGTCTAATTCAACCCAATCCAATCTTCCATAGTTCCACTCTGGATGCACATTGCGCGCATTTGTTGGACCGAGGGATCCAATGGACACAGCAAGTCGATGAGCAGAGGTCACGGGTTGGTTAAAAACGTTGTGGATGGGGCACATTGAGGGAGGTTCCTGGAGGCAAAAGCGGGACAGCACATAGCCGCTGCAGGGGGGGTTGATCTGTCGTTGCAAGGCCGAATCGAAGGAACGACAAGGGTTTTCTCACAAAGCAGCGTACAAGGATGGGTAGTGGTGGTGTCTCAGGCCCAGCCGTCAGTGGTCGAGATGCAGGACGCGGCGCGTGGCTGTGCACGTTCACCGCGCTGGTCCGGCAGGCTGAGAGGGGCTTGGCGTGACGTTTTTGCAAGGTGAGATACAAAGTTTGCCTTCAGAGTGAATGTGCCAGATCTAGCGGGAGGCCGGGGAAAGTCCTGCTTTGCATCTACATCGGCTCTGTCTACTCTCCCGGTGAGTCTTCTCTCTTCACTCCCTGATTCTCTCCTGATCTGTATTTGCGACCCATACGACGGTTCTAGGCGCATTGTTAATCATCTCAGTCAGCCTCGCCGAACTCGACAAGCCACACCTCACTGCTGAGTAGTTCCCCACTGGCACTCCAACCTGCGAGCGTTACGCAACCACTCATCTGCCTTAAGAGTCGCTGAGAGAAATCCATTCAACAGCAGTCGGCGGTCAGGAACTGAGTTTCGCACGCGCGCATTTTTCGAGCATCTGATCTTGCCTCACGAGGCAGCTGTTACTCCAGCAGCTCAACATTTCCACGTCTTAGCCGCCCCGCTACGCCTTCATACTCGATGGCAAACAACAACGGCATCCGGCGGAAGGACACCACCAAGGGGCCGCCCTTGCGCATTCTCTCACTAGGTACGTCCGCATATCCCATCTTGAGCATTCAGGCGCTGACGCGGGGCTGCAGATGGCGGGGGAGTCCGCGGCTACTCGATGCTCATCATACTCCAAGAGCTCATGCACAGAACGTTTGTCGAAGTGGAAGGCAGGGCGCCGAAACGACACGAAATACCGAAGCCATGCGACCACTTCGATCTCATTGCCGGTACGGGCACCGGAGGACTTATCGCCATCATGCTAGGACGGCTGCGGCTAGATGTCGATACTTGCAAGGAGGTCTACGTGCGGATGACGAAGAGGGTGTTTGAGACCGACAAGACCTTCGCCGGCATACCTTATCGATCAACACTGTTCAAAGCCTCAAAGCTCGAGGAAGCAATTATGGAGTGTGTCCGGGAACACACCATCTACGAAGATGAAGGAAACGACGCCCATGACGCAGCCTCGTCCTCCCCCGACGTCCGGTCGCCAATAACGCCCGGAAGCACGGTAGGCAGTGTCCAAAGAAGCCCCAGTACTGCAAGCAGATATAGTCAGATCGGCACGACTCCCGTAAACCTACGGATAGCGGCCCTAAAATGGGGCAACCCGAATGCACAGCTTTACGATACAAGGGAAAATCGTACGAAGACGTAAGCTAGCCTGACTCCCGTGCACAACTGTGGCTAATTCTATGTAGAGCTGTCACTGCTGTTTATAAGGGCACAAAGAAAGCCGGCACTGGCCAAATTCTCCTTCGCTCATATGACTCCCGCAAGGAGACTGCCGTCGAACCCAACTCGACAATCTGGCAGGCCGGCCGTGCAACATGCGCGACTGCCCTCGCCTTCAAGCCCATTCAAATTGGTCAGTCCGTCTTTCTTGACGAAGGCGCGGGGAAATACAACCCCGCCCCTCAAATTCTTGACGAAGCCGTCTGCAATGAGTGGCCTGGTCGAGAAGTTGGCGTCTTCATTAGCATTGGGACTGGAAAACGGCCCGAAGGTACAAACCAGCAACAGCATCTGTGGTGGGAGTCGTATGTGTCAAGTGGAATGGGTGATTTCGCGGAGGCAAGGCGCAAACTGGTTGGTAAGATCGAGGACTGCGAAAAGATCCACCAGTCTATGAAGAACCACTTGGCAAAGCGGCAGGTCAACCCCGAGAATTATTACCGTCTGAACGTCAATGTCGGCGTTGGAGAGTTCGGCATGAACGAATGGAATCGCCTTGCGGAAATCAGCACGAATACGCGAATGTACCTTGCAGAAAGCGAGGTTCAATCGAACAACTTAGACGCAGCGGCCAAGCTTGCGAGGATTTACCGCGCGAAACAGAGATGGGAGCGTGCGGAGAAAAGTGGAGCTCAGTACGGTACTTCGGCGCCTTCGTCAAACGCTTGGGAACCTCTTCCTACCGTCCCAGATGCTTCTCCCACCGCCATTGAACTTCCGGCAGAAGAGGTGATCCCTCATTACTACCAACAAAATCACTCTAATCTCCTGGCTCCGTCCTCCTTCCATCACCGTCCTTTAGACAACGATAAGTACATCATGTCGGCAGACGATTACCCCCAGCCTGTCTCTTCCGAGATCCCTCCCCGCCACTCTGGAGAACTTGTCTCTCCTTACCGCCGGTCAGGCGAACAATTTACCCATGAGCGGGCTAGCTCGCATAGTTCTCCGCGGTTAAGCTTTGACGAGCCGCCGCCTCGACCACCGAAAACGCCTCTTCAGGGTGAGACGAAGCCGATGAGACTGAATAGTCCACCCACCATACCACCTGCGGGCTCAACACTATCGAGGCCATTACAGGGTGTCCTGCCCTACCCAGATACTGATGGGCCACCTCCTGTAGTGAATAAGGCGAGGAAACCCGAGTTGAGGAAGTAATGCGTTCAGTGCTCGAATGTAACAGCTATGATTAGCGCACACGAATCTCTTTCCTGTTTAGTTAAGTTTTTTGCGGTTCATGAGGTCTGGTATGGTCTTTCTCATGGTGAGTTTTGGGTCTCGGGTTGGTCGGATGTCGATAATACACCTGGATGATGGAGTAGATCGACATAAACACGTAGTATTTAAGATACCCATTCGTCATTTATTGCAGCACATGGAATGAATATTTGGCAATCTTGCCTCGGATTTGTGTTTGTTGGCTTTGCTGTCCACGTTTCGCTACTCTATGCTTCTTGTTTGCATTGATGTGTGCTTTCATTCACACATACGCTTCAAGCATAGGGAATATTCCCAGTCACTTTATCAGTCACACGACCTTGGTGTAAACTCATGCACTTCACAGTGCCACGAAGTAAGCGTAATCAACCTACTTCTTCCTTCCACTTCCTTCCCACAGGTATATAAACCCCCTCTCTACCTTGATTTTCCGACTCTCTATCTTCAGCACCATACCACAGGCCCTCCGAAGAAACATCAAGGTATACATAATCAGCAGCCGAGGCAAGTTCGAGTCTTCTACAAAGCTCTGGCCTAATGGTCCATGGTTGGACTCCTGGATGAAAGAATCACCGCCTTACCAAGTATGTCTGGCAATAAACCACTACCACCCGAATCGATGGATCAGTCTGGGTCCGCCTAAAAAGAGGTACAGCCAGCGTTCAAGGAGCACTAAAATCTCGGCTCCAAGACTCTATGCGAGCCACCCTCTTCAAATCCTGGGTCAAAAAACGGATATCATATGAGCGTGCCATTCTACTGGAGTCTCTAAAATATGCTAGCGCTATCGACAATGGTTGGGCTAGAATCAGCATTTGAGGCAATTCATTTCCGGTACTACCAGTCAATGCGCTCTCACCTAATGATCAACTGGTACAGTTTAATTATTTAAATGGTGTGCACTGAGCATAGTGTTCGCGACGACTCAGAACACGGACCGTACTACCGTCATGGTGTCGGCACCAAAACCTGAAGTTGCTCGTATCACGGATGGACTGAAAACTTTCTCCGCGGCAGAGTATACTTAGTTCTTTAAAATTGCTGCACTTGGGATTAATGACCACGTGCCGGAGTCGAATCGTTTAAAATGGACCCCACCATCGAGAATCGTGTATAAATCACCCCCCAAAAAGCCCAACATGCTGCTGTCGCCACATCAGCAATAAAGGCTGTCAACGCCTGCTTATATCGCCCTGTGGTAATCCCAATAAAAACATATCAACAAAAACTACATGACTGGACGAGTTGAAATAGATACAATAGGTTGACAATAAAAGTGCAAGACTATCAAACGTAGCCTTATCTAGTTGTCGTCGTCGCGTCCTCAATAAAAATATGCGGGTCATTTGCTCATGATCTTCCAGCAATCTCTAAAAGATGTGATGACCATGGCTGGACGAAAAATACTCTGGAAACTTCGGCACGGTCTGGCAAAAAAACCGCACTCCTTACCAAGTATGAGTCGGACTTTGTTTGTTTGCTTCGACAGGTTAAAGCATTTCACAATATGGATTTAAAATGGGGAGCCGGTTGTATATATAGGGTTCTAAAAGGTGAGTCTCGGAGGTGCTCTGGTGTTGCTGGCAGTGAGCTAGTAATTTTTCAGAAAGATTATGTTCAAGGATGTGACGGCGGGTTTCTCCTGTAGGTGGTCTAAAATGAGGATGAAGGACGCATAATAGCTGTGTCTCTGTGGCTTGGGCTAGGTGTCACCCTCCCTGCCCAAAAAAAACCCTTTTACATTTGCATGTGGGTTCTTGGACATAAAACAGTCTCCATATTGCAAAATGCGTCCGTAGAGTGGAGCGTCTAGTCTATAGATAATGATACGGAGATTGATATTTGCAGTGTGACTTTTAATTTCGCAATTGGGTATGGAAATTGGGACCAAGAGTTTTTTTGGCTCTACAAGTTGAGTATATTTTTTATTCGAAAGCCGTTATGTTTGAGTTGAAAGCATGAGTGAAAGGGCACCCATAAGGACGCAAGAAAAAGGTATATGCCTTGTTGGGGAATCAGTGTTTGCAAGCTCAGATGTTGTGTTGCCGCGTGGCTAGGGTTCTGCTGTGGAAGGAGATTTAGGTGAAATGAAAGAAACTGTATTTGGGAAGCGTAAACACCGGAGACGTTGCATGTCCTTGCGGCGAGACTAGTCACCAGCTAGTCTCACCATCACTCAAGCTCCAAGGTATGAAATTCATGAAGACAAACCTAAGTGAAATCTCTTTCATCTCGCTCCATCGCCATTTACACCTAAACTCCCAAATTCCTCGTTTTGAAATCCTCCCTCACCTATATAACACCTCTAATTCCAAAGATCATAAGGGTCTGAAAACCAATGTATTATCTGAGCAGGGGAAGGCAAGGTCCTTCGACTTAAGTGTCATTCTAGAGATCGCGGTGGTTCCATTCCAGGCGGGTTAGAAGCCAGATGTAGAATTTTATAACCATATCAGACACCGTAAACCAGTAAATCCCGGGATTTATTGGCTAGCATGGCTTCTTTTTGGCTCAGACTTTGAGAACATGAGGAGATTGGAGAACTTTTTTGGTGGGGAAGAGTGTGGGTTGAATTGATATTTCTGGACCGGAGAAGTTTTGTTTACTGGGTGTTGTGGTTAAAGGAACCTGGGATCTGGGGAACGACAAATGGGGATAGGATGGGTAAACGAATAAAGACAAGGACACCGTTACGATGGAACAGCTAGATTCGCTTCTACCTACCTCATTTCCGACTACGAAATTGTACAAATAACTTTCCCTTTCGTCTTATTTTCCTCCAACAAAGCATGTGCATCCTGAATCTGCTCCCAAGGTAATACCTTGTCAAGATGAATCGTAAATCTCCCATCCTTGAACCTTGGCAACGCATGGTCTACCAGTTGATCTCTCAGTCGTCCCTGATACTCCTCATCCCTACTCCTCAGACTACTCCCCACAAACGTACACCTCTTCCTTATAAACGCGCTAATATCCGTACCCGTGGGTACCTTCGTGCCACCCATGAATCCTAGGTTCACAATGACGCCGTCGCGGGCGACAGCGTCGAGATTCTGCTGGAAGTACTCCCCACCAATGAAGTCGATGATAATGTCGACGCCTTTCCCATTCGTGGCCTTCATTACCTCGGCAACCCAGTCTTGCGTTTTGGTGTTGAAGGCCGCGGTCGCGCCGAGGGTGTTCACGGCGAAGGCGCATTTTTCGTCTTGACGAGCAGTTGCGTATATGGCGGACGCGGAATCGGCGCCGCTGAGTTGGATGCCGGCGATGGAGACAGAGGATGCGCCGGCGTGCCAGAGGATCGACTTTCCAGGAGTGAAGTTGGCGATGAGGTACATGGCTTGAGTGGCTGTTATCCATGTCTGTTCGCCTGTCAACTTTCGCGGTTTAGAAGGAGACCATTTCGCCCTTCGAATATGGAAAAAGAAGGGGCGAAGCATGAATAAGAATACCTCAGGAATACCAGCACACTGCTCCCAGCTCAACTCTTTCGGCTTGTGCACAAGCAGATGCGTGCTGACGGCAATATATTCTGCATACGCGCCTCCATATGCAAGTCCAAACACCTCATCTCCAACTTTGAACCCCTTCTCAGGGCTCTCGCCTACTGCTTCAATTACCCCAGAGAACTCTACGCCTAATGTCTTCGGCGCTCCGGGAGGAACAGGGTATTGTCCCTCACGCTGTGAAAGGTCCATGCGGTTCAGACCGAATGCCTTTATTTTTACGAGGGCTTGTGCGCCGGTTGGTTTAGGTTTCGGAATTTCGGTGATGTGGAGAGCGGATATCGGACCCATACCGCCTTTAATATATGGGAGGGGGTCAGAAGGAGGATAGTAAACTCGAAGTGTAGGTTACTGACCAACTGCTCGCATTGTTTCGGACATGGCGAAAGTGAATTGGAAGAGTTGAAGAAGTCTCTAGCTGCAAAAGTTTGGCTCAAAACAAAATGGGAAGTTCAATTGAATTGTAATAGCATTAGGAGAGGAGGATTAGTGCAGAAGAGAAGGTAGCAATTGGGAAGTTTAAAGGGTGGAACGAAGGAACGTGATGACAAAAGTCGGCCTCGGAGCATTAGAAATGACGTTAGCGGGGCTGCTACGTGCGTTAATGGAGCTTAACTCCGCAATCTCTGCGGGGTCATGGTTCATCCGAATTGATTGGACTGACAAACCTGGACACTATCTTGAAGCTGGATGCAAAGACATAACTGAGCAGAAGATAGACGGTACAAAGGTCCAATATGCCCGGCCTTCTACCCTGCTATGCTGACCTGCATCCCTTTCAGCAAGATGCTATTTATCCTTGTCATACATGTCCTATGAGCATCCCAACTTGAACCGTGTAAGAAACCCAAAAGCTGAAAGTGTACACCCGGAATCCCGTAAAGCATGAAGGCTTCATCTTAGGCAGAGGGAGACCTTCATTGGTGAGCAAAGGACGATCATATGAATCATCCTACTGAACGAACAAGCTGTCGGACTCGTTTAGGTCGTACTGCTTCAGGAGCTGGGACAGCTTATGGCACTCCTGGGCATAGTTGAGGGTAGAGATACTCTGAACCTGATAGCGGGGCCTTCAGAAAGTGTCAGCAATGAACCTCACAGTCTTGGATACGACTTACTTGGGTTGATCTTGATAGGTCTCCATCTTCGCCCTAACCCTGAAATTGAACGTCTTGCAGGTAGCTTCCTGCAGCGCATCTTTGTAAAGTTGGGTTCCATTGTTGTCATCCTGATCTTTCATGTCCATCAAATCATTTCCAGGCATACCAACAATTATTCGTCCAGCGTCATCGAAGCAGCTCAACCAAAGCTGACCAGTATGGTCAGCAACGTTGACGCTGAGAACATATCGATATTCAGGTTTTGGCCACTTTCGCTGGCATTTCTCGCACCACCATTCGTTTGGGTTCTCTTCGATCACCTTCTTGTTGCAGTTTGATGTTGAGCAAGCCGGATACGCCACCACGGTGTTCTTGACAAAGACGACGGAGGCTTTGAGGTTGAAATATGACGGTGTATCGTTTAGATAACTCTCTTCCTCAACTATTTGAGAGATGAGTTTGCCATCATTTCTTGCGCCACCGCCTACGTTGCTCGACAGACTTTGATGCGTAGCGAATTGAGCATTTTGACCAGCCGCATTGTACCATCCTCTCAGTTTGTGTGCGTCATCGATATCGGGGTCCACGGATATCGAACCTGAGCTGAGAAGGCTCAAACTCTTGCCTCCAAAGTCAGAGACTTTCACACCCTTGAATGCAATGATGGATTCAAGGGGGGAATCAAAAGATTGCGCGGTAGTACCCCATATTGTTAACCGGATTGATGTTTGAGTGTCGTCAGCAAGCGTAAGGTCCCGTTTACTGAAATCCTTGTTGGTGTTTTTCGAGGTAATCGTGCTTATCTCGCCAACTTCCTTCAACACCCCAATAGTGTCGATAGTACTGTCTTTTTCTACAGAGCCAAGATCGCCAATTTTCGTGAAGTTGTACCGGATTTGGGGGGCATTATCTTGATCTTCAGCCTAGAACAAAGGTTAGGTATTGGGCAATGGTCTCCGGAAATGAATATTACCTTTTCAACTTCCGTGTCCCTCTCGAAATGCAGTTCGTAGTCGTTTGCTAGATTAGAGAACTGCTTCTTCGCAAGCGTCACTCTGCATGGAGCGGATATGTAGTAAACCGTTCCTTCCTGAAACAGGTCATACAGCCTATCGCAGGCATCGTTGAAGCCAGTGGCCCGGATCTCTCCAGTATCGTCTAGCAAGTTCACACTAAACAGCTTTCCTTCTCCTTTTGTGTTGTGCCATGTCTTGATCTCTCCCTTGTGAGTGCATCGCGCCCGGATTGTCCATTTATGAGTGTATGGAGAGAGAGATTCGATAGGATAGAGATGCGGGTGAGCAGCCGTTCCGGGGTTGCTATTATGGACGGGAAGGGACACCTGCTGCTTTTGGGGAGGCTGTGGTGGTTTGCTTCCGTAGAATCCACCACCGGAGATAGCTGAAGGTTGGGGCTTCTCATCTTTTATATCAAGCGCATCGGGAGTTCCGATCTTTTCCAACTCGCCGTACTGCTCAAGAACCTCAACTTCCATGAGAATTAAGATCCTGCAAAGGCATTAATATACCAGCTCTGGCAGGATACAGGCGGCCCGACATACTTCTTCTCCTTCACCTGCTGAGGATTGTACTTCAACAATCTGACGATGGAGCCTTTCTTAAGCTTTCCATCGGTAATGACCTCGTTGGCCGCTACCTCGCATGAGCACTCTCCAACATCTACAGACGGTAAACATACCGGTTGCAAGCATGGTCTGGATGAAGTTCCGGATGTCACTCAGTACGACACGGAAACGTTGCTGAGGATTGACATCTCCAGCCTTGGACTCCATAGCTTTGATCTGCACGCATTGCATGACAGGACATGCTACAATGCAGCCTCCGGGCTCGAAAATACTCCTGTGGAAGGGTGAGTGAAAGCATACAGGCATGATCAATGGGGAACTCACCGGATAGCGCCTTGCGTTATTGCTTGTTCTGCCATACTAACCGACTTCTTTAGCTGCGATATGGACTGGAACGGAGAAAGGGTTTTGGAGTAGCAAGACGAGGTTGAGAGAAATTAGGCTCGACGCGTCGCGCGTCGAACGGGTCGGCACCCCACGTGATAGCCTCTCCCCGCACTAACCCGATTAAACGGAGCGAGCCACCTGCTCTGACCTACGTAATCGGACCATGCTTCGACATTCACTGCCACCACCCTTCACGATTCGCTGAACTAATCACACAAACATGGCCGAAGACGAAATCGCTACAAAGGCTCCCGAAAGCGATGCCCAACAAGCACCCGCTGATCCAGTGGTGCAGGGCGTGTTTCCCGACGACACGAGAGCACAAGCCGGGCCCAGTATGGGTGTAAGGAGCCCGCTATTGAGCTCTCTCTCTCGTACTGACTTACTTAGGAGCACTGTGTGACGGATAGACCTACTCGTATGCTTATCCCACCCCTTACTTGAATAGCGATTGACCGTCTCGCAGCTTCCGGAGAGATGCCCACGGGTGTTGGTTGCTCTTTGATGGCGCCATTGATGGAACAAAGCTGATTCATTGCAGGAATTGTCCAAACTAGGCGGCGTAGATGTATGACCTTCGACATTGCATAGACTCTACTGTATGTTACTTACGGTAAACTGTATAGGTTTACATTGCGAAACCCGCCGACTACCCACATTCGCCATCGAAGCTCCTCCTCCTTCTAACCGGCGGCACCGGCCTCATGTCGACCAACAATCAGCTCCAAGCCGACAAATATGCCTCGGAAGGCTTCCTCGTGGTGATGCCTGATCAATTCGAAGGCAACCCTGCACCAAATAGTGTTGACATGACCAAGATCGACGAGCATCCCTCCTTCCTCGAGCAAGTCAAGCTTAAGACAGCCGAGACATTTAAATCGTTCCTCATCGACATGTGGCTTGCCTACCATACACCAGAGAGAGTCCTCCCGCTACTACACAAGGTGATTGAAGGCGCGAAGGAAGAGTTCGCGGATGCTGTCTCAAACGGAGGAGGCATATACGGTGTGGGCTACTGCTTTGGCGCGAAGTATATCCTCATACTATCCGGCGAGCACCCCGATACAGCTACATGGGGTCAAGCTCCTCCAAAAGATGAGGAACAAGGTGTTGTCAAGAAAGAGCCTTTAATTAAGGCGGGCGCAGTCGCACATGGCACAATGGTTACAAAGGAGGATCTGGAGGCTGTTAAATCGCCCACCTACATCGCAGCTGTGGAGAATGATCCCCTATTCTCTGAAGAAGAGGTCTTAACACCCGGACGTAAGGCGATGGAGAAGAACGGCGTTGAACACGAGATCCAGACATTTTCTGGGGTTCCGCACGGGTTCGCCGTGCTAGGAGATTACGATGACCCAAAGATCAAGCAGCTACAGGCCCAGGCATTCGGGCAGATGCTTGGCTGGATCCAGGGTCACTAGATGTGCTGTGCTTGAACGGTTTCTCTCCGGTATTGCATCTTTCTATGGAATTTCTGGCGTTGGTGGGCTGGGACTCTGGTTACTATACCTATACCACCCAAAATGGAGATCGTAACTGCGATGCCTTCTCCAAATTACCAACAGAGAACGCCTTCTAGTGCTCATATGCGAATGCTATGCCGTCTTTTGCAGACTTCCTCTTCCAAAACAGTTATATGGGCGGGCTGCTCTTCTCCAAACCAAGCATGCACACCCCTTTACATACGCTCTCATAGAACACTCCTCATATCAGCTCAATATCTCCACTCAAAACCGCCCTTCTCACGGCACTCCACCTTATAACACTAACATCCCCCCTCTGTATCTCAAATCTTTTATCGGTCCCCTCAACTACCACCTCCCCCACATCTCTCAACGCCCGACAGAAAACAGCCGTATCCTCGTCGGGTTTTTCAATCATGCTTACCCCACCCGCCGTATCATCTAGCCTTTGCAGCGCGGCCGGGAACTGCGACAGGAAAGAGGACGCGTAGTGTTGGGATAGTAGGGCTTGGTGTTGTGTCAGGTATTGGAGTTCGCTTGGGGAGAGGAGGGTCGGGTTCGAAGTATGAGTTTGTAGTACGTGGAGGGGGTGGGAGTCTATCTGTAGGGTTGTTAGAAAGCACCATGAATGGAGCAGGGGATGGAGCAGGGAATGGGGAAGGGGATATACCTTTTTTATCCGCGCTCGCAGGAAGCTACGAACGAGAAACTTGAAGCGCTCTAATTCCGTCTGTATAATGATGAGTTTGAAACCCGATTTCGGGTCCATGTTGCCTGTCTGCTCTTCCACGAGCTCGATCTAACATGCCACTTCCTGTTAGCTTCCCCTTCTTGCTCACTCCACACACTCTCTCTCCCCTCTCCAAATTCCATGTCCCTTACACCCTCCCAATCCCTTAACCGCTTGTCTAATGAAGTACCATACACACCTGCTTCCGTATCCTCTCTAACACTCTCTCCATCAGCGCATCCGGGTAGAGCAGGAGTTCTGGCGCAACACGTTCCGCGACCCACGCGCGCGTCAATTCCTGCAAGTCGCGTGTTTCCTTCGGGATGGCATCGGCCGTGACTTCGGCGAGGAGGTCATCGATATCCATTGTAGCACTTGATCTCGTCGACGATTCATGAACGAAACTTTTACGAGGCTGGTGGAATGGTTTGAGATCGCAGATCGGATCGCGGGGCAGGGATGTGGGGTGAAGGGCGATGATCGACCGCTAGTTCACTCGTGTGCTGATTGGATAATAAATTCACAATTCACCTGCGTGATTCACTGTTCCCAAGCACTGGCAACGAGCTTAACATGATACTGTTCAATTCCCTGACGATAAACGCAAACAGATCCTAATCTACCATCGTCCCGTCAAGAATCCACTACATTACGACGAGGTACTTGTTCTCCTCTCCTTCTCACAACTTTCTCTGCCAGCGGCCGCCAACCATCCATCAATCCATACCATATATACACTGATTGTTCTCATCTACACACTTTTGCGACCCCGGCCCGCAGAGAAAAAGGAGTAGCAGATAAGCACAACCGAGGCATGAAAGTGGATGTGAAAAAAGAGGAAGAGGCGTTCCCTTTTTGTAGCCCAAAGAGGATAATGCAAAAGAAGAGAGAAAAGGGGACTGGAGGAATGGGATTCTGGATGAGGGGATTCTGTTTGCGTGACAAGTACCGAGATAAACGGGGAAGCAGTTTGGAGGAAGAGCATTTCAATGAGACGGTTGGAGCATAGGGTTGTGATCAGTGTACGCGGCGCGTAGGCCCGTAGTTGTTCGTGATGATGGGTTGGTAGATGTTCTTTGCGAGCTTGAGAGCATATTTCAGCTCCGCAGGTTGCACGAATGTAGATCCATGAGGATAGGCATGAATAACAAAAGAAATTAGAAATTCACGAGGCAGCTGTCTACGGCTGCGCCATCGGGTTGCTAAAACCGAAGTGGTTTCTTATAGCAAGCCCCTCGCGAGGATGGTAAGACCAGCCCAGGCCTTGGAAACCTTGGGGGTATAATGCGAAGAAGAAGAAATGGAGAGTCGAAGGGCCAACTGGAGCAGTCCGAAAGGTCTGACTAGGGTCAAAATAGCTTTTCCGTCCAATTGAAACCGCAGTTCGATGCACATAGGGTCAAGATGGTAATCGCTCGAACGCCACAAGGATGAAACGGAAATGTGACCGAAATGCCGATGCCGTAGGGAATTCGAATGCCTTAATCAATAACGCCGTAATTCTGATTCACCATGAGCACAGTTGAGGATCGTGGAAATATCGTGGGCCTCCAGGTTCTAGGCTTAGTATGAAGCCATGCGACGAGAGGCGCCTATTCGTCCAATGTTGAATGTATCATCGCCTCCAAGCGTCAAAATCCCACCTGTCTTTGACCTGGCGATGCCCGTAGGGCTGTCTTCCATCTGGCATGATTGTTGTCCAAAAGCAAAAGTCTGTGCCCGGTTGAGTTTTGAGCGTTGACGAAGCTTGTTCATGCCACGCTCGCAGGCATTCTCATGTTCCTTGGCGTCCATCCGGAGGTAATTCTGAGGAAAACAGCGGGATCGATGGGACTCGTAGAATGAGCTGTAACCTCCATCCAAGATGTATACCTCGGGGTACGTAAGTTTGGGATAGCGAAAGGAGTTCACCTTTCGGTCCTCGTGACGCACAAACTTGGCCCTGGATAGAATGTCAGTGGGGAACAGCATGCTACGACCTGCCGACTTACATGAGAGGTGCGCGATGTGCGGAGTATTCGCAGTGGAAGATGAGAAGAGTATTTGAGGCCGAAACTGGGTCGAAAAGCTCTTTAGCGAGCTGCTCCTTCTCACAGAAGTTTAATGCGCCTTTAATGTGACCCCCTTGGTATTCATACTCAAACCGACAATCAATAATAGCGACTTTTTCAAACTCGTGATTGTAATCACCATTGAGAACGTCTATCAAGGTCATATCCGTTATGCGTGGAAGGCTGTCAGGCTCGTTCGGGGGAGTGAAATGTGGGAGCTTGAGGGAAGGAGTGTCGTCGACATCCATCACAGCTTGTAAACCACTGGGTGTATAATTGTCCTTGTCCTGATTCTGGTTCATCACGTCGCCGGGGTGTTCGTACATACTCAGAGATCGCCTGAACTTGCTAGGACGTCGCGAAGGCGGCCCGGCAGGTTTCCTAATGTTGGCACTGAGGGGCGACCCATTCGCACGAGACATGTTCGTGTTGATGGAGAACGGCTTAGACTTCGAAACACCTACCGAAGGGTTCGAAAACATTTTACGTTCTTGGGGAGGCGACGCGGTAAAGCATTCGTCCAACGAGGGCGATGGTGCATTCGAGAATGCATCGTATGCACCGAACTTGAATGCCGGCAAGGAGCTGTTCTCCTTTGATTTGAAGGATACAGTGTTAGTTGAGTAATTCTTATTCCGAGCAAGAGATGGTCGAAGCAGGATAGATCTCCTCCGCCTTGGACTCGTTAGCATGGTCCTTCTGACAGTGGATAGGAAAATAACTGACTCAGTGGCAGATACCGGCCTCGGCACCTCTAAATAAGGAGGCTGGGGTGCAATCTCGCATGGCGACAGCATGTCCTCCTCTGAAGCCGGAGTCGATTCTGGTGTTGGAGATGGGATAGACCGCTCGGTAACAAAGCTAAAGGGTGCTTTGTGAGGTAGAGGCGAGATGTCCATTGAATCAGGGCCAAAGCTAGGAGACGACGATGGGATTGGTGGTGTCCTAACGCCTTCCCACCGGACTGGTGGGGTTGTGGTTCCTTCTGCGTTCGTCAAGATCAGCACTGCGGACATCTGTACCGAAACGTCAAGAATTCTTACCTCGATTGTCCAATGGTTGAAACAGGTTCGAGGTGAAGAGCGATCGGCGAGGAGTTACGAGCTGGGGACTATAATTATGTTGAGCAGCAATCCCCGTGAGCTCGGAATGTAAGGAAAGGGTACCTTTGGTCGACATGCAGATTCGAGGACATGTCGGCCGCCAGACTCGCTGTCGGCGAAGACCCTCGCACCGGCTGCAATGTGAAGTAGTCCGCGTTCGTCTTTTTCATGCTCTTATCCTTGAAGTTGAAGTTCTTTGCGCTGAAGGTGTGCGTGGCAAACAGCGGCTTGGAGGGTAGCAGGTCGCGTCGGTAGCCCCAGGGCGCGGGCATGGCCGGCGGGTGCATGGCCGCCAGAGGCGATGACATCTCCATGACGGCGACGGACGAGTGGTAAGAGGCCCAATCGGTCGTATAGGTAACGCTGCTGCGAGGGAAACGAGCGTGCGACGTTCTCGGACTCAAACGCTGGCGTTGAGGCTATTGCTGGACCGGAGGCAGTCGATAAGCATACAAGACAAGAAAATTAATTCCAATCTGAAGATGCTCGCAGTAAATAACCCCAGCTGCTACAGCGATATGAGGAGCGTGCCGGAGAGGTGGTTATTGGCCCGCAGTAGACATGAGGGCGCAGTCAGGATGGATCAGAGAGCGAGTAGCAGCTGCCCCAGTGGGATATCCAAAAACGACCGACTTCCTGTGCCAACAACCACGAGAGGAACTAAAGAGGGGAGGAGAGAGGCCTTCTGGGGGACGGAGAAGGTCGAGAGGGAAAGAGAGAGGGCCGCGGGAGCAGATGAATGAGGTTGCTGAGGATGCCGAGCTGCAGCTTGTCTCCAAGGAAACCTGCAAGCTCGCGGGTGAGGTTAGACGGTGGGTCTAAGCGCCTGCACACCGGATGCCTCACCACCAATATTATGCCTGCATCTCGCGGCTCTGGCAGCGGGAGGAAGGATGTGGGTAGTTTGCTCGCCGACAGCCGCTGCTATGTGCTGATCCGCTTCAGTTGTCGCAGCAATTGTCTTCAGCAAACTGGGCAATGCGAGATTGATCGAGATCACGCTCACGCTCATGCTCACGCTCACGCATCCTGCAGTGCCCCCCCCACTACGTCTCTCCAGTAAACAAGACTCGGTATCTGTTTGCCGACTATGGTCCATTTGAACTGATAATCTCTATCTAACACGATGCGTCGCAGTGGGCGGCGCAGATTCAATGCACACTGAGGAACTCTGTTCGACCTTCGCGAGTGCCCGCTGCATCGCCATTCGAGTGTTTGCAAGCCATGCCGGTTGTTGCCAGGCAGTTTGGCACGGAGCATCCACATGCGGGCATGTTGCCTGCAAAACGTGTGAAACGACCCAATTCTCCGCTTAAATTCAGCACCGCGCCTTCGTTCTCTCGAACACCTCCCTGAGGCTTTTTTCCTGGTTGCCCACAATGTCACTTGTGTCGTACCATCGCCTGGGTTACCGCTGAACGGCAGCGTACCAAACAACTCTCCAGCGCTAAACCACGCCGCTCAGCTGCTGTCAGCTTGCCATCTCGAGATGCCCACTTGCTCAATTGGGATCTCGAAGACCTGAATCAGCGCTGAAGCTCTTTCGTCATTGAGACTTGGCATCATCTGGCAAGGAAACGCCCTCGAAGGAGCCCGTGACTGTTCGCTCCCGTTGGCCAAAGCCTGAATCCTCGAGCAAGGGATTCCCGCCCTCTCTGTATCCTGATTGGGCATGCGGGAGATATCCGTCGTCTAAATTCGTGCAGCGCTGCCGACGTCGCAGCGCTTGAATCCTGTGAATGGTGCCGTGGACGCCCGGGAACCCCTCTGATCTCATCACCTTAATCCGCATATGGTTGCATAAAACCGGATGGGGCTGCCTCTAACACAGCCTGTCTTTGTCCGCCTGATGCTTTGGATCGATGTTCTGGCTTTAAATCAACGGTTTTTAGATCATTCACGTCATAGTAAAAGATAACTTCCAAGTTTCCCTCGTCATTGAAATGTATTGTTTTTGGAGTCAAATCTATTATCAATTGATGTGTCAATCAATTGCCGAAAGCTACAAAACAAATGTTCACGTAATTCGGGGGCCCCGGGGCCAATGTCGCCATGAGGATACGGGCGGGCTGAAAATATGATCGAGAACCGCCGGACATGCCACGCGTGGAAAATGGACCAACCCAACAATCCGCTTGCCCAACTCTTAACAGGCCAGTCCCGCTGTTGGGGACCCCACCAAATAACCTGAGGCCCCTCTTCTGCAGAGCTGACAGGCTGCTGTCGCGCTTTGCCTGGCGCTTGCAGGGTTGTAAAACCGAAGAAGCAGGTCGCGTGTTCGTTCCCAGGTGGACGCGCCTCGTTTAAAGTAAACAAAGCGCTCAAATGCCAGATCCCGTGATCCTTCTGGCCAAGTCCGAACACACTCAGAATTTTACCCAGGCCCTGCAAGAGGGTTCGCGTTTCAAGTCCCTTGTCCCTGCACGGTGACAAAAAGTCATGCGTGAGGCCTTTGCAGCTCACCTAGTTGCTGTTCCTCCGGTCCGACTTGAGCAAAGCTTCCGTTTCAATGTCATGCCGAATCTCAAGATCTCTGCGTGAGCTGGAACAGTCTCATTCGCGGCGTAGCATTGATGAAAGGCTTCATCCCGGAGGATTACGAAGCATTTTCGGGCGAGTGCTCGAAGCAAAGCAAAGGAAGAGAAAGCTGCTGACAGTCGTCAGAGGAACCGAGACTTCAATCTTCAATGCTCTCGAATAAGAACCAATCAGAGGTGGGAGCTGGAAAATCTAGAGTAATTTTTAGCTGTCTCATGTTATTCGCCCACATTCATCATTAATTTAGAAGTCTCCCCGGTTTCACCTTTGCAAAGATCTTCAGGCGCCCAGCCTAACATTCTGAGTTGTGAACTCTTGCCCTTGTGCGCTATGCAATGCTTATGCGAAAGGCAGTGAGAGAAAGAGAAATGGGCATCGTGAGGAAGGCCTGTGGTAGGAAAAGCCATCGCTAATGATGGGGCCATCATTGAAAAGAATCAAATACTGATTGAGTATGTTTCTCAAATCTGATTGTAGACTCTATAGGTGAAATAGTCGAGGCCCCCTCCTGATTGGGTGTAGCGGGTCGGGAAGAACAATTTCTCCGACGATTATTTTGTCCAGAACTTTTCAGCCATGCACTGTAACCCAAGTTTTCCCCACCACAACCAACACCATGGGAAAGAAGTCCTTAAAGCGGGAGCGAGATAATTCCAATGGAGGTAGTGCGCCTTCGACTCCTGCAAAGCGACGTCGACAGGTCAACGAGGACAGTATCAAAACCTCGAAGCTCTATGAGGACCTTGCTGCGGAATCGGATGAAGTGCGGCTCGGGGCGGCGAAGCAACTAATTCTGAAGTTCTCTCCACAAAACAGACCATCTTCATCTGCGGCAGGGCAAGCTCTAAACCGGCTCATACGCGGGCTTTGCAGCCAACGAAAAGCTGCGCGAATTGGTTTTTGTGTTACTCTTACGGAGCTACTTCGCCAGTTGTTCGTTCAGCACAAGGACTCAATCGAAGGCCTGAGCCTTGATGTCAATGGAATAATTGATTTAGTTGAAGAGAAGACGAAGATTGAAGGCAATGTTCCGGGTCAGGTTCGGGTTCTATTCTCTTTAATCAGTTCATAAATTCAATGCTAACTAAGCTACTAGGAAAGAAGGGATCATCTAATTGGCCGGCTCTTCGGCTACAAAGCTGTCATCCAGTCTTCAATACTCATTGAGCCCGAGCTATCACTGGAATGCTGGAATACGGTTCTCGACCGCATCTTCGGAATGGCCCGTGACATCCCCTGGCTTCGAGAGGAATGCGGGATGATTCTGTGTGAAGCCGTGAAGAGTTTTCGTTCCAAACCTGCTCCGGAACAATGTATCCAGGAATTAATGCAGCGTCTTGCATCTTTCCAGCTGCTCAATACCCCGGAGGGAGTTGCTATCTGGCTTACAGTACAGGTCGCCTTTCCAGAAGTAGTGCTTTCTGAGCATGTCTGGCACAAAAAGGATCCTCTATCCAAGAGAGAGAGATCAAGACTTGCAAAAATTTTGAAAGAGGATTTTGGTAACATGCTAGAAGCTGGAACTGGTGGGACAATCAAGTCTGCCGCGGCCAATCCAAACCCACTATTTGCATGGGATGTAGTACTGGCGGAAGTGCTAGAACGGGATGAGAGGCAGAGATCCAGAAATGATCACACTAGCAAACTCCAATTCCCTCAATTTTGGATTGATACTGTGGACAGTAAGTCGGAAGGACGCTTTACGAAGTAACATACTCACATTTCCAGGTAACTTATTATCATCGACAGCATCGCACGAGCGTAAATCCTGGGCATTTAAACTCTTCGCGAAATTGATTACCAGCGCTCCTACTTGGGCAATTCCATCACTTTTCAGCCCAAATATGATGCGTTCTCTAGTCAATCAAAGCAAGAAGGGGGAACGATTTCTACATGCAGCTGCACTTGCCTCTCTTAAAGCAATCCAATTTAGAGTGGAGCGGGAACCGAGTTCCGCTGCTCCTATCTTCCTCGCTCTAACCTCGAAGAATGGCAATCTTGACTTTGACAAGATAACGAGGACTAAGACACTTGAGCAAATCATGCTTTCTGCTGATGATCCGACATTAGCAACAATCGTTCGGCAACTTGAGTCGCTCGTGCTTCGCCCTGGGACTCAAGACCAGGTCACTGCAGACTTGCGACGCCGATATATTGCAGACATGCTTCTGAATGTCGTGAGAGGCTATAGACATTACAATAACACTAAATCTAGAATTGATGAGGACGGATTCTGGCTTCGCAACATCTTGATCATTCTGGTCGAGAACGGATACTTCGTTCCTGTCTCTGCGGCAAAATCAACCAAGAATCCACTACCTCCAATAAGTGAGCCCAGTCGGAAGATGTTCCAGGAGCGGCTCTCCTCCTGCCTATCTCGGCTTCTGGGGATCGACAATGAGACCGGCGTCTCATGTGCCTTGTCGATCGTAGGAATGATTAGGTTTCGAGCTCTCAACTCCAAGAGCCTAGATGTAGCGCTCCAAGCAGATGAGACAGTGGCAAAAACGATCGATAAAGCCTTCAAAACACTAGGCGCTATTGCTAAGAAAGTATGCAAATCCGTTACGATTGAATGATCTTTACTCACTACGACGCAGGTTTCAATATCTGGCAAGAAAGCTTCTGCAGAAGGTTTTATTCTTCTCTACTCACTTGCTCTTCTCCAAGTCTACGACGGAGATGGAGACGCGGTCTTGATGCTCAACGATCTTGACGTATCCCGCAAGTCTCTGTTAAAGGCTAAGACACAGTCTACAGAACAAGGTCATGATTCTTTCGTGGAGATCTTGCTAACATTTCTCGGAAATCCTCGTGCACTCTTTCGAAAGATAGCAGAACAAGTTTTCACAATCTTCGTGTCTGAAATCACGCTAGAAGGATTGCAATCATTGACAGATATCCTAGACACAGAAGAGAATCTTGCTGGCCAGAGAGAACTATTTGCACAAGGCGATGAAGAAGCGGAGGACGCCTCTAACGATGACAGTGAGGACGCTTCAGACATCGAAATGGTTGAAGGGGAACCAGCCGATCTCGATAAGGGCGAACCGGACAGCTCTAACTCTGGATCAACGAGCGAGTTAGACAGTGGCGAGAGTGACGAGAACTCAGACGACAATGAAGACGAAGATGACGAGGAACTAGCACAGTTCGACAACTTGCTAGCCCAGGCACTTCAAACTTCCAAACCTACTCCAAATGGGGATGCCGCTGATGAGCCCTCGGATGACGAAGACATGGATGACGAGCAAATGATGGCTTTGGATCCTCACCTGACAAAAATCTTTCAGGAGAAGAACAAGACGGCAAGCAAGAAAAGGCAACGGGAAGGTGCAAAACAAACTGTTGTTCAATTCAAATCCCGCGTCCTCGACCTTCTCTCCATCTTCATGGAGAAACGATACTCTGACCCGCTTACGCTCCAAGTTCTTCTTCCGGTATTGCGTCGCACCCGACCCAGTGGGAACAAGCAGGTGGCAGACAAGAGCTGGAAATTATTAAAGAGCTATTTCGATTCACGTGCGCACCACAAAGCGCCTCTACCAAAGCCAGATAGCCAGGATGACGTTTGGAAGGTTCTGAAGGGAATTCATGAAGAAATCAAGTTAGGGGCCGGGTCAAATCTTCATGCGATGGCTTGCAGTAAGGCCAGCCTGCATGTAGTCAAAATATTGGTGGGCCTTGACAAGGGCAATTATTCCGAGGTAGTCGACGTGTACTCGAGAAGCCAGAAGGAATGGTTCATGGACCCGAAGTCTACGATCCAGCCTATCCTGTTCACAGATTTCCAGAACTGGTCAGTGACAGCACAGAAGCAACAAAAGGAACGGCGATCCGATGCGCAGGACAGCAAATCGGAGCGTAGATAGAAATAGTAGCGAGATACCCATTCAATGCAGACATCATGTGGGCACCAGCAGGCCGGGAAATAATGTGATTGATGGTTGGTGTGAATGGTCCCTGCCCAGAATTTGTGGTTGCCCCACCAAGCTGTGGCAGTGGTAGCCTACTCGGGCGTCATTCGTGTGCGCCAGCTACTTCTTTAACGAAGCTCCCCCCCCGCTGTCACAGCTGTCAACCCGTCAACCCAAACGACCCAAGGCTATATTCCTTCACCCCTACTCTCACTCATCTGCACATAAATTTCACGACCTCAGTAGCTAGGAATAGGGCAGAGATGGCCTGTATCCACGTCGACGCTCCCGGCAAGTGCCCCGCCTTCTGCTAGTGCATCCCATAACCCATATCGAAATTAACCTAGCCTAGAACTTCACCTGCCCGGGGCGACACAGTCTGTCTACCGTGAGGACTGCACTCAATGCTTCGATTCCATCGTAAGAGCCCTGGTAGAGCTGCGTAGGATCTTCGGTGCAGACAAGGCTAACAAAGGCTTTAGGATGACCCTAGTGGGCTTGATGTTTGCCTCTACTGCTTCAATGGCGGTTGCACCGGCGAGAGGAACCACTCGCTCCTCCACTTCTCCTCCACCGACCATCCACTAGTCGTGAATATCAAGCGAACACGGAAGAAGGTCAAGCGTGACGAGCCACCGCAGAAAATCTCCAAGCTCGCCATCGCGGCTGAGACCGAGGCCGACCGCTACGACACCACCACGCAGGTCAAATGTTACGAGTGTGGAGTCGACGATGTGGGCAAGAGCGGGAAGCTGTCTGAAGTTGTCGATGCAGTCCTGAAGGCGAGTACCTTCGCTCGTCAAGAGGAAGTCAAGGCCTGGGAGCAGGAGTTGACAGCCTGCGAACACACGCTCTGCCTTGAGCAGGATACGACTAGGCAGATCGAGTCGCAGAGCTTAGGGCACTGTTCTAAGTGTGAACTGAAAGAGAACCTTTGGCTGTGCCTCACGTGCGGCAACTTGGGCTGCGGTCGCGCTCAGTTTGGAGGAATTGGCGGGAACTCTCATGGAGTAGCACACACGACCGCCACAGGACATCCAGTTGCCGTGAAACTTGGGTCTCTCACCGCTGACGGAACTGCCGATATATACTGCTATTCTTGCGACGAGGAGCGAGTCGACCCTGAGCTACCAAACCACCTACTCCACTGGGGAATCAACATCAAAGACAGGATCAAGACAGAGAAGAGCTTGACTGAGATGCAGGTCGAACAGAACCTCCTCTGGGAATTCTCAATGACGACAGAGGATGGAAAGGAGCTCAAGCCACTTTTCGGACCAGGCTTCACTGGGCTGAAGAATTTGGGAAACAGCTGCTATCTTGCCAGCGTGCTGCAGAGTCTGTTCTCTATGCCAGAGTTCGTTGAGCGATACTATCTTCCGGGAAAGGCTCCCCCAAGCGCACCTCATCCTGCAGAAGACCTTGAAACTCAACTTCGGAAAGTTGCCGATGGACTACTCGCTGGCCGGTACTCCAAGCCCGACAGCGACGTCACCGTATCCGAGAATACAGCGGAGAATCCGCACCAAAAAGGTCTCGCACCGGCTATGCTGAAGCATTTGATCGGACGAGGACATGCTGAGTTCTCTACGATGCGGCAGCAAGATGCTTTCGAGCTTCTACTCCACCTGCTCAAGCTCATCTCGCGATCCCAACACGTCGCTCCCCAAACAGACCCTGTTGATGCATTCAGATTTGTCATGGAACAACGGCTGCAGTGCATTTCGTGCAAGAAGGTCCGGTATCGTACAGATGAGAACGAGAACATTACAATACCCGTACCAATCCGAAGGATCCCAAAAGATGACAGAATGGAGGTCACAGATGATAAGGGCAAGGAGAAAGACAAGGAAGAATTCGAGTCTGTTACTTTGAAAGAGTGCCTCGACATCTTCACAGCTGAGGAGCACGTCGAGCTTGATTGCGGTTCCTGTGGAAATAAGGCCGGTTTCACAAAGAAGACCCTCTTCAAGACTTTCCCGGCAGTCTTAGCCGTCAATGCTCGCCGATTCGAGCTGGTCAACTGGGTTCCAACCAAGCAGGACGTCCCTGTCATTGTTGGTGATGGGCCATTCTCTTTCGATGCGTACATATCGAAGGGTCTGCAGGCTGGTGAGGAACTTCTTCCGGAGAACTCGGATTCTAGTAAGTGGGCTCCAAACGAAGCAGCTCTTTCCATGCTTGAAGCAATGGGCTTTCCACGAGTTCGATGTGAGAAGGCTCTTTATGCAACTGGTAATGCGGATCCGGATGCGGCATCTAACTGGTTGTTCGCACACATGGAAGACCCAGGTATCGATACTCCGATGGATTTCAACGCTGAGAGTGGGCCTGGGGCTGGCCCTTCGACTGCAGTCGATCCAGAAAAGATTAATTCCTTGTGTAGCATGGGGTTTAATACCCCTCAAGCTAAGCAGGCTTTGAAGGAAACCGGTGGCGACGTTGAGCGGGCTGTGGAGTGGCTGTTCAGCCATCCAGATGCTCCAGGCGATTTCGACGAAGGGAACGGTTCATCAGAGGTATGCTTCACTTCTATCGATATTTATACCTATCTGAAGGCTAACTCAATTCTTAGGGGGCATCGATTGCTCCGGCCGAGCCTAAGAAGACGACGGAGCCTGGCAGTGACAAGTTGCCAGCCAACTTCCAGCTCCACTCTATCGTCTGTCACAAGGGAAGCTCTATCCACGCAGGGTAAGTTGACCTTCACCTGTTCCTATCTTCTACATGCTGATTGGGGGTTGTCAGACACTATGTTGCATTCATCCGAAAGCAGATTCCTAATGAAGGATCTACGTCATGGATCCTGTTCAACGACGAAAAGGTAGCCAAAGCAGGGGACGTGGAGGAGATGAAAAAGTTTGCGTACATCTATTTCTTCAGGCGTTTGTAGGACAGGAGTCTAGGTCTAGCATCCATGGAACTAGCATTGCAGTCGGCGCTTGGGTAGTGTGCGGAAGATCTCCAATGCCCTGGATGAGGTTTCACGGAATCTGGCATACGAGGGCGATGGGGAGTAGATTATGACGGCGCAAGGCTCGTCCAAATTCAAGCCTTTCTCAAGATACGGCGAATTGATACAAGCCAGCTCGGACAGACCAGAAGTGATATTGGATCGGAGATGCGCAGTCCTTTGTGCGGTTCTATCATCTCCGAAGTAGAAAACGTGGGGTTGGTGGTCTGTGCACAAATTTGCCCCATGACATCGGCTGGCTGCGCTCGCCATTAAGAAACCTGAAGCCATTTCTCCCTCGTCCCCATCACCACGTCTCAGACACCACACCGACCCTACAACACCTACGACCCCCATTGACTGTCATCGATTGAATCGAGCACGCCCTTCCGACACGCCTCACACGCCTTCTAGCCATGTTCAGGAGGATCGCAGCGGCTGCCCCCGCGTCGGCGGGTAGAGTTCTCTCGACAAGCGTCCGGCCGAACATCGCTTCTCCAGTGCGAACAGCACCCGCCACAGCGTCCATCACAGCACGGCGGCAGTACCACGAGAAAGATGAGTGTTTTCCCTTGAAAAGCCGTTTCGCAAGCCCAGTGGCGATGGCTCGGACGAATCCCTTGATCTCCGAGCGCGGACCGTTCCTGTTCCGCAATTCTTTTTGAATCACAAGCTAACTCCCTCTCACTGCTCGACCACTACAGCAGGCCGCGAAATGTTGGCTCCATGTCAAAAACCGACACGGACGTCGGCACAGGGCTCGTCGGTGCACCGGCTTGCGGCGATGTCATGAAACTCCAGATCCGGGTCGATCCGAACAACAATACTATCAGCGACGTCAAGTTCAAGACATTCGGCTGCGGCAGCGCGATTGCGAGTTCGAGCTACTTGACCGAGTTAGTGAGAGGCATGACGTTGGAGGATGCCGCCAAGATACGGAATACCGAGATCGCGAAGGAGCTCTGCTTGCCACCTGTGAAGCGTAAGTTTTCCTTCCCTGACGAAATGAGATGGATGAAGAGGCGATGATTTGGAGACGCAATCGATGGCTGACGATGGTGTTGGTGCATACAGTGCATTGCTCCATGCTCGCTGAAGACGCAATCAAATCCGCCATCTCCAACTACTACACCAAAAACCCCAACGCTCGCGCCTCAGATCTCGGCGGCACATCCGCGCCGCTGCCCAAGGTTGAAGTTGAAACTGTGACGGAGCCAAAGGCCGCGACCGCATAGCGGTGGAAGGAAATAAATTGATACCAACAGAAGACGAAAGAAAAGCGAAATGAATTTGGAAGTGTATTCATATCTCACAGAACATACGATGGTCTCTGTTTGATGGACAGCAAGCATCGGGTCCCTCGCTTCCTAATAGCGCCTGGTTACATAGGAGTTTTTTTTTTTTTTTTTTTTGGTTTGGGACTTTGTGCTGCGACTGCGACTGCGAGTGATGTGGGTGATGCAGATGATGTACATGGGAAATTGACGGTGGGGATGGGATTCTTGTCCTGCAAGAGATGGCGTGGGTTCGGGATGCGGATGTGGATGCAGGTGAAAGCACGCCACTCCCCTAATCCCTACTTATCCTGAGTAAATCAATATCAATCTCAGCCCAAAGCGTGCGCTCTAACTCTGAATCTGCTCTGCGTTGCATATTCGTGAACTTCCTGCGCTCGTGATAAGGGTGTGTATTCGTGTCGCTTGGCTGTGTGGTTTGGTGTAGATTCCATGGACCGTGGTAGTGGTATAGATTGGGGTAAGGTGTAACGATAGACAGTGGGTGCTTTGGTTTGCTTTGATGCTTGCTTTATCAAACGGGTTTTTGAGCGGGGATGGGCTTGGGAACCGCGTCCCATGGGTCGAGTATCACGCCATCGGGACCGGGGTTGGGGGATCTGATAAGTTTGAGGTGGTGGTGGAAGTGGATCTGATAATTTGTATTTGGCAGGGGGGAGGGATCTGATATGCCACAACCAGCTAGGAGAGGATTACATGTCTCTGGAGAACTTCTTCTTTGAGATCGAGAATAGTCAAAGTAGAAGTTGTATGAGATGGGCTGGATATGCATATGAAAATAGATACGAACATGATGAAGTCTATACGAAGACTCTCTGTAGCCGACCTGATGTGTGGATTCCCATCATGTTAAATGCTCTTCCGCCTGACGACTAAATAGGACGTTTTACGAATGTGAAGATGTCAATGAGTTCTTGCTCCATAGTGTTCTCACACTCGTCACGCTAGACCGCTCCTAGGAAGGCTGCTAAAGTAGCGTCATGAAAGTTGCCAACAGCGTACCAAGCTTACATTTTTCATCAAGCCTCACTACAAGTGATTCTCTAACGGCTTGTGTCTTGAGGTATGGCTGTTGTGATCAACTCTCGGATAGTTTCGCACCTGCACCACCTTCCTACATGAAAGATTCCATCACCGCCATGCAACTACTGTTATCACTAACTCGATTGCGTCTTTCGTTCTTCAACAGCTGGGCACTTCCGACTGGAAGCCGTCCATAATAACACGGTTCTATTCACCAGGTATGTGATCCCACAGCTCTATTGGAGATGAATGCAGAAAGCGTCGAAATCAACGTTCGTCAGGACATCATACAATGAGCTTCTTACGACGACGACTTAGTCGAGGTATTGTTAGAAGAAGGATACAAAGCCTAAAGAGAAAGACTTTCGAAGAGTTCGGCTGCGTCCAAACATGTTTCGCGAACGAATGAAGAGCCTTCCCGGAGCGCGGTGATGGAGGCGGTACATTGTATCACGACAATTCAGAACCAGCGGCTTCTCGTACACTAACTCCGTTAAATGCTCTCTATATCTAAGGGAACTGTTCTTACTATACGAAAACACATGCTCTAGAACGCTGGAGGGTATTTCGGTCTTCTCATGCGCGAGGTCAAGATAGTTGTGAAATTAAAGGATAAGCGTCTGGTTCAGCTTGTGGGCAGTTATTGTGCACTAGATGGTTTGGTTTACTTATCTTTAGACCGACAGGGGAAGGACTGGTGCAGCAGCTCGATGGAGAGGGTTGCTGGGCTAGCGTCTTGGAAGAACTGTGATGAGTTTGGGTGGGGGTGGAGGATGATTAACAAGGAGAGTTTCACATGGGGTGTACTATATTGGCTCCGCTGCTTTCACCCTGAATGAAAGTCCTTCGTATTCGTCTCACTGTAACCCCATATCTATCCCAAACCAGAAGCTCTATATTTCCGCTCACTTTACATCCACCCCCGCCTTTCTATACACCTCTTCTACAAACGCATGTCTCTCCACCGCAACTCCCCAATCCAGCACCCCGTCATCCACCCCCTTCCCCTCCGCAAACTCCTCGTACAACCTCGCAATATTCCTCCCAAACAACCCATCCCCGCTCCATTTATCTTTCTCCACCTCCACAACCTCCGTCGTTCCCGCTGCATGCTCAAACACCTCGATCTTCAGGTTATCGTCCGAGATCTGGAGATATGTGTCAGGCCCCGTGATTTGGATCTCCCCGCTAGAGCCGTAGATACGCCAGATGAGGCCAGAAGTGTTAGAGAAGGCGGGGCCGCCGCGGAGGTGGTAGGAGAGGACGGCGGAGGAGGTGAGGGTGCCTTGGAGCAGGATTTGGTCGTGCGAGGTGCGGGGGATTGTGCGGACAGTTTGGCCAGAGGAGTTGAGGAGGTCGGTTGTCGGTTTGGAGATGGAGAGGAGGGGAGTGTAGGTAGCTAAGGGCCCGAGGACAAAGGTTATAGCTTCAAGGGCTGGAATATCCATATGTTAATATAGCAGTATAAGCAGGGTAATAGGGAGAGGGAGAGGGAGAGGGGAAAGGAAAGGAGGAAGGAAAAGGAAAGGCGGAGGGGTCTTTACAATGCATCCCATAAATCGTCAACATATTCCCCCCATTTCTCCTCTCATGCGTATACCCCAAACCTTCGCTTTCTGTCTCCCCAAAAAACTTCGGCGTCCCGTGAAACGACGAGCTCAACACTTTCCCAATCCTCCCACTCTCCACGATCTCTTTAATCTTGCGTAAAGCAGGAGACACATGGGCCTGCAATCCCACCAAAGTCCTCACTCCCTTCTCCTTCGCCAACATAAGCATTTCCTCCGCCTCTGCGTGATCCTTTGCGAGTGGCCACTCACAGAACACGTCTTTTCCTGCTTGCAGCGCTGGCTGAAGGACGGCGTAGTGTTTGTCGACGCGTACGGAGCAGACGATGAGATCGATATCCGGGTCTGCCGCGAGGTCGGCAGGGGAGCCGTAGGCTTTTGTGGTCGGAGGGAGGTTGTGTGCGGTGATAGCGGCGCGGGCGCTGGAGACGCTAGAGTTGCAGAGAGCGACTATAGTGTATTTGGAGGTGGTGGCAAGGTAGGGGAGATGGGCCCATACGGCCCAGGATTGTCGGGAGGAAAGGCCGACGAAGCCAATGCGGATTGGGGGCATGGTTGTTGGTTGGAAATGGGTGGGACTGAAGGGCGAAGAGGGTAGAGAAGTGAGGTTAAGAGATGATAAGAAATGAATGGTTTGATTAATGCCGAATGAGACATGCTATATAGTGAATGGTGACGCCTTTTGAGATTACAAAGAATTGCGGGATACTTGCGGAGTGAATGGCGGTGTTGCGGAGAAGGATCAGACATTGTCTCTGCTTGGTAATAGTGAATGCTCGGATGACTCTTGTCGGATTCTTTGAGCCTTTAGTTTATGATGAGTTGTTGTTTTGAAGGTTGGACGAGTTATGGTCAATGTTCTCCATGGTGGTTGGGCAAGGCTGTGATCAATGAAGGGGTCGGGTTATCACTGGGGTCTTCATTCGCCAATGGACGCAACGAACCCTCCCTTGGCGTCACATCACAAAGCTGTTACACAAGGGCACCGCAATTGTGGATTGTAGATGGCATTTCTGTCTTTCCAATGTTTCTGATGATGGTGTTGAGTATCATTTGAGGCGGCATCGATCGGCATTCCACGTGGGTGAATTGAGCATTCTCGTTCGTCCCATGTGGCTGGGGTCATTCACCAGCTCTCATCACCTGGCCCAAGCTCCCTATTGACTTTTCACGGCGCGGGGAGCTTCGTTTTGTGTCTCATATTCACTGCCTCCTTCAAGTGTGTTTTAGCGCTTGTATATCCCTAGTCCCTTTAGTGTTTTGCGTTCGAGCGGTGTGCAAGCACGCAATTGCCCTGCTGGCATCCTACCCAGCATGAGGTCAGTCCATCCCGCATTCGTTCACATCCCGGCACATGCAACCCGACGGCCGCTCCAATCGTCAGGCGTACTAACAGTCGGCTGTTTGCAGATTCGGCCAGCAGCTCAAGAGCTCGCTCGTAAAGGGGTGGATCTTCCACTACATCAATTACGACGACCTCAAGGATGCCCTGCGCAAAGCAGCGCCCTGGGACGAGAAGGCCGAGCAGATGTTTGTACAGAAGCTCGAGGGCGAATTAGATAAAGTGTACACTTTCCAGCAAGTCAAGAGCGATGAGATAATCCGGCGCATTGCGGCATCAGAGAAAGAGGTCAAAGATGTTGTGGCTATGGCGGACGAGAACGGGGGGAGGAGTGCCGATGATAGCCCCACTGAGGAGGACTTTGAGCTGCTGGAGGAAGACCTGAGCGATATCATTGCCGAGGTGCACGATCTGGCTAAGTTCACGCAGCTCAACTACTCGGGCTTCCAGAAGATCATCAAGAAGCATGATGTGGGCTTATCCCCTCTCCTTGCGTGTCAATTGTCGCTAACTCGACGCAGAAACAAACCCGCTGGGTCCTCAAGCCCGTCTTCGCAGCCCGCCTCAAGCGCAAGCCCTTCTTCCAGGACAACTACGACGCCTTCATCGTCAAGCTCTCTAGGCTGTACGACACGGTTCGAACCCGAGGCAGCCCCGTCAAAGGCGACTCCGCGGCTGGAGGCAAGCAGCAGAACTTCGTGCGCCAGACCACCAAATACTGGGTGCATCCAGACAACATTACCGAGCTGAAGCTCATCATTCTCAAGCATCTGCCGGTCCTAGTGTTCAACCCGAACAAGGAGTTTGCGCAGGATGATAGCGCTATCACCTCGATCTACTTTGATAATCCGAGCACGTGGGAGCTTTACCAGGGCCGGCTGAAGAAGACGGAGGGCGCTGAGGCCATCCGTCTGCGGTGGTATGGTGGCATGCAGAGCGAGTCGATCTTTGTAGAACGGAAAACCCATCGGGAGGACTGGACTGGGGAAGAGTCTGTGAAGGCTCGATTTAAGCTCAAGGAGAAGAACATTAATGCATATTTGCGTGGAGAACTGACTCCGGAGAAGGTGTTTGAGAAGGAGCGGAAAGATGGCAAGAGGCCCGAAAAAGACATCGCCTCAGACGAACGGCTTGCAAGGGAAATCCAATATCGTGTCCTCACACGCCATCTCGTCCCCGTGACCCGATCCTTCTACCACCGCACCGCCTTCCAGCTCCCCGGCGACGCTCGAGTCCGAATTTCACTCGACACTGAACTCACCATGACGCGCGAAGACAACCTAGACGGCCGCCACCGTGCGGGAGACAACTGGCGCCGCATGGACATCGGCATCGACTGGCCCTTCTCCCAGCTCCCCCCCGAAGACATCGAGCGTTTCCCCTACGCCGTTCTCGAAGTCAAGCTCCAAACCCAAGCCGGCCAAGAACCCCCAGAATGGATCCGCGAACTCACCGCTTCCCACCTTGTCGAAGCTGTCCCCAAATTCTCCAAATATATCCACGGCACCGCAACACTGAATCCTTCGCGAATTAAACTCCTCCCGTATTGGGCTCCACAAATGGACGTCGATATCCGGAAAGCGGTGAGCCATAAATTTGGCATCGAAAGACCGGGCGCAAGCAACGATATTAGCACGAGCGGGAACTTGGGCGACGATAGCGAGGACGAAGACGCTACGAGCAGCCTACCCACCATTGCTGGCCATGAGGAAGACGAGGGGATTCGGCGACTCCGTGAAGCTCGTGATACCTTGGAACAACACAACATCGAGCAACAGCGCGACTACGGCACTATAACCAACGGACAAGGCCCCAATGCCTTAGACATCGAGGAACGGATTTCCGCACCGCCTCTGCTGCAAGATGATTACCCGATTTACGACTCAGAGAGTGAGGACGAGGATCTGGAAGAGATGAGGAGAGTGGGCGGATGGTATTATAGATCGAAGTTGATTCAGCAGAAAGCCAAGGACTTTGGAAAAACTGTACTTGAGGTGGGGAAGATGCTGATACCGCGTCCTAGGCCAACGAATGTGGCGGGTAATGGATCTAATCTCGGGGTCCCGAATTGGAAACAGCCGGGTGAAGTAAAGCGCTTCAAGGCGCCGAAGGGAAAACGTAAGTCCCATATACCCCTATCTCCATCCCCTTCCCTCAACTCCCTCCTAAACCCCATCCCAGGCATCCATGTCCCCGTCCGCGTCGAACCCAAAGTCCACCTAGCCACCGAACGCACTTTTCTCTCCTGGCTGGAGTTCAGCATCCTCCTCGGCTCCATCGCCGCCACCCTCCTCAATTTCGGCGACGACCTCGCTCTCGCTGCTGCATGGGCGTTCACGATTGTGGCATGCTGTGCGCTGTTTTATAGCGCCGGGTTGTATTTGTGGAGGGTGAGGATGATCAGGAAAAGGAGGGCGGTTACGTATCATGATCGTTGGGGACCGACGTTGCTTTGTTTGGGGTTGCTGGCCGCAGTGGGTGTGAGTTTTGGGTTTAGGATTGCCGGAGGGGGTTGGAAGGGGGGGTTGAAGGGTTGATGAGTGGAGGAGAGTAGTTGATGATCTGGGTGGAGTTCATTGGCTAAGGGGTACGGGAAATTGTATCATAGGCTATTTTGGATGTCCGTATTGCATTGCTCGCATAGAATCACGCAAGATTGCTTTCGAATTGGGATATTCTTGAACCCAGAAACCAGATTTACTGTACGTTGTTCTACATGAGAGGTAAGGAAAAGCCAAACAGATTGAAAGACACGATCGGAATTCCATCTGACGGATCATGCTGCCGAACTCCTAGATACTTTTCCTTCAGACTTTCCATTCCTCCATCCCTTCCTCCTATTCTCACATGCCCCAACTTTCGCTCTTCTCTCCGCCTACGCAGTCTTCTTCTTTCCAATACTCATATCCAAACTCCCCACCACCCACACCACCGCAAACACCGCGAACATCCCCAGGGTAATCACCACAGGCTTCCTGAACCCCGCCGTCCAGGGATAATCATACGTAACCACCAACTCCCTCTCCCTAAAGTCATCGACTAAATTAATCGCACTCAAACTCAATGTCGTTCTACCCAGTGTATCCATAAACGTCTTATGCAGAGTGATCGCAGTATCGACTACAGGGACAGTGGTCGAGAATTTCACGTTCATAGCGCCTTCGGGGAGCACGACGCGGACATGGACACGCGCGTAGCTAATGCCTTCGGGCATGCGAGGACCTTCGAGAAAAGGCACTTTCAGGACGTAGGATTCCCCTGTAGAGAGTCTGCGCAGGTACGAGGAGAGGTCGGCGTCCCAGCCGACGCGGAAGCTGTATTTCCAGCCACCAAAGACTGGGTAACGTGGGCGGAGTTCAAGATGGGCTTCCCGAACTCCGGGACGGAAGCGGGAGGTGGATACGTTGCCGATGTCGTCAGTGAAGTAGGGGTTCAGGGCCCCGGGGTGCAAGGGGAGAGGGAGAGCTTTTAGGGCCGAGGTGGGCGGGTTCATGTACGACGTTTTTTGCCATTCTACACGTGAGAAGTGGTTTTTGAGAGAGGCGCCGAGGTTGGAGAGCCAGTACCGCTCTTCGGTGGCGAGGTTCCCGCCCCAGTGCGAGACTTCGATATCGCGTTCGAGGAGAGAGGCGTGGGTGACGGGCTTAGTAAATTCGTAGCGTACGCTGACGAGTTCCTCAGCACCTGCTGGGATGTTGTTGTAGGGCCCATAGGTGAAGGTTGAGCCTTGCTTTTGCGGGTCAGGTTTCTTGTCGGCGTTGAGGTCTGCGGGGAGGCTTGTGTAGTCGGGGACATCGCTGTTTGGGAATTTTATCTTGGTCTTTTGCTTCTCAGTCACGTAGGCGGAGGGCGTGTAGGCGCTGAAGGTGTATTGCAGGTATTGTTTTGAGCTCTGTTCGATTTGCGCAGGGACGGGGCTTAGAGCAGAGAGAACGGAATACGAGATGCTGATGGTTTGTTGTTCCTTCGGCTTGAGAGGGGTAGGCAGATGGATGAGGTAGAATTCGGTGGGACTGTTTTGGCAGATGTTAGCTGTGCTCAGGATAATTTTCAGATTGTTGGGTCCTACCTCTCCGTATCATACTCCACGACCTCAACCTTGAAAATCCCCTTCTCGGGCGCCTTCTTATCCTTAACCTCGAACCCTCCGACTCTTGATATCAGACCAGATTCGAACGGCAGGTAGTACTCAGACTGCGGTTTCGAGTCCACATTCTCAATTATAACATTGATAGTTTCCCGTGGATACGATTTATCCAAATTGGTTGTCCGGACCAAATTGGCATTCTTAAAGACCTGCGGAGGCTTGAATGTTGCAGGGAGCACCTGCTTCGACAGCAGTGGTTGCGAGAGATTGAGCTCGGCGGAGACGAGGGTTGAAAGAGCTGTTAAGCAGCTGGAGAAGAGGGGGAAAGACCTCATTTTGGGTATCAATGCGATTGCCCAGGCATGAATGAGGTTGTGGGAGAAAAGGTGGGTGAGAGATGAGGCGCAAAGGGTTCCTGGACAATTGCGTATTTCGGGGGAGCTGAGGCGTCGTGTTCACTTCGGTCGGGCATTCTGCCGTCGCAGGCCGCCTTCCACTCCGCGGTTGCCAAGACCTCCGCTCTGCAGCTTCACGCCCTGTGATTGATGATATGAGACTCAGAGACGATGTGACGCCGCGGGTTTTTATATCTGCTTCAATCGCCATGGCATTGATTTCTAGACCCATTTCTAGACCCATTGCGAGGCCTCGCCTACATTTACAGCTGCTGTGCAGGGCGTCGTCGGCTTCTCGACGCTACCTTACGAATAACGGCTTCTTCAAAGTCTCGGAGGAGGTACGTGACGCCATACATTCGAAGAAGCCTGTCGTAGCTCTGGAGACAACGATATATACTCATGGTAGCATTTGCCCTCCTGATTTTGCTCAGTTTGCTGACTTATCCATAGGATTCCCATACCCAGATAACGTGGCACTTGCCACTTTCCTCGAATCCGTAGTCCGAGTCAATGGCGGCATCCCCGCCACTATCGGGATCTTAGACGGTGTCGCTCGCATCGGCATGAGTCCTGAGGAGCTCACTCGTCTTACCGAATCCGCAGGTCACGAGAACACATTGAAGTTATCACGAAGAGATCTAGGCTATGTCTGCGGCTTAAGATTAGCTGGTAAGCAATTCAATGGCGGCACTACCATTGCCGGGACAATGCTTCTCGCATATCTCGCCGGCATAAAAGTGTTTGGTACTGGGGGACTGGGTGGAGTCCACCGAGGTGCAGAGAGTAGTATGGATATCTCTGCGGATTTGACCGAGCTAGGAAGAACGCCTGTTGCTGTTGTGAGCAGCGGCTGCAAGAGCTTTCTTGATATCCCTCGGACGCTCGAATTCCTAGAGACCGAGGGGGTGGGAGTCAGTACTTTTGCGGACGGCCGACAAGGACATGTGGATTTCCCGGCTTTCTGGTCGAGGGATAGTGGGGTTAAGAGTCCGACGGTGATTAACAACGAGATTGAAGCTGCTGCAATTATCCGTAGGTTCTTTCCTCTTCCCTTATGTAGAATTAATGCCCTCTTTCCAAAGTCATACGTTTCCCTTAATTGATGAATCGTGTCTTATCAGTATGGCAGATGCGCAAAACTCGCTTCAGATATCGTCTGGCCTGCTGTTCGCGAACCCCTGCCCAGCCGAATCAGCAATCCCGAAGGACGCCATGGACTCCATAATCGAAGAAGCCATTCGACAAGCCGATGCCTCGGGTGCCTCAGGCAAAGACAACACCCCATTTATCCTGAGCAAGATCAAAGAACTCAGCGGCGGCAAGAGCATACCCGCGAACAGAGCGCTCATCGAATCAAACGTCAGGAGAGCTACCATCGTAGCCAGGGAGCTTGCTGTATTAGAAGCAAAGCAGGACCAAGCCCAAGGGTGAGAGCCAGACACTCTTGATGACAACCGTAGATACTGGCGCTGATCGTAAGTATATAGCCGTGGCTATGCATACTTCACTCCTGATCAGTCGAGCACTGTCTCTTCCTTAGAAGCTACTTCTATAACCGCACCTTCATCTCCTCCACAGACTGCCTTAAGCACCGCCCCAGCGTCACCAGTCGAGATCATTGTGGCTGGAGCCCTTGCCGTCGACTTTTCTTGTGATTACACTCCACTTTCGAGCTCCACCGTCCCAATAGATCCACAGCCTCACACTTCCAATCCAGCAGTCATCACTCAAACTCTCGGCGGAGTAGCACACAACATTGCCAAAGCAGTACATTTAATAGGCTTCCCCGTGCGTCTTTGCAGCGCTATTGGAAATGATCTGAGTGGAAGAGCTGCTCTGAGCCAACTGCAGGCTGAAGGCATGCTTGCCGATGGTATCAAAGTCCTGGCGCCTCCCAGCCGGACTGCCCAGTACGTGGCAGTCAACAATGCTCATAAGGAACTCACTCTTGCCATGGCCGACATGAGCATCTTGGAGGCAAGCACTTCTGAAATTGTTGAGAAGGCGTGGCTATCGTCTCCCACCAATGCTAAACCGAAATGCCTCATTGTCGATGCAAATTGGACCACAGAAACGCTCCACACCTGGCTCCGGTATGGGAAATCTATTGACGCTCTTACAGTGTTTGAGCCTGTCTCTACTGCTAAGGCCTCCCGTCTCTTCTGCACTCCTTCGGATTCCCATCCTTCTGCCGTCTATCCCAACCACCTCGTCGACCTCTCAACCCCGAACTTTCACGAACTTACAGCTCTTCATGATACGGCTCATCGCCTAGACCTCTTCAATCTCCCAGCGTGGTTTCGCACCATCGATGCTCTTGGGATACCTTCTACTGGCCTACGTATTGCCTTATCGGTTACGACGTCGCCGGAGCTCGTGGATCAGGGGATCCCGCAACAAAGCATTAAGCTCCTCCCGTTTATACCTACGATTCTTACAAAACTAGGACCGAAAGGTGTTCTTTTGACGAAACTTATAAAAGCGAATGATCCGGCTCTTAGTTCGCCTGATGAAGCACAATATGTGCTTTCACGAGGCATGAGCGGGGACTCCGAAGTAGGCGGCCTTTACGTCCGCTTATTCCCTCCAGAGAAGATCCTAGGGCCTGGCGAAGTCGTCAGTGTGAACGGCATTGGTGACACATTCCTCGGCGTTCTATCTGCTGGATTGGTCAGGGGAAAGAAAGTTGAGAAAATGGTGCCGCTAGCGCAGCGAGCGGCCGTGTTGAGTCTGAAGAGTCAAGAGAGCGTGAGTCCCGATTTGAAGACGTTGAGGAGCGAGATTGGGGGGTTGTGAAGGCCTCGTCACACTGTTGAGCCGACTTGACGCGGACTTGCATGATGGAGATCTCGGTGGGTGACTCGGTCCGCTTTTTCATCATCTTTGCACCAGATCAGCAAAGTAGTGGCGCAATCTCTTCAGCTGGAATTGGCGAGAAGGTCAGCGGGGGTGGGCGTAATTGACGAGGGTGTAGCAAACAGATCTCCTAGTGTAAGGTTGATTTGTGTGACTGAGTGATTAAGCGGTGAGTAGCGTTGGTGTTCGAGGTAGGTCTGGCGTTTGCTTATAAGCACGCTGGGGATCTTTTCGAATGTTAAAAGAGGACTTATAGTGCATTCGTCACCGCATCATTCATTGCCCTGTTGAGTCCGCTGTCACTTGTCTTCGTTCTACATACTCCCTTCAACAAACATTCCAGCTACGACCTCCTTCACAATTACATGCTGTAACAACCTTTCAATCAATATGAACCACAACTCGAATCCGACTCAACCACATTACGTAGGAACACAGACAGCGAGCGGCCACCATAAGCCACATCTTGTAACTAGAGACTCCAACACTTGTCACTTCCTTCGCCGTTACTACGCCACTCTCCAACAAGGCCCAAAGAGACATCGTTCCCATTGTAGCGAAATGGGGATAGCTCGACGAAACGGCGTATGCGCTTCCCAGGACGATCATGAACGGATACCACAGTACGCGGGAGCCATCCACCCACCTCGTCAACTTGATTCGACGATTACCCCAAGGCGCTTTTCCCACACACTTTGGCCCGAGTATCTGCCTTTACTACAAAACCAGTCCAACCAGTCCAACAACCGCTCATTTCGCTCCATCATCTCACCAACAACCCCCCGATACCCACCTATACTAACGCCCGGCCAACCTCCACTCCGACCAACACAGTCCCACCTACCGATCTACCTTCTCTCCTATAGTCGAGTCCACTGTCCTGATTCCCAGTATCCAGACCTCTTGTCTTCTCTACTCCCATCCGGCGTCCAACACCTCTATACCATTTACTGCAAGGACTTCCAGAAACCGCCGAGAGAACTGTGGAATGACTTCTCAGGCACCCATCCTATAATTCAAGAATTTGTGTTGCTGGATTCGAGGGCGAGGGAGGCGGTAGGGAGGGCGGTGGCGGATTTGGTGAGGGCGGTTCGGACTTCGGAGGAAAGGGCTAGGTTGAGGGGCATGGGAAGGGGGAGAGGGATAAAGAGAGAAGAAGAGGGTGGGAGAGTGACACGGTCTGCGGGTAAGGGCTTCCAAGGAGGGCATGGTGGGAAAATATATGAAGAGAAAGGGTACGAAGGGCGGAGTTGTGCGGGTGTGGCACTAAGTGCATGCTGTGGAGCTGGTACGCATAGGAGTGTGACAGTAATTGAGAAGATTGCGAAAGAATTGAGAAGCCTGGGGTATTTGGAAGTGAGGGTCATACATATTCATCGGGCGAGGAAGATGAATGACCCATATTAGTCGGCACTTGTTTGGGAATGAAGGTTTGGATATAGAAGGTCACTCCACTGCCAACTGTATGTTTGGGGAAGAGGTCACAGTCAACTTGCTGTGATTCTCCGCGAATATTGAAGGATTATTTCTAGTCCAGGTCCGCTATGATGGCGACTTTTCGTTGAGCGGAACTAAGCAAGTGGGCTGGTTTGAAACAGATATCTTGTGCCTTCCCTTTCTCCATCTACTAAACAACCAGCCTGGTGTCCACATAGTGAGATTCTACACTCCCCTTCTCCTAATAACAAATCTCTCCCAGTTCGAACTCCCAGCCAGGCCCTAAAATCTCGGTCAGAGAATCCAACTAGCTATCCCAACCGTCATCATCTAGCTGTTTTAGCTCTCGACCCCATAGCCATCTTCCCACCTATCTCTCCCATGAACCTACCCTCTAAGCTCCATCCACATTCGCATCCCCATCCCCTATTCTCACAACCTACACCTCCCTCAGCTACTACTGGTCTTCAGGTGTTCTCCTTCGATGCAAACGTGTTATAAAGACCCTCACTCCGTCTAATCTCCCTTTCCCTCAGTTCTTCTAACACGTCAGAAATCCTCTCCGTTACCGCCACCTAATCTCCCAAACTAAGTCAGCAACCAAAAGCCCCAAAAATTCTGTTCAGGGGACAGGGGATCTTAACCCACACTCCTATGCATCCCTAAGCGCGCATAGTAGCCAAACCCACAGCTCTACATACCTGATTCAATGCCCTAAAAATATCACGTACCTCCATCTCAACAACCACCCAAGCTCGTGCATCTCGCTCGCTCGCATCGCATATTCCTAGAGTTCGGGATCAGCGCCACTGAATCAGGTTAAAAAGCGATCAGAAGGAGGCGTTATGTGCGCGCAGTAAATTGCTGGAAGACGTGGGTCCCGGGCGGGAGAGTGCAGTTGCGGCGATGGCGCTCGGTGTCAGAAGAGAGGATGTAGATTGTCGGTGGTTGGGACACTTGGCTGACGGATTTTAATCCTATCTGTCGCGCGTACATTTTATCCGCCTATATATATTCTTCTGCTATGCTTTGTAGGGAGATTGACCTTTTGCCACTTGCAACACTATCTCTAGTCTTAGTCCTCGCCCTGGTCATGGTTCACGCTCTAATCTTAGTCCTATCTCTGGTCTCAGTGCACGCATTAGTCCTAATCTTAATCTTAGTCTTGCGTTTGGGAGAGATATTTATATGTCGTGGTCGTCGCCACAATTTTGGTTGCTTATAAGAACAGGGTAAAGATTTTTAGGGTTGTGGTGTTTTCCCTGGGGAAGCCATGTATAAGTTAATTCAGGGATACTTAACCTTGGGCTTAGGAAATTAGGAAATTAGTGATCTGTGTGTATTTACCTCCATCTCTTCTCCTCACACCTACGCCTACGTTCACGCACATCTCCCCCCTAAAGTCAGCCACATCACAGCCTTATATAAACTCCAAAGGGCTCTCAATTTCCCATGAACATTCACCATTCATCTAACCCCACCCTTCTCCCTCCTCCCCCCTAATCCCAATCCCCATCCTCCGCAAATCCCTCACACCCGCCCTCCGTTCTCTACTCTATCTGCTGTGTAATAACCTCCACAGCAGTGACTCTCCTATGCGTCCCCTGAACATAAATTGTTATGGCGGTCATCTCCACCTCACTAATAGCTCGATGAACGGCGTCCTGCATTATATAGTGTTGAATTGTCGGGTGGACTCCGGAGTACTTGGGTTGGGATGGTGGTGCGGGGGAAGCTAGCTCATACGGCGGATTAAGGGGGTGACTAGAACCCCTGGTGGAATAGCATGTTCGAGGTCCAGGTGGATGTACGGGTGTATTTGGAGAAGTTGAGTACTGTAGGAAATTAGGTAGATTGCTGGCATCGCGTCGACTCTGTGGGCAAGCAGCGCTTCTGTTCCAGCTTTTTGAGGTGTTGCAGCGAGCTGTGTTTGGGAACTCGGTTGTGCAGTATGGAAAGATTGGGCCTTCTGGATAGACTAGCCCTGATACAAAGCGTGGCAATGGCTTCTTAAGGGTCGTTCACCTCAGTAATATGTAGTGTGTGATCACATGTTCAACACTGAAAACAAGGAAGAACTCTGGGAGCTACAGTGCCTACCTTTCACCAACCTAATCTAATTCCTCCTAACCTATGCGTTCACACGTTGACTCCCTTCCAATACTCGGGTTCATGAAAGCCAACCAATCCATTCGACCTATCCCTTTCTACAGTGGACATAAAAGCGTGCCTAGGTATATCCATACCCTCGCTCTACAGCGCCAACCATGCATGAACGCTGAACCTATAAATCTCGAACCGTAAAAAATAAGAAAAGAATTAAAATATACTTTTTCTAAACCACATCTGCACCCACACCCTTTGTCCATATATCCTTACCAGATGCTCTAAATGTTTCTAGTTACTACTATTTCTTGTTCTCCAGTCCTAACTTCTCAATCGCCTTCGCACCACCATCTTCGCCTACATCTACCTTCTCCTTGTCCCCTCCTTCGACATGGCCATCTAGTTGGGCTGTCACCTTTTTGGGGTAGAAAGATCCTTTGTCTTTCTTCTTCTTTTCTTTTTTGGGTGGAGCGGGAGGCGGCGGGTAGGCTTTTGTTTCTATGTCCTTCCACTCAGGGGAGGCTTGGAATTCGGCTTGGATGGGCTCAAGGAGGGAGATGAGGGCTTCTGTGACGGCGGGTTTGAGCATTTGTGGGGTGAGCTAGATCAAAAATAAGTATCTGAGACGTGGAAATTTTTTGGATGAGGAAGGAGTAGAAGCGTGGAAGAACATACCACATCAGCGACATAATCTTTCTGCATCTGCTCGATATCGGTGTAAACCAGGGGCTCCGCATCTCTCCTCTCGACCACAAACTTCTGCGTTCCATACTTCAGACTACTCGCTGGCAATAAAACATACTCAGCGAAGCTCAGAATGCCATTACCCTCGACCGTCTGCGGCGGTGCGTACGCCTTCTTCAACTTCTTCCGCACCACCTCGGGCGTATCCAGCAAATCAATCTTGCTATCTGGGTCACTCGCGCTCATTTTACCACCCTGCAGTCCCGGAACCATAGGATTCATTAAATGGGCGCGCTCCTTGAAGCCCACACGCGGCAGCACTTCCTTAGCAAGCGCAAAAATTTTCCGCTGATCCACCCCCCCAAACTGCGCGTCCACCTTCAAGTACTCCTCATCTAGTGCCTGCATAAGCGGGTAGATGAGTCCACTTAACGTCGCGTTCTCGACTTGCTTCACGACCTCGGCGCCGGCTTTCTTGGCATCGTGTTCGGTGACAATAGAGCTCAGCCGGAACAAATCCATGGTATATTCGGGGGTGAGTTGATAGGACGACCCGAACACGAACTCCAGTTTGTCGATCGGGACCTTCACGGCTTTCAGCAACGCGGTGATGACGAAGCGGTAGTATTCGGCGCGAAACTTGACGAGCTCGATCGGCGCTTTCAGGTTATCAAGGAAGCCGTGGATATCGGCGAGAAGAATCTTGATGTGGCATCCCGCTTGGAGAAATTGTGCGAGCTTGAGGACGGGGACGAACTGTTGTGGTTAGTTCAGGGTATGTTGTATGTGTGGGAGGGGAAGAGGAGGGAGTTGTACGTAGCCGCAGTGTGGTCGCCCCGTGGTCGCGGTGCCCCAGTAAATCTTCAATGGCTCGCCTTTCTTTAATATGGCTTCTATGATCTCGGGATTTAGCACCTCCTGCAGGTTCGTCGTAATCAGAGCCAGCTGCTGCTCCATGGACATATTTTCTGCCATGGTGGGGTTAAGCAACTGGGTTGAAAATTGCGATTGCAATTGAGGGTTCCGAAATTGGAAAGAAGGAGGAGATAGCGCCTGACGATAGGGACGTGGAATTATATGGTGTTCCAGGAGAACAATCACAGCACGCGCACAGAGCTGTTAGTAGGATTGTACTTGGGTTCCCAGGAGTCATACGGATCCGAAGTGGGCCCTTAGTATCTCTTCACCGCCTTCTCTTTACGGCTCTTAGATCACGTGACCGAAACCGAAACCGCTCCATATATCCAACCCCACATAAGTGTAAGAATTCAGTGGAGGATGAGACATGCAGGTGCTAGTGGTAGAATAAGCAGGTGGCACTAGAAATCTAAGTAATCCAATATCCTAGTATAGCTAGGATTGCATCCTTTGGAGAGCACATTCTCTATTGAAACACAAATCTCTCCTTCCCTCTTCTGACAAAGCGTATTGGGATGGTGTTCCCTCTCAATTGCAGTGTGATAATCGACCCCATAGTTCTCCTGAGCAAGTGATCCGCCCGATCTGCCGCCTTTTGCCAAACCTCCTGCCTCTCCTTTCCGCCCTTCGGCATCGCATCGACTTCTGCATCAGTCGCAAATTCATCTACTGCAAGCTCAACGCTGTAATGCTGGAATATGACAGCGAACACCGCAAGGATCTCTACTTGCGCAAATCGCCGGCCGATGCAGGACCGGTAGCCGTCGCTGAAAGGAATATATGAACCCTTCACAGGTTTGAAGAGATGTGCTGAGGTGTCCGCACCAGATGGCCCCCGAAGATCTTCGTCGTCGAACTTTGTGTTCTCCATTGCAGCAGCTGGAGGTTCCTTGGTATCTACGAGCCATCGCTCTGGTCTGAATCGATCAACGTCGTGTAAGCCGTCTTTATGGTTACTGTCAGACGGTGAAGGCCAGTACTTAGGATTTCGGTGAACAGCGCAGCAAAGAGATATATGGGTATTCTCGGGGAATATATGGGTCCGATTACCTACCGTGACAGGCTGCGGTCGGCCAGGAGCAGTTGATTTCGGGATGTTGATGATTGGCTGTAGCAGTCGTAAAGTCTCGTTCATAACGGCTGCAGCCATGCCATTGAACAATCTTGGAAACTCCTCCTCAAAGGTCCACTCACTAATCGGCTTTCCTTGCAGCGTCCTGTCGAGGTCCTCTTGTAGATTTTTTTGAGACTTCCGGTTCACTGCTAGGTAAACTAAAGAGAAGTGAAGTGCGTTCGCTGTAGTTTCATGACCTGCAAGCATGATGACGAATGCGTTTCCCAGGAGGTCACTCTTTTGGAGATCAGTCTTCCTTACGTTTGTTGAGCTGTCAAGAATGCCGCTTCCTCGTATGAGTGACCCGAACAAGTCCATTCCCTCAGCGCTCTGTCCCGAGGAAACCTCCGCCTTTTTGGCTTCGTACAGTTCATCCATATACTTGCCCCACTCTATGACTGCTGTTCCAACGGTCCGGTGGATTTTGAAGGGTGATTTTACTGTTGAAATGGTTAGAGAATGCTCCGGAAGTCTGAAAATGGCTCCCATTGAGAAAGTGGGGGGGGCTAGCTTGAACGGGGGAAAACTTAAGAGGCAATGGAGACTCAAACTTACAAAGGTATTCGGGTGGTCCCATTTGGGTCCACATAATATTCTCCAGGAGTACGCTTAGCGCCTCCCGGTAATTCATCTTATGTCCAGGAGGGATTTTAGATCCCACCAGAAGAGGGTCAACGACAGAGTCGCTTCTGGCTCGTTGCTCTTTCTCTTCGTGTGGCCAGACAACTCGAACATCAAAACCAGCACGACTAATGACATACAAAGCGAACCTCATTGTGTCTGTAGCTGGATCATTCACCGTCTTATTGCCACTGCCATTAGGCCCGGTCCACAGCCTGAGGAGGGACTGCGCATGATGCAGTGATTCTAGGAAAACGAGCTCATTGTTCTTGTCTCCAAAACTTGGTGCCGTGAGCTTCCTGTGCATACGCCAGGCTGGGCCTTCAGTCGAGACGACATTTTTTCCATAGATGTCAAGCCGTCTATACATCTTAAGTGGCTTTGGGAAGTCATTTCGTCGCGTTGTGATTTGAGTGATAACCTCAGCATCTGCGACAAATGCCTGGATTCTGCTGGGTGATACAGCAAATAAGATATCTGACCCAACCTGCTCGAATGGCTTGTATCCTACTCGATAAGCCCACTCTGGATCCAGCAATCTATGTTGCCGCGTGGTCAACTCAGATAAAGTGGATGTGAACGGAAAATTACCTACTGTAACCAGAGGCCATGGCAAAATACCGGAAGTTTTTGCAGGAGCGGAAGCCACAGCGGGTATGTTGCGAGCCAAAACACGGAATACACATTCCATGGCATTACGACTACAGGGAAGCCTGAGGATTTTGCGGCAGCTAGATTGCGAACGACATTACGGTAACGGTGCACCAGAAACCAAATGACGACTCCAATTGTGCCAACCGCTAGAGAAGAAGCCATCGCGTCCTATGCTGTGGCACGCTTGTGCGGGGAAATTGAGGGCAAGGGGTTCCGAGATTATGTGAATGAAGAAGACTGTAAATGCATTAAGCCAGGTAAGTAACTCAAAGGAGGCGATACAATTAAGGCAGGCGATGAGTGACGCTCGCAGCGTGGAGAGGGTCGAGGTGAGGTCGCGCTGACTTGTTGTGACGTTGACAATGTTGGTCGTGCCCGCCTCATTAGCGTTTGAAGGGGTGCAGACTGGCCATTGAGCGTCTCAGTAATCAGAGTTCTAAATTAAGAACATCGAATCCCCTATCGACGCCTCAGAGAAGAAGTGCCTACGATGCACATGTTCTCTGTGGTTTTGTTGTTTATCTCAAGAGACATACTCTGGGCTGGAGAAGTAGCTCTCGAGACCTGCCAGTAGAGCGAGCTAATGGCGAAGCAAAGAGTTATACCTAGAGCGGACTAGCCTGTGTGACAGTTGCTGACTCCTTAGCGCTGTCGCAGAGCTCTCCGCACATTCCTCCTCTGCAGAGCTGTCACATTTTGTGAAGTTCCGGCAAGGGCGGCCTCGAATCCAAATGCATCGCACACCGCGTGTCGGTCTGGAAGTGTCGGATGCTGCACTGTGGCACCAAGATCCCCATGGATCGCCCGCGTAACAGGTGAAAAGCAACTTCTCACCAGTCAACAGAACGAAAGAGTGCCTCCACGGCAACTACGGCTGGATTGCGGAAGCTAGATATGGCCGCTGCAGCAGGAGAGGAGGGGATAAATATTGTCATCGTTCCACTTGTGAAGCCTGCCGCGAGCATATCCGCTCAATCTTATGCCGTCCCACATCGACCTTAAGTACGAATTGAGTCGCTATCGCATCCTTGATGCACAGCGCCCACAGCAGCTCCAGCCTGCCTTCAAAGATGTAGATGAGACCTAGGATAGAATTCGGTAGGCTAGCTGTCTACAGGCAGTGGACTTCCTCGTTGACTCTTGAGTGTCAGAAAACGTCTAAGCGTCCACTTCGTTTCGGAACGTTTTCTGGAAGGCGAGGATATTGCGGCAGAAAGCGACAATTGGATTCAAAGCCGACTTTCACTGGCGCCTCGATCCCCTCGTGGCTCTTCGGCCCACGTGGGTTTGCTTTTTCATAACAGGGGGCTGAAGGTTCTTGGTGGCTGATCGCTTAATCTGATTCGTTGCAATGAGGGTCTGCTCCTCTTTGGTCTCTCGGAAATATTGTCATGAACACCAGGGGAGAATCAGTTCATAGTTTAGTCCAGCCTCACCGCATCCATATACCTGTCCTCGGCAAGCTGAGTGACCCGGTCAGGTCGGTTGGTTATTTGACCTGATGCTCAGCAAGGTCTTCTGGTACCGATGAGGGTTAGGATGCAACGCCTCTTGTTATATCACTGATTTCTTTCTGGCAGCTGACCAGCCCCCAGCTTTTGTCTTTCTGAGTCTCCGCACGATACCGGAGCTGGGAAGAACAGGACTGTAGTCATGTCATTTTGCCGTTCGGACCCGCGAATGCCCTGGATGAATCCCGGTTCGGCTACATTGCTAGCTTGAATGTCGCACCGACCTGGTGATGCTGGGCACGGAGGGAGTACGTGACGGTAACAGAGCTTGAATCAACAATTCCAGAAACTCGACGTCACAGCTTGACTCGACGGCGGAGTTTGGGCCTCGAGAAGACGGGATTGCCCAATTCTTTAAAGTCAATGATGGACTAATCTTCTCGAAGCTAATGGAGGGTTTCGGCCACTCTCCGGGGTGTTATCCTTGAGATGACAAGAATAGGCCAGGTCTTGAGATACCAGCGTCATAGCGAGGGCCAGCTATACACAGGTGACCTCGGGCCGGCCAGAAACGGCTCCAGCTCATAAGATCGAGCTACGGTTGTGCGGTCACTTCCAATGATACAATCTTGCTACTTGCAGGTGGCAGCGGACAGACGGGTTCCAACCATGGTCACTTGAATTGTCTCAATTTTCAAAACGACGAGATGAATAGGTGTCGACATCGTCTTCAGCTATCTCTGGCGCATCGCTTTCCCCATGTCTTCTCGAAGCCCACTTGTGGCCCGGGTAAGACGCTAAGCGGGAGGTTGATGCTGAATCACCTAGTGAGAATCGCAATGTGGGGCGTCTCCAGACCGTAACTTTCACGTTTATGCGCTGGGAATCTCTCTCAACGCCCGGACGGTGCTTGGACGCGCTCATCTCAGACTCGCACAGCTGGCGGCGCTGAGTCGCTGCTCTGGAAATTATCCGACGCGGCGAGCGCAGTCGTGATGTGCTGATGCTGCTCCTGGACTGGCCTCTCGGCGGAGGAGCGCGCACAAATGGCGAAACAATGAACTCATATCTGTGCGCCGACATGGGCCATGGCTGTCTCTCGGGCCCATCACAGTGCCCGACATGATGGTGTTGACGGCCGTCGGCGGGATGCCGGCCGCAGAGCATCCGTGGTATTAGGGCGGGAACAGCGTTTGCTGTCAGTGGCAGTAGTCGTCGGCGGCGGCAAGCCTCCGGGTGCAAGTACTGCACAACCTGTCGAGCGCAATGAAGTGACGGAGGGCAGTTTGATCGTCTGGCCGCGGTGTCTGCTCCAGTTGCTTGCCGGCATCTCGCATTCCGCACGGCTCGCATTGAACACCAAGCGTCGTCGCTATTTTCCAAAGCTCCGGGACTGGGTTTGATGGCTTGAGAAGGCTTTTCTGCCCAGTGCCCGCAGCGCTCAAGCGACACCACATGAATCGTGCGCTGCGAGAGACGACAGAGCAGTGAGGGTCGTCCTCGCTCGCCCAGCCCGTGGCGGCCCACTCCATCAATCTCACTGACCACACTGACCCCATCCCCCATCCCCAAACAGCACTCCCCAACCCACCCACGCTGCTTGCTGCCTGCTTCGCGGTTATTCTCGCTGCGCCTAACCCTCTCTTTCTGGCCCCGCAACTCGCTCGCCCTCAGGAGCCAGGGCCCGCAGCAGTACTGTTCTTGCCCGTGCTAGTGCGTGGCCAGCAACAAACGTCGACGCATAGACACTCTCCGTGTCAGCGCCCTCTTGTCGCTAGAATCGAGATCTGGCGCTGGCTTGTTGCCTGCTTCTAGTAACAGTCTCCGGTTCCATGGTAAGGTCGCGTTGTCGGCTGGGTTCTCTGCACGCCGCTTGACAGAGCTCCCGCTCTCCTCGTGCATCCCACAGGCTCTGCCCTACTATTCACGACACTGGCCTGCTCTGCTTGACTGCTGCCCTGCGACGCTTGTCAAACTCTTCACCTCCCCCCCAGTGATGATGCGGATTGGCCCGCAGTTGCTGAACATCTCCGATCTCTCCCATCACTGACGTGCTGGGTGAATTGCGCCCTTTGCCTCCGCTGCCGAGGTAGGCCCTCCACCACTCGTCCCCGAGACTGTGCTGGGCGTGGTCGTTTGAGCTGTGAGCACTGAGTAGTCATCAGCTCAAGTGGACCATCGCAGCCGCATGGCCTGAGCGGTCCCTCTGATATTAGGATGGAGGGCGGTGATCCGGACGCGCCCACCCAGAAACGTCCCCGTTTGGACTCGGTCAACCCAGTGTATAACGGCCTTCCCCCCCCTCAACCCGCTCGACACCCCACCGGCCAGGCCTCGTCTCCTCCCCCATCTGCCCGTCACTACCCAACCCACAGCCTTCCGCCTCCCTCCCAGCCGTACCCACCTCAAGGACATTACCAAGGCCCTTCACCCTCACCATCTCTTCCCTCAACCGATATTCGCGCCTACTCCGATCCTAGGAGCATACCGTCGCCCGGCCAGCGCACCCATGGCGTTACCGGTCCTCCCGTGACCCTCCCCGCGAGAACCATTAGCCAGGACAATATCGCCACCTACCGTCCTCCTGTGACTCCTCAGTCTACTGCCCCAGACCACCCAAGCTCGCGGTCCACCAGTGGTGAGGCCAAACTTCCTCCTGGCATGGACCATGGTGGCCACCAAACACCATGGCCCGTCAATCCAGAGCATCGCCATAATGGCAGCATTCCAAATGTGCCAAATGGTCTGCCCAACGGTTATCCGGTGGTCAGCCCTCAGCATGAGCAGCCTTATCAGACCCCTCTCCCGCAGGCCCAACACTTTGCTCAGCCTGTTGCGTATTCTCAAGGACCGTATATGAGCGGCCCAGCCTCACAGTACCAGCAGGCACATATGAGGCGGAAGCAGGTTCGAGCTACACAAGCATGCAATAACTGCCGTTCGCGCAAACAGAAATGTGACGAACAGAGGCCGTGCCAATTTTGCAAAGATAATCAGTATGAGTGCCAGTACAAGGATGTTCCTCCTCCGAAGTGAGTCACTCATTTCACCATTCATCATCCTGCTAACGATCCTTAGGCAAGATAGGACCATGATGCAGCTTCAAGACAGTGTGAATAGCGTCTCCGACATGCTAAAGACCTTTGTGGAAGGGTTTAATTCCTGGAAAGATACCGTTGAAAGCAGACTTCCCCCAGTGAGACCGGGTGATAACATGACAAATACTTCAAACCACCCTTCGCCCGAACAAATGCAAGGCATACGAGGTTCTTTCAGCGAACACAGTGGGTCAAGAATGCCTACTCCAGTACAAGGACGTGCACATCTCCGCAGAGTCAACAGCATGAAAATTGAGTCACCGGTCACCCTAAACTCAATGACGTCGCCCATTCCTGCGCAGGGCTCTACCCCGATCAAACAAGAGTCCATCTTGGCTGGTCCGCAGGCACCCGCTACCCCCGCTGAGAGCATAAGGGCTGATCATACCAACCTGAGCGGTGAAGACTCGTTGAGACCAGGAGAGAAGGCCGGCCTCCTCGGTGATCATACCACTCCTGCTCACCAGGTCCTAGAAGGATGGCCTTCCATGCAGACGTTCTGCAATGATATCCCCTACATGAAATGGCTTTTGGACAATGGACACAAAATTAGCGACTATCCCATGGAACTCGAGAAGCGCCGTGGCCTAATTCGTGTCTGGGGTGTTGGGGAAGGCCATGACCTGAATGACGGAGCCCAGGGTCCAGGAAGCCCTGATAGCAACGAGTCTGATGCCCCTTCCCCGGCAGCGGCGAGAGAAGGCCTTTGGGGAACGGGCGAAGCCTCTAGCCCTGGTACTGCGAGTGGTAGTACCCCCCGAGAGATCGACGGAAGCGTTGGCGGACTTGATTCGCACGGCAACTTAAAGCTTGATTCAGTGACTCTTTTCGAGCTCCACAAGCTTTACCACGATTATATGCACAATATGCACCCTTTTCTAAATCCCAGCAAGTTGAGGAAGATGGTGAAGGAATTCGGCGAGGCTTATAGTCCCGACTCTAGGAGCGCTCATGCGTTTTCTCCTGGCTCCGCCATACCCAGCCACGTTGCTGGCCAGAAGAGAAAACGATCATCCTTCGACACATTCTCGCCAGGAAGGGAGAGGCCAGGCCAAGATCCAATTGAGCGATCTCTTCGAAATGCGATCGTACTTCTCGTGTTGGCTTTGGGTAAAGTCTGTCAGTATCAGCAGCCATTACCAGCGCCTCAATGTGATAAGGGTATGGACATACCGGATCTGTTCAGTCGCGGCTCTCCGCATTCGTCTGGCGCTAGCTTCAACGTTGATGACGGGCAGGACAATCGGCCAAGGAACATCGATATCTTACCGGGAATGGCGTACTTCAGTTATGCGACCGATATCTTGGGCAACCAGCAAGGTGGAAATACCGTGGCCCACGCACAAGCCATGCTTCTGGCTGCGTTATACTTGGGCCAGTTTGCGCGTGTTATGGAGAGCTGGAGCTGGATTAATAATGCCTGCAGGGTCTGCCTCATTCTTATCAAAGAGTATGCATCCCATATTTCCACCTGTATTCCTTGAGCTCACGAAATTCCCAGCGATATGCCTAGGATCGACAGGGAATCTGTACTCAATCAGGGAAGGGAGCCCCCATTCCCACCGCATGAGCAGTACAGGTTGAATCTAGTCAAATGCGTGTACTGGACCTGCCTACAACTCGAAAGGTAGTGTTTGCCCCTCACCTTCTTGATACCATCTAATGATTTACATAGCGACATCTTGGCTGAATTGAGTAACCTCCCACCAAGTGATATCTCAAAGTACTCAGGCAAAATTTCATATCCTTCAGGAGTATATGAGAAGTTTCCGGAGACCATATCGTACAGTGATAGCTCAGAGCACGAAAGAGTCATGTGGATATATTCGAGCCAGATACATTTGCGCGTCATTCTTAATGAGGCACACAATGGCTTGTATGGAGCCGACGGTGAGTCACCCGTTTATTTCTTTCCAGTGCCTTCTGACATAGAAAGGTGAAGGGAAACGCAAACGGCTAGACAACAACAATCTAAAAGAGGTCGCTACCGCCGCTAAAGTCCACTCCGACATCTTATTGAGCTGGAGAAAAGTGCTACCCGCTGAGCTCGTGTGGGACGATAACGATCCCCCATCAACCGACCTCAACATCGCCAGGCTGCGCGCGAAGTTCTACGGAGGGCACTACATGATCCTAAGGCACTTTCTGTACATGGCTACTCACGAGATTGAGCTTCCACCCGGCCCACCCATGTCTCAGACGTCTGCCTGGTCATCACAACACAGTTCTCCAGCAGCCGTCATAGACCACAGGGCTACGCCAACAACCATGCACAGAACACTGATGGATTTCACCCATGACCAAAGCGAGATTCTCGATGCAGCGTTCCAATGCATACGGAGCGCGATTCAGAGTACTATTGCTTTCGACCGTGTCGGGGCTCTTCCCGAGGAGCCATACGAGAGGTATAAGGATACTGCAAAACACAGGCTCATTTTGACAAACATATTTGGTACTTTGCACGCGTAAGTTCACCTCGCCAACCTCAGCTGCTCCTGCTCATGACATATAGACAATTTGGGAACATGATTGTCCTCGCTGCGGTTTTCAAATCTCGTCTGCGATACCATCTGCCCAACGACAATCCGAAAGACCATAATCTCACCAAGTCGACATTGTCGAAGCTTTTAAACCGAACAATCAAAGTCTTAGGCACCGTCGCACCTAACTCTCCAGTATTGAAGATGGATGCCCAGATATTGCAAAATATCCAGAGGTTGCTCAACCTAGAAAACACAGACCTAAATTAAAAGGCCGGGCATGACACAGCAGACAACAGAACTCTTAAACCCTCTCAGGAACGGCTCCTTTTCTCCAGCTTTACCCTTTGTAATTCGTTGGATATACCCCTGAAGCAGCGTTTACTTGCTTCACGCTATTTTACTGTCCTTTACCGCACTACTCTCGGTGCGTTCTTTTTTTCATGTTTTTTTTTTTTTTCTGGTTGCACACATTGGGAGGCTAGCGCTCGATTTCACCATCATTTAACACTGCATTTGGCGGTTATTTGTCTTCACTTATGAAGTTGTTATACCCGTACTGGGCCTGGATTGCAATGGTCAGCAAATGGCTGAATTCGGAGGACGGGCAAAACGGCTTCGAGCTCCTCTCGAACGTCATACCGATGGTGGCTATCTGCTTTTCACATACACGCGTCCATTTCGGGATGGGATTCATGTATATTGGACACATGCTCCACAATGATCCGATTACGGAAGGATTTTGGTGCATTGGGCTGGAGGAAATTGGGATTTGGTATATAGGAGAGGCCGTTCATTGGAGCGCAAGCTTCACAGACTGGATGGGCTAATGTTGGGAGAGACAGTTGAATTTTGGGATTATTGGTTTATCGGAATTACTATTGGTATCTACTGTTAGCGTTCTGTCGCTCTACAGCGGGGGCTCGGCTCTTCTCAAAGCTCACACAACTCCCCCTGGAGGCGTCGATTTCGCAAGCACGGAGCCGAACCCTCTGCAATCAAAACTGGGCGCAGCAACAACCTGCTTCATCCCTGAAGGAACAACACGTGCCCAAAATTTCATGCGGGCCTCACCCCATCCTCCCGTCTTACCGCAGCATCCGCCCAAAATTTCATGAACAGCTCCCCACCTTTCCATGGATGTCTGAACGTTTGGCACTAAGCCCCTACCTCAAAGTTTTCTTCCAAGGTTTCGGGTTCCCCCAAAAAGCGTGAGCTCAAGCCCCAATCTTCAACTCTAACCCAACCCCGTCCCCCCACTAGAATCGTCTCGCCGCAAACGTTGGGTGCCGACTAGGGTGAACTTTATGAAGCGAACCAGTTTGTCCGCTCTTCCCGCTGCGGCCCCAGAGGCACCCGTTCCTGGTGTTGATGTTGGAAGCAAGATAAATTTGGTTGCCGCGATAGCCGTAGAGGGGACTCGGAGGCTCTGGTTGTGGCGGCGGAGGGGCACAAGTCGTGGGCTCGTGTAATATCGTTCACCTCTGAGATGCGATACGAGGGGCACGAAGTTGGTGGAGCGGCGAGGCGAGCTCTGAGCAAAGGTTGCCCCGTAACAAGAACAGGCCCCCTGTCACACGGATGGTGGGCCATCGTGATGAGGAGCACGCCGAGAATGTCACAGAGTAATTGGACGCGACTAGACACGTACCACCATGTCTCTAAGCTGAGAGCCCTGGCCCAACAATTGTTGCAATTGGGCGTCAAATGCTCAAGATGACCACTGGTCTTCCTGATAACGGCGATCGCCTGGCCAGTTGGGCATTTAGTTGTTGAAGGATTGCCCGCCAGCCTCCTTGTCGCCAATTACGGACCTACGCTCGCTAGGCGGGCAGCTGTCAAATTGCAAATCAATTTGGGTTCACCTTGTTTGAGGTGCAAGTTCAGAGCAGGAGCGGGAGGTTGGGCTTCTGCGCTGTTCTCCGAACACGTGAGCTTGAAATAGATTCGGCGAATGAAGTTTTTTGGTTCCCGTCCCGTTACGCGAACGTCAATCACCACTCTCAGAACCGTGCAGGAGTGATGGCCAGTCACACTCAAGGTTAAAGCTGTATTTGATTTGTTCTCGCTTCTTTCCCCTTTGCGAGATTGTACGACAGTCGGATCTCTAGTCAATTGTGACGCCTGCGGATCCGCATAGCCATCGTCATTATCAAAATCGATATCAAATCCAGTCCTCAGATGATGCTTTACGAAGATCACCACATCCCCTGATAAGCTTCACCGCAAAAAGTGACTGCAGTCTAAGCTTCATCTTTCTCGCTCGCTTCCGATCTTCTCGTCTCGCACGTCTCAGATCTCAGCTTCCCAGTCATGCTTCCCCCAATTGTTGATCCTCTCCTCCAACTCCTGAGTTCCCCAAGGAGATAATGTTAACGACATTGCTCAGACGCTGCCAGCCACAGTTCTACTGCCACGCCGGCTGTCTCACCCACGGCATTCGTCCTGTCTCTGCGAATTTCGGTGGGCTCTCACCTGCTTCTCAATATTTCTCATGGCACTCCAACGCAACCACCAGTCATCATTCTCCGCGACCCCTCGCCTCCGCATCCAGTGTGCAATCACCGATCAGCGCGCTCCTGGTGTCGACAGCGAGCGAGGCTCCGGCCACTGATTCGTTCTCAAACGCCCGTCTGCCGGCATGATGCAGATGCAGCCTGTCTCGCGCCGAGCCCGACCGGCGATGCAGAGGCCTCACCGCCTGTGCCGATAGCCGGTAGCCATAGCCGGTAGCCATAGCCGGAAGCCAAAGCTGACCTCCACTGGCTCACCGATCATCCCCGTCCAAAAGCAGCCTTCACCGAAGTCTTTCCGACAAATCGAGAATTCCAGAGGATTCATCCCCTGGACCCCGGATCAGAAACTGCAGATCATCCTGATGTGATTTCGACGAGTCAGCGTTCCGCCTCTCCTCCCACAATCCAAATGGCGATTCAGAAGATGTGAGGGGCCAGGTTGCGCGCAGGGTGTAGCTTGTTTCATGCGCCTCATTTTCTTCTTTAGCAGCTGCGCGTCATGACGACCAGTCGAGTCACGCAGTCGCAAAAACGGCGGATCGAACGGGGGTGAGGTTGCAACGTGGCACTTTGCAAAAGTGATCGCAGTAGATAACCCGGGGTCGAGGCCTGAACGTGGGCCTGAACGGTGAGTACAGCACTCTCTTCAAAACGAAATAGAAGCAGATATTGAAAGACCATGGTGTGATTTTTTTTTTTGGGGGGGTTTTCGCCCTGCTGTCGGTGGAACTCGATTCGAAACTGAGGCGTTGCTTTGATCACGGACAGGTAGGACAGCGCATTCTCCGAGCAAGGAAAGTCACCGTTCGTCCGTCTCGGAGGTCTTCTTTCCCTGACCGCTGTCCTTCGAAACAACAACCCCATTCCAAACCTTCTCCGCAATTTACACACGGTTTCCATTCAATTCTTAATGGGGAATCAATCAATCAATCAAGCCACTCTCTCGCAAAAAGGGTAAATGAGGCGTGCGATTTCCACGCCGACCGTCTCCACCACGCCCCACACCGCGCCCTCGGCTTCCTCATCTGCATCCATATCCGCGACTACTGACTCCAATTCTCTGGGTTTGGGATTCTCATCGGGGGGAGCTAAGTATGAGTGACAGCTGTCCAAGGCCTCCCAAACCGCGCAGTCGGACCTTCAGTCCTTGTGGACCCCGCGACTCAACACCATGGCGTGATTGTTGCGTGACGCAATTGCGTGATGAATCATGTCTGTGGCACTGGTCGCTAGTGGGAGCTACGGGTTGCGAGCGCATTGGAGGAATGTGACGGCACAAGTAATCCCGCATTTCATTCCTCTTGAAGGGGCGTCTTTGGTACCCTGCCTCAAAGCCTCCATTCAGCACACGCACTCCGCATCTGCCGTTCACGCGCACTTCCCATGCGCCCATTCTGGATATCTTTACGCGTGCGGCGAATTTCAACGACGCCGTCACCTTGCAAACAGACTTTTTCACAGGACTGCTAAGACGGGGAATTCGGGAGCAGCCGAGTCAGACTCTTATCACTTATACCCCCCCATGAACAGATTGCTGGCGCGAGCCACCGCACAGATATAATTTGTATGGAAGACTGAAGATTTGTGTGGAAGACGCACGGATAGCGCTAGCAACCCGCTCGTGAGAAGGCCCTGTACTGCGACTTCTGACTGCGTTCGAGTCACCCGTTGTGGACATCAGTTGCAGATTTTCCACCCACGAGTCCCAAAACGGCCCCAGGCCAGTCGGAGAGACATCGGCGATTGGAAACTTCAGCTGCAGGTGCTTGGTAGAATGTCAGCACGAACGACCATGCAGGAAGAATTGCAACGAATGCGAGAGCGACATGGAAGAGGTAGGATGGATCGTCGATTTGGAGTTACATCCAGAGACTACGTTTTGGAAATGGTTCTGTTAGTTCTGCACTTTTTAGCACTATCACACCAACAGTCAATACTAGAGATATTATACCCTCTTTAACTGGACGGTCATGTCTATAGATGCGTATCTTCGTAGGCGCTTTAGAATTCAGTCTCTAGATTCTGTGTGTGCTGCTGATATTATTATGAATTGAGAGGTCAGCCGAGAATACCATTATCAATTTCCGTAGATATCATTCTGTTGCAGTACAGCTGCAGTACCGAACTCTAACTACAATACGAAACCCAGGACAAAGAGCCCCCAACGAAACGCTATTGGATGCACTCCCTTCCAGTCACATATTCTTCCTCTTTCGACCGCGTGAATCTGACCTTATCTCATCTCCAATCATCCTTCACCGTCCTTTGGGGAATAATTGAGGATAGCAGTATAGCATCAACAAGAAGTATATTTTAGAAAGAGAAAAAGAGAAGAACCATGAGCCGCAGATTTCGTTTACATACACACGGGTTCAGGAATGAGATTAATGCAAGGTGTTACTGAAGCAGAGAAATCAGCATTCAGATGCCCTTACGGATTAGTAGTAGGTGGAATGATAAGCCCAGTGCAGTAAAAACACATTGCAACAATGAGATATTATCGTATCAACAAGGACTTTGTAACTCTCGACACCAAACTATTAAAATTCTCCAACCAACCAGGACAATTCAACAGTGATGGCCAATTTCCCCGACACGGCACAAACGCCATCAAATAGTACGTAAACTAAAGTATCTCTTACATCTTTCCTGTGAAGAGCGAATCCCCGTCATTCGCATTCACCTTGCAGCTACAATCCGCCCTGTTATCCACATACGAGTTCCACGTACCTGCAACATCATTCATTTCGCAATACTCAAAGCTACCGATATTGGTCGGCGACGTAGCATAGAGGCGAGCAGTTACATTTATATTTCCCCTCCGTTTGAGTCATCTTCCTTACAAGCGCCGTCTTTGCGGTGGAGTTTGACCTCTAGCTCGCTGCTGAATGTGCGGTCGGCGTAGACTGTTGGTGATGGAAGTGGTGGCGTAGTGGAGGTAGAGGAATAGCGAGCTACATAATCAAGAGATTTTAGGCTTGATTTCGCCGTATCCAAGAAGTCAAGAGCGCGTGGAATCGCGGTAGAATGGGCAGCCTGATGACGGCTCATCTCGATATCTCGGAACTCGATGCTAGCTGAGTAGAAGCCCCATCTTGACCTTTGAATACAGAGTGCATTGCCGACTGATGTAGATATGAGGGTCTGCAAGCAAATCGCGGTCTCCACAACTTCCACATTCTCATCTCGTGGAGAGAGATATGCCTTCCCTGCGTCTGTAAGGGTGAATGTCATAGGTACCGATGACTGAGGCCTTGATGCTAGCGTCCCCGAAGGGAAACACGCTATCAGTACCATGCTCAAATCTAAAGGACAGGTATTCGCGTTTGGATCCAGGATAGTGGGTTCCGGTTCTGTATAATCACGGTTCCTTCACAATTCCTTCTGGTGTGATGGAAGGGAGAGGGGGTGACTCATCCTGTGCTCATAACCGCGATCAAAACAGGAGAAGGCTCTGTTGTAGACGGGTGAGCATTGAAGGAGAGTGGCTGTCTTTCCCTGAGATTCAGACACAGAAAGGCTGGGCGGCAATGGCGACACCGCCCTTCTGAATTCGAGCTTCAGGGTCCACTGTGGCGGCAAGCATCATTCCTTACGTGACTGGGTCCTCCCGCTTTTTACTGAGTCTTCTTCAGTTGACAAGACTCCCACTACATATTCCACCCACGATGCTTGGAGTACAACTTCTATTCAGCCATCTCCCACGAGACCCCATCACATCTTCGACTGGCAAGCCTCCAAGTACAACTTCAATTCGTAAGACTCCCGCTACACTTTACATGGGGGTCTAGCTTCAAGTTCAGCTGGCGAGGCTTCCCTTATCTCTCCAGTGGATGAAACTACCACATGCCCAGTACCCAGACAGCCACAGCTACGACCAGGGAATATTATACCTCCACGACACCTATTACGGCTCTAAACCATAGAGGGCAAATCACATTATCTAAAAACGTCGTTCGAAGCAAAACCAGACATTCGACAGCCTACCCCAGCCGCCCCCCTGCAGTTCTCGCAAGCAGATTTGCATCTATCTAACATCAATTCACCTTTGACACACCATCGGCATTAGACTCAAATAGTTATATGACGACGCAGGCTGGGGAGTTAGGTCCAACCCGTACTTCTCATTCCACAATAAAGTGTTGCTGGTACAGCGGTGAGGAAGAACTTCTGTTTCCCTTTCCCTGCATCTGTATTCACTTCCCGCCACATTAAAAATACCTGTCCCAGACACCAAAATGTCGATAGATTTCTCCTCACTCGATGTCATCCTAACTCCCACTCTCACAGCTATAGCTGTATTCACAATGACAACGACTTCTTTAAGAACACTGCTATCTATGAGAATTAACACATTCACGAAGGTATTTCCTGTAAGAGATATACTTATCGCCATATTATATCCTCCCGTAGCTGCCGTCATAAGTCTTTGTACAATAATTGGGCGCACACGCTCCGTGTATGCATATCTGCTTCGATGTGGCATTATTTTTCACACAAAGTTCGACAGCCATTTCCCAACAACTCTCCCTGTCACAAGTCAGACTTGCCTCATCTTGCGTGATTTGTCTTGCATGTAACTATTCCAACATTCGCATTCCCCGTTTTCCATATTCTAAGAATGTATATAGCTTCTCACAGTGATGATTCACAGAAGATTAAATATCCGTCAGGCCGTCCTTCACCGCTCAATTGGACAGTAAAACATCGTAGTAGTTATGTCTTATAAAATCATCGCTACCCTTAGGGTCTTGAAAAAAAAAAAACCTGTATTAAAATTACAAAATGTCGCTTTCAGGGGTCTGTTTCTTGGAGAGTTTGAACGAGATACCCTGACCCGCTTCCTCATCCTTAGTTTTGTAATATTTCTGCAAGCGGAGTCGAATGGGACATGCCCTGCGATATTCTTTAGAGGAATATACTTGGAATTGGAGAAGGATCATCTCTACGTCTTCGCGAGTTCCAAACCCTCTAGGAATATCTTTAATTCGAGGGCTACCTAGGTAATGAATGCCTACGGGCCATATATGGACCAGGTAATCGTAATTGCTGCGAATTATGACATTTCCAGATGCTACCCTGTGGTCGTCTTGTGTTCCTTTGAAACCGTCGGCCTGGGGCGACTCGAATTACAAGAACCAAAGCAAGAAGTGGAAAGATCAGCCAGCTAAGCATGATGGGCGCTGCAATTCTCGAAGAGACAATCTAAAAGTCTTGGAAAGAGCGAGGATAATGTCGATGATTGCTACTTCGGGTTGGAAGATGTCCAGAGATCGCTAATCAACGTTGTAAGCGTTGAAAGAAGCAAGTACGCTATGGGCTTGTTCAACAAAAGCGGCGATGCATAGGTAAAAAAGAAAGAAAAAGCTAGAGCTATGTTGGTAGGAAGTGGAGGGGGATGCGTATGCCCTCCCTCCATGAGTGACTAAGAGTCGAACAGGATCGAATGCGTTAGAACATAACCATTGTTCCGAAGTATACACTTTCCAGTTGTGAGTATCATTGTATGTGTCGTTCATCCCGTTCTTGGCTAGATCGGAGTACTTCTAACGTCAGATTTTAACACGGGTTGCCTTCCCAGAGGCACTTTCAGGTAGTCGAGTTTTTCATTCTTACTCCCTCTTTACGCCCACCCTCCCAATTCCTCTCAAACCCCAAGCAAACAGCAATCCCGTCGCGCAACTCAACGCAAAACAATACCAAAACGCGGCCCTAAACCCCTCCATTAATGCTAGAGGCCCCTCTTTATCCTTATACCCACTCTGCGCCGTCACACTGCTAGCAATTACCGCACTTGTAGCAAGCCCCACGCTCTTCCCAATCTGAGCGATCGTATTGAACACGCCACCAGCAAGAGCCTGAGTCCTCGCCGGAAATACGCTAGTAATGACGAGATTCGAGACTGTGAATAATGCATCCGCTCCGATGGGGTTCAAGAACATTGCTGGAAAAGCACACACCCAGTATGTCCACTGAGGCTGAATCACCGCCATGAGTAACGCTCCAAGGCATGTCATCAAGGTCCCGAACAATACTGCCCAGTCAGCGCGGACCTTGTGGGCAATCAATCCCATGACTAGATTTGCTAGGGCACCTGAGATCGGTGCAGGAAGGAAGCGGATGGAGGATTGAATGGCGGAGATCTCTTGGACGTCTTGGAAGAAGAGGCTTAAGAATGTTTCGATAGCGTTGAAAACACCCCAGGTGAGGAAGACACCAATACAGATGGAGGTAAAGATGCGGTTGCGCCAGAGAGAATTGGGGATGATGGCAGGCCTTCCAAGCTTCTCTTGTCGACCGACCCAAAAGATGAATACCGGGATAAGAATAATAGATACTATAAGCATAGCGAGGGTCGCAGGTTCGGTAATATTTGATGTACTGCCAGTAATGGATCTACAAGCAATTAGGACAACATGGCTAAAGATGCACTGGCAATAATGGCCCCAAACCAATCGATATCATGCTTCAGACGATTTAGGATATCGTGCTGTTCCGCATCGACCTTGGGCAATCCAAAGAAGCCTACTACAAAAATAATCGTGTTGATAATAGCGGCAATATGGAAGCCCCAGCGCCATCCAATGGTATCAGAAAAGACGCCACCGAGCGTAAGTCCTAGAGAAAACCCGATCGGTTGGCCCCCGCCCATCGAAGCAAAAGCAATGTTCCTACTCTTGCCTTCGGGAAAGGTAGTGGTGATGATGCTGACAGCGGACGGAAGGCAGAAAGAGATGGCAATCCCAGCAAAAGCGCGGAATACTATGAGTTGCATGCCATCTTGTGCGAGACCACAGGCAAGAGTGAACCCGGACTGAAGGACACATCCGGTGAGATACATGGGTCTGCTCCCTACTACATCTGCGACAGAGCCGAGGAGAAGAAGAGTACAACCACAGGTCAATGCGTAGATTGAAACTGGCCTAGATAGGATCAGTATTTTCAAGTAAGTTAGCCCGTCAATGGTCATACCACAGTAGCAAATTCGGTTCGAGCCGCAAATCATGTGCCATAGTTGGCAGCCCAACCGTCACCAAGCCAGCCAGCAAACTGCTAATGCCTGTAATACAAACGACGCAAAGTAGCACAATGGTGGTTGTCCCCTTTCCAGGAACATCGGCCTGTTGAGCTACCACAGCATTGGCAGGTGGGTTGATAGGCCGAGTGTCGTTCAACGGCGGAGTGTTGCTGCCCTTCAAACTGAGACTCGGGGGTTGTGTGACTGGCTCCGGGTATTGAACTAATTCAATCGACGAGCGCGACATGTTGATGATGGACAGATAGGTGTGGGCAGAATTTTGAAAGAATTAAAATATTGATGCGGAATAAAGCCGCACCACCGCCTGGCTCTTTCATAAAATGTCATGATTACCTCATACATTGTAGAGCAGTTCGGAAGTTAGTCCATGCAAGGTGCAGCAGGGACTTTCGTCAACGCCGAAGTTGTGCTCTTTCACATGATCTAAGCGAGGCGGAAGTCGACCATGCGGGTCACTCCGAAATGTAACATCATAGTCCATGATAGGTGTATTCCTTGTGTCCTCACCACTCAGTTCGGATGCGTTTTGGAGATCTAAAAGGCGGCTAAGTCGCACACGCATTTCACACCAGTTTAACCTCTTAGGAATGACAGATATATCATGCCCGCGAATTAAAACGCAGCCCCAACAGCTAGACCCCAATTCTTTTCCAAAAGGAACATAAGAGACCGAATGAAGGAATAAACGATACCCGCCACCAGATTGCCAGCACTTCAAATCTTAATTCACTGTTCTTTGAGGTCCCCGATCGAAACTTTGCTCAGGCTTTATTACCTTGTACATTTAGCCTTCAAATTAAGAGTCTAGTTAGCTAAGGCACTTTCAGCTTCACACGAGCTTCGAGGACTTACACTGAAGACCATTAAAGGCCCCAGTTGATGCAAGAACACCACAGGCAATTGAGCATTTCCATTCATCACAGAAAGTGCAGCAGCACCTGCTCCACGGCCGTTCCACGGTAGTTTTCGCCCCTGACGAAAAGAGCGTTGGCGGGAGAGGTTCCAGTTTCAAGTTCTCTGATTACCTTGACAGCGGCTTCGTTCAAATACTCAAGAGTGGGGAGCTCTCGAGTAACTAGATTGGCAAGAGTGGACAGTGGAGTTAGGAGAGTGAGGAGAGTGGCTGTATTGAAGTGCGTTCTGTCTTTGTGAGTGGCGTTGGTGAGTTGAGAGGTGATCTGAAAAGTGGAAAAGGTGCTTTATTAAAAGAAATAGTAATACTCGCAATTGTAGCGGGTGAATTGGTGCTGGATTTTAATTAACTTCATACTGTCTTTAAAAAAGGAATAAGGTATTAATTGGAGATATTCTATAGACTAGCCTCTTACACCTCCAACAAACAACCAACCGCTTACACGAGGGCCTGCTCGACTAGTAAAGGGCATGAAGGGGCCAAAAGTATAGATCAGAAAGAGAGTAGCCAATCGCCAATCTCTCATTGTCAACCACTAGACGGGATTTCGGGCTTAGATTTGTGGAATCATCTTTGCGACGAGATGGCTTTCCTCTTCTGTCTACTAAGGGGCTGCTTTGTCTGGAAATGACATGCCCCTCTTCACGGGGAGGAATAATTATCTTGTCAAGAATTGTTATGACACAGCTGAGTCGGGGCGGAACTTCCGCAAATACTACCCGTACGCATCTCAGAAGGACAATCGAATAAAAATGGCAGGATAGAAGCGACGGCGAAGTTGCTTGGCGTTCTTCTTCACCTATTTCCCCCACAATCTACTCCCAATGCTTTCAATCCCCACATAGCCTCATCACTGAGACCAAAATCAACGCTAACTAAAGCAGTCCTAGAAAGCCGGGGGTCTATTCGTCTACAGGACCCACTTCACGAGGGTGGAGTCAAGCTTCATCAAAGGGCGTGATCTAATTGCACCAGGACCAGCACGTCAGAGGCCCGTTACGTTGAATCGAGTTTGTCACTACCTACAGTGCTTACTGGCTCATTGATATCCCAAAAATTTTTCTGGCCCAATTTCTTATTTAGTCGAAACTCTTCTAAAGTTGTTATCACAGGGTGGTCCCATCAGTCCGGGGGCAGGACCTAGTATGCGGCAACTCTGTATTCCGGACAGGGTCAGCTCTTAGCTAACCAAATAGTTCTCTCCCCAAGCACTGCCTTGGTCGAACCCTTGAACCTAATAGCTTTTCTCCTTCGCCTTGATGTTTTGTTTTTGCTATACATAATAAATCTGTGCCATCAAACTTGTGGTGCGTTTTGAGCCTGCCAGGGGAAAGCCCTTCATTTGCTTTTCTGCCAGAGTTGCATTGCCAGTTGTTTTCCCGAGCATCTAACTCACATACAAGCATTTTCTGTTGGCTTCACTGTGCCTTTCCGTTCAGCAGTGTTCGATTGGCCTCTCAGACAAATATCCCTGAAGCTAACTAAGCAGCATGTCGGACTCCCTAACACCCCACCTAGCTCGGCATCTGCGAAGTCTTCTGGGGTCTCCTCCGAGGCCACTACAGCGTTTACACCTACAACGCCACCATCACCCAATCCTTGGAAGGCGTAATCTTGCCCTAAGATCTGCACGCCTGGGTCAACACCCACCAAACTCACTACTTCGACATTTACACCAGGGGATTATGTGTTCCAGAGATATGACACTTGATGATATTGGCTTTGTGAGGAATATCACGACGGCAACGGTGGGGTGGGGGATGAGGCATCAGTGGTAAAATCAGGTAAGCACGAGCTTGTATGGCTGAAATTTGGAGATTGTTAGGTGGGCTGACTGTTTGGTTTTTAGGCTATGGCGAGAGCGTGGATGGAGGAAAGTCGAACCGAGGAGTTTTAGGGGAGGCGGCAGACCGGTATTAATGAAGAGTTAGAGTTTTCGGCGAGGAAGGTTTGAGTGTGGCCTTGGCCGACCAATGGCTGTAACTCATCCCACTGGATTCGAGCGTCTCAACGCCATTGCTAGATGGAGAATTAGAGCCTCGGGGTTGTGTGCTGCGAGAATTAGTCAGAGATAGGTGTCACTAAAGGGGAAGTGAGTAACGATAGTGAACGAAGCTGAAAGGTGTCCTGGGACGCTGCTGATGTCTGCTTCGTGTAACTCTCCGCCTTACTGCGAATTCAAGGGTTGCTGATGGCTGCTGTCCGCACATTTCATGCTGTGGGCAAAGGGACAGTGGCTAACCATGAACATTCTCTCATTTCTCATTTTGTGATAGCAAAAACTCCCATTTCCCCAGCCCCATCACACCGGCATGCCCTGCGCTTTGTCTCAAAGCAGCAACCATCCGTCTATACTTCTCACTAACTATTATACCTTGCTAATACGATAACAATGTACATAGTTCCATAGTTCCAACTATCTCATGTCTGCCTGCCAAGTGCCAGTCCACAGCTCATAGTCGACCTCCTCACCCAACAAGCCTCAACCCGCTCGCCGGCGCCCCAATTTGACAGATCTCGCAGATTTTGCACACAGTGCCCTTGTACTTGCTGTGATATTTTGATCCGTCATATGGACAAGCAACGGATGGAGTACCTCCATAGATCGGAGTATACGACGCAGCGCAAATCTCGAAGTCCGCGAATTGATCGAAGTCGATTTCGATGCCATCTGATGGGTTTCTCTCCGCTGTTGTTTTCACCCTCTTAGCTTGCTCTTTGAGTTTCGCGCTGCCAGTCCTATCAATCAAGGCGTTCGCAAAGTTTAACGCGGTATTGAATTGCTTGTTCTTATTGGCGAAATTCATAGCAGCAGAGAGTGGGAGAGACTTGTGCGGGCCTTCGAGCTCTGGAATAGTGAAGTACGCCGAGAGTTCGAGAGCACGCTTCTTGGTATCAGCCGGCAGGCTAGAAATGTCGGTAGCATTTTGGACCAAGGCACGACGAGAGAGCTCAATCGACATGGCTAGTGTATATTGGGCTGCTGTGTTGATTGCCTTCTTTGCCTGTACATAGCTCGTTAACAAGTGCCAGTAATGAGAACAAGCTCACAATACTTACCTCTGAAAGTTCGGCCTGTGAAGAGACAACATTGACAATGAGGAGTTGGAACAGCTTTTTGAAAATGGCAACGCCATCCTCCAATTTGTTCTTTACCATTGCAGACTTGCCGGCCAGCAATTCGCCCGCCAAGATTGATTCGAGGTCTCGAGGTATTATTGGTAGAATCTTTCGCGAGTCTGTTTCGTTCACCGTTCTCCGCACATAGTTGACAAGAGACGGCATGTTGGGGGTTGCGGGCAGGAAGGTCTGCGTAGCTTGGTAAATCTCCTGAAAGCGTTCCTGCAGCGGGACAAAGTTCACGGCGCCGACTTGCCGGTTAAGGAGCTGCATCGCGGTTTCAAATGAGCCAGCAGCGATATGATCTGCCGCCAGAGGCGAGTTTCGAGCCCACAGATCTGCTTCACTGCTTCCTGCACCGGCATCGGCCCCCTCTACGTTAACAAAGTCATCCTCGACTTCAACGTCCCCGTCGTCACCCATGTCCCAACCACCTACGTCTTCATCCTCCTCGCCACCGAGTCCTCCTGCTACAGCGCTAGGAGCCTCGGCGTCTCCCAAGAGGTCTTCGTCTCCATAGCCATTGGCGGCTGGCTCTTCAGTACCAACCCCTTCCACCTCTCCCATCAGTGCCTTCTCAAACACCGTTGAGGAGGCGGCACGTGTAGGCCAGTTCGATTTGAAAGTGGGTACAATGGGTCTGGGTGGTGCGAGCGACTTACCAACTGATGGCATGCTGATCTGTTCCTCGGTAAGGCCACTAGCCTCCAATATTGTCTGAGCTTGCTCCTCGAGGCCTTGCGCCTTTGCCGTGGCATATGCTAGCGGGTAAAGGTCGATTTCTTGGAACATCTCGATCCGGTTTTGCACATCGCCCATATAGAGTGCATTCTGGAAACGAGCTGTCATATCACCACGATGCTCGGCAATTTTGGCCATGCGCTTGAGCTTCTCCTGGTCACCGGTGGAGAGATACAGGAAGGAAAGCTTGTCGAAGTTGCGAAGCTTCTGGTACGTCATCTCGACCACCTGGTGATTTCCATGTGCAAGAGCTTCGGTACTCAGTCGTTGCCAGAGCTTGGGGCGATCGAGTTGCTTTGCCATTTCGACAGCAACATCGAGGTTCCCACACTCAATGGCAAGCTCGAAACGAGTTTGAGGATCCTGAACAAATTGAAGCGCAATCTCCGGATAGCCTTTCTTTTGGAGGTAAGAAATGATGCTTTGGCCAACAAGACTTGACGTCTTGATGATGTTGAGCATCTCATCGTAGTTTCGTTTGATAAGGGCAAGTTTGAACCGGTACTCTGTGGGGTCAACTTGGAGGACCTTGGGTTTCGCGGCTCGGTCTAGGCAGTACACATTTCGACCCTTGACCCTGACAAGATATACCGTATGCTCGAGAGTTCGTACAATGCCATTGTCACCATTCATAAGACTGTATTTGACGTGATTCAATGTGGAACTGGTGAGGTTAGTTGAAGAAACACGACGTTCATTTAAGGGAAACTCACTAGAGAAGGACACCAGTGTCGTCCCAGGTCGCGCTCTTGATACGAATTGTCTCGTGCAATGTGCTGACTTGCTCAAGGTTCTTGGTCGCGATTGTAACGTTGTGCTTGCTTAGTAGAGCAACATGAAGCCCATCTGATGACCATACAACGTACTGTTACTGGTAAGTATTTGAAGCTGAATGGAGTTTTATTTAAACATACCTTAACCCCATTGACCGACAGCTCTGCGAGATTCTTCTTGCCCTGAATGTCGTACAAGACTACAGAGGTAGGAGTGATCAAGAGTAAATTGCCAGTTCCACCGAAGTATATATCTGTGGTGCCATGTGGAGGTTTTATTGTCTTTGTTGTGGAATTTGAGAGATCTTTGATATCAATCTGTTGGTTTGACTGACTGAAGACGGCAAAACGGTTTCGAGCGACAAAAACGGCAGAGTTCCCAGACCCCCGTTTGGTGTCTGTAGGCTCTACGGCTCCTGATGCATCTCGAGGAAGGCTGATCAGCTCGTATGTACCCCCATCAGCGGGTGAAGTAACCAAAATAGATCGCTCCGCTGGGTTGTACGACAAAGTCCTTGGGGGCACCCAAGCACTCCCAAGCTTCTTCAAAGATAACATAGAGGGCGATTCAATGTTTTTCTGGAAATCATAGGAGCGGACATGCTTTTCCTTTGTGATGTAGAAGAGCTGGTTTTGGTACACAGCAGATGCTGGGCGTTCGCGTTCGAGTTTAAAAACCATTACACCGTTATCGTGCCCAGCAGCGAAGAGGTTGATTTCAGGGTGAGCAGCAATCACCCAGAACCGGTCGTTTTCTCGCTTAAAGGATTGGACTGATGTTCGCCGATTGAGGTCCCAGACCCGGATCGTTTTGTCTTCGCCTACTGATAATATGAGGTCCTGGTGCGGGTGGAAAAGACAGGCAGAAGCGTTTTGGAAATGGCCTCGACACGTATCCACTTCCCAAGCCTTAGTTTCTGACATCCTCCAAAGTTTCACCAAGCGATCATCTCCAGCGGAAACAATCAGGGGAAGTGTTGGGTGGAACGCGACCCAATTGACGCCTCGATCATGACCCTCGAGCACGAATTTGACGACAGCGTCGGTGTTTCCAAACATGTCTGCTTGATTGGCATTTGTCCGTGCCATTTGATCTTCAAATGACATGGCTGTGGGCGCAGAATGCTTCTTTCTCAACCCGGAAATATCCCAAACGCGGACCGACTGATCGAGCGAGGCAGAAACAATGAGGTCCTCCTTGGGGTGAAACTGTGCGCACATGGTATAGTGGTTATGGCCGGTCATGGTGCAAACTTAGATTGGTCAGAAGGGTTTGGTTAGGCGCGGCCATGAACTTACTGAGTGATCCTGTTTCTAATTAGCGGACTCACTTAATCAAAAGGGATAAAGTACTTACGATTCTGCCAATTCCATATACGGATAGTCTCTGTAGAAGAAAACCAAATCAGCGCAGTTCACCACCTCTTCGTCCGGTACACTGCTTACGGTCGTCTGAACTACTCAATATCCAGGGCAGCTCATGGTGGAAAAAGACGGTGCGGACATAGTCTAGATGTCCGTTCAAGGTAAACAGACAGCGCCGCGTCTGATATGACCATACTTTAATCTACAATTCTTAGCACTGCTCGCCCCTGGCCAGTCTGGTGGGGGTTGCCACCCAGCTGCCAGTCAGCGTGGGAGCGTTTCCACAGTAGAACCTGGGGATAATTAAGACCTTGGACCAACACATACCTTATAGTCATCTCCACCAGATACGAATCTGCCATTGGTCTTAGTAACAGCTCCAGTAATTTCCTCTTGCGGGAATCCTTCAAGTTGGGTTGCTCACAATGGCTGGGTCTTATGGAAGTCTATGCCGCGAACTGGCCCATCGTGTTCTTCAAACCGGTCTATCAGAGTGCCCATGCGGTAATCCCACAATTGGATAGTGGACGAGTGTAGTGAAACGAGGATCCATGGTCTGATGGGCGGTCAGCGGGGGGAGGCGAGTGTGCGGACTGCGCGGAGGTACCTCTTAGGGTGGAATGCGATGCCCTTCGCCCTCGAGGACTTGGACTCGAACTGTAGGCGGTCAACACGTTACTTGAGCAAATATTGGCAGAGAGCTGCATGCCTTGGTCAACATGGATGGAGTCGACATGGTGGAGGTTCGGGGGAAGCCGCAGCTTCGGTCACGCCTAGGACAGCCTCAATCGGCGGACGCGACTGCGGCAACAAGCTTAGAGAGATTAAGAAAGTAAAAGAGGTGCAGTGTGGTGGCAGGTAAGGGCTTAGGCTGCTGTGCTCTCCCCTCGACCTCTGTATTCGCCAAATGTTCAATGTGTCTGTTCGATATTGCGCCTTACTATCTACGGCTAGTGCGCAATCCTCGCCAAGACCCCTCCAAGCACGTGATATCGAATTCCCTCCTGAGGCCTGAGATTTGCAAACTGGACACATCCGTTTCCCGCAAACTGGCCCCAGGTTTCAGCATCACTACCTCCGTCAGAGCCTCACCTCGACTCCGACACCGCACTCAAATTTGCCCCCGTCCGTACTTAGTAGTCCTTCGCTCGGCTTCCCTGGTCTGGCACGCTGCAGCCCCGCACCGCCTCACCAATCCCCTCCTCGCCAGCTGTCCATCCCTCTGCCAGCACTTCCCTCCCTAACCGACGATCTGTAATATTAGGGTGTCCGGTCATTGGGCTGCTGGCCGCGATCACGACGCAAGGTGAGATTGCTCGAGTCTGCACTGCGCGCTGGCAGCCAGCCCGCCGCTAATTGTCGGCGGCCACATATCATGGCAGCTATCGGAGTCATGGCAAGGAAGAACCTCTGCAAATTGACCCGCACCATTACCGCCAACTCAGTACTGAAACGCAGGTGAATATCTGCTCAAGTCCCGCTTGAATCCTTGCCGCAAGGGATCGTGAGCACCACAGGCCCGCCTCTTTTCTTCCCATCTCTTCTCGCCCATCCTCATTCGGTCCACCTTGCACACTCTGAATCCGAATTGACCAGCACTCTGTGGCTAATTTGGTCTCGTTGACCTAAAATTCCTGCAATTCCTGCATTGCTGCCTATAGGACATTGTATTCCTCCCGCACGATAAGCCAAGGCATTGCAGGGTCTCTCTTGTAAAAGCCTCCGCCTATCCGTCTTGCATTCGTCCCCCAGACACCACCGTCATACACTTCCGAATCACTTCTAAAAAAATGATACTGTCCGCGAAGCTCTTCCCTCACAAGCCCAGATCAGAACTCGACCGTTGGAACCTGATACCCTGATTACCAGAAAGCATAAAAAATCATCTTGGACAGAGTACGTACCTTCAACGTGCATACCCAGCCTTACGGTCCGCCTACCGGTGAAGGCCACCACACCACCATGGCGACACACGATAAACTACCCTCCTACTTCCCCAACGGCCAGCCTACATCGCCGCCGATGACACCTGGCACGCGCTCGCACTCACGCTTCCCCCCTCAAACTAGCCACACCTCTCCAATTTACAAGCGCATGGGCCTTTCGATGCTCGCTCAATCTCCTCCGCTCGAGTTCATTGAGCCAATAGGGCAAGGCCCTCAATTCCACTTCACACGTCCACAGTCAGGAGATCAGTCATCCCGCCCATCGAGCGCTTCTGGTCAAGCCTGCGCTACAACCCCTCAAGATTCCGAGTATGAGGATGAATCTGACGAAGAAAGTACCAAGGAAATAGAGAGGCCTGCTCGCAGGGTCGAGAAAGCCGAATTTGTACTCGAGGAATTGGATAGCGATCCAGGCTACGATAGCGACATAGAGATAGTGCGACCAGATCATTTCGAAGATGCAATAAGCGACATCAGTGCGGATAAACAGGAACAGAATGGAATCATCGACCAATTCAAGGGATTGCGGTGTGCCGGAGGGTCATCTGATGAAGAAGAGCGGCAGCGGATCTATCGGAGAAAAAAGAAAAGGTGGAGTGCCGGAATATTCAAGCGAAGCCACAGTCAGAGCGTTGAAGGGGACAGCAGTTACTCTGATAACGATCCGTTGGATGATGTGGATGCAAGCGCTCGTCGGCTCCGGCGACGAGTGAGAGGGCCTGGCGACAGATCATCTTTGATATTCGAAGACAAAGGCTTCCCGAATTCTAATAATATCGTGGAAGTCGAAGAACCCGAAGATGTAGCACACTCGAAAGGCCCCCCGTCCATTCCTTCTGATGATGGGTTTACCTTAGATGAGCTGCCGTTTTGGGTGGTGGAGGACCCGATGGATGTCGAGTTTGACTCTTCCTAACCGATTTTTCTGTGTTGCCCATAGATTGAATCTCAGATATCTTTCTCCTTATTCTTTGGCAAGCGGGCATTATTGTATTTATTAGACGGTTTCGACCTGGTGTTTTTTCTTTCTAAACCCAACCATTTTTACATTCTGGTTCCTAAGCGCTGAGGTGTCTACGAAAGCGCCACAAGCATCTCATTTCAAATCTCCGCGCCGCAAGTGCCACGTCTGCATGCTGGAAGATTTTTCAAAGTTCCTAGGCCTATTTATGGCAGTGCTGACTCGCCTCGTGGCCAAGCTTTGGGGAGTTTGGCACCTCCCGCTGAGTAAACGCCAAAAAGCCAATAAGCCACCATCAACACCCATCAGGTGGCCATCGGAAAAGTTCCGTACCGGCAACAGCGCCTTTCTTATCGACAAGTTGTCGTCACCGGGCTCACTGTTAAGGAGACTTTCTCTGATCTTGCAACAAAAATAGGGTTCCATAACTAGGCCTTCCACAGCCTTCGTCGCAGGTGCGGAGCCGACACAAAGGTCCCTATGTCGTATTGCTGCGTTTTCGACATCTTTGTTGTCCATGATAACTTCTTGGTCATTACCAAGCCCTCAACGAGTTGACAAACCCCTCCCAAGACGTCTATCGATCTGTGATGGTCTAGGCATGCTCTGCGCCCCCGGCGCCAAGCCCCAGCGTCCGAGTGCCAGTCTGACGGGAAGAAACAAGTTTCGACATCCATCCAATCGTATTTTCAGCGCTGCATTCTCAAAGCTGCCAAAGAAATAAGCTTATTCTTAGTTAGCTGAGGCACAGTTCCTCGGGTTGAAACACATCCGCCCAGAAACGTTCGGCCAGTGATGTATATAGATACCTCAATGTCACCATAATTTTTCTCTCATCTCCTTACCTACAATCAATAAAACCACACTCGAAGATTTTCCTATCTTTTCCTTTTTTTTCCCCTTTCCTTACTTTCTTCATTTCCTTGCTGTTGTCGCACTCTCGCTTCGAAAATCAGTAATAATGTCTGCTATAATCACGAAAGTTCTCATTGGCGCCCTTGCTACTGTCGGTGCTGTCCAAGCCCTTCCCAACCAGCAGTATGTTCCATCTGGTTTTTCTACTGTTGTTGCTGCATCAGCAACTGCTTCTGCCACCACTCCACCCGCCCCGGTGCAGACCCAAGACAACACGGCTTTGTTCAAGGACCTTTTCACTGCTCCTACAGCCATCAAGCGCTTCCAGCGACTTCTTACTACTGCTGGAGAGAAGCTCCTCTCCCCCGAGGAGCTCAAGAAGCTCATAGTCTTCGACTTCAACGGCGCCACACCTGCCCCGGGAGCCAAAGGCGGAGCCGCCAAGGCTGCCAACATCGAGACCTTTCCTATCCTCACTGACCTTGGTATTTCTACTACTATGGGTTTCCTCGACGCCTGTGGTATTAACACACCCCACATCCACCCACGCGCAACCGAATTCCTCACCGTTGTGGAGGGTCAAATCGACTTCGGTTACATTCTCGAAAATGGCCTTGTCAAGGCTCCTAACAGCGCCGAAGTCTCCGGTCACCTTGACAAGTTCCAGGGCACTGTCTTCCCCATGGGCAGTATCCATTACCAAATCAATCCCGATTGCAAGCCCGCCACTTTCGTCGCGACTCTCAACTCCGAGGACCCAGGTACTTCCCAGGTCGCACAGAATTTCTTCGGCCTGAACGCAAACGTCGTCAATGCTACACTTGGGTTTCCTTCAAGCCTTGCCGGAAAGGACATCGCCAGTTTCAGGAACACCATTCCTGCAAACTTGGCTAAGGATATTGAAAACTGTCTGAAGAAGTGCCCGCAGCAGTAAGCGGTAGATAAGAGCATTGGGTAGGGGTACGGGTTGGGTCGGATTGGCATCCTTTGGCACAGCGCGGCGTTTTGTGACTTTCGTGATTAATAACTGATCTTGCTTGGCGACTAGGTTTTTGGTTCTTTTTGCATAGCGATGGGGCTTCTAATTTTCTTTCTAAGAAGCCTTCTTTGATTTAGTTTTATTCTGTAAACATTCTTCTCGACTGTCGCTACTAAATCAAGACTTTGACCACATCGGCCTGCTTGCTTCATGATATTTGAAAGTGAGAGATATTACAATAAGGCTTGCCTGAGTTTAAGTTTGTCTCAGCTGGCTAAAACCCGAGATACAGAAGTGTGGAGGGCTAAGCTTGGTCTTGCGGCTGTGTGCAGGCGAGACATTGCTCGGAGCATTCTCATTGGCTAGTCATGAATGGGGTTAGCGTAGTTAAGGTTGGGGTTGAGGCGGAGTCGGATTTGCTTTTGATCTTCAACATCGCTCATTCACAAAATCGCTTGTTGGAGGCCATCTCCCAGACGACCATGGACTAGTTGCCTTCGGAAGGCGAATTTCGAAGACTGTTTACTAGTATTAGCTTTGTCAGGCGTCCAGATTCTGCCTGCTTCACCATTGTTACTAGGCATCCAACTTTATCGTATCTGTCTTCTATCCTGTTCCAAGATATTTGTACGTAGTGTTTCTAGCTCGCCCTCCATTACATGTTTTAACCATTATTCAAGAACCCTCTTTTGTGCCATGGGTTCATTCTCCTCCAGGATTCTTCCAAAGTGGACTCTAAACAAACCCAGTGGGGATTCTAATCGGCCACATCCGAATGAAGACGTCACGCTTCGTAATGCACACGAAAGCCACCTCCATCAATTGCCTGCGGAGCTCATCTTTATGATCGACAGCTACCTGCGGGACATTTCCAGACATGGTCCAAATGTCTCCAAAATGGCATTACGAGCAACTTGCCGACGTTTTCACACCATCTTACCAGCTGGACCACATCCGAACGCACCTTGGGGCGAATTGGATCGTCGATCTTACTCGCAATTAATCAGCCTCGCCAGGTTCCGAGACCTTTGCGAGCGGGAAAGAGGTGGGCTCTTAAACCCTAACCATCTTGTGTGTTGTATATGTCGGAGGAGTCGCGAAAGTTGGTGTTTCACCCCAGTGGAGCAGAAGAAGGACCCCGAACAAAGGACCTGCATTGGCGCCCAGGGAGTTCTGGAAATATGTCCACATCTCCGACTCACCTACATGGGATTTAGACTCGGACCAATCGAGATTTCCTGCAACCGAAAGCATTACTCCATCGAAGGATTCGAAGGCACGGTTAAAGTGTCTCAGATTGGAGAGATACCCAACAGGGAGATCAAAGTGGAAGTCGAACTTATTCTTCTCGAAATCTACAAAGGCCAGGAACTCACTCGCGAGAAGGTCCTGGATGCTGTCAAAAAGTCGAATTGGAAAATATGCCCGCATATGCATACCTACGGTGCTGAAATCTGGCTCTCCCTGTTCGCGGAATATCTTCAGGGCCATGGGAAACTCTTCTCTGGCAAAAAACTCTGCTCGGTTCGCTGTGGTTTTGGAAGGTGGTGCTGGGAGAACGGTAGACTATGGCCTTTGCATAAGTGTGGGGTCTTAGACTGTGATACTAGGGTTGTCCTGTTTAAAGATAGGAGAAAGAGCAGGAAAAATGTGAATAGAGAGTTTTTGGTGATGAGGATAGACAGGTATTTGGGAAAGATGGAAAGTGCGGATGATAGGAGGTGGATGTCGCAAATTGAGGAAGCGAGTAAATTGGATGAGGATAGGTTTAGGGATAGTATGAGACACTGACTCAGAGTGGGAGCGGCCATGCGGCAAGGGCATCGATTGTAAATCTTCCGCCTCCAATACTTGGAGTTTTGATGTTTGGCATTCACCCTCGGCTGATAGTGCCTTGGCCAAGGCCTAGCTGCCTGTGCCACACAATGTGGCTGGTGCGGGGGCAAGGGTCCCTGCCAAGCGATGGGAGATATTTGGACAACTCCGCATTCAACTTTGCTGAGCCGCTTGTTAGAAACCCTCTTTTGCGTGTTATTCCATCTTGAGATCCCTTTTCATGTCCAGGTTTCAGTCTTGTTCATAAATTCCAGCCAAGCGCCGTGCCTGTGTTTGAAAAGCGCCCCATTCGCCCCAAGCGGAATGCAATACGTTGCAACTTCGGCGATATCAGAGCTGACCACCGCGGCCTGCAATTAAGTTCCTTCCTTCAAACCTCGCCGGAGGGTTCATTGCACTTCACCGGAGCTTCACAAAAAGCCTTACACTATGCGGGCGTTTGGGCTGCCGCTGAGCTTGAGAAGCCTGTTGGTGCTCAGCGCTTTTGGATCGCTTCGTGCATTCGCTAGTCCGAGCATCAATGTTGCTCTACGAGCTTCTTTCAATTCGGCACCGTATTTGATTGAGCTTTTGTAAGCGTCACCTGAGTTGAGGATGTCAGCATGTCTAATTACTACTTAGAGAGACGGCTGCGGAAGAGAACTCCACCGCATACTTCCCTATCCTTGACCGCATAGCAGAAGGCTACTTTAGCAAAGTCACGACCGATCAGGAGCTCTATACGTCGTTCGTGGATCTCCTCCAGACGGATGGTCACATCACAGATCCCGCGACCCTCTCCTCCTTCCGATTCGCGCTCTCCGTCCGCTCCGCCGCTCCGCGAATAGAAGCACATTACCAGTTCTACAATACTTCGGTAGAACCTTCGCTACAAGCAGCACAAGGGGAAGAATGCAGAGTATGGGTAGCTTTCGAGGGGAAACAATATTGTTCCCCGGAGTTGAAGGAGAGCCACGGCGACATTCGGGCAGCCCTTTCAAGTGAAGGCCGGGATAGAGGCGCTGAACTGCCGTTTGACCGAGTCCTTGGAGCGAATTCAGATGCCATACCGTCGATTCTCTACGCCGACATCACCTCGCCTACGTTTGCGCATTTCCATAAACTTCTTAGCAAGACCGCAAGGGAGGGGGAAACAACATACCGCGTTCGACACAAGCCATCCTTGAGCAGGTTAAGCTCTCCACTAATTGTCAATGGGTATGGCGTTGAGCTGCAGTTAAAGCGGACAGACTACATAGTCATTGATGACAGACCGGCGAAAGAAGGAGGCAATGCCGCTACACAAAAGCCCCTCGACACGGAACTACATGGTGATGAAGAGGTTGCGGATTTAAAACCACTTTCTGCATCCGAAGTCTCTAATCTCGGACTGAATGCCGCTAGTTTTGTGATGAAGAGCGAGAATCCCCTCGACACCCTCCTTAAGCTTGTTCAAGATTTCCCAAAGCACTCCTCTGCGATCGTTAATCACAACGCTTCCGATGAGTTTGTGAAGGAGCACACTGCGAACCGCGATCAATTGCTTCCCTCGGGGTACAACATCCTGTGGATAAACGGTGTACAGATTCCAAACAGGGATATCAATCCTTTTTCGCTTCTTGAGCACCTACGTCGAGAGCGCAACCTGATTAATGGAATTCGGAGCCAAGGTCTCTCCGGACCAGAGACTATTGATCTATTGTCAAACTCTGCTATCACAGATACTCAATCTGAGGATGAACCACAACGATATGACTTCAGAGATGAGGTTGAAGGCGGCCATGTCATTATTTGGATGAACGACCTTGAGAAAGATAAGAGATACGAAGACTGGCCTTCAGCCGTCACTGCACTCCTCCAACGAACGTATCCCGGTCAGCTGCCTTCTGTGCGTCGCGATATCCATAATGCTATCCTCCCAGTCGACTTCACATCTAATGACGAGGTTTTCACGGTCGTTGAGACCATTCAGGGTATGGTCAAACGTGGAATCCCGATTCGGTGGGGTCTGGTTCCCAAGGCAAAGACTGCAGCTTCTGAAGAACAAGCTAAAATTGTTTACCATCTGCTCGATACTTATGGACTCTCCGCCGTGATGAATTACCTTGCGGCGTCCAGAGATGCTAAGAAACTATCCGCGCCCGACAAAGCTGTCTTCGATGCAATTATAAAGAGCGCCAAGCTTCGCAAGGATCATGAGGTCCTGGAGTACGCGGAGGTTCTCACATCCGAAGAAGGCCAGCAGCGACTGACAGGGTCGAAGAAATATCTTGCACGACTGGCGGCGGATGGGGCTAATTCTCCAATGTTTGTCAATGGCGTACCCATTGTGCAGAACGATGAGTGGCTGCAGATGATGAGCCAGCGTATTAGCATGGACCTTCGTTCAATTCAAAAAGGCGTGTTTGAGCAAATCTTCCAGGAGGATAGCTGGCTTCCTCAGTACTTCCTGTTCCAGGCTGCGCCTAAACGTAACCCCTTGATTATTCCAGAAAACGAGAAGAATATTATCCTCGTCGACATGGCAGAGTTCCAAGCGAAGCATGGAGATATTTTTAAACAAATGCCTCAAGTCAAGGCTGGGGAAGGGTCAGCCAAAGGGGAATGGGCTCATCTGACAGTCGTTGGAGACTTTGACTCTCCGTCTGGAGTCGCTCTTCTCTCATCTGCGGCGCAATACCGCAAAGATCATGCCAATGTTGAACTCGTCTTAATTCACAACCCGAAAGCTGATGCGGAGGAATCAAATGCATCGGAGGACCTTCTAGAAGCGTGGCAGAAATCCGGCCAACAATTGTCCATCGAATTGCTGTTAGCCATTCTTGCTCAAGAACCTACCTTCTCACCGATACGAGGCAACTCGACAATTTTCTGGAAGTCGGCGGCACCAATTATGGAAGCGTTTGGATTGCAACCGGGTCAAGGCGCCGTTCTAATTAACGGGAGATATGTTGGTCCTATTCCTTTGGAGACGGCGTTTGCAAAGGACGACATTGAAACATTATTGTCTTATGAATCGAAGAAGCGAATTGAGCCACTTGCCAAGGCACTGCAGGCCCTCGAGCTTACGGACAAGATTTCTTCGCCCTTTGATATGGCTAAGATATCTTCTCTTGTCTCCCTATCAACAGTTTCTGACATACCAGAGGGTATGTTTGAATCGGCATCGACTCTAAGGATGAACGTGTTCACTAGGTGGAATGACACACATACTGCGATCATCAAAGGAGATAATTCCACTGCCACCTTTCAGATTGTGGTTTCTGTTGATCCAGCTACTGAACTAGCTCAGAAATGGGTTCCCATTCTCAAATCACTTTCCGAGATGGATGGTGTGTACCTCAAACTTTTCTTAAATCCGAAGCAAAACCTTCAAGAGCTTCCGGTGAAGCGCTTTTATAGATACCTATTGGACTCAAAGCCTAAATTCAACGAAGACGGAGGTGTAGATGATTTGGAAGCCCACTTCTCCGGTATTCCAAAGGAAGCCCTGTTGAATCTGGGTATGGATGTGCCGCCTTCTTGGCTTGTCGCACCAGAAGACTCTATCCACGACCTTGATAACATTAAGCTTAGCTCCCTCAGTAACGGAGTTAATATTGACGCCATCTATGGGCTCGAAAGCATCCTCATCGAAGGCCATTCCCGAGATATCACTAATTCTGGACAACCTCCAAGGGGCGCTGAGCTGGTGTTGTCCACCGAGAAGAACCCACACTTTGCGGACACCATCATTATGGCCAACCTTGGCTATTTTCAATTTAAGGCCAATCCTGGGTTTTTCAAAATCCAGCTAAAGAGTGGCCGTAGCCAAGAAATCTTTAACATCGACAGCGCAGGACCAAAAGGCTGGGCACCACAACCCGGCGATGAAACGAGCGAAATCGTTCTGATGAGCTTCCAGGGAACCACGCTCTTCCCACGCCTTTCACGAAAGCCTGGCCAAGAAGCTGCCGACGTTCTGAGCAGTGACGACAGCCTAGCTTCCGAACTCGTTGAAAAGGGTACGCGGAGGGTCAACAAATGGCTCGACAAGATTGGCCTTTCGTCACTCAAACCCGAAAACGTTCTCGCAAAAGGTGCCAATATCCTCGCCAAGACCGGACTTGCTACTAACTCCAAAACAGGTGGAAGTGGCGTCCAAGCTGATATTAATATCTTTTCTGTCGCTTCGGGACATCTCTACGAACGTATGCTGAATATTATGATGCTGTCCGTTATGAAGCATACCAACCATACGGTGAAGTTCTGGTTCATTGAGCAGTTCTTGTCGCCGAGCTTCAAATCCTTCGTTCCAAGCATGGCGAAAGAATATGGCTTTGATTACGAGATGGTGACGTATAAATGGCCGCATTGGCTACGAGGCCAGACCGAGAAGCAGAGAGAAATTTGGGGCTACAAGATTCTATTCCTCGACGTCCTTTTCCCACTCGACCTCGACAAGGTCATCTTCGTTGACGCCGACCAAATCGTGCGTACCGACATGTACGAACTCGTTACGCACGACCTCAAAGGCGCACCCTATGGTTTTACACCGATGTGCGACTCTCGCGCCGAAATGGAAGGCTTCCGCTTCTGGAAACAAGGCTATTGGAAGAACTTCCTCCGTGGCCTGCCCTACCACATATCCGCACTCTACGTCGTTGATCTCAAACGTTTCAGGCAGATCGCTGCCGGCGACAGACTCCGCCAACAGTACCACTCACTTTCGGCAGATCCAGCCAGTTTGAGTAATCTGGATCAGGATCTGCCGAATAATATGCAGTTCAATCTTCCGATTCATAGTCTGCCTCAGGAGTGGCTGTGGTGCGAGACTTGGTGTTCGGATGAGAGTCTTAAGGATGCGAAGACGATTGATCTATGTAATAATCCGCAGACGAAGGAACCAAAGTTGGATAGGGCGAGGAGGCAGGTACCGGAGTGGACGACGTATGATGATGAGATTGCGGCGTTGGCGAAGCGGACGAAGGAGGGGGTGAGAAATGGAGGTGATGAGGGTGGGAATGAGTCGATGATGGAGAAAGAAGATAAGGGGAAGAAGGATGCAAGGAGGATTAGAGACGAGTTATAGATTGGTTGGAGGGATGGCGTATTTGGTGTGACTTTTTGGATAGTGGGGAAAGGTTGGAGGGGTTGTATAGACGTATAGTTATAGTTACGTGGCCTATAAATGAAGACCTAAGTTTTCTACTAGGTCCTCCATCACCCGGGTGGACTAAACAAGACCCATTCCCATCATAGATCTCCGAAGACTCCAAGCTGAAATATTTTCAAGCATACATCACAACCTCGAACAGGCAAACGAGCAGGCAAAACTAACTAGTTACCTCGCCCCAGCTTACGTAGCCCGCCCGTTCCTCACCCTCTCGCAAACAATGATATGAAATCCCTTCCCTCTAACTTTATCCTTCTTTCACACACCCCATCGACTCCAGGAGTCTAATAAATTTTCGGCGATACAACTATGATTTCTTACTGCCTAACAGATCAAACCATAAAGTCCGCAAGACTCCCGGGTTCTCCCTGTGTGGATGCTCTAAAATCGTGGAACTCTAGCTTGATGTCTGGTTCCCTGTTTCATTTAGTAGAAAACAGAAAATCCATCCTTCAAGGATATGGTGAACTGAAGGTTTATTCGCTGATTATTTGTGAATTCGATAGAGAAAGGTTGTGGTAGGCTAATAGCCTTGACTTTGCTACCCTGTGGGCACTTCTTCTCTAAAATAAATTGTATTGATGATTTCATGATGGATTGGTCTTAAAGGGCGAGTATGCTTGAGAGGGGTTAGCGACTGCCATGTTTGATCGACGTTTAAGTTGTAGAATGTTATGGGCAATAGCGAAGGCGATAATGAGCTAGGTAGAACCTCGTACGTTTTATTTAGTACAACATTGGGGGGCCGGTACGGAAAGGAGTATGCACGGGAAAGTGGGGAGTAATGAATTGCAGTGTTGCTTCAAGTGTCTTTTTTTATGCTATCAAAATCAAGAAGGGAAGAAACAAGACAACAAGCCCCAGCCATATCAACTTCTCTCCATGAGAGACAACACAAACCGTATGTACAGGTCAGAACTTAGAAATATGTCTAGCCGTTGTCCGCGATCCCTAACATCCCTGCCCAGTCGTCGTACGGCAGAACGTAAACTCCCCATCCGCAAACCCCGAGCCCAATTTCATAGGAGAATTTCCGCAAGCATTATTATCTTGGTAAAATATCGGATCAATACATCCGGAAGTGAAGCCGTCGTCAGTCTGGTAATAGGTCCACACCTGATAGATGCCACAGCTTTGCTTGAATCTTGGTCGGAATACAAGGTATCCAACATCGCCTACATTTTCAGTCAATTAGCCTAGCTCACAGGGGTTCAAGGAGAGACGTTGAATGTGGTTACTAACCAATAGTGGGGTTGAAAGTGTAAGTGTTGGAGGTTGTTTCGGCTCTTGACCATGAAAAGCTGGCGCTCGCGGTTAGGACACCAGCGCCCTCTTCCCCGGCGGGAGAATTGGCTCCAAGAGTGATACTGAAGCCCTCGGTAATGGTTACTGCATCACTGTGCGCAATACCGCAAGTGGCTACATCGCAGTTGATATCCGCGGAAACTAGTGATGGATGTGTTAGCTGGGGGACACCTAGACTTTCTCAGGGGTATTCGTCTTACCTTTCACTGGAGCTCCGAGGAAAGTCGAGGTGGCTCGTTCACAGTATTGGAAGCAGGTACCGCCGTCATTGCCTTTGCCATCGAAGAAGTCTTCGCTGCAACCGTCCCGCTTTCCCAGCATGCTGTGGGTATCGAGGTAATTGTTGCGAGCAGCAAGCTGGGCAGCGGTGGCATATACAAGTTCGCCATTCTCGTTGGGGAGTAACAGGTTTTCAAGCTCACGCGTTGCAGCCCTTGAATGATATTCCGACGTCGGAGCTGCTAACAACGCTGGTACCAAGGTGCTGATCAGTGGTAGAATGTAGCGCATGTTGAACAAAACTTGACTATCAGGATGGACTTGATGGAAGAAAGCGAGGTAATGCTTAGAAGATGAGAAAGCTCCTTCAGATACTTTTTCAGTTACCTCGGGAATCGGGGTACTTTTATACATTTCTTGAAGATTTTCTCACACCTTTGTCATTACCCGCTCGATGGGATGTTTCGAGAGTTACCGAACACACCCCGTAAGTTCAGGACCATTTGAAGCCCGGAGGGTCCTTAACCCCCAAAATCTCCAAGTCCCAGAATCCCTCGAAATCCTCCCCCACAAGATTCCATGTCTACTTAGTCGGTGAACGGGATGCATACCTACCAGTGAGCGAAACTTAGTTTTGGAAATCCTGATGGATTCAAGGAGCACTAAATCTACGAATAGGCGTTTCAACTTCGATTATCGCCACTCTTACACCACGATCCCCGACCAAAACCGAAAGAGTCTCGTAGGAGGCTAGAAAAGATATCATTGCTAGGAAGGTCAGCCGATGCTGGGTAATAGAGTGGAGCTTGGGATGTCGACAACGGTGCCTCTTCCCATGGTACCCGAAAACCTAAATCTGGCATTGTGAACATCTGAAGTCAGTCATTGGAAACACAATTTGAGTATTGCTATCTACTAGACCCAATGGAAACATGTTTCTATTATCGTACTCGCTGTGTTTTCCTTCCATGTGAAGGATTTGATTCGAAACTGCCCTTGAACACTTTAAATTGAAGTTCAGAACCATTTCGGCGTTTTCTTCCTAAACGTGATACGCGGCTCCTAGGCGAGGCCGTACATCCTAGTACGTCCTCCGGAAGAAAACATTGTTGAGATACGAGAATAAGCCTACCTAGTGGACTCTTCATTACACCCCACAGGAAGGATGACTTGTCCTTCGATCATACCACAGAAGTGATCTCATGATTCAGGCTGTGCATCTCGTTTGTTTGAGGCTGTTGGTGATGGACCTTCCTGTCCTTGAAAGTATTTAAATTTCGAAACTTATGTTGTGTATACTCGATCTCGATCTTAGCCAGGTGATAGTAACAGAACCGTCACCGGATGCGGGGACTCCCTGGTTGCTATTGACATCTCGATGAGGTTCTGGTGATGTTGAAAAAAGCATTTGACGATTTCCGCTTGCATCTGCCAATGTCTTGTCCAAGAGATAACCGACTGTGGTTTCCAGTTCATGATCTTGGCTTACTTTGGGTCTGCACGCTCAAGCCTTATTTCAGCAAAACGTATGTGTGTGCACTCGCAATTTCCTTCATGTTTTAAACAATCAGTCAATTACTTCGACGTATTCCACCACGTGCGCTTTCCTTTGGTTGTGGACACTCGAACCGGTGTCAGCCTTGTGCTGTGCCGTTGTAATTAATCCCCGACAACTACTGAGAGTGTGCCTTAAATGTGGCTTTTTTTGCCCCATGTGAAGCACAGGTATTCTGCTTGCCTCACCCAACTTGATCCTTCCGCTTTACCTTCACTGCGCAATCAACATAGTGACATACAGCTCTTTGAGTGGTGCTACTGGAGGAGTCCTTGATGCGGCGAGATCGTTGATGCAGCGAAGTCGATAGATATAAGCCACAATTTACACCTATGTTGTTCACATCATATTATCTCCTTTGTCATAAGAAGTTTGTTATCCTTAAGCGCTTAAAATTGTAGAAATTATAAACTGTATCATCGATAGCGAGGAGACGTGGGATGCCGAATGAGGACTTCGAGTGAATCTTTCCTCTTGCACTGCCTGGGGTCAGTTCGTCGCTCTTATTCACCGCGCAGAATGCAACGGGAACGAGTGGCTTCGGTACGTTTCCCGTGTACGTCTACGATCAAATAGTGCTGGAATGGACAGATTCAAAAGCGGGGTTCGAGGCTCAAGCTATACAATATGAGTGCGGAATAAGTAAGCGACGACGTATTTCATTGCATAGGATGCGGAATTCCCCAAACAAAAGAAAAATCCTTCTAGAAAGCGTATAGGTAGAAACGGAACCCGATCTCGAACGTTCCAGGCGCAATCATTCACCGGTCGAACACCTCTCACAATAACACTCTCATTACCCTCGTTATAGGCAAAGAACTCTTCATATATTCTTTCACCTTCTATCTCTTCGAATTTTCAAGCCACAGACATATGTGTCTTGTTCTTTTTCGACACTAAGTTATCCACCTACTACCTTACCTCGACCTTTAGCGTCATCAACAAAGCCATCCAACACCGCGCGTATACAGTTCCACCCAAACATTTGACACTACGTCCAGCGTTCCGAATGGCTGCAAATCTAGCTATTCGACATAGCATGCAAATCTGTGTTTAATTTTGGGACTCCTCTTGGGGAGTTGGGGGCTATTAGTGTTGGTGGTTTTGGGCACAATCTAGAGGAAAAGACTGGTCAGGAGGGCTAGGATGGAGAAGAAAGCTAGTGTCGAAAACGTGGAGTTGTGTGATATGGAAAATGAGTCATCACCATCGTATGAAGAGACAACACGACGAGCGAATGCTAAAGAATGACCAACAACATCTTGATTTCGGTTGTGGGAATTGCATGTAATTTCCTATAGAATCTCCCTCCCTTTGACATGATACGCATCGCACGTGAGGATAATAGCGGCGAGGGTTGATACAGAGCGGGTTGCTAATATCATTTTCTATTCAAACTAATTGAAGGAGTTCCAAGCGGTTCCATGGAGTCTAGTTGTTCGTTGAAATTTTCCCGCTTTTTAACGAGGACTTTAGATGCATGAAGAGACATAGCCGGAGGGTATATTCCACGGGGCATGATCCCAAGTCTAAGGACAGAGTTGGTGAATTCGTGGCGGAGAAGGCATTTAATAGGGATACGTAGAGTTCAGTACCGTTCCATATATCAAGAAATAGTGTAATTTACTCCGCTATCAGCTGGAGGTCGAAATAAGTCCTTGTCTTCATTGGTTTTAACGAAGAGAATAAAAGAAGAATCATACGCCATTTTCCTTAGTGATAAGTTGATTCTTTGAGAGGGCGAAAAAATCTTGTTTCATCGATCAGAGGTTTCCACTCCCTCCTCTTCTCAGCTCGCCTGAAAAGATCTTGTCTCATCAGATCATAGTTTTTCGCTCCTACTCCCGGCTCGGACTGAACTCACTCGGTCGCCTAAATCCCTCTGTGGCCCTCGCGCTTAGCTCGGTCGTCCAGTTACTCTAGGAGGACATATATGGCTTTTGGACTACAGGCTTTGCCATCTGAGTTCTCGCAGTAGGAAAATGAAGTCATCCCATTCAAATTCATCGGTCTGTCCAAGTAACTCAAAATTTATAACCGTACCTTCAGCATGGTATATGTTTCTAGTTAGTTCATCCATATTTTAGATACAGAGTTTCCTACTCGTGGAGAATGGATCTTGACCGGTGTGTAAATATGCAACCGAGGTATAGCCAGTGGAGCGCGAAGCGGACTCCCATAGTCAGCATATGAAATGTCGAGTATTTGAAGTTCAGAAGGAGCATTTAAACTTGCTAGATACTCGAATACTTCAAAACTGGAACATATGGCCGGAGAATACACAGCTGTTTGGCCGGTCCTGCAGGCTTATAGATGCCCCTCGCCTAAATAGTATCTTCGCTGTGTCAACGTCATTGACAATTGCAGAAAGATGGACAGGTGTGAGCCCAACTCCGAGGAGAAATTGATATGAACAATGTCTTTATCCTTATTTTTAGGTGGTAGTGGTAGTTTGAGAGTTTCCACTATCACGGGCGAACATTGCTAGTGTCGAGATGTGAAGAGGAAGGAAACCCTGGCCACTTAGGAGCGATTGTCGGAGAAGGCCCAGTAAATGAGGTGATTTCAATGAGCGCAGTACAGTTGGAGGCCCTGTGGGCGATACTCAGGCCGATTGGAATTGCGTGAGGCCATGCTTTCTAAACATGGTAATCCCAGTTGAGGAAGGTGTAATTGTGAGACCTTCGGTATGGCTATGTCAAGAGTCTGAGTTGTGAGCCTTATCATACACGCTCAATTCCTCGTCGACTAGACTTATGGCGTGAGATGTTAACTGTGTGTTTTCAAGGGTTGTAGTTAAGTGAGGTCCAAAGTCTGTGGTACTCCCACTACACTGTCTAAAAGGTTGTAAATTACCCCTGCCTCTACGGGTGGGTAGTCTTGGAATGCATCGAGGCTGCAGTACGCCTGGAGGTTGGAACCTGGAGAGAACATGCAGAACCTCCAACTTGGAACATACTTTCGATTCCCATGGGGATGGTAGAAGACCCGCCTCCACATGTCCCGTGCACAACAGGTCTCAACGCTTGCTAGGCGATTTCAAAGTCAATACATGTAATGAGCGTCCGCAATGGGAAATAAGGAGTGTCCTAGCGGACACAGCTAAACTCAAATAGGATATAAGACAGCTGCATTGGTAACCATTGAATGACTGGGGAGCTCGGATTTGGGGAACTCACATACACTCTCCACGCCTAATTTTATGACCCCTGCGCCTTCATCTTTCGTCCACCATCTATTACATACCAAAACTCCGCGACTCCCACAACAAAATGGGTATTCACTCCCACAACTCATCGCCGCGTCTGCAAGTACAGAGTGACTAGACACACCACCCTTGCTAAAGAAAAGGGTTTAATAATTTACAGTCCATACGCATAAGTCATAACTATAACTCATCATGGGCCTTACTAGGCATCGGACCTTCCGGCCTCCCATTCTCCTTATCTAGGCTGATACCCTTCTTTTTCCTCCATTTCTCCCAAACACTCCAAAACTCCTTCTCCATACTCTTATCCATCTGATCCGGCAGCACAACCACATACTCCACGTGCAGCGCGCCAAACGCCTCGTCCACACCTTCTGGTAGGTGCTGATGCCATATCGGCATCCCTTCATTCTCGACGATTTCGACGGTGTGGGGCTGAACGACTTCCCCGCGTTTGCGGGAGAGCTGGACGATGTGGCCGTCGAGGTGCGTGATGTTGCGTGTCCAGTCGCCCATCCAGGCTTCTCGAAGAGAGAGGACTTCGCGCCAGAGGAGATCTTTGCCGCGGCGCCGGAAAAATGTGCCATCAGTGCGTTCGTGGTCTAGATGTCCTAGTTGTGGATCGGTCTCTACGAGGTGAACAATGAGATCGCCAGCCACCCAGTCGGGACTTTCGTCTGCCTCGTTTTCGTAGGTGATGCGGATGCCTTTCGGCATGCCCCTTTCGATGTGGAGTTCGTGGGTTTCGGGCTCGCGGACAACTCTGCTTCCTCCGCAGACGGGGCATGGGTGCTTGATCGTCTTGCCTTTGCCTCCGCATTTGTCACAAACGGATTGTACCTGTTGGAACAGGCCTGGTGCAAGCTGTTGTCTCTGTATCCGCATTCCTCGTCCACCACATAAGTCACATGTGTCGACTTGTCCATCTTCCGATCCTGTGCCTTCACATGCAGAGCAAATGGCCTGCTTTTCGACAGTAAACTCCGTTTGCCTCCCATTGTAGAAATCCCTCAGTGGAATTGCCACCCGGACCTCCATGTTCGGCCCCCTCCGCTCACCACCGCCATGTCCAAAATGCCCTGAGCCGCCAAAGAAGCGAGAGAAGAGGTCGAAAGGGTCATGGTGTTGGGCGGGACGACCTCCACCACGTTTATGCTGCTCAATGCCTTCATGGCCGTATTGGTCATATATGCGGCGGGTTTCCTCGTCGATGAGGACGTCGTATGCCTCAGCTACGGCGACGAATTTGTCGTGGGCCGAGTCGTCTCCACTGTTAGATATCAGAACCAGAGGTAATGTGGCGGCGCTTTGAGCCCGAAGGAATAAGAACAAGGGCGATTGGAACGTACGGGTTCTTGTCTGGATGGAACTTCTTGCTTAGGGTACGGTATGCTTTCTTGATCTCGCGCTCGGAGGCATCTTTGTTGATTCCCAGAAGCTAAAGTCAGATCAGTCAGAGGATATATCCTTGAGGGCCTGAGGCAGCGCTGAAGAGCAGCATAGCCACAAAACTTGACGAGAAGCTCTAACACACCTTGTAGAAATCCTCAGCACACAGCGCGACCACCACCATGCACCCCAGAAACAGCAATATCCTCAAGAGCATCTTGCTCAATTGCGCCTCTCACCACGCAACGGAAGCCTTGAAGAATAAAGAGAACGGACGGAAATCCCAAAGAGTCTTGTAAGCGGATGCTACATGAACGAGAGAAGAATAATTTTGAACTGGCGGAAATAGGAAGGGGGGGACGGGGAAGTGGGCATTTATGTGTTGAAATTGTGGTAGCTGCGACTTTCGAGAGAACCTAAACGCCAGATAACCAAGTACACGCGCCACAGCCAATCGGCGTATCTTCGGGAATGCCAGAGTCCGTGTCTATTTTGTGTGAACGGTTAACCGGGGAGCTTTTATCTGACAGGTGAATTGACGATGATTGAAGATTCCGCACACCCCTGGTCTTCACAATAGCTTTACTTGCTGGCTATTATCTCACCCGCAATAGTGGAAGACCTCAATTCTACCGGCGCTCAGCGTCATCAATCTCCACACGACCGCACCGCAACCTCTGTCCCCCACCCGTCGCCTTCATACTCAACTCAAGATGGCATCCACAGCTTCCAAAATGCTCAACCCGTTCCTACAAAAACCGATTGTCCCGAAGATAATATCAAGCTCCAAGGTTGGGGTCGTTATCTCCGCAGGGAAAATGCGGAAGGCGGTAAAAGTCCGCATCGCGGGACAGGAATGGAATAAAGATGTTCGAAAAGTACATATACCCTCTTCCCTACCCCCAATTACGTGCCTCTCCAACTTAGCAAAGAATATGTGTTGATGTACGAATAGTATTTCCCTTCCTCAAAGACCTACCTTGTCGCCGACCCCTCTTCCTCCCTCGTCGAAGGCGACGTAATCCGCATGTCGTCCGGCTGGCGCACCTCGAAATCCATCCGTCACGTTGTAACCGCGATAGTCTCGCCTTTCGGCAAACCCATCAACGAGCGTCCGCCTATCCCCACAGAGGAAGAGCGCATAGCGCTCCGCGTGACACAACGCTTGGAGAAGGACGTCAGGGCCGCGGAGCGGGGGCGGAGGACGAGTAAGCTGCGGTTACAGGCGGCCAAGGAAAAGGGGTATGAGATCCCGGATTTGGAGGCTGCGTTACGGAATGTGAGGATTCGGGAGGCGGAGGAGGCAGCGAAGGGGAACAAGGGTACAACGCAAGCCCATACTGGGCAGGTTGGGCAGGTGTTGACAGCGAAGGAGAGGAGGAGGCAGGATAGAGAGAGGGCGAAAGGGGAGAGGAAGGCTGAGGCGGAGGCCAAGCGATCTAAGAAACAGACAATATAGGATCACAGCGGAGCGTTTTATTTGTGTAGGATATTGTGTAGCTGTGGAATGGTCTTCTTGCGGAGACACTCCTGTATGATACGACCTAACATTTGCAGTATGCGGAAACAATATTCAACGTGAATGTATTCACTCCAAAAAGGCAAGATATTGAACGCATCTATCTATGTCATACAAGCTTGAAGGGTATCGTAGTAACACAATCCGTCCGCCGTCATATGAACGTGAAAATGAAGATCAAGACTCCTAATAACATGCTTCCGGCCAAACCCAAGGGTGTGCATACACCATCCTATGGCGCTAAACATGACCAGGTCGTACCACTTCAACGCATGACAGTCATCAAACCCCTTTTATTCTGCAACGAGGTCAACTGCATCTTCATCAGCTTCGCTATCCTCGAACGCCTTAGTAATAAACGGATGACGCAGCGCTTCTTCCGCCGTGATTCGTTTCGCGGAATCACACTCCAACAACCTGTACAGAAACTGCACGGCTTCCTTCTCGTCATCTCCCAATTCGATTTTCTTTTGTGTCTTGTCGCTACTGGTGCGACCGGTACACCAAAGGATAATCTTCTCAAGACTATGGCCACCGTCACTATAGCTTGGGATATTGGTCTCGAAGACTTGGCCGTGAAGAAGTGCGATATCCCGCATCTTCTTCTTGCCAAAGATGCTAGTGAGTTCTAATAACGCGTCGATGTCGTCGGCGCTGTGGAAGAAAGGGAATCGGCGGGATAATAGAGTTAGTAGAATTACACCAGCGCTCCATATGTCGATTGATGTGTTCTGCTGCGTGCATTTTATCAGAACCTCAGGTGGGCGAAATCCACGAGTGCCGGCTCGGTTTGCACGTCGACTGGATCGTACGTCGCTCTTAGGGTAACTTGATGGCTGATTTCCTGATTGAAGAGTCTGGGCCCACACGCTATGAGATATTTTGTAGCGGCGCTCCTCGGGTGGTAGAGTGCACGCGCATTGGTGCCAATCTGTTTCTTCACGCTCGGCGAGACCGAAGTCAACAAGGACACCACGCGCCTGTTGAGGGTTGTAGAGGAAATTTGTTGGCTTGACATCGCGATGGAGAATCTTTTTCGCGTGGACAGAGCGTAGTGCGGTAAACAGACTTCGGAAGTAGAGACGCATGTCGGCAATTGTCATGTCTTGGTAGTACTCGCGGAAGTCGCGATGCTGAAAGTATGGCAGGACCGCTACGACCTGATCCAGGTGACGGAAAGCAGTAATCAGCGGGCATACCGAATCAGAGAATTTGAGGTCATGGAGTAGTTCGAGTTCGTTGAATATTCGCATGGGACTGCTTGTAACATATATCTTTTTAATAGCGACATAATGCGGGCGCTTGGATGGCCGTCTCCGGCGGGCAGGCGATGACCATTTCTTGCTCTCGCGGTCGTCGATGTCCCATTCATTCTCGAAGCTATTGTACTCCAGATCCTCGGCCTTGTACACAGTTGAAAATGTGCCTGCGTATGTTGTGAGTCTGGGACGCATCCCTGCATAATCCGAACCAATTGCTGCAACTTACCCTCCCCGATGCGATTTATAAGTCGATAACGCTTGTTAATTCCTACAAAGCTGTCCTCAAAGCGTACGATGTCTTCTGCGACGGCCTGTTCGATCTCCTCATCGCTACTGTCCATGGTGCGGCCGCTCTCTTCTAGCGGATCGCCGCTTTCGTCGAAGAATTCCTCCTCCTCTTCCTTCATTTCATCCTCGTGGATTACCAATTGCTCGGCCTGACGCGACTGCGCGCGTGCTTTTGCCATATCTTGTCGTGGGTACGAGGTGGTGTTGTGCAGGTGTTTGCAGTGACTGGGCTCCTGGGAGTGCGGGCGGTTCAGTCGCGACCACCGCGGCGAAAATAACGCTAAACTTTAAAAGGCTAATTCAAAACAAGTCGCGACTTCCGAGCGCGGAAACATACATTCATCACCTGCGGCTTGGGACACACAGCAAACAACCCACCTTCTCATACCTTCTTCTCTGTCTTTTATCTTCTCTTCTTCCTGATCGTCGCTATAATGGATGCGCGCATCAATTTTGATATAAATGAGTCGCTCAAGCACTATAGTATCGACCCCGCGTCGATTGCGACACCAGAGGCCCCCTCTGAGCTTGTCGAGTGCGAACACGACCCCGAATCGCTGACGCCCGCGTTGATTAACAGCGAGCTGAATCCTGTTGTTGATGCGGTCGCGGAGAGCCCAGATGCAATTACTCGCAGCTCGTACTTCGATACTCTGCAGTTTCTACTCAAGTGTGTTCCCGTTATTTCTTTGCATGAACGATCACCTACGGCAGATCCTGACTGTGAGCTTTTCCTCCGCTCTAGAACATCCTCTCAGATACCCCCTACCACTCTCAGTAAAATTCTCGACCTCCTAGTTTCGGCATTGTCCACGCAGGCCGACATTGTGCACTCCGATTTGGAAGCCGATGAGCAAGAGACGATACAACACCACAAGCAGTTACTGGAAATATATGGCTTCCTACTTCAATGGACGCTGTCGGCGGTCGAGACAAGAGCGATGGAGAAGTCGGCATCTGCTCCGGCGAGGGGGCGGGGCAAAGGCGCAAAAGCGAAGTCTGGCGCAAACAAGGACGGAAACTGGGACGCGTCACGACAGCTGGAGACAGCTCTCGATATCATGAGTAAAGTACTGAAACTGAAGCTGGCGAGGATATTTGTCACAACGTCGGAGCGGGACACCTTCATTAGCCTTTTCACAAAGCCGGTTTACCACGTCCTAGAGAATGAAGCTCGGGTGAAGAACACAGCCATTCGGATGCATTGCTTCAGGGTACTATGCATCGCAATCAAGCATCATGGCCATGCCTTTGGCGCCCAAACTGCCATCAACCAGAACCTCTCGTATTTCGAGCATTTGTCAGAGCCAATGGCCGAGTTTTTGCAAATCCTGGCCGAGCAATACGACTACCCACAACTCACCGAGGAGGTCCTAAGGTTTGAATTTCAACATCTTGAGTGATCTAAGATCTGACCCCTGCCAGGGATTTGAGCAGCAAAGAGTTTAACAGTAATGATCTGAAAGGACCAAAGTCGGTGTCGACGTTCTTGACTAAAATATCGGAGTTGACACCGCATCTGGTCATCAAGCAAATGACGTTGCTTGCCCACCTTCTCGATAGCGAGGTAAGGACCTTCAGCTTTTGCTATCAGGAAACTGACTGTATTCTAGTCATGGACTCTCCGCTGCGCAATTTTAGAAGTTTGCGGCAACCTCATTGCCATGCTTACGAAACAACCTGAAGGAGACCAAGGTGAAAATCATAAGCGACAGATGAAAGCGTTTTTCGAGGTTCTCGAAGAACGATTTCTAGACGTGAATCCCTACTGCCGATGTCGAGTTATGCAAGTGTACGTTAAGCTTTGCGATCTCGAGCAAAAGTTCCCGAAGCGTCGCCAGATTGTTGCGGAACTTGCGGCAAGGAGCCTCGAGGATAAGAGCAGTAATGTTCGTCGCAATGCCATCAAACTCCTCGGCAAGTTAGTTTCATCACATCCATTCACTGCTATGCAAGATGGCGGCTTGCTCTCAAACAAGGAATGGGAGAAACGGCTGGAATTATGCGAGGCAGAGATCAATAAGCTGGAACCACCTCAGGAACTCCAGGAACACCCCCGGCCAGATGAACGAACCGTCGATGAGACTTTGCTGCAAGACGCCACCCAAGTCGAGAATGAGCATGCACCGGAGCCCAAAAATCCCGGTGAAATGACTGACGAAGAAAAGCTGGCCGCAATTCGGAAAGTACAAGAAAAGGCCGCCACTGCAGAAGAGTTGGTGAGCTTCAAGACGACACGAAAGTATTTCCTGGAGGCTCTCCGATTCATCGAAGTCATTGATGAGGCAGCCGAGATTGTGACACAGTTGCTGTCGTCCAAGAACAAGAGCGAGGTCATTGAAGCAATGGATTTCTTCACCATTATTGATGCCTATAAGATCCAAAATGCTCGACTCGGGATTCGAAGAATGCTTCGCTTAATCTGGACAAAAGGCAATAATGACGAAGGGAAAGGTGTACAAACGCATCTTATCGAGTGCTACAAAGGCCTATTCTTTGATGCGCCACCGAACTTTAACGCTAACGATGCGGCCAACTACATTGCCAAAAACATGATTAGTCTCACGTTCGGCACTACCCCTGCTGAATTGACTTCCCTTGAACAACTTCTCAGCATGATGATGAAACAAGGCTTGGTCAATGACCTCGTCATTGAGAAATTGTGGCAGGTGTACGGCTTCCAAAGGAGGGAGATATCCAAGAGTCAGCGCCGTGGAGCTATCATTGTGCTGAGTATGCTTGCGCTTGCGGATCCAAACATTATCGTGAAAGAGATGGAGACTTGCCTACGCATTGGTCTTGGAGAAATTGGACGACGCGACCTTGGATTAGCCAGATACACTTGCATCGCTCTTCGCCGCATCAGCCCACCCCCAGGAAAGCAGTCTGCGGGTGCTGCCCCAAAGCAAGTTGTCAAGCTACCAAATGATCATGCGGTCCTCGTTCGGTTGGCTGCCATGACTGAAATCATGTCGGACAGCAAGGAGTGGTTTGGAGTCGCTGAACAAGCTATTAGCGCCATTTATGTCTTGTCAAAGCATCCGGATGTCCTTTGCTCGGAGATTTTGAGGCGCAAGTCCAAGCAAGTTTTTGCTTCCCAATCTCAGCCACGACCCTCATCCAGCGGGTTGGGAGTAGAAGAAGCCAGCCAGTTGCCTACCACGGACAAAGAGGACACAACCCCGGAAGATGCTCCGGTGGAAATTCAAGCTCCAAATAAGAAACAGAACTCTGCGCTCTCTCTCTCCCAGCTGCTCTTCATCGTCGGTCACGTCGCCATCAAGCAGATAGTTCACCTCGAGCTCTGTGAGCTAGAGTTCAAGCGACGGAAAGCCGAGAAAGAAAAGAAGACTACTCCTTGCCAATCTACTGCTCCTGAGAATGTATCACCGGTGAAAAAAGGTAAGAAGAAGTCTGCTGGGAAAGAACAAACACCCGCCCCTGAGGAAGCCGACGAATTGGATCTCATGGCTGGTACCACAGAAGACGACTTCACCGAAGCGATTGCACACATTCGCGAACGCGAGCTTCTGTACGGCCCGCAATCACTTCTCTCAAATTTCGGCCCTTTGGTATCGGACATTTGCGCAAACAATACCTCGTACAACCATCCTACACTGCAAGCCCAAGCAGCTCTCTGCCTCGCGAAGCTTATGTGTGTAAGTTCTGAGTACTGCGAAGGAAACCTTGGTCTCCTTCTCACTATCCTCGAACGAAGCAAAGATGCCGTTGTCCGTAGTAACCTTGTCGTGGCCCTTGGAGATATGGCTGTCTGCTTTAATCATCTCATTGACGAAAACACCGACTTTCTTTACCGCCGTCTAAACGATGGGGATCCTAGCGTCAAGCGCACATGTCTTATGACACTGACTTTCCTCATCTTGGCTGGTCAAGTCAAAGTCAAGGGTCAGCTCGGCGAAATGGCGAAATGCCTCGAAGACAGCGACAGGAGGATTGCGGACATGGCGCGCATGTTCTTCAGTGAGCTGGCGACGAAAGATAACGCCGTCTACAATCAATTTGTCGATATGTTCAGTGTGTTGAGCGCGGATACCGGCTTGGACGAGGAGGCGTTCAAGAGGATTGTCAAGTTCTTGGCGGGTTTTATCGAGAAGGTATGTTTCGCCGTTGCGTTGAGCATTATTTTTATCAAAGCCTATTGGAACCTGGCGCTGACCTCGTGCAGGACAAGCATGCCAAACAACTGTCATCCAAACTCGCTGCTAGGTTGCCGAGAGCGGAGAATGAGCGACAGTGGAATGATGTCGCGTTTGCATTAGGCTTACTCCAGCATAAGGACGAGGATATTCAAAAGATGGTTGCGGAGGGTTTCAAGGTTGTGCAAGCAGCGGCGTAGTGGCTATCTTATTGAAAAGATTTTTGGGGGTTTGGAAGGGTTAGGAGGAAACAATTTTGTTTGGGTCCTCGAACGAAAGTATATAATAGACACGGTCGACCGATGATGGAGTTAGGGGAAGGCGTTCGTATAGTCTCTGCATTGGAGCGTGTTGAATAATGACTGATGTTTACAACTTCATAAGCACGATGCATCTATGGACCCGCACAGAGTCCGCACTCGCTTTCACGCCAAGCGTCAACCCCCCACTAGCCTGAACCCTTGGCTTACACTTAAATCCAACCCCTGTTGATCCTTCCCGCCTCCCTCTCACCTCATCGTGCTCAGGCATTCGCCCTACCATTATCAGCAATGATTATTTCCGTATCTGAATCTTCATAACTTCTTCATAATTTCTTCTTTAACCCTCAGATACAAAGCCCCGGCTAACTGTGATGAACGTGCATCATCACATACCAGGCAGCTAGCCAAGCTTTGGGCCCAGCAAATTTCGGATGAATTGAGGTTCCACTTCTCATGTATGCTCCGGCTGCATGTTTTCGGGACAGGAGTTGCACGGAGAGGAGATCCTTCTCGCTTTCGGTAATGGCTGTTGTGTAACAGACTGTGCTCGTGGGTGAGACTGGGGATCGACTATCAAGAGGCAGCGCGCCTCATTCCGATGTGTTCGACGCCACAGAAAACTCTCGACAAAAGGAACAAGCCGCTTCCGGGAGAAAGGGCGGGTGCGCAGCCAGGGGCGACTCTCACAACAGGCTTCAGTCTATTGCCAGTGGGCCCAAAAAGGTAAATCGTACTTGCTGCTATCCCTGTTCTCAGAACCGATATAACTCCGAGATATCAAACAGTATGAACCCCTTCACTTTTTACTCGTACAGGTGCACGAGCTTGTCGCCAGCCAAAGGGAGACGCGATTGCGCAATGCCTAAAAGCGAGACCCAACCTTCTTCATCATCTAGGGTCTTAATGGTCGCGCCTCGGACTCTCGGGTTATCGTATCTAAACGCCACAGCAATATCTGGAGAAGCCCAGAGCTCCGCTTAGGGAACAGATGTGGTGTCGAATTCCCTAAGCTCATTCCCTAAGCTCGACACCGTACACCCATTCTTAGGCTTGAACCGTTTGTGCAACGCCCGCGAGTGGCACCCCAAAATCCCACGTCCAGAAGAATTGCTTCTCCAAGGTGCGACGACAGATGTGGATCTCGATGTTTATCTGTCAGGGACATGCCGCTTTCCGCGCTCCCGAATACAATAGCTGCCGGAGGTGCGCGTCTGGGCCTCCCTGGCAACCATGCCACTCGGCTCCATGGAGCCATGTTCCCCGGGGAATCCTCTACCGGCATATGGAATGGTCCGCATCAGACACTTGCTAAACTGGGTGGGATCTTACCTTCTTTAATCTAGCGGCCTGCAAGCTGTCACTTGCTAAATTCTTCTTTCCTAGGATCTGGTGATTGGTGAGCCTCTTCACGAGGAGAATTTCGGTGGCTTGTTGGGAGAAAACCAAGCATGTGGAATGTGGGGAGCTGAAACCGAGAGGTCTATTGGTTGATATCAGAATCAAATAGGGCATGGATGGTACTTGTTGACATCTGTGTCTGGCTATATATGTACCGGTGAGGTTCGGCTCGCAAATGGCGTAGCAGACCAACGAAGGTACTAAGGTCGTTTACGCTATATTTTTTGACGTCTTTTCCTGCACTCCTGACTGGAAAGGTGAGTTATCATCATGTTTGAACTACCAGAATCCATACATTCTCACCTCTCAACGAATCTGTCGTGCGAGGGTGCAATTTTTGGGACAGTCCAAATACATTCGAAGAGGAATAGCTGCAGAAATGCGATCAGCACATTTTACAGCATGTTCGACACGTTCAACACAAGCTACTTTCTATATATCGCTCTCACATTCCTTGTTGTATCGTCATTCACAAATGCATTCATCAAGATTCCGGCACCTACTGTTGGATACCGGAGTCTCTTCGAGCCGACCTTTCTCCTGCGATATCGATTCGTCACGAGCGCCAAGTCTATAATACAGGAAGGATATGAGAAGGTTGGTTCAGCGCATCTTCGTACACAGCTGAACACTTTGTTGACATTTCTCAGTCCAAGAAGAGTGCCTTCATGGTAAAACGCCTTGACTCGGATCTTCTCGTATTATCCAACAAATACTTAGATGAGCTTCGACTTCTCCCTAATACTAAATTGAGTAATGTCCACGCGCAGGTCAAGGTAAGCTGAACAAACCATTCACTGGTACTTGGTAGAGACTAATATGACTTGGTAGAATATGCTTGGCAAGTACACTTATACCACCTTTCTTCTCGAGAGCGATCAACATGTCCGAGTTCTCCAAAATCACCTCACCCCAAACCTCCAAACCTTCCTACGACGAGCCGAAGAGGAATTGGACTACTCCTTTCAGGCGGATATTCCACAGAATGAAGGTGCGCACGGCATTCCTTTCGGTATCGAATTCGCTGATTTTTGGGATATAGATTGGACGGAAGTCGATATACAACGGATCCTCCGAACAATGGTAGCGCGAGCGTCTTTGAAAGTTTTCGTCGGTGATTCAGCCTGCAGGAATCCAACTTGGATCAAACTTTGCCTTGACTTCCCTATTAACATTTTTGCTACTGCGTTCGTTATGCGACTATTTCCGCCCTTCCTTCACCCTATGATCTCATGGTTCCTGCCGACACGATATTGGCTTCGCCAAAACTTGACATTGGCGAAGAAACTGGTTACTCCAATCATCAAGGATCATCAGATACAGGCTACATCCAATCTTGATGATAGAACGGTAAAGGGCACACTTCTTGAGTGGATGATTGAAAATGCTAGAGGCCAGGAAGGAAACCCTGAAACTCTTTCAGCACGACTCATGATACTCTCAATGGCCTCTATTCACTCCACATCTTCTGCAATCGCCGCTGCTATATTTGACCTTTGCACGCATCCAGAATACATCGGGCTGCTACGAAAAGAGCTTCTGGACGTAGTGGGGGACTCGAGGGGCTTCTCCAAACAAGACCTAAACCGCCTTCGAAAGCTCGACTCCTTCTTAAGAGAGTCGCAGCGCTTCAACCCGCCTATTCTTCGTAAGTCATCTCATCCCTTCGTCCCGTATTCCAAGAGCCACAACACTAACCATATTAGTATCACCCCAGCGCGTCGCCGTCACAGATATTACCCTACGTGACGGCCTCGTAATCCCCAAAGACCAATCCATCGCCTTCCCTTCTGCCAACCTCATGACAGACCCTACACTCGTCCCCAATCCCGAAACCTTCGACGCCTTCCGATCCTACCGTAAACGCGAACAACCCGGTAAATCGATGATGCACATGATGGTATCTACCGAAAAAGACCATTTATACTTCGGACACGGGAAGCAAGCTTGTCCTGGGCGGTTTTTCGCTGCCAATGAGATTAAGATTATCGTCGCGAGGCTTTTACTGGATTTCGAGTTTAGACTGTCGGAAGGGAAAGGGGGGTTTAGGACCTGGACGGTGGATGAAATGTGTTTTGCAGATCCGAGGGCCAGGATTGAGATGAGGAGGCGGATGTAAAGGCACTTTCTTCGTTGGAATTCTCTAGTCATAATTCTAGTACCCTTCAACTGACCGGCAACGCTCGGATGCCACTGCTCTGGCCTTTCCACTTTATTTTGGTCCCGTTTATGGTATTGTATTGCTCCCTACTCCTCCTCCCTTTATTAATCCAGCCTAATCACTCGCTTTCCAATCTAAGGAACTCGTTTACGTGAAATTGGGAGGCAGATTGATGGTTCCTAGGAGTCGAAGTTGATTCCAAAATACCCAGTTTTGCCATTTTCACTATGGCTTCTTGTATATAATGATTGATGATAAAATTGGGCGCAGTACCGGAATAATACGCTTTACTGTTTTTTTTTTTTTTGATAAAATCGCCTGTCCACTAACGCATGCCTTCGGGTATATACTGCATATTCTCACTTAACTTTGAAAAATACTAGGGTAGAGTCTATTTGGTGAGTCTCTTGCTGGAATAAGGGAGAACGTCAATAGAGTGTAAGTATCTTTCCTATACTACTTATATCATATCTCACAATAGAACGGGAGGTTTGGGACCCGCAAGACCCACAGGGGCTTTCTTTCCTCATCTAACTTGAAAGCTGTTTCCTGAGGCACTGGTCAGGCTGGGCCGAACCTTTTAAAGTTTGGTATGTCTGACTTTTAGGATGAGGAGGTTTCAAGGAAGAGAAGCAGGTGGAACCAGATAGGAGCTTGATTGATCAATTAAGATGTTGCTCTCTTGATGTACAGATGATGAAAGACTAAAAATTATAGTGCAAAGAAAACGGTGCTAGTCTTCCCAACCAAATGCGACAAGACTGAACTAGTCCCAAGGCCTTCACTCTGTACATACTTACACGAGAGTGTGGCTTGCGAGACCCCCGCACTTATCGTTCCTCCTTCAAAAGAATACTCGGTGTCATTTCCACCAGCTTGATTTCTTCTATTAAGGCTTGTCCTTACGCCAGGGGCGCAGAAAATATCCGGAAGTTCAAAGCGGTCGACTTATTCGCTCAACGTTATGTTCTTCAGCCTCACAATTCTTAGCCTGTTCATTTCAGCCTCGTTTGCATGCTGTCTTTCAAAAGGCACACAGACAACCAGTGATTATTCGCCTTGTTCAATGGATCCTTCGAACCCTTCGCATACCGTATGCTGCAATGTCGACCATATTGATACCTCTATGCTTATTCACTGACACCAAAAATGGGGAAACGACGTATTGGAGGTACTCTTGCACCGATAAAGAGTGGAACAGTGGTGACTGCTTGGAAGCGTGTTTAGAGGGGGCGAGTGGAACATGTTTTGCTTATACATGTGACATGATGGTTCCCACGACATAATGGCTCTTGATTCTACCCAGGGAATGATAGACTATCTCCCGAGCAATCCCAAATTCTGGCAAGACATCGACTTGGGCATGACCTGACTTTATTTCCTACAAGGCGGTGCGTTAACTTACACTCGACACACGCCTCGCCACGTCTACGAAATGGTGCTGTGGCACTATCACTAATTGTAGCACCAATAGTAATGCCAGGCCAGCGATCTTAGTCCAACTTTTGGAGTATCATTAAGTTTGACTGTTTCCTCTCTTTCGTCCGTTAATGTCCCCCGCCACCCCTTCCAGCTCTATAATGCGCCCTGTGGTAACCTCCGTAACACCTACTGCGTCCACTACTCAAGTACCGCAAAACGGCCTCTCTGTGGGGGCTAAGGATGGAATCGGGGTAGGGGCAGCTGCTGGGGGGGTTCTGCTCCTAGGGCGGGGCTTTGTCGCAAAAGTCATGTTAGTTTCCATGTCGGGAGGCAAGATTTTAATTACTGCGTCTAGTGTAGCAGCGTGCTATTACAGAACGTAGAACACGAGCATATTATGACATGTTCCACGTTAGGTGAACAAACGCACGAGAATGGCTACCAAGAGTCTCATATGATTCGGTGGCCTCTAGACAATGATGGTGTTTTTTCCTTCTGGGCATTGTGTTATTCGTATCCTCGGAGCAACTAGGCTGTGCTCAAAGAACTACCATATTTAAATTCAGTGCTATGGGAAGGCTTTAGGACCTGTAATCCCGTAGGTAAGAAAAGCCTGAAGAACAGGAAAGTGGCGCTGATAGAAATGAGTCCTGTCGGACTCCCGCACCTCACACCCCTAGACGGTGGAACGGTATGCGGACATTGGATTCCGGGAAATGTAAGCACACTGAACAACCTCTGCGATCGTTCGTCATACTAATCCCAATTTATCACATGTTCGTAATCGCACCCTCTGACAATCTCATTCTCACCGGACTACTTTCACACCCCTTTGGAGTCTCAACCAGAACGGTGGTTACCCGAAGCTTATAGAGAAGCTTCATCTTCAAAGTCCAATAACGCCCGTAGCCGCATCGAACCGTTCAGCATCGCCCCGAGATCCTGTATTGGAAGGCCCCTTGTGCTTGCTCAATTAAGACTTGTGTTGGCGAAGATGGTGTGGAAATTTGATATCGAGAAAGCAAACACAAAAGCCGGTGGTCTGCAATGGGAGGAGCAGAAGACTTTTACTGTGGTAGAAAAGCTTCCTTTCGACGTGAAGCTTACGTTGGCGATGCGATGAGAAGGCCCCGTCTCGGGACCGGGGTGTATATGAGGACAAGGCCTGCCTAGTGGGGCATGTCTCAGTTCAGATCACCGGGACTGATGCATCGGAGAATTTGTGTGGGCATGATAAGGCTGAGAAAGCCTTCCCTTCTCTGTTCGTACTGGATCGAAGTCGAGAGACTCTTGAGGGCCTATACCCCATTAAGAATGTGCTGTGCTGGGCTCTTGGGGATGTGCTCAAAGAAGTCGTCGAGGAGTGTCCCGAAATAACTAGAAGCCAGTGCTAAGTCACTAGTGCACTTGTTTTAGTTAGCAACTTCCTCTGGAAACACTCCTTGAATCTAGATTTCACAACCACCTCTCTTTCATCACTCTTCCCTGTAATGAATTGCAGTGAATAGGCTTCTTCCAGGTCTCGCGATGATCAGCTCTTTCCTTCGATTACCCTGCATGGAATTTTACACGGCAATGCAGCCCAGCTGTGGCTCAGCTAGTAAGCGCCCGGGTTTTCATCCACTCGGACTTCGGATTGGATCGACATCGGCCCTCCCGCTTCGACATATCGAGAGACCTGTAAGACGTCACTAATTTAGGCCACCATCCATGTAAGGACACTTATCTCTTTTCTTCCTCTTCAGTCCGCCTGGAGCTTCATTTTCAGCCTTTATTGATGCGTTGTTCTTCGGTCATCAGACTCATCCCGAATTGAAGCACCGGAACCATTTAGAAGGTAAGGTGCAAAATTATCGAGGAAGTTTCAGATTGTGGCTTTCGCATGTTGTCGGGACCGATATGAATCTCACCTCAATCTTACTTCGCCCTGCTGGACCCTCCACGATCCGACGTGTGGGATCCTATAATATTGCGTCTGACGACCTGCGCCTGGCTGCCACGCTGTCTAAGCTCACCTCAACTTTTGGTACAACTTCCAAGGTTCAGCTTGGGCCGATCATGGGACTCTTGCAATGAGAAATGAGGTCTTCGCACCTCCATTCCTTCAACATCCTGCATTTCCTCCTGGGTGCCCAACCGCTGCAACCAACATGGGCGCGAACAGTTCCGTACCAGCGGACTACAATGCGCCTGCGTACGGAATTCTGGTCTTGGACATCTTTCTGACGACAGCTGCGTTGGCTGGTCGTACCGTGTCACGAAAAATGATGAAGGCACGACCTGCCACGGACGATTATTTGGCATATATTGCTTATGTGAGTATATCGATTAAAGGATTCCAGAGGTTGCACGCTGAATACGAGCAGTCGGCCAATCTCGGGCTACTCGTCTCAGGTCTACTTCGTGAGTCTATCTGCACTTTCGCCCATCGGGAACGGGAATTGACAGAGAGTAGTCACCGCTCACGGAGCACTCTCTCTATCATCCGTTACCACACAAACAGAAGATGAGAAGCATTTCGTAAGATCTGTATGCAGATCCGAAATTGTTTTCTGTTAGTGCTCTATCTAACTATTTCAGGTTTACGATGGACTGGCGGTGCTCTACGTTTTCTCCATTACCTTCATCAAATCCTCAATTTTATTTCTCTACCGGCGAACTTTTACTATGCTTACGACCTGGTTTCGTTACGCTTGGTGGTCGACCTTCATCTTAACCCTATTGTGGACCGCTACATGTATCATTCTATTAGCATTGCAAGGTGTTGACAAGCTTCCGAAAGGTGGATTCTCGCGACTCGGCATATCTATCACAGGAATAGTCAACGCGTTCACTGATTTCCTGATATTGGGACTACCGATTCTCATGGTTACGAGGATGAAGCTACGAAAGAACCAGAAGATTGCGCTTATATCAATTTTCTTGGTTGGGGGAATGTGAGTAAGATGGTTCTTTGATTATGAGACATATACGCTGACAAGTTGGGGTCAAGTGCTTCCATCGTCTCGATCATCCGAGGCACGATATTCTTCATCAACCGCGAATACCAACTCAACGAAGCCTACTCAAACTACCTCGATATCGTCCTCACCGCAACGGAGAGCTCAGCCGGTTTTATGTGCGCGTGCTTCCCTCTCATGAAACCAGTTATCATTCACACAACACGATGGGTCCAGCAGTTACGAGGAGTGGAAACGGGCCATCAAGGGTGGACAACGCTTTCAAATTCGGAGGGAACAGCGAAGGGCCCTCCAAAGACGGAGAAGAGCAACCGGGCGCCAAACTGGAATGACGACTACGAGATTCAGCTTCTTCCGGTAAAGCGACTGGGAGATGACAGGGGTAGGACGGTTACAGATTCGCCTGTGAATCTGGAATCGCAGATGCCGTGGGAAATGAGAGATCATAGATGACAGATGAGGGATAAGATATGAGGGATGAGATATGAGGGATGAGACATGAGAGATGAGATATGACGGACGAGATAACGACGCATATCATGAGTTGGATGAAGGTCATGGTTTCACTTTTGGAAGGACTGGTTCCTCGAGTAATACGCAGATACCCTCTCACCGGTTTGTTTTGTAAAGTTTTCTATTCATATCGATCCCGACCTCGATTCTTCGACCTGAGATGCTCTTAATAATCGGCATATTGCCTCTTCGCTTTGGGTAGCCGCTCCAGTAGCCTAGCTTGCCTGGCGCTGTAGATGTCCGCTCAATTGGTTCGCGGGCTACCCTTCCTCTTGCCTTGTGTTTCCAGAAACCAATACCATGATAAAGCCTCATGGTACATAAAATGCACCGGCTCCATCACTCCCCTCCCGGGCTAAAGGCCCATGCGCCAGCCCCATACCCATGCTCACCTCCGCCTGGTCCGGCACCTTCAAAGCCGTCCCCTGCTTCAAATACAGCACCAACCTAAACGCAGTATTCCCATTTAAGTAATACCGGTGCAACCTCTTGCTCCGTAAAAATCCCAACCTCTCATATAATTTCAAACTCGCGGTATTGGTGACCTCAGTTTCGAGCACGATTTCGTCGGCCTCGCGCGCGGCCATGGCCTCAATAGCCATGCAGACGAGCTTGGTGGCAATGCCGCGGCCGCGGTGCGATTCTTGGACAGCCAGCATCGCGATGTAGCCCCGGAACGTTCCTGAGCGGTGGGGCTCGAGTTTGCAGACCACGACGCCGATGAGGTCGTGCGAAGGGGAGAGGGCCTGTAAAGTTGTCAGGTATCAGGATAGTAGAACCTATGGGGTGAGATATACCATGTAGCAAAGGTCGCCCCATTGATAGAGGAAATACCTATAGACGTATATGCTGTAGGGTTCGGAGAGATCCTTCGATATCAGCAGACGGATGGCGGGGAGGTAGGATTCCTCTTTCGAGCTTTCGTATTGCACATATTGAAGTTCATCGACGGGGGGAGCAGATGTGAGGGCCTGAGCATTTTCCTCGCTCATCGCCACCGATAGCAATGGGGCTCTGCAGAATGTGGGTGGGATAGCGGGGGCGGGGTCGAAACATGGCTGTTGAGATTCACAGGAGCTTTGACCCTCGCCAAGCCAATGACATCCCATGACGCCGATCCTTCACAATAAGCATTTCAGGCCCTGGTGTAAACACCAACTTTCTCCCCCTCCCCCTCCCCCTCCCCTCTCCTCTTTACTCCCCGCAAATGTCTTTCCTCCGACGCCGCTTCGGCGGCGGCGGCACCGGCTCCTCCACAGAACCCTCCCGTGAACCCACCCCCGACCTAGACAAAGCAGACGATCTCCGGGTCATCACGGCCAAGAAGTTGCACAACCTCTCTCAGCCAAAGAATAGCAAAAAGAGGAACTTCTGGATATTCGGGCTGGGCGGTGTTTTTGGGTTGGTGGTTGCGGCTTTTTTTGCCGGGAGTAATGACATGATTGATTTGTCCGGGTTGGAGGGAATGAATCTAGAGAGTATTTTCGATGCTTTGCCTGCGGGGTTAATAAGCGATGCGCAGCAGCTACAGGTAAGTGGTTTCTTAATGGTATAAAAGCGGGGGGAACGAGAAAAGAGTGCTGATTTCTGCGGCATAGTAGAAGCACGAACGGGATGCTGTGAATTACGATTCCTTTGCCGTCGGCCTCCATGCGCGTTCGCAAGGTGTACACGCTTCACATCCCGTTATAATGATTCCCGGAGTCATTTCCACCGGCCTTGAGTCCTGGGGAACTGAGGAGTCGTCAAGGCAGTATTTTCGCAAGAGGCTTTGGGGTTCGTGGACAATGATGCGGGCGCTGGTGCTGGACAAAGCACTTTGGAAGAAGCATATCATGCTAGATAAAACTACCGGCATGGATCCACCAGGAATCAAGCTTCGCGCTGCACAGGGCTTCGACGCCACTGATTTCTTCATCACCGGATACTGGATATGGAACAAGATCCTCGAGAACCTCGCCACCATTGGCTACGATCCCACAAACGCCTTTACCGCAGCATACGACTGGCGCATGTCGTACATGAATTACGAAAACCGCGACCAATACTTCACTCGTCTCAAAACCCACATCGAAGTCGAAGTCCGCGTCTCGAACAAAAAGGTCGTCCTTCTCTCCCACTCCATGGGCTCCCAAGTCCTGTACTATTTCCTCCACTGGGTCGAAGCTGAGGGCTACGGAAACGGCGGCCCCTCCTGGGTTGAGTCTCACGTCGATTCCTGGATCAACATTAGCGGCTGCATGCTCGGCGCCGTGAAAGGCCTGCCTGCTGTCCTCTCAGGCGAAATGAAAGACACGGCCCAACTCAACGCCTTCGCCGTCTACGGTCTCGAGAAATTCCTTTCACGTCACGAACGCGCAGAAATATTCCGCGCAATGCCTGGAATCTCCTCTATGCTGCCTATGGGAGGAAACGCGGTCTGGGGCGACGCGGGTTGGGCTCCTGATGATGAACCAGGACAGAACACCAGTTTTGGCAACTTCATCCGATTTCGGGATAGCAATTCTACGCTAGCGAGCCAGAACCTCACCATTGAAGATAGCTTACCGTATTTATTCCGCAACAGCGAGGATTGGTATAAAGATATGGTGCAATCGAGCTATTCACATGGTGTCGCACACACGGCGAAAGTCGTCGAAGACAATCAGCGCATCCCCGCCAAATGGATCAATCCACTAGAAACGCGGCTTCCACTTGCCCCTCATTTGAAGATATACTGCTTCTACGGCGTGGGAAAGGAGACAGAGCGTGCGTATTATTACAAAGAAGATACTGACCCACTTAGCAAGACAAATGTGACCATCGACACGAGCTACAGCAACGGGAAAACAGATCACGGCGTGGTAATGGGCGAGGGAGATGGTACGGTGAACTTGCTGTCCGCGGGGTATATGTGTACGAAGGGGTGGAGGATGAAGAGGTATAATCCAGCGGGTGTGCAGATTAAGACGTATGAGATGCCGCATGAGCCAGATAGGTTTTCGCCTAGGGGTGGACCGAATACGGGTAAGTTCATAAATCTAGTTCTTCGCGTGTCCTGCAGATAATGTGAAGACGATGGGTTTAACGTTTGTGAAGGCGATCATGTCGATATTCTCGGCCGCTCGTCTCTCAACGATCTGATTCTCCGTGTTGCGGGGGGGAGAGGCGAGCTCATTGAAGAAAGTATCCATTCGAATATTAGGGAGTATGCGGAGAAAGTCCGTATATATGACAAAGAGTAAGCCCATTGTAATTTTCGAGACGGTTACGGTCACGAATCACCGCTCTTCAGGAGGGCGTTTTGGATAAGGAGGGTTCGAAAGAATCAAGCAAACGATACCAGATAGACGAATGTTACGCGAGTTTTTGACGTTAGAGGAATTTTGGTCTGTTGGTTTAGATTTTATTACTTCACATTATGCTTATCTTTAGTATAGCAACTACTTTCTCGATCTATACTCAGAGTTTTCATCACAGTCCTAGCCATCATCATCATCACTACCAACTTCCACAAAGTTTCACCATAATCTTACACAAATACGCACCACGACAACGAAAAGGGGCACACTGCGACACATACAACAGTTCTCGTACCCCTACCATTTTCCACAACTCCAACCCCCGAACTGATCATAGATCGATCAGGGTTGTTGTTTCTTCTTCCATATCAACATGCACATTATTGGCAAATTATTGTGATCCTGCACAGGGCTTCTAGCTTATCTTATTTTAGAACATTAGAACGGCAGGTAGACTCCATGCACGCCGTTTTGGGCTTAGTTCTGGAAAAATTGCCAGTCCAGACGTCACGAGATCCGCCGGTGAATTTTAGAACAGCAGTAAGAGCAGGGATCCCATTGTTCGTCCCCTTGGTCTTTTATTCTCACATTGAATCTCGACATATCGGGTGCTATCTCGAAGTTTTAGAGCCCGGAAACCCCATAACTTGGAATCCTCACAGTTTTACATCTTTAGAACGAGCGAGGGTTACTTGAGACATGAGTTGGAACGCTAGTGTTTTTGGAGCGGCGGGAGATCAGCAACACGTCGCTACTTGAGTTTGTGTCGATTTTTTGTTCCTTTGGACTAAGCGACTGATGGCCTAGACGAATGTCTGCTTGACTCTGACGATTTTTGAGCAGCAAGAGAATAGTGACACCCCATCGGTCGAATTTGTCTCAATCTAGTTCCTGTGGATTGAAGGCTAATAAACAAGACGCGAGTTTGTGTAGGTAGGCTTTTCGGAGTAGCGGAACTCCCGCGACACTCCCGCGACCCTCCATAAGATGAGTTGGTCTATCCTTTTTAGGCCCCCTTTGAAAAGAACCACCGATATTCTAAACATGGATATGCTCTTTCTTATTGGAGAGCAGCTCGCTGCTCATGTACAGGCGCCTCTAGGGCATCTGGAATCGGCTATGAAGTAATAACCAAAGAGAATCGATGCCCCAGGGCCCCTCCAGGTGTGCAGAAAGCACCAGAGACTATGTTCCGTCTTTTAGTCTCCTCTCTTAACTTCAGGTCGCCCACCATCGCTGCTCTCGTGGGATCCTTCGGTAGAGAAGGGAAAGAACATAGATTGTTCCTCACTACCGTTTAGGTTCTCCCATCCTAGGTCTGTAACTGTTGTTAGAACTTAGTTGGGAGAATCGAAGTAGTTATTGAAAATTAAATTGGAAGGCCAACCAGACGCTGAAGTACGCTTTTCCGTATTCTAAATTCGTCCATGGCCAGTCTTGCCGACGTTCAAGTGACCATCGTCCTGGGTATCGGTTCCTTGTATTTTGTTCCTCCATATCGAAGATCCCCCACGGCTTAATGCCACATTATATTAGTCCGGCTAGGATTCAATTTGTTTGGTTGCGAATATTTGCAGCCGCCGCACATAAAATTGGAAGAACAACCTTTTTACACAGAGTGATGGAACAGAAAGAAATTCCTTTTTAATCCAGAAATCTAAGCGCGTAACAAGCTGAAGCTTATCTTAGGTTTTAGGGTTATAGAATTTTACTCTGGAGGCTAAGAGAGGTGTGGAAGCTCAGAAAACGAGATTGCATCCCTTGAGCAGAGGCGCCGCTGACTAAGCGAGTAGGGGATGCGATTGAGGAAGAGCGCACGAAACTATCTACTGAGGCGTCAACATCTTCAAAATCATGACAGAAATCACTATTCCACCACCAAATTCCAATGTTAATCATCATTCCTAAACCAATAACACCCTTCCTTCGGGTCTTCCCTCTTTGTTCTCAAACTCTTTAGTATATGCGTCTCCATTACAGATAAGCCTTTCAAAAGTCTTTGCCCGCGCTAAAAACGCCACAATCTTGGCGCAAACATCGGGGATCCTCAATCCCTGATTTCAATCAAATTTCAATAGATTTCCAGCTATACTACGACTTATTTCATCTCTACATGGCGCCTAATCACGATATCGCTACTCGAGCTTTAGTTGTTGCCCTTAAATCGCCATCTGTGGGCAAAACTACCCAACAGGTCGTGTCAATTACTGGACTACCAAAGCGCACTGTCGATAGCATCTACGGCCGAGCGATCAAGCGTGGGTTTGATCCTAACGCCGTCCCTCTTGTTATAAAAGACGAATATCTTGAAGATGCTCCCCGATCTGGCCGTCCAAATAAGCAGACAAGCAAGGTTCAGCAATCTCTCACCTAGAAGGTACGCCTTGACCGATATGGCCGTGAGAAGACATGTGCTGACCTTGCTGGCGAGCTTAGCCAGGAGGTTATTAGGCTTGAAGGTGGTAATGAGTACAAAGAGGGAAGAGATCACACCCAGAGGAGGCATTTGCTTGTCCGCCCAATTTGAAATGTGGCTTTTTTAGTGCCTTGGCGTGGGCAAAGACTTGTGAAAGGCGTATCCGTAATATATCCATAATCCCAAGCCAGTGTATCTTTGACCTCTCTTCGCGTCCTACCAAAGGGAAGAGCCATGTGTAGATAATTTTAGTTATTCAGAACACCATCCCCCTGATCCGACGCGCTCTTTACTCTCACCCGAAGCCCCTTGTCGTGCGAGTCCACATTGCCTTTTCAGAGGACCGAGGTGCGGAAAGAAGTACCATGTACTCACTGCAATTCCATTTTAGAGACATTACCTCAGCTGCGTGAGTATTTTGAACGCTCTGGGTACTGCCTTATTGCTTGGAACAGGCTTCTTCTCAGAGCGCAAAGGCTCGATCGTGCTGCGAGGAGAGCGTTTTGGTAGGGTAGAATGGGGGATTGCGTAATGAGATCAGGGAGGGGAACTTGCGTAACGATATTTGCTTGAACGCTTGGGGCTGGGTGGGACAATCAGATAGAAAATTTTGCGCAGAGATAGAACTAAGGCAGAATAAAGACGCTAGCAAAATACCTGAATTTCTCGTTACTTCCCTTACTCTGTTCTCTGCCTTGGCTCTCTAGTGCTACTCGGCCCTTCTCCGTTGCTAGCAGCAGCCTCGTTTCCAGAACGCATGCTGCTAGCTCCCACTTCGTTGTCATGTCCAGCTCGACTACTGGGTCCTGTTATTTTACTGGGACCTTCTCCGTTGTCTTCTACTTCAGCTGCAGGGTTACAGCCTTCTAGTTCGGACGCCCTCCTTCCATGCTGCGGCCTCTGGGGCGCCTCATCCACCAACGGACTTGGGGCGTATTCAGGTCCTGAGGGCTGCTGCAAACTTTCTAATTCGTGCGTCTGCTCGGGTTGCTGTTCCCCTGGTGTTCCTGCTGCTGCCACCCCAGGTTGCGGATGGCGCGGGCCTTGTCCGTGAATTAGTACTCCTTCGACTGCCGCGTGTGGCGGCGCTGGCAGTGCTGGTTGCGGCCCTGCTGGTACTGGTATCAGCCCCTGTTGACCCCCAGCTTCTTGAGGAAGACCGCCACCACCTGTCGTCGGCCCTGCAGCTTCCCCCTTCCCCCACTTCCTATAGATCAGAAGCCCTGCAACTCCTAATAAAATACCACCAATAACAGCTCCAGAAATCAGACCACCTAACTTCCCTCCAGAGATGCCCGTACTTGGAGGTGATGTAGGCGACGTTTGAGGAGACGTCGTACTAGAAGTCGAACTAGAAGTCGAACTAGAAGTCGAACTAGAAATCGAACTAGAAGTCAAACTCGACGAATTCGACGTCACAACCGTAATAGGCAAAGAGACTGTCCTAGTAGCTCCCCAGTCCCCACCTGTCCAATTCGGCCAGCAATTAACATACAGCATTGGGTTCAGATCGCCCACAGACTCGTAAACTGTCCCTGTGACGCAGACGGTTTGCGTGCCAGTTCCAGTGCTAATTTACACCATCGTGTCAGTGATAAGATTGCAAACATGCTTCTTGTAAGAGAGAGTGAGGGGAGCAGGGCCAGGGCGTATACCATGTTGTCTTAAATTGATCATTTCTTATAACGCTCCCATTAACACAGGCCGTATAAATTGGACAGTCTCCTGTTGTAGGGCAGCAACGACCAAGGGCTGAAGCGGAAAGCCATGTTTCTCCAGGCGTGAGGCAGTGGAATGGAGAATCTGTGGGGATTGAGGAGTGAGAATACGAATCTCAGAGGTCTAGGAGAAAGCCTTGGTGTGGGAATAACTTACACTTCCCTTGAGTAGACGTATAGCCAATGATATCGGGCGGGATGGTAGTCTCAGCGCGAGGCTCGATGGTGTGCTGAGCTGCAGAAGTTATCGGGGTGAGGGCTTGGAAAGAGATAGAAATGAGTAATGATAAAGTTGCGATGAGAACTAGGTATCTGATTCTAACCTTCATCTCCATAGCCGATATTTTGGCTTTAGCGGGAGGCAAGATTAGAGGCGAAATGTGGGACACGGCTCATTTTGATGCATGAGTGCTGAACGGTACTGCACCGCTTTAATAGTAAATAACTGCCGAGTGAAGGATGGAAAGCTTACCTAGCCTTCTGACGAGTAGTATACCGACTTTAGCGACAGTAAGTTGCGTAAGTGAAGAAGCGCGGGCAGCTGAGGTGCGCTTTACTCCAGGAAGGTTGTGTGCTTCCACATGGCGTGCCGAGCCGATAAACATCCCGTCACGCTGCTGCATGCGGTGCGAACCAAGACTGAGGCGCAAATGCGATATTGAAATCCTGGGTATCATTCGCGAGACAGACACTAGTGGCGTGCATGCAGCCAAGTCACAGGATCGCAGCATAGATTGACGCGGGATTTGCCGCAGCCTCACGTTGTTCATATCGTCCATATGGATTACGAAACTTGAATATATAAGTAATACATACTTTCTCCATCTTGTTGCTGCCTTCAAACTCCCTTTCCCTTCATTTCACTCTCAGAAACGCCGTTCAACCCCACCAACCTCCCTCCCATCAACCTCCATAGCGCCAGCCACACGCGAACTCCCGCCCGGCATCTCGCAACACATAGTATCAGACACCTCAACGAGTCCATGGTCCAGCCTGATCATTCCAACACGGTCTGTATGAATTCCGTCTCCATAGCCGTACCCAGAGTCAGCACTTAGAGCATGGGCTCCTCCACCCGGCATAGTGAATGTTTGACTAGGAGCTCCCACCCGATACTGTAAATGACGTCTATTTAAGACCATTCCAAGGAGTGTAAAGAACGTAGCGCCTAGGATGCATCCGACAACGGGTCCGGCAATCCAGGCTTTTGAAGGTGATGGGTTAGTGTGAGGGGTTTGGGTTTGTTGGAATCCTGAGATAGGTGGTAATGATGAGGATGTTGCTGATGAAGAGATAGTAGACCAGGATATCGCAGAGGATGATATCGTAGACGAGGACGCTGCAGAAGGAGACGCTATAGATGAAGCTATCGTACTAGCTAAGGGTGCCATCGAAGAGAACGTCGGAGATAAAATTGTCCTCGTGGTCATGCCTGACGACATCGTCGTCGTCGTCGTCGTAGTAGCAACAGTAGCGTCCCAATTTCCTCCATCCCACTCAGGCCAACACTGATAATTCATAATCGGATCCTGATCTAATATAGAATGATAAACCGTTCCAGTGACGCAAGAAGTTTGCGCCTTAGAACCGGTACTGTGCCGAGTTAATAGCCGGACGAACTGTGTTTTTTAAACATCAAGAATAATAGTAGATATTCAGGTATGCACGAACCAAGTACGTTGATAAACATCATTTGCCATAACACTTCCCCTCAAACATGTTGTAGCCATAAAGCAATCGGGCTTTGCGGTGAGGCAGCATTGACCGTATAAACCGAATGTTTGCCATGCAGAGCTTTCGCGACAAGTGTAGGGAGAGACTAGAAAATGACATTAGTGGGCATAGGTAGAATAATCGGGGAGTGTCTACATACATTCGCCAGATATGTATGTGTATCCAATGAGATCTGGCGGCAGACCACTCTGCCTCCTCACGAGCAGTGGAGAAGGGGCTGTTATAGTGGCAGAATCAACATAGGAACTCGGCAAAAAGAGAATCTGTGTTGACCGGAGAGAGGCATGTATCAACATATTCGCGAGCTAGGTTCAGATATGTGGAGAAATAAAGGAAGCAGACCTAAGAGTTATGGAGAACGAAAGAAAAATTCTCGTTAGGGTATCACCAGTATTCAAATTAAAAAATATCTAAGGCCTTCATAATTAGAAGACTGGTGTTAGATTGAAACCCAGTATCCGGACTTCAGTATATCTCAGTAACGCACACTAAGCCTTACACTCATCCCGTAATTGGTCAGGTTCGAATTCCTCGTAACACGTGACTTGTCTGGGACTTCAGCCTTGCAGGGGCAAATCGGTAGTCCGATGATGTGGTAATAGTACGGGCCGGTATCCGGATATCTTGGAGTAGAGTGATGTGGTTTAGAATTTTATCGTTGCTTCTTCGAACCTCTTCCGCCTCTCGAACTCTTGCTCTTCCCCTTTGCACCGCCACCACTTCCCCCTCCACCACCGCTGCTACCACCACCCATCATCACCCTGACCTTAGCTACAGGCAAGATCCCAACGACTTCGGGCTCTTTCCAACCCCGAATGAGATCGATCTCCTTAGGCCATACCCTCTCGACATCTTGACTCGTCTTGTCTAGCGCGCGAGGATCCTTCCCAGCCGCATCCCATTTTGTTAGAACCTCTTTCACAGCCTTGCCCCTCTTAAGTGTTCCAGGTTGCATCTTAGCCTTGTACTTATAGGTTGCTAATGCTGACCAAGGCGCACATACCGGGATGGCGGACAGAATCTCATCTCCTGGTAAGGGGCGACCAGTGAATGCATCAAGAGCTAGGAGCTGAGCCTTGATCATTTCTTCATCTTCGCCATCATCATCTTGGACATTGCCTTCGAGGGCTGCTCGTCGAACATCTTCCGCAGCTTTTCCAGCAGCCTGTGCTTTGAGATGCTGTTCGCGTCGGCGCTGCTTGTTTGCCTGCGTCTCTTCTTCCTTAGCTTTCTTCGCCCGTGCCTCGGCCTCCGCCGCTTGCTGACCAGATTTAGAGCCTAATAGACGCATTGCTAATGCACGCTCTTCTTCGTCTTGGTCGGCATATTTCGCAGCAAGCTTCTTCGCTTTTGCGCGTTTGCCTCTCGGTAGAGGACCCTTCCCTCCCACTTTGGAAGCATGCGATGTGACTGTTCCTGGACCTTTAGTGGATGGAACTGTAAGGTCAACCCCAGATGAATCATTTTCATCGTCTGCCGCCGCTCCAGATACTGAAGGGGTGTTTGACGAGATCGGAGTGGTTTCAGAAAGTTGTCCTTTCTTAAGCAGACGGCGTTCTCGTGCAGATAGGTGACGGCGCCCTGTTATCCCTCGAGTCTGCTCAGAGTCGGCAATGGACCCGGTATCGTCATGCGTCTCTTCCTGTGCCACCTCAGCCCTTGTAGAAAGTGCTCCCTTTCTGAGAGGTCCTCTAGTCTGGCCTTCAGAGCCAGAATCGACTAATTGATCTTCATTTTGAGACGCCCGGATTGATTGCAGCGGGTTGCTATGCCTTTCAGCCTCCGACTCTGCATCACTCTCATCTGACTCGAGCTTTGCATCAGGGAAATCTTCATCTGAGTCCGATCCAATTTTCGCATCGGGGAAATTCTCATCGCTATCACTTTCATCATCCTCTCGCTTGCTCGCCTCAAAAGCTTTTGGTTCTTCTGTAACATTATCTTGCTCGGTATTGGGAATGGTCTCTGTAGCTGGCTGGTTGAACACACGATGTTTTTGGTGCCTTGCTTTACTCGCTTCGCTGATCTCAAACATGACTGCTAGGCCGATAATGAGTTGTGCCGGAGGCAAGAACTCTTTCCTCCCTTTGATGTTGAATAAACCTGGTGCCAAGTATTCTCCCGTCGGACCGGTTTTACCAACTTGGTCGCTATTGACCCACCAAGCGGACATGACAGCCTTCGAATCCCAAGCTTCGGATGTAGAGACGGACAGATGGCCAGCCTGCGAGAGTGTCGATGGCGGTATCGGCGCGTCCGGAGTATTTGGGTTGTTTTTAATTACCATTGGCACGGCGCCCTTCAAATCGGCATGCACGTAGACATCTCCCTTTCGTAGGTACCTTCGATAGATTATCTCGTTCTGTTGGGCGTCTTTACCCCCGAGGACCAGATATCCATCTGATGAAATGAAGTAAACAAATTTCTCGAACCACTGAGCCCTTCGAACAGGTCGGAGGACTTCCTTTTCCTGCTTTAAGCCTTTCTTGAGGTCTTCTGCAACTTTGCGCTCATGGCTCTGTAGTGCTTTAGTGGATGCTTGGACTGTTCTCTCTTTTTTATCTGCCGCCGACCTCTTCTGATCAAAGTATTCGGTTGCATTTGCCCAAGCAGACAAACCGAGGTCGACGTCGATGGCTAGGTTGTTAATAACGGGCGGCTGAGAGGATGGAGTTTTCCTGGCCGATGGCGGATTGTCCTCTTCATCAGCTGATTCCCCACTGACAGAACTGGTCTCATAACCTTCATCGTCCCCGTTCTCTTGCTCTACATTTGACTCCGAAAGGAGCAGGGTGATAGTGTTCTCGTAAAGCTTTAAGGGCAAGCGAATTAGTTGCGCGACCGTGTTTCCTTGGTTTTGTTCGCGTTCAATCAAACGTGCAATTTCTCCCCAGTCCATTCCCTGCCCAATAAGCCCATTTACAGCGGCAATAGCTTCTGTAACGCGATGAACGTTTGCTAAAATCGCTTCTGCCTTCTGGAAATTAAGTTCCTGCACCTTCTGCAGACCGCCAATTCGACTGGCGTGTTCGTTTCGTGCTTTATCCAATTTCTTCTTGGCGGCTATCTCACGTTCGGTCAGTTTAGACTCCAGCTGCTGCCCCTCGATAGAGGAGAAATATTCGTCAACAGCTCTGTCGAATCCCTCAAACTCCAAGAAAGTATAACCCGATTTTTCGAATTGCTGTGGGCGAAACGGGTGGAAGTCGTCATAGAAAAGATTTGACTTTGCGGAGGATGTACCTTCGCCTTGGTCTTCCGTCTTGATTGCCGGATTTGGCTTGGCTAAGATGTAGCCTTTGATAGGGTCGGCGTGCATGATGTCTTCTGAAATTCTCCGCGCTTCTTGTAGAGCCGAAAGAAGCTTGTCTAGAAGCGAGTCGTTGTCGAGGACCTCCTGTGGCTTCAGCGTAGAATCAAAGCCGGCAATACAGAGTGCGTGATCCACCAATAGTGGAGGACACTCTGTAATAGAAACTGCGAGAGCCTTTCGAAGTGCATCCTTGTTCTTTTTATTCTTTGCCTTCTTCTCCGATGCTACAGGTTCTTGTTCTTTGTCGATTGCCTTTTGCAGAGCTTCGCGAACTCTTTCCTTTGCTAGCTCCGGCGCCCCACCATAATTTTGCCGCAAGGAGAGATTGTACTGTAGCCCGACCCTCAATTTCTCATGTTCGGCACCCTCGTCCACGTTCCGCAACAGCGCTAGAACCTTCAGGTCCCCGTCGGTAAGGACAATATTGCCACCTGCATAGAACTCAAAGTACAGCCGATACAGGCCATCTGAGAATTGTAACTCTATTATGCGATCCGTGCCGATTTGCGAAATTGATGTCACTCGTCTTGTTTTCAGATATTTCCGCAGGCGGGCGACGAAGCCTGAGGGGGCCGCTGCAGTGGTGCGGGCATAGCTGGTGAGATGACAGCGAAAACCGGACTCAATGATCAATTGCTCTCGTTGGTCCGCTCTGTGGAACTTGATCAAAAATATCCGCTAGGCCCGAGGTTAGTATCTGGTGCCCACCTTCCCAAAACTTTGCACATACTGAGTTGAGGTCGTAGATGTTGTTGACTCGAAGCGGACAAAGAGTCTTGGAAAGCTCGTGGGCGATGACCTGTGAATGAAGTTAGCTCTACTCGTTTCTAATAACTTTTAGACTGACCTTGACATCCAAGGAGGAGAAGCGTTGCTTCATTTCGTAGTTGAAAGCGAAAGTTTGTGAAACGAGCTGGGTCCGGAGAGCCGCAATGACGGAGTCGTCTGCCAAGCCCAAATCGTGGTGGGGCTGGTCATAAGGCTGAAAATTCAAGCGGACATACCCTGCCTCTTATGTAAGCTTCTCGAGGTCATTCACTAACTTCATTCGTTATTCGTTATTCGTGGAATAAGTGCGGTAAGATTCAATAGGACCCCTCGTGGACTCCTATCCTCTTCGTTCGAATCTAACTTATTCCTTGACCCACACATTACACCTAACCATGACTTTTCCTCATGATAGCATTGCACGAGAACTCCCACCAACGCCAGAATTGCCCGAAAACTATAGGCCTTGACGTATCCGCTCTGCTAGCTGCCTCTTTCCAAACTCCCAGGCATTCAGGAAACCCTGCTCAGAGAGATCGATGTTCTTCATCGAAGTCATATCCTGGGCCGGCGGCTTGCTAACGCGTGAGGCTACAATGACAGGATCGGTCTCTAATATGATGCCGTCGTCCACCAATTCATCGATAGCAAGCGACTAGCGCAGTGAGTGACTAAAGCCCATCGTCACCACAATGGGTACTTACCACTAGGTCATAGTTCTCAATGACGGTCCGTTTGTCCACAGAGTTTCTGTACCATGTAAGCATGCAAGATCTGGCTCATTTGGGCATGCCCTACTTCAGTAGAATGTTGAGAGAATCTCGTAGTGCCAGCACAACACTACGGCGCAATTAGTGATGGGCACTCTGGCGACTCGAGCTTCATAGCCAATACCTGTATAACAGAACCTCATTCTCCTCAGCCCCACCAACGACGTAGAGCATCACATCTGACTCCATCTTGAAAACAATAACCTTCTGGTCATATAAAATAATATCTGTTGTCTGTTTCGCCGTTTTCTCTGGTCCTCAGTCAGGACATGGGCTTTGCTAGCGATCGGCTCCGGGAACCAACCTAATAACCCTTTCTCAAAAGCCTTCTGGTCTTTCACTGTCTTGTATGCTATCTGGCCGGGGTAGTCTGTTGGGTTGCCGGAGGGTGGGTGTGGATTGGAGTAGTACTTGGTGAGGATGCGGGACCCATCGTCGATAGCTGGTATTTGCACGGGTCAGCATAGGTCCTCACAATGGGTACAAAGACATTGCGTACCAAGAATGAGGATTGCGGAGACACTGAAGAGGGACAGTGGAGGCGCCATTGTGTTGATGTTGGGGAGGTAGCTGTCGACCGTGTTTCGTTAGGTGTCTACTGGAGATTCGTTTAGCGGACCTCTGGCCAATCGCACGTAGCCTTGGCACATGCAAAAAGTGCAGTCCTCTAAAGCTATCTCGACGCTTCTATCGCTAGCATTCCGCGACACCGCATTTGCTTCTGGATATGCCCCCCCTCCCCCTCCCTCTCCCATTCCCCACCTCTATCCCCCAAAGGCCCCTCGCATCGCTAATTTGCCCGTCGGCTCCGTTTCTCGCCCCTCGGCTGTTGTGCGTTCCCAGACGGTCCTCACCATGCCTCCGGCTACCAACTCTCCATCTCCGCCTTGGTGCCGCATACGCAACAAATATACGCAAAGAATCGGCTAAAGCTCGATATATATGGAATCGCAATGCGGGAAATTCTCATCTAAAAGGCAAAGCTCTTGCGTCATTTCGAGAGGTACCTCAGGACCCCGCAACTCCCATTAGATTCCTTTGCAGCTGACAATTGCTAGCTGCCCTTGATGCAGCGGTTCGTTTCCGCTCTTGACGCCCGAAATTTGCCAGTTGTGGTGGAGCTGTATCCTGCCCTCGTTGAATCCATCCCGTTGGAGCCCAGGGATACTCGTGCGATTGCGACTCAACTTCACAATTACCTGAGAAATCATCCTAACCCTGCTAGCCAGTCGGAATTTGTCCTCATGTTCCTCGAGCGAATAACCCAAGACATTCAGTCGAGGAAGCTCCCGCCGCACACATTCGCCCATGTGCACTTGCTGGGTATTTACAAAGAGTGTAAGAAATATGATGAAGGTTATGCATTCTGGCTGTGGCTGCAGGAACAGGACGACACCTATGTGGATCAGGCTGTGTACGGGGCCGCGATCGAGATGCTGGCCTTTCAAGGGCGCACCAGTCTTGCAACGCTCGAGGAGCTGTACATCAATGGCCTCAAACGCTTCCCAGGTACCTTTGCAGAGTACCACCTCTCTCCTGAAGCTATCGTACCTGACCGAACACAACCCACCACCATCCCTGGCATTCCCTTGATCCTCCTCCAGGGTATATTGACCGCTCGAATGTGCTGGCGCGACTGGAAGAAGGCATATCTGGCCCTAGACACCGCCCTTCGGCTCTACCCGCATCAAGTACCCCCACGGTTTTTCGAGCTCTTTATGAACGAAAGGCCCATGTCTGAGGGATACACAGTTTTTCTTCTGGCATGTCGTGCAGGGATTCTGCTCAAGCCGAACCACTTGACCAGTCTTTTGTCTATGCTTAGCGACACCATGGGACGATGTCCTTCTCTCGACGACCGGATGGTGATTCTTCAGGGTATGGTTAATGCTTTGTATGCCTATCTAGAAGCTGGAGGCATGATTCAAGGCCCGCACGTGGGCTCCATTCTCAATGCTTTCGGTAATCTGCTTCCCCGCAAGCCCTTCGGAGAAGATTACCAAGGCAACGAGGGAAAGATCCGGAATATTATCGTCACCACAGCCCACGAAATCATGAAGACTCTTATACAATCGGGAGTGCCTCCGCAGCCTCAGCTATTCATATCGCTTATCAAATTGGCCGGCACTCTTCGGGTCCCTTCTTTGCTCGAAGTCTCCCTCAGGGATATCGAAACTGCTCGTATTGACATTGGCGCAATAGGGAGCAGGAACGTGCTTATTTCTGCCGGGCATCTTCGAGATAGGGCCACGCTAGAACGCTTCTGGACAGCCATTGCTTCCCAAGCAGAATCAGAAGGCAGGCAGGTTACTTATTCCGATTGGATTACTTTCGGAAGAGCATGTCGACAAGCGGACCTTAAAGACTTCTTCAATGAACAGCTTCAAAAATTCAAACACTCGGTTACTCCACGGGAGGAAGTGCTTCTAGCGCAAGAGCTGAACTGGAGCGAGAAACCTCCCACGGCCGAGAACTTCTCGCTCATGGATCCAGCAAATTTTATCTCTATGATGGGGACTATTCGAGCTCGCATTAACGATATTGCTACAGCCGTCATGTCCGGTCAAACCCTGGACCTTCTGAAGACCCCCTTTCCCATGTTCCTTGACCCGGAAAGGCGATCATTGGGCCTGATGAAAGATCTGCGGGCCGTTTACGACGAGCTCAGTACTGATCCTTATCAGCCACCTCAAAAACACACGCCACAGCATTCAATCCCTCTGAGTGCCACAGGAATCCCGTTGGATGAATTGCGCTTCCAGAACTGGGTCACCGTCATGGAGCTTATGAGTGAAGCCGAAGCCACTGAACTTGAGTTTCAGCGGCGATTAGATGAAGCTATTGCTAAAGGGAGACCTTTTAAACAAAACCATCACATACTAACCTTTCGTAAGAGTGGACACACCTCCCAAGACAACGTCTCTATCAGAGGCTTTGCTGCCAGTGCACCTCCTTCTAGAGACGAGGTTCGAGCAACTATCAGGCGCTTGCGAGCATCTAGGGACCCCCTCTCTTCTCCGGCTCCCCCGACTAATATTCGCAAAGTCGTCACAGAAATCCATACCCCCTCCAGTTCCGGTGCGAAAAGTTCTAGCAGTCATTTGTATAAGACTATCTTCCAATCTGGGTCCGAATTCAGTACCAAAAATACTTCGGCAGCGAAATCAAGCATCACTGCCGAGTACACCACCTCTTCACCTTCAAATGAGGATGTATCATACGCTGAAGCGCGGTTCACGCCTTTAATTCGGCCAGTCATCTCTGTCAAGCCTCAGATCAAACCATATATATCTCTTGAATCCACTCATAAAGCTCCAGCACCAAGTCCAACAAGTCTCAAACATAGACCACTTGCCAAGCCGAAAAGAAGCCTTCCCAGACATTTACCGGCGAGCAATTCTTCTTAGATACCCACTGTACAACAGTATCGCCTGTAATTCACCTGTTCAATACCAATCAAAATAGCGACAGATGATCGCAGTTCCGGTCTACCTTGTAAGATGGTCGATATGACTAGGCACAGAATTTAATAACGGCATTTTATACCCGTCCACGAACGTCTTGTGTGTATACATAGATTCTATCTGCATATACGATAGATTGCGCCGTTGAAATCCTGCATTGCATTGCATCGCATCACATCACAAGCGAAGTTATCTATCTCGCGTCAAACGGCCAGATCATCGCATCTCTTTTCATTCCTCTAACTTCTTTAAGAAACGCGCCATGTCCTTCCGCAATCAGGTCATTCTTTACAGAGGGGGCATGTTCCATATGCAATACCAGTATAGCAACTGTGCGAAGGAGTTTTTTTCCCACCTTCTCGAGGGCAATGGCCTCCAGGTAAGGAGGGGTCATCCTTCCTGGACAGCGATATCTGGGGCAACTTGGACGCTGCAGCCAGTCACTTTGTATAACGTGAGCAGGCAGTAGTTTCTTGCAATGGCTACTTGAAACATAAAATCTTTTACAATCTAAAGCATATTTGGTGCGCGGAACCTTCATTTTCCACACTTCAGATCCGCTTTACAGCATGCCACCAAGAAAGGTTCCATTTGCCAAAATTACTCCGTAGGAAGAGGTTTCGCAAATTGCGATTTAACAATTTCTCGACTTAGCTTTATCATTGACTCCACGGAGGTAGTCTCCGACCTAGTGGGCAGACTGTTGCCACTGAGGACAGACCCACCGTCGATATACGTCTCCCTTGAAGGGGTCAATCTATCCTATGAAGGATCTATATCTACCCTCATGCTCCTGCCCTATCCTATCTTTTCGAGTCTATGAGGATAGGCTGTCTCATCAGTATTCAGGTCCTAGGCCACCTTGCGTTCAGTACCCCGAGTAAGTGTGATAAGACGTTGAAATATATGCTTGAAGCGCCAGAGGTCCCCAGGGTGTTCTTCGATGTTCGGAGCGACTCCGATGTGCATTTCGCCCATTTCAACATTGCTTTGCAAGGCGCTCAAGACGTCCAACCCATGGAAAAGCTTCGTAGCCGACAGGATCGGCCTGGTCAGATGCATCGAGCATGATGCCATAGTAAGGAATGAGGTGAAGATGACTTGGAAAGCTGTGAAGGGAATGGCGAACAGCGGTTCGGTCCCAGAAAAGGGAGTTTGCACTAAATCTTCAACACCGGCCCACTACCGGAACAATCCGAGCATGTTTCTCAGAGGATATATCTCAACTGCGCTGCGCGAGCTACGTTCCAGCAAGCCTGACAAATATTTGGAGGCAAAAGGTATCGAATGAGACAGAGAGTCGAGTGTTGAAATCGCGATTACCGGGGTATCAACAAAATTGACTAGATAGAACCCCAGCCCATGGCTGAACAGGTAGACTAGTATTGGAAGGTTTCGGAACTAGGATGGTGGTGATTTGGACAATTTTTGAGACGAGCTTGAGGCGAGTCCCAATGATTATGATTATGATGATGATGATTAGGGGAGTCGACAACAATTTCGAAGACTGGACGAGAGCGCTGTGGCAGGGTCCTCTGCCCTAGCTGCTTCCAGCATTTACTAGCTTTTCTTTCTCTCGTCTCATGAGTCGTGTATGGTACGGTTTGGAGCTCTGATGAACATCCAGCCTATTCAGCCGAGCCGGGAGATGCGCAATACGTATTGTACCAGCTGCAGGACATTCTTCCAAGCCGTCCGCCATGCCCGTTACGGGTCGTATCTGATCTGATCTGACTGGATCACGCAAGATGCTGTTGCTAGCACTCAAGAGGTCATCCAAGGACCAACACGAATGCGAATCGATCTCGGCCCACAATTCCTCCAACGATACCTAATTTCGTGGCGTAAAGCAACAAGAAAACGGTCTTAACACCGCTGATAAGAATCGAGATATTGTGTCGGTCGTTCCGTGGCTAATAGGGAATGCGATTGCTTCAACCTTCCTGATCGAGATAGCCGGCTTTCATGTCTTGAGTTTTAACACGGAATAAATGTAAGCGAAGTGTGGATGACTTTACCTTCGGCTACATCTCTCCATGAACGAATGCGGGTGGTCGTTGCTTCCATCACATTCACAGAATGTTTCGAATGGGAAAGGGACTAACGCTCCTCTAATATTACACTATCAGGCCTTGATATCATCTCCCCATATCGTCTCCCCATATCATCTCCCCATATCACCTCCCCATATCGTCTCCTCATATCATCTCACATGACAATGACAATCTCCACGCTGCCTTTGGTACCTCGCCTCGACGCTGAAACTTTTCCTCCTTACCCTACGCTTTGGCCGTTTGGGTCCACCTCGGATCGTGGCTAGGCGTGGCTTGGCAAGGACGGTCTGGAGGAATGGAAGAAGCTGGGCTGACTGGAGGTTATTTTAGGGGGTCTGAGAGACCAAAAAGCCGGACCCTGGTAGCCGGATAAAAACACGTGGGAAAATGGCTGCCTAGGGCGTGTTGCATGTCCCCAGTCAGCGCCGCTGTCCAACGTGCGTTGTTCTAGAAATATCTGGTGCGTCGGCGCATGGTTACTTTGGGGAAGAGGTTATTTTTGCGTTTGAGTTTTTGACCCAATCGGAATGGAATGGATGCAGCGTCATTACAGCAAAGTTCGGGCTTGAACGACGGTGGTTCGAGAATCAATTATGTCTGGTCCAGCTTGACTTTGCAGCAGCATTAAGTTTTACGGAGAATGCAGGTAAAGGCAGTGGTCGGGAAGATGGCTGGCTGGGCGGATGGGTAGGGCTGGCCTGCACGATCAGCGTTTCGCGCTTCCGGTTCCTGACGCCTTGCTCGTCTTGAACATTGAAAAATAGTGGAGCTCCGAAATGCACCCCGCAAAATCTGAAATTGTCGATCAGGGATTCTCTCTCCTATTGCTTGCTCATTGAGTAGCAGGCGGAATAGAGTTTTCAGGGCTTAATATGAGGGAAAAGTTTATTCACAAGAGTCAAGTATGTCTTATGCGCTGGCGCGGATTCTGCTATTGCCAGCAAACCCACGGACTGGAGTCTGTCGTGTCACACACCACACGCACGATTGTCTTCCTGTCTAAGACTCACTGCAATGGGCATGGTATAATGGAAGGATACCGTTCCTTTCGGATAAGCAACGTCAGGGTCTCATGTTTGACGCTATCACTCCATCTATACTATACCACGGATTTCTAATATACCCCCTCTGGTGCTTAGCATCCGCATGCTGAGATGCTTTGTGCTACGCCGCAATCGCCCGGCGGACCGAAGCCGTTCGGGAGAGACGGGAGCGGCGCGGCCCCCGAAGGGATTGTCGTGGTGTGTGTGTGTGTGGATGTGCGTGTATCTATGCGTTGGTGTGCGTGAGCAAAGTGTTTCATGGTGGATGGATCATGCATGCTGTTCCATGCAGATGTAGATGCGGATGCGGCGTTTTTGGTGTTTGGTTGGTTGGTTGTACGCCTGATTGGAAGGAGCTGGTGGAGAGTGATTTGGGGGAGAGGTGGAGTGGTAGAGTGGTCGGATGATGGTAAGCTGATGGAGGATAATGGCAGAGAGGCGGTTTCTGCGGAGGGTGGTTGGTCCGCTGGGTGGTTGTCACGGAGTATCACGTTGTCTTTTGGGAATGAGATGGGATGGAAGGAGGCGAGGATGGACTGGGCCGAGGAACACTAAGGTGTTGTGTGAGGGAGCACGAAGCGTGGAGGAGGCCGAGGGTTACTAACGAGGTTAAGCGGTTGAGCACATGTCTGGCACATGGAAATCTACAACCGAAGCAACGGGGTGGCCCGACCAGCGGCAATTGCAAGAATGTGTGAACGTATTATTACCAAATGCTTGCTTTCCAATTCGAACTTCTCTCTTGCTGCACTAGCTGGAACAGAAGATAGGCAATACAAGATAACACACAAAATCCAACATAGAAACAACCATATCTATCCCAAACCAATAATGATAAGCATGAAGGGGCATCTCAAAGGAAAAAAAAAAGAAACTGAAGGCAGCGGTCAACGCGCGACGAGATCGAGTCCGATCCAATCCAATAATCGATATTGAGTAAACGTGTCTGAAAGGAAACTCCTCTGCTCGTTTGCTTGCGCTGGAAAACGAAATCTTAATCTGTCTTTGTGTATCCCCTAGTGCTCCAGACCGTGCCCGACCCAAAACCGCAAGTTGAAGCCTGCCGATGCCCGATCCCACCCGCTAAATGCACAATCATGATAAAAGCAAAATCGAACTCGCGTTCCGTGCAACGTCAACTCTGGGAGGAGTAGGGCTGTCAATTCGATTTGCTTCCATTGGGGCTTTGCTCCTCTGGCGTGCTGGGGAAGGAGAAGTCAACGGGCGATGGCGGTGGAGCGGGTGTCTCGCCAACCTCTCGAACTGAGCGAGTCGTGATGCCGGATGCTTTGAAGGCGGCACCGACGTCGTGGCCAAGGGTCGAGTTAGTGAAGAGGGAGAGGCGTTGGCGGGGGTTTGACGAAGTAGATTGGTAGAGAGGCATTGTGAATGTCGTGGAATGTCGGTGGAGTGAAGTTTTGAAGGAGCGGTGTTCGTGTAGAGGTGGTTGTTGCAAGGCGAATATTTTTATGTGGTGGTCGCGGAGATTAATTTATAAACGCCGCAGGCCAAAAAATTCTGATCGTACTTTGGGGGGCAAAGTAAAGACTGAGGCGGATTCCAGGGCGATATTTACGTCTGTGGGGAGGATGAGTGATAAAAGAGCTACTGCGTTGGCCGATAGTTCAAGTGTAACTGCAAGGTGAGATGTATGGTCGAGAGACGGATATGACTCGGGGGCGCAAGAGATTATGAGCTGTCTCGGACAACTAATAAATTCGCTGGCAATATCGGTATGGCTGAATCCGGTGCGAACAAAGCAGGACTCGGGCTGATATGCAAAACGATTAGAGCCTGGTTTCTGTGAGTCAGATTTAATATCACGAAGAGCCACAGGCAGGGCTGATGCGCTGGCACTGCAAGGGCAAAGCCGGAGCCCCGGATTGGGGAATGTGGAAATGTGGAAATGGAACAGACGGGGTTCGCTGCCATTGAGGCTTACTTACTTTTCTTAGAGTGCAGCGGGTACGTCCAATAATACACAGGCGCTGGGAGTGGTGGGTGTGGTTGGATGGTACCTGTGTCGCTACTTGCGGTGTTGGTACGAATTACCCGACGAGTTGGAGGCGAAGACGTGAGAACTGGATAGGTTTCTAAGAACTCGAGGAAGGCGGGCTTGGTTTTATGGGGTAGGACACGAGGGACAATAATAGGAGTACTAAGAGTTATCGGGTGGGGAGCTGGGGCTCTGGGCCTGTAGTGGAATGAAGGATGAAAGAACCCAGGAGGGCAGCGCTTTTCTTATAGACCGGCTAGTATATTCACCGCCTGAATCCTGACTCGCAGGGATCTGTTAGGAAAAGAAAAAGGCATCGTCAATTAAAAGCGTCGGAGCAACCACGGGGCAGCGGGCAAACGCGCTCCTTGCTTTCCTGCTTCCCCGTTCGTTGCACATGAAGCGGAGCGAGGAGGCTTTCCAGAAGGAGAAGAAAGCAGTGCGCACCCCACGCCCTCTGCGAGCTTTTGCCCACGCTGGCGGTCGGGGATTTCCCTCTACCCAGCGCTAGCATGCAACTTCGATGCACCCCGTTGGCGATGCGTCCGGATGCGAGCATGGGTGGCATGCCATGGCATGGCTGGCGCACAAACGAGACAAAGCAACGGCACCGCAGAAGGAAGCGCAGAAGGAAGCCTGCACGCTGCCAGCCGTGGCCTCCCGTCGCGCGCTCCCACGCCATCCAGCATCGAGAGATAGATATCGCAGTCTATCCTCCCAGACGGGAAGAAGAAAGCAAACGCCAGCCGTCCAGTCCCGTCCGGATACGGCCCTACCAGGGCTCCCTTGGCCTCCGCGAGGGCTTCTGACGTGGGCAGCGTCGACGCGACGTACGTCTTACATACGATGTCCTCCAGTGCACCACGCGAAAGTACGCAGGCAGTGCCAGGAAACGCATCAAACAGCAGAGCCAGCGCCGTCATCCGTCTACCTGCAGCGAATTTCCATGACTGACCGCCTTATGCAGTCTCCTGCACTTCCCCACGCCGGGCTGCTGAGTCGGGCCCAGAAATGTGGTTGCGGCCGGGGAAGTGCATCCACATCCACCAACCCACCCCTTGCTTCATCTAGCCTCGTTTGCCAACGCCTCCAGGACAAGCCTGGAGGCACTTTCAAACGGGACTGCTTCCGCCCTGATCCACCACCGCGCACAATCGTCGGATGTACGATCCTTCATTCCTGCTGCACCCGTCGGCACAGCGGTCCATCAATTTTCTTCAGAAGCTGAAGGATGAGCGTGGCCCGTCCGCCGCATTTGTCCCAATTCACCTAAATGCGATTCATAACAGGCGCCCTTTGTCGGCAAGCCGGAACCTGTTCTCCTTTCGTGATCGTCAGTGCGAAGGCTTCTGGAAGGACGCTCGCGCCAGCAGCCTGACTCTGTTCGGCAGAGATCCACGATTCAGCTCTCAAACGTTCCGCTTGCCTTCCGGCGCCAAATCTTCGCAGCCGCCAGGGAAACCGGCAGATGTCCGGGAGAAACTGACACCTCGCACTCTCTATCCGACCTGCATCCAAATGCCGGCTTGTGTCGTGTGTCCTGTCTGGCAAAATCTGGTCGCAATTGGCGAGCGTATAGGCTCATGTAACGGACCATGTTGGCGACGAAAACAGCGACTCCTACCTCATCATCCCTCCACGTCCCTCCGCATAATACTAACAGCCTATTGCTTTGAATCCTGGACCTGGGAATGCTACGTCGCCTGGCCAGTGACAGCGCTTATGGATTAGGATTGCTTGCCACGATTCGCCTCGGTTCTCCAGTCGTGCAAGGTTCGCGAAGGCTTGAGCCAAGGCCCCTGTCTTCGTGTCATTCTAAACCCTACGTCGAATAGGATCTAGTGGAAGACATGATTCAGGCATCAACCTCATCCCTACTCAGCTCTACGAGAAGCACTTCGTGGTTTGAGATCACGGCTTAATTGGAGTCTGGGGTGTTGCGACATTTTGGCTTTCCCACAGCTTCTAGATCCGGGGAAGCCCTGCCCCGGATCCCTCTTTTTTGAAACGTTCCCTATAAGGCTGTGAAACGTAACAGTGGTGGCGGGGATGTCGAGACTTGGGCGAATATGCTGTGCAAGCTGTGTTTGCTAGTGCCGTGTCGGATCTTAACACATGAAAGGACTGCTGCACGACAATGAGGTACGACAGAGCGGGCTCGAGGTCCAACGGATAGGTATCCCATTGGTGAGGACCATCTCTTACTTACGCTGTACACCTTGCAGCCTCATTTCCCGACTGTTTGCATACTTCTGCCTTTCAATCTCTGGTTTCTCTCACCGATCAGAACTGTTCTCTCGCCATAAGATAACCTCTAACTTTGACATCGGTGGGTGGGGACGGACAATTTGAGTCTCGACCAATGCCCGGATCAATGCTACACAAATCAGCAGCACCAATTCTGTTGTGTGAAGATTTAGGAAGCCCCGCTCTCAGAAGAGAGGTTTGGCGGCCATTCCTCACCTCTGCTGGGACGTGAAAGCGTATTCCAACTGACATCACTCCAGCACTAGCGACTGCCCGTCAGAAGCACGCTCTTCCTCGTCCATTGAAATAACCACCCTGTGAAGGAAATGGCTGCCAGAGCCTCGCTTTCGTTGTTTCGTTATCGCTCCGTTCTCGCTATAAAGGACATTGGGAAGGTCCGGGGAAGAATCCCCATCATTGCATCCAGACGCGTGAGCAGGCGTAAAGGTGCTGCATTAGCACGGCGATGCACTCGTAGCTACGAGGGATGAACCAGGTGAGCAGGAGAGTGTTCGTGATAGGTCCACCTGGTTTCCTAGCAAAGGATTGCGCTTATGGGAGTTAATTCAGCCACATTCACTCCAGTCATGATTACAGTTTTCACGCAGGCAAAGGCTAGAACCGTAGTTGTGATATGGGCAATGAATTTAGGAGGCTCCCAGCGCCGCATTTCATCGACACTTTTTTGATACACTGGTAAGTTTTTCAGCTAAGCAGTAATTTTCTCGACCCCTCTACCCCTCGAAACCTTTATCGATAACAATACCAACGTCAAGGTATGGATCTATGACATCAAATGAAGATTATCGGTAACCATTGGAAACAACGATCAATCCTCCGAAATGGACGCTTTAGGGACTTTTCTGCAAATGTCCAAGCTATGGGCACGGTAACCGCCAGATGAAGACTTAGAACAGATTCTCGATTTCATAGAAGAGCATCTGGAGTCAATAAACCACTTTTTCTTAGGAGACAACCGTGAGCAGGAGTCTCTAACAAATGACCGACGAAGTAGATTCAATACTGACCATCAACGAAATTGTCGAGTCTACAAAGCTCGCAAGGGATATTTTCACTTTCTGTTTACAAGGAATTCACCAGCTGACAAGCCCTAGTTCGGTGGCACTCATGAAAGATGAGGGGGCAAACATGTGGCCCTATTTTAATCTAGAGGACCCTCTTCAATAGAAAGCTCTTCTCAACTTCTTGAATTCGTGCGGCCGTCATCTACCCCACGAGTTTACACTTTCAACCCTCGAATTTGCTCCTGTGGGCAATTTAAGGAAATATTTCCTCATCTAGGTCCAAATAACTAGACCATGATATTTCCTAGGAGTCTCGTTTCAGGGGCAAGGGGGAAATGATCTAGTGGACAAATGAGTGTGAGGCTACCAGCTCCATTACGAAAGTCTTGGAGTACACGTGCATCATAGTATACAAATTCTCTGTATTCAGAGAAAAATCGTGAAGTTCGTACTACGCTGCGCTCTATTAATACTGCAAGACTTTAGCAGGGAAGTATTGGTAGCGGAAGATATTGAAATGCCGCTGGAGCCACCGTTTCCATCTGAGAATGAGTTTGCTGTAGTACGCTGGGCATTGTAGCCAGAGAAACCCCGTATCACCTTCCGGCGCGGTTGGACTTCGCATGAATGCTGAATATTGTATATTCTCATCAAGTCAAAGCAGAGAACCACTCATGGTCCCTTCGGGAAGACCTCGGATACTTTGCCGATATGCTCCAAGAATGCAAGGAGAATCAGCTGTAACTTCTCCTGAGCTCTAACTGACACAAACACAAGCACAAGCATGCTATGGATATCCTACTCTTTGGTAAAGTATTGAGACCTTTAATAACCCATCCGTACGTTTATTTCTTCATCTAGGACAAAGCCTGTCAACGAATCCGAAAGCTCCATCAATTGTCCGGAGAGTATGCAAAACAGTTTAGCCATAGGAGCGATCTTCCGGAGATCTATTCTGAAGCGCTCTTTGAAGCATGTGTTTTTTTGGAGAGTGTGAGTATCGGCTTCACAAATGCGTTTCAGGAATTGTTTCCCAGTCTCCCCCTCAACTTTGGCTAATTTACAACCCCTATGACCAAGATCCTAACAGGGTGCTTTACCCCATCAACGACAAATTCAAGAAAGAACCGGTTCTGAATAGGCTATTTATATACGTCTGGCCTTTTCTGGGATAAGCTGGACGTTCTCCCTATCATATTATCAAAGATATTCTTTTGCCAGGACGCGTTTAACGGAGAACCCCTCCATGGGTGGGGCCATAAGGACCAGGACAACTGTTACAGCTCTGTAGCCGGAATACCAGGACCAGACCTCTAGGGTCTACCATGATCGCGCGAGCCAAATCAAGGGCACCTTTGACTAGCGCTCCGTCTCCTATGAAGCCGAAGGAAAAACTCGTGGTATCCCCCACGCAGAAGTACCAGCAACTAAAGGAGACCATCAACCAGCTTCTGGTCCCCAGATTACTTACAGTATCAACAAACGCGCTTATAAGGTGTTCGAGACTTTATTCCATTCCCCTTACTCACCGGGCAAAGCTGGGGAAAATCCATGATCTGACTTTCTTCACGCTATGATATCCGCTGGCTTCTCGGCACGAAGGCTTCACAGCTCCGCGTGGCAATTTCCGCCCAATAGCTTAGACGTTAAACGTAGTATTCCATTTCATGGGCTTCATCCTAGCAACAAACTTCCTTTCACTTGGACTCGACATTTTGGACGGAGGCTTGACAGGGCGTATGGATGGAGACATGTTCAACTTGGCTTAACTGGAAGGTATTGGGCAAGGGCGATGTTGGACACTCTAACTACACATCTTACTCTGCAGCGGATTGAAGTTAATGCTGCCCTGCTATATTCAAGCTCGTGGGCTGAACGAGTTCAAATTGCTGACCAGGACGTCGTCTTTGTGTCATAAATTCACTTTCTGCATCATTGCGACAATGTGATTTCATTCTGTATGTAAACATGCAGAGAAGGCCCATCGGACCGTGCGAGTATGGGTGTCGTACTCTCCAGTAGAATTAGCTCTTAAGACGGAGTCAGCCTCAGCCTCTTATCCATTTCTCTCCTCTCCCTCTTCTTTCTACTCTCTTTTGGCCAATCATAAAATGTAGTCGTTAGACTCTACCACTCCCTCCATTTTCCTTAGTGTTGCTTTGTTAATGCTCAGTGACGAGCCATAAATTGATTCACAAGAGACTTTCACCACAAGGGAAGATACTAGGTAGCTGATTAGTCATTTTAGTCGAATGGGATTCTAACCTTTATCCGAATTCCTGGATTGTGGTCACTTCCCATCGTCATTCAAACGACCGACCGCCACAGTCTTCAGTACTTTCCATGACAGACTTGCCACATTGGATACGTATATCAGATATCACATCTGCTTATCCAATATAACATGCGATATAATATTAGATATTATATTAAATTAACTTTACTATATTGCATATTACATTAGATAACGCTACACATGCTGTAATTAGCTAGTGCCTAAGCTAACAACAGACTCTGCAAAGCTTACTAAATGCTGCTAGGCCTAAATGTCCTAATTATCTCCTTATTACCCTACATAATGCCTTTGTTGCTAGAGCAGTCCTTATAGGCTAGTAATACCTTACAGCCTTTGCTCTTTTACATTGCCTTTAATGTACACTTTTAATTAACTTACTCTTAGTAGGGCTAGCTAAGCGCTTTAGATTACTGTGTTAGAGGCCCTATAGTATATTAATGCCTGCATTACCCCTAAGCTAATAGTAAACATAATAATATAAAATATTACACACATAAAGCTTATCTAGAGCAGCATACTTGTAACGATTCTCGTTCCATCTCGGGTCGCCCAGAACCCATCCGAAGGGTCCCCGTATCGGCTCCGACCCTGGCTCTACCCTGACTCGACCTGGCCCCGACTCTGCCCTGCCCCCTGCTGTTACCCCTATTCCCTCATGTATTTAGTCGCACCTCGCCCCCGTAGCTAGCTCGGTAGTTTTCTGATCTCCTTTCGTACAAGGCCTATAGGTGTCAATGGCATTCCCAGGTTCAGAGTCCCCACGCACTCCCATATGCCTCTGAGTGGATTCCCACCGCATTCGGACCCATTGTCTTGCCTGCGCCGTTACAGAAGTGCGTAGGGACTTAGAACCTAGGAATGCTATTAACACCTATAGGCCTTATATAAAAGGATATTAGAAAACTACTAAGCTAGCTACAGAGGTAAGGTGCAACTAAATACATAAAGGAATAGAAGTACAGTAGAGAGTAGAGCAGAGTTAGGGCTAGGTTAAGTTAGAGCTAATACAAGGTCTCTTTAGATAAGTTCTAGGCAACCTAAGATAGAGACAATTTATAAGAATTAAGTTAGAGTTAGAGCTAATACAGGGACCCTTTAGATAGGTTCTAGGCGACCTGAGATGGAACAATTCATAAGAATTGTTACACAATTGTGGATTGTAACACTTAGGTGTGTGAGCAACTTGTCTGTAAAGTACGTTATAGTCTTAACAATTACCTGCTCCTTATTATTGCCTAGCCTTTATAAGTTAGCTATAGAATTAGCTTATAAAGGTTGTCTAGCGCCTTAGTTATTTATTGTCTTTTAAGGGACATTATATATAGCTGCAGCATGTTTTTTTAAGAGTTTTATGTCTTATTTAAAAGCTTAGAGTATAAGCTGTATCTAACATTCTTTTAGCGCGTCTAAGTAGTATTGTTAGGAATGCATTAGTGTAGAAAGAGTAGTTTAGTAGGGTCTTAGCAAAAGTAAGCAACTTAGGTGTGTAAGCAACTCGCCTGTGAAGTACGTTAAGAGAAAACGCTGATTTATTGTCCTAACAAATGTAAGGCCGAGATGGCGCTTACGTGCGACAGGTATATATACTATTCTGCACCCGAAAATCAACGTTGGTTGATTATTCGTACCTTTTGGTTGTATTGGCGGAGTGGTGCGGAGCCCCGTCCTTACAACAAATTACGCGAGGCTGTGCATTACACGCTAAAACACGGTAATTAGAGAATAGATGCAAAATTCTTGAAAACCTTGGCGCTTACACCTGAGTTGGAGGCCCCGGGTTCCACGACGAAATGTAAGCCCCAGGGTATTCGAGAATGTTGCATACGTTAATATCCCACGCTTGATATGTCAAGAGTGTGTGTCTGGAAACTTCAACGCCGTCTGAGCACCACAAACCACTTGCACAATACACATCAAGGTTCATTCTGTCCTTTACCGCAAATCGGCTCGTGACCTCTCCGCGGCCATGCCTTCGGTTTCAGTCATTCTCAAGCCGCTGTTGGGCACCATCGCCGCCGGAATTGGCCTCTATCTTGCTTTCCTGGCGCTTCTCACTGTTCCTACTCTGCAAGACCACATTATTTACTTGCATCGGGTGACGTTGACCTGGTTCCAGGACGTCAATGTTCCTGAGCAATGGGGTTTCCTCCGCAACCAAGTCACTCCCTTCCAACTGAATACGCCTGATGGCGAAACCCTCCACGCCTGGCATATCATTCCGCTTGACTCTTACAGAAAGCACCAGGATGCCCTGAGGAATGAATCTCCTGGATTGTGCCCGAACATCGAGGAGCGATTGGGATTTCAGCTATTGAGAGACGACCCTGAGGCACGGTTGGTCATATATTTCCACGGAGCAGGTGGAACCCTGGGGTCGGGCTTCCGTCCCCAGAGCTATCGAGCTATATCTGCCGCAGAGCGCAAAGTTCACATTCTCGCTATTGATTACCGTGGCTTTGGGACGAGCACAGGGTGGCCCTCCGAAGCCGGATTGCTTACTGACGCGCTGACGCTTACAACTTTCGCGATGAAAACTGCTGGTATCCCACCGGAACGCATCGTTATCTTCGCCCAATCGCTTGGAACAGCGGTTGCAATTTCGGTAGCGCACAAGTTCGCACTCCAAACACCTTCCGAATCATTCGCTGGCTTGGTTCTTGTAGCGCCCTTTGCTGACGTTGCGCTTCTGACGGAGACATATCGTGTCGCCGGTACTATCCCTCTCCTCTCGCCGGTTGTCTACTTCCCGAAGCTTTTGGAACTTCTGAACAGATTTATTGTCAGCAAATGGCCCTCAAAGGACAAATTAGCGGCCCTTATCAGGCATTGCGGCGAACTCAAATCCAGCCCAAGGAGGGAATACGATATCACACTTATCCATGCTGAAGACGATTACGATATTCCCTGGGTCCATTCGGATGTTATGTTCTGGCACGCTGTCAATGCGACAAGAAATCTAGCAGCAAAGCTGAGCTTTGAGGACTTACAGACGGAAAAGGACAAAGGAAAGACATCTCTCGGCGCTGGTGGGTGGGAGTTCGAGTGGAAATCCAACGGTGGGTTGATAAGGGAGCAGATAGTCAAGCATGGGCTGCATGATCGAATCATGAGCTACCCTGTAGTGAGTTTAGCAATAGCCAAGGCCTTTAATCGGGAGTAGGGGTTACGTTGGAATCCAACCCTAGCTTATTCGGATAGACTATGAAAGACTGAGAGAGGAAAACAGGATCTCCCTAACCAGTCGCTAGATTTTAATGGATTTGAATAGACGGCTGGCCGGCCAAACATTTTCATTGAAGCATGTGTCTGAATTTGGTACGCTCCCACGGGTCCCCTTCAAATGGTGCATTTGCTCACATAGCAGAAAACTAGGTATCGCATAACTTTGACCGCGAGTGAGCCTAGACATTGCGTGAAAGCTTAGTAGTGAAGAAAGAGGAGCAGAATGGTGCACGCGAAGCGTTCAGAAAGAATTGTGCGCATATATGAAGTACTTTATCGCGTGACGTCAGAATCTATTGCCGTGTGCGCAATTCGACGGATTCTAGGCAATGCCAAGTAGCCACTTTCATCTCACAAATCTTACAGAAATTCGAACATCTCGCCCTACATAATCAACCACAAAGCATTTTATTGCAAGTGAGCCTTGTTAAACATATAGGTAAGGCCTATCCCACTATTTTGACCGAGTTTTAGATCATGGATCTAGCTGTAGCTCTGTCACGGGCCACCCAGGGGACGCGTCTCATGGAAGGGCGTATCCACAATGTAGTGGCCCTGCTGCCAACCTCCCCCTACTCAAAACATGGCCAGATAACTGCCCATAGTTGTTCTGTCACGTATCACCTCCTCATTCTAGGCATCCATATCCTAGAAGCCATCAAACAATTGCGCGCGAGCCACCCCACGATGTACGAGATCTATCAATCCCTTATAAAGTAGAGAAAAACCACTCCCCTAAGGACGGAGCAATTAGGACGCCCTCTAAGGCTCACCTTAGTTGACAGAAGCTGTCACGGTTATCTAGGCCCCTGAGTGGCCTGAGGACTTCGCATTAGGTATAAAGGCTCTGCGGGCCCGCTTCTTCTACAGCTACTCTTCTATCCGCAACCCATATTATCTCGGTCCAGTATCACGTGACGAACTCACGTGGTAAGTAACGTAACAAAAGTGTGTTAAAGACTTTTTTTTTATTTATAAAAGTTTTAAAACACATTAGTTATCTTACTCTTTTTTACTCCCTCCTACCTTACCTCTACTTTGCAAGGATTGTACAGAGGACTGTACACCCTCCTAGCACTGTTGTAAGTTAAGTATCACGTGACGCACCTTTTCCTAAACATCCCCCTCTCTCCTTTCTCTCTTCCATTCCCCAAGAAGACCAGTTACTGGCAGAAGGCACCTAGCAATAGGAAAGTCGAGGTAAGATATCCGGAACATTATTATTATATGTTAGGTGGCTGAGCATTGTGAAGGAGTTCAAAATCGGTTGTCCGTACGAACGATCACTAATGCCCCTTAGACGGTTGGGCACGAAACTAAGCCTGCAATTCTTATTGGCTGGAGCTGGACGCTAGCAAGGGGAAGGTTATATCAGTTTCTTGGCTCGGCCGAGCTCGGTGAGATAATCAAGGACGGCGCATTGTCATATGATGCACTAGATGAATAAGGAATAGCGTATTTGAGGGGAAATCGACACCTAATGGGTCTCACCACTACCAGAATACATCCAACATCCATTCTGAATCAGTTCCAGTACTCTATGCATCGATTAACCCCGCATGTCTTTCTTGGACACATTCTTAATCTCTCGTACTTCTATGAGGATTCCCCCCCCTCCGTCTTAGGCTTCGGAAGAGCAAGCACAAATCCAGGGTACTTTGCTTATATGGCCAGGTGCACTAAACGTTACTCAGATTCATCGCTATCGAGAATATTGGATTGAAGGGAGGGAGTGACTTTGCAAGGGTAGGCTAAGAACGGAGACTTGTCCCTATTGATTAACAAATGGGCACACAGAAGATTCAAGGTGGATGCAAATCAATGGAAGCCGAAGATGCAGATTACGAAGTCGTTGTTTCCGCCACTAGTAGGTGGGCGCCTGAGGAGAACTTTTTGCAGTTTAGACCAGGTGCAGGTTAGCTTGAGGAGGAATGGGTGTCGAACGGGGGCCGAAATGTTGCTTATCAGAGATTAAGCCCCAGAACGGCGCTTTCATCGCAAGGCTGATTGGAGACGTGATCCTTTTGCGTTCCACTATCCTTGATACGAATCATAGTCCGATCTGAGTTATCTTTCGATATCCGATTCCTTACCGAACGACCAACATGCGACACCACGTGTGTTTCATTGACCGTGGACACTTGATCCCCGAGGATGAATGAAGTCCGAAGAACCTCCGCTGGGAGAGTATCCTCCATTCTTACTGCGAATGCACGAATTTACTACGGATTAGCTTCCTCCGACTTTCCTTCTCAAAATTGGCCCAGCGTAACATTGTTAAGACACCTCTCTCAGCATGCGATGAAGGACTGATTCTGCTGCATGACCCAATAAACAGATTCTTGGAGCTATGCTCTATCCGCGGAATGCAAAAACACGGAACCCAGCGACGTGGATGAAACCCGCTTCCTGTCGTGAACCAACCCGCTGCGTCCGTCCTTTCCCGATTCTGCATGTCAAAGGATGGTTCTGTACTGCGCCCAAAGCTTGTTCAAAACACTTCGGCTCACCTTTCGGGGCTTGGTCCATACATGAATCTAAGTTCCCCCGGAATTCCACCCTCCTCAGCGTCGTACTCTGTCTTGCTCAAGTCTCCACTAATACTTAGCTCGGTCCAGCATTGCGCGAAACTCAAGCCATGACGTTTTATACGTCTCTTCTCAGGAATGCTCCACACTTTCTTCATTCGTTCATGTTCGCCTTAATCGTGTTGCTTTACGCTCGACCGGCACTCTCCACTGGCCCGACACAGATATACATCGATCAGATTTCTGAGTATTCTTCTCTGCCACGATGTGCCCAAGACCAATTGAGCACCATTGTCCGGGCACAGTCTTCTGGTTGTGGCGATAATATGGCTTTGACGAGTTTCAGCTGTTTTTGCATACAGTCAAGCGTGTATGTGGCTTTTCAGCCTCAAATCCACCTTTGGAAGACTCTATTACGGCTCTTGCTGATGATAGTGACAGACATATGGCCAGTATTATCTCCTCAGCCGTACAGACAACCTGTTCCATGTCATCGTATTCTCCACGTCCCACATCTCTGCCAACGAATTCCCTGATGCCTGAGGTTGCGAGTGCGCTGGATGTGTTCCATAGCTATTGCGAAAAGAGTACAGAGGTCCCTGACCGTAGGTCTTTAGTTTGTACTTTCAATAATTTGTTGATATTAATCGTGACCTAGTTGTTCCGACCCAAACTTATCGTCCCACCATCACGCTACCACCCTCAACGGCAACTGTAACTGCAACTGCAGCTTCAGCTCCGGGTAACCAGGGCAAGGATAATACACGCCTTATCGTCGCAATCTTGGTTCCAATCCTCGTACTTCTTGTTGCCAGTATTGCCGGCCTCTTCCTCTACATACGGCGTCGGACTCGTGTCAAGTCAGCGCCACCATTATCCGAGAAGCACATGCACGAAGATGGCCCTCCACAATACAGAGCATTTGCAGGCTCGCCCCGCGAGATGCCTTCTGAACATACCGTCGAACTAGCAGGAGACGGTAGGGAAAGGCAAGAGATGCAGGGAAGCGGGGAAATCGTGAATTTTGCGCATGAGTTGGAGAGTCGGACACCTGTCGAGCTGCCCAGCGGGGAGGTGCTTAAAAAGAAGGAGAGAAGGTAATGAATTTAGAAGAGGAGAAATGTACAAGGTGGCAAATGCAGCACCTTACGATTTAACTATCTTCAAAAGTAATGTCAAGCTGAAACTATACAACTTGAATCGGACGGAAACCAGCCAACTCGCAGCGTACAACAGAGCCTATAGTGGGACTCTAACCTTCAAGCCTAATCGTTTATGGAAGTTCAACTATCGCTGTCCACTTCCTCTGGCGACTATTCAGAGACCTGATGGATGTCTCTCGCTATGCCATCCCTGTCTTAAGCCGCTTCTCTCGCCCAATAAATCCATCGCATTGAGTATGGGAGTTATTTTACGGGCTCCCAAGCGTAGCATTTGCTAGCAATGAATTTTAAGGTAGGTGAAAGGCCGAGATGTACGGATTAAGATGGGTCGCTTGCACTGAAGCCCTGGAGGCGACCGAAGCCGGTTCCGCGCTAGCATGAATCAGGTATGGGCTGAGCAGGAGGGGCAACAGCGATAACCTCGCTCCTGGAACATGTTGTCTGTCCTCTCCCAGTTCAACAATTCACGACTCCACCCCGTATTCTCCTTCTCCTCCACGAAACTAGAGCCGGCAGGATTGGGCAGAACCTCCCTAACATCCGTCAGGAGCCGGCCTTGAAGATCTGACCCCAGAATCTGACCAGCCCTCTGACATCTGAAGCCTCATAGGCTCCAACTTGCTGCATTATTCATTTCAATCCCTGGAAATTGCACCCTTCGTGAAATCCCGCATCCGCTTACATGTTTAGATCTGCGCGATGTTGAGGTGTCGACCAGCCTGAATTGCCACACCCAATCCTGACCCGCAGGATGAATCACACTCACACTCCCACTCGCTTAGCTACCCAGAACCATGGAATTTCAATATCCTGAATGGGCGAGAGAGCTGAAAGCTATGGATCGCGTGCTCACAAGGCAGACTTCAGCCTTGCTGGGAACCTAACTTTCGTTTGCACTGCCGAAGAAGGCGAACACAGCCTCCGAAAGCTTCCAATCGAATTCCGAGAATTCTTCTTACAAGGACTTGGTATGGCTCTCCGAAATCCGGGTTCCTTGCTAGAGCCCCCCTCTACGTAAAGTATATCTGTCTTACTTAGACAAGCAGTTTCCTGCCTTTGAGCCTTCCACACTTCACTGACTCTAGCCTCTCCGTGGGGCCGTGAACCACACCACGCAGTAACGGACTCGTAGTACCACTCTTCCAAAAATGGTAAGGAACTGGAGGGAAGTCGCTATTTCGCTGAGCATCATTCCTTTCCTCCCTACATCGTTGGCTTACCCCGCTACGATCACCCCGCCACCGCGTATCTTACTTCGTGATGGTGCTACCCTTGGACCTGAAGTGATCGGATACACCTCGACATTCGGCACCTGTGCGTAAGCCCACAAGCACCAAAAATCTGCTAGTCTCATTTCTAATCTAGACTCGATATGGCATTGCCCAGTTTCTTCAATATGGAGTGTAGTGGGATCGTATGGGAGGTGTTGTACTGATAATACGAAACTCGACTGTTGGATGCCGACAACGTGCGAAGGAAGTGTATATGCAAATAACCGTTTCAGATCCACATGGTACGTCATATCTACTCTTAGTTCTCTCAAAAACAGCACACCTCATGATTCCCACCAAAACGTCCTTGTTGACCCTCTTTTATGATGTCCTACCCTTTCCTTATCCCTTGTGCTCCTTTCTATTCCTTTCACTGATTCGCGTTGGCAACTCCATTTTTGGTGCTTTCGAAACCCTCAGAAGGTACTCTGTTCATTATTTCAATAGTACTGGAGACGGGTTTCAACAATCATGCGTAACAGGCACAATTTACGCATCCATCGGTGACCCATCACCAATATCAAATTACCAATGCTGGCCAAGTTGGACAAATGGGGATTGGGCTGCAACGCGTTCAGTACCCCTTTCATCGTCTACGCCTTCACCCTCGCCAACGTCATCTCCCATCCTCTCGACGAATGCGCTTTCTCCCATCTTAGCCACCTCTTCGAGTACAGCCACCAGTAGCGGAGGTAGCGGAGAGGGGGGTGATAAGAACGGCAAACTGGCAGGCAAGATAGCGGGTCCCATCGGAGGCGTCATTGCCCTCTCCTGCATATGTGCATTCATCATCATTAGAAGCAAAAGCAACAAGAAGAAAATGGAAGAAAAGCGCAGAACGAGCACAGTCTATGTCGATCGAGATGGGAATGAATTGCACATAGTACAGAAAGGACATTGGTCTGAGAGGGTGTTTGCAGTGCCATCCACGTCGCCCGTAGGAGACGGTAGCCTATCTCCTAATCTAGTGCAAGATCAACACTATCCAACTACTCAGGGTGTAGGAGGGCATAGTGGCATCGAATATCCTACCAGATCTGGAAATCAATGAAATTTTGTATCTGGGGATGTCAGTCCGGCAGCATTGGGTGACAGAAGTCAGCCGGAGCGAGGTTGAATAACATACGGCCCTGGTGTCGAAGAAATTTGAACCATCGAACTGGAAAACGGCCACTTTCCAAATACTTTTCCGTTGTGTTATTAATTACAGTTAAATCTATTTATTTTTACTTGAGTAAAACTGCTCTCTTCAGTCACCGGTTAGGTAGACATTAATAGCACCAATGTACTATGCCTTGTTTCAGCATTTACTGCGTAGTACAGCAGGTCAGGTATGTAGCCTCGAAGAGATTGCAAAAGATCTCTCATTCATGATCAAAAACCCACTACTTTTAGGATGAAATTCAAAATTCCTCTTGCCTCTGAATTTCTTTGCATGATATCTAGAAATGTCTAGGTGAATGCTGCTGTCCTGTAGTTGCTTTAGGAGATACACGACCAGGTGGGATATCAAGTATTTACACGAGTCTAAGTTGGTAGACGCCTAGCAAGCCGACCTTGGGAAGGTGAAACATCTTGGAAAAGTGGGTATTTACGCCTTGGGAAATGTAATCGCGTGTGCATTCACATCTCCAATCTAGAAATCGTGGACCAGCGATTCGAGGAAGCAAATTTGTGTCTTCCAAAATTTATGAAGTGTGATGATCTCTTTAACACTACCTTCGAGTTTACCCTCCACCCCATTCAAGACTTTTGGAATAACTTTCCGCTATATAATTCATATCCATTTCAGAGTATGGTGGAGTAAGGGCTTCTGGATGATCCAATATTCAGTCTGCATCTGAGAAGGTCGAATCTGGAGAGAGTCGAACTAAATCTTAGTAGCCAGCCTGAAGACATGGACGATGTGGTGTCAAAGATATGCTTAGTTGGGTTGAGTGGGGGAAATGTAAAGAATTACCTAATTGGAGCCTTGCACTTGGCTGTTGGGACAGCAAGTTGAGTTACCACCATGAAACTCTCTGATTGAAGCAGAAGACGACCAAGTCGATACAATCAATCGTGTCTTAACGTTTATGGGTCGGGTGAGGATAGTAGGCAAGGATTCATTTTTCTAGGCAATATGTACTTGAACGGATTACAGGGAATTTTTACTCTGTGTATTAGAGTAGTTCAGGTAGCAAATCAACCAAGATAGAATGTCCTACTTGCAGGTTGATCGAGGTAATTTTCCGTTACCCCCACTTCCTCAGCGCTGCAGAGGTGCGTTATGTTTCTGTGTTCCCATAAATCTGTCTTTATCGATCGCCGGCAGTCAGCCAAAGTCTCCCGTCTAGAGACGTATCGTAACCACCGTCCGTATCCCAGTCCGGAGCGTATCCAGAGGTGTCCAAACTCGCCCTTGAGGTTGTCCTCTGGATCCCTACAGGGCATGAAGACAAGTGCAGTGGGACTCTATCCCACCAGATCACTTTGCAGCACCAACAAAAATGGGTACCGCACTTTTTGCAAGTCATATGCGCGCATCCCCCATCTTTTTGGATTGGCGCTCTACAGGTAGCATTTGGACACTTCTTTGAAGTCCGTGCTTGCTCACGTTTGTCGGCAGTCTCAGCTTCTCTCAAACGCCTTTGCTTCTCTCTTTCGTCTTTGGTTTGTTTAAAATATTGGGATGCAGCTTGTTTCATGGCGCATTTATTTCTCTCTTTTTGTGCGTCAATCTCTCGAAGATGATCACAAGTTCCATCGCGGCAGATGAAACAGTGTCTTTTCTTGCATGAGAGACAGATCCATTCGGGGTTCGTTTCTAAGTTCTCGGTCAGGGCTTGCTAGAAAATGCTCTCGAGTACTTACCTCCACCAGAGTGCTTTTGGCCGTGGCCACAACTGCACCATCTGAACTTCGCATTTTCACCAAGGGATTTCTGGCTCAGTTTTCTAGAATATCTACTAGTGGTGAGTTCATTCCTCAAACTGCTAAGAGGACATCTCTCACTTACATTGTAAAGACATCTGCAGAGACATATGTACGAATGGACTCTAGCGGTACAGGCTTCTTGCATTCCGGATCAGGGCACAAAAGGGCCTCTAGATTTCCTCCTCTAATAGCAGTCTCGAACATCGGCTTCAAACATGCATTGCAGACTTTGCGATCATGGTCACATTCGGGTGTTGGAGGTTTGAAGGCCTGATTTGGGTTTCCCTGATACTCGACCACGTCACAATGAATTTCGCATTCATAGGACTTGTACTTCTTGAGAAGAGATATAAATTGTCTGGAAGGATTTAGGTGAAGCCGTAAATATGGATGATCAGAGGTTCAACTTACTCGAGAGTTTCGTCATCCGATCCTATCATTCGCTTTATTGTAGCCTCGTTGACCCTGATCATGCGCCTGCACCCTTCCCTTCTACATTCTTTCTTCCCCTTTACTACATCTAAGACATAATTCTGGTCACACGTCGAACACACACCCACACATGTCTCCCCTTGCATCTCTGCTGTTGTCGCCTGTCGATGTCCCACTGAGCATCGAGTCGCTTCAAGCCAGAAGTTTGAGTGATGACTGTCCTGAGGGTATGTAAATGTTTCATCGCATTCCACACATTTTAGCGGCTTAGATATGGGTCGATGAAACCATATGTTGGCTTTCCAGCATATCGTCCAAGCTTGAAAGTCCTCGCCGTTCATGTTTCGAACGCGACTTTGCCGAGAGGATTACGACAAGATCTGATGCAGCGAAAAGACTAGATTGAAGTACTCTCATAAGGTCTAGAGCAAGCTCAGCAGGCTGCCGCTCGCATCTTCGAAGCTAATTTTTATTGGCGAGCGATCATGTCATTTGGATCCCAGCCTGGCGCTGCCACCACAATACACGTCGCGAGCGCCAGAAGCGTGTTCTTGATCGCGCCACAACCTTGTCGACTCCACTAAGATTGCTTCGAGAGAGCCTTGATCGCTAGGTCTGCACTTATCCGGCGATGCACAGAGAAAACCGAAGCGTGGAGGAAAAGGCAAACAGTGACCTGTGATGTTGCCGCCAAAGGCTGCACATGAGACTCAGCCGCTCAGCGTAATCGAAATATAAGAAATGAGAAAGTATCTTCCCGGTCAGTATCTAGCCTTCCTCGAAAACAATACTATTATGACCAGCGCTTGATTTACCAATTCCCTCGTTCAAAGAGATCAACATGAATAACGCGAAGGCACTTGAAGCTCAAGAGTATCTCGATTTCCTGTATATCGAAGAAGCGACTTCAGAGGAGGGAGAGAGCCGACGAATCAAATTTTCGACATCACTGACAGTGGAGACACTCAAACGTGTGATTGCAGCCGAGTTGAAACTCGAGCATGAGTGGAGCACATTTGATTTGGTATCATCTGGAAAAGAGCTAACTGAACGTGAGAACACTACTCAAGCTAGAATCTCAGTATACTGACGGCATAGCAGTTAACAAAAGCCTCGCTTCATACGGTATATTAGATGTACGCGCTACTCCTCTACTGTTTGATTCACTGCATTGATATGTCAAGGGGGATACCATTTTCTACGCTCGCGATACGCCCGCTTCGGTACAGCCACCACCGTACACCCCCTCGGCTTTACCCGGAGGTCCCAAAGTCCTCAATAATGTCATGTTTCAAGACCTAGATGGGAAAACATTAATGTTACATGGGATACCTGAGTCATGGAGCGTTAAGCAATTGCGAGACAAGCTCGGAGCTGAGAAACACATCTCCGACCAAGTCGGAAGTTATCGTTTTATCTGGAATGGTAAACAACTTCTGGACGGTATGCTTCTAAAAGCTTATGAGATGTTCTTGCATTGATCATGTTCCGCAGAGAAGTCGCTGATGGCTTATAACCTCGTTGATGTACGTCCACCTTTCTCTTTTAAATTTCAAAACTAAGGCGTGACCTAGAACTGCATCATTCATATCGTTCTCCGACTACCAGGTGGTCTCTTTCTGGGGTTTCTTTAGGTTTCCTTGCAGCTATGACAGAGTACACAATGATCGTCGGCCTTGGTGCGTTCATTTTAGTCTGGGTATCCAAAGGCTATGGGGGTAGATGGATTGGAGGCGCTGCCCTAGAACGGTACAAACGCATAACACATCCTATGTATGGCCTCAAGCGCCCTTTGAACTACCTCGTATTCTTATGAGTATATAAACTATCAATTTATGGCTACTAGGCCGCGGATACGAGCCGCTTTACATAAGTTAAATATTGAGCAGCGCATTTGAGCGAACCTATTGCCTTTACACGCCACTGGAGCGCAGGCACTAATTTTAGGCAAGGAGCGGGGCCACTCACCCACAAGGCTGTCTATGAACACTGCCGCCACCGCGCCGAACGGCTGAATCACTGAATTAAGAGGTTCCAACCGATAAAAAGCTCAGCTGCCCGACTATTCTTCAGCCTCCTTGGCACATTTGACGAACGCGGTGCTCGCCCATGACTCCTTCAATCCTGTAAAAGCCTCAATAATAGGTCAGATATCTTCTAAGAGTCATTTTTGACAGAGTGGACAGGTATAATGGGCCTCCTAGGCAAAAGCAAGCAAGTCAAAGAAAATGAAGCCGAAATCGCAGGACTCCAACACGAACTAGCGAATGCAAAGGCCCAGCTTAGAACGGCGACATCACATGCCCGAGACCTGACCCAGCAACTGGATACTTTACAAGTCCAATATACGATCCGAGAGTCCAGACATGTCGAAAATATCAAGGGATTACGAACTCGAATACAGCACCTAGAGGAAGAGAAATCAACTTTAGAGGCCTCGAACACTATATTGAACACAGACCTAGGTGTATTCCGAACCACGGCCGAACAAAGAACTCTAGAAGTCGGTACGCGAGATGTCATGATTCAAGAATTACAGCAACTGCTTGCTCGTGTCGATTCAGGGAACAGCAATACGGTCTCTAATTTCGAAGTTAAAGACCTTTTAAGTATTGTTCAGGCTCAGGGGTTAGAACTGCGACGGCTGGAACTTTTAGTACAAGAAAAGGAGCGCTCTCTGGCCTCACCTACGAACCAGTTCACGCAAAAGCAAAGGGAACTCGCTAAGTTACAGGACCAGTTACAAAAAAAGGAGTGCGACCTGCAAAGATCGGCGGAGCAGTATGCTAGAGTAGAGAAGGATATGCATCACCTCAGGGCGGAGTGGAATAGCTGCAGAGAGGCGTACGATTTAAACCAAAAGAAATGGACAGCTAGTAGCCGCCAATATAAGAATCTCTTTGACAGCATGAAACGAAAGCATCTGGAGGAGCTCAATGGGGCACTGGAACAGGTTAGAAAAGTGACCGTAGATCTTGAGAGATCACAGGCGGCTTTTTCTGAGAAAGAGCAATCAGGTCTGGCAAAGCAAAGAGAAATTGACGATATAAACGGCCAAAACGAAAATTTTCGACAACAGATCGCTGATAGAGATCGCCAGATTACCACGCTACAACATGACCTCGATGAAAGAACCGAAACACTCGCCAATGCAAGGCTGAATCTCAATCAAACTCGGAATCAACTCAACATTGAGACGCGGAAAGTGCAGACCGCTACTCAGGAGAAAGCGGAGAAAGATAAGAAGATCGAATTCATACAGCAGCAATGCGTTTCCCTGCACGTACAACTTACGGCACCAAAGCCAAAAGCCTCGAAAACCCCGAAAGGAGATGGAAGTGCAAGCGAATGACCCAAAAAAGGTTCACCGAGGAGAGCGATAGTGGAGGTCAGTTGAAGAATTAGTTTGACCCTATACCAGTGGTCAGATTTGAGGCTAATTTATTTAGTGACCCGATTTTAGCAGTGCACATATCCAATCCCAGATACCCAGGAGTGACACAGTTGAGTGGGAAATGTATGAAGCCCCGTATCAGGACATGCTGATGGATCCGAGTTCGAATCAAGAAGAAACAGTAGACGAGCGTATACAGTGCGCTTCACAATAGACAAGAAATATGAATAATAAAATTGATTAGACGTTAGAGGAAATGACGTGAGAATTCGGCTAATACCTTGAATTTATTCAATCACCTTAGGAAAAACCCAACGGCAAAGTTCAGAAGAGAAAGGGCAAGACTCTCACAAACTATGCTGCCCCCAGTCCCCAAAACTCTAGGTAACTCTCGATCACAACTTTATAAGCTAAGAGCACTAAAAAGCATCAACACTCCCATGAAAGACGTAGCGTTTGTTTACAACTGCGCTGAATTACCCAACCTACACCGAACCGCTGTGAAACTATAGGAGCACACAGATATTACGAGGAACTGGGTTAATAGCTAAAAGAGTGTACTTAGGGGTCTATATAGTTCAGGGGGCGAGCTAGGTAACATATATTTAAGCTAGACATAGTGATTGATGAATGCTAGTAGTTGGTGGAGCTCAGGAAGCTCCGTCACTGCAAACAACTGCTGGCGCTTTATTAAAGAGGATACTGTATGGACGTTGAAGACCCCAAAGAAAGCACTCCACTGCCGTGCACTGCGTGGCATAGGGAACTAGGTGTCACTATACCTTTAATGGAGGCTGGAGTAGGTATATAAAAGAAGACACATAATTTCCTAAGTAGCACAGCGGAAACATAGGTTTCCAGCCAAGGGAATACATAATCTGCCGAGTATCTTTGGTCTTTCTCACGGAGATAGTACAATCTTCACCTTAGTCAGTCGACCCCAGAGTCTTTCCATTGCTTAGTTCTATCGCACGTAATGTTGCGTCCGTTCGTCGCACTACTTACTTACTCATTAGGGACAGCGCATATTTGTACGCAATAGTTCCGACGTGAATAGCCCTCGAGCTCCTCACACATTGCACTGCCGCTCAATCTACTTAGGTTACTTCTCACCACTCAATTGACCCTTCCCCTCTATCCTCTATCTATCAGCTTGACGTTGTGATAGTTTTCACACCCTACTTTAAACACATAGAAGACTTAACAACCGCGCTCATAGTGACTTTCTCGATGACTAAAAGAATGCACCCGACGCCTTTAATTTTGCTGCATCTCCACACGAATGTTACGTGCGCTGTTGAAACTCGGCTCGTATCCATCCTCGATCTTCAATACCAAACTGACCATGCGCAACCCTCCCCTGAACGTCCAAGGGTTTTCCCGCTACCCTTCTCCTATCATTCGTATCTGAAAATCTATATAAGCCCCCATGCTCTACCGCAACACCGACTTCCATTTCTGCAACTACATTGCAGCCTCAAGAAATCGACAAGAGCAATCTTATGTTGGGCTCTGAGCTATCCAAAATTCGTTGACGTTGAAAGATCCTACTCCAAAGTAATTGAGTCACAACATATTCTTGCCTGGTTTCTACGTCCTGAAATCCCTCTTGAAAGGAGCTATCATAAAAACCGACAATCGTACTCGACTTCCTAAATCTAGAAATGCTCTCGATTGAGCAACATGGGGAAGTCATCGAGTGAAATCGGACTGCACTTAAAATATTACGCTAATCATGAACGGCACGACTTTCCCTCGCACCAGCTTAAAGGAAGCATTAAAGTATTCAACTGTCCGCACCCATGACGGCATCCCTCTCTCTTGCCGCTGAAATAAACCCCCAAGTCGAACATTCGTGCCCTGCGAAATGCGAAGAGCGAGGCGCAACTACAGACCAATGCTTCAAATACTATGCTACTCCCCCGTAATTCCGCAATTGGTCAAAATAAAATACTCCGAAGACGCTAGAATGTTCCTGTCTTCTGAAATACGTAGTTGGTTCCAGTGATGAAAGAGAGTGTAGAGGCGGAGTGCAGTAAAACGGTCGACGATGTGTCGATATTTTGGTGTGGGGGTTGATGGAAATATTGTTAAAATGCTCTTGGAAACGTAGTATGTAGGTAACCTCGGTCGTAGAGTTAGGTGAAGTGACTGAGTAGATGGGTATGCTTCGACGGGAGGAAACAATGGTTATCATCACCAACACGAGTAGCTAATATTAATGGGTCTCGTCAAATTTATTATAAGCACGACTCGTCGCTGCTTCTCTCTAGATGCTTCTGTATGTCGACTAACTTACGTGCACAGAACCTTACCTCAGTCGTGTGCTCAAGGTCTTAGTATATAAAGCCTCTCATTTCTTTTATTTTGATTCTCTTTCCTCACTTTCCACCGAATATGTGTTCTCCTAGAATTATGGAAGAAATGGATAACTCATATTGGGTGTTGGAAGCTGCTGCGAATAAAGTCTGATGTAACCCCTATAATGGTGTGAAACCCATCCCTTCGTATTTCAATCCTTCAAAGAATGCTGGAGAAACGGCCAGAATTCATACACAACGGGTGAGGATTGTCAGCAAGAATTAAGCGAGGATGAATATAATGAATTTGGAAAGCAATATTGATGACCCGCACGATGATTAATAAATAATGAAAACTGGTGCAGAAGGAACGGACAAAACCTAGATGAATGTCATCCAAATTAGGAACCATAGATTCGTTTCATGATGAAAATTGCTCGTCAGCACTTGGGTTACCATATACGGTCCCATATACCCAGTTCCATCTCTCATCCCTCAAACAAAAGCAACCCTAACCTCCTTTGCTGGCTGCAAAACAATATCCGCATGCAGCCCCGGCATCTTCCCCCTCATTCTATTTTCCACGCCCTCAAACCTCTGAAACAGTCTAACAAGCGTATAACCCATCTCTGTCAGCGCAAACTGCTGCCCAATACAAATCCTCGGGCCACCATTAAACGGGACATATGTCCAGCTCTTAGGTGTCCAACCAGCCCACCTTTCAGGCACGAATTTCTCTACGGGTGGGAAGCCAGAAACTTGGGGCGGGTAGAGGTCTTCACGGCGTTGCATGACGAGGGTTGAGTAGCCGATGGGCGTGTCTTTTAGGATACCGATGGGTTGACGACCATCCGACCCGCCACCGGTCGGGAGTGTGGTGTCGGTTAGCGCCATACGGACGTTGAAGGGGACAACAGGGTAGAGACGGAGGGTTTCGTTTAGGATGTGGGTGAGATATTTCATGTCTTTTAGATCTTGGTAGGTGGGTGCTCGTTCCAGCCCAACTTGGCTGATTATTTCTTGACGTAGTCGGGCGGTGATATGGGGTTGCATTGAGAGTTCGTAGATTGCCCATGTAAGCGTGCAAGCAGTCGTATCGCGTCCTGCGAGTAGGATCGAAACAAGCTGATCCCGGAGAATGGTGCGATCACGGGTGTAAGCTGCGATGGCATGGAGGAACGTGTATCCCTCGTCATGATTGGTCTTTTTCTCGAGTTCGGCAGGGGAAAGTGAGAGCGCTTGGTCGATGTATTGTTCTACGAAGTTGTTGATGACCTTGATGGAGGAGTAATAGCCAAGATACTTGCGAGGCACGAGCCAATTCAGGGGTCTGGAAGAGGTTAGAGGAGAGATAACAAAGATGGAGAATGTGTGGGCCTTGAACCTACCCAATTCGGGCGATAATGCTTTGGATCCGCTGAGCTTGGTAAAAGGAATCTGCAAATTCAGTTTGAGGATTGGTTAGGCTTTCAACGCTCTTTCCAAGCAAAAAGTGTGTGGCGGCGTCCAGTGTGTATCTGCAAACACATGAGCTATGTTAATGAAGCTCTAGAGTAACGATGGATACCTGAAGAAATAATCCAGCATATCAATATCCCCTTCCCTCCCGAGCCTCTTCATCAAAATCTGAACATGCTCCTCAAAGATATCAAGATCGCTAATGCGATCCTTGATGAATTGGGGTCGAATCAACTGACGCGAATTATGCCAAAGCGTCCCATCTGTAGTGAAAATGCCGTTCCCCAGAAACGGATGCCACTCCTGTCGAAACTTCTCCCCTTTTCCAAAATCCTTAAACTGCGTCGCCAAAAGAGCCTTAATGTTCTCCGGTTCTGCTGTTAGTATCACCCTCTCTCCAGTCCCCGCTTCAACAGTGAAACCACCCTTTCCATATTTCTCAAACATCTCGACCCAGAGCTCGTAGTTCTTATCAGCGAGCATGAATTTGAGCACGCGGTATAGCATGTCGACGCCATATGGAAGGTAAGTCGTCCGCACCGGGGCACGGTAGCCGAGTTTCGAGATTCGATGGTTGCAATGTATAGTGGTGAAGAGGTTGTAGAGGACACACAAGATGAAGAGAACGAGGAGGATATAGGGAAGGGTGAGGTATGGGCGTATGAATTCGAGCATTTTCTAGGGTTGGGAAGGAGTGGTCAAGCCTCGAGTTCGTTCTATGAGATTGTCAGTACGATATATTAAGACCCCCAGGCGGGTTGGATCTAAGTTTTGAACAAAAGCACAGCTTAGGAATCCACACCTTAATAGTCATTCACAAGCAAAATTTAACACCAGAATGTCACCGAAGCCAAGTTTTACATCTTCTACATCCTCACCTCACACCCCCGAGGCAGGCAGGCTAAGTAGACAACGCAAATCCATCATATGCGAAGATAGACTGCACCTCGGCTCACCTCGCTCACTAAGCGAAGGATCAACATCGCAACCATCGCTCCATTTGGCACAAGATGCATTCACAAAGTGGTAAAAGGCGGGCCGGTGACCTGACGCCCTTGGCGTACAAACGGGCAGAACGCGGGGAAAGACATTGGGTCGTGTGAGAGCCAAGGTGTGGTGGTGGGGTAGTCATCTTGGGTGCGGTGGAATGGGTTCCGTCGGAGACATTTCCTTCCGATTGGTCAATCAGTCCTTGAACTAGAGCAGATTAGGAGGAGAACGGGGCTTCAGGAGTGTTTTCGAGTTGTTATATTTGCGCATTGAGAGAATGCTGATAATGGAAAGGAAATCGGCCAGTTTTCTTAGTAGAGGTGACTGAAGGATGAATAGTGTGGCCCTTTTTTTGTTTAGAGATTCATAAAGCGGCGTTGAGTCCGGCTCGCCCGAGTGAATAGAGCGCTCATTAGCAACAAAGATACAGATCCTAGAGTTTTTGAATTGTACTGAAATCCTCCAAATCCTGCTTCTAAGACATTAGATTATAGCCCTCCACCATACCGCGACCTCCCAGATCCCCAAAATCCCTTTCCTCCTAAGTCAACCCTAACTGACACTGCGTCCCATTCATAGTACAATACACCATCTGGATCGGCTCCGCACGAATGCCCTTCGCAACCAACCTTTCCCTCATCTCACTTAACCTAGGACTTGCCTCAGTCTGACTCCTATTCCTGCCTTCCGCATCCTTAGCTCCACTCCATAACACCTCCGCTGCCGCACTTGCTCTCGGCCAAATCATCCTATCAAGATTAACAGGATCGGTTTGCTCTGCCCACATGTGCGCTTCACCGCCTAGAACCAGGTGGTGGAGAGACGGAGGAACGCCGCTGAGTGGGTCATAGGAGTAGATGAGACGCCAGTTGTGGAAGGGCGCGCAGTAGTCGTTGTAGGGCCAGTATTGGTCGGAAACAGAGGGGTCGAAGTCGAGCCATTGGCCTTTGCCGCAGTCGAGATACTTGACAATCAGTTAGCGAATCTGGCGAGGAGGCATAGGGGAGGGGTTTCGGAGCACGAACCCAGTAATTATAGTTCCCAACCAACGCCTTATGTCCCTTTGCAACCACATCTGCGACTGCTTGATCAGATTGCCATGTCTGGACAATGACATCTTCTCCTAATGTCAAATTCCAATCCAGGAGCATCTCTTCCCAGACAATAGGCGTCAGACCTAAGGAACGGAGCTGATTATGATTCCGATCCACAAATTTTTGCATTAGGGGTTGCAAAACCGCTGAATCACTCGATCTCACCGTCTCATCCAACTTATATGCATTTTTATTAACCTCATCTCCTCCTGTGTGGAAATACGAAGAAAACGGATAAACCCTTGGCAATAAGTCATCAAAAAGCTTTTCCAAAAAACTATCCACAGCCGAGGAATTCAGTTTCAGCGTTCCAGACGGGGGTTCCGCCGCATAAGTGTCCCAATCTGGCTGGACATTGAACGCAGAAATGAGCTCCGGGTAGCTATACCAGATGGAAGATGTATGACCTGGCATATCGATCTCTGTGATCATTTCGACGCCCTGGATTGCGGCATGGTACTGAATGTCCTTGAAGTCTTTCGCGGTGTAGATCAGATCTGGCCGGTATGCTCCCTTTTTCGCTAGGTCGGGTAGAGCTGGAATATCCAGAGGCCAGGACTGGGAATCCGTGACATGGAGATGAAAGCGGTTCATCTTGTTGTATGCAACGGCATCGATCGTCCGCTTGATATCGGCAACAGTGAACCAATTCCTGCTGACGTCGAGATTGACACCTCGATGCATGAACTTTGGCGCATCCATGATCTCAACTGGTGCGAGCATTGTATAAGCACCGCCATCCGAATGCTTGAAGAACAACTGCGTAAACGTCGTCAAACCCCTGAGAATCCCAACGGTCGAATTTGCCTGGATTGTTGCCTCGCCCTCGTTCGTCAACTCTAGCGTATAGCTCTCATCGACCTGGCCGACGAGCGGTTTCGCCACATTCTTCGGATCTGCCTGGAGTAGATTGAGATGGATAGTCTTGACATACGTCGCCTCCTCCTCACTTGGTTCCTCCCAACCCTTCGGATGAAACTTCCACGGCACAAAGCCGTTCTCAAAAATCGTCTGATACGTCTGTTTTATCGCAAAATCCACCATATCGTCTGAAGACGGGCTTCCACCATTCGACTCATTATTCCCGTAGCTGCGTTTGTAAATCTGTAAGTTTGGGATTCGTTAGCAAAGAGGGTAAGATGGTAAAAAGCACGTACGAGTCTGGTGAGTTCTGGTATGTGATGAAGCCTACTTTTGCGCTAGACCAGTTGACTTGCACATCCTTGCCAATCCAAAGTACAGTATTTCCGTGATCATATGATAAGGGAAGTGGCCATATTGCCGTCGCTATAGATGCGAAGAGAGAGATGGAGATGAAAGACTTCATGCTTCAATCGAATGTGATGCCAAAGTGGGGGTAGCCCCTCACTGCCAACGCGCAAAACAAGAAGATAGGCTTCAATGAATTGTAGACGTGAGGGAAATGGCCGGTAAAAACAAAGAAAAGAGGGCTATCCCCTCTGAGTACAAGCTCGACGACACAGGAATGAATGGCTAGAGCAAAGGCACGTATCTATCTACCCTGGAGATCCTGACCTGCAATCTTCTCATGCAGGACCCAGTTTCCGTCAGATGAGGGGAGCAAACTGAAGGAATCTACTGGGGTCAATGTAGTAAGGAATAGCAATGGATGGCGGGGAGTGCTCATCAAGGTGCGACTTGGGTAGGTGACACCGGAGAGGTGAGGTGGATCTTAGCCGAGAGGACCACTAAAAAAGCTCCCCGCGTCTTTCATCCTATTCGACAACAGCCAACGCCTATCCCAAAACTGCAGGTAGAGAAGCAAGAGACTGACAGGCAGGATTTTGAGTGGCTACCTTGACGTTGAGGCAAGAAATCTTGAGGGTCTATACTGTGGTAGGTTTAGATGAGGTAGTTTCACATAGCATCACGAAACGGTCGAGCTTTGATTAATATTCTTCGTTTGCTATCGATGCACTCATCCAGCCACATTATCTCTGCCAAGCTATCTACAGGAGCCACATCTCATCTATCATTTCCATTATAAACGTGTGATCATTACCTCGAAGCATGTGCTCCGAAGAGGGTTTTGCCCGCCCGAAAAGAGAACCCACAGTATCCAAGCCTAACGCCCCTGCCATGCCAAAAAAAACAATGTTGAAAATCGATATCGAATCGAAAATGCAGGTCTATCGTATCGTTTTACAGGGTAAAGAAGACGCCGAATAATGCCGCTAATAAAACAAGGCCCGCGTTAACTATGAAGGAGTGCGCGCTCGAGGCAGACGGAACAGGAGCAACGGAGGAGGATTGGATTTGGTTATTCTCCAAAACGTTAGCACTTGAACTGGGAGTAGCGGTTGCTTGCGTGACAAGAAAGCCGCGAGAGTCGTACGATTTCGGCATGGTTGTGATACCAGCCGGAATCGCATAGACCGTCGTGAAGCCCTGCTGGTCATAGGCAGTAGTCATTATTACCTCAGATCCGCCAGATGAAGCCGATGGCGAGGCTGCAGAAGATGGTGTAGAGGAAGCGGGAAGGGATGTCGACTATTGAGAGTTAGCACAATGGGTTTTTGTTTAAAAATAAGGAAGAATCTTACTGACAGGTGCCGAGCTGGGCGGGACGACTTTTCCTGAACTCGAAACAGTCCACCCGCTTGGTAGCCCGGGATAGTTGGAGTAAGTCACGGTCGCGGCCGCGGTCGACAGAGTGGAAGCCTCAGGTACCCAGGGGTAAACACTGGGCTTGACGTAGGTAGAGGTCTCCTTCGGGGTGAAGGGAAGGGGCCCGGATGAAGTGATTGATGGAGAGACGCTTTGGACAGGGCTGCCGCCAGAATTGATCTTTCCACCAACAGACTTGATGGATTGCCAAGTACCGGTCTGGTCGCCATAGACATACTGGGTACCAGTAGAATAATCGGAAACCATCAGGGATTTGACTTGCATGGTAAACGGGCCCTTGGAGTAGTCGGTTGGACCCTGAGCCCACTGGATGGTGCCAGGGGCATTGGCTGAATCACCACCGCTCCAGGCGCCGAACTTGACCATCATGGGAGTCTGAGGATATTGGTTATCTGAATTGGCTGGTTGCAGAGTCCTGACGGTAACGCCATCGATCTGCCAGATGATCTGGTTCGCCGTCCATTCAATAGTGTATTTCTTGAATCCAGACTGGCTCCCTGCGTCTGGGTGGAAAGCACCACGATTGTAGGTTGTAGTCTGTCCCTTGCCGAAATAGTTGGTCTGCACCTGAGCCGAGTCGGCTCCCAGCCATTCCCAGTCGATCTCGTCAAGATCGTCGGAGATCAGGACAAAACTGCTGACAATACCCTTTCCGGGTGCTGCTTTGAGCATAACCTCAACCTTGCCAAACATGATATACCACTTCGACGTCAGCTGTGGGGAGTCGCCGGACTTGGAGATGGTGAACGAGACGCCATTCGAGTCGTAGGTCGGGTTGCCCTGCGGGGTGAAGCTGTCGGAGGCGGATGAGAAGTCGATATTGACGGTTCGGCCAAGTGCGGAGTCGGGTGGGCAGTCGGATCTTGATAGAGGATTGCAGGTGGTGTATGTTTGTGCTAGTGAGGGTGCGACGAGAAGTGCTACGGAAGCGAGAGCGGAGACTGCTCTCGTAGTAGTCCACATATCGAATGCGAAGGTGGTGGATAAAGGAGGCCCTGGAGAAGCTCCGGCGAGAGGTAGGGATTTAGTAGTAAGGTTGGTTCAAAGGAATAGCTGCGAGTATGGAGAGGTAGAGGATGGTAAAAGTGCAAACAATGTGTGTGGTAGGAGCTTAAGAATGGTAATTGAGTCCGTCTATGCTGGTACGAGCTGAGAGGATGAGAGCAAAGCCGGGTGAGATGGTTGTGACATGGGAGGTAATCATGGGTAGCTGCATGTTAAAAAGGCCCCTTCCAGCCATCTCAATAGCATTCACCTACGTGTGAGCTGATACCTTGGTCTGTGGTCATGTGGCGTGCCGCTTTCGCAACCTCGTGTTGGAGGATAAACGGCGAGGTTGGCGAGGGAGCATTGGGAGGCTGGATGGTTGAAACCCCAGCCACACTTTCCGTGCCCCCCCGCAACAGGGGAAGAGCCTTGATTTTTCGTCCAGCAATGGGAGGTGCGAATCCCACAAAATTGTTGACAATAATTCTCGAGACTTTGTCAGTCTTGCGATCGAAGTCGTTGATTGCGTGGCCTTCCTCGGAGAGCTGAGCTGGAACATCACCAGCCACTCGGCACTCGGCTGTGGCGTCTCCCAATCGAGACCCCGCAACACCACCCCACCTCAATAAAGATTCGTGAGAACTCTATCTTTAGCATCCGCGGGCAATCCGACGTATCATTCGCCTTCGACCCTGAGCCTGGGCAATAGTTCCTTGCAGGATTGTTTGGCCTGCATCCTGGACCCGCGGTTTTCGGTGTGGCAAACCTTGGAAAGCTCTGTGCTCTGAGTCACGGGTTTCGCCTCGCCTGCCTTCAACACCACATCTCTCCACCGTAGCATGTACTAACACCAACATGTCTCTCACTAACGCAACACCGCTCGAGGTTGCGCAGGCAGCCCGGGTGGGATCTCGCAAACTCGCAATTCTCTCTACCGAGGAAAGGAATGCGGCGTTGACAGCAATTCACAAAGCGCTAACCGACGGAAAGGATGAGGTGCTTGCAGCCAATGCGAAGGATTTGGAGGCCGCGAACAAGGCCGCAGAAGGTGGCCAGCTGAGTCAGAGTCTTGTCAAGAGGTTAGATCTGGGGAAGAAGGGCAAGTATGAGGATATGCTGCAGGGGATATTGGATGTGAGGGAGCTTGAGGATCCAAGTGAGTGATCTCTATGTTTGCTCGAGTACCTTTAGTATCTCCCTTTAAATTCATCTATAATTCATACGCTCACATCCTCTGGCGAAACATTTTCCCTCCCTATATTGTCTTTCCAATTCAATTTATAGCCAATTCCTCTCCTATTCTTGATATAATCTCTCTTCAATACTCATATTTCTAAAGTCAACAAAATCACCTCCCGCACCCTCCTCGACGACAACCTTATCCTATCCCGCAAAACATGCCCCATCGGCGTGCTCCTCATAATCTTCGAAGCACGCCCCGAAGTTATCGCCAACATCAGCGCTCTGGCCCTCAAATCTGGCAACGCAGCCATCCTCAAAGGTGGAAAGGAATCCTCTCAATCATTTGCCGCGATCGCCTCCATAATCTCTCACGCTTTGTCTACCACCGCTGTTCCCTCAGATTGTCTGCAACTAGTGCAGACACACGATGTGATCGCAGATTTACTGAAACAAGATACCTTGATCGATTTGTGCATTCCCAGGGGTGGCAATAAATTGGTCCGAATGGTGAAAGATAGCACTGCGATTCCCGTGCTGGGACATGCAGACGGAATATGCTGCACTTACCTCCGCGGCGACTACCCCGTAGAGAAAGCCATAAAAGTCATCATCGACGCCAAGGTGTCCTACCCAGCCGGCTGCAACGCGCTAGAACAACTCCTCGTCGACTCCTCTGCTCTCAGCACCACGCTCCCATCCGTCGCAGAAGCCCTCCTCCAAAAAGGCGTGTCTCTCCGCTGTGACGAGCCCGCTCTCTCCGTGCTACAAGAAAAGCTCGACCCGCATTCCGCAGCCCTACTCCAAGCCTCAACAGTGTCAGACTACGACTTAGAATTCCTAGATCTCGTCCTTGCCATAAAAACCGTGTCGTCTCTCGACGAAGCTATCTCCCACATCAACACGCACTCGTCTCACCACACCGATGCAATCCTGACCGCCTCCGCCTCCCACGCTCAACAGTTCCTCGCAGCTATCGACTCTAGTTCTGTGTACTGGAACACATCGACACGAATGGCCGACGGCCAGCGCTACGGCTTCGGGACCGAAGTTGGCATCTCAACCAACAAAATTCATTCACGAGGACCGGTGGGATTAGAGGGTTTGACTATTTACAAGTGGATTATCGAGGGCGATGGGCAGGTTAGTGCTGAGTATGGCGCTGGTGGGAAGCAGTGGAAACATGAGCCATTGTCGGTTAGGGATGAGGAGTTTGTGGCAAGGAGTGAGGAGGAGAAGGAGATTTTGCGGAAGTTTAGAGCGGGTAAGGTTAATGGAGTTTGAAGAGCTTGCCTTGTGTATTTCAGAAGGAGGGGCTTTGATTCTGAGAATGGAAGACAGATTTTTTGGTGGCTATGGTGCTGATAGAAGGAAGAAGAAAAGTAGAATGGTCAACGGCGCTTCAAAATTATTCAAACTCATCATCCTACCGCAATGCTTCCAACACCTCAACACCGTAGACCACCTAGTTATTACCTCCTCTGGATCGCTACGGGAGACCATATACACTCTAAACTCAATTAGTCGATGAACTATTTAGTTTCCTAGGCCTAATCTACCTCACGCCATTGCCGTCTGCACCCCTTCTCTCCCAACCAACCCTCATAGAAAACCTCCCACACTGCGGTACCGTCGCGGTATTGCAGTCACAGAACCACCAACTGTTCCCCCCTTCATAAGCCCAATTCACGACTAGGCATAATCGGTCCGCGTCAGCGCTGTTCTGTGCGTTGCACTGGTTAATGCATTCATTGAGCGAGGATGTAGTTGCTACTAGACTGCTGGAGGCATCCATACCAGAGTTCCGGTACTGGGTTGCGAAGTTGCAATAGCGGTGGAAGGTTCTTGAGGAGTTGTGGGGGAGTGTATGTTGTTGAGTTGAAGGCGGTGGAGTTTTTAGGAGGAAATGGGGAAGGGGAGAGATTTAGAGATAGAAATAATTTGAAAGAGGAAGGGGTGTTGAGAGTTGCAATGTGGAGGCTGAGATGCGAGTGATGCCGGCCTGGGAAGAGGTGATTGCTTTCGAGGCTGGTTTAACAATCGTCTTAATTCTAACTCCTATGGTCTGGATCGAGGTCTGTGGATTAGGTAGAATTTACGTTAGAGGTTTATCAGAAGATTCTGTGGTAGGTCCTGGTCCCATCGGTGTCATCAACGCTGAGCTACCAAGGACTTGTGAGCTGAATGATATAGATTATGTTCTTGTTTGATTCACCTGGGAGCACCATTTGTCCACTTCTATTTGACGAGACTTCCAGCAGCAATACTTCCGCCAAATAGCCCCACATAGTATCAACAAAGCAATAACCGCAAGAGCTATAAACGCTCGTCTACTCAGTGTGAAGGACCCACGTCCTTTCCCGAACGTGGTTTGTTCAGTCTCCCTAGCGATTGGAGATGCTGGTTTCTCTACAGCCGGGGCGGTGTTTACCTCGCGCTGCGGCGGATCCACGAAAGGGGTGATTCTGAAAATCTGGCTATGGATATCAGGCCGGACTTTAAGGCCGTTATCATGAGGAACTACTTCTAGGGCGCTGCAGAATGGGACTTCAACGTCTTAGCTTGAGGAGAAGTTGTTTTCATTGGCGGGGTTACATTGTCTACACGACGGAGCAGGAATGACTACATTCACAAAAAGGGCAGCAATCCCCCCCAACCCAAAAAAGACGAGGCTCAGGCTGAAGCCTGAAAGACATATTGGACCGTCACCCATTGCTTTTCGTAAATTAGCTGAGATTCAACTCCCCGCAAGCTACAGAGAAGGACTTCGATTCAAGAAAACCACGTCGTAGTGATTCTTTACCTACTCCCATTAATCATTACACTCCACCACTTCCGGGCTCAATCTTCTATTCCATTTCGCTTGGATATTTCCCCCTTCGCGACCGGAACAAGCCCACGGATCTCTCCACTCTCCCGTTGTCTTATCGATCCTAGCTCTTCATATCCGTGTTTGCCTCCGAAACATCAGCCCCGAAATTCACCAACACTACTCTACCCTACTAATTTTCTGCGAAACCGTTACTGCACTTTCGTCCACAATATGCCTAAAGTGATAATAACTCGACCTCCTTGTACCTGCAACCCAGTCCTACATAGACCGGGAATATATGTCCCTGAAATTTGTACCTGCCGATGAGCATTTTAGCATTGTCACGGGTTAGAAGTTTGTGCACTCAGGACACGGATCCCAAGATGAGAATGTGGTAGCCGGCAGATCAGTTTCACATGTAACGGCTCGGGAGGGATCGCCGAGCCTGCAATATCCTTTTGAGGGCAATGACGTACATGAAGTTGTGGATGGTAGGACCGCGGGAAGAAGGGACAGGGGACGAACGGGATGGTAGGGGTGCAAATGTTATACAGCATAACCCTGGAACGTCGCGAGGATCAGGAACACATTTTGGGAATGATAGATGTTGATTTCGAGGCATGTTTCCTGAAGATTACGCTTTGTGGGCTTCCATCACATCGGAACTTACTTATCGGTATGTCTGGTTTAAGGGAGTTTAGACATTTCGTAATTAGGGGAAGAATTCGAGGTTGCCAGAAATCTATCTCTATTCTCGCCAGCAGTCACATACATGCCTACAGTTAGCTAACTAGACCGGCTTTTATATAGCCCTTTTCCTGCACGTTCTCCTCTTGTAGAAAGTCGAGACAATGTTGACGTAGTCTATCGAGTGTGTGAGTGATGTGTGAGAATGCAAGTCCCGCTTGACCATGCCTAAAAGAACCCCTGCTCCCAAATCCTCGAATGCATTCCCAGCCAACCAACCATCCATTCCCAGACCGTGTCATCGCATTATATTGCTCCTTGCGTGGTATCCTAAACTGAAAACCCCATGTCCTAAAAGTCATCTTAACGTCAACGTCCCCAAAGCACCTTCTTAATCGATAGCCTTCTTGTTCTTCGCGAATACCTGAGCTCCCTCAACAAGGCGGCGCTCCGTGTTTTGGCGGCCGTTGACAAAGTCGGGGTAGTTGAGGGTCAGTTCGACGGCACCGTTGACAATGTTGTCCGCGGCCTCGACGCCTAGCATGAAGGAGTGGTCCTGGTTGCCAACTTCATAGCGCCAGGAGCCGAAACGGCCACGCGACCAGATGTCTTTGGCTTGAAGGGCAGGAAGAAGCTGCTTCAAAACACCCTCGCGCTCGAGAGAGGGCGTAGGGTACCCGTGGTCGAAGCGGCGGTGGTAGGTAGAAACAATCTCATCGGTAGGTTTGATCATGTCGGTGTTGATGAGACCCTGAATGGAGTCCTTTAGCAGATTCTTAATATCGACAGGCTTCATGCTGGACTCGGAAACCTCGAGCATAATGGACCAATAGGGGCCTGCCTTGGCTTCGGTGGAGCTTGGTTTCGAACCATTGGCAAGCTGCTGGGTAGGCAGCTTCACATCGGCCTGGGGTTGGTTGTATGGAGAATAGTTAGAAAAGATAGTGGCACGGTAGAAGGGGCAGTCATCCTCGGGGAAGTACAGCCAGCACTTATCACCAATGCGCTCTGGTCGTTCGCCTCGGATGCCCACACCAATGACATGGGTAGAGGAGTAAAAGAGGCCCTTGCTCAGATCAATCAGCGCCTTGTCACCCATGAACTGAACCAGGCTGTCAACCGCCATGGTGTTGACAAGCTTGGCATAGTTCACCACGGTTCCGTCTTTCAGGGTAACTCGCTTGTTGTCTGCATCGACCTTGGTTACCGCACCGTGGTCACCGAATCGTGTGTTGGACTTGGGGAGCGTCTTTGCAACAGCGATCCAGATACCGCCGGTCCCGTCACGGGCAGGGAAGCGGAAAGTGGCATTAGGGCCCCAGCCGCCAGCCGTCTTGTTCAGGATGACGTTTGTGGTGACACGCTTAAGATCGGGGGCGGCAACACGCTCACCGAGCCATTGGCATTGCATCTGTCGCAGTGGTTAGGTGCCGGCCAGAAACTCACGGATAGAGTTGCCTACCTTGGTGGTGGGAACCGCCCAGACTTTGTAGTTGTACGGCCTCATGAAGAGGTCGGCAACGCCTGTGCCCATCATTCGGACAATCCACTCGTCGAAGTTCTGTGGTTTTGTATTTGCGACGCGCGCCTCCAGCGCGGCGTCAATCATGCCATCGATGCACTTCACCTGGTCGTCCTTGGGCAGCATGGAAATGTTGTTTTGGAAGGGGTAGGGGACCCAGAGGTTCTTGCAGCGGACGTACGAGATGCGCTGGTGGGTGTACCAGTCATCCTCGTTGGGGAGCGCTTCATCAATGCAGTCGTCAAAGTACTTGTAGTGGGAGAAGATGACATGGCCGCCGACGTCGTAGAGCTGGAGAAGCAGTTAGAATTGGGAGAGGGGCTTGGACTGATTGGGGCAGAGAGCCACGCACGAAGCCTTCTGGAGTCACGTCGGTGGAAGCAAGACCGCCGGGGGTCTCGTTACTGTCCACGATCATCCATGAGGGGCCGTCCTAGGCCGTGTTTTAGCTGCAATCCGGGCTGTTTCACCATTTTCGAGAAACCTCACAATCTGGTTGAGCCTCTTTGCCGCGCCGAGGCCCGTAGGCCCAGCACCAATGACGAGGACGTCGACAGAACTGGGCGGGAGTCAGCTCAGCCATGGTAGGAGAGGGTCTGACGGCGGGCGGTGAGGACGCACACTTCTTCCTTTGCAGAACCCATTGTCCCCTGCAAGAGCTCTTGAAAACTAGGAACTCTCTTTAACGTCTGGCGGGCGAGGTTTAACATGAACCTGGGCTATGGGGAGCGTCAATGGCAGGTGCTGTGGGTGTACGTTGTGGTTGAGGGGGAGGCGGTGAAATATATGTGGTCTAATGGCGGATTTATCTTCTGCCAAGGGATGAGCTTGACAACTGCTTAGCGCCAAATCCCCACGGACAGGTGGTGTGTCTGGGCGCAGAGCCCTTCGACGGTTCTACCAGCTCTCCCAGGGCTCTGCAAGGGTTGTCTCGATGCGGAAACGGCCAAAAAGGGGGTCTCACTGTGCCATCTGGACTCTGCCACCTCGTCTCGATGAGGCGTGTCCGCACTGATTGGTGCTGGTATCGCCCCTTGAATTGCCCCAGAAGCCGTGTCCAACTTAAGAATGATGTTGTAATCCAAGTCCAACAGCCCTGCACCTGGCCGAGCTCCTGCTCTCCCAGCCCTTCCTCTGCTGCTGACCACCGCGGGCAGACTGCAGCAGCTGTCCCAAGGTTGCAAGCTGCAAGAGTGCTATTTTGGCAGATTGGTAGTGCAAATTTGTGGGAAAGAAGTGGAGAGCTTGCGCGTAACCAAGCGGCTTCCTTGACGACCCACTGACTGGACCGTCACAGCGAGGCTGATCTGTTTCATGCTGCCGTCGTGCTTTCTCAGAGATAGCCCCAAAACCCGCTAAACCCAAGCAGGCCCATGAGACGAGAAAAGGATCACGGTCTGATTGATGAGAGCAGGGCCTCAACTTATTAAATAAACTGCAAATTCCCGTCGTCAGAGACAGGCTCCTGTTAATCCTTATATCTAGCACGTCACCCGCCGTTGCCCAGGGACTGGACCCAGACCAGTCGCCCTCGCCAATTCGTTAACTCGTCGACCCCCGAGTTGCGCGGACCCCGTCTCTAAGTCTTCCACGCCGAGCCTCCCTACCGCTAATTTATCCACGTCCCGCCTCCCCTTCACTGTTCACTCCTTGTCTCCCTCAACACCACAACCCCCTCCTCCTCCGCCGCCGCCGCCGCCGCCGCCGTCCTCTGTCCTACGGTGACTTGCGCTCGCGCACACAGCCGCTGCGTACCCGCCATTGTTGCTGGTGACACCCGTCCGTTGCTGAAGGATTCCTGATTGCGGCGAAGCCCCGTCAACTGCGCGCCCGCCTCTAGTGGACACATTCGCTCTTTTTCTACGACAATTTCCGCTGCTCATCCCTCGACAACCCACTTTATTGATTCCCTCTTTTTGTCGTCGCAAGGGTAGCCATCATGTCGGACGAGAAGGTTCGCTCTTCCGTGGACGCTGGCCGCGATCCGGCCGCGCCAGTCCTCCCTACCGTCAACCCAAATGCCGAAAAGTCACAGCCCGAGCCTGCGACGTTCCATCCCGCCGTCTATATTGCGTAGGTTAATCCAGCGGCCACCCTCCTGCGTTGACAGCGCCTGACGAATTGTGTAGGACGTGGATAACGCTCAGCTCGAGTGTCATTGTCTTCAACAAATGGATATTAGATACAGCAGACTTCCGTGAGTACTAGCCACCACCACGCCAAAACTTCCCAAGCTAACAATCGCCGTGCAGACTTCCGTACGTGAAACCTTCCCCCTCACCTTTCATCCCTCCCCTCCCCTCCCTCCCCTCCCTCACCTCTGACATATCCTAGCCATCTTCCTGACAACATGGCACTTGGCTTTCGCGACCTTCATGACGCAATTCCTCGCGCGCTTCACAACCATCCTCGACTCTAGGAAAAAGGTCCCCATGACTGGACGTGTCTATCTGCGAGCCATTGTTCCGATCGGAATATTCTTTAGCTTGAGCTTGATTTGCGGCAACCAGACATACCTATACCTCAGTGTGGCCTTCATTCAGATGCTCAAGGTATGTGATATACGGGGCGCCTGAGGCTGAAAACAAACACTGACATCCAACAGGCCACGACACCTGTTGCCGTCCTCCTCGCGACATGGGGTCTTGGAGTTGCGCCTCCCAACATGAAGACTCTTGGCAATGTCTCCTTCATCGTCATTGGTGTTATCATCGCCTCCGTTGGAGAAATCAAGTTCGTCATGATCGGTTTCCTTTTCCAGTGTGGTGGTATCGTGTTCGAAGCAATCCGCCTGGTCATGGTCCAGCGCCTTCTTAGCTCAGCAGAGTTCAAGATGGACCCTCTCGTCTCCCTGTACTACTATGCTCCGGCATGTGCTCTCATGAACGGCGTCGTCTGCCTCTTCAGCGAATTCCCCCACATGACTCTAGATGATATCTATCGCGTCGGTACCTTCACCCTAACTGCCAATGCCCTCATCGCCTTCCTTCTTAACGTGTCGGTTGTCTTCCTGGTAAGTCGTTTGAGATTAACCTCATTGACTCTCGCTAACCCTGCCTAGATCGGCAAGACTTCATCCCTCGTCCTCACTCTCTCTGGTGTGCTCAAGGACATACTTCTGGTCTTCGCTTCCATGTTCCTCTTTGGTGATCCAGTTACACTTCTCCAGGCTTTCGGTTACAGCATTGCCCTTGCCGGCCTTGTCTACTATAAGCTCGGTGCCGACAAGCTGAAAGAATACTTTGTACAAGGTGGGATGGTGTGGGGCGAATTTGGCGCTCGCCGCCCTGCTGCTCGCAAGCTACTCGTCTTCGGTGTTCTCCTTGTTACGATGTTTCTACTCCTTGCAGGCCTTGCCCCTCGCTTCGCCCCCGAGACGGAGAAGAAGTTCACCTCTACCATTGGTAAGATCCTTGGCGAGAAGGGAGCCTGAATGATGTGAATGACCCGATCGGGCTGAAAGGGTTTTCTTTCCCAAGGCATACTCTGAGACCCGGTTTACCTTCTTTTCTGTCTTTTTATATTACTTTGGTGGGTTTTGAAGTGGAGTTGGGTCCATGTGTTAGGTATTGGCAGCATAGACAAGCGACTTCCTCCCTAAAGCCTATTTTCTGAGAGGCTATAGCTGTGACCTGGATCAATGTCTAGGCTCAGTCGGGAGCTGATATAGCATGTGTTCGAGGTTCTTTTCTTTTAACGCAGGGAGCAATGATTGTAAGCGATGAAAAGTGCGCATTGTGTCTCATAGAATGAGGTATGGCAAGGTCTGGACGACCTGCGATGGGTATATATAAATCTAGCTACGTAATGGTAATAATGGGCTGTGACAAATGCGAGGCTTGCTGAGTGTGGTTTTGTTTTGCACGTGTGATAGCAGTGTGAGAGTGCTTGAAGCAATTCTGCCAGGGCGGTGAAGGCCGCGTGCCAAGGCCCGCTAAGTGGTGCGCCCACGAAGTCGAAATTCCAAACCTCGAACTCCACTTGCAAAGTCATCCCCACGCCGCCGCCGCACAACACCGTCAATCTCTCTTCAATATGGGGATTGATCTCAACCGGCATCATGTTCGAGACGGGCACCGCAGTATGTGTTTTCCCCCGTCGAGTCGGCGCACTCTTGCGCTGGCGAGCCGCTGTCTTCTGGACGCAGCATGATACCCGAGTTGCGGAAAATTGACGATTCTTCTACAGAGGTCCCTAAGTCCACGAATCCATACGTGAAGCTTTTGGTCCGACTGTACAAGTTCCTCGCTCGTAAGCATTCTTTCTTCCAGGCCGCTTGTCGTTTGGGCTGACACCATCTCCCTAGGCCGCACTGATTCCCCTTTCAACAAGACCGTCCTCCGAAGGCTCATGATGTCCAAGATCAACCGCCCGCGTAAGACCACCGTATAAATGGTAAATAGTACTTTCCACTGTGCATTGGCTAACTTGGGGATAGCTATGAGCTTGTCGAAGATCGTTGCGACCGCCGCCAACAAGCAGTCCAAGGACGCTCACGAGGGCAAGACCATCGTCGTGGTATGGATGCCCAAGCCAAGAAGGATGCAATAGTCACTAATATGGTCCTAGGTTGGAACTGTCACTGATGATAACCGCCTTTACGGTATGAATCACCTTTATTCGAGGTCGTGTACGTCCCACTAATAAATTACAGTGGTCCCCAAGCTCTCCGTTGCCGCTATGCGCTTTACCTCAACTGCCCGCGCCCGTATTGAGAAGACCGGCGGCGAGTGCCTCACCATGGACGAGGTTGCCTTGAGGGCCCCGACTGGTGCCAACACTCTCCTTCTCCGCGGACCTAAGAACTCCCGTGAGGCCGTCAAGCATTTCGGATTTGGCCCACATTCGCACAAGGTACGATTCATCTACGGAAGGGGTTTCGCCATGTACTAATGAATGCCGTAGAAACCTTATGTCGAGAGCAAGGGACGTAAGTTCGAACGCGCTCGTGGCCGCAGAAGGTCTAGGGGTTTCAAGGTCTAAGCGGTGTTGGGAACATATGGTTTATTTGGCTCGTCGGCTTGGGCATGGTCAGCGGGATTCCTTCACATGGCGCGTATCATGTCCGGCGATGGCTCCTTTACGGATTACAAAAATGATACTCCACATCCAGATATGCAATGAAAGTGGTCGTAAACTCTTGGAGCAAAGAGATGACTGTATGACCCTATATATATTTTTAACTGTGATGTGTGTGCCAGCTAATTCCCTATACATTTATGATGTTGGCTCAGTCATATCTTCCGCATGACTGCACTTGCAAAATTTGTATCTAATATTTCGCCATTGAAATTTTTACCCCACAATTGACCAACCAGAACGAGAGCAGCATCCCACCTTGCCCAACTTTACTTCAAAATATAAAGTCCCTACAACACCCCTTCACCTCAACCCAGCATCCCACGTCTCATTCTTTCCTTTCTTCTGCAACCATCATCATGGACAACCGAACCGTCGGCGTCCTCGGCGGGGGCCAACTTGGTCGCATGTTCATCGAATCCGCTAACCGGGTCGGTGTGAAAGTCATCATCCTAGATGGTGACTCCGCGCCCGCGAAACAAATCTCAGCCCATGGCGACCACATCTCCGGCTCTTTCAAAGACGCTGCAGCGGTCAAGAAGCTTGCACAAATATGCGATGTCATTACCGTGGAAATCGAGCACGTGGATACGCAGATGCTAGAAGAAGTGGCGGATGATGGAGGTGTTGTTGTGGAGCCGCATTGGAGTACCTTGAGGATTATTAAAGATAAGTTTAGGCAGAAGATGTGGTTGAAAGATCATGGGGTTGAGGTGGCGGAGAGTGTGGATCTTGAGGGATTAGGAGGGGGAGAGGAAGGGATGGTGGGTGTGTGTAGACGCTTGGGGTTTCCGTGTATGGTGAAGAGTAAAACGGAGGCGTATGATGGGCGGGGAAATTTCGTGGTTAAGAGCGAGGAAGATTTTGCCAGAGCGAAGAAGGCTTTGGGGGATAGACCGTTGTATGCGGAGCGCTGGGCGGAGTTTTGTATGGAGCTTGCGGTTATGGTAGTGAAGACGAAAGATGGGGTTAAAACGTTTCCGACGGTCGAAACAGTGCATGAGGATAGTATCTGCAAACTCACGTATGCACCGCCGCGGAATGTGTCTCGCGAGACGGCGCAGCGAGCGCAGGAGTTGGCGAAGAGAGCGGTTGCGGCGTTTGAAGGCAAAGGCGTGTTCGGGGTGGAGATGTTCTTACTTAAAGATGACAGTTTGCTTGTCAACGAGATTGCACCGCGGCCGCATAATTCGGGTCATTACACCATCGAAGCGTGCCCATTGAGCCAGTACGATGCTCATCTTCGCGCGATTCTAGATCTCCCGGTCCCGGAGCATGGGTTGAGACTCAGAGAGCCGGCGGTTATGCTCAATATCCTCGGTGGCCAGACTCCGGATTCGCATGTACAAATCGCACAGCAAGCGCTTGAATCCCCAAATGCTTCGATCCATCTCTACGGTAAAGGCGAAGCGCGCCCAGGGCGCAAAATGGGGCATATTGTCGTAACGGCGCCAACGCTCTCGGCCGCAGAACGTGAAATGCAACCACTCATCGATGCGGTCGATGCTCAAAAAGGCGAGCCCAAAGTCATTCCCCAGACCCCATCGCTATCCCCAGATGAACCACTCGTCGCAGTAATAATGGGCTCCGACTCGGACCTCCCAATCCTCCGCCCATGTTTCCAGATCCTAACCACCCTCTCCATCCCCTTCACCACCCGCATCACCTCTGCCCACCGCACACCCGACTGGCTCCGCACATTCTCCAAAACGGCTTCATCCACCAGTCTCCGCGTCATCATCGGCGCAGCCGGTGGCGCAGCCCATCTCCCCGGCATGTGCGCCTCATGGACGACATTACCTGTCATCGGCGTCCCCGTGAAAGCCACTCATTTGGATGGCGTCGACAGCCTGTATTCGATGACGCAGATGCCAAGGGGAGAGCCGGTTGCGACGGTAGGCATTAATAATTCGACGAATGCAGCGTTATTAGCGGTCAGAATTTTAGGGGCGAGCGATGAAGGGGTGAGGGAGAGGTTGAGGGTGTGGATGGAGGGGAATGAGAAGGAAGTGTTGAGAAAGGATAAGGCGTTGTTTGAGGGGGGGTGGGAGGCTTATTTGGAGGGGATGGGGAAGTAGATGTTGGCGTAGAGATATGGAAGACGGGAAGGGAAGGGAATGGTGGAGTAGAAAAGTATAAAAAGACCGGTATGTCTAGGGACTGGGGTTAGGACGCATGATATTCGAAGGCTAAAAGTGAGTTTCCGAGTCCTTGTCACAGGAATAGAGTATAGGGCAACAATGCACTGAGAGTAAGGGACTCTCTTACCATGACGTAGAGGATTGCTTCAAGACGATGAAATATGGTGCCACATATGCCACCCAGCTCTAATGAGATTACTAATCAGAATTATCTATTATACCCGGAGGAGGAATCATACCCAGTTGAATACAAAAGCAATAGAAAGACAAATCAAGCTCGCGGTGTGCGATGCCATCCCAACACCGAACCTCAAAACCCAGTCCCATCTCAGTCCAGTTTTAATCTTAGCCTAGGGCTTAGCAACAAGCCGCGAGGACACTTGACTCTTGGTCCGGTTCGAGCCGGATATTGCTATAAAAGAAGCTGTCCTAATCCTGCCCGGCAAGCCCCTCGCAATGGAACTACCCTCGCAGAGAAGTAATAGTCACAACACCGCCTACCAAACTAGAGTATTTAAAACCTATTTGAATGGCTACCCACTGATAGCAGGTCCACAAGAGGTACGTAACAGAGGCACAGATGTAGTGGCAGAAGAGAATGGTACCCTATACAGCGGCAAGCCATTCACGACCAGTGGTGAAGAAGAGAACTTCTAGCGCTACCCAATAAAGGAGGGTAGCCAGGTCGCCAAAAGGAAATCTGCCGTTCCTAAGGTCGTGAAGCATGTGATGCTGCTGCCGTAGAGGTGGAATCCTATGGCCATTACCAAAGCGAAAGTGAGTAAGGAGTATGATATCACGAGCGCCTTCGGTGCAGGACTCTTGGGTTGGTTGTAATTCGAGACTGTGGGCATGGATTCGGATTTACGGAGTTTGTAGATGTTCATTCTGGAGCATTTTGTTAGCATTCGTCGATTGTAAGCATTCGCACCGAGAGAGAAACTGGCATGCTGAGCATGCTAATGGGGACGTACGAATGCTCACCACCACATGTACGCCTATGGTATATTGGTAACCCTACGCACGGCCTGTCGCACACCGTGACGTCGACCTCTTTAGCCCCGCGGTGGATTTTCTCCCCGCAGTAGCAGGCATTTCCGTTCTTGACTCCGAAGTAGGGAGTGCGTTCGCAGTACGTCTCGCATTGTTCGAGGGTCATATGGTCACTGAGGAACCACTAATTCCACAGGCGTCAGTGTCATAACCTATATGTGTTTGGAGTAGAACGAGGAATAAGGGAAGAAATGGGTAGGAGGGATACGGGGAGGAAGCAAAGAAAAACCTTCATTGGTGACCCCTGGGGAACCTGCAGCGCACCACCCATGTTCTCAAGTTCCATAGTCTCATTGTAGCACCCGATGTGGTCATATGAACCCTGCTCTTTCTCCGCCCCAGGGAACAGTTCGGCGGGAGATTTGGTTTCCTGCGGCTCCTCTTCGTCCTTTGAGATTGCAGTAGAGGTTGTAGGAACGGTAGTGATTAGGTCGACGTATACGACATCCCCCGTCATGCTTGGCTTCATAGTCTGAATGTATTTGAATGTTCTGCCGTCATCTAGTACAGTAGTTCCACTGATAATCTCTCTGTTGCGGAGCTCGGTGGTGATCATGCTGACCGGTCCGACGTTATTACTCCGCTCCTCCTGAGCGAGAGTGGGAATCATGCAAGGCAAAAGGGCTGCCATTGTGGCGAAATAGCGGATCATGGTGACGAGCATATAGAATGATTGACTAACGATGCGTGAAGGTGTTTAATCGGTGATGATGATGATGGTGATGGATGTGGCAGAAGTTTTTTGCAGCAAAGGGATAAATATTAAATTTATAAGGATAGGCAAGAACGAGAGCAAAATATGTTTACCCATCCTCCAGGGAAGGAGGCATCTAGCGCGACTGTATCCGCCATCGCAGACAGTGTCTAAACAGCAGGCTTGAAGTTGAGTGAAGGGAAGGCTCTAAGAGAGAATGTAACAGAGAAAGGAGATGGTAGTGGTCGGAGGGATCGATGTGTAAACGATTAGCGGAAGTTGAGAGGAAAGAGAATGTATGGTAAGAGGGAAGGTTCTACGTGACTCTCGGGCTGTGCTTTCTGCCCTTGAGGCCATCACGTGGCTTTTTTCTCTCCTCTTGTCAGTGCCCTAGGTTTGTACCGAGTGGTAATTAGAGAAGTGTGAATTACTTCTATGTCCATTTTATCATCTGGTGTATTAATATTAAAAAAGAGGGCATAACTTCCGAAAATTTACGCAGTGATCCCTGCTCTATGATTATATGAGCACCTATCAACTCCTTTCCACCCAGGGATCCTCGATTCCTCACTCACTTAAGCAAGCAAAGCAAGCAATCCCGCTACGCCTCCCGCAGCACCCAAAACGGCTTCTGCCGTCTTCATCGCACCCCCAGTGGAGGCCGATTTCGTCGTCGGGATGTTCAGTCGGGTCACCGTTCCCACATTCGCAGTGGTCCCTGACGCAAGAGAGAAGGAAAATTGTGCTGCGGTACTGGAATCTGAGCTGGAGCTATCTCCAGAGCTTGATTTCGAGTCATCTTCTGTCTTGGTCGACCTCGAGCTTCTCGTGGTGAAAGCCTTCCCCGTAGAGGCCCCGCCGGTGGTTGCACTGCTCAGGACTTCGGCGGTAACATCGGTGGCGCCGCATGCAAAGTGACCATAGGTAGCGCCAGAAACGACGGTATACAGCTGCATACAGAACGGTGCAGCAGACCGTGTACTCGATGGTTGTCAGCTAATACGATAACAGAAGGGGAAGCACATAGAGGCCTTACCAGCCAATGGCGAGGGGATCATTTGCGCATGATGAAACTTTAAGGCAGTCCGAGACCTTAGTGCTCTCGACGCAAGCGGTAGCAACCTCACAGTCGGTTATAGCGGTACCTGTACAGCACCTTCGTTCGTTAGTTTTGTTGATAACTGTAAGGCCGAGGAAAGACATACCCAAACCAGCTGAAAGCCTTATTGTACATGCATGAGCTACCAACGTCACAAGAAATTGGTGCCTCTGTTTAGATTGTTAGTCATACAATCTACTGTTTGGATTATCTCCCCGAAATGCATACCCGCATCGCCTTCCAAATACCCGCAGAATGATGGGTCCTCCTGCCGTCTAAACAACTCCATAATCGGCCCACCCGTCGGTTTTGGGGACCATCCATCCGCGCTGAATCCCTTAATCGATGGAGTGGCAGCGGGTCCATCATACTGAATCGCAGCTACGAAGCTATTGAGCGTGAGCAACACCCCAGTATGTCTCGAGAACATCATGTTGAGCTGGAAATAAATGCGTGGCTAAGACGACGAAGAAAGTTCGAGCTGTGCAGCTCCACCACCACAGAGGCCAACCGTGGACATTTATATTAGCTCCCCCTCGCCTCAATGAGGCTGAGAGCCCTCCAAGCCCAAAGCAGAGAGCCTGTCCTGCTCAGCCAGTGGGGTAGCACACGACGGGAGAATTGAGCTCTTGGCGCATGCAACCCGCCCCCAAATCCAGACATGCTGGAGAATAAACAAGCATGTCAATGGTCGATTGACATCTCGCCGAGCCACGTCCATCCATATCAGTTAAAAAGAGGCGAGCACGGGATACGCCACAATTTCTCAGGTCTCAAAAGGCGGGTGCAAGCATTCTCATTCGACAGCCTTGCGATAGCTGATCATCAGAGAAACAAGTGATGCCGTCCCACATTTCGTAATATGTGTTGGGCGAGCTCAACCCGGTGGTAGCTTTGTTTTGAACGGCACCGAGAACTGTTTTGAGGCGTGGGAGAGTGTATGCTAGAGCCGTGGGCCCATCCTCGAGCTCAACTGAGAAGAGGATGCCTTGTCGATATCTTTCATGTCGAGCAAGGTGAACCTCCTGAAGTTGCCAAGGTCCAGAGTGGCCCGGGCTTTAGAAGGCGGTGGCAGAAAACGCGTCTCGTACGTGTCGCGTAACCCACTGAAGTCGGAAAGTACTCCCCGACCAAGCCTTGTCCATCTTTCCAACGTCCCATTTCAAGGTTTCCTCTCTCCAATCCAGTCCGCTCCTTTGTATCAACTGTCATAATGGGTTCCAGGCCAGAGTTGAAAGAGGAGGATGAGTCGAGTTTCTGCAGTTTCTTTCGCAATTTGGATCATCAGAATGCGGATACTATCCGAATATTCGACCGAGGGGATTACTACTCAGCGCACGGAGAGGATGCGAAGTTTATTGCTTCTACAGTGAGTAAATTCTGCTCCTAAGACCCGCACTATGGATCTTATTGTTCTTGTAGGTTTACCGTACAACTGCCGTCCTACGCAAGTTAGGCCGAGAGCCGGGCCTCGAGTCCGTCACCATGACTGTCATGGTGTACCGTAATTTCTTGAGAGAAGCCCTGTTTAGACTTAGCAAGAGGGTCGAGATATGGCAGTCTTCTGGGAAGAGGATGGATTGGAAGGTCTCCAAGCAGGTATGAAGGTGCATTCGGCCAGGAATAGGCCAAAGTGTTAATCCGAGACCAGGCTTCACCGGGGAACCTCCAAGACATCGAAGACGAACTCGGCGGCCAAGTTGAGAATGCACCTATCATATTAGCTGTAAAGGTCTCGGCGAAGGCGTCCGAGGCACGGAATGTGGGAGTATGCTTCGCCGATGCGAGCGTGAGGGAGTTGGGCGTAACCGAATTTCTAGACAATGATCTCTACTCAAACTTCGAATCGCTTCTCATTCAGCTCGGCGTGAAAGAATGCCTTATCCAGGCAGATACTTCGAAGAAGGATGTCGAACTCAACAAGCTTCGGACGATTGCGGATAACTGTGGATGCGCTGTTGCAGAGCGGGGCTTTGCAGACTTTGCGACAAAAGATATCGACCAGGATCTCCCAAGGTTGCTGAAGGACGAGCGTTCTGCCGTTACGCTTCCTCTGACTGATTTGAAGCTGGCCATGGGATCTGCGGCTGCCTTGATTAAGTATCTGGGCGTAATGTCGGATTCGTCGAACTTCGGGCAGTATCAGCTCTATCAGCACGATCTGACACAGTACATGAAGCTTGATGCGGCTGCATTGAAAGCCCTCAATCTAATGCCAGGGCCCAGAGATGGAGCGAAGACAATGAGTTTGTTTGGACTCCTCAATCACTGCAAGACACCGACTGGAAGCCGACTACTTGCACAGTGGCTTAAGCAGCCCCTAATGAACGTGGCCGAGATTGAGCGACGACAGCAACTGGTGGAAGCTTTCGTCAACGACACTGAGCTTCGACAGACGATGCAAGAAGAGCACCTCCGTTCTATCCCAGACCTCTACCGTCTCGCAAAGAAATTCCAGCGCAAAGTAGCGAACCTAGAAGATGTGGTACGAACATACCAAGTCGTCATTCGCCTCCCTGGCTTTCTTGGAACCCTAGAATCTGTCATGGACGAACAATTCCGCGACCCTCTCGACGCTGAATATACCTCTAAACTACGAGGTTACTCCGATGCTTTCGCCAAGCTTCAAGAGATGGTTGAAACGACAGTAGACCTCGAGGCTCTGGACAACCACGAATTCATCATCAAGCCCGAATTCGACGACTCCCTACGCACAATCCGCAAACGTCTCGACAAGTTAAAACACGAAATGGAATCCGAGCACTCGCACGTCGCACGCGATCTCAGTCAAGAAAAGGACAAGAAACTCTTTCTCGAGAACCACCGCGTTCATGGTTGGTGCTTCAGATTAACCCGCAACGAAGCAAGTTGTATCCGGAACAAGAGAGAATACCAAGAATGCTCGACACAGAAAAACGGTGTCTACTTCACTACATCCACTCTCCAAGGCCTTCGACGCGAATTTGACCAGCTCTCAGAAAATTACAACCGTACCCAATCCGGACTTGTCAACGAGGTTGTCTCCGTCGCGTCCTCATACATCCCCGTCCTCGAGAAACTCGCCGCCGTGCTCTCTCACCTGGACGTCATCATTTCCTTCGCCCACGTCTCCGTACACGCTCCCACCTCATATGTGCGTCCGAAAATGCACCCCAGAGGCACCGGCAATACCATCTTAATAGAAGCGCGCCACCCCTGCATGGAAATGCAAGACGACATATCCTTCATCACAAACGACGTCTCTCTCAAACGCAACTCCTCTGAATTCCTAATCATCACTGGGCCTAATATGGGCGGCAAATCAACCTACATTCGCCAAACCGGCGTAATAGCACTCATGGCGCAAATCGGTTGCTTCGTGCCCTGTTCCTCCGCCGAACTCACAATCTTCGACTGCATTCTCGCCCGAGTCGGCGCCAGCGATAGCCAAGTCAAAGGCGTCAGCACCTTCATGGCGGAAATGCTTGAAACCGCAAATATCCTTAAATCCGCGACTAAAGAGTCGCTTATCATCATAGACGAACTCGGACGTGGAACGAGTACGTATGATGGCTTCGGTCTCGCGTGGGCGATTTCGGAATACATTGTCAAAGAAATCGGAGCGTTTGCGCTGTTTGCAACGCATTTCCATGAACTTACCGCGTTAGTGGATACGTATCCACAGGTCCAGAATCTGCACGTTGTGGCACACATAGAGGAAGGTGAGAAGAAGAAGCGGGAGGTGACGCTGCTGTATAAAGTCGAGCCGGGAGTGTGTGATCAATCTTTTGGTATCCATGTCGCGGAGCTCGTACGCTTTCCACAGAAAGTTATTAATATGGCGAAGAGGAAGGCAGACGAGTTGGAGGACTTCTCGGGGAAGCATGAAGAGGGCTATGTCCAGGCGAGTAAAGAGGAGGTCGAGGAGGGGAGTAGGTTGCTGAAGGAGATGCTGGCGAAGTGGAAGGTGGAGGTGGAGAGTCAGGGTTTGACGAAGAAACAGCAAGTTGAGAGGATGAGGGAGTTGGTCAAGGAGAACCAGGCTTTAAGGGAGAATGGGTTCTTTAAGGGGGTTCTAGCTTTGTAGACGATATTGTAATGGGACGGGACGGCGGCGTTTCTGGGTTTCAGGATCGGGAAGGGCCGCGATACAGGCACGTTCTGTTTGTACTTCAGGGCTCTAAGTGACGATAACATCAATGTAATCGTGTATTATTCCCCGATTCGCGTTTCGCGGAGCACTAGTTGTGGCTATGTATCACCTTTGTCCAAGTAAAAGGGCACAATGGAATGCTAAAAGAACCAACAATGCAATGATAGAGACAGTACCCCTAATGAATCATACCCTTAAAACGCCTACCATACCGATTGATCACAGTTTTGTTTTCGCTTCCTCGTCCCCCTCTCATCTTATACCTTTACAAAGACACCTACTATTCTAACCAGCTCCTCAGGCAAGGTTCTACTCAGAATTCAGTCTCAGCCTCCCCTCCTCCTTTTTCAATCCTAGCTTCTGCAACTTGATCCTCGGCACCAGTCCAACCAGAACCAGCACACTCGCCACAATAACAGCCCAATGCTGTATATGCAATACCCCCAGACTATAGTCTGTCCAACTCGCCGCACAAATCGTCGCGAGCCCCAATGTCGCTACCATGTATCCACTAACCCTATGATACTTCCACACAGCCTTAGCCTTATCCACACCACCATACAGACTCGGAGTCCAGTACTGCGTGAACCCAACAATTGCTTGTAGGAAAATGGATATGTAGGTTATGAGCCCGAGGATGGCGTGCGGGGACTCGAAATGTGCGTGGCCGGGTCCAGCTTTGTTGATTTCGATGATTATGAGGCCGGCGAGGAGGGCAGAGATGCCAACGAGGTTGAGGGCAAAGTGGGCGAGGGTCCCGTCACGTTTTTGGGAGGGGGTGTGTGTTGGTTGAAGAATGAGGGCGGCTTGGGTTATGAGGAGGATGCCGGCGGAGTTGAGGAGCTGAGAATAGATTAGCAAGCGACTGAGGTTTGGAATTAAGAGATTGAAAGGATGAGGAACCTACGGGATGTGAAGAGAAGAAAATTAAGTTATGAGAGAAGATGGCTCCCCATACTATCGCTGCAAGCTATTTTCGCGTAAGCTACTCGACGTCGTCAATGTCTTGAAGGGAACCTACGATCCAAATGCCCGCCTGGGCAATCGGCGCGGTGCCTACATAGCCAACATCAGCATAGCCCACACTCCCTTCATAGCAGCTCTTCAACCCTACTCACCAATCCACACATTCAAATATAGCGGTTTTCCTTCCATCTGACTGGCATCACCTCGTCGTCCAAGTAGTGGTTCATCCTCGCCCGATCCCCGCAGCCCATTAATATTCTCAGGGATTCCGGTCACTGACGCCATAATGATTTAAAGTCGTTGCCCACACAATCGACCTCAACGATCCGATCTATCTTCCACAGAACCAAAAAAATATGTTGAGAAAGCCTGGTATGCAGGGAGGGGAATTGGTGAGGGGGCAGGAATTCGGACTTATGAGGCAGGCCGGGTTTGTCAGAGATCGGGGTCAGGGAGCTTGGACCCCCCGATGACGTGCAACGCCAGGCAAGCATCCTTGCACATTTCGGCCAATGAGAGAGGGGAGATTGGGAAAGCAACAAGCCAATGAGGCATGCGAATGGAGCCTCTTGATGGGAATGTTGACGTTTTACATAGAGGTCATAAGGATGGGAATTGGAGGCCTGCGATACAGACATGGGATACGCTTACCGGATATGGATACATCCGTATGGTATCTTGAGATAGCCGTCGTTGGGAGTTTCGCAAGGATTCGTGAGAGCTATTGAAGCTTATTTCTGTCTAAGCTCATGGAGGGAGGAAAAACTATTGTCCCGCGTGTTTCCTTGGAAATGCAGCTGTGAGAGTGGATTTTATGGTTTGCTAAGTTGGCTTGGGAATCCGCTTGATCGATCCTCAAATGCTATCGGGGCATGGAGCCCCTCGAAAGTTAGCAGACAGAACAAGAAGGAAATTATATTATTGAAAAGTCAAGATTTCCCGTCAATACTAATCCATATGACGTTCTCCACTGAGAGGTACATGTGAGCGCGCCAAAAGCAAGGGGTTTGCAGTGGTGAAATCGGGGGAACCAAGAAAATGTACTTTGAGGGTCCTCCATACCGTATACCCTACCAATCTCACCTCAGCGTGGAAATTGTAAAGCCGAAGAGAGAGGTTCGTCAAGCACGGCAAGGATTTAAGCCTGAATTCATGAGCCGGAGAGAAACCGTCGGAAAGTGCTTTTAACTTTGTAGAAATATCATCTAGCTGAATTACACTGACAGCTACAGAGTATTCACCTGCACATCATACTTATACATTGCTGCTTTTGAAGCTTTATTATACAATCTTCACGGGTTTGTAGAATAGCCCAGTTGCTTGAGTGGAGCGAGCGTAGGCAAGCTTAATATGAAGTCGTTGCCGCCGTCATGGAGTGTCCACTGGGGTGCGGGTTCATCCAGCTCTACTCTGGGAAAGAGCAGATGAGCAATTATCGACCCGAGACCCACCCCAGATTCTTCAAGGCACTCTCGCGACGTATTGTCGCATTCCCTCCACAGCAGCGACTCAGCCGCACGCAGTGCAACCTCAAACAGCCCAGTCTAGAGCGGAGCACCTACATACATAATGTAGAGAGACAATATTTCTAAAGGAAGCAATGAATGTAGTACAAACGTATATAAAATCCAGTAATGCCAAGGCCCTCTAAATTGCCGAATCGCGTGTCTTTTAGCGGGGAAACCTGATCGTTTAATCTACAGTGACATATAAGCTCATGAGCTGGTTCCGCATGTGCGGGTCGTGGAACCCGCCTTCATTGCTCTAGCAAATGGAACAAGTAAGCTTGAGCCCCACTGCTGAATTGAGGTTGCCAGAGGACATGGGCTCATCATTCGATGGGATGATTCAGCTCAGATGGGTTTGTGAGGGTCGGATATTGCAAATCGTGAAGGATATATGAGTGGGAGTGAGGGAATTTGGTACGGTGAACGCAAAAATAGAGTTGTAGATCAGCTTGTAGATCACCCGCATGCTGGATCAAGAACCATAGGGAGTAGGATCTTGATCATGGGAGATCTATTGGTTGAGGAAGGTCATATGAGACCATGAGAGGATTCGAACACGAGGAAGAAATCGAACTGATAATTTAGGACGCGTCATACGGTCGGTCTTCTCTAGAGGGAGAGTAGTGGCTCTCGGCCGTCAGCAGTAGCAGGAGGGAGTAATTGCGAGAGGAATCGAAGGAATACCGGAGGTATGCGAGCGGTCGAGTGTAGGTATAAAAGCCGTCGCTGATCCTCTTCTTAGTATACCATCTAGCGTCAGGACTTACTGTCGGTTCGATTATTATCAGGCTTGAAACATCCCCACGTCTCCCAGTACCACCAACAACCATGAAGACCCTTGCTGCCATCATTCCTTTCCTCGGTGTCGCACTGGCTGCTACCCAGGCACAAACCCATCTCTTCGCCTGCAAGGAGCGAATGTTCACAGGCATCTGTACAAACATCGCTGTCAATAGCAATGCGTGCTGTACGTATATAGTCCAGCCCATCTTGTTGCCCTGCGTACCATGGTACTGACTCCAGTCTTTAGACGAACTTACAACCCTTGGCGCGGATTGGGTCCGAGCAATTTCCTCAGCCAGTCCAGATCAAGGTTCCACGTGCACACTGTATAAGTAAGATGGTCTCCTCTATGGCATCAAATCTAGAGCTGAGCTGACATTCCATGTAGTGAGGAAGGATGCACCGGTACAAGGCTGAAGATTGCTGCTTGTGGTATCAATGATTTGAAGGACCTTGACTTTGACAAGACCGCTGTGTCCTTCAAGTGCAAGTAGAGACTAAGGAGAATCGTGCGGCAGAGTAAACCCCTCAAGAACAGACAAACGACCAGGTGCAGCGGAAGAGAAATTGCGGGACTGGAAGAGACATCGGAGGGAAATTCGCACTCACGAAACTCATGCGTAATGTAAATACATAATCTCTACAAAAATATCGAAGTACACATTGCTATGTCTCACTCTAATGCCGGCGATTCGATGTAGTTTATGCATGAACACTCTGTGCATGCAGGTAACTTTCTGTAGGGCTCCAAAGGTAACATCGGACAGTGTTGTCGCTCGACGTCAATTTAAAGTAATACCGCAATCGGAGAAATTGATGAGCCTGAATGAGCCGACCGTGTTCAGCCCATCTGCGAATATTGGATGACAAAGCTAAGCAAAATTGTGAGAATCCATTGAGCGATGACAGCAAAGAGAAAGAGGGGTGTTGGGGCTTCAATGGATACGACCTGTGGATGACTGGCTTATTCTTCCTGTTGATATTTGTGGAGGTGCACTGACAGGGAATCCCTCCATCAACAGCTCCGGAATATCTATCAGTTTGGAGTGGGAAGCGAGAATGCACGGTGAACATCTGTTGATGTGGTTGTGGTGTGGAGCAGTCCAAACGTTTCGAAAAGTGGAAAGACATTCACTTTACCGAGATCGCACTAACTGGATTGGATATAGTCAGTTCCTCCGGGGGCCTTTCAACATGTCCACACTTTCGTAGCTACTCCGAATCTCCTCGCGCAAACTGCGATTCCGGGACAGACAACATGGAAACAAATTGGAACTAGCGTGCATCCCCTCGTCCTGCACAGTCGGAATGTGGAACATCGCGAGCCTCTCGCCAAACCTCGGGAACACGTAAAAGCTCCTCATGTACACGTGTACAGACATACACCGAGTTTCCGCGCATACTTTATCCACACCACATTCCAGCAACTTCATGCTGTTCGATACCCCTCATTTCCCTTGTCATTGGTACAATCTCGATTCTCAGCTCTCAACCTCTTCATTTTTTGCAAGACCGGTGGAATTTACCTTCTCGTTCGTGAATCAGAGATATATAGACCCGAAGCAGCAGTAGATGGTATTGAAAATTTATTAGTCATAGAATTAACATGATATCTCTCCCCTTCAAAGCAACCCGTCATATATTCGTTTTCTTGTCCCGAATCTTCAAATTTACTCTCTGGACGCGCCACATGATCATATTCCCGATCCAACGAATACCGCTACCAAGATTTAGGCTGGGGAAAAGGAAACCTGCGAAGGATAAAGGAGTTGCTACTTCACCGCGCCGGAGAAAACGGAGAGCTTCGATACACCTTGCGCAGAGCGTCGTTGTGGTATTCGTAGTGTTGGTGGTTTCAGCGAGCGTGTATATGTGGCATTACCGCGAGAAGAGGAGGAAGAGAAGAAGAAGAAGAAGGGGGGTATTGAGGGGTGGCAATGAGATGGTCGTAGTAACAGAAGATTCGGGCTGGACCCCTCGTAAAGATGAAGTTAGAGACGCTCGAAAAGAGTTGTATGACGTTAACATGTAGAAACATGGGAGAGGCATGAAGATGGAAAAGAGAACAGATATGGAGCTGGGAGCGAGTATGGTGGAGAAAAGCAGGCTCGAGCTTAGGACATGGTGTTAATATGAGAAGGGAAAAGTGATGATTGGTATAAAACGACCCGATAAGTGATTATTCGGCGTGGTATCCATACTCCCGAAGCTTTAAATGGAAAGAAAGTCAGCACCCCGTTATTCGTCTGCATCTCGTTGCGGCGAAGTCATCGTTCATTGACAGAAGTTCTTGGATGCAGCGGGTTGTGAACAATGGCACAGCTACGGATTCGATAATCGAGAGTCTCCTTGCATCTCAGACTCGAGTAGGAGGGCATATCACATCTGCATTCTACTTCCATCTTATGCTACAAGTCAAGATTTCTGCCTGATCACCTTCTGGAATAAGTTCACTGGCCTGATCGAGGCATATAGGTGGAGACGTTGGGTAAATACTCTCTTTGTCACTACTTGCGATGCCGAAAAGTTGGGGAGAAAACTACCCGTTCGCTATTTTACTCTCCGTTTACAGGCCACTCAAACATCGCCGAGGCGGTTAGTATATCAAGGATTCATTGAGACTACGTCAAGGTTGAAGTGACTTACGAGCCTACACCGGATTCAAGGAATCCCTGCACCGACGTTCTTCGATCATAGTGTACCTCCACTACCTCATATCCTGCTGGCTGCTCTTTCATCGTTGCATTCAATGCGCTCCTAATCCATCTTCTCGGTCCTGAGATTTCCTGCGGGAAATGGTATCTTCACACATATCACGAAGATCACCAGATTACTCTTTCTGGATGTTTCAACATTCCTGACGCTGCCATCCAGCCTCCAGCACTATAGAAACGGACCTAGCGAGAGTATACATAAGCTGCCTTCCTAGCAGCAAAAAGAATTTAGAAGTTTGAAAGCAATGGGGGCAACAAAGATTTAGTAAGCGGCCTTCAACTTTCTTGGAGAGATTTGCACCGAATACCGTCTGATCTTGGCCGAGGAGAATCAGGCCAAACAGCAAGAGAAAAAGAAAGGGAAAGAGTAAAGGAAAGAATACAAAACAGAGCAACAGATAAAAGTGGAAAAGAAGAAGGAGAAGGAGAAGCAAAAAAAAAAGAATAAACTCTCCGGCGCATATGCAATGCGCGAATGTCTTGATGCATAGTGACATGATTTGACTTGATAATTGTCCGTACGTAGCAACAGCGTTACAGTCTAGATAGTTATCGCGCACAAGAAGGATCATGTAGCTATGCCACATGATGCTCGTGCGCGAACCTCCGTGCGCGAACATCTAGATATTCCCCTTTTCCTGCGTACGGAGAAAAGACAGAGCAATATAGAACCAGAAACATGTTGCCCCCACCCTACCTACTTCGTACGCTGTGCACACCGTACACTACTCTTACTCTTGCTACTTAAGTGCTCATACCATAAGCAGCTAGCTGAAAGAGCCCATTCAACAATAATAGTATATATTAACTGTAGCTGTTGGGTGGAGACTCTCTTTGCGATCCTAGGATGTTGCAGAGAATATTGTTCAGTCGCCATCTTATCTCAGCTTTCCAAACGGCTCGGGTATGGCCCCAATAGTCATCCGCCAGGTCCCCTCTCTTTAGCGTATTGTGCATGGCGTTTTATGCAGCCTGTATAGCCTCGCGTGTTCCAATCCTTTATTATTTTGTTCGAAAAAGTAGTTTAGAACCATGCTTCTTTCATCACCCAAGGGTCTCCATTTGTCGGAACGGAGCCTGCCCTTGCTGCAAGGCTGCCTGGTTGGCGTATGTATTTAACAAAAACAGTTCGACGGCAATTCTCATACCTAGGCCGTTTCGATTTCTATACCAGTCTTTGGTTTGGATTGGTCCGCAGCCAGTGCCATCCATATGTTTCTACCAGCCTCTTAATATTGTGGTGGAGCAAACTCCTCTCGAATCTTATATGCTTTTATTGGTTTTAAGAAGGCAGCCTTGCCGCTCCTACTATTTTATTTAGAACTCGCTAAACAAAGTCGGCGCATTTGTCATCCCTCCTTTCCATCCCAGATATCTTTTGGGGGCACCCTTCTTCTTGGTACATCAATGTAAATATATCAATAAAAATGGCTTTAACGATTTGTTAAGGCAGTTAAAGTGGCTTCTGAGCCAACCGGCAGGGCTCAGTGAACTGGGCGCAGCTTGCGAATACAAACGTGTCAGCTTTAGTATCCATATTTACACGTAAAGCAGCAGTAGATATTGATGGCGAAATGTCGACTGTCCGTCTAGATTTGCGAGGCCGTTTTCTTTATCTCGTGAGGAATAAACTTAAATTGGCAATACTTCACTGATGGGAATGTGCCTTGAAATGCGGAGACAGATCCTCGGCCTATGGCGGTATGCCCTAATGGCTTTGGAAAGGCCCGATTCGAAAGGCCTTTTAGAAATAAAACACGCTTCTTTGTCCTTCTGTAGATTTTAATTTGCAAGACTTAACTTTTTCTCCTGAGTTTTGGCTAATATTGTAAAGAGAGAAAGTGACGCAGAACACTGGAGCCAGAGGTGCTTATGTACTTACTAGGTATGGCCTATGTCTTTATAGCAGCGTGAGAAAGCGTGCCACCTGGAGAAATGTCGCAAAAAGATCTTGGAATATACAAATTTGTCAATTACTACCGCGCTACTAGCGGCAATACCTCGAGACAAACCCCGCTCATGCCCCATCATTGGCATCGTAGGCTGATTCCTGCTCTTCATCGTTCTGTTCGTCCTTCCCATCGTCGTTATATTCCTCCTTCTTGTTCTGTTCATCATTTCTCGCCTCTGCTGTTTCCATTGTCTCCTCCCCTACCTCAATCGCCTTCTCCGTCTCCATCTCCATCCTATCCCTCTCCAAAGCCCTCAGATGCTCCTCCCAATCCGACCACCTAACCAGCGCATTCCCAGCCCCAGCTCCAACCCAACCCCCCTCTTCCCCTCCCCCTCCACCCCCCCACCTCCTTCTCAACCACTCTTGAAATGGCTCCAACAGCACCGCCAACACCCCTACAACCGCCATTACACACTCTTCCTCCCCCTCCCCCTCATCCCCGCCCCTTTTTTGGCTACAAATCTCAAACTCCTCACTCCCACACTTAACCCCAAGATACTTCTCATCCCTTTCCCCACACCTCCCCACTTTATGTATTCCCAGACTCATCCAGTTCGAATGCGTGATTACGCATCTGCCGTTAACGATGCAGGATCCATTGAAAGGAGGTGAAGGACGGTGGCGCGGAGTGGTGGATCGCAAGGACTTGATCCAGGAGGAGTGGAAGTGAACGTGGAAGATGCGGACGTGAGTGTTGTGGAAGGAAGCGGGGTGTTGCAGGAGGACTGTGAGCTTTGAAGGGTTAGTGAGATGGGCTGCGAAGGGTATATGGGGGTAGGGCGGGAATTCGTGAAGAGCACAAGTATTAAATAACCCATACTTCATGATGTTCTTCCTCTGGTGCGAGCGAGAAAAGATGTCGGGCGAGGTTGTACATGACGGTCAATTGCTCCATGGGATCGCTAGTAAGGTCATCTTTATCATCGAAGACGACAATCCTAGGGACTTTCAGTCCTGGGTATTGCGGGTTGTAGATGACGAAGCCAGGTTGAAGGAGGGGATGCAGCTGACAGACGTGGTGCAAGGACCTAGGCGAATATTAGCATCTACATTCTCGAAGACGTTTTGTTGGGATCGTAGTGGTGACGGATCTAGGTGAATAGAAGAGGCGGGGAGACAAGGAGAAGGGGAGAAGGGGGATTGGACGGAAAGGAAACAAGCTGGAAGGAATAGAAATCCACAACCTACTCAGTCTTGCACACAAGACCTTCCTCCTCTAACTCCCTAACTGCAACACCTGCTAGCACCGCCAAAATCCTCAACAACGAACCCCTCAACCTAGAATAAGCAAAATTTGTCCACGCGTCTCTAAAGTCCTCAAAACAAGTATAATCCACATCCTTCGTCTTCTTCAACCTCTGGAGCTTCCTCATCGCGCCCTTATATCTCTTCCAAATACCTTTCTGGAACACTGCATATAAGTTATTGAGCAGGAAGTCGTTTTGAATGGATCTTTGGCATCGGGATAGATGGAGGCCGAAGTATGTGCATTGCGCCTGAGTGAGACCATTTGGAGCATCGAGGAAGAAGGGAGGGCGTGCGGAGTTGGGGATCCGCTTCCAGACTTTTTGGTATCTTAGGGAGAGAACTCCTATGGTTATCAAGCGGAAGAGGCCTTGGTTGGTGTAGATGGTATAGGGGTTGGGGATTGGGGATCTGAGACGATGGAGAGCGTCTATGAGGGGCTCGTACTTGGGTGAAGGTTGGATTTGGGATAGGTGTGTACCTGGATGAGGAGATGAGTCAGTTGTTGGAGATTATCAGGGGTTTTGTTGAATTGGGGGAGAAGAGCTGACTTACAGAAGAGGTTCATACTTATCTTGATTTCTTCTTCGTGCTGTTTGGCTCGTTGTTCGAGTTCCACCATCATGTATTTCCACTGATCAATGCGTTGCATACGCACGGTAGATTCCTTAAGCGTTTGCGACTGTGTTGTTGAAACTACGGTTTGAGGACACTCTTGGATGACCTGGAGTCCGCCAGGACGCCGGTTATCGTCTCGCTGTGGTGCTGTAGGGAGGCTTATTGGGAGAGGTTGCAGCACTATTGATTCTCGTTGGAGTACACCATCATGCACACCCGTAGGTGTGTAAACCCGGATGTGTTCAAATTGAATAGGTGACAGAGTAGTTGCAACACGTACAGCTCGAGTGCTAGTGATGCTTACCACTGGGGTGCTACTCTCGTCCGTGGCACCATAAGTCTTAGGGGTAGGATGTTGAATTCCGTTGTGAGCAGGCTGTTCAGATAAAGGCGGATTAGTTACATGTCTGGAGGAATCAGAGCCTTTCGTTGGTAGTAAGAGACCCATGAAGAGATGATGTGGCGCTATTAAGAGTAGTGGGTAGGGAGGTTGAGTGGGATGTTTCGCGGGCTAGGAGAACAAACGAGTGCTTGAAAGATGCTGTGATGGAGTTCAGTGATGACGGTAAAAGAACGAGTTAGGTTGTCCTGAATAGTGTTCTTAATCGAGGGGAATTAACAGAAAGCGTGTGTCTGTGGGCGTGCGAAACGGTAAGCTAAAAAATCATTCCCAATACACATATCCGGTGCTTAGATTTGTGAAAGTTAGCTTTGACATATAGTTGAGCATCTCTTTCTAATCTTACCTACTAAGCTGCCGCTTTATTGGCCCATAAATCACAAAAAGATGAATTCAGGGATTACTTGACGTGAAACTACATCGCTTCCGTGCTTGTTGATATGGATACCCAAGGTTGATGACCCGGGGAAGCGTGAAGTAGGACACGTGTTGGAAAGAACTTTGGGAACTAAAATCATTGCCGTCGCTGAGAACTTTCTCCTCACACATATTGAGAATCCAGATAACGGAGATTCTAGAATACCACTTAGAAGCAACAGACAAAGAAACAAGTGACTGCGGGAATCCTGGGTCAAATGGTGTAGTGTCAACTATTACCGTTGACTGCATAGTATTCCTAGTCCAAAGCTTCTGCCAGTCTCATGTATATTTATGTGCAAAACTCTCATCCAAAATTCAAAACGCCTGGTAATGCTACATAAATGCAAAAGAGCCCGTGGCCCCACCCAATATGTGCGCGCACAATACAGAAGTGATTATATGCTAAGTCTACTCTAAATCCTCAGGCCTTTTGATCGGAGATGCTCGCGAAGGACTGTCTACTGCTGGCCTTTCTGCAGACAACCCGGGGACCAGAGTCAGACTGTTTCTGATGAGGCTTCTTGTAGTTGAGCCCGTTGCGTTGACGTGGTCAGGATCCGTAGTCAGGACTGGAGTGTATTCTTCCTGCGCTGAAATGTGCACCTCCATCCGTGCATCATCCCGCATCTTCTTGATCTTCATATAATTATAGGCAGCGATGCTGCAGATAGTAACCACAAGACCAGTCAGATTGATGGGCGTGAGGGGGTCGTTGAAGACGAGATTCGCGGTTGTAATCGTTACCACCTCTTTGAAAATGCCGCAGATACTTAGCGTGACAACGCTAGTTCGCTTCAGCAGAGCGAATTCCGACGAAGTCATGAGGAACGCCAAGCAACCCGGGAAAAGCAGAATGCCAATTCCCAATAGGGTGCCTTTGCTTTCAAAAAGGGTCGATAGTCCTTTAGCAAGAGCAGAGAATCCTTCCACCGGGACAGCTAAAACGAATAAGGAGAGGAACATGACCGGCGCCAGGAAAAATATAGACGAGAATGGATTCGCCGTAGCAGGGTTGCGGAGGAGGAGGATTTGTGTTAAAGACCATCGAAATCCAGAGGAGCAGGCTGAAGCCATGACCAGAATAAATCCAAGAGCATGAAAAGCAGCCTCGCCGGCCACCATCATTACCACGCCAATGGTCATTACGCAGATGATAAAAACAAGTCTCCAAGATGGCTGTTCAAGGCGGAAAAGAAAGGCGAAGAGTAGGACAAACCCTAACGCGGATGATTTACACATAGCTATCATGCGTGTCAACTATGGTCCGGGGCCTGCTGCATTTTTCAGACTTACTAAAAAAGGTCAAGGAGATGAACTTCAAGCTGGTGTTGCCCAGCCCTATATCCATACCGGTGGCAACTCCACAGGGACCAATGCGGCTCAAGTAAAACCACCGTGTCATAAGAGGCTTCTTAGAATCTATTGGCTCCGGTGGGGGGGCACCTGGGACATGGGGATTGAGGGAATCGTGTCGAGGTCGGAACGAGGGTATCAAGAATAGCACCAGGGAAGCGAGCGAGAACTGGACAATCATATGCAGGCAGGTCGTAAATAGCGGGAAGGGGAAGATGTTCTTTGTTTCCCCATCCTCCTTCTCCTCTTTGAACATCCATTTGTTGTAGACTGATATTGAGATGGAAAATAGGTACCTGTGAAATGTCAGCACACACAGGCGACTTTTCACTGACGGGGCGCACTCGCCATAGCGAAATCAAAAGGGCATTTATGAGCATGGAGCGGATTAAGCTCTGGTTTGCCAGCTTCTCCTCGTCTTTGGTAAACCGGACGTCCTCCGCCACACGCTGGTCCAACCGGGTGTTCCTCCTCTTTCTCCGCCGCCGCTGCCGTCGGTCTCGCCCAGTGAGGCCTGTCTCCTCGTCGTCTTCTAGGCCGTCTTCAGACCGCATGTCGTCGAGCTCGAGATCAGTGCTCTCAGTCTTCACCGACGAATCCGAGTGCTCGTTGTCCGACTCCGACTTGTCCTCGTCTGCCTCGAGAATGTGCTCGGAGCGCGCTCTCCTGTGTTTCTTCGAGTCCTTCTTCTTTGGGAGTCCCGGGACGCCGGCGAGGGAAGAGCTGCGTCGACGGGCGTGGTTTGTTGGGGGGTGCCCATCCATGCTAAGAGTTGGTGGGTGGATCAACTTAGCGATGTGTGCGCGAGAGTCGCGCAGATGCAGGAAGTCGCCGCTGCCAATGTCGGAGCCAGATGACGAAGATGGAGGGTTAGAGAAGGTTGCAAGGGGGAATTCATCGGCTGGGTGCAGTGTATCGGGGTGAGCTGGGGTTTTGTGCGTTTGGTCCTGGAGCCAGCGAGCGACTACTGAGTTGGAGGCCATGGCGGTCCGCGGTGGATGCCCAGATGACGGGGGTTAGCGCCTTGGCCGTCGGATCAGATGGCTGCACTGCAATAGGCCGTCATCAGGGGTCGAGCAAGCTCGCAGTGTGATCAGTCGGGGAGTGCCTCATCTAGCGTTCGCATAGGGAAAGACGCGTCCGACGCGAAGTTTGGGAGTTGCAGATGTTCCCGGATGTGCTTCTCACCGGCCTGCAGGCTGTGACAGCTAGCAAGAATGTGGGTGTGCGAGGGGTTTGGCCCAGGTCCGCCCTGAAACATCGCCAATCTCAGTAAGCCACTTAACACTCTCACTCTCACTCTCATTCTCTCTGCCAATGTGCAAGAGATATTATTCACCTCTGGAATGCCCCAAAATTCTCCATTGATGCGAACGAACGCCTGCAGCATTGAAGACGTGCTTGATGGGGTAGTCTATTACATCCAAAATACCGACATCAAAACTCCTTTCCATGCAATGCTCACGAAGACGTATACGGAAAACTGCACAATTCCCAAAGCCGAGGCTAGCCTGAAGCTGGCGTTGGCTGCACTGGTGCCGACGGCAATTGCTCAATCTGCCGGATCAGGAAACTTTTCTCGTCGACGAACTGATCATCTTCGGTGCGGTCCTCTAAAAAGGCCGGTAGGAACCGGAGCAGCTTCTCGCGGTTGCTAATCAAGATGCGCTGAACAGCTAGAGATTTGTTCGGGTTGGCCACGAACACCTGAGTGAAGTTAGTCTTCACCGTCTTCCAGTGCGTGCCGGAGAGGTCAGATCGTATTAAGGAGAGATCAAATCACTTACCTTGAAAACGTGGAATCCTTCATAATTGATCATGCGCCTGTCGTCCCGCAGTAGCTTCATGATGATCTTGAGATGCTCGCCCGACTCAACATAGGATGTCATGACACTGTAATTTGCCCGGTCGAGCAAAATTTCCCCAAGCAGCTTGATCGACTGTCTTTTCGTGACGTAGCTCTCCGACTGCACTAGCATTGTGTTGTATTTGGAAAAGAACATTTCAAAGTTGGTCTGCAGATACGTCGCTACCAGAGGCTTGTGCCTCGTTAAGATGTCCTGAACGCACACTTAGGTCAGTCGCATCTCGGCACCCTCAGGACGGGGGTCCTACCCGGAATGTGTTGAATGCATCCGCGCTAACTTCAAACGCACCCTTGTCTATCCAGTCAAAGAACCTCCAGAAGACACCTCCGCCTGAAGACGGTATGTCGGGATTTACATTCCCAAGGTCTTTGCCACTCCCATCAGGTTCGTCGTAGAGTATCAATGCGCAGATTGAGTCATATTTCAGGGCTTCGCGAAGGACCCCGCCACATGGCATGGCGCTCTCTCGTCTGTCATAGCCTTTGCAAAGAGATATTATGATTTCTGGGCGTGATCTTATAACGTGATACAGTATTTCAGGTTCCGAAGCTCCGGGGGCCTTGTAGCGGAAGGCATTTGAGAAGATGACTTGGGCATCTTTGCGGGATTCGAAGGGCAGCTTATGGATATTGTTTGCTAGGATGTAAAGGAGGTCTTCTTGGACGATTAAAGAGAGGAGCTGGAACATCGATTCCTGACTGACTTCTGCCTCTAACGCCCAGTTAGCATGGAATGATGAAGCAGTGCACGGGCGTGGATTTGGGCAGATCCATAAGTTTGCGGGAGGAGAGCAGTACCGAGCGTGCCTTGAAGAGTCACCTTCATCTGCTGGAGGTTTCGGACCAGCTCTTCCTCTAACTAGCGAGTGCTGTCAACCTCTTGTTTGGAAATGGGGGTGGGATATTCGAGGAGAGTCGGACCTTTGAATTCGGCTTCGGATCCTCGCTCAACCTGTTCAGAAGATCCTTCGTTGACTTTGCCAGCTCTACATTGTTCTTCTGTCTGTTCCTGAATAAGAAAGCCATGGTGGTGGTCTGTTGTTGAAGGAACCGATGGCGGTGGTTGACGTCGACAGGTGGGGTCGTATTTGAAAGGGAGGGTCTAGTGACACGCAGCTTTGTGCTTCGCAGCTGCTATACTGAAGGCGGCGACATGCAGATGTTTTGTACAGCGATCTGTCCTTCAGAGGATTTGGGGAGGTGGTACACAAGGGCGTCGTGGGTTTGTTATCCTGCGTTGTTGTTTGCATGGACCCCTGGTCGATGCGTCGATGCCCGCCCTGCATGATGCTGACCTTTCTATTCGCCAAACGGCCGACCAATTACCCTTACACAAGTGCCATTAATTGTTCCTGTACATACGCCATCATCACCATTTGCAAGGGATGCACATTATCTTTTCTATTCTTAGTCTCCAAATGGCGTTAATTTATCATTAGGTAGGTCGAGGTGAGCTTTCTGCCATCTCTACAGATTGGGTCCGTAAGGCTGAAGACGACCGTATCACATCTGCCTCGGTTCTTCCTCTGATGCAGAGTAGAGAGCACGCCCCCATCATCATTTTGTAAAGGCTACCATTTCATTCCCCCGCCGTTTCTCTTCCGCTTTAGGATAGCCCATAAGTTTTGATATGGGGAATTCTTTCTTCAATACTTCCGTCCCCTCCATGACACATTTCCTGCCTACGGGGCGAAATAAGAATGCTGGAGAACCTGCATGACGTAATTAGCATCTCGTGCTGCTACGAAGCTGCATGCACTACCTTTGCTGCCATCATCCTAGCCCCACTCTCATATCGAACTAGTCCGCTGACAAGATCGCATTCGTTATCAGACGCATTCGGCAGTAAGCATGGCCAGGGCTGGGGAGGATACTCATAGAACTGCATCTTACCCCAGTCGGGAAGATCTGCAGCTTCCTAAAGTATGTCAGCGACAGATGGACGCAATATCAGAGCTCGGCTGTGCCTCACAGGCCAGACGGTCAAGTTAGGTGTCCCCAACTTCTTGAAGAAGCTCTGGATCAAATGAAGCTCGCTCCCCTGGTCTCCGGAGTCGAAGAGAGTCGGATGTCCAGGAACGACGGCTTCTGCAACCGTGCAACCGGCTGCCCAGAGGTCGAGGCTACATCCGTATTTCTTATTTCCAAACAACAGCTCCGGCGCCCTGTAGCAGGTGGTACCGACATCGGTGATTTTCCAATCGGCTGTTTCCGAACCCGGGGCACTGGGAGCCCACGCAATGCCAAAGTCTGACAGATAGGCAGGCCCGTCTAGTGATTTGACTAAGATATTCGAAGGCTTGACGTCTCTGTGGATGATGCTGTGGGAGTGTATGAAAGCCAGCGCCGAGAACATGTCCCGGAGACAGCCCCGTATTTGTTTAGCCGACAGCCTCCCGTCTTGGAGAAGTTGCTTGAAGTCGTATGGCATAAATGGAAAGACCAGGACAAACTTCGTCCCAGCTTCGCGGAAGGTCTCTAACAGTGGTATTACGTGTTCAGATGCCGAGAGTCCTAGTATCTGTGCCTCGCGCTTGGAATCGTGGGGAGCCTCCATTGATGACGGAGTTGTCACTTTCAAAGCAACGAGCCTGTTCTGGAGGAAAGTTTCAGAAGAAGAATCTACCGAGTCGACTGAGGTAGTGGCCTTGTATATGATGGAGAAAAGACCCTCTTGGTGGTAAGTCGCCTTCTCGTATCTACCAATATCAATGGCTGCTGGAGATGGCAATGACTCGGGATTTTCCTTTAGTTCATTAACATGGTTGGCGGTCCAGCGTAGGGCGGTGCTAGCAGGCTCACTTGGGATTCGGACATTGCCAGTTGAGCGGACTGTTGGACTAGCTGCTCGATCCTTTTCTCGCAGTTTTGGTCATAGTCTTCCTATGCTAACATCAACTGCATATGCAGGTAGGTATCATACAAGGGCCATACTGCGGAGTCTGCTTCCTCGTAGATCTGGGTCTCGAGGGTTGTCGCTTCTCGACGAGCATCTACGGCTGAGAGTGTAGCATTGGAGCTCTGGTAAGCCGAAGTTCTGTGACGTGGTCAGACTATGCATTAATTGTGAGTGCCAGTTGCTAACAAGTTAGAGAACTGTAAATCACACAGACAACTTAGTGTTGATAAACTAGAGGCATATCTTGCAAGGAAAGGGGAGATTGGGGCACGAGGAACAAGGGGTGACCCCAAGTGACCAAAAAATGCATTCCTTGACAACCTCTAGCTGCCCAAAGCCCAAAGGGAAGAGCGCATGAAGGATTAATGTTCTTACGCGGTTTACCATGTGATAATCTCCCTTGGGCAATCTCAAGCAGAGAGTTGGGTTACCTGCATTTTCATGACGGACGCGAGTCTGCTAGAGAAGCCCATAGCAGCCCTCCAGTCAGAAGTCGCTGTCATCTTCATCAAATGAATGGCCAGTTTCGCAGATGAGTGATGGGTAATGTTGGAAGCGGGTGCAACTATGTGCAGCGAGAGACGTGCTGCCGAGCGCGGACATGCGAGCGAGGACAAAAGAAAGCAGACCAGGCCAATTGCCCTGCCCCCTGTTCCGCAAGCTCACGCCCAAGCACTGCACCGCCGTCCACACATCCGGGAGTTCCTCATCGTCGCTGTCCAGTTCGGTGGTGCATCTCATCTCCCTCTAGATCCGTCCGCGTTTCTTGTCTTTTACGTCAGTCCGAGCGCGGTCGCTGTTTCGCCTGCACACTAAGCGGCCCAGGCCTACCCAGGTAGATCTGTCGAGTAAACGAGTGACAACGAACACTTACTACACCCGTCGTGACAGCTCCGCAACCACCCCGAGGAGCTCTCCGGATTCTGCTGTCTATGTAAACACTCTTGGCTCACTCTGCTGAGGCTGCGCGCCGCTCTCCGAACACCCCGCCATGGACCTCCAGCGCAAAGAGTACCCAGCACTGCTGGTGAGAATGCCTCCTAGCCCTCTGCACCACCATCCCGCTGACCCCGTCCCGCAGGATACCCTCCAGCCCGCGCAAGCTGTACATGTCCTCAATGATCGCATGAAGCATGTCAGCCACCTCAACACCAACATTGCGGACTGGCTACAGGTTTGTGGAAGTCTTTGTGGGGCAAGCAGCTCTAGGCTAACCGCGTCTACAGGAACGGCGCCGGGTGGAGGAGCTCTATGTCCAGGGGCTCCGGAAGCTGGCAAACAAGCATCCTCCTGATGACAACTCAGATCTTGGGTATGCACGTTGCGCATCGTACTCGTCGGAAGTACCGTCCTGACACTGCGCAGCATCTTCTTTACACCGTGGCACAAAATTGTCAGCGCAACCGAATCCCTCGCCGAATCGCACCATCAGCTTGCCTTGAAGATTGAAGCCGATGTCGAGCGTCCTCTACGAGAATTTTCCGCGACAAACCGAGAGGTACAAGCCATGTCTACGATTTCTGGGAACCTTTCCGCAATGGCTAAAGAAATCGAGGCTGCTAAGAAGAAGGCAGATAAATTGAGGGACAAGGGTGCGAAGGCTTCTGCGACCAAGGTGGCAAATGCTGTGTCTGAGGTCGAGAATGCCACGGTGCAGTGGGAGTCTCAGGCACCGTATGTGTTTGAGAAATTGCAGGCCGTGGATGAAAGCAGGCTTAATCATCTGCGGGATGTTCTCACGCAATTTCAAACGCACGAAGTGGATCAGGTGGAGAGAAACAGGATCTCCGCAGAGGAGACATTGAATGTGTTGCTCAACATTGAGACTGCAGACGAGATCAAGACCTTTTCCCTGAAAATGCAAAGCGGGGAGAAGCCGAGAACATCTCGTAAACCTAGCAGTGTCAGTACGCCGTCAAGGAACTTGGCTCCCCCACCAGCCAGCCCAGCACATCAAGCCGATGATCAGACGAGCCAAAAGAGTGGCTCCGGTATGTATATCGCTACCACAGCCATGGTAAACAAAGACTGACCTGATTTGAGCCCACGAACCTGCGCCCAAGCATGGGGGAGGGTTTCAAAGTCTCAAAAGATTCGGGACAGTGATAGGACGCCGGAAAAGTAATCATCCCTACGGTCGTGCATTATCACCAGAACGAAAGTCCGCCTCAAACCTAGGCGGGCCATTTAGTGGATTTGGGAAAGGGAAACAGAGAGAGATTCATCCCGCAGGGTCTTCGGACCGACCCGTTTCGCCTGCTAGAAGGCTCTCTCTCACACCTCGGCTATCTGACTCCTCTAGCTCACCGAAACAGCTAAGACGATCCAGCAGCGACAATAGAGCAAACGGGACAACCCCTGAGCCCGTTCATGAAGCGGGACCAAGCTCTAGTACGGTAAACGGAACGGCTCAGGAGTCGATACCGGAGTTGAAAGAGCCGCTTTCGCCTCCCCCTGCTATTACCGAGCCAGTGCCAGAGGTACGGAATCCAACTTTGCATATGGTATCTCGGAGCTTTAACTGACTTGTTTAATAGCCGGAGAAAGACGCAGAAGGATTCTCTGTACCTCCGACAGCGACAGACGCTATCACCGAAGCACAAAGAGAAGCGAGCCTGTAAGCGTTGAAGCTATGCAGCAGCAAAACGATTCGCTGACAAGATTCAGTGCCGCAAATGAAGTCAATCCAGCGCCTCAATTTAAACTTGATATTAGAAACGCGCCCATTCAAGAAGAGGATGGTGATCCGGACGCTGCTTTAGCGAATATGGCCAACACTTTGCGCGCTGTAAGTTTAAGTGATCCCCTGACGCGAATAATGCTGATTTTCCACCTTCAGCAAGCACCCGCAACGAAGAGGTCAGGTACCCTTCGAGGCCGACGAGATGTTCGCAACACAATTTTCGTACCTAACCCTGCAACGCCTGAACTCACAAGTATCGGAGAAACGTCAGTTCCTCCAATTCCATCTGCCGACTCAGGCTCAGGCTCAGCAACGTTTCCAACTCCCGCTCCGCCTCCACAGCCGACCTCGCCGGCCTTTAAACTCCCACATAGGACTTTGTTATCAGATGACCATGCAGCGTCAGATACGCAGTCTGTCCGGTCCGGTAGATCCCTAAGTAGTTCAGCCAGCACCACGATCAGGCATCCGGATATGCATGAGCCAGGGCTGAACTCATCTTTGGTCGAGACGGTTAGTGCATGGTTCGAACAAGGAAATATTACTAAAGCCATGGTAATCGGACAGGTCGCGCTTGCATTCAATCCAGTTGATCTCTCTGCGCCCTTTGGAACAGACAATATCCGTCTAGAAAATTTCCCTGTTCTAGAGAAGGTTGCTCCAAACCCGGCGTTCATCGAACAAGTCACTGACAGCCCCGGAAACTACACCGTGGACCTCTCTAGGATCACGAAAACGTCAGTGGCATTCCACTACCAGGTACACCTTGAGAGCAGTAATCTTGCATCATTTGCACCCCTCATTCTCTCACCGACTTGGAAGTCTGAACCTACACAGACTTCCGTTCTGCTTCACTACTCCCTCAACCCCAAATTTGGTCTAGGAGATGCCACAACTGTTACAATCCACAATCTTATCCTTGTCATTCGCCTTGAACCGGGCGTGAAGACAACGACGTGCCAGTCAAAGCCAGCGGGCACGTTCTCCAGGGACAAAGGCCTCATCTACTGGAGGCTTGGAGATGTAACTCTCTCTCACGACCAGCCCGCGCAGACAGTCCGTGCGCGCTTCTTCACCGAAAGCGAAGCCAAGCCAGGAAATACTGAGGCTCGGTGGGAGATTATCGGGGCGCAATCGCTAAGCTTGGGGAGTGGGTTAAGCGTCAGACAAATGGCCCCCATCGAGGCTAAGGATAGCGAATCCGATCCTTTTGCTGATGCTGATGAGAACGCACCGCCTGCGAGCCCAGCGATTACTTGGAAGGATGTAGCAAGCGTGAAGCGTATTGCAAGTGGGACTTATCTGGGAGTGTAATTTGGGGAAAGTCTGGAAAGTGTAATTCTGGCGGCCACGAGGCAGTGAGCTGTGGACGAGACGCTCTGGCTGGATGTGACAATTGTGGCCGGACTCGAAACCACTTGTTGGACAACGTACAACCTTGATTTTGGGTTCAGTAGTGCTGAAGAGGATAATATTTTTGAGCTACGGAGAGCAAGCTTCTTGTAGATAGATGTTTGGCGGCTATTTGTGTGAGATAGGAAGCGAGATATTACTATTCTTTCCGAATGTTCAGTGAGGCTGACGAGGTTGGTTTGTCAAAAGTAAGGTTGCTGTGTCATTCTACTTTAGACAGCCGACATGTGTCTGTCATCCATGGTTGTCGCTGCGGCGATAGAATGTCGGAAAATAAATGGATTCCAGAATGCCAGGCAGTGCCTCCGACACTAGCGTCAGTAGAGAACAGCATGGTGTCCTTTCTGAATTGCAATATGGGGAGACTAGTTCTTTTTGCATATCGAATTTTGATGACTTGTGTGCAACATTCCTTGGACGCATAGGAGTGGCACCATTGCACTAGCTATACGGCGTGAAGGATTTGTGACAGTTCTTCACAGAGTCGAGTAGATAGGTTGTTGAGTTGAAAGGCTAGGTAAGGAAAGACATGCGATACATGAGAGTGTGTGAAGTGAATGGGTGAATCCATTTATTGATAGTGAGCGCAATCGCTGCTTCTAAATTGGATTGGCTAGCCTCAAGCGAGAAGTCGCGACCCTGCTTTTGCCATCATGCTTGGCCTACGTCATCGGCTCCCCTGAACCAGACGCTCCCTCCATGACTGACCAGCTGACGAACACCCGCCCGCGTAATTCGATTCTGCTTGTCTGCATCGTAGCCTCCAAGTGCTTCGCTACTGCAGCCTCATCCACGGCTCTGTGTCTGCCGCTGTCTGCTCTATCCATGTGCCTCCCACCGTGAGTATTGAATCGCACCGCCTCTTCCCAGATGCACCCAGGAACCCCCGTCGCTTGCCCGGAACCTGCTAGCTCACCCCATTATTGCCCAGTTGTGCGGCACCAGCGCATTCCCAACTTGTCTTGTTCTCGATTTCAGCGCGTAACCTCACTATCTTCCGTTGTTGCCCTCCCCTAGGCGTTTGTTGCCCAGTGACCGACGATTCTTTGTCTGATGCTATCTGCACGCCTGGTTGTACGGCTTGTCGCGTTGTTGTTGTCTCACTCGCTTCTCGACACTCTACGTCATCGTGTACTTGGAACAATCAGCACTTAGACACCGGGGACCAATCCGCCTCACGCCCACTTGTATACACTATCCACACCCTCTATACGAATGTCACCAGCTCAAGTTGTCTTCACCCGTGGCCCTCTGCTTCACCCTTCTGATACCTTCTCTCTTTCTGCAGCGGAAGGGAGGAGTTGGGGGGTGCAATCATGAACCTGCCACCGCTGCCGTCTCCCAAGTCGTCGAGGCCATCCAAGGTTCTCAACGTCAACGCAGACACCGCCTCATCACCATTCCCCGTCCCTCGGCCATCATCCACGATTCGGCCACCACTACAACGTCTACCCGAAAGAAGCTTCCTGGAACAGCAACAGGGAGGCGCAGAGTCTTCCGCCGAGTCAGCCAGGTCCACGGAATTAGATGAAGAAACGACGGATAGCAAATTGAGCGACAGCACGACAGAGGGCCAGCGAGACCTGCAAGGGGATGACGACGACAATTCGGCCAGCACTCCACAAGAGAAGTCGTCCCCGGACGAGTTGGAGATCGAGAGACTTCGCAACCTTCAATCGGAGATGTTGCAGAAACAGCAGCAAGCGCGTCTCAAAGGGCCATCCGGCGGGAGTAGCCCAGGTACATTAAGTGCGCGACGAGTATCGCCTATCAAAGAAGAACTCTCGTCAAGCCTATCGCCCACTCTGGAGAGGGCATTTGGTACTCCATTACTGACTGGAGAGACTGAATCGACCGAGTCCACTGAATCGTCCAGAACCGTCCGAGGAAGTGTGCCACCGACTCCTTTAAAACATGCACTCCGCACTCCATCGTATCCATTTCCAACAGTGCCCAATACTCCCAGAATATGGACGTCGGCATTTCACCAACCTTTCACAAATCTATCGCCTACTGTGTCGGCAATGTTTACCAAGGATTATGTAACCCCAAAGGATCGAGCTACCTCAGAGACAAGCACCCCGGCTGCATCCGTGACTAGCTTCATGCCTGCTGGAAAATTGTATCAGAGTCCCGGTGGAGAAGATCCTCGGTTCCCAACCCCGAGCCTATATGACATTGTGCTCCTTCTGGGAGCAGAACCAGGGCTTTCAGCTTGGTGGAACAGTGTGACCATGATCATGCGCGACTACTATGGGGTAGAGAGGGCAACGCTTGCCGTCCCCGCTGATGCATCCGATATTGAGAATGTCCCTTGGGGGCAGAAGACGACGTATAACATAGCAGGCCAGAACAACCCCCGAATACTTAGGTATCGGGAAGGTCACCAAGAAAGGAGTAAAAAAATAGCAATGGAGCAGGGCCCCGCTCAAGAGTCAGACCACTATGACGGGCCACCGACCACCGTGATACCAGAGAGGAGGCCGAAGCTACCTATGCGCCATTCATTTGCTGGTCACGAAAAGCAAAAGCGAGATGGACCATCCGATATTTACACACCTGGTATACCTGGCATACCTGGTACTTCTGGCACTTGTGGTCCTCCTGGTCCTCCTGGTCCTCCTGGTCCTCCTGGTCCTCCTGGTACTCCTGGTACTCCTGGTACTCCTGGTCCTCCTGGTCCTCCTGGCACTCCTGGTCCTCCTGGTCCTCCTGGTCCTCCTGGTAATCCTGGTATCTCTACCAGACCTCGAGGGCCACTCAGGACAGTTAGTCATGCACCCCAATCAATGCGCGGAGAGCATCCTTTAAGGCAAGTTTCGCAAGCCTCGTTTGATGGTACCTCATGCCAACATGGTACACCTACCCCTATCCGAGAACCCACCTTCAGTGACCTCGAGTTCTCAAGCATAGGCGACGAGTCCTCTCCGATGCAATCTAGTGCGGTGTTTCCGGTATTGAGTGCTCTAGATCACGAACCGGAAGCCCTAATTGACAATGCGGGAATCAATCGCGTGTTAGAAAGGGGGCGCTTAGTAACACTGACACGAGATTATTCGCCTTCCTTATCGCCGTCAAGAAAGAACTCAACAGAATTGGGAAAAGAAGAGCAGTTACCGCCGAAAACTTCCAAGCATGTCAGCATTGAAGCACAGGAACCACTTAAGGCATCAACTTTCAAGGGTCGAACCGGGCTTATGAGTAGACCTGGAAACGTGGAGCAGAGTGAATTAAATCTACAGCCACGCTATGAAGAATACGAACAGTTTCCGAGCTCTCCTTGGGCTCAATCACCCGCGCCCTCTCCTGCAATCCAGAATGACCCTAGCGAGAATCCCTTTTTCTCAACCGGGAATGTCGACGAGGAGACCTTCAACCCTTCCGGCTCTAACCAAGATTATTCACAATTCAGTCAAGTAGAAGCTATTGGTGTAGACAAAGCTAGTACCGTAACCCATATTCCCCTCATTCACCCAACACTATCGCAAGTAATGCAGCCACTCAACTCCAACATGCCTTCTCAAACCCCTACGATGTCACGAAGAACTTCGGAACAGTCTGTTCAGGCAGCATCAGTGAAAGAGGATCGTCAAAGAAAGGCCCCTATCGCAATCCTCTCCATACTTTCCCCGACTGTCCCATTTCCTCGTAATCTCACCAATTCCCTTAAACTCCTCGGGCCTCATTTAGCCACGTCTTTCTCAAACGCCTGGCAATATACCAATGCACATAACCAGGCTACCAACTTTCGTCACCGCCGGTTCCTGTCTGGTCATCAGGTAGGATTTGCGCCCATGTCTTATCAAGAAAGTATCGATGATCTTCTTCACCTTGATCTCGAAAATATTAGTAACTCCGCTGCTGGGAGCGTTACTAGTCCTTCAGACTACTCTGGGCGGTCAAAACACAGTCCAGGTGGCTCGATCAGTGGTACTCCTGGATGGGACCCAATTACGGTAGGTTTCTCCAGCAAACACTCTGTCAGTAGTACTCCTGGCCACCTTGCTGGTGTCGAGGCTGTTGAGAGCTACTTTGATGCAAAGAAACGAACAACCCGATCATCGGGCCAGACTGCAACCGTTGCACAAGAACAGATCTCTCGCAAGGCCGACAAGCGAATGCCGAGACGAGCAAGTGTCAGCACGGTGGCGGAGAATGAAGAAAATGTCGTCACACCGCGCAATGAGAAAGCAGCGACTCAGGTACCTGCTCATGGCGAGGTAACGGCTCAGAACAATGCTCCACGACGACTAAGAACGACGCCATCACAGAGTGGCCAACACCGACCTCATTCTCTACTACACTCCTATGGCGCAGACTTTACATCGTCATTTCAATCGCTTCCTGCGGCCACTACCCCTGGAGTCAAGACCCCAGCAGCTCCTACAGGCCACTCCCGAAGCAACTCGATAAGCGAAACTCTCGATATGCCGCCTCCGTCAGAGAGCCTTCTGCGTACTATCATTGATTCTCTTCCAGTGCAGATCTTCACCGCCCTTCCAAGCACTGGAGCTCTCACTTGGGTGAACTCGAAGTTCCTTGTCTACAGAGGGCAGGAATCTCGACAAGTGTTACAAGAGCCGTGGGATGCGATACATCCAGAGGATAGAGAGGCATACTTGGAGCAGTGGAACAATTCTTTGCGCACAGGAGCACAGCTTCAGCAAAAGGTTCGGTTGCAACGGTTCGATGGTCACTATCGATGGTTCTACGTCAGGGTAGCACCGTTGAAGAATAAGCGGCAGCAAATTGTACATTGGATTGGAACTAACATGGACTTCCACGAGCAGCATCTTGCAGAGCTGAATTCGGCACGGCAGCAGGAAACTGCGGCTTCGGAGGCGAAATACCGCGCGCTCGCTAACTCAAGTCCGCAAGTTGTTTTTGTTGTGTCGAATCGACGTGGTCTCACCTTTTGCAATTCGCAATGGATAACTTACTCCGGCCAAACCGAAGCACAAGCACACGTTAATGGGTTTCTGGAGTATGTTCACGCTGAAGACATCGTCAAATGCAAGTTGCCAGAGATGGGAGAAGATGGCGAGTGGCCCACCAATGTTCCAACCTCACTTCCACTAGATCATGGACGTCAAGGCTCTACGTCGTCTGACGATTCCTCGGAAACAGAGAAAACCATCACCAGTCCGGGAAGTTCATCTCCAGAAACTCTGGCAATGCCTCAAGCCAAACTGTCGAAGCTGGCGAGCACAGGTATACTCAAAGTTACGAAAGATGCCGACGGCCGCGCTTCATACACCACTGAAGTTAGGCTGCGAAACAAAGATGGCGAATACCGCTGGCATCTCATTAGGGTGCTCCTGGAGAAGTCGCTCGCAGACGATAATGACGAGGAAACATGGTATGGAACGGCTACAGACATCAACGACCATAAACTACTGGAACAAACATTAAAGGAGACTATGGACGCGAAGTCAAGATTTTTGAGTAACATGTCCCACGAGATCAGGACACCACTTAACGGTATCTCCGGAATGGTCAACTTTCTTCTTGACGGCATTCTCAACAACGAGCAACTAGAACAAGTTAACATTATCAAGGCGAGCACTGACAGTCTCCTTAACCTCATCAATGACATCCTCGATCTATCAAAAGTGGAAGCTGGAATGATTAAGCTAGCAATGGAGTGGCTTCACCTACCCTCTCTCCTGGAGGAAGTCAATGATTTGAACATGGGTTTAGCTATCCAGAAAGGCCTTGAGCTCAACTATCTTGTCGAAGAAGAGGTGCCGTCAATGGTTAAAGGTGATAAGTTCCGCATCCGGCAGGTTCTTCTGAATGTTGTTGGCAACGCCATCAAGTTCACGCAGAAGGGTGAAGTCTTTGTTCGATGCCGTATGAATCCCCCGGAACGCGAAACCCTTTTGAAGAACAATGAGATCATGGTCCGGTTTGAAGTCATCGATACAGGCAGAGGATTCAATGAAAGCGAAGCAAAGTATCTGTTCAAGAGGTTTAGTCAGATTGACGCTAGCAGCACCAGGCAGCATGGCGGAACCGGCCTTGGACTGGCTATTTCAATGCAATTTGTTGAACTTCACGGCGGCAAGATGGATGCCCGTAGCATTCCTGAGAAAGGCTCGACGTTCTTCTTCACAATCAAATTTGGCCTGCCTACCGAGGTCGATTTCCCGAAACCACAAGCTCCCACCCCAGGAACTCCAGTAATAGAACCTGTCATTGCGGCCCAACCTCTGCCGATACAGCAGCCAATTCTGCCTCATATATCACCCATTGTTCAGAAAGAACGAATTTCCAGCATCTCATCAGACCACAGCGATTCCGTCAAATCTCCTGTCCCTAGTCTGACGATTTCTGAGCGGTCGGGGGAGTCCCCTTCACTATCTTCGGGCAGCTCAGACCCGTCTATTTATACTGGAAAATCGAGTTTGCGTTCTGAGCGCTCTTCTGCCTCTTCTTTCATGCCAGAAGGTGCTGTTTCCAAGGATATAAAACTGGCACTACCGATCAAACGCACCGACAGCGATACCGGTGGCAACTCTGATGAATCTTCTGGCACCATTCGACAGCCTGAGCCTCAGCGAAATCTCTCGCCCATCGGAAGCTATATGCAGCCTCCAATGTACTCCATATTAGTCGTCTGCCCGCTGGTTCATAGCCGAGAAGCCACTATTGGGCACATCAAGAACACGCTTCCGCAGGCTATACCACATCAAATTACTTCACAGTCCAGTTTGTTGGAAGCGCAGAAGATGATTAGTGGAGATGACCCAGTCCTTTTCACCCACATCGTCTTAGTTTTACACGAGGCCGCCGAGGTTATTACAGTCATAGATCAAATCTTGAGCTCGACTGCTCATTCTACAACCTCGATTGTAGTAGTATCCGATCCAGCTCAGAAAAAGGAGCTCCTCAAAGAAGCCCCAATATACGACTACAACCAACTGACCCTCGGCCGCAGACTTCAATTCATCTATCGCCCCTTGAAGCCCTCGAAGTTTGCAGTGATTTTCGATCCACAGAAGGAAAGAGAATCAAGCACGGACCGGAATCAAGACAGCGCTCAGCAAGTGGTTGTTAGCCAGAAGCTTGTATTTGAGGAGCTCAAGAAGCGACTGGGCGATAGGGGCTATAGGGTCCTTTTGGTCGAAGACAATCAGATCAACCAAACTGTAGGTTTCTCCGATTTGTCTTATTTGTTTCGTAGCTAACCTAAATTCCTAAATTTTCTAGGTGATACTGAAGTTTCTAGGGAAAATTGCCATTGACACTGAGACGGTATTGGACGGCGTCCAATGTACCGAGAGGGTCTTTTCGAAGCCACCAGGATACTACTCAATCATTCTGGTGAGATAAGACATGTCTATATTCCGTTACGGCTGTCTAACAATCCGCAGTGTGATCTTCACATGCCAAACAAAGACGGGTACCAGGCTTGTAAAGAAATACGGCGATGGGAAAGGAAACAAGGCCACCGCCGTCACCCAATCATCGCCCTATCGGCGAACGTACTTGGCGATGTTTACGCTAAATGCGTTGATGCCGGTTTCAACTCATATGTCACCAAGCCGGTGGAATTTAAGGAACTATCGATGGTCATGATGAGATTCCTCGACCCAGCAGATCCCTCTCACCCCCCGGAATTCATGAAATCCCGCAAATTATAGAGACGGCCTATTTCCAAGAGGTGTTTGGATCCCTTTCTGTACCCCTTTTTGCATCAGCGACTCGGCGCACTTGGGATTCTTAGTTTTGATGCGCTTTTAGCATGGCGTAATTGCCAATATTGATGGGCGAAGAATGCCTGTATGGGTTAATGAATGCATGGATGTATCAGGTGGCTCTGTTACCCATTTCTTCTATCGTTAAATCGTCTTTCTGTAATTTCAGTTTTTGATGGAGCGAGGCGAGATTCCAAGCAGGCCGGGTGGGTATACAATGCGTTGGATGCATCAGCATTGGCCAGCAGACTGCCTGGTTTGGCGTCGGCCGTGGACCTATGGAGCTCGGCGTTCTTCCTTTGTCGGTTCGACTCAAAATGGAGGCTGCAGTCTCGTTATGGCAGCCAGGTTCTTGGAGGTTATTGGACAGGGTAGTAGGATAGGAACGGGATAGGGTAAGTGTGTATTATAGAGACGGCTTGGATGTGGATAAAGAAGGAATGGGGTTAATTATTCTATGTATAAATTTTGATATAAGTGTGAGGTGTGAGGGTGCTATATTAGTTGCATGTGATTGGGTGTGGATGGATGGGTGTCTTGGAGGATTAAGACTTGGCGCTTTCACACCACGGACTCACCTTATTGGGCAGTGATGGGCACATGCTCCGCCATGTTCAATGTCGACACTTGACACTTGACATCTGCCTGTCCAGGAGTGTGCTGCGCATTTCCCAGTCACACCCTCTCTCGTCTTCTAGTTATTCTATCTCGATAGCACTTGTTCTTTCGTTGTTTCAGTGCGCCCTTTCTCGCAAGACAGTTCCGGGGGTTTCTCCGTTTCACATTCCTCATTGGCCACCCCGACGCCTTTTTCTCGACGTCCTCGACGTCTCGCCCCATCTGCGGTGCCCTCCCCTTGCGGACAACATTGACTTCAGTCGTTTCTACTTGCGATAATCGGTCGCGCCTCCACCGCCGCAAATGCGGCTCCTCGCACCCCTCGACTTTCTCCCCTTCTCCTCGCTCCTCCTCATCCTCCCCACTCTCGTCTCCGCGCAGCTCGGCATCGAGGTCACCAAAACCGTAGACTGTGCTAGGAAGACTCAGAACGGCGATATAATCAAAGTACACTACCGCGGCACGCTGCAGAGCGATGGCTCGGAATTCGACTCGAGTTACAACCGCGGTCCGCCGTTTGAGTTTACTCTGGGGAAGGGACAGGTGATACAAGGATGGGATGAAGGATTGTTGGGCATGTGTATCGGAGAGGGCAGGAAGTTGACGATCCCACCGATTCTGGGGTATGGGAATAATCAGGTTGGGAAGATTCCGCCAGGGTCGACACTGGGTGAGTGGTTGTGTGCCTGCAGTGAGGGGATTGATGGCTAACCGTGTGTTGCAGTCTTTGAAACAGAACTTATGGGCATTGAGGGCGTGGAGAAAGAGACTAGTCTTCCTCCTCCTCCTCCGCCGCCTCCAAGACCGACGATTGCTCGTCCGCCGTCAGGGGATGGCCCCGTCACAGCGATTCCACCAACGCCTGCCCTGACACCTTCGCCGGAGCCTTCATCTATCTTGTCTATCCCCGCGACTTCTGCTGCGGCAGCAGTGGAAAGCCCAATGCCGAGTTCAGACAAAGCTAGTCCGATGGAGGTAGAGGACAACGGAGAGTGTCATCTCCTAGGGTCATATGCCCTGATTGTGCAAGGCGCGCTTGGGCTATTGGCCGTCTCATCTCTAGTGTATAAGAGATGGCGTGAGACGCCACGACGGCCTATCAAAATTTGGTTCTTCGATGTGTCTAAACAGGTCTTCGGCTCTGTTCTGCTCCATCTCGCCAACATCCTCATGTCGATGCTTTCATCCGGGACCTTTGACGTAGCTGCAAAGACCAAAGCAACACCGCAATATGCGGGCCAAGACGATGAAGGGAAACAGCCAAACCCATGTTCCTTCTACCTCCTCAACATCACTATCGACGTAAGCACTCCCACCCCCCTCCTACTTTCCTTTCTCTAACTGTCTCAGACAACAATCGGCATCCCGATCCTAGTCTTGCTCCTCAAACTCCTCCACCGTGCATTCCTCCTCACGCCCCTCGCTAGCCCTCCGGAATCCATCCGCTCCGGCAACTACGGTCACCCACCCCGTGCTACATGGTGGCTCAAACAGTCCATCATCTACTTCCTCGGGCTCTTTGGGATGAAACTCTGTGTCTTCATTATCTTCCAACTCCTCCCATGGATTGCATGGGTCGGCGACTGGGCGCTTCGCTGGACAGAAGGCAACGAAGCCATCCAGATCACCTTTGTCATGTTCGTCTTCCCGTTGATCATGAATGCGATCCAATACTGGATCATCGATGGGTTTATCAAAGACCCTGCCAGCGGCGAAGGGAGATATCAGGGTGTGGGAAGTGTAGACGAGGATGAGGATGATGATTCATGGTTGGAACGGCACAGGAGGAGTAGGGTGAGAGATACTGATGAGGACAGTGATGTGGATGTCGAAGCAGCAGAGACGGAACCGCTTAAGGAGGCGAATCCGACGGCAATTCCCGTGAGGGGGAGTGAGGGGAAGGGGAGGGAGTTGTATGATCCTGCGCCGGGGAGTAGTGGGAGCGAGAGTATTAGGGTGGGAAGGTAGGTTAGGTTGTCTCCCTAACTTTATTTTGCCACTCTTTGGATTCTTTGTGGGGATTAGATTGCGGGTGTTGGTATTAGATCGCTGGCTATCCTTGCTGCGCATGAGCTGTAAAACGTATATACACTGAGATGGCGGTTCAATTCTTATAGTTATCGATTCCTCTGTCCGGCGTGAATCAAGGCGTTCATATTCTTGATTATGCACTCCAACGCCCTATTCATCCATCTGTCTCTAGAAATTGCTACTTGGTCATTGTTTTCGCGGCTTGCACCTTCACCCCAATATCCCTAGCCAAATAAATCTGGCCATACAAATCCGTAACCTCGACAAACACTCTCAGAGCCTGCATCACATCCCCATCAACCACTTTCCCGAGTTCCTGCATCCCTTGCTCTAGACAACGCCGCTCGTAATCTGCGACTTTTAATAACTCTGCTTTGCGTACAGCGTCCAAGTTAGCCCCACCCACATCCTCGATATTCTCTTCAAGTTCCTCCCCAGCTCTAGCTTCAGCTCTGGCCTCTTTCGCCACCAAGACAAGGGAAGTGAACTCGCCAAAATCAACACTGTTAAGATTACCCTCAAGCCAGTCGCGAGCGACGGACCCAATGTCGTTGTGCTGGCGACACATAATCGCCAAATGTCTACACATAGATTGGACAAGGTATCTCGGGAGTCCGGAGGCTAGGAATAGGGTTCCGGGGAATGGGAGTAGGCATAGGTAGAAGGTGAAGGAGAAGGGACAGGAGGTGGTGTTAGAGCCGGTTGTGTGGATCCAGGTGTGGTAGGGTTGGGGTAAGAGTGGAGGAATAGAGGGAGATGTAGCAGTTTCTGAAGGAGCTGTTTGGAAGGCGGAGAAGAATTCTTGAGACTGGCTGATGTGCGTTATGTGGCTTAGGAGAAAGATTTCGAGTTCTTGGATGAGCCAGCTGCGGAGCCAGGTAGGGGAAGACGCTACGCGCGGATGGGTGAGGATGTGGGATGTGAAGTTTGTGAGGGTGGATCTGACGTCTTTTCGGGCTTTGGACTTGGTATGGTCCACATTGGATTTCTCGTGAGTGTCTTCGCCTTCCAAGTTGATGGGAAAGCTATTCGTAACGGCCCCCGGAGTCCCCTGTTCCGTTTTCTTCATCTTCCAACCCACTCCCTCCATGTCCCCCTCGTGCTCCTCTTCAAACCCCCTCTTCTTCCCCGTTGTCCCTTCCCATATTCCACTCCTACAAACCTCCCTAACAACACCTCTAACCCAATCCAAATCCCTGTGCATCTCTCCTCCCACAACGGCTTCCATGAACTCATCAATCTGATACATCAACAACGAAAACCTCATCATCTCCCACTGTATTTGCAACCCCAGTCTCGATCCTCCACCTGAAATCGCAATCCATGTAAACGGAATATACTGCAAATATTTATCCTCACTCACATTCTTCCGCGCAAAAATATCGAAGCGGTGTTTTGATAGTGCAGGGACGAAAAGAGAGGCTTGCAGGAGCCAGAGGGAAATTTTGTAGGATGGAAGGGAGGAGAATGGGGGGAGACAAGAAAAGAATGATTGAAAGGCCGAGAGTTTCTTTTGGGGGATGGAGATGAGGGACGAGATTTTGAGGCTGGGGGTGTCGGTTGGGGATGATGTGGGGGAGATCTTGGTTGCGGAGAGGCAGTAGGCGAAGGAGAGGTTGGAGGAGGAGTAGGCGACTTTCTCAATCCAGAGGTAGGAGCCTTTTGTCCAATTGGAACGTTTTTGGTGGAGATATTCCTGGCCTTTTGATATCCGCGAGAGGATTTCTGGTTGGTGGGATTGGATCCATGATAATTGGAGCAAGGCGCGTAAAGTTAGAATTGCGTAGGCTGTGACTTCATGTTCATGAGCCCAGGAGCCATCTTCTTCTTGCCTATCCAAAGTTCGAAGTAGGATGTCGAGGATGACGACCGGGATCTGTTGGTGAATGAGGAGAAAAGGTATCTTGCCGTCCTCGAGTTGGTCTGACCCCCAGCGAGATAGAAATAGGGCGAAAGATTTTGCCAACAGCATCATTGAGTAGTGCTCCGAAACATTCCATTTATCTTTGGTTTTGTTTGTGTACCAAGAATCAGCGAGAAATTGGGTGCATTTGACAATTTCGCGAGTATGCTCGAAAGAATCGGCACGCCGCAGGAGACAGAGACTGACGTTGCAGTTTGCGCTGAAGCTGTGGTTCCGTTCCCCGCTGTAAGTACGAAACCAAGTTGGGCCTTCAAACTCAGAGAGCATTTGGTCAACACTGGTGGGTCGTCCAAGGAGACCAAGCGCTGAGATTGTCATTGCGGTATCGTCAGCGTCAGGGAGGCAGTCTGGAGCAAATCCAACAAGAAAGTTTTCCTTCGTGAACGTGCTCTCAAGCTCATCCCCAAGTTTGGTTAGAGATTCTTCGCCTAGGTCCTCTCGAGTGTATCCAGATTCCAGGAGGGAAACGATAGTCTGAAGTCATTAGCATCAAGTCCTAAGCATCCGTAGAGAACTTTTCGCTTACCCAGGTAATCTCAAATATGCTTGTTGGAAATGCGCTCGGTACGCCTCTACTCACCCCTGCTACGGCACACTGCTCCACTACCTTTTGTAAATACTCTTCAGCTTGAGGATCCCACTCAGGTGCGTACATCAAATATGCAGCAGTCGAAGACGGGGAGCCCAACATAGCCCCATAGTTCGACTTCTGATGCTTGACGGTACTGTAGTCTAGAATGCCAGCAAAGCCTTCGAGAGAGTGGAGCAATGTTGATTGTGTGTTTCCGAGGAGCTTTGGTTTTAGCTTCGAGAGTTTGCACTCACACATAGATAATAATCGGTTCCGCTCCGGGAAGTCCATTTTCACTCCCTGGGACTCAAGGAGAAGAAGAAGGGCAGGAATAATGATTTCAAACCCCACCCGATCGCAAGACGAGATATCCCAAGCTTGCAACATATCTCGAAGTGCAGTCTCTGCCCGAGAAGATCGAGATATGAGGTTTGAGTCTGGGATGAGAAGTGATTTGGCTTTTGTTTGAAGCGCAAGAAGCCCGGCCATCGTGTTCATGATCCCGTCGAGCGGGCACGAATAGGACTCCCAGCTTCCATCATTCTGCTGCGTGTCTAGAAGATATTGGAAGCATTGAGGAAAGAGGGAGTCACCCTCTTTGGATACCATAGAGAGCCATGCTGTGTCGTAGATTGAGGGGGAGAACGAACTCAGTCCTAGGGGATCCTGAAGTCCAATTGCCAGGTGGTGAACGAGTTCTCGTGCTTCTCTTTCGATCGCGTTGGCCGTCATGATTGCAATGTAACAGATGTACTTGAGATCATCCTTCGAAGGAAGTTACCTTTGTAGACAGTAACTGAGGATGGCGGAACATTCGTCCGGCCGTCTTTCTCCATACCTGACTCCCTGGCCTTAGTATCATTTGTGGCGTTGCTACGGCTAGGTAACTTCGCCTCGTTAGTTTCAATTGTGATACACATCCTAAATGATAAGTCCCCGTAGCTCAAGCTGTTCTGCTCAGCCTCGAGTGCCCATTCTACGATATGGTCAGATTTTCTGATGTTGGATACCAATCAAGGCTGAGCATCCCCATTCCCGAATCTCCGCAGGTAGACTCTAGAGGGGTTCGGCGCTGAATCGGAAATCTCTTATGTCTCTCCGATTGTACAGGGTACGTAAGAGTTTCTGTAAGAAGCGCCAGGAAGCCTTCGTTTCAGTTTATAGTGAAAGAGGTGAGGGAGAATGCCGTTCACTCCTTCCCTGTCCGTAGTGATGTAGGTGTGGCCAAGGATCTTGCGAGCCTCCCCTCTTCTACAGCTGAAAGTAGCAAACTATGCGGCTGCGATGCCGGCGAAATGAAGTCTTCCCCCATTCTCATTGGCACTGTCTCGATCAGTGAATGCAAGGCCGCCGAGCCAGTGGCTGTGTGCCCTACGGGGTTAATGGTAGAGAAAACAACCTGAGCGCAAAGCATGAAGCAGACCTCCGAAAGATCCCAAAAGCGACCGTAAGCCTCAACGAAATCTTACTCTGGGCAGCCCGCTGATAAACTCCCCAGCCATCGATGATACCGTAACACTATCATGAAATACCGCATGCGGCTAGCGTACCTCAGAGTGGCCCACGCGGTCCTCCAAGTCGTACGCTGTCTACTGTGGGACGCCTTGAGCCGGGAAATGAATACGAATATGCGTTCTTCTGGCAGTAATGCTACGCGAATTTTCAAACGATATCTGCGAAGTCGTATTGGAAACCCGATGCAAGGCAAAGCGATGCGGGAAGGATTCGAGGGATTGCAGAGCCAGCCTTTGTGGGGTCTCGTATCGCCCACAGCAAGCAACTACCCTATCTCGACGCCGCAGCATTGACTTGTGGGGTTGATTGGCCCAATGGCCACGACAGAAGTAGGGATTTGCCCTGGAAGTGCAATACCCTGCTAGTTAAATTTTGCTCTTGTCGGTCTTATCCCTGCAAATAACCCATGACGATGCTCAACAAGAAGAAACCGACTTTGTCAGCGGCACATTGGCTCCACAGTCAGCGCTCCACCCTTGTTTCCGAGAAAGAGGCTGCAGCTGAAGCTGGATGGAAACAGGAAAGCCGTCCACATTTTGGATACCCTGCCAATCGGATCTTGTGACATGATCTCCGACACTAATTCCCTCCTCAGGTCAGCTTCAACTCCTCCGGCGGAAACAGTGAGTGGAGAATGCTAGTCGCTGACCTTGATATCAAGGATGTAGGGGTTGAGTCGGAGTCGGATCGCCGAATCGTAGATCATGATCCCACGTCTCCATCCACCCTCTTCAGGAGGCGCTGCAACGAACCTGGTCATTTCTATTCCTGAATCATCTTGCAACCGTTGGGCCGGACATATCAAATCCAAACCCAAAAAGACCCATTAGCGGCACTATCTCCTCGCATTCGGCTCGAGCAAAGAGCTGAATTGTTTGACTGAAGCTCCCTGTGGCAAGAACTAGCCTCTTCTCTCGATTTAGAACTGCTATAAGCGCCAAAATGATCGACAGAACAGAGCTCGGATACGCCGCACCCGAGGCCATTTCCTAAGGTTTCGCACTAGAAACGCCTCTGCCGTCCGTCTCCCGTGCGAAACACAAGAGGATGAACGTTGGGGCAGTGTCGATATTGTGGGGGAAATTAGTTTCGATGTCCCATGACCGAAACCACCTCGCTTTGGCGATCATGAGATTGCGAAGAGTGTTCGTTTCAACACACTATCCCCGAGGCCACTTCCGACGCACCTATACGAGCGCCTTCCGATGCTCCTATCCGACCGCCTCACGTGTTGAACAGGGGGTTGAATCATTGACACTGTGATGGTGTGGATAAGAATTAGGTTTTGAGACAGTGTGCTGTGGGCAACGTATCCTGAATGTATGCTACACGAAGGGGAGGCATCGCAATTGCAAGAGATATTCCGACTTTAACTCCGTCCAAAAAGAGCTGATAGCGTTTGTATTCCATTTCTTACACAAGTCAAAGCGATGGAGGAAGAGAAGTAGCGTATTCAATGTCATCGCAACCCTTCTTTGCCATCAAACCTCTTCTTTGCCACCAGTATTTTCCTCTACTTTCTCGGCTTCCGGTTTCTTAATCCAAATCCACTTACAACCTAGTACTAGAATGAAAGAAATCACAGGCGCAGCGGCAGGAATGTACTAAATACTCGTTAGCTATGTGTCTTATAGGGGTCTTAGAGTTAGGTGCGTACGAAGACTTGCGTAACAGCTTTGCTATACGCGTTCAGAACAACCGGAAGATCTTGGGCGCTGACTACCTCTCGAACTTGAGTCGCGCCAACTGAGATAACGTCTTTGACAACCTTTTCAGAGACGACTTGCGAGAGGTCATTCATAAGGCGTTCTTGAAAAACGGCTTGACCCACCGCAAGGAAGACGGCGCAGCTTGCTGATATCCCGAATAGTAACGTTGTGGCTCCGATGGGAACTAGGTCCTGGGGAAGAGAAGCTTGCGTGCCTAGATGTGCCTATGAGACCGCGTTAGATGAAGCTTAAAGTTCGGACAAGTTTCACTGACCATATTGATAATGAGGGAATATCCAATACCACCAAAGATCTGATATCCAATCCAATATCCCGAAGAGATGCCAGGATGCAACGTAGTGAGTAGTCCTCCTCCGAGACACACCATAGATTCACCAAAGATCAAAAATGGATTCCAAATCCCCAGCTGTTGCGCCATCCCAGCTCCAATTACTGAAGTCAAGACATCTGAAAGAACAGTTGGGAGATATCGAACACCGCTGGTCGTAGGAGATACGCTTTGAACAGCTTGGAACCAAATGGGAAGCCAGTAGATAACGGTCTGAAAGGGCCCATTAGAGAAGAGCGAAGACGAGAAAATGAGCGCTGCGTTCCGGTTTGCAAAAAGTCGCGGTGGAATCAGTGCGTCGTCTTCCATGTACAAAACCCAGGCAACAAAGAGAGAAATGACAACCCCGGAGCCAACGAAGAGGCCAATAATCTGAGATGATTTCCAAGGATAGGTGGATCCTGGACCCCCAAGTTGAAGGGCGAGAAGAAGCATCGTCACAGCTCCAGCGAATAATGTGAATCCAATGCCATCCATTTTTCTAAGTTTCTGAAATATTGAGCTGCTCTCCGAGATGGTATGTTTAATCCTGCAGAAGAGGAAAACCACAAGTGCAGAGAAGCCGCCAATTGGAAGGTTGATATAAAAGCACCACCTCCAAGTGACATGCTGGGTGAGTGCACCACCAAGGACAGGTCCCACGATACTCGCAATGATGAAAGTTGAGTTCATCGTTCCAGTCCAGATTGCTCGTTTGTGTAGCGGTATAACCGTGGTTAGGATAACGAGGCCTCCTGCAAAAATTCCAGAAGCTCCAAGGCCAGCGATTGCTCTCCCCACAATGAGCGCACCGGAGGATGGCGCGAGGGCGCAGACTAGACTTCCGACCTCGAATAGGGCGACGTAAAGCAGATATATAAAGGTCTGTGGAAATAGTGTGAAGGCTTTACCCGCAAGAGGCTGGCTCGCACAGCTGGAGTAAAGCATTAATACTGATCCTTCTTGTATATGAACATGTCTGAGAGTAAGCCTTACAGTGCGATGTAAAATGCAGATCCATACCATCCAACATCTCCAATTGAGTTAAATTCACTCGTAATAGTCGGAACGGCAGTAGCAATTAAGTTGAAGTCCTAAATGTTGTAAGCTGCTTCTGCTTTCAACAGCTGAAAGGGACATATCCTACCAATCCAACTAGGAAAGTGCAAAGACAGAGACCAGTGTGAAGAAGCAAAAGCTTGGTTCCCATTATTTCGTTCTCGGGGTTAATAGTTTCTCCCTTCTTGACATCTTGAGTCGCATTCTCTTGCGCATTCTTCTCGTGTTGCGGCAAAGGTTGCAAGTCGCTGCTAGAACCCTTCTCCGACATGAACGAATTTTGAACGCTCATTTCGACTTTGTGAGTGTGAGGATTGAAAAGATCGACCGAGTGCAAGTTTTTGAATTCGCGTGCGCACACGATTGATTGTCTCCTATTGGAATCGCATTTGTTAAGGGGCGTAGTGTGAAATGCGTCTACCTCGCTCCTTGCGGCGAGGCAGATCACACTCACAATCTAAGATAGATTTGTGATCCCTAGGATTCCCATTGCCGCTGACTCTTGTCGTATCAACCGGCATTTGAAGGGTAGTGCGCAAAACTGTGTGGCTGGTTCCGCCATCGCGGACCATCCTTAGCTAGCATGCATGGCTACTGCATGGTCTTACAGGGTGTAGACGTTTCCACAAACATGGGATCGCTACCGCTTATGCCGTCCAGTGCAGCTCAACTGCATTTTCCGGCGTAGTCAGCTCGAAGGACATTCATCCTAGTGTGTGGGCAGCCTTTTAGGGAAAAAAAGCAATCGGAGTCCACTGCAACGCCGGAGATCCCCTGGCCTGCTTGGATGCTGGGCGGTTCGGGTATCAAAGGTCTGTTCTTATTTGAAATGGCGAACGTTGTTCGACATGTCTGAGATCAAACCCGATTCGGATACTTGAGGCAAGCCTCCTCTCGTCATCTTCAGCACGACACCGGGTTATCGCACACCATCATGGCGGACGCAGTCGTTGTTCAGCGTGTACCTTCTCTTGTGACCACGAGTGTTGTCGTGGTTTCTGCCGTTTTCCCGTTGCTCTCTCTCATCACGATCTTGTTCCGGTACAAGGCTCGAAGAGTCGCTCGTCTCCAACTACAATCTGATGATTGGTGGATTGTCATATCATGGGCAAGCATTCCTGTTACTGCAAAAATGATGTTGTGGCTAACGACCAGAAGTTTCTTACAATACCCCTCAGTATTAACGTCTGGACGTTCGGGTCTATAATGGGAATCGACTACTACAAAATCGATCCAATGAAAGGGACCCAGAAATCATTGATGGTACAAGAAAAGAAACCTGGGCAACCGAATTTGAGTGACTGACCAAGCCAGTGCATCTTGATCTCTAGTACAATTCTCCAGCCCGCGTTAGCCTCCGTGAAGATCTCAGTCCTCTTGTTCTACAAGAGAATCTTCTCCAAAGGCTCCACAACGTTTGGAATTGTAGCTTGGGTTGGGATCGTTGTCGTGGGTTGTTGGGGCATTATCTTCTTTTTCGTTAGTAGAGCCTTCCACCTAGAGTTTCATGAGCTTACAAGAAGGAGATGATTCTACTTTGCGGCAACCCAGTGTCAACAGCATGGACCGGGGTAGGAACTTTCCGCTACGACGCCGTTCAGCTCGGATACGCCCAAAGCGGGACTAGCATTGCTCTTGACTTCGTGGTCCTCGCATATCCTCTTCCAGTCATTTTTGGGCTCCATATGGATGCAAAACGAAAGATCGCGGTAATGTTCATCTTCTGGCTTGGTGCTTTGTAAGTTGATTTCTAGAAGTCCTTGATGAATTATTTACTGAATGACATGAAGCTGCGCTGTAGCGGCAATCACTCGCTTGGTCTTACTTAGGGAGTCCTTAGAGTTAGTCGCGCAATCGAAGGGCTTCGAAGCCGTCTGTAAGTCGTCCGTTGCTTTGAGATGCAAGACTAACCACACCAGACAACCAAGCCAAACAATTCTGCTTCATGATCCTCGAACCCAACTGTTCCATCATTGCGGCCTGTCTCCCTTGCTATGGGCCTCTCTTCGCCCACGGTCGAGGCATGGAGTCCATACTTCGCAGCGTGCGTTCCGTATTCTCTCTCCGTAGCCGCTCCTCTCCACATGGTTCCGACAACTCACGAAACTGGACCCCGGGACAGCCAAAGGTCTCTGATGTAGACGGAAGTGAGTCGCAAGCTGAGCTTACCAACACTCCGGAGATCAATCTAACCCATGTTTCGAAGGCATAGCGCTTATTAGTTCCGAGGGTATCTCGCAGCATACTAATGAGGAGCACGGGGGACGTGATTTGCAGGAGATTCGCGTTACGAAGGGATATCAAGTCAGAACGGAGTCAAAAAGAGTGAATTGAACTTGTAGATGTATTGTAGAGTGGAGATTCGGTCTGAGAAATGAGAAATGAGAAATGAGTGTGGTTGGTGGTTGAACGGGTTCATGAATCATGAGTTAGTCTAACATGATTTCATCTAGCTCGTGACTTAGCATACTCGTAAAATGCACACTCTTCTAATGAGACCCTTTTTTTTTTTTTTGAAACAATCTCATCGCCCTCAAGTGATGCTTCAGCAAGCCATAAGGTTTTCCGTATCCATTCAACAGAACTCCTGGCCGTACCCCGGTGTCGCCGAGGCAGCCTCTGGCTGTCAAGAGAACATCCCTGCAAAGTAAGACATAAGTACCTTAACCGGCTTGTACTTGTACCATTCACTCCCTTTGATCCCAGCTCAGAGTTTAAATCTCAACTTACTTTTCTTGACCTTTCATAACTGCAAACTCGAGTCCTTAAGCAATGGCTGCAGAGTATAGCAAAGGGCAAAATTTCATCTCCGCGACCAAACTGAACTACTTTCATTACTTCCTCAAACAACTCACAGGGTACACGCTCCACCCTACCATCCAACCCTCAGCCTCTGACACGCCTTTCCGCATCGCCGACCTTGGAACCCAGACAGCCACATGGCCTATCTCATTGGCAGAAGACCCCACAATTTCTGTAGAAATTGATGCCTTCGATATCTCCAATGCTTTCTTCCCACCCTCAGTGTGGGTGCCAGGCAATGTTAAGCTTCATTTGCACGACATCTACAACCCCTTCCCAGAGGAATTCCTTGGAAATTTTGATGTTGTGCATTTGCGACTATTCCTAACGCTTTCGATGGAGAAAGTAAATACGATCCTGAGGAATGCGATGGCGCTGTTGAGTAAGTTCTTTTCTGCGCAGTTAGTTGGAACTAAATAGCGAAGGCTGAGATTGTCAGAACCCGGTGGATTCATCCAATGGACAGAACACGACAAAACAAACATCCAACCGACTGCCGCTTCCGAAGGTCTCTCCACAGAAGCTTCGCAAGCCTTCATCAGCCTTCAAAAAGAGCCGTTCCCAGGGTATGACCCTCTGTGAGTTCTCCATTCCCTCCGTTTCCCTTAGCTCCTTTCCAAGAATAATGGGATTGATGGTCCATAGTTGGGTGAACAACATCGCCTCCGCAATGACAGAATGTGGTCTCAAAGTTGTTGCAGAAGATCGGATCCGCGTCCGACCAAGCATGCTACCTCAGATGAACGAACTCCACCTTATATCGCTCATGGATGTGCGCCCTGGAATCAGTGCTGCAATCGACCACTTTCGCTCAAATTATCTCGTGCAATTACAAGATGAGTATAGCAAAGGCGTTTCAACCATCGATGGCTTCATTACAGTAGTGGGGAAAAAGTCCTCAAAATAATAAAAATCCAAAAAGTTCCAAACTCCATTCTCCTCCACCTAATCCAATCCCCTACTCTAGCCCAGCCCAAAACGTGACTCAAAACGGACACACCCCCTTCTCCTCTTTCCTCCTCACCAAAATCCGATCCCAAGGCCACGGAAACAAAAACTCATGCACAATCAAATTCTTCGGTCTCTCTGTCCCCTCCAAAAACTTAAACTCATACTCCGTAAGCAGCTTCACAAACACCATTTTAATAATCAAGCTAGCGAAATACCGTCCTGGACATGCTGCTTTCCCATATCCGAAATTCAGCACCGTTTTCCCGAACGAGGAGAATTGGTACTCGTTTGCTTCCTTCTGATGCTGGCTATCCTGCAGTGCCTGGCGGACTCGATAGCTTCGGAATCCGTCGAAGGTAGTAGGATTAGGAGTGTGTGCTGGGTCGTTTTCAATGGTGTATGTGGGCATGCAGACATATGTGCCTTTGGGGATGTGGAGCCCGTTTGCAAAGGTGAAGTCTTGTTTGAAAAGGCGTTTCATGCCGAGGATCGTTGGTGGAGATATCCGTTGTGATTCTCGGAGCACACTGTCGAGTTTCTGGAGTTGGGAGTAGGATGAATGATCCCAGTCCCTCCTCCTCGCCCTCACATCTTCAATCTCATCCTGGAGTTCGCGGAAGTATTCAGGGTGTTGGGCTAGGTCGTACAGTACGTTGACCATGCGAAGAAGCGTCGTGTGCACCGATGCTAGTGCAAGAAGGACTTCGACGTGCGCGAGGGCATTGGCATCGCGGTCCGTGCCTTTAGCTAGGTCGGCGAGCCATGCGAGGACGTTATATTCGTCAGGAGATTCGCTGGGACTCCATGTGCCTTCATCGCTTTTGCGGAGGAGGGAGGAGATTTTGGGGCCGAGAAGGGCTTTGGCGGATGAGACGTAATTCCGGCCGGCCCAGTATGAAGGGAGGAGTTTGCTGAGGAAGGCGTGAGTCCATGATGGGAATAAACGCAGGATGACAATGGTTTTGAATACTATACTGGTGTTAGATGAAATTTTAAGATGTATTAAGGAAGACATACAACTCTCGGTGTAGTTCACTGAAATATCCAGCCAAACTGGATTCCTACAAAGTCCAGGACCGACCAGCGCTCTGGCCGTAAGTCTCGCGGCGACTTGACCCAGCAGCCTGAAAGGCTGTATTTCTGTCCACTCTTCACAAGTCGGAAAATATTCGTCGATTGCAGATGTAAGCTCACTCTCTAGATACGGCGTGAGTGCTGGAAGTCGTGGTGTGAGTTTACGCTGGACGATAGAGTGATGTAGTCTGCTCTCAAGAATAAGGTTCAAGCCAGTGTATGGACCCAAAAGATCATGCTCGAGGGCGCCATGGGGACTCGCAATATTTGGTGGGATGGTGGATAGCTCTTCGACGATTTCGAGTGGTAGTACAACGACATTGCCGTCTCCACGAATGAGTTGAAAGGTACGTGTTTTGAACTTTCCTGAGTGAGTTTTTGAGTATGCGAGGCAGGATAGGAATTACCTTGCGATACCCGCTTTCAATGACTCTTACTGCACCACTTGCAAATATTAAATTCAGAAGAAATCGTGGCGCAAGAGAAGAGGGACTGCCAACGAGAGGATGCGCGGAATGTTTGCGCGCAATTCTCTTCGTTAAGAACAAGTCGTATGCATAGTAAAGGAAAAGTATCGTGGGATATATCCAATAGAGAAAATTCGAATACCCGATCTCAGATTTAACGATGCTAATCGGGATCGATTTCATTCCGACCGTAACGTTGGTATCCATCTTGCTGTGCGAGAAGCAACTTTTCGTGAGAAAAGTCTTCGTCTTTGTCTTCAGAAGAACAGTTATCTTCAAAGCAAAGTATCGTCTCGAAATGCTTCACGGGCTGTGCTAATGCCTTACCAAATCAGAGCATTTCACAACGCCCCCCAAAATGATTTTCGTTGTCCCCTGCACTCGTCCACCCCTACAGCATGTCAATTCTCCCCGATTGGTTTCCGTGCAACAAGGGCAAAATCAGCAAGGAGTGGCCTGCGACATAGGTAAATGCATAAGAATCACGGTGAGATCTGAAAGACCGGGAGTGGAGTCTTCGTATACCCCTCAGCCCTGACATTATCGCGATGCGGTGGTGGGGGTGCATTGATTACCCGACATGAGCATGTCCAGCTTGTCAGGCTGAGCCGAGCCTCTTGTAATTTCGTCGTTGCTTTGATCGCCTGCTGCTTCTGATGCGACGTACAGCTGCCACTCTGCTTGTCGTGCGAGAGATAATGCAATATTCCTGCGTAGCGGCGGGAACTCGAGACGACAGAGGCCGTTCAAGGAGCATTCGTCTACATCGGTTACTTGATGCTTTGAATTCAGCTTGAGTCGCTGTAAGTGAAAGACTATGTATCATGAGTGTACAAAAGTGTTACTAGCGAAGCTGGACGTCGATCCATGGGTACGCGAACTCGCTAATGGATACTAAACTTGCCAGACACGTGACCTCCCAAAAGGATCCACAAAAACTGCAGTTCCTCCACGCCTTCCTGCACGGCTGATCACAAAGGCCCCTCCCTTTACCTTCGGAGTCCGAGGAGCTACCTTTGATATGGGCCGGAGGATCCCAGCTTGAATCTGCCTTGTCAGCCCTGTAAGTTGATCTCTCTAAGAGCCAGTATGGCATCCGTGCTATTTCGAGTCTCCATCTTGCGCACAAGCGAAGGAGATACGCAAGCTCTCGAATCTGCTATGGGGCAGCATCCTAGGAGCCGGGTGGCTATGCTTCCGCTGGACGAAAGTGAGACAGAAGGGTGAGATAGTTTCGTCCTGTTACCATGAATGGAGGACTCAAGTGGCTAGAATGGCCCGAAGCTCACTTCAAGTCCCATCGATGCCTCTATAGAGCCCAGATCAAGTTCCTCGTTCCAGAAACCACTCATTCAATATGGAGATGTCAATTGCATTGCAAGGAACAATGTCCTCTCTCAGGTTCGACGTGCTGGGCACCAACACTACCAACACTTCGGGTTCGGAGTGTTGGGTGAGACCAGAGTACGCTGTTGTGCATCTTGTGGAACCCAAGAAGCTTTTCCTTCTGTTCCTGGTACTTGGTGTGTTGATCTACACCCTTTATCGTTCCTCCAAATACGACGATGACTTTCCCATTGTCAATCGAAAGTTTGCGCTCGAGCCTTCACTATTTTCGCGGTTACGCTGGACGGTGAAATCGCAAAAGTTACTTGACGATGCGTACGAGAAGGTAGGGTATTCCAATATTGGTGCGAACACAAAACTGACGAATAGTAGTATGATGGTCAAGTCTACCGCATCGCTCGAGGAGATACTGATGTGGTTGTCGTTCCAGCCGAATGTATTACGGAGCTGAACAGACTACCTCAAAACGTCTGCAACTCTAGGATATGCCATGCGTACTCGATGACAGGCCATTTGAACGGAATGGATGTTGTTCTAAAAACCAATCTTCATGTACGCACTTTGCTGAATCGGATAACGCCTGCTCTTCCAGAAATTGTTAAGCCGGCTCGAATTCGGATCGCAGAGACGATGAACAAGGTGTTCTCGCAAGACACTCGGAACTGGAAGGTGGTGAAGCCGGTCGAGGAAGTCGTTTACTGCGTCAGTCGAGTCATAACTTTGGCATCTGTTGGAGCCCCTGTATGCGATGATCCAGAGTTCATTCGTCTGTCCTTCAGGCATACAACGAACGGTAAGTGGCCAAAGACGATGATGTTTTGAGATAATGCTTATTACGAGCAGTCTTCACTGTTATGTTTCTAATGCGGATGGTTCCTTCTATCCTACAACCTTTCGTTGTATGGCTGCTTCCCGCTAGATGGAGGTTGCGGCAGAGTTCAAAGGAGCTCGAAAGTTTCGTCATTCCAGAAGCGATCCGGCGGAAGTCAGAAAAGCAAGAACCTCCAAAACAAGACTTGCTCTCCTGGATGATGCATGAGGCGAAGAATGAAAGAGAAAGGGATCCCTACATGCTCACCAACCTTCTCGCTGCACTCGCTGCAGGTGGCACATACAGCTCCGCCAACTTCATTGTTGGTGTGGTGTTTGACCTTGTTGGCCACCCGCATTTCTTGGAGGAAATCCGGAGAGAAATCCGCGATAAGCACCAAGAATCCAACGGAAATTGGGATTTCGCTACTTTCAACAGCTTGCACAAGCTCGACTCCGCAATGAAAGAAACCGCCAGACTCGCACCAGGCAGTAATACTACATACAGCCGGGTTATGTGTAAAGATTATACTCTGTACAACGGGGTAACCCTGAAGAAGGGTCAATTCATTTGTGTGAACAGTTTCCGCAGATCTATGGATCCATCAGTATTCCCAGATCCAGAGAAGTATGACGCTTTGCGAGCATACAACGAGAACTTGAAGAGCCATATTGCCCAGCCCTTCAGAAGCTTTTATGGTGAAGACTTTAGATGGGGTGCTGGAAGGTGGGCATGCCCAGGAAGGTTTCTTGCGAGTCTTCTCGCAAAAGTTGTTCTTGTCAAGCTTCTGGACGAGTACGATTTTGCCTTTGTAGGAAGCGATAAAAGGCCGCCGAAATCGGTTGTACATGAGTTTCTATATATCGATCCAGGGGTGGAGTTGAAGATCCGACGCAGAGAGACTAATTCTGGCATCGAATATTAAGCTGTTTGATGGAAGGAACATTTGATAGTGAAGTACCAGTTTGAAGAATTCTACTGTATATTTTCAAACATGTTTTAATAGCATGAGATTCGGAAGGGACAGAGCCTGATGGAATTCGTGCATTCGCCCTCCAAGATCGTTTCCAACGCATTTGAGTCTGTGTATCTAGAAAGCCAATTTCATTGGGAGATAAAATTGTCTCAACATCGAGATCTAAGATGTCCTTGGAGCTACAGCTGAGGAAAGAACTTACAAGGTTGAAGGTAGTATTGCTTGGCTGTAATAAAGATGCAAGGCAATCGGGGGATTCCAAAATCCTAGTGCTGCGAAGGGTCCGGTGTTTAACAGGGTCCGCTGCATGGTTCCATAATTTGCGTTGTTTTCTTAAGATGCTCGGGATATTATCCAGCCGCAGCGCAGACCCCACCCAAGGCCAACAGATGCATGTGCAAGTAAGGCTTACCACCAAGGGTTAAACGAAACAAGGTCTGGGTGGCTGTACCGTAGGGCAGGGCGTCTAAGCTCCTGAAGCGTCTTTAAGGGCTCCAGACATTCCTCTACTGCTTCCGTCCTTGCCGTCAAGACCAGTCTTGCACATCTTCTCTTCCCTGCCTAGTTCATACTTTGCATTATCTCCACAACTGCTCTGCTTAGACCTAGAGGCACCATGGCGAAGCCAATAAAAGTATGGATGGCACGTAGGTGATGAATAGCCTTGTATCGAAGAGATACTGACACTGTGACAGCTCCAGGACCAAATCCGTGGAAGGTTGTGCTCATTCTCGAAGAGCTAGACATCCCCTACGAGATCGTGTCGTTCAAATTTGATGACGTCAAGAAGAAGCCATTCATCGACCTGAATCCCAATGGTCGAGTTCCAGGTAAGAATTTAGTAACACACGTAGCATGTGCTAAAGCTAACATAGAAAGCGATCGAGGACCCTAACACCGGCCTCACGCTGTGGGAATCCGGCGCCATCATCCAGTACTTGATTGAGCAGTACGACACCGAAAAGAAGTTAACTTATGGCGATGTGATCAAGAAAAACCAACTGAACCAATGGCTTATGTTCCAGATGAGCGGGCAAGGCCCTTATTTCGGCCAGGCTGGCTGGTGAATACACTTGATACGAAAGTGGGGAATATGAGATAACCGCATATCGCAGGTTCAATGTGCTCCACTCTGAGAAAATTCCATCGGCCATCGAACGCTACAATACCGAAGTCAAGCGCATATTGAGCGTGCTTGAAGGCCAACTGGAAGGGAAGCAGTGGCTCGTTGGTGACAAAATTACCTTCGCGGATCTCTCATTCGTGACGTGGAACGACAGAATCGATGCGACGCTTATGTGTGCTCCAGAGAAGAAGTTCGATGGAATCCCGAATGTCAAAGCCTGGCATGAGCGTATGACTTCGAGGCCATCCTGGAAGAAGGCTATGGAGACGAGGGCTAAGCTGATGGACGAACAAGGGCTGCAGTGGAATGGCATGCCGAAGGGCATCAACAATATGGAAGAGTACGAGGCGAAGATCAAAGCTGATGCAGAAGCCAGAGCAAATGGAGAGGCTGTTGGATAGTTGCTATCTTCACAGCAGGGGTTGACTAGCGTGAACAATGATATGGAGTGTATAGAGAAATAATGAAAGGGTGAACACGAGCCATGGACACGTGCGCCACATCGCTGCGCCACATATTCCCTACCCCACTATCCCGCCTTCATTGAATCCCAGGTTCCCACTTCAGCACCCCCCCCTCCTCAAGCTTCACTTTCAGGGCCTTCCCTATCCCCAACATTCAGCCCAAATTATGGCTCCTCCAACTTCTCTGGTTGTAAGTCTCACCACCCTAACTCAACGCCAGCAGCTCACAGCTCTCAGAACAGGCTCAAGGTGCAGCTCAAGCTCTCCATCTCGCGGCTGCGCATGGTGCAGCAAAAGGACTCGGCGAAAGCAAAGCAGCAGCGGCGAGAGATGGCCCAGCTGCTCGAAGCAGGCAAACTGCAGTCCGCCAAAATCCGCGTCGAAAACATCATCCGTAGCGACATCAACACCGAGCTCCACGAAATGCTAGAGCTGTACTGCGAACTCCTGCTCGCGCGCTCTCAACTCCTCGACCCCCCTTCCTCTCCCTACGGTGGGGCCCAACCCCACAACGCGATCCCGCTAGATCCAGCGCTCGAGGAAGCAGTCCGCTCTATCATATACGCTGCGCCGAGAACAGAAGTCAAGGAACTGCATACCACTCGCGCGCTGCTGGTCGAGAAGTTTGGCAAGGATGTGGCGCTGGAGGCGATGGAGGGGGACGGCGTTGCGGAACGCGTGTTGAATAAGCTGAAAGTTGAGACGCCAAAGCCGGAGCTTGTCGACGCCTACTTGACGGAGATCGCGCGCTTCTATGGGGTCCCCTATGGCGAATCACACACCAATGACGATGATGACGATGAGGGTGGAGGAGGCATCGGAGAACTAGCTGAAGAGCCTGAAGCGCAGAAACAACTAGAGCCGGCATTGGAAGCAGAGCCTGGGGCAAAGGATCCGAAGGACCAGAGAGAAGAAGACGAAGTCGAGGAGTTAAGCAAGGCGACCCCGCCACGGAAGTTTGGACCCCAAAGCCCATTGCGCATTACGCCTCCAAGCCCGAGTACGGATAATGTGGCACCGAAGTTGAGATTACCAGGCAATACAGCCACGAAGGCGAAAGTCCCTGCAGCCGCCCCGAAAGCAGCGGCAAAGAAAGATGAGGGACCAGGAGGAAAGATACCTGATGTTGATGAGCTTGCGAGGAGGTTTGCGCAGTTAAAGAGGTGATAGCAGATGCTACGTGTATGTGTGCGTTGGTTTCATGAGCATCATATTGTGAGGAGTACCTAGGCGTTGATTACTCATTCTCTTCTTATCATTGAGCCATAAGATTTAAACTTTCTATGGCGTGAAGATTTCTTCGGGGTTATAGCACTTCCATGTTGGCAAAGTGGAACGAAGCATTCTTTCCTAAATCTAAACAATGTACAACCCAAACTCACCCCCAAAATTCTGCTTTTCTCACCCCTTCCTCCCCCTTCTCACACTATCTCTCCGCCTCAACCTCAACTCCCACAACCTCCCCCATCGCATTATTCTCCCACCCTCGACATCATCTCCCAGGCCCTCTCAAATCTCAGCTTTGCACCGAATCTCTACAGCCCATCCTATTCTCGTCTTATCCCAGGATGACAGCATATACTAGGCGTAAAACGTGAAAACAACGGAGAGGAGAGTCTTTAGCAACGTGAGGTAGTTGAACAGATCAGCGGTTCTCCCTTGTGGAGAGGAGATAGCGATATTGGTCGAATTGGGCTTGAAAGGGTGGTTGGAGAGTTGGTGGTGTTTCGGCGGTGCCAGGTGCGAGAGGCAGTAGAGACGGGATAAATGGGCGGAAAGGGGAAGGGGTGTTAGAAACGGGCGTTAGGGGGTTTCTGGGGAGTTGATGAGGAGGGTATTTGAGTTCGTAGCATGTTAGATAGAGTGGTTCTGGATGGTTGATTGTGATTGTGGAGGGGGAAGGGAAAGGGTGTTGCCTGTGCGGGTAGTATTTCCAGTTTTTGTTACGTTCGAGTTGTGATTTGGGACTAACCAGTATTTATTCTCTTCCTTGATAAAGGTTGTTTACTGGCCGGAGTGTGGGCATGCATTTGCTTGCGGTAGTCCGCAGTGTAGAACGCTTGCTTAGGCTCTGATGAACACTTGGGCCCGGCTACTGGAGGTATAGAACCCCCTAGGTCTGCAGTGCTCTGCTTCTATTTCCTTTTTTACACTTATTAACTTTGAAAATTATCTACCACATAATTAAGTCAAGAGAGAATGGATTAATGTTCTTGGACCCTCCACTTTCGAACCTAACCACGAATTATGACCACTCTCCACAACCCACGACTTCATCATACAATGCTAGAGAGCTGAAAGGTTTAAAGGAACGATACTTTATCCTAAGAAAATAAAAGGGAACGCTAACAAGCTGATGCGGCGACTTCTCCTGCTCTATCCGGTATCAAATCCTCGTCGGATCCCTCGATCTCCTGGCTCCTTTTCTTCCCGAAATTAGAGTCTAGGAGGACTAAAATGGTTGGATTTCCAGTATATAGCTTTTCTAGCTTTTCTAAAACCTCAAAAGCAAACTATTGTCTCGGGGTGCCTGTATACTATTCGACTTTTGTTTTCGAAAGCTTGTACACAGGCGAGAATTGGGTGGTTTCTAGACACAGAACTTTATCCACATCGTTCGGTAGGGAACAGAATTTCATTCGGGATGTGGAGACTTGATATGTTAAGGGGGAAAAAAAAGGGGGGGGGGTTCGAGAAGGGAGCAGCAAGCCCGCATATTTGAAGAATCGTACTGATATTTGACATCTTCCAAAGAGATGAAGCTAGGGTATACTCTTCTGAAAATAATAGGTGGCCCTCAAGGCACGATTTTCCGTTCAACGTTTCAAATCTTTCTGGGTTATCGGTGCCCGGGTTTTTGTATGCAGGGTAACGTAGATCACAGGGCTGGCTTCAGGTGACTTGCACCGAGAGAACAGGTATATGTGAGCTCAAGAGGGTATATGTGCCCTTTCCTGCTCCTGGGGATTCTTGACTTGTGAAACAAGCAATTTCGGAACCTGAGAAGCACGGCCGCATATGTCGGGGCCTGGAGCCTTAAAACCAGATATTCTCGTTAGACTCGCACTTAACGAGGGAATGGAGAACGGATGTTAGCGCTTAGCACTAGATGGTGACCAGCGTTTTGAAGATGATACTCACTACTAGAGTGAATATGCTCCTACGGAAGCCCACGCTTTTGAAAGAATGTGGCTTGATTTCCCGGATCTCTACCCTATGCGTTTGCGAGAATCGGGATTTCTTGATGTCGTACAGCAATGACGAAATCTCTCGGATAGGTGCCTCGAGGAGAAGGAGAAGAGATCTCGAGGACCCAAATAGCCTTTGTTTCCCAAAAAGGGGAGAGAAAAGAGCCACCAAACTTCCGACACCATGATATTCTTTTGACAATGGATAGGGAGGCGAAGAAGTGAAGAGCAAGATAAGGATACGCGAAAGGTTTACAATATACGTTCTAGAAGAGGCCCGGCAAGGAGGAGCGGTGATACGAAAGCCCAAGGACTTGAAAAATTATGACGAGCAGAATGGAGTGATGATGAACTTGCCTGCGATGGGTCGTCAATATGTTGCTATTCCACAGCACTAATATCCTCCCAGAAATGCGTGGAGTAGAGTATGTGCGGATTTTGATCTTCACCTATCAAATCCCGTCATACAATTGTTAATTCTGCGGTTTTGCCCTCCCCGATAAGTATCTCAGCCGTTCTCATGAAGAAAAGCAGTAAAAACTCATACCCAGTCCGAGAGCTGGGAAATTGCACAGTGACGCATCATCGATGAAGTCCATTTTCGGACACGTAGTGTCAACCTAGTTCGTTTTCTGTGAGGAATGCCCTAGCCGCCCTCATGAGAAGCAGGGGAGTTGAACTTTGTCCGATTGCTTGGGGAAGGCATAGCTAAGACACGGCAGTTCTCGAAATCATTTCAATCGTCCATAGGGGGAGAAAAATAGTCTATGATATGCCGACGAAAGACTTTTAGTCATTCACGGAAGCGAGAGAGCTGGTCTATGGGCAGTCAGTCATTCCATTTTGATCATCCGCGCAGCTGAGAGTGTCGCGTATGCATTTTATTCGCCTATATATATTCTTCTGCTGTGCCTGGTAGGAGGTTGGCGTTTTGCCACTTGCAGCAAACAGGACCAATCCATGTAGGAAGGGAGAATTAAAGGAACGAGTGAGGAATGCCTGCCTAGCGGTGGGCGCATTTCTGATGCTGTGGGTTCTCAGAGGGTGCCACAAGACAGGGAAGATTTGAAGCACACCTTTCAATCTTCAGGCAAGGAGAGAGATGCGATTCGTAAATTTTCTTGATGTTCTGTTCTAGAAATGAGCTAGACGGCTGCTGTGTAAAGAGCAACAAAAAGAGAAGGGGTATATGCATACAGGGAGGGCTTCATGGGAATTGGGGCGAGGAGTGCTATGTGACAGTCAGTGTAGGGCGTGGACGAATCTGAATATGGGAGATATGGAAGTACCTGTGAAAAAAAGGAGAAGGAGGAGCAGAATTGAACTTAGAATAAGGGTTGAAGAATATTGAGCTGTGGGGTGGTCCTCTTTGTACCACGACTGGCGACTTCCTCAGTGAGTAGGAATGCTCACACAGTAGTTGCAAGACTAGGGCCGCCAGTGAGTGTATTGAACCATTACTATTATTGCAATTTCCGCACCCACTACTTTAGATATCGTCCGTAGGCATCTACTAACTACCCTTGGAACCCATAAATATCACCACATGTGGATCGATCATGGCCTTCGAATGATGTCACAACTTCAATGGATTCCTACAATAGCATATTAGAAAACATTCTCGAGCTCTTAATGACATTCTATCTCCTATATCTCAGAATCTGTATTATCTCCGGGCTGATCAAATTCAACATTCCGCCCCTTCCACTCCCTCCATCATCGGCATCAACTTTGAAATCGACATCGATGCCTATATTTTAGGACAGAGAAATGAAAGACTCTGAAGCACCATCATTCCCGCACTCCCATGCTTTCCAGTCCACTGCCTCCCATGCAGTGAGAAGGATGAGATGATTCAGACTTACGCACTACCTTTCACGTACTCGTCAAACCAATGCACAGCTTGGAGGAATGCTTGTTCTTTGGCGAATTTGATGCGACGATTACTGAGGTCAGCCTTGACAGCGAAGCCGTGGACGACATCAGAGAAGAGGTTGATTTGATATGGAATCTTCATGTTGAGCAGGATGTCTTCGGTTTCGCGGCGTTTGGCGGCTGGGAAAACCTGGTCGGTTTCTACAGACTTTCGTTAGCATGAGTACGACACCCAACCGTCATCTAGAATGGAGCCATTAAGAGGGCGAAGGCGAGAGCGAGTGAAGGAAAGGGGGCCACTGAATCGGGCACTTTACCAGCAGCAGCAATACTCAACGGCCCCTCACACCCTTCTAACTCCTCCTTATCCACGAAACTTGGATGCGCCGTATACCCTGCGTCCAACTTCCCTTCTTTCAAAAACCTGCACACATACTTGCCCCCAAAGCAATACCCCACGCCTCCGATCTTCTTGCACCCCAACGACCCCCGCATCTCCTTCAACGTCGCCTCGAGAATCGGGTCGACGGTTGGAGCGAGATGGCTCTTTAGCCACTCAAAGATTTGGAAGCCTTCTGGGGGATTGAGCTTGACCGTGTCACCGTTGAAGAGATCAGGCATGACGACGAAATAGCCGTTGGCGGCGAATTGGTCGGCGATGCTGAGGAGTAGAGTATTGTTAGCTTGATCTAAAGGTTGAGAGGAATGAATGGGGTATATACAGTTGTACGTTGATGAAATCCATGCCAATCACGTCCGTCATGAGGAGGATCGCATTGTGTGTGCTTTTGTCTTTGGGGTAGGAGAAGTATACGCGGACTATGGCACACAGTATATATGAGTAAGTTCTTGCTAATACTGCATCTTATCACGTAAAGTAGAACAAGACAAGGAGGGGCGGGGGAAGGAAGGAATTTAGGGCAGGAATTGGCATCTTGTCGATGTTCCCTGCAACTCCAGCCAGAGGAGGCATAACAGATACGCTCTGCCCCGGACATGTTCTACTTTATGTGATAACATACTGTAGTGAGAATGCCGAGAGAAAACGAACAGTCATTGATTTTCTTAACTTCTCCTACTGCAGACCCTTCGTGCTTTACACCAATCGTGCAACATGCGCCTGGGGGGTGCGATGCCATTGTGTTGTAATCTCTAGCTCAAGCTCAACTAAAAAGTGGTGGGGTTAGGATTCACGAGTATTGGGATTGATGGCAAGAAAAGATGTTCAGAATGTGGGTAGTTCTTCCACAATGATAGGAATAACTGTGTCTTAAATATTTCCTGAGAAGACACGCAATGCCGAGGGTGCCTGGGTTGCCCCACCAGGTGGCAGATTGATGCATCCGTGTTGGCCTGAGATATGCATGCACTTACAAGGACCGGGAAAGTCTGAGTATAAATTACAGTATGCTATCACATAACATGGAATACCTTTCTTTGCACATTTAATAAGTTAAAAGGCTTGCTGGAAGTAGGTAGATTGTTTATTAGGACGGAAATCTTGATTTCAATTACCTTCATTCTTGTTCCACGTGAGGTGATAAAATATAGTATTTAAAGATAAAATACATGTTCAACAACACCCGAGCTCGGAGGATTTGGTCCGGGGAAGTGGGTTAGCTGTTCCGAGCAGATCGGCGGGTTCTATAAGTCGAGTCAGCTGTATATTTCCGTGGTGGAGGGCGTAATTGCGACTACGGTATCATCCTGCAGAAGATAACGCTAGGGTTAGTTACCAAAATGGGAAAGAGAGCCACCTTAATTCGGGTGAGAGATGGATTTACGCAGTGGGTAGAAAGAAAATATTTTGCAAGGCCCATATACACAGAGGCAATATGTGCAATGGACTGGAATTAGGATAGAGGGCATTTCGACGAAATAGGGAATGTCACCAGCTTTGTAGTGGTGAAAAGGGTTAACTCGTTAACGTATTGCTGGATTCAAGGTGATAGTTAACGGGATGCCATTTGAATTTGTAGCTCACATCTTTAAGCACTCTTCGTGCGACGTGTGTACATACCATATGCAATACTAGTGCAAAGATAGTGAGTAATTTAGTTATTTTTACCAGCAAGGCTATGATAGCCTCGGCGGTTGTACTAATAATCATCAGTGTAATGGGACCGCTGTTCTTTAATCATGTCGATAAGATGATTTCTTCACTTCCGTCCGATCTCGGCTCCGACTGCGACTATGCCGGTCCCGATGTGACTTGCGTTCATGCCTTTTGTCACGACTCCGGCTCCGACTCTTGTGGTGATGCTTGTGCCTATCAGGGTTATCCTTCTCACGATGTCGACACTCCTGTCGGCCCACACCATCTAGGGAGAAATTTTCGAGTTCATCCTCCTCCCGCTTCTTCCGCTTCCCGTGTCTCTTCCTCCTATATTCCCTCTCTTCCGCCGCTCTCAGTTCGCGGAGCTCTTTCTCTCGCTCGTCAGCCCACTTCTTCTTGTCCTGCCGGGACTTCTTGAGCTGGACCTGAGCCATGTTCATGAAGGCTAAGGGATCGGTTGTTGAAATGCGGGCCTGTTCCCTCTCTTTGCGCCGTGGATCTTCGCGGCCCCAGACGTCTTTGCTCTCGAAGCCTGGATATTCAAGCGCTTTCTCGCTTGAGCCTGGATCATCCGTGGGTTTTGGGCCTGGGCCTGCTGCATACCAGGGCCGCTCGAGTCCGCCTTTACCAGCAGCATTGGAGAAGCGCATGGTGTACTGGTCCTCGAACGACTGCTCCTTCTTCTTCTTTTCCTTCTCAGCCTCGGCGTTCTTCTCCCGCTTCCTGGCTTCTTTCAGGTCTATGGGAAATAGATTGATGTTGCCCGCGTGATCCGTCAGAGGGGCATCGCTGGCTGGCTTCCGTAGCCTCAAGACGGCGGCATCCCAGTCCTGCTTTGGAGCTGTGACGGTGCTAGCTAGCCGAATATCTCTATCCGTATCATCTTCGCCAGCCAGACGCCTGCGCTTCCGATCATGATCACCATCGCCTCGGCCTGATCTTCTCCCGCTCTTCTCATCTCTCTTTGTATCCTCCTCAGGTAACGGCGGGGGCGTCTGTCCTCGAAGGATAGCAGCTCGACGCTCGGCGTCCAGCTCCTGCATGCGCTGCTCATCGGCAGCGTCGCGGGCGGCTGCAGCAGCTTCGTCCGCCTTCACCTTCGCAATATTGGCGGGGTTGTACACGTTCCATGACTTCTTGCCAAGCAGATGACTTTTAATGTATCAGCAAATCGCATGAACAAGTATATTGAAAGCTTGGCGGCTACTTCACAGGAATCACGAGGGTACTCACAGAGGCATGGCCGTGTCTAGTGGAGTGTTGAGGGTCGAGGAGGAGCTCTGGAGCTGAGGGTAGATCGACGCAGAAAAGAGAGCCTCATCGACGACGGTGCGAAATAGTGGTCTCACAGGGAAACCTCATGCCCGCGCCGGAGGAAAAGACAACCACACCACAACCAGACAATCGATATGCCGGCAAGGATCTAGCTGCGGGACCGGTTTGGCTCGACCTGCAGAAGCCTGCATCACGGGCCGCGATCTGGCGCCTGCGTATCTGCGCCACAGAATCCTTGGATAGCATCTGTTTCGTGGTGTAACATCTCATGGCCAGCCTACGGTAATCAAGTGCCCATTCTAGTCGGGCCTCCTCACTGCTTGTATCTATCCATATTAATTCACACACTGAGCATTGGTGGAATCGTCTGCAATTGTCGTGCGATTGTCAGCCCAGCTCAAGAAGACGCCAGCAGAACTCTTGCGCTTAACAACAGTCGTGGCCGCTCCAGCTGGGCTTCTTCGCGGCAGGAAACTCGATTGCATCATCGGGGTGCGAACCATGCATGAGGACGGAGCTACCTGCCGCTGAAGAAGTGCAGTGTTTCGCAGTTTCAAGCCACAAACCCTCGTATCCTCCGCTCCCCTGCTGCATCTTGTTATCGCTCAGCTTCTCTGAGCTCTTGCTGGAGACAGAAGAGTTCCACCAACCGGGACGACAAACAAACTCGGTCCTGGGGAGATCGCGAGCTTTATATTAACTCTCTCTCGCTAGATTTCTCTGGGGCTTTCTTGGCTTTCGCGTGCTTGCGGAGCCGCATCCGACGTTTTTACATCCATCTTCCGTCTCCATCGCAAGCTGTACTCAGCTTTCCAGACGTCAAAATGCCTACCTGGCTCGTCCACGGCTTTCGCTGGCCGCGTCCTCTTATTCGAATCCACATCATTCTGCAGAATCTCGACGATGCTGCTTCGGAATGGGTCATGGCGCCCGCAACCGCCTCTGCTCTCTCCGAAAACTTTCACTCGCTGTATCCTGAAATGATGGCGAACCTCCCTTCCTTGCGCTTCATCGAACAGTACGATCCAAATGACTTGACCTCAAAGTCCCAGCCATTCGCCTACGTTTGCGATCAAGTCCACGAAGTACAACTCGGTGTGGATGTGGATGAAGTACGAGGGAAAGGTGTCGCGAGTGATACCTGGGGCGCAGTGGTTGATTTGAGAGACAAGATTGCCCCAGGGGCGAAGGTGGCTTGGTTCGTGGTGGTCAATGGGGATGTGGAGCGATGGGCTCCCGCGCCTGTGGGGATTCTGGAAGGAAGTTCTAATGGAAGTCAACTCAGCCCGGTTAGTGGAGGGAGTAGTGTTGCGAGGGAAGAGGTGGACGATGATAGTGACCAGGTAGGTTCAACCGACCTCCCTCTAGCTATCTTCTAAATCTTTCCTAAGGAAGAAATGCATTGGCTAACTGACGTGGCAGACCAAGCGCCAATCAAAAGGTTTCAAGAAGTGGTTTGGAAGTACTAGGGCCAAGCGATCTAAAAGGTAGGCAGAAACCGCTCAATCGTATCTACCCTTCTTACAGATACTGACATGAATCAGCTCTAAAGATCTAAGAAACGAACTACCTATCAGGTCCATCACCCAATCACCACCTCCTCCACGAAGCGTTCCCATCCCGAAGCCCGCAAATGGGAAAGCGCCCGTGCAGGCTGGTACAGTTGTTGATTAAATATGCAAAACATTTACCAGTTCTATGACTGGCTGTTCGATGTTCGGCCAGACTTTCACACCTGTATGAAGCATTTAGCGGGTGTTCTGGAACCCACCTTCTTTTCGGCGCAACATCACGGAGGAAAAGTGTATTTTCTTAGATTGTCCTGAAACGGGTTGTTCAAACCTTCGTGTGTTATATGATAGTATACTTGAGGCATTCTGGCTTTGCTATCGAAGTGGAAATGCGTTTGGAGGAGTCTTTTGCTCTTAGCTAGGTGTTGGGACTGTCCGAGAGGGTTAGTGTTTGTTCTAAGACTTTTTCAACACGGATTCTGCTTTTAGGCAAACGTGCTATTATGTAGAATCACCTAAAGCCTTCTTGACGACGATTGCGGAGTAATACCAGAAGGCATCTAGATACTTGTAATTTTCACGTGGTCACGTGATCCCATCACGCTGAGTCAGCGGTTTATTTCGTCTCGACATCCTCTCCGATACCTCTCCGCCTTCGTTCCAACAACACGACCACACTACGACATATATATTCTTTGGGATCTCACAATTCTGTAGGGGATATATAAGTCCTACCGCAGAACCCTCGGTCCCTTGACCGCGCTCCATAATCGTTGCTCTCTGACCGAAGTTAATCGCGAGGCATCAACCGTCAATATGAGTGTGAAGCGAGATTTCCTTTCTATGCCCGCGCCTGAGAACTATGTCGCAGGTCTCGGGCGTGGTGCGACTGGGTTCACGACCCGCAGCGACCTGGGACCTGCGCGAGAGGGACCTTCGGAGGAGCAGATGAAGGAGATGCTGGCTAAACGCGCTGCACAGCTTGGCCAGGCCGCACCCTCCGCATATGGCGCAGTAGATAAGAAGGAAGAAGACGAGGACGAGGAGCGCTTCCAGGACCCAGACAACGAAGTTGGCCTGTTTTCCACGGGTCTGACCTTCGATGCCGAGGACGACGAGGCGGATCGCATCTACCAAGAGATTGACGAGAAGATGGACAAACGGCGGCGTGCTCGAAGGTTAGTTTCCCCCCATTTCATTTCCACACAGTCCCAGTATTCCTTCAATAGCGTCGTTCAAGTGTTCAACGTGTCCTTTGTGTCGAACAGATACCGACCACATCCTACCGTATAGGGAAGCTCGCGAGAAGAAAGAACGTGACGAGTACGAGAAGAATAACCCAAAAATCCAATTGCAATTTGCCGACCTGAAACGAGCGCTCGGTAGCGTATCGGAAGATGAATGGGCCGCACTGCCAGAGGTTGGAGACATGACTGGCAAAGCAAAGCGAGCGCGTGAGGCACGTATGGCTGATCGCAAGTCTTATGCTGTCCCAGATAGTGTCATTGCCGCTGCACATCAACAAGGACAAATCGAAACGTCTATATCTGCTTCCGATGGAGACGGTACTATGACGAACTTTGCTTCTATTGGTGCTGCGAACAAGTCTGCTCTTCAGGTGCGATTGGATGCTGCTTCAAAAATACCTGGTACTCAGTCGACTGTATCAGGCACCTCTACTTCGGTCGACCCACGAGGCTATATTACCGCTCTAGAGAAGAACCAGGCAGCAGGAGTAGAAGCTCCCGTTGAGGATATTAACCGAGCTCGAGTTCTACTCGAGTCAGCAGTCAAGACCAATATACATAACGGACCCGGTTATGTCGCTCTTTGCCGCCTCGAAGAACTTGCCGGCAAAGTCAATACCGCCAAAAGGGTCATTGCTCGGGGATGTGAATTGTGTCCAAAATCTATCGTCTGTTGGGAGGAGAACATCCGGATCAATCGCGATAACGTCCACAACGCCAAGATCATTGCAGCCACGGCTATTAAGCAAAATCCCAAAGCAATCAAAATCTGGGAAGCCGCCATTGACCTGGAGCAGACCATGGCTGCTCGCAAGAAGGTCACTCGGCAGGCTCTCGACCACAATCCTCAATCAGTCGAGCTGTGGAAGAGCCTAATCAATGATACCGAAGACCTGGAAAATGTCAGACTACTCTTCGCAAAGGCTGTCGACACTGTTCCTCTGTCCGAAGAATTGTGGATCTCATATGCTCGCGTCAGTGAGCCAGATCACGCACAGCAGATTCTAAACGCGGCACGCAAAGCAATCCCAACGAGCTGGGCCATCTGGGTCCAGGCCAGTAGGTTTCAGGAGCAACTTGGAAAGGTCGAGCTACTCGATCGGATTATGGACCGTGCTGCCAAAGCCTTGGCGAAAGAAAATGCAATGCCCAAGCGGGAAGAGTGGATCCACCAGGCGGAGGTATGCGAAGAAGAAGGCGCTATCGCAACAGCTGGTGCTATTATCAAAGCAACAGTCGGGTGGGGTCTGGATGAGGATGACGAACGAAAGGATGTATGGTTGCAAGACTCAACTAACAGTATTGCACGAGGGAGGTATCATACAGCGAGAGCCATTCTAGCGCATCTTGTCAGCAATTTCCCTTTAAGCACAACTGTTTGGCACGCCGCCGCTGATCTAGAGAAACGCCATGGCTCTCCTGAGTCTCTATTGCCAATGTTAGAGCGCGCCGTGAATGCCTGCCCGAAATCCGAATCCCTGTGGCTCCTCTACGCCCGTGAGATGTGGGCAGCGGATAAACCGGCGGAAGCCCGGGAGGTTCTTGGACGATCTTTCGGACAGCTTCAGGGCAACGAGAACCTCTATACTCGTGCTGTTGACTTCGAAGTTGATGCAGGCGATTACGACCAAGCTCGACGATTCCTCGAGATGGCTCGTGAAACTGCTGCAACGGACCGCATCTTCATGAAATCCGCGGCTTTGGAGCGTCAGCTGGGTAACCTTGACGCCGCCCTTGATCTTGTGAATCAAGGCCTGCAGACATGGCCTGGTGCCTGGAAGCTGCACGCTATGAAAGGCCAGATCTACGAATCAATGTCGAGGCTGAAAGAAGCTCAGGAGGCCTACTCGATCGGGACACGAGCCAGCCCAAAGGCCCCCGTCGTCTTCATCCTCCTCGCCCGTCTGCAAGAGCGACAAGGTGCCATTGTCAAGGCTAGATCGTCACTCGATCGAGGTCGTCAGCAAAACCCAAAGACACCGGAGCTTCTACTTGAAGCTGTTCGTCTAGAGCGACGTGCTAATAACATCTCGGCAGCTCAAAAACTCATGGCTGTCGCACTCCAGGAATGCCCTACTTCTGGTCTCCTCTGGGCGGAGAAGATCATGCATCTCGAAAGCCGAACGCAACGGAAGCCACGTGCCTTGGAAGCTATCAAGAAAGTGGAAAATAATGCCCAGCTATTCGTTACGGTTGCCCGTCTTTTCTGGGCAGAGAGGAAACTGGATAAAGCACACAATTGGTTCACGAAGGCTATTGTTCTAGATGCCGACTATGGTGATGGCTGGGTTTGGTACTACAAGTTCCTGGAAATGCATGGGACTGAGGAGAAGAAGGCGGAGGTGGTTAATAAATGTGTCATGTCTGAGCCTAGGCATGGGGAGATTTGGCAGAGCGTTGCGAAGGATCCGAAGAATGCGCGGAAGCCGGTGGAGGAGATGCTGAAGATTGCGGTTGCAAAGGCGGAGTAGGTGAATGGTGGACAGGTCGGACAGCATTAACCTGGATAGAAGGGATGGGGGCGGGGACAGGGACGGGGTTGGTTTGAGGGAGACCCGAGGGGTGAAGATGAAAGCAAGAAAAGTGGCCACATTGGTAGCTTGAAGTTAATGATGCTCTCCTTAGATGCGAATACCATGTTCTCTCGGCTTTGTTTAGGGAGCGAGGGATGGGACGCTATGATATGACCGTATGAGAAGCGTGAATACGCAACAAATCAAATGGCTGGACGACCTGTGGTATAGGAGAAATAAATTCAGGTTCTACTTCCCCTATGCACAATATATATTTGTTGCGATATTGTCCGATTGCACAATTTGAAGAATGAAGCGTTGTCGTGACCATGATTGCTAGCAGCCTGAGATGCCAGGCGATGATCACTGCGCAACGTCCGACCGGACCCTCCTCCCACCACCTTCCTCATCAACACCTTGCACCAGAAGGCGAAATGCATCCATCCGCGACCCAAATCCATCTCAACTGACCCCAGCGACCCAATCCCCCAATTTTCTACCCCAGAAGCCTCTTCGATCGCCCGTCACTCGCCAGCGCGAATCGCCCTCCCCTCCCGCCGTCAACCATGGCGACTATCCGCCCGGACACCATCTCGGTGAACACCTCCACACCTATACTATCTAATAAGACTCTCCCCACGCCAGTCCCGATCCTAAAGCCAGCGGAGAAGCGGACGGTGACAGCCCCGAGGATAGATGTTGAGCCGCTTTACGCAACGCTGAAGGGCACGATGGGGGATGCAGAGTGGGGGGTTTACAAAGCGGCTATTTCGCAATTTCTGTTAGGTATGAGAGTAATCGCTATGGCGTTTCCGGTTTCTTCCCCAGCTGGCGAGATCGAGGTTGTGGATTTAGATGGTGCTAATCCTGTTCTTGTAGGAAATCTAAACCAAGAAGAACTCTCTCGCCGCCTTTCAACTATCCTGTCCACACCCGCGCTTGAAAACATGCATAACCAATTCGTGCTGGGGATTTATAATAATATATTCCGTGATGCGCCTGAACCCGGTGTTGCAAGCTGGGTTTCTGCGAATGACAAGCCGACGACGACTGCAAAGCCGAATACTGGTGATGAGGCTGAGAAGCGATTGAAGTATGAGGTTATGCAGCTGAGTCGACGGGAAAGGAAGAGGTTGAAGACGGTGCAGGAGGCCCCCTTTGATCCCTTCACGAATCTCATGACTGAATACCATGACGCGCGACGTATCAAACAGCCAGACACAGGTCCCGCAAGCGCAGGCGGCTACCAAAAGACAAGTATATCCCCCTCTCATATCCCTATCTCTTATCCTCCATCCCCTTCCCCTTCCCCTTCCGCCACTTCGGGAGATAACCCGCGCGTCCTAGACTGGGAGCTCGAAATCCGCAAACACTACACACAACCCCTCTTCACCGAAACCCACGAATTCCCGGATTCGGACTCCATCGCCGCCCGCATGCTGCCCATCTGCTATGAATACGGCCTGCCCTCAGGCCACACTCCTGACTGCCCCACGTATATGAACATCGCAACTGAAACCTACATCAAAGAAGCGCTATCCAACCTCTTCGCACGTGTATCCGGCAACGGACCGGGGTATATCAAAACCGCGGACTTTAAGCGCAAAGTCGAGCGCGAAGAAGACCGGGTTGCGCGCGGGGAGATTGGGCGGTCTGCTGGCGGATTGTTACCGGTGGAAGTGGAGGAGCAGAGGAAGAGACGGCCGCTTTGTATGGAGGATTTGAGATTGGCGGTGCAGCTTGGAGATAGTTATTTGGGGCAGGTGCCGTTGATTATGGGCGGGATTACGAATGCACGGTTTTTGGATACTCCGGGGATTGAGGGGTTGAATTTGGAGGAGAAGGGTGGGAGAAGTGGGAATGGGGTTGGGGTTGGGGTTGGGGCGGGGACAGGTATTGCGAAGGTTGCGGCTGTGGTTAATGGTGTCGGCACTGCCGCTGCCACGAATGGCATTCTGAATCCGAGGAACGGGGCTCAACTAAACGGCACGAGTTCCCTGACAAATGGCTTCCACGTCGACCTCGGAGACCCCATGGTCCTCGATGACGACTGGTCCTGGCAAGGTGGAAGCGTGCAAGATATCGATGGTTTGGATGGCGTTCTCGACGGCTGTCTAGCTGTCGCGGTATAACTCCCTTACAAACACATCTGACTTTCTTAGCACTACGGCGTACAGTTGGTTGGTCTTGCATTGGGAAGCTGCGTTGCAGGCGGCGTTTTCTCTTATACTCTCTTTGATATTGTGGCGTTTTGGTGCGTCGCTGGATGTACTAAGCGTGCTACGGCATATGGATTCTGGAAAGATACCCTGGGGGTCAGTTCGAGTTCTTGGGTCTTCATGTTTTATGTAAATGCTGTCAGGGATCGGAGAGCGTGTGAGGCGAGTCCTAGATGTATATTAGAGCGAGCACATGGCATATTGATATTATTTCAAAATATTGCAGACTAGCATTTGTTTCGTGCATTAGTTAGTTTGTCTAGAACGGTTCTGTATGAGCCTTGGTGTTGTGAGCACACTACTGAATATGTATGTAGTTAGAGGGAGAAGATATCCAGCAACTTTCTGGGAACACTACGACACTCATAAACCCTTGAAACATGTATCTACTATCCTCAAAAGACGCTACAAAATCCATTCCCAATAGAAAACGCTTTTACAATCCTTAGTGCCTATGCATCAACTAATCGATCAATATCCTTAAGGAGTACCACCCTCTAGCGTACTCGCTTCTCCATCACATCACCCTTTTCCTTCCTTACCAATCCCCTATTCAAACCCGACCTCCCCCAGCTCCACCTTCCCCACACTCCAAACCTCCCTCTCATCCTCCCTCTCATCGCTCGCAAGCCCCAACCCGCCAGCGCCACCCTCTGCGTCCCTCCTCTCCCTCGCCTGGCCACCCAGCCTCAACGCCACCCTCTTGAAATAATCCTGCATGCTCCGCTTTGGGCCGGCTGCCAAAAGTCCCCCAGGACCGGCCATATACTTCTCAAATACTGCGCTTTCTTCATCGACGACGGAGAACAGTGCCAGGAACGCTGCTTCCGCGGAAAGTTTGACCGGGATAACCGGGTCGCGGACGCAGGAGAACACGGGTGGTGCGAGGAGTGGAATGTGTGGGCGGATTAGGTCGTTCGATTCGCGGGCGATGGTGCGGACAACGACGAGGGAAAGCCTCCTTGTATCGACCGGGTTGCCGGGTTCGATGACTGGGGCCAGGGCTTCGAACAGTGGTTTTGTGTGATCGAAGGATTTTGCGGTTTTAGAGCTAAGAAGGTATTTTCCGGCTGCTAGAATGCAGTTGTCTGCGACGACTGGTTGAGAGTGTGAGATGCCGGCGCAGATGATGGAGACAGTTTCGTCGGCGAAGGTGGGGGCGAGGGCAGAAGGGGAGTCGAGTAGGATAGCGTTGAGAGCTAGGACCGAAGCTTTGCTGAAGTGGGTGGTTAGGACTCGGGATTTGAGGAGGCCTGATGCGGCTTCTGGGGAGAGGTTGCGGATGAGGGCGCCCAAGAGACGTGCATTGGTGATTGCCATGGCATCTAAAACCCCGTAAGTCTTCTATTGCAGATGTGGGGGAGTAGGGGTGAGGGTTAAACTTACCATCAGTGTCATCGACATCCGTATCAATGAGTCCTAGAATTGAGTTCCTACTTGCCTCATTCATATTGGCGCCAGCCTTGCTCACAACCTCAAACAGTGCCTTTAACATTGCATTCTTGACTCCTGAGTCGCTGGTCTTAGACCCAGTGACAAGCTCGGCAATCAATGGGTCGATTCTCGGTGTCATAGTGATCAATGTACCAAGTGCCTTCGCAGCCCTCGTCCGTAAAACATCTGACGACGTATCAGCCAACGACTTCGCAAATGTTCGCTGAAGCTGTGGCAAGAAAGGCTTGAGGTAAGTTGGAATCTTCTCTAGCAGGTTGTTCAGCGTAAACAAAATTGCCGCCTTGACGTCCACCGAACGCTCCGATACCACACGAATAAGAGGACCGGTGATCTGTGTGACGAAAGGTCGTAAAGCTTCTCCGTTGGTCCTGTCAATGATATCCGATATGGCCAAAGCCGCCTGTGTTCTCTGCTCCGCTGTACCGTTCATAAGGCCTTGCAAGAAGATGGGCAGAATAGCGTTGATACCCTTAGGTAGTGAGAAGCCTGAAAGATCGGACCCGGGGACGCCAACTTGGTTGAGCACTTGTCGTGTCGAAACGACGAGCGATTCCATCTCCTCTTTCCGTAGATGCTTGGTGAGTTCGCTGAGTGCGGTCCATGCAGCCTTAACAACTGCCGTGTCTGGGTCATCGAATGCAATGAGCAGCGACCGGATTAGGTCAGGGTAGTATCTCGAGTAGTCGACTTCAGTTTCAGCGAAGAATTTGGCAAGGTGAGCGTCTGCTGTTGCACGCCTTCGCTCATCATCGTGCTTGACTAAGGCAAGCATTACGCTCATAGCAGTGTTAAGACCATCGTATTCATCGACGGAGAGGAGCACTGTGTCGAAGGATAATTCAAGTTCAGACCTAAGCTCAACATCTTTGCATGAAACAATATTGTCCATAATTGCATTTAAGATGTTGGGGAGTCTTCGGGTCATTGCTGAGCTCGCGACTTCAGCCAAAGAGGCAATCGCGCGGGCATTGAAACTAGACATCGGTGAAGTCAGAAGCGTAGGGAGGAGGTTCGGAAGAATAATGTTCGACCTCGTGTGGTCGGTGAGGAGCGTGAGGAGGGCAGACAGAGCATTTTGAGCATCATCGTCGCTCCGGAGAAGGTTGAGTAGGTATGGTAGGACCTGATCGACGGCTTTCTTGCCAAGGATACGTTGCAGCGAATCAAAAGCTTCAGCTGCTGCTTCTCGCACATCGTTGTTCGGATCAACGAGGGCTGTTCGAACAACCTGTATCAGTATCTTCTCGTAATCTTCAAGCACCTCTGGTGAGGCTGATGAGATGAGTTCGCGGAGCGCAATGCAGATACCTTGCTTAGCATCTGTGTCGGTAGTGTGCAAGCCTTCTTCCAAGGTTGGCAACAAGCTTGCCAAAACGCCTTCGCCAGCTTTTCGGATAAGCTCTCCAAGAGCGTTTCCGGCAATAACCTTCTGCTCCATGTTCGAGCTGGCCAAGCGTCGAATAATGAGCTGTGTAAGCGTAGGGATGAGTTCCCGAAGGGTCCGTGGAGTGGCCACGAGTGCTTTCCAGACATTGATCGCCGCGGAACGGACGAGTCCAGACGTATCGCATCTGCAGATGTACAGAGCGGACAAGACTTTGTTCCTTTTTTCCTCTCCAAGAACCTCGAGTAGTGACTGACCGGCTTCTTTGGCGCCTTCCTCGACTTCTTCTTGCTCGCCAGTTCCGCTGATACCGGTGAGATTGAACAGCAAGTCTCCGACGAGCTCGACCGAGCTCAGACGGATACGGTGACTGTTGTCTGCGAGGCCCCTCTCTAACTCAGGGAGAAGCAAATCGATGGCTTTGCTGGCGAAGTTTTTCACCAGCAGTCGGCCCGCCCGAAGAGCCGTCTCCCGAATCGACTCCACATCATCCGCGAGACCGCCAAGAATGGGCGGGATGATTTTATTGAGGTAGTTAGCAAAGCTATTACCAAAGCAAGCCGGCAAGAAAATGAATAGGGACATGAAGCCTTCCCGGACGGAAGGCTTGCTGCTCGATACGTTCTGTAAGATGCTCGGCAGGGTTTCTTCGAGACGGCCGGTCCCCAGGCCAGCAAGAACCTCTGAAAGAGCTTGGGCAGATCCCAACCTGTCGCCAGCTCCAGTGTCTGATTTGAGTGTGGCCATGAGACTTGGGATGAGATCTGGCATTGCATCTTCCCCAAGTTTCTCAATGAGTGAACCAAGAGCTTTTGATGCTGTGGCACGGGTCGTTGGAACAGGGTCTACAATTGCAACTCGTAGCCCAGCAACTAGAATTGGTAGATGAGATATGAGGTCTTTTCGCTCTGTAAGATGCGCTAGGCTTCCAATGATCTGTGCAGATTTTCGCTTCGTGGCTGATCGGTCGCCCAGGCCTCGCTCAAGTATTCGAACGACAAGAGCGAGTGAAGGGGCGTCAATGTAATGAGCGAAAGATACTTTGATGAGAGTATCGAGTGCATCGTCAGTGTACTTGGTGGGATCGCTGAGAGCCTTAAGAAGAATACCAACCACACCCTTGATCTCAGGATTGCTGATGACCTCTCCAAATCGCTGTAAGCTTCGGTTGGCAGATGATCGTACCTCCTTGTGACTATCCGTGAGCACAGTCGTCAAAGGGGGAATAATATCCGGCAAGCTCAGTGCTAATTGGTGTGGGTCAAGGTATGCCATGGCACCGAGCGAATCGCAAGCGCCCTTTTTACTTCGCCACTGCTGGTCGTCAAGACCTTCAAGAAGTGTGGGTAAGATTTGCTTGACACCGTACGAGCTGAGATTCGCAAAGCAAGTCTTTGCTGCATCGAGGCAAGCTTCGCGCACATCAGCGCTAGAGTCACCGAACCCAGCAAGTAATTGAGGTACCAATTGAATGATGTAGGGCTCGAAGATGCGCCCAAGGATGAGGGAGAGCAGCTCATATGCCAAAAAGGCACCTTGTCGTTGGCCGACGTCTTTCTTGTTTTCGGCGGCTCCCTGGAGAGAAGACATGAGCCGATACTCTCGCAGAACGCCAAGACCCTTGCCACGCACAATTCCCGCAAGACCATAAGCAGCTCCTCGGCGGGCTGCGTATTTCTTTGAATGTAGCAGCTGCTCAGTCATCTGCTCAATGTATGTGGAAATTTCTTGTTCGGATGTTCGGACGAGTGGGGGAAGACATTGGGCTACGGCATATTGAACCGTTTCGGAAGGAGTGCTCAAGGTAGCCAGAAGACGTTGGACCACCTTCGGTACACGCTTATCCCCAGCTTTCAGGTGTTGACCCAAAGCGCCGTACAGTACGATGACAGCTTCGTTGACCTGGTCGTACATTTCAGATTTCCGATCAGGGCTTTCCAGTGCATTTTCAAAGAGATCCATGAGTGGCTCCACCCTGGACTGAGCTTTCGTCTTGATCACGGAGGTAGCTGCGTCAATCATTTCGTCTCGAACAATGGCACTTCGGTCTCCTAACGGCCCCTCGTAGACCATGAACCGTATAAAATTGACGAGGTCATCGTCCATGAAACCCGGCGTCATTTCCTTGAATGCAAGTGCTATACCATCTCTAGCCTCCCAAGGATCTCGCAGGTCAACTTTCCGTGGCATGCCGTACTCGTCTCGTTCTGGAACTCTTGGTTTTACTTTCTCCCGATACGACTCCTGAAGGGATTGTAGGAGGTTGTGAAAAATGCGTGGAAAACTCTCCATAGTTTCTCCAAGAGACCTCGCCGCAGCTCTCCTTAGCTGTTTGTCAAGTGATTCTAAGTATGGCAGCGTTTGGGCTGCGGCGTCCTCTTTTAATCTCAGTTCGTTGTCTTCCCAAATGGTTCGAGCCAGTTCCACATTTTCTTGATCATCATCGTGGCATTCTAGCCAGATCTCTTCACTGAATACCATGTTATTCAAATCAAGTTCAGCATCTATCGCTTGCAGAGTTGAAGTGCGGACGGAAATTTCTGGTACGATAGTCCCACGGAGTAGGGCTCCAAGTTCGTCGTCGGATATATTGGGAGCAAGCCCTCGGGAAAGATCCATTAGACAGTCCTTAATCAATTTGTAGTGTTGATTGTACCGTTGCATTGACGAGATCAGAGCCTGTAGTAATTGATGTCGGGGAAGTCGCTCGTCAGAGCCTGGAAATTATGTAAGCTAATACGCAATAGGTGACAAGATGTATTGGAAACATACAAGAAGCAGTGTGGAATGATAAGAACTCGATAGCCAGCACTAATTGCTCATCGGCATCTTCAGTTGATGACCTTCCGATGCCACCCTTCTCAAGCACGAGAAAGATGAGGGGAAGGCAGTACGCGAGCGAAACAGTGTCAAGTGGACGCTGCTCGCTCATAAATCGGAGTCGATAGAGTACTCTCGTGACCAAATCTACTGAGCGTCAGTGTGTCAATATACAGTGGATGAACGAACGCACCACCAAGGTCTTCCTCTTCGTAACCATCTGACAGTTGCAGGGTTCCAATCGTCCTTAGTGTGGCAACTCCGATAAATGGCCGGAGAACGCCAAGCCGAGCGGAGATGCGCTGAGCACATTTGATGAATGCCTTTGCAGGTAGATCTCCAAGGATTAGACCAGCCCCGGCACGAATTGTTTGGATGAGTAGATTTACTGCTGGTCCCATCCATTGTTCGGCTTCGGTCGGAGGTCCAGTTGCAAGTCTCTGGATTATTCCAACTCCTCGTTTCATCTTTGATTCGACTGCCGAAATCTCTTGCCTGATAGCAGATTCTTTCGCAAGTTGAGCGTTGATTTTGGATTGTTCATCTGGAGTGAGTTTCTTAGTCTGGCCTTTCTTCTGCGCGAGCTGAGCCCTGAGCTCTTCTTCCCATTTTAGAGTGTCATAGTCCTTCGTATTTTTGTCCAGTGTTGCGGAACTCCTTGTTGACAGCACATCAATATAGGCAGTTCCTTCTGGGGTTCGAAAGATGGCTGCTTCTGTTGGGCCAATAGATTCAAGCTGCTTAGGGTCAAGGTCGTGACTGAACAGATCTACGATTGCCGGTAAGGCTTTGTCCGGAGCAACAAATGCGAGGTCAACATAGGCACTATACGCTGCCTGGTTTATGGCAGGAAAACGACCGTTTGACTTATTCTGTGGACGAAATTAGCTGCGAACCTCAAATGAGAATAGTGCAGAAATTACCATCGTAGCATCAGTTATAAGTCTCAGACATTCGCCAAGGTAATCTCGTGCAAGCTGACCTGGATCTACCCCCATCCTGAGACAGAAATCAATCCAAGAGGCTCGGGGAACGATTTCTGGACGAGCTAAAACAAGGATATCCACACATTGTTTGTGGAGGATGTCCTTAGAAATGTTCGGGCCGAGGGTCTTCAACGAATCTTCTACAAGACAAAAGCAACACAGAACGCCATAGAGTTCCTTGTTGCCTGTCTTTGAAGAAAAGGCCGCGCTCTCCTTGTCTCCCTGCTCAATCATTTTATACCAGCACCAGATCCCACCAGTAATGATATTGGTGATCTCTGCGGGCGCTTCAATATACATCTTAGTCAGGGATTGACGAGCTGAAGATTTAGCACTTGGAGGGACGGAATAGCCAGCGATGAAGTATATGAGCACTTGCGACCAAGCTTCTCGAGCGTCGGTGGAGGTGTTCTCATCGGACAGCCATGGAGCCACCGCCGTGAGACAACGGAGAGCGATCTCGATATCGATATCACTGGAAAGTTTGGTATAGACTCTGGGATTGAGCAAGAAAGATGGTTTCGGCTGAGTAGCGAGTGTTTGAGAGAGTACATCTGTCTTCTTGTAAATGGCAGAGAGCTTTGTGTCATCCATAAGTCGGATCTTGCAGAGTAGCAACGCCGTAACGGAATGACCTACAGTTACCATACCGTTCTGAGCTGCAGGAAGTGGATTCGCGAGAACTTCCTGCCACAGTTCCACGAGTTTCGGCAAGGTGATTTGACAGAATACCAGCACATCCGGCTGTGACAGTTGCTCAGGTGAAAGATTCCACCATATATCTGCAGCTTGTATGGCCCATAGTCGGCGTATAGGCATGCGCTTGTCACTCATGCCTTTGATGAAAGCGTCTGATATTAATTTGTCCAATGGAACCCCATTAACCAACCCGAAAGTAAGATGCTTAGTCAGTGCAGATACCTCAGCTACTACCGCTGGCTCATTTGGCTCCTTCAATGCAATAGGGGCAATATTGACGGGAATTTTTTGGGACAAGGAAATCGAACTACCCAGGGAGGAAAGCATTTGAGCATAGAGGACTTTCTGGTCTGCTCCGGTGACCTTGCCTTGCTTGAGTGGGTCCAAAATCTCATCCGCGACCTTTCCAATGAGTGTGTCATCGCGTGACCGTAAGGCGAGCGCTTGGAAGGTTCGGAGAGCACCAACGCGGATGGTCGGATTTGTTGATTTGACATTTGAAAGCAGCGGCTTGAGCAGGTTGGAATGAAGTACTCCTGACAGATCAAAAGATGCCGGAAGGGACAGAATCAGTGGCGCGACAACACCGTTCAGAACCACTTCTGGCGCCCTCAGGAGTGCCTTCTCGATTGGAGGTATGACCTCTTTTCGCAGCTCATCTAGTGAAGGAAACGTGTCGAAGAACTCACGAAGACCGTTAGACAGATGACCGGGCAGTGGAGTCCTGGAACCAACAATTTCCCGGACGTAGAAGGCGTAATATTCTTGCTTGTGCTTCTCTAGCATCGACTTGGCATTGGGAAGCCTTGACGCTACGCCTGCAATAACGCCTAAAAAGATAGCATTCCCAGCAGTGGGAGAGGAACCTTTCGCCGCAAGGGAAGCCACCATCTGAGAAAGTGCCCGTTCTGCGACGTCGGGCGCCCGGAACAAGAACCGCAGCGCTCGGCGAGTTACAACCATAGCAGAGTCTAGAATGCGCTGCGCTTTGCGAGAAATCACACCACCCACGCATGTCTCTAGGAGTCTTGCATCTGCAATGGCAATATCCATTCCCCATTTCGCCCATTGCTCCGGGGACTTAGCGTATTGTTGGATGAGGACCGAGCACCAGCCTATTAGGACGAAAGCATCGGCGTGGGCGAGGCCGGTTTTGAGGCTTTCTCGCTTGAGGAAGGCAGAAATCAAGGGCAGGGCAGTACCAGAGTGTGGGCTATTGGCTAGACTCTTTAAGCATTCGTGAACTGCACATCTGGATTCTCGATCCTCGTAGAGAGGGTACGTTTCGAATAAGAGGTTGAGGAGGAAGTGGAGGTCAGGTGAAAGAAGTGCTGGGTAGGGAAGAAACAGGTCAGCCTCTATCAAGTTTCCTATGGGCATGTGTAGCCGGAGTGGAGAGCTGAGATACTTACTGTCGTGTTCGAACCGGTGTTGCAGACGAGAGAGCTCCGCAATTCTGCGTAATGTAGAGCTGGTTATGAGGCCCCATCGCAGCTCTTCACGGTTAGAATCATTCATCCCACCGACAGCCATTGTGGGTTGTCCATGTGAAGCTTTGCTGGAAAGCGTTGTGGGTGGTGGGGACCTGTCTAACAATATTGGTCAAGCTGGAGAACGGTGGCGGAGGAATCTTTTGCCGAAGCGCCAAGACTGTTGAAGGTCAGTGATGACTTTCATTCCCGTGCCCTTTCTCCTCATGCAAGCCCTTTAGCAGATTGATCACTCTGACCTGCGCAGCCTTATGCCCTACATGTACCCTAGCGCCTCCATCAACAGCAACCTTGATCTTGTCAAAGATCAAGCCCCGTGGTACTCTATACGGAGACTACCCCAATCATTCACCCCTTCCGGATCGACCATATCTCCTCGACCGTAAGACTGACACAGCTTGCAAGTCTCGGCGACAATGGCAAAAAAGAAGAAGCCCGCTGCAAACCCTGCCCGTGGGTTTGCCACTACTTCCGTAGCTAGCAAGCCAAAGCAGGAGAAGGTCGTTGGAGCCGATGCAAAAGAACCGAACAAGGAAAGGGTCACCCCACTAAGCCAAACTCCTCAGATTACAGTTGATCCTCAGCCCCAATCGAAAGAGGTCGTGCAGACTCCAGAAGAACTAGAGGCTCAGCTTGAGCACGATGGGCTTCAATTATTAGTCGAAAAACATGCTTCCAAGACCCGGCGAGAGTTCCGTCGACAAGTCTCGAAGATCCATACAGACCGGAGAACTCTTCGCCCACAGTCCGAAATCATGTCCGTCCGTGATTGGCTCTCTAGCGACGTGTTAGACAATGTCATTGCTCTTGCTCAGGAAGAGTCCAACGATCCCAATCGAAGACTTGGACAAAAGTCTCTGCTAAAGGTCCTCCCAGAAGAAGATGGGATATCTAAACTCTGGACTTTGGACCTAGTACTTCGTGAACTCGGCTTCACTCATGTCAATATACAGCTGGTCATGAAGTGGCTTTGCGCAAACGCTGTCAATATTGATTCCACTGCCAGCATCTGGGGCTTCCAAGAAGGACTAGAGTGGCTTGCGTTGGATCAGTGCGAGGGTCACGCGTTCTCTTACGAGGAGCCGAAGACTAAGCGATTCCTTACCAATTCCCAGAGCACATCGAGACCAGGTAAGCCTTGGCCTTGGTTTCTTTCTGACCCATATGAACCTAAAGCCCTTCATCAACCCTACAAGATCGATTTGCTTAGGCAGTCCTCTACAATTGTCTTCGAGTGCCATGCTAAGCAGCTTCAGGAACGCCTATTTCGAGTCTTGAAATGCGGGAACCCGCTAGGGATTCCGACCACGAAACTTCCACTAACCCAACCTCTAACCTGGCGACACCCTCGATCTTAACGCCTGCAGAGTCGGATCATAGCGATGTTTCTGTCAGCGACCTGGATAGTGACATTGAGCCAGATCAGCTTGTCCCAACCTACCTCAAGATCAAGGGCAAACTTTTTGAGATTGACCCAGATCATCTCGAATATCGTAGTCGAAAGCAGGCCAAAGCATCGAAAGGGAAGAAACTCCCTCCTTCCAAGAAATTCAATCCTACAGCTGTTCAAAAACTTGAATCACAACTCAAACAGCTCGAATCAGATGGCCTGTTCGACCAATACGACGCCGATGTGCAGTGGCCTGCTCTGCGGAATCGGATCGCTCAGAATAACGCTAACGACAAACGGCCGCAACTTCCTGAGTCCGCTCAACCTTCACAAAGCGACAATGGAAGTAGCACGGCATTAGTTCCTACTGATAGCCAAGTGGAAGACCCAGAATCTGATCCCCACGGCCTCTTCCTTGATGAGGAATCTAGTCTGTTGGGTGATATGTTTACAGCGATTCCGGATGATGCATCCAAGGCAGGGGCGGAAAGCAGGAGTAGTCCATCCTCAACGACCATGTTAAAGGACTTTGGGAAGCAGAGTGGAATGGCTCCGCGAAAACTCCTTGAGGAAACTGTGCGAGCAAGGTAAGCGGCTTCCCATCCTTCGTGAACCTCCTGCTTTCAGTCATCTGAACTAAACCTTCACTCAGGGATTCTCATGCAAAACTGTCATACAAACTTATCTCAGAAACGGCCTACTCATGTCGACATGAAATGACTGTTAAGTGGTCTAGGGATCAAGATATCATTTACGAGGAAGATATGCCTGGGATTGAATGCACTGTGCAAAATCTCTGGGTTGTCTTCAGAGCATTGACCGTCTCTACTGTGTCGGTCGAACAGAGTGAAAGCTTTATCGCTACAGCAGCCCTGTTCTCGATGTTTTGCTCCTCTCCACGTGAGGAGAAAGCTCATCTCAGGCTTCCGTCAAATTGGAGAGACCTGTATAAGGACTTCCTCGAACATCGACAAAAGCGACTTGACTCAGCAGACCGCAACACTATCAAGCATCTTCGCTCTATCATCCAGGATCAAGTGGACCATGAGGAGTCTGATGGTGTGGTACTTACTAGCCGGTTCAAGATGCGAAGCCAACCAAACACAGCGAGCTCAGTAGCTTCCAAGTCAACACCCGCGAGTTCTCAACTCTCAGAAAACCTCCGTAGTTCATGGATACAGAAGTCTACAACGCCATCGTACCAGCGTATGCATTTTACCCGAGCTACACTTCCTGTTTTCGAGTTTCGCAACGCGATTTTATCAACCATCAAGCAACATCAGGTAACGATCATCTGTGGTGAAACGGGGTGTGGGAAGAGTACGCAAATCCCATCCTTTATTCTTGAGCATGAACTCTCAAAGGGTATGCCATGTAAGATATTCTGTACCGAACCGAGGCGTATCTCTGCGATATCTTTAGCCCAGCGAGTCAGCGAAGAATTAGGCGAAGGGCCTAGAGACCTTGGAACACCTCGCTCCTTTATTGGGTACGCCATCCGCCTCGAGAGCAAAACTACTGCACAGACCAGACTTGTGTATGCTACAGTAGGAGTAGTCTTGCGTATGTTAGAATCTTCCGGTGGTCTGAGTGACCTTACCCATTTGATTATTGATGAAGTCCACGAACGAAAGTAAGTATTCATGGCCATGGCAACCTGTTCCAAATAATTGACCTCTGCTAGTATTGATACCGACTTTCTGCTCATCATTCTTCGCTCTTTGATGGTTCTTCGGCCAGAGCTGAAGGTCATCTTAATGAGCGCGACCGTCGACGCCCAGCGATTCTCCAAATATCTCAATGATGCTCCGATCTTGAACATTCCCGGAAGAACATACCCCGTTCGAACTAAATATTTGGAAGATGCCATTGAGTTCACGCATTACGATGCAGCATCAGAGGATAAGCTAGATGATTCTGAGACTAGCGGGAATGAGGAGGAGGGCCTAAAGGAGAAGTCAGGCATTCCAAGCAAGCTTCCTGGCTACAGCTCAGCTACACGCAATGTCCTCTCGAGCTATAACGAATATGCTATCGACTACGACCTAATTCTTCGTTTAATTGAGGCCGTTGCATACGATGAGCAATTCAGCCGTTACAGCAACGCCTTCCTAATCTTCCTCCCAGGTATAGCGGAGATTCGTCAAGTCAACGATATGCTCACGGGACATCCTTCTTTCGACAGGAATTGGCTGATATACCCACTCCATTCCACCATTTCCAGTGACGATCAGCAAGCTGCGTTCCTTCTTCCTCCTCCTGGCGTCCGGAAGATTGTGCTTGCAACCAATATCGCTGAGACAGGTGTCACCATTCCTGACATAACCTGTGTGATTGATACTGGTAAACACAAGGAAATGCGCTTCGATGAGCGAAGACAACTGTCACGCCTCACTCAGTCCTTCATTTCTCGAGCCAACGCTAAGCAGCGGAGAGGCCGTGCTGGGCGTGTTCAGGAAGGACTTTGTTTCCACTTGTTTACAAAATATCGACACGATAATCTTATGACCGATCAACAAACCCCCGAAATGCTCCGGCTCTCCCTACAGGATCTTATTATGCGTACCAAGATCTGCAAACTCGGGGACATAGAGAAGACACTATCTGAAGCTCTAGACCCCCCTTCCTCGCGGAATATACGACGAGCTATCGATGCACTGAAAGAAGTTGATGCATTGACCGCAAGTGAAGAGCTCACACACCTTGGGCGCCAATTAGCCAAGCTTCCGTTGGATGCGCATCTTGGCAAACTCGTCCTTCTGTCGAGTGTATATGGATGTGTTGATGTTGCCATCACTATTGCGGCTATTTTGTCGTCGAAGTCGCCATTCCTCACTCCCTTCGGCTCGAAACAAAGAGCAGATGCAGCTAGATTTGCGTTCAAGAAAGGCGAATCAGATCTCCTAACCGCATACAACGCGTACAAGACTTGGAAAACTGTCTGCACGACACCCGGGCGGTCTGAAATGCAGTTCTGCCACAAGAATTTCCTGAGCTCACAGAACCTTGGCAACGTCGAAGATCTAAAAGCTCAGCTGCTCTCCTCTCTCTTCGACGCCGGATTTGTACAGCTCTCACCCGAAGAATGTCGAGCACTCAGTCGATACCGCAGCACGAATCGACAGCGCATGTTCGTCTCGGTTCCGACCCAGTACGACATCAATTCAAACAACGATATCCTAGTAAACTCAGTTGTTGCTACCGCATTCTATCCCAAGATCTTAATCCGCGAGGGAAAGGGCTGGCGCAATATCTCCAATAACCAGACAGTTTCACTGGCCCCGACATCCGTCAATAAAGTCACTTCAATCAATTCTTCGTCTGCAAAATACCTGTCTTATTACCACATTATGCAATCCAGCAATAAATTTTACAACGCACATTCCACCTCCATCGCACACTCTCTCCCAATGGTCATCATGGTCGGCGCAGACATGGACTTCAAGCTTCACGCTGGTGTCATTAGCTTTCCTGGCAATGTATTGAAGTTCGCTGTCAAAGATTGGAGGGTTGCAGTCGCGTTGAAGGTCCTGAGGAGGCGGATCAAGGAGATTGTGAGTGCATCATGGAAGAATCCTGGCCGGCAGATGTCTGGAAGAGAGAAGGAATGGATGAGACTTCTCTTCGAGATGTTTGACCGCCAACAGGATAAGGCGGAGGGGATTAAACGGAAGACATAGCCAGCAGAATCGATATGTAGGAAGTTCAGGGGAGGGAGACGGTAAAACAGCATGCTAATGTATTATTGTCTTCCATGTAATCCCTCCCATGAGTGAGAATAGAATCTGTCTGAGTATACACATCTCCGGTCTCCAGTCTAATCACTTAAACTCTCTACCCATTCAGACATGATAGAACTTCTCCCGTCCTTTTGCCGCTCTTAGGCAGCAACATCCCCGGGACCTCCTCCACCCCTACCCTCCCCATCATCCTTCGGGCCAGCTACCACCAATTAGCCATTATACAGAAAGCAAATGGACATACTTACCACCATTCATCCCCCCATTCCCCCCCTTCCCCTCTCTCTGACTCTCCTCCCCTACCGAAATAATCAACATATTTCCTCACCCATCTCTCCCAACACTTACCCAACAACCCCCTTATAACATCCTCCTCCCTCACAAACGCGCCCTCCCCCTCCGCATACCTCGGTACATCTGTCCCTCCTACATCCACAGGCACTCGGGTCTCGGGGTCCCGCGGTGTATACCCCATTTCGAAGAAAGACCGTGCTTCTTGTCGCGTGACGAGTTGGTTCAGTCCACCGTCAGTGATTAGGAAGGCGCGTTGAATCGGATTGGCTAGGAGCGCCGAGGAGCGCAGGGGGTGCGCGGTAGGAGGGGAGGAAGGAGCTGGGGAAGAGCTGGAATTGGGGTTGATATTGCGGGGCGAGGGTCGTGGTGGGGAGGATGACATTGTATTTAATGGGAATAGTTAGTGTGCTGTAGGATATAATTGATCAGGGAAAGATGGGATGAATGTGGGTGTCTGTGATTGGTGGATGGAGAGAGAGTTGGGATATTATAAAACAGGCATTATATGCGAGGGGATTGGACTTGTTTTAGGGGCTGTGAGGAGGCAGTGTAATTGGATTGTGCAAGGCGGATGTGAATGCCATGAGTGGCGGTGCGGTGCTTGAAGGGGACGTGGAATTGGCTGTTTGGAGGGAGGTGAATAGAAGGGGATATGTGGGTGGCAATGTGTGGAGATCGTTCGAGGGTGAGTGGGTTGAATAGAGAGAATGTGAATATAGGTATGGTTTGGGGTGTTTGTGACTGATCATGGGGGTCAATAGGATGGGAAACAAATGGTGAGTGCAGCCGGGAGAGGGTCCTAAGGCTGCAAGGGATGTGGGTGAGCGCGATAAGTGTTTGGAGAGAGGCAAAATGTGAGACGTCTTAGAATTTTCTGAAGATATAATAGGAAGGTAGCTTGGGTTAGAAGTAAGGATGAGCACATCGAAAGGGGATCGTGAAGAAGCTTGCAAATTTCTTAGAGTATGCATAGGTATGAGGCATAGACTGCATATTCTAGAAGAAATATATTTCCTCCCATTCAATCACAGGCAGACGGAATGCCTGGGGTAGCAACAACCAAGAGCCCACGGCCCGTCAAGAGGCTGTACAACCGTTCACAGAACAGCCCTCGTAGGTCGTACCATTATCTATAAAAATTAATTAGCCAGCATCCCCAAATTTTCACGCGAATTTACTTACAATAAACGTAAACACCTCACCGCCAAATTCCCGCAAGTCAAGCTGAATATCCTTCACGCGTTGAAAGCCAAAACGCTCGTACAACGGAGCACCCATTGGCGACGCTTCCAAGTATGCTTCCAAGTCGTTTGTATCTGCCTGGTCGCAGCCCCATTGGACGAGCATTCCGCCTGCGCCGCGGCGGTGGTGCGATGGGTGAGTAACCAGTGTTTCAAGGACTGTGAATGGAGTGGCTTTAGCATGCTGCAAATCATAACTAAATATGCCGTTTACGAGTTTAGGAAGTGGGGGTTCTGTGAATATGAGAGAGAGTACTGACTCAAATACGGACGCGTTTGCATTATCTCGCGCTTGTTCGAATTCAGCAGTGTAAATAACTTGTTCCAGACCCCGACATTGCTCTCATCGTACGGTGTCGGGATCGTCAACCCGGCTTCAACTTCTTCCCACGTTCTTTCCCTTCTCTTAAATATTTCGTTTCCGCCTTCTCCCACCCCTTGACCGTCTTCGCATACCAAATTCGGCGGGACAAATCCCCACTTTGAACCCGCAATCATCTCCCCAGTTTCATCATCCGTAACCTTCATGTATAGGGCGGTGCCTTTAGCGATGTCCGTGCAAATTCCCTGGGTGACGCCATCGAGCGTAGCCTGAGAGGGTTCCCGGGAATACAGTATTTTGTTTATGGTGGGCCTGAAGGTTTCATGGCGGACAGAAACGTAGAGATGGGCCTCTTCAGGGGTTAATGGGGAGACGGTGAGGTTAGATGGCATTTGGAGGTTCAGAAGTTGCGCGGAGCACGCTATTTATGTCGCTTTTCAATTCAGAGAACGTGTCTAACGGGGTGGATTTCAGCACAATCAGGATGAGAGGTACTAGTTTGGGGAAGGAGAAATCAAGATGCGGAAGCTTTGGGAGCCTTAGGTGACTCTTTACTCAAGACAGGGTAGGGAAATGAGTCATCAGTCACGTTTCTAGCTGGAGAATCTCGACTTCACCTTCCTTATTCGATATCACCCTTTAGTCAGCATCCATAATGCAAGAAATAAAGGCATCTGCTACATGCAAAGTGCACGGGAAGGCGACATAATTCAGGGTGAGAATACTCACGTGATTTCTGACTTCAGCAGCTAAACGCTATACCCGCGACATATGGATGCGTTGAGAAGCACTGCCTGCTCTAGTTAAAACATTTCCACTTCGATTTTAATAAAATGCTAGTAGTTCTTGTAACTTTTCTTGTCGACCGTTCATTGCTCCACCTGTAAGCTTGCAGGGGGAGTGAGTCATGAGAGAAGTGATGTATTGTGGACAGAGGATCCGGAGAGCTAGGTGGTTTATGTAATATGTTAGGATGCCACGCCCATGGTTGGTTGGGTAGCACATCGAAGAGCCTCGGGCTTACACACCCTCTCAGCTTTGAACATAGTAGAAACGTAGTAGCTGTTGACATAGTATAGAGGCAGTAGTAGCCATGCGTGAGCTTTCCGCTCATCATCCATTGTTTCTAATAGTGTTTCGTCCACTGTTTCCAACAGTGTTTTGTCCATTGTTGCCAATGATGTTTCGCCCAATGTTTCCAACGTGTTTAGTTCATTATTTCCAGCGGTGTTTCGTGAGTAGAGGCTCCGCGTAGAGCTTGAGTTTAAGCTTGATAACTAGTTCTACGCTTGCAATCTGATGCAACATCGTAGATAGAGGAGTAGGTAGATGATGTGGTAAGTGGTTGTCTTTCAAGTGTTTGGAAAGCTCAAGCGACTTAGCAGTTTAGACGCAATTATAGACAGCTCTTAGAGTCTCTGTAGTTTTGTCTTCATAAGTATCTTAAGAGATGGAGTTTTTAAGCTTTGTGTTGCGAGCACTTGGTGCATTTAATTCTTCTTAAAGTAGATCTGCTAGTTGGCATGATACAAGTAATGTTGTCGGCCAGGCGGTCGATAGCACCACCCTGAATGACCCATGAGCAGGTGGGGCAGGTGCTTCGTACGGTTGAGGGTCGTCGTGGTCGTGGAGAGTATTGCGGTCGTTAAGCAAATAACGTGCCTTCGACGACAACATCGCCTGCACAAACGCCGGCAAGAGCCACTTCTCCGTCTGGCAAGATCTACAACACACAGGTAACTCTATCAGGCATCAAAGTTGTCCATCAGCCCAACGGTTCCGGCGGCGAGCAGATCTTCGGGGCAATAATCGCATTTGATCGTATTAGAGCTTCTCTGCTGACGGTCCACAGTTGCAACAATTATAAGAGCAAGTTCTTGACGCATGTCAGGGGTATGAAGAGTGGCTCGAAAACGGGGTTGGTACAGGATGTATGTCTTGTTAATGAGGGACTGGATGACGGGCATTTACTAACTTCGAAACTGTTGTAAATCTGTGGAGACTGCATTCGTCCGTGGAGGGGGGAATCGGTCGGTTCGTGATGATTTTGTACCTAACCGGTCATGGGCCGGGATGCATTGTTTTAGCTTCGTTAAGGATTCCCCACTACACGCTTATCTAGAGATAGGTATCGATGCAATTCTATAGCCACTCCTTGAATCGAATTCTGTATATTGTGCGTTGGAATATCACCTTTGGATTTGCTCGTAGTCTTGACTAGCTATGTAAAGCCAATTTCGAGGAAAGGTGATGGTATGTCTAACGTGAGAAAGGCTACTGAGTTCAAGAATGTATATCACTCGGCCTGTCTACTTCTAATTAGATCCTTGAAGGCTGGAAATGTGGGACAATGTGGGAAACATGTTTCTGTATAACTAAATAAGTGCACGAAAAATCCACTGGATAGTACTGATAGAGTAGACGAGAAAAACATGCTCCATCCCATCATGCTTGTGATGAGCTAATGCATTAGCTAAAGCGAGGGCCGGTAAAGGTTCTTACTAATAGGCCCTGAGAACTTGTATAGTGATGTGGCTATGCATCGCCGAGGTATTTGCCCATCTCCATGGCACGAATGCAATTCACAAATGCAGATGCATTATAGGAAACCCTGGAAAGAAAGGAAGTAGAACCAATAGGAGAAGGAATCTTATGTTACTACGAAATCTCCTGCCCGGAGACCTCGTCCATAACCTTGTGAAATATGTGTTATAATTTCTGCCGTCCCAGGTTGGTCGAAACATTTCGCTGTGGTTTAAAAGCAAGAACCAGACAGTGATTTCTCATGTGGAATTGAGTAAATATTAATACAAACCACAATCTACACCATGATAAGTCTTCCCTTCATGGTCGCTTTTAGAATCTTTCTCCTCGCGGCGAATCCTTCCTCTATCAACGAGCTAGCAGGAGCTATTGGCTTACCCTTCCACGGGCGCTCCTTTGGGAGCTTCGGACCCAAGAACTCAGCAGGAATCCTGAAATCTCCTCGGGTAGTCTTACTTTCTGTAACACAAGCTGCAAGAGTGAGTATATCAAGTTACTCAGTTTTAAGCAAAGCCTCTTTCCGGAAACTTTCATTGTTACGCGCTCTCACGGAATAAACGAACCGAGAGGCTTAAGGCGGACACTGTGGCCACAGGCTATAGCGGTCACAGCAACTTGGTATTGGTGGGAAGAGCTCTGAGATATCGTACGCAAGATCTTGGCAGAAGAGCGAAGAGCGCATCTGATCTCGAATGGTATTATACACCCATAGGGGTTCAATGCAGCATTCGAAGAGGTCTAGTTCACAGAAATGTTGTGAGGGGGAAGTCGGAAAAGAAGCCGGTGTTCTAACTGCCCTATATATAGACTTCGTAAGTACCGGAACCGAAGAATCTTGTAACAGCGATTTGTTAGGTTTTGGATAATAAGCTGTGTAATTTGCAGGTTGTATTCTTGGGTAATGATGGCAAGAACACCTGCTAGCTTTGAAGCTAGGTATGTCTCTCTTAGAATATCCAGACCCGAGATTCGTTAAAGCCGACAAGCCAGCTAGCTATCTTTTCTGCGAGACCACACCACGCTCGATAGCAGTGTTGTTCTTCGACTCCCCAGCCACACTACCAATAGTCTGAGAGTGTCAGATATTGATTCTAGGAGATGGGATCCTAGCGCTCACTTACTAGTTGGCCCTCTTGTAGTTCATACTTAAATTCTTGCCCCTTGCGTCAGTGTCGTCAATCGAAAACCGTCCGCTGTGCGGAAGGTTGCTCCTTTCCCCATCTTCTTAATCGGTCTTCTTGGACTCCGCAACTCCCATGGAGCAAGAACTAATGGATTTAACGCACCCGGACCCAAATGTCAATTTTATGAGCTACTCGACGCCGAATTAGGTAAGACTCCACCACACACGTCTCTGTTGATGGATTGTAGTCTGCTAGTGAAGGAACATGGTCGGCAACATCCTTCGGGTCGACCTGGTTAATGCAAAGGCTATTCATCCAAATGTTTTTAAGGCAACGACCAGCAGCTTCGACACAGGGGATACTGCATACTTCGCGAAAGTAGTTTGCTTGCGTGAGCGATTTTGCGTTGGGGAAGTAGGAGTGCGCCAGTTTGCGGCCTTGGTCTCGAATTCGGGATCAACTTCCATGAGCCAGTTGTTCTCGAATGTGCAGGAAAAGCCCAGATTTCATGCCTTTTCAGGAAAGCTCGACGGAATGATCAAAGTTTTCAGTTTTGTACTTCCATTCGTTGTCTCCAGGACAGGCGGGACTTGGCATTTTCCTCGGATATTGTGGCAGTGACGCCGGGTCCGAAATATAAGAAACAATGATATATTTCTTCGGCTTGTTACCAGATGCGAGGATACCAGTATGGATGTTTAAGAGTCGTTTCGGGGCTATCGGAGAGTTGGGCAAGGTTGTAGGGCAGGCAACATTAGACATCACTTTATGAAGAGCCTGTATCTTCGGGATAGACCTCAGCTGCGTTACCGACCGCATTTTTCCAGTGATTTTGGAACACGCACCCCTTAGCCTTGTCATGGCGACGGACAGTGCTTGGAGAGATGGTATACGCAAGAAGAGTGAGCCCGCTGCTTAGGCGTGCCTTCGCTTATCCGTAAAGTTTCAAGAAATAGGAAAGTAGAAGTGAAGGTAGCTGGAGGCCAAATCAATTTGCACCGAAATGAAAGAATGTTGAATGGCTAGTATGGAAGAGTTACTGATCGGTGCGAAATCGTCATGGTCGCATTGAGGTGAGACAGGCGAATTGCCTCAGTGTGGCGAAGTCCGTGGCCGTGCCACACATTTTTGTTCACATCCATCCTCCCATGGCTTTGATATTTGCTTTTCGTCCATGCTCTTGTCTCTCTGAAAACCTGGAATATGACGTTATTCTAGGGGTTATTATGCAATCTTCGCGCCCGCTCAATCCTGATCTGACAAGCTTCAAAAGAGTGTCGTCACTGGATGAAGCTACCACGCTACTTCAGAGATGCATTGTAGAACTCCAGAAGTCATTCCTGCTGTAGACTGCGGCAAGTGGTCAGCTGGATGCAAAAGAGTAGAATCTGTCCCTCAGCTGATATTAAGTCGTGAAAGGAATCTAAACTATAAATCTATCTTCTGCAATAGGAAATCCGTACGCCAAAAATGGGCAGTCTGCTCGTAATTGTCCTGAACCGAGCAAAATACATTGCCGCACGTGTTTCCAATCAGATCCTGGAAATGTTGCAGGCTTATCAAGGCTTCTGCGCCAACTCAACTTGGACGTCTCGACAGCGATGTAGACTTCATCAATGGCTGCGTTCTCCGGCCATTCCCCATTGGCTTGGTTGATACTCGCAGTGAGTACTCGGGCTCGATAACTCCGGACGGACGGCAGGGGAGTCAGCCTGACGTTAGCTTTGCCTTTTTCTTGGTGCAACTTGTCACGATGACTCTGTTCAACCCGGGCGGAAGGGGTTCAGCGGTTGGACAGCTGGATTTCACGACCGGAACCCGACGAGAATTGACACTTCGACCCACGAGTTCTCAACGCATTCTGTGGCCTTGGGCGCGTGCGTTGGAGCACATGGAGTGCGCGGAGTCGTGGATCCTGGCGGCGCGAGGTTGCTTCTTTCTGCAGTGAACATGCCCTTCCATATCCCGCGCAAGCTACCCGGCCGGCCACAAGATGGACATGCCGTCGCCAGCCCTATCGAATCAGGCAGTGCAGCAGTAAATTTGAGAGCGACCGGGCTGGAGGACCGAAAGAGGAGCAGAAGCCTTCTCGCGGGCTTCTTCAGCGATGACATGCGGCGTGAGCCCATCTCAGCTGACTCCCCACACGGTACTTCACGGACCGCAAAAGACATGAGCCTGAGCTGGCAGTGCAGATATGCAGGCGCTGTGGTCTGCGCTGGTCAGCGTGTCGTGTATTTTGTGCCTGGAGGAGCGGCAGTGGGTCAGCATCCATCCTCGGTACCGCCCGTCCTTCCGTGACCGAGCCACACCAGGACTCTCCAGTGTCGTCCTCGTCGCTCTCCTCCCCCAACAACATCACATCTCGCCTCCCGTCGCCAGCAGATGTGCCCGTGTGCCGTGCGCCACAGGCACTCTCCTTCGCCGGCGAAATACACCCGCCTAGCATCTGTCCAACGACCTCGCGCCGCGTCGAGAGCGGGCTCAGTTCATCTATTTTGACCGCCACTGTTCGGCTGGCAACGTCGCTGCGTGTCCCGGACCTCACTGTTACCCAGGCTCTCCTCCAGCGACTCACACCCAGCATGCCACAGTCGCCCCAAGCCCCCACGCCCCAGGAACACTCACCATGACCTTTTCCCACGACGACTCCTTTCGCTCCATTACCGGCGTCCCAGAGTCTGCAGAGCCGGCAGCGAACAGCAGCTCCCCGCAGCCTCCGATGGCTTCTCTCCGCGATACCTCAACGAATAAGGCCCAGCCACCTGCATCTGCGTCCGACAGCGGCACCCAGCCCGCCATGCGATACCAAACGCTCAACGGATCACGCTCTTTGAATGTGTCCGGCTCGCCGTCGACGGCTAACTCGCCGCTGTCCTCACGAGACACCTCGCCTGCACGCCCGCCGCACCGCCAGCAATCAGCGTCTGGCCCGCTGCCAAAGTCAGGTCTGCGATCGCGAAAGAGCAGTGCAGACGTGAGTCCTAGCAGAGGCCCCAGTCTTGCGGGTTCAAGCACCACGATACCTTCTGCCGCAGCCATACAGCGAGCATTGTCATCCGCCAACATCCCCCAGTTACCCCCAACATCTTCATCCACATCCTCCCAGGAACCCTCACGCGTCCCCCGACCCTTGAAGCCTGCGTCAGGCACGACATCTGGGGAGAGCACGCCCCATTGGCCTATCTCGCCACGATTAAAGTCACCCCCACCCGCCCCAGATTCTCGCTCGCGCTCACGTCAAAACTCGCTGCGCACCCAGCCAAAGAAGGCTGAATCCTCGTCCACACCCTCAATCGTCGTGCAAAGTTCTTCGCCAGCACCTGCGTCACGGATACCGGTGAAGGATGAGGGCATAGCCAGCGATCCTGAAGAGCCCGCATTGAGCATGAAAGTTTCGTCGCGAGGTGCCAGCGGTGCAGCTCCGAAGCTAGAGACTGTCCAAGAAGCGAGCCTGCCTACATCGCCGGGCTTTGACGGTTTGGACCCACCGAGGTACAACTCTCCTCAGCGGAGTCGGTCCCTGCGCCGCTCGGCCGTGTCCAACGCCATAGCTACATCACCGAGCAGGGAAAGCCCGTTATCGCTCTTCTATGCTGACGAATACAGTCTGCACAGCAGCACGCAATCCCGCAAGTCGTCCGACGACGAACGAAATGACGTCACGACGTCTAAAATCACTGAAGACCTCAGCGCGAAGAACACTCGCCACCCCGAGAGCGGCAGCGACGGCGGAATCAACAAGGTTGACAACAAAGGCAAGATGCAAGAGCAGCGATCCGCCTCCACCCAGCGCTCCAACGTCCTCCCCTCCAAAGCCTCGTTTTCCTCCCTCTCCACCATCAAGTCTCGTACCGAAGCGCCTACGCGGAACATGACGGTAGAGACAGAGACGGTACCATCGATTGCACAAGCATCGATAAGCAATCAAGAGCGCTCGGCGTCCGGCCGCGGAGACGGCAGCCTGCGCCTGAAGCCAAGTAATGAGACAATTCGGCCAAAAAAAGAAAAATCAAAGCCAAAGCGGAAAGCACCTTCAATCAATTCTGGTACTGGTATGTCGCCTCGTGCTCATATTTCATATCACCATCACCACCCAAGTCGGCCAGACAACACCGCCGCATCGTCCTTCTCTGGGAGTCCAGTCTCGTATCGTTCGTGCGATGACCGGCGGTCGACAGCCACAATGTCACCCCCGAGCCCAGAGATGGCGATGCGGAGGCCTTCTATTCGTTCCCCCTCTTTAATATATTTATATACAAGTACTAATTCTAGCTTGCGTAAAGCTTCTTCCAAAGCAGATGTGTTTGAAAAGAAGGTCGCCAGCGCTGTAGATGAAGCGGAATCCTCAGACTCTGACGAGACTTTCGTCTATGAATCTAACCCTGATACCCGAGCTCGACACCATCATTCTAGGACTCCGAGCATGACTTCTATAAACAGTCTCGTCGATCCCAGAGCAGTGCTTCGAAGTGAGGCGAATAGAAATCCAAACAAGAAAACTAGTATGAAGTTCGCGACACACTCATACAATAACCCGATTTCCGACCCTGATGCGATTGACCGTGGTGAAGGAACCAATCGAATCGGATCGGGGAGAGTCAGTGGAGGCAGCCACCATCACCACATTAGCCGTCATGGGCATGGACGAGGCACGCTCAACCATGTCATTGATAGCGACTCTTCATTCGCTCAGCCCTCGCGAGCACGAAACCCTTCTTCGCGCCAAAGTTCGCAACCGAGTAGCCCGAAATTCCACAACTTGCGGATAGGGAATGGCAACGGCGCCAAGAAAAATGGCGAATTTTCTGCTTACGATTTGGATGCCGAACATGCAGCCGATGACGAGCGAACGCCACTTATATCTGGTCGCAACGGGCGTGCCCGAACACCTCGGCGACCCAACAGCGGTTTCCGGCCCCACGAGCGACAGCACCGTCGCAACGGCGGATGGTGCAGGAGGTTTGCCGGCTGCCTCGTACTTTCCATTCTCGTCCTCGTCTTGATCTTTAGCGCTGTGGGGTTGGTCTTTGCTTCGACCAAGCCGCTGTACGACGTCAAAGTCCGCGAGATCCAAAATGTAATTGCCAGTCAGGAAGAAATCATGCTGGATCTTGTGGTTGATGCTATAAACCCGAATATCATCGGCGTTACGATTGCAGACATGGATGTCAACATCTTTGCCAAGAGTAAGCATGTTGGCTCCGACAAGTGGTGGCGGGAGCACGGCGGCAACCACCGCAACAAAGAAAATTGGCATCCGCTTCCTACCGTTCCCGCAGAGTCAACTACCGAGGAGAGTGTTCACATCACTAACGGGATTGACGAAGGCACAGATCCAATCTCGGATCCGGAAGTTGGAGAGCCCAGGATCATGCTACTAGGTCGCATCTTTCATTTCGATTCACCCCTCAATTTCGATGGCTCGTTCCTCAAGCGGAATATGGCCGAATCATTGGGCGAATTGCGTGTCACCAAACCGGGAAATAAAACTGAAGCTGGAGGGACAGAACGGTGGGAGGAGGTCCTACAATATCCTTTTGAACTCATTGTCAGAGGCGTATTCAAATACCAACTCCCGCTCAGCACCCGAGAACACACCATACCTATCACCGCATCGTATTACTACGACCCCGACCAGGAGAAGAAGAAGGTCAAGGCTCTCTCGGTGGAGCTTGATTCTCGAACCTTGTCACCAAAACCTGTATCATCAAAGCCCTTAGGACGATACCATGTCCGAGGACGCCCCCTTCTCATTTGAGAGTCGTAACCATTTCCTTATCATTGTACTGGATTGGACCGAGTGGATAAAATTGGCAAGCCCCAAGAAAAATTCCCAAAATCAGATACCCCTCATACACACGGATTTACGACTATAGACCGGTCAAGCGAAGAATCGCGGACCTTTATCTGGGCTCACCAGCCTTACGAATATTTTTACTTCGCAATCCCCATTGTTTGTATCACCTTTATATCTCCACTGGAGTGTTTTTTGTCATTGATCGTGGTTTCCATCTCCATGCGAGCGCTTCAGCGAGGTGTTTAGTTAAGGTTTAATGCTGAGGGAGGACTATTTGGATCCTCATTTTCTGCCTATTGATTGGAGGACTTTCGCCGAATTTGGTGGGCCTCACGACGCTCCTTTTGGAAATTTCTTTTCCATGTCTGTCTCTCTGTCTGAACACAACACTTGATTGGATTGGCCCTGGGATTTCGGGATAGAGATCGTTATCGATCGGATCGGATGCATTGTCAATCCCACATCACATCACACATCACATCACACCACATGCCATCATTCATCATCAACTCTCCAGACGGACACTCGTCACCAAAATATCGATTCAACATACACGCATACCCAGGAGTGGCACACTTTTTTTATTGCTTTTTTATGGACAGGGTCGGGGTCTCTCGGTCGGTTGCATGGGAGTTCTCTATTTGGTTTAGATTGGAATGTGAGAACGCATTGCGGCTAGGATTGCTCACCCGATGCTTTCCTCAGTGCCCCGCGGCACAGATGCTGCTTGAGTTATTGGCATTTATTGGGTTGAACGTCCTGATAGCGGAAGTTCAAGTTCAGCCTGCCTCAGAATGTTTGTATTGGTACAACAGTTGGGTGGTGTAGAGTAGAAGGGAGACGATTTGAAAGAGGAGGGGTAGATGGGGTTAGGTCAGTAGGGGAGAAGAGAAAGGCATGAGGGTGGTCGGGCGCGGAGGACAATACCAGCGTATTCAAGCGATCCTAGATCGAGCAGGTAGCCTTCCCTAGCCTCGACGTGCGTGTCGGCCGATGATAGGAGAGAACTCCATAGATATCTTCATCCACTCATTGTGTATGTTTGTCGTCCTGTACTAAGCTATGCGAGTAATCGTGATGCTGCATGTGATATGATCACTCAGCCGCTTGAAGCTTCCAGCAACAAGACATGTAGATGATTGTAAGAATTTCTTTGGTCCTAAGATGCAAAGTTAGGGTCAAAAGGTGCCATTTTTAAAGTTTGCAGGACTTTTTGGTACCAGCACATTTTGGCTGGCGGCAGGAATCTTCATTCCCAGCGCCTAGTCAGGGAAGAGCTATCGATGTTTTGTAATTTTATTGCTGGCGTATGACTGATATTAATCGTTATTTTGGCGCTGCTGAAGGGAGACAGGACTTTTCTATGCTCGCAAATTTTTTTAGAAGGTGCAGAAGATATTACCTGCATGTCCCTCCTTCTTTGTGTCCCCAGACCAGGAATTAGGGGTTGAAAACCGTGGTTTTCCGTCCCCAGAAGAATATAAATGTTCTTGTTATTGTTCATTCTAATGCCAGCCTGAGAACCATAGAGTATGTTAACGTTTCCTTTTAATGTTGCCAGAGAGGATACACAGTTTGTGTAACGTTTATAATCATAAAAAAGGCAGAAATGAGTTGTTTCTCGGTCTTTTGTTATTCCAAGGATGCGATGCGGTTTCTTTCTCTTTTCCGTAGTCCACGGCACCATAGGTAGGAAGGAAAGAAGTCTTTAGTCCCTAGAAACAGGCAAGCATTGATGTGCCGCTGGAGGTTTTTTGGTCTCCATAGATGTGACGTATTGGTCATTTATTTTAAAATTCTTCCGGGCATAGAGGGTATGATCGATATTCTCTACTCGTTTCGCCCTAGAGACCTGAGGGCCTTTGTATAGGTTTTGAGTGCCGGGAACGCGAAGCCGTCTGGTATTAAGAAACATTAGATTGTCGAATTCATCCTTGGGCGTAACCCAGAAGATATCAGTATACTTCATTTTCTACCGCCGAGATCAACTCTAAGGAATTTGTTAGTGGGAAAATTCCCCACATGGACAATATTCCTGAAGACTTCCAGCCAGAAAGGGTGGAGAGCGAAATTTCCAGCCCAGACCCCTTGTCTCTCTCGCGAACACCATCGGGCGAAGACGGTTGAGCTTCTAGCGAGACGTTCTCCTCGACATGAGAATACCTCTAACGCAATTTTTGATGATCATGCGGGGAAACAGACCAGTTCTTGAGCCAAGATCACGCGGTGTCTCTAGATGTGGAGTGTAAGAAGAGAACATTCGGGTTTTTATATCGTGGGGGGGGTTTTTCCGGTAGTCACCGACAGTGTTTCCTGACTGTGACGAAAGGCTAACTTTTATGTTGCTCCAAGGCCCGCGATATCTCCTGCTAGCTTTGTTATTTCCTAACGTTGATTCCCTGGCTACACCTAGTTTCACAATGAACTTGTGCTATTTCGCTTTTTTAAGCTCTGCAAATTTCGATCCATGAGAAGATTTAAGGCTAGTTTTTTATCCAAATCCAGTGCCACGATTTGCGGTATTTACAAATATCAGGACACACGCGGGCGTTCAGGGCTTCCAACGAGGCGTAGTACTGTACAATTGGGCGATTTTGAGGCCTGTACGGGTGAGATTTTGTGTACGTTCGTACGACAGGGAGGAGGAGAGGTAGGCGTACATATTGTAACTGTTACAGCTCACGTGATCTGTACAAGTAGTACTATTTAATTAAAGTACACTGTACTTTAGTTAAAACAGCTAAGACTATAGGTCTCTAGAGACGTAAGATTAAGGTCTAATTAACTATAAAATAACTAGTTCTCCTTAGTAACAAAAGCAGATAGGACTAGATAAGGTAAGGCAGCAAGAGGCGTGGATAGATAACTCTGCAATAGAAAATGGTCTAGAATAGGCATTTTTAAGACAACAGACTGCAGATAGATAGATTAAACCCCTTAGAAAGAGATTTAAGCGCCTGTAGGCCTCCTGCTTGCTAGAGCCCTCCTACCCCTCTAGAACCCCTATACAAACTTCCTAAAAGGGTAATACAATCTGTACTACGTACTGTACCTAGGGCATTATTAATTGTACAGTACAGCTCACGAACTCGGTACGTTTGTACTGAACACGTGACCGTTACGGTTCACTTTGTACGGACTGTAGTACGGCCCGTTGGAAGCCCTGCGGGCGTTAAGCACGAGGTAAGATTTTTTTTTTTTTAATATTGCTTATCAGGCACAGGGTCCATTTTCGGGGTTTCATCCTTTGCTTGATGTTAGGTATCCCAATTTTTATTGAGCTCTGTGTTATTTGCATGAGAAGAACTTCACCAAGGATACTTCTCGCTCGTAGCTGCAGTACAGTAATGAGCAGCATGTCATATGCTGGCAGTAGATACAGATACAGTGGCTTTTCCGGTTCGTTGGGTATTTCAGGAAGGGGAATAGAATAGAATCGGAGTCCGACATTTCTATTTTGGTATTTTAGCCGTTGAATTGCTTGTTGTTGGCAGAATGTATGCGGGGAAGCAGAAGGATGCATGATTCACGGGCAGCTCACGGTCAGACCTTTTATATTTGCTTTTTAGCTCCGCTTCCCTCTCTTATCGGGAAATATAAGCTTCACTGGTTGTGAATTTCGTGGGGGGATAGTGGGCAGGCTACTGTCTACTAATATTTCTGGGAAGGAAGAGTACAGAGTAGAGATTATTGCTGAGATGGAACCTCTTCTATGAAGAATACTTACCAACAAAATCTAGAACTCGAGTACATACAATTACTCACAAAGAGAATCAAAACAATCAGTGCTTCTACCCTCAAGCCAACCACGCCACTTCAACCCACGCCAATCCTTCCTTCAACCATCCCTCATCTTCTTCCCTCAACTGAACATCAAACCCATGATTTCCAGGTCTCGTCGCTAGTCTCATCTCCGCCCCTTCCACAACACTCTCCACCTTCTCCACGAAGGCCTTACTATCTTCCACACTCACCGCCTCATCTTCCGTTCCATGAATAATAAAACTTGGCGGGAAAAAAGCTGCCCCTTCTACTGCCGTGATCGGCCAAAGCTCCTTCCCCTTTCCGAAAAACTCCTCGTAGCGGCCATGCGCGAAGAGCGCGAAGGAGAGCGGGATACGGGTGGGTGGAATGGCGCTGGTAATGGTGGTACCTGGGGTGATGGTAGAGAGGTGGTCATCGATGAGGGATGGGGGAGGGAGCGGGCCGAATATTGTTGGGATAGAGCCTTTGGAGAGGCAGGGGGTGTTGGTCATGGGGTATTGTGCAATGCACGCTTTGATGAAGTTTTTCGGAGTGGTGAGTGCAGATTGGAAGACTAGGTAGCCGCCAGCGCTTTCGCCGGTCACGAGGAGGTGGTTGAAGTCTGGGCTGATGGTCGGGTCTTTGGAGGAAAGGTATGTGGGAAAGGAGGTTTGGAACCAAGTCCAGAAGTCGGATAGGTCTTCCAGGATATCCTTTCCGCTATGCTCAGGGAGGAGGCGGTAGTTAGGCATGATGGTTATGGCGCAATTGCGGTGGATGAAAGGAACGAAGAAAGCAGCAAACCAATCTGGGAAGAGGGCAGTGCCTGTGACCTTTCCAAGTATTAATTTTTGTTTGACATCTGGTTTTTCATTTCGAAGAGTTGTCGCAGTGATTGACTGGACAGGAGCGGGTATGGATTAGAAGGTATGATCAACTTACTAGGCTTCCTCCATGGAACTTGACAATGAGTGGATGCTTCCCTGGCTTGATATTTTTCGGTACGATGACGTTGACTTCGATTTCATGGCCACCAATCTTCTTATAGGAAGTACTGTAGATGTTAAACGTGTCGAACCGATTCGCAGCTGTAGTATGGTATTCAGACATGGCGTATTGCAACTAGTCTTATGATCGGATTGGACTTTGGGGCTAAGATATGAATGGAGGATTTTTGAACTGAATGACAGGGAAAGATTAAGAGGGGAAGTCTGCTGTCGTGCTATATTCCTTGCGACGAGTTGTATGATCGAGGGGCACCTGTATCTTCCTTTTCCTGGTACCTACGCCTTCTTTTATGGTCCGTTGATCTCAAGTGGATTTATCGGCATCTGTTCAACTCCGAAGTGCTCTGGACACGTCACATCAAACCTCCAGGCCGTCTGGCTAGCAGTTCGTACTTGGTGGTCATTAAAGTTTCATCCCTTTGAGATAGGAAATTTCTGTCCGTGCACAGTTCAACGCTATTCAGATACAAGCAATTTTGGGACGTGCTCTTGGCAAGGGTGTTTGCATAGTGCACGCGCCACGGCTTGTGTTGGAATTGGGTTTGTCAGCTGGGCGAAAGATGACTGGAGGATAATCCGTATACGTGGGGACATATAGATGTTGGTTTCGGAGGCTTTAGCGCGCTGATGATGACACCTGTTGAAAGGGCGGCGTGATCGTCTGGGATAAAAATCGACCGCCCTTCCGGTGGTGCTTTTTAGCATCAGATTGGCTGAGTGGTCTGAATCTGAGAAACTAGGTAGTGAATTCTTCGAAGGACCGGGCATACTATTGTCCGAGAAATATTTCAAGGTGGATCATCACTGCATGCGGAGACTCTGCCATGTGCGGTCGTACTGCGGTCGTGCTGTAATTGTATGTCTAGAGTGAACCTTCAATCTCCTGGATCCTCGACATGGTCTTATCCCATTTCCCCCACTCTCCATCAGGCAGTTTACCCTTGAGTGGTAGCCTACCGCCCTCAAGGGTACCCATTCCGAGGACTCGTTGAACTCCTTCTTTGATACCAACAATTCCCCACGTTCCGATGAACTCTTCTGCGGTGCTCACTACGTACTGCAACTTCTGTATTTCCTCATGTACCTTCGGTTCGATAGGTCGCTTCTCAGACAAGGCCATCAGCCGCGACACAGTCTTTGGATACATTGCTGCGAGGCCATCGATGACTCCGGCCGCACCGAAGAAAACGATTGGCCCCAGTTGTTGCCCAAAGCCACTGAACACTTTAAATTTGTTATGATCGATATCAGGATCGAGCGAGACTTGGACATGATACGACACGTTTCCGTGAGACATTTTACAGCCCACGATATTGGGGTGCTTAGCGAGGATGGAGTAGGTCTCGGGAGTCACCATCACATTGTTCGTGACACCTGGGTAGTTGTATCTGTGATCTTCGATCAGTACTCCCTTCGACGCCGGTCTATCCTTGGCACTGACATTAGAATGGGTATTGGTGAATTATTCGCAACCACGGTATACCACTCCCTGATGTTCTCCTGGCTCGCCGCAGCCCCAAAATAACCCGGTGCAAGCACTAATCCCCATTGCGCACCTGCCTTCTTAAAATCCTGCAACCACTCCAACACTTCATCCACACTATTAATCAACACTCCAGCCATAATGGGATAATCGGGGAACCCCGCATCGTTCAGCCCTTTCCGAACACCAGACACCATGTCGAAGCGTTCTTGTCGCGACATATGGATTGCTTCACCCGTCGAACCAAGCAGCACAAGACCGCGAATGCCATTTTTAGCGAGATGAATGCTGTGAGTGACCTGTGTCTCGACGTCTATGACAGGTTGGAGGGTATTGGTCGCGGATGCAGGTTTGAAGAAGGTCGGGACTGGGACGAAAACCCCTGTGGGTGGTGATGCGATCATTCTGTGGCTCGTGCTTATCAGGGGTGGCTTAGTTCGATGTTTGGAGACCGTGAACCTTCATAAACCTTCGCAAAATAGGGCCTTTGAAGATTGAAGTTTCGAGGAAGCATTCCGAGATATGCGAAACTTATTGTCTGCCGCCTCGGTGTATATCCACCGAATTCCCGAAGCTTGATGTGTAAAGTGGAGCATTTATTCAACATCTTGACCCCGCGCCGACTTCGGATTAGATTCAACATCTCCAAAGTTTTTGGATGTAGCAAATACTCTTGGAAAGCCCAGGAACCCTTCGCTCTGAGCCGCCGATTGCCGTTTCTGTTGACCACTGTTCGCCTTTCGGGGCCGATTGCACCGGGTATTCAGCGTTCCTTTCATTCACCGATGATTCATAGCTCCTCCTGCAAGAGCGAACCTCAGTAGTATTACTCCTTATTCTTCCAAAAACACTCTCATATTCACCGTAGGGAATGGGGAAGATAGCAAGCATCGAATACTTCCGGGTCCCCCCCCGCTGGGTCTTCGTCAAAATCGTCGACGAAGCAGGCAACTTTGGCTGGGGAGAAGCCTCACTTGAAGGTCACACTCAGGCCGTAGAAGGCTGTCTAGATGCTTGGATTGAGAGATATGTCGGATTTGAAGCAGAGTATACACACCTCAAATCTACTTCGATCATGCTTCGAATGGGATAGCTTACAATTTGCAGTGATATCGAACATATATGGCAGATGTCATGGCGGACAAGCTTCTACAGAGGTGGTCCCGTTTTTATGAGTGCTTTAGCAGGAATTGATATTGCCCTCTGGGACCTGAAAGCCAGGAAATTAGGGGTACCGATCTACCAATTACTAGGAGGGAAGGTACGGGACAAACTCAAGGTGTATGCCTGGATAGGGGGAGATCGGCCTTCAGACGTAAAATCGCAAGCGTGAGTACCAGCCCTTATATCTAGGTTCCTGGCTGAGCTCCTTCAGACTCGCCCGCAAAGACCAAGGCTTTAACTGCGTAAAAATGAATGGTACCGAAGACCTCGGCTGGCTCGACTCGCCCTCCGCAATGTACGATTGCGTTGAGCGACTAAAGACTGTTAAGGAGGCTGGAATGGATGCAGGCATCGATTTCCACGGAAGAGTCCATAAGCCGATGGCAAAACAACTGGCCGCAGCGCTCCAACCCCACCACCCGCTTTTCATCGAAGAGCCCCTTCTCTCTGAACACATCGGAGGCCTCAAGGCCCTCTCTCAACAAACCTCTATCCCCATCGCTCTAGGCGAGCGTCTCCACTCCCGCTGGGATGTGCGGCCCTTCCTCGAAAGCGGCTGCGTTGACATCCTGCAACCAGATATCTCGCACTGTGGCGGGATCTCAGAAATGAAGCGCATTGCCGCAATGTGCGAAGCATATGATGTCGCACTTGCGCCGCATTGTCCTTTGGGGCCGATAGCGCTTGCCGCATGTGTGCAGGTTGATGCCACGAGTGCGAACTTTGCGATTCAGGAGATGAGCTTAGGGATTCATTACAATGTAGGTGGACAAGATTTGACGAGTTATATTCATAATCCTGAGGTCTGGGTGGTTAAGGAGGGATACATTGACTTGACGAAGGAGCCAGGATTAGGGATTGAGGTCAATGAGGCTATGGTTAGAGAATTGTCGAAAGGAGCTAAGGCTTGGGTTTCGCCGGGATTCATTGGACCCGGTGGGGAGGTAAGAGAGTGGTAGAGTAAAACAAGTTTTTCAAAGAAAAATGGAATTTAATAGACTCGCGAATTTTCTTTATTTGGACTCTATCTCTGACGATGAGCAGTGAAGTTCGGAAATCCTTTGTCATGTCCTCCTATTTCATATGTAGCCTTAGGCGACAATCAAATGAAGTTCTCTCTAGATAAGACCTTAAAGGTCTCGTTGAGAATGAACTTCCTTGGGAAGGAGGCCGTGGCAGAGTAAGAGTACTTAGCGGGGCAGTCAAGGCAGTTCAGCAAGATGTGCTAAAGGGACAATACCCAAATCTCATGTGTAGCTCGAGCGCTCTGGAGTGAGCACAGTATCTCAGGACTCGTTTAGCTGTTCCGTTACAGCTAACAGCAAACTCGAGAGGCAAGCCGACAGATGAACGACTCTAAAGTTAATTCAGTCTAGTGTCATCGATCAGCTATGAGAGTTCTCAAGAGCTCTTTAAGAAGAATAGAGACACAGACGAAGAATGGTGAAGGCATCTGCGATACAGTGGGCTGCAGCTGTGGCGTTAGGTTAACTCCGTTCGGGATCTTCGGAAGCCGCAGCCTTATCCGAGCCCCCGATGTGGGGTAATTGACGAGCGGAGTGAATGTAGCACAAGCCACGCTTCGGCTTATGCACCCCAGCTTTCATCGAAACTTTTCCGGCTGGACCGACTAAAAACCCCTCTCTAATTGCTTGAAATGCTGCTTTTCCATAACGCACTACGATTCCTAACACCTGGCTTCTGACTCCATGGAAAATAATACGCCGCCTTCGACCGAATGGGTCCACGTCACGGGAAACCCGACGGAAACCACAGCGCCGCTAGATGTAGCTCCCAGAGAGCCAAAGTCTCCATCCACGAAACGTCGGAAAGAAGAAAGAGAGAGGAGTCGTGTAAGCAGGGCTTGTGATAGATGCAAGAAGTAAGTGTCGCGGGAATCATAAGCACCCGGACCTTTACAGCTCGTTCTACTTGCATTTGCATGTGCTAAGGCACATTCAGGAAGAAGACCCGGTGTACTGGCCGGTGCCCATGCACGCTATGCTTGCGCACTGGACTTCCATGCGAGTTCACTGCCTCATATACGAGAGGAAGATTGCCGTCCGTCATCGTTGATGAGGCTGCAATCACTGCAAGTACTGGACCAAGGCTATCAATGCCTACTCAAGGTTCCGCTCTAGACACATCCATGACGAGTTCACCAAATACATCACTGCAGCTACCTGTGCCGAATACAGTTCTGGATCGCCCGAACACCACGGAGCCCTTTATCAAAGTAGACAGGCTCACTGTTCCAGATGACCCTAATCGGGATCCACCTTCAAGGTCATCACCCGAGCCGGCGCAGACAGATCAACAAGGCCATTACGTTGGGCCTGCTTCAGGGGTATCTTTTCTTCTACGAATTCAGAGAAGATTACATCAAAACAGTTCTCTATCTCATGAATCGTCAATATTTACCTTCGGCGATGCTCCTTTGCCTGAGTTCGATCCCACGTTCTTTGTCTTACCCCCGAAGGCTGATGCCCAACGCCTTGTGGAAAGATACTTTGACTTTGCTTCCCCGACCCACCGCTTCTTACATCGACCTTCAATTGAGAAGATGCTCCAGGAGTTCTATGAAACCATGGGTGATATGCGGAATAAGGAGGATGCACCAGCGAAGACGGCTCTCCTTCTAATTATCTTTGCACAGGCTCAAGCCTATATGCCACCCGGGAGTAAAACAGGTAGTACAGATACAAGGTAGAATTCCTGCTCAACCATGTGGACTTTCCACACTGAACACGTTTAGTGCGCGATATTTCTTTGCAGCAGACCACCAACTTTCCAAAGAGCGTGGAGCAATCCGTTTGGCGAGTGTGCAGGCGAGATTGGGACAGTGTTTCTACCTTCTTACGCAATCACGCATCAACCACTGCTGGAGCCTTTTTGGAACAATGGCGCACCTTGCCCTTGCAATAGGATTACATCGTGGACGGAGATGCGAACCGTCAGGTACCTTAGATTATATCGAACTAGAGAGCCGGAGACGCTTGTTCTGGTGTGCGTATACTTTGGATAAGTACCTTGCTGCAGCTCTTGGCAGACCAAGGACCTTCAAGGATGAAGACATTGATCAGGTACGCATCCCAATACGTAGTATTACGGCGTTCCGGAATTACTTCGAACTCTTATTGATCGGGAAGTCTGGCATCAGCCTACTGCTAACTTAGTCTAGGAGCTACCAACAATTGTTAATGACAATGACCTACATGCCACGTCCATCAATCCTTCGCCCAGCAAAACCCAATCGGTAATGATGGCGCCGGTGGAACATGTTAAGTACAAAAGCTTCATACGCCCCCCCTCACCAAATTCGGTACTAAGTCTTGCAGAATATCTCGCATTGTGAGCTTGATCTTGCGCGACTTGTATCCTATCCGTCCACCCTCTATGCCTCTCCGGATCGAACTCGCCACAAAGTATTCTAAAGACCTCCGCGAGTGGCGAGCAAACCTAACCCGTTTCTTGGACGCGGATGGCGTTGATACGTCTCTGCTAATACCACTCTACCAGCGCCAGCGCAATGTCCTCAACCTCGCTTACCACCATGCTATTCTTCTTGTCCAACGCCCTTTCTTGCTTAGCAACTTTGCTAGCCTCGCGTACTACGACCACCGGCCAGGGAGCATGAACAACATTGATACCACACAAAACATCGCAGAATGCCTGGAAGCTGCCATGGCCATGGTCCGTATTGTTGATGAATTGTTCCAAGGAAATCAGATCTTCCGCGCCTTCTGGTTCACACAATATTACGCTTTCTGCGCCGTCGTCGTGATCTACATATACCGCATCCAGCAGCACTTCGTCGAGCCAGGGAAATGCGAGGGATATTTCGCCGCTGGCCAGCGCTGCCAAGCCCAGCTTTCATCTATCTCAGAGACAGATTGCTTGTCAAAACGGTACTGTCTTGTTCTTGAAGAATTGCGTCTAGAAGCAACCCGTCAAACAAATCAACAAAACCGGCCCGCCCTAGCTGGTTCACCCGCTGCTCAATCCGATCAGTTGAGCTTGCCAACTGTCTCGGCTGGCATGCCAATCTCGTCATCGACCCCAAAAAGCGATGCTAGTGCAGGATTTGCTGCCACCTTTTCTTATGGAGGGAATATCCCCCCAACGCCAGAAAGTGCAGTGTTCAATATGATCCCGACAAGTAGTATCATGGCCGACCTGACGAGCTGGGGTCAATTTGATAGCCTGGTCACGGCCGGGATTGGAGTGCTGGATGGGAGCTTTCCGGGAGATTCGGGATTTGGATTTGGATCTAGTGCAAGATGACGAAGTGACTTAGAGCGATAGGTTGAGCTGTCTATGCCTCCAAAAAGGGCACACAGAGGAGTCCCCGTGTATAAATGAACCATCTCCCCTACTCACATTACCTAGATTTCACAAAAAAAAGACATAGAAACTTGGTTGAAGCAATCTTATGCTACGGAAAAGCTTACTGTCATCGCTGGAGATGGAGACCTGGTTATGTGTATGATGATAGAGCAACGAATGAACCGGCTATGTATGTACCTACATTCTCATTCCGCTTCCAGCGCGCCACTCTTGTTTAGAAGAAGCCCCATTAAATGTCCTCCCCGCTACCTCAAATCCTCTTCATAGATCCCTAGGCAGATACCCATACTATGCATGTAACTAGATGACAGATTTTGGAGGTCTTTGTGGTAGTGCATGATAAGAGTTAGAGATGCCGGCATATAGACAATGCGAACGTGCGATAATCGGATCCGAAAATAGTTCCCTTTCTCTGTGATGTATGGCCGTTCCTATAGGGTGGAAAGCAGTGATGTGACATCCGAAAAGATATAAAGCACGTAATATTTCCCTAGCACCCCCAATCCAGCCGGCCATTTCTACAGGGCCTCCAAAGCTGTGACCACGTTCAAGCTTCCGTTGTCTTAAATCTAGTTTCTATAGGGCTGAAACACACCCGCATGAACCCGGTTCACCGCCAGAGTCTTGCCGTCACAAGATGAAACAGGTTCGCATCTGCCACAAGCCGCGCAGGCCAACCATGCAGCCGAACTGAGGTTATTAGCCTGGTCCTGGTGAACGGGAAGCAGGGGCTGGAGCTTGATTTGACTCGGTTGAGACTCCTACGCGCGTTCTCAAAAAGCAAGAACTTGAATTCGGGGTGGGCGAGTGGGTGCATCAATCATGGACATACGTGCCTGTTATCGGCGACGTTGGCAGAGCGAGGATTTGTGCAATGGTATATTATAATTGTTGTATGAGAAATTTGAGGTATCAATGTATCTGGTTAGAAGACTTGAGTTATGTCAGGTTTGCGATAAGCGGAGCTATCCGTACGTCTCCCTTGATACACCTGATAGCTTCATAGTACGAAGAAATCGATTCGGCTGGTATCATACCGTCATTCTGTGCGCAAAGCCCACCCTTTCCTGTTCCCTGCCCATAACGCCCATGTACGCATTTGCCTCAAGCCTGACGTCTCATTCTGCAATCCAGCTGAGTCACCAGGTCACTGTGGTCGCAAGGGTCACTACAGCAGCGAAAGCTGCGCTATCCCACACTCTTCCTTTGAACGCCTTCGTACCGGCTCCTACTACGCCCTGCGCATTGCCTCCATTATTCCCGATGTTTCCTCCACCTCCATTATTTGTGGTGCCCGGACCACCAACCTGTCCACCTTGATTTTTGGCTGTGGTTTCTATTGCGATGTCCTGATACGGCTGTCCGGGTGGATTATTTACGCTGTTAACGAGCTCTGTAATATTCCTTAGACGATTAGAGATCATTTCGCAAGACATGCGGCCTCCATTTGCATTAAGTGGTCCTGGTGGCGGTTTGGTGAGAAGCTGGCCCGCTCCTGGAAATTGTGAAATACTGTTCGTGACGGATATTGGCAAGTTGAAGATACTGTAGTGATCGCTACCGTTCAAGCGGAAATTTTGGTGAATAGAGATATTATATTCGCCTCTTGCTGTCGTCCCAATGTCTTCCTTTCCGTCTCCAACGAGGCAGTCGGGCCACTCGAAGTTGATGTGTTTGACAGTTTGCCCCGATTCTTGGTCCATGATGTTCGCGAAAGGCGGCGTTGACGTCGTGATGTTTGAGATAGTAAAATTCTTCAGCAGAACATTGCTCGTTAGGAATAGCGTGATGTTAAAGAACTGGGTCAGGGGATCATCAATTGCTCGCGGTGGAACAGGGAGTTTGCCATTGCCTGAGACATCGATGGCGATATGCAGAAAATCCCCACCCATGGGGGTGAAGGGTTGAGGCTAGAAAAACAGTTAGCGGCCGAGTCAGACCAGAATTCTTCCTCAAGTCCGATACTGTGCCTCAAAGATTTGACTTCCTCGAACTTGCATGAGTCAGGATGAGAAAAGAGTATATACATACAGCGTCCAGAATTGCGAGGCCTGGTGTCAATATTTGCCCATTGACGATATTAAACGCGCTTGTGTCCTTCTTCCCGTTGTTGTTATTGTTGCCATTTTGCTGTCGTCGATGCGGATTTTGCTGGTAATCTTGCCGCGGTGTCCTCACTATATGCGCTCCCAAAGTTTGTCCATGAACCTCCCCCCATAGCAAAAGAAAAAAAAGGACGAGGACAGGCTGGAATAGTGTAGATAATTTGATCATTGCTCAACAACAATCCAACATGTTCTCTCGCTCACGACAAAAGCATTAAAGGTGGGAATTCCAAAGTTGAAGAGAAGTGGATCAGCCTGTGGTCGGTGAAAATATCAAGAGACAGGGTCAACCAAGGTTCAAAAGCGCATTTCTGCCTTGACGGGCCGGCCGACTGCCCGCATGATGGAGGTGGAGAGCATGAACAGGCATTGTATGTCTTCTGTGGCTGCCAAGGATCAAGCTGCAGCAGCACGGAGGGGAGAGCCCATTTGAGTTACCTTTGGACAGGTTGGGGTGGGTGATGCTGAATCTGAGACGAGTGATGTGTGAGATCGACGGTTTGAAAGTTATAGTGCCTGAGGTTACGCGAGCCACATGAGGCTAAGCCTTATATAGCTAGCGTACACGTGCGTCAACCTCCCGCGTGCTTTCTACCTGAACCTCGGATCGGATTTGAATACACCATCTCATGAACCATCTACTTTTAGGAGATCCTCTTTCTGTCACATCTGTGATGCGTGCCTAATAACTCACCACGGCTTACTGAAGTGCCTTTACCTTAATCCACAGCGCCGTCCAAGCCACCTTGCCCAGATCTCCTACACCTCTTCCAAGACCGCCAAGGATCTCCGAGAAGTGGTCATTCGTGATGCTTGACAACACTTTGACGCTTCTTCGCCTGTTGATAGGTCTGATTTCTCCCTAGATTTGCCTATCTATATGGCTTTCAGAGCGCTTCAAAGACCAAGACATGGTTTGGAGCAACTTTATCAATTCTTTCTATTCATCTTCTCATTCATTTCATAAACTTGGTAATACTGCATACCCTCTCGCTCTGCCACAAATTTTACATTTATGGAACACTAGCAAGATCACATCTTGGAGTAGACACCCTTTCCTGTATACTCTACCTCAGCTCACCAGAAGCACCAACTTATTGTTCATTTGTGTACCTGTAACTGCTCAATTTATCTTCAAAGTTCCTGGTACTTCCTGCTGGTCCGTTCACTGGGGTCATGGACAAATCAGGATAGCCCCGGTACCCGACGTGGAAGAAATCGCTATTCGTGTCGTAATTGGAGTTCCTGCAGCTACACGTCAGCGGACATGCCCCCCCTCTCTACTTATTGCTTCTCCTGACCCTCATGGCATATAACCACAGTTCCGCCAAAATTGAGACAAATACCTACACGAAGAAGTAGCAAAAACTCCCTTGGTCTGACCCCACGGCACTGACTTTGTCATTCGGAAGTGGAGCCCATGTACCACTCGGGTAGTGATGTGCACGTGGTAGCCGGAGAAGTTGCGGTCATTACAGAGCTACACAGATGTGTCAGCTAGGTTTAGTAATTAATATTGGGTATCACGGGGTAACACAGAAGACTAAGCATTACCTCAGAGACCAGCGAAGTCGTTTGCTGGAGAAAGAGAAGCGGAGAAGCCGCAACGGGCCGAGGAAGCATTTCAGTCATGCACTTCTTTCGACGCTAAACTGAGCTAAGCTAGGAAAGAAGATGATACTTCAACCCTTCATCTCAAATCTTCAGATATCTACAGCTTCATAGAAAATTCCTTTTTCCAGGTAGTAGTTAAGTTTCCTGCAGTGGTCTTTCTATAAAACAGCTGTTCTAGAAAGCCCTCACTCCCCATTTGCCATACGCAAGGCCTCTCGTCCACTTAAGTAGCCCGGTAGAGTTATGTCGAGAATGTAGCGAGTATATTACCTTAATGAGTGGCCTAACAAATTCCACCAGAGCGAAGCTGAGGCGGAAAGGGGCACAATTTTAGCCTTTAACCTCACGTGTAAAAAGTCCAACCTGTAAACGCCGCTCCCGAAAGGGTTTCATGTTTCTGCTCCCCATAACAGCCTCTCAAAGATCCCTCAGCTCATAAAGGATCTAAAACAAACTCTTCTAACACCATTAGATGTCCTCTCCAACACTTTCCTAAACCGTTTGACCTGTTCTTAAGCGAATTGACCCCATAATTAAGCCGTGAATTACCTGCAATGTTAGCCCTATGCTCTACCCCACCGGTATTTTCAGGAAATACGTTCTGAATCTCATATTAGGGGGAACTGGTTTTAAAATACGGCCATTGTTTCATAATATCCTTCCACTGCCTCCCATACCTCACCCAGATATACTACTCCACTTCCAAAGTCTTTTACGAAGCTTCTTATGCTGTTTCCCGTGCCTCTCACAGGCTTGCTTGCACCACTTCCCATAGCTCAAACATGTGGCTTCACAACCCATACCCTTTCCTATTTTACAATGGGAAATGCCTGTGAGCGCAGCCATAACGTGTCCTGACGGGTTTCGAAACAATCATCGTATACGTTCTAAGAAGCTGAATATCAGCTTGTAATGCTGGATCATTCGCGACTGGAGCCCCTGCCGCTGCTCTTTTCCACTCTGATCATCTCTGCGCCTCACCCTACACACTCTTCCATCAAACCCCGCCATCCCCTACGATTCAACTTCATCAACACACACAAGGCCCAGGAGGCGGATGCGGCACAAATGTCGCATTTCTGCAAAATGGCAGCCCATCAGTACCTCTAGGCCACGTTTGGTCAAAAAACCAGCAGTCTTTGTATTTCTCCTGCGTCCCAAGGGCGTAGTTGTTGTTTTCGAGGAAGAGCCAGCGGCTAAGTCACATATGTCAGTAATAGTTGAGTATCTATCTTGGTTGATTGATTAAGGGCAATAGCAGAAGAAGGAGGAGAGGTGGGGATGGGGAAATGGAGTTGGAAGGGGCAAAGGAAGTGGAAGAAGGATGAGGGGAGGCACTTTGGATTGAAGGTATCGTCAACAGCACACCATATCCAAGCAATATCTCCGACCTTGAATTCTCCAACGGGAGCGCATGTAGAATTTGGACAGGCGTAGTAGGGAATCGATGAGTTTGTGACCGTGCAGTTAAGAGATGCTGTGGCCAAGGCGATAAGAGATGAGACCAGAACCGCGAGGCGTGTCATGGAATAAATCATGATGAGAGCCGAGCAGATCAAAAGATGTAAAGAGATCGGGAAGGTGGTGCAAAAGAATCTAAGCACCTTTTCCAAATGGAATGTAGTCGATGTACCTGATCATCCCGACCACCCTGCAGCGGCCACACCCAGGTTTTAAACCCCCCTCAGTTCTAAATCCCCATCCAACCTACCCATTCCAAATACCCTCTTTATATCCGTCCTATTGTCGACCTATTTCTAGCTCTTGTTTTCATTCAGCCAAAATATAACTCTATCGCCGTCTTGGCGAGGCAGGGCTTGACTTGCCTAAAGAGGAAAGCTGTCGATTGCTGCACGATTAAGCTTAATCTCTGGTGCGGGGTCCGTGTTTGGTCACATTGTGGGGGCCGGAAGCTTATTTGAATAGCTATAATGAGAAACTGAAAACAAGAGATTGTAATGAAAGTGAGGGTCACTTTTGCAATTTTCAATGGCATGTAAAGAGACTGGAGTGGGCGCCTGAGTGCTGTTTCGTGATTGAACGTACCATGACGGAGATGCTTGCTGTATGATGAAAGAATCGACGAGATTTACGACATAAAATGCTGGCTGCAGGCAGGGGGGGAAGAGATATACAGAGAGTACCCTAGGCTGAAGATGGTTATGTGAACGACTAGACTTCTAGACTAGTTTCTCTTACAGGCGCTCTCATTCCGGGAGCAACTCCAGTGAAATCAGAACGCCGCCTGAACCAAGATTCCGCTCTCCCGAGGTATCCCAACTAGAACGAATAAAGTGAAATCGAGACCTCTCACCCTTAAATAATAAGACAGAACGAAAAGAATGGAGGGATAGAAGAAACCGCAAGTATAGAAGCCGCTATTGTATTTCCTCCGTCTTCGCCCTCTTGCCATTCATGCTTTCTTCTTCAACTTCTAATTTCCTCTTGCCACTTATATTGTCACCTGCTGTGGACGATATAGCAGCAGGTGCCTTTTCCTTCTTCTTAGTCCGTACTAAACCAGTCACATCATTAGCAGTCTTGGCAGCCTCCTCCAGCTTTGCTTTCTGCGCAGCTGGATTTTGGCCGAGTATGCTGCCCAACAGACCCGATACGACAGATGGATCTATGCCTTGAGTAGAGTCAAATGCGTCCTTTGTTGGGTCGGATTGGAGATCCACGAGCTGGAATTCTATTAGAAAACTGATTTTGTGGGCAGATGACTAAGGTTGAAGGGATGTCTTACACGTTGGCGCATCTCCTCTAGCATCTCCTTAACATCCGTAATCTCATCTTCCTTTTTCTTCTTTTGGTCCTCTGGGACATCAAATAACTCTGCCTGTCCTTTTTTCAGGCGCGCCTCCAGACTTAAAATAGCACGTTCCATATGATCTGCAGCCTCTTTCCTTTTCGTGAAATCTACTTCCGCTTCTTTGGTCGGCTCTCCATTGGCTGCTTCGCGAACCTGGGTGACAGAAGCGAATTCGAGAGCAAGCGAAATTTTGTAAAGCGCTTCCGTTACATATTGATGCTCAAAGGGATAGATTTCCTCCACGATCTGAAGCGCAGAGAGTGAGTCTGAAATGGCGTCGTCGAAGCGTTCGTTCTCGAGGGAGATTTCGGTAAGATAGTTGTAGATGTCTGCTAGCCGCTCCTTGATCTGTCTACTCTCCGGAGTCTCCTCCGGCTTGCCCTTGCCCTTGTCCGCATCGCTGACACCCTTGTCCGCATCGCTGACACCCTTGTCCGCATCGCTGACACCCTTTAACGCCTCCAATTGCCTCGTGCTGAGGACGCGCGCAAGATCCAAGATTTCGTAAGCGTTTCCGAAGTCGTCGCCATCTTCCTCGCCCTGGCCTTCACCACCCTCTTCCTCCGAGTCTTCCGAATCTGTCCAATTCTCGTCGCCGGTGAGTTGAAAGTACGGTTTCGATGCAACCGTCTCCTCTTTATTTTCCCTCTTCTTAGCGCCATTTGACTGCGCACTTGAGCCCTCTCCAGGATCTGCCTTCGGCTTCTTGTCTGCCTTCGGCTTCTTTTTCTCCTCTTGTACGACCTTACCACCTAGCACATCGCTCTTTGCGACGGCCACCTTGTACAAACAGCGACCATATGCGAACAGCAGCTCGGCGTTCTCGGGGGCAAGATCGCCATTGAGCTCGGTCTGAATTTCGAGTGCTTGGGCATAGAGATCTGATGCGAGGGAATGGTTCTTAAGTGAGTATTGGAGAGCGGCGGCGGTGGTGAGCTCGGCAAGTTTCTCTCGTGAAGGAGGAGCCTCTGGGGCAGGCGCCGCAGGATTGGAGGTGGTTTCGGCCATTGTGAGAAGGCGAGGAAGCCCGAGATAGTATGGTTGTCGTGTATATAGGCCGCGCGACCGCGATTAGAGTAGCCGAGAGGTGGGTAAGTGAAGTGTCGAGAATTTGTGGATCATGTCGCGATGAGAAGGCGGCGAAGAATGGTGAGGCGCTCGGGCCACAGCCACGACCACCGCGACCGCGAAACCGTGTACCGCGTCTGAGGGGCGCCTCAATTACGCTCTACACACTCCAACACACAATCCCATACATAACACTTCTGGTCTGTTACTTTGCGATGGCGACAGCTAGGCGGCCGGATAAGCCTTCTGCGATTCTAGATAACCCAATCCCTTCCTCATCGCCTGCATTTGGCACCCCCGTCCACCCCATCCTTCCCCGCCAGACCGTCCCAATACGCGCACCGCCGGCGCTGAAGCCCGTCACAAAGCAAACAGTCCTACCCATATTGCTCCCACCGGCAACTTTACGACCGCTTGCTTTCCGAACATTCACCAAGAAGCACAATCTCACTCTCACATCTTCGGCTCTACAAGCATTAGCAACCTTCATTGGGAGGCAATGCGGTTCAGGATGGAGAGAAGAAGGTCTTGCAGAGAAAGTGCTTGAGGAGGTAGCGAAGACCTGGAAGAAGTGCAGTAGCCAGGTGATCGTAGAGGGCGAGGGTGAGACGCTGAGGAACATACTTAAGACGCTTGAGGGGTCTATGAGCGGAGGGAGAATAGCCCCTGGTTCGGGATTGAGCAGGCAAACAAGCTTCACTTTTGCATCTGAGCCAAGTGCGCAAAATATAGTGGGCTTCGGCGGGAGACCCGCACTCGAGAGCCAAGCCAGCTTCGGCATGTCAAATCTCGAGGCCGAGGAACAGGAAGAGGAGGAGGATGTTTTAAAGGACCCACGAGAGTGGATGAAGGTAGTAGGGGCATTTGAGCAGCCAAAGCTTTTCTACAATGTAACCCAGAAGCATTTTGAAAAGTAAGATTTCCAACTTTAAGCCTCCATCCAGCGCACTGACAAACGTAGGTCTACGACAAAACCCTCCCTCTTCCCAGATCCGTCTCACAAAACCCATCTTTTCCGCCAACGCTATCACGTCGTTCACCAACGGATACTGCGCAATGAGACGTTTCAGACTCCAACTTTCTCCGTCGCCCGCTCGTCCTCGTTGAATCGAACAGGCTCTATATCTACTTCTCAAACGACTACGATAACCCCTATTGCCAATTTGCTTGGAAGAAGTGGCAGTACGCATCTTCTCTTGGGCATGCTCACCGTCTCACCCACCGGCTCCCTAGCACTTTCGGATCTCACTGGCACAATAGCTCTTGATCTCCAACACGCGCGCCCAATTCCTGAAAATGGAGCTTATTTCGTGCCAGGAATGATCGTGCTAGTGGACGGAAGCTACGAAGAAGACTACGGCAATCTAGCTGCGGGCTCAAATTCCACGCTCGGAGGTATGAGCGGTATAGGTGGTACAGTCGGCGGAAAGTTTATCGGCTTTTCAGTCGGCCAACCACCTTCAGAACGGCGATCCACCACCCTCGGTGGCACTGTCGAGGAGGCCGACAAAAATAGTCTTTCAGGTCCAGCATTCGGATGGACGGACTTCCTAGGCCTAGGTTCCGAGCGCGCAACTGGGTCCCGAATGTCACGCATTGCATCAAAACTTCTCTCTCCAAGCTCTCTCCACAATATTGTTGTAGCATCAGACCTCCACCTCGATATCCCCTCCACGCTCTCATCTCTCCGCACACTACTTCGCACATACACCCCCGACCCAGCAGACCCGCATCCCGTCTATCCACTCGCCATTGTGCTGATGGGAAATTTCAGTTCAAAAGCCAGTTTGGCCGGTGTTCCCGGTGCGGCTAGTATAGAGTACAAAGAGCATTTCGACGCCCTGGCCTCTCTTCTCGCAGACTTCCCACAACTCATCGCACACACTTCGCTTGTCTTCGTTCCGGGTGACAACGATGCCTGGCCTAGCGCTTTCTCAGGTGGTGCCGCGGTGCCTTTACCCAGAAGACCTGTTCCTAGTTTATTCACCAACCGAATAAGAAGAGTCGTTGCAGAGGCGAATAGAGAGGTCTGGGGAACCGGGAAATCGAAAGGGAAAGAAGGGGATGTGGTTTGGACAAGTAATCCCTCACGTCTCAGCTGGTTCGGCGTGAAAGGTGAAATGGCAGTGATGCGCGATGATGTCCTAGGCCGGCTCCATCGAACTAGCATTCGGTTCTCTAAGCCGGAGAGCGGTGATGAGGAAGAAGATATGCCCGACGCGACTACGGAAGAGTGTCAAGCCCACGAGACCATGGACCTCGATGACGCAAACCTGCCCACACAACTCAACCCGTCCCAGCACAACCAAGAGCAGCTTGATTCCGACACGCAAATCGCACGCTCCCTAACCCGCACGCTTCTCTCGCAATCCCATCTCTCGCCTTTCCCGCTGTCAGTCCGTCCACTCCATTGGGATTATGGACACACCCTAAATTTATACCCCTTGCCGACTGCACTGGTTGTCGCAGATAAAGACGCCCCGGCCTTTGTAGCCAAGTATTGTGGTTGTACGGTTATGAATCCGGGGCCGATTGATGAGAGCGGGGGACGAGGGAGAAAGGAAGGCAGAGCAAGGTGGGTGGAGTTTGAGGTTAGGACTGGGGTTGGGGTTGTGAGATCGGAAGGATGATTACTTGTTGTTTAATGACTTGAATGTACTGGGTTTTGCATGCGGGTGGAATGGGCAGGATTTAGACAGCGTAAGCCAATATATAATTAGTTCTACTTGAGCAGATCTTGCAAAGAGATCGATGAAGAGCTTCATCGTACCCCCTCCCTGGCCAAGATATAATAATGCGGCTCCGGGCCAGCCGTCGCCATCTCTACAATCTCGAACCCATTCGCTGAATGCAGACTCTTCCAGCCCTCGGGCGTGAATAGCATGACAGGGAGGGACTATGCGGTCTATAAACAAGGAGCTGATATCTCGGGCATAGACTGTCTAAATCGGGAATACCTTGGCGGTCTGAGGGTAGATGGGAGGAGCCTTCAGCGGCCATGGTGCCAAACACAGGAAACCGGAGGGATTAATCCAAGTGCACAACTTGGTCGCTATGGCTTTGATTTCGGTGCGAGAGAGCGTAAACAGTGACAGTATATTAAATACAGCGTCGAAGGCATGCTAGGGAGGGGAGGAATTCCACATATCCGCGACTTCAAACTCTGCGTCTGGAACGGATCCCTTGCAACGGTCGATCATAGAGTTAAAGATGTCGATGCCGGTTGCATAAGGCCCTAAAGATGTAGGCGTAGGCGATGGGCTTTCCTGTTCCGCAGCCGGCGTCTAGGATTCTGGAATTTGGGGCTAAGTGGGCTAGGATGCGAGTGAGGAAGGTGAGGATGGGTGGTCATTTCGGGTTTTGCGGTAGGTAGACGATAAGAAACTGGGGTTCTGGGATGGGGGATGAGGAGAGGGGATTGCGAGATTAGTATGGTATGATGCTGTTGAGAAGTGTCAGCAATAAAGGGCATGCGGCGAATAGGCTGGGAACTCTCCGTGGAAAGTCAAAGGGCGATTGAATTCGATACGAGACTGTAGACATGGTTTGTATGGATTATATGTATATTTCTATGAGGATACTCTCAACCCGAATATCTGAGAATTGTGACAGGAAGGAGAACGCGAGGCGCGTCCTTAAGAGATGAATAGCACGTGACGTAACTAAATTTAGCTGCCTCCAGATTGGCTAGTGTTTCATGAAGTCAATTATCCAGTTGTAAGGGGAGGTATTACCGAGGGAGATAAACCTAAGCGAAGCTTGGCGAGCATTGTTGGAAGGTGCTAAACACCAAACTCGAGCTGGGTTGAAAGGATCCAGGAGGCAGGAATTCGCCATGTTGGTCTCTCTCTAATCCTCTTCATTCCTCTTCCATCTGCTGTTCACCTTCTTCGCGTCGTAATGAATGAAACTACACATCTGCAGTGCTCTCCATCGGTGGATGAAGCCTTCGGACCTATTGTAGAAGGTTGCCGTCGCGACTTCACTTTTACATTTGAGCAATACGTCTTCTCTATCTTACCTTCAGTTTTATTCCTTCTTTTCGCACCTTTACGCGTCCAGGTCCTTCGAAAGCGTGAATCGACGGTCGGCGGCAAGCCATTACGATCGCTGAAGCTCGTACGTGTTTCAAGCATCGTATGAGGCGCCTGTAGTCTGATAAGCATTACAGGTAGCCATTGGCATCTTTGCGGTTCTGCAGCTAACCACTCTGATTACGTGGGCTACAACGAACCTTCATGGCATCCGTACCCTAGCTGCCATTGCCACCAGTCTCTCCTTCCTTTCCAGCCTCGTGTTGTGCATGTTATCTTACCTCGAGCACTCCCGCTCCCTGCGCCCCTCTGCTCTCTTGAATGCGTATCTTTTGTTCTCTCTCCTCTTCGATGCTGTCGTACTCCGCACATTATGGATGGTGGTACTCAGCTCCATAGTACGTGATCTTTTCACTGCGTCTTTTGCTCTCAAGGCCACCATGCTTTTCTTAGAAGCGAAAGAGAAACGTGGGTATTTGAAGAGGGAGGATAGACCAGGCCCAGAGGAAACCAGTGGCTTGTATAGTCAGACCTTTGTGTGGTGGATGAATTGGATCATTAGGGAGGGCAACAGGCACGTGCTTAAACCGACGGATTTGTATCCTGTGGATGAGAACATGAAGAGCGAGGTTCTGAATGACCGTTTTTGGAGAGAGTGGAATACATGTAGGTTATTTGCTTTCTGCTAAAGGATTCGATGCGCTAATTGAAGATACTTAGCGTCTCGGACCACAAAACCAAGTTTGACCAAAGTCATTGTTCGGCTTCTTAAGTGGCCCCTGGTCATTCCTATACTTCCTCGTCTTGTCTTGCTAGGATTTACATTCTGCCAGCCGTTAATGGTGAGCCGTCTTTTACAGTTCCTTCAAGATGGAAATCGAAAAGAGCCTTTGAGCACTGGTTATGGCTTAATTGGCGCATATGCTGTGGTATACTTTGGAATGAGCGTAAGAATAAAGACATCTGAACTCCTTGGAATTGGTCGAGTTGACGAATTGCAGGTTTCCAATAGCCTTTTTCTTCACCGCAATTACAGGTGCCTAACGATGCTCCGTGGTACACTTGTCGCAGCGATATATACTAAGACGACCGAGATCAGCATCACAGCTCTTGACAACTCTTCAGCTGTGACGTTGATGAGTACTGATGTCGAACGACTGGTACGCGGTTTACGAAATATGCATAATCTGTAAGATTCTCGCATCCCCGGGCTGCTGCTCCTCTCTTAATATTTACTCAAGTTGGGCGAATATAATCCAGTTTGCTCTCGCAACTTGGCTGCTCTCAGCAAGATTGGGCTGGGCATGCGTAGCTCCGATCATTGTCACCCTTAGTATGTTTCTTTGTTTCACCTCAAGCATTGCTCGCTAAAAGCAAACAGTCACTTCTGCTCTAACGATTGGGCTCGCATTTGTTGCGAACAAGTTGCAGTTAGGCTGGATTACCAAGATCCAGAAGCGCATTGGTGGGTACTCTCCAAGCCACCAAATGTAACAGCCTTTGCTCACTAAAGTGGAAGGAATCACATCTAACATGCTTGGGTACATGAAAGGGGTCAAGATGTCAGGACTGACTGCAAGACTCTCAACTCTAATTCAAAACCTTAGGATCAATGAGATCAAGTATGCGGAGAAGTTTTGGTCACTTGGAGCTATTTCAGCGACTTTAGGTATGTTCTCGGTCTTGAAAGTGTGATATCGTGGCTGAAAGTTTCTGTAGCCTTTATGCCCATCATGTTGTCTCCCGTTGCTACGTTTGCTTTCTATGCAGTCATTGCTGCTAAAGATGGCACAACACTAGATGCTCCAAGGCTCTTCACATCCTTAGCTCTTTTGATTCTGCTCACGCAGCCTCTTTTTGCACTGTATGGAGATATCATCGAATTCAGGACAACATTCGGCTGCGTCGAGCGAATTGAAAAGTTTTTAATCTCAGAGTCTCTCTCGGATCATCGCCTCAAGACTTTGGGAATACCTCCTACTGCGCAGCCATTGAAGGACCACTCCCTTCAAATACCAAGGCCACCGGTCTTGCACAATGATATTGAACTTACGGAGAGCAACCAACTGAGATCCGTTGGGGAGAGAATTTATACCTCGAATGAGGCAGTACGCATCGAAAGCGGTGCCTTCGGCTGGACGAAGGATGGTCCTCCCATCTTGCAAGAGATTGATATTAGTATTCAACACTCTGATCTGACTCTTCTGATTGGCGCTATTGCTTCTGGGAAGTCTACGCTCCTCAAAGCTATCCTAGGCGAGACCCCTAGCTCCAAAGGATTTGTGTATGTATCAAAATCCGAGGCCGCATACTGCGAGCAAACACCCTGGCTAATTGTAAGTATTGGTTTGGGATATCGGTCTTTTCTTGCTGATGGGGCTTGCACAGAATACCTCTGTGAAGGAGAACATTGTTGGCTTCTCGAGTTTCGATCAGAATCTCTATGATACGGTAATCTATTGGTAGGTTGGAAGTACCACATTTGATGGATAAAAGTGCTTAATTTACATAGTTGCGACCTCGAACAAGACATCGCTACATTTCCTCGCAGACATGACACCAGAATTGGAAGCAAAGGTCTTTCTTTGAGTAGTGGACAAAAGCAAAGGATTGCAATTGCTCGGGCCGTGTATGCAAGAAAGGATTTTGTGGTCTTTGATGATGTCTTCAATTGTCTTGATGCTAATACCCAGCGGAACGTTTTCGATCGGCTTCTGGGTCCGAGTGGCCTCTTCAGAAAATGGAATACGACGGTGTTGATTGCTACCAATGCTGGCAAGTGGAGATTCCCCATGATTTGAGTGCTTGCTAACATGATCTAAAGTGGGCCTTCTGCCATTTTCGGATCGCATTATTGCTCTATCTCCAGAGGGCAAGGTTGCCGAACAAGGAACATTTCAAGAACTTAAAGCAATTGATGGCTACGTTTCCAAATTCTGCCTGGAGCACGCAAACGAGCAAGCCACGGCGACTAAAGAAGACTCAGAAATGGACTCTTCATCAAGGCCACGTACGATCTTCCAATCTGTACCTAATAACTCCATCATTACTACCTCAGACGACAAGCGTAGGCAACTCGGCGATTGGAAGGTATATCAGTACTACTTCGGAACCATTGGATGGGGCATGACCACAGTATTCCTTGCTTTGGCATGTGGCTGGGGCTTCTTTTCCACGTTTCCAAGTATGTCCTATGTTTGCTTTGACGAATGCTGCTCTAACTACATGTAGCTGTTTGGTTGAAGTGGTATGCTGATGCTAACGCTTCCGAGCCAAATAAGCATACAGGGTATTATCTTGGATTGTACACTGCGCTTCAGATTGTTGGCTTAATCGATATGTGTTTGCTGACATGGTGAGCTTCCTGCGAAATTTAGATTGTTAGCTCTTGCTAAAAGCACTAGGTTCTCATTCAACATAATGGCCAAAAGGTCTGGCCTTCGATTGCACGAGTTAACTGTGAACGCGGTTATGTCGTATGTTGCCGGTGGATGTTTGAAGCGTAGCTACTAATACTTCTCTAGGGCCCCAATGTCTTTCTTCAGTAAGACTGACACTGGCTCAATTACCACGAGGTACGACCTTTCTACATTCAACTTCGATAGGAGCTGATATTTGCCCACCAATAGGTTTAGTCAAGATATGCAACTTCTAGATGCAAACCTCCCACTTGCCGTCATGGCTGTCACCGGCGGTACGCTCTCCACAACTCTCTCACAGTGCATCTACTGACGCCTCTCAAGGATTCCTATCCTGTGTTGGCCAGATTGGTCTCATTGCGTCAGCTGCATATTATGTTGCAAGTTGTATTCCTGTGCTTTTCGTGATATACTATTTTGTTCAGCGGTACTACCTTCGCACTTCTCGACAAATGCGTTTCCTAGACCTCGAGGAGAAAGCGCCCGTATAGTGTGTCCTGCCGTCCAATATATTGGCCAATCTGCTGACAGCACCGAAGTACGCAATTTATAGAATCTCTATCCGGGCTGGCAACCATCCGAGCCTTCGCATGGCAGAAAGCCTCCATCGCACACAACCATAATTTAGTTGATAAATCCCAGAAGCCGTTCTACCTTATGTTCATGATCCAGACCTGGCTCACTCTTGTCCTGGATCTCATCACTACTGCCCTTGCCATTCTAGTTGTTGGCGTGGCAGTTAGGATGAGAGATACCATTTCTGTGGGCTTTACTGGAGTAAGTCTGACACAGATTATTAGCTTTACGGCGAATTTGAAATTAGCAATTCTGTTTTGGACGCAGATGGAAACTAGTATTGGGGCAGTGGCAAGAGTGAAACAGTTTGTGGAGGAGACAGATGTTGAATATAAAGATGGGGAGATAAACGTGCCACCTCCGGACTGGCCAAGTAAGGGAAAGATTGAGATTCAGAATCTCACCGTTTCGTATGAGTATGCCGTCACCCTCATAAATCTTCTAGCTCATGATGAGTGGTACACTCACGCGTTCCGTTTAGTACAAATGAGGACCGTAAAGCTTTAAATGAAATCACGCTCGACATTCCCGCGGGGCAAAAAGTGGCAATCGTGGGACGAACCGGAAGCGGCAAATCCACACTTGTTTCTTCTCTCTTCCGCATGGTAGAAACTAGCAGCGGCTGTATCACTATCGACGGCATCGATCTCTCTACCATGCCCCGCGAGTACATCCGCACCAGACTTAACGTTATCGGTGAAGACCCTTACTTCCTCACAGGTAGCATTCGTCTGAATCTCGATCCTTATGCCTCCTCAACCGACATACAGCTGCGCACTGTCTTAGAGAAGGTCCAGCTCTGGGCAGTTGTTGAATCTAAAGGAGGCCTCGATGCTGAATTTTCCGATGACACTCTTTCCCACGGTCAGAAACAACTCTTCTGTCTTGCAAGAGCACTACTCAGGCCAGGGAAAGTGGTGGTATTGGATGAAGTGACTAGTAGTGTGGATTATGAGACTGATAAGATGATGCAAAGGGTTATGAGAGAGGAGTTTGAGTGCAAAACAGTGATTGCAATTGCCCATCGGGTGGAAACTGTGACAGACTTCGATTGGGTTGTTGTACTCAGGGAGGGGAGAGTAGTTGAAGAGGGGAGTCCGGAGGAGTTATTGAAGAGGCAGGGAGGAGTTTTCAGGGATATGGTCCAGCGGAAGGGCAAGAATAAGGCAGGGAGGAAGATAGAAGAGGAGGAGTACAAATTCTAGCAAGAAGATAAGAGAATGTTTACTGTTCTAAGTACAAGGCGTGTTTTGTAGAAGTGGGTCACCTAAATAGTCCGGCAAGCAGAGCAAGATGCAGGTCTAGAAAGACATTACAGTTTTGAAAATATCTATTACAGTTTAGGATGCTAACTAAAGGCTTGTTTTTTTTTTTTTGAACGCTATACATTTCTGTTAGCCTCTTGCCAGAATTTATGTTGGCTTCTCTGGCTTCTCTCCTCTAACCCTTTTTACCTTCTCAGTCCTAGCAGGTGCTAGCATTAGTCACTCTTGGTGCTGCTATGTTATCCGCTCCTGTAGAGTCACCTTGAAAGGCTGAGCGCCTACATAGAGCCCGCAACACCATGTGATGTCACTGTCTGGGGTTCCATGCCATTTATTCTGGAGCCCTGATACTAAACAGGGATCAATAATTTCGTCGAATCAGTCTGTTCGCAGGGAACGATCGTTGAATGGAAGCTTCTAAACTCATAGAAATGCCCGTCGGAAGATCGGATGCGATGATCGGAAGCTTTAAGGATCGAAATATTTGACACATCAGCGAGGGCAAGATTGGGTCTGATGAAGAACACGTTGGAGAGCGATTCAATTAGGTTCTGGTCTGCGCACTTGGGGTGTACAGCTGACTGTTTTATAATATCAAAGGAGATTGAGATGGAGGCCTCGCAGACAGATGACGGTTGTTCTGATGACTGCACGTTTTATTCGGAGTCGTTGGGTAAGACATCGTAACTGTCAGACGGGTTGGATTTGGGAGGTCTTTCAGCACAAGGTCTGCGTGCAAGCCTGTCCTCTAGTTCCAATAAATCTTTGATGGAAGTATCAATCTGCATTTAGTTCTTTCCACTATCATTCTTTAGGAGAGCACTAACACTGTTAGTCGAGGTCGCCCATACTCTTGATCTCTAGAGATACTAATAGAAAATAGTAAAGAAGGCCATCAATCAAACTTTTTTTCTGCCGCTGTTGTCAGTCCAAATCCTTGACAGACTCCTTCCCTTTGAATACCTGTTTGAATACGTCCCAAGCACTCATTGACTGTTTCTTCCAGAATTAAATCGATCGATTTTGCGCAGTAGATCGGAGAGAATTGAACAAGATCTACTACTGTTCGCCGGAAAGCATTTGACATGGTCAAGTCCGGGTTATTAGTCTCGCGCCGTTCAAGAATGTGCGGCTAAAGTTGCTTCAACTAGTGCAGCGACGGCCTTCGCCTCCGGTTCCGCGGGAGAAACTGCTTCGGGCGCTTCCTTCAGAAGGTGCCGAACGTCGTTCTTGCCCTCTCTGATACTCTTGGCTGCTTTGTGGATTCTAAAAATGGTCGTAGCTGTGATTAGTCGTTCGGTTATGGGGAGGGATTTGGACGAGAAGAGTAACCAGAATATTCAAGATTCAAGTGGATTGTATCGGTGAGCAATTTCATATACATACGCACCAAACACCGCCTTATGCTGCGTACTACTTCACCTATTCATCGTAGAAGTAGAAAATATCATTAGGCCAAGCGATTGGACTGTACATAAGCTTTTATTGCGTCGCAAGACTAGCTAGTGAGCTCGTGTATTCGCGTTGCGCTTAATTGTGCATCATCGCATTATGAGGCAGTCTGCGTTCTAGGAATCGACTTAGACATAAGATATGATGGACAAACAATACTTGGAGGTCGAACGAAAGGGGGACGGTGGTGAGTCAAGGCACCTGGCCGGAAAAACAATTAATCCGCAGCCTGACTCACGGGCAAAACTTAAGGGTAAAATGCTGCCCCGCGTCCAAACACACTACCAGCAAAGACAGACCAATTCACACCATGGCCGACCAGCAGCCTCCCGCTGAGGCTGGCGAGAACTTGCACCTCGATCCCGTTACCGGCGAGAATATTTCCAAGAGCGAATGTTTGTGTTGCATCCCACTAGATTGTGATTTAAGACTCACGCCCCGCAGTGAAGCGTCGCCAGAAGCAACGCGACAATGAGCGCAAGAAGGCTGAGAAGGCCGAGAAGGCGGCTGCTCTGCCGAACAGGCCCAAGAAAGAGAAGTCGGCAGAAGACGCAGAAGGAGAACTGAATCCAAATGTATGCTTCCTTATAAATAAGCCAAGAGACAGATATCTCATCAGACTGCAGCAATACTTTGAGATTCGATCGAGGGCTATCAACAAGCTCCGGAGCTCCAAGGACCCTAATCCGTATGCCTCGCCTCCATCCATACCCCGCGAAACGTATTGACAGCATGGCGGGTCAACTGACAGGTGGATAGATACCCCCACAAGTTCCACGTCAACTACAAAGTCCCTGGCTTCATCAAGGAATACGAGCACCTCAAGAAGGGCGAGACCCTACCAGAAAAGGAAATCCGGGTCGGCGTGCGCATCATTACGAAGCGTGCTTCCGGAAAGTGGGTTTTCATAGTCACCCGTATAGGATTGGGCTGATCAATGGCAGTGCACTACGATTCTATGACTGCAAGGCAGAGGGCGTTTCGATCCAGATCATGTGTCAATTGCAAGAAGCATCTGGCTCGGTTCCCTTCCTCGAGCAGCATGAACACCTACGGCGAGGAGATTGGATTGGCGTGGTTGGTTACCCTGGCCGAACAAGTCCCAAGAACAGAGACGGTGGAGAGCTCAGCATATTTGCAAAGGAGGTCGTTCTCCTCACGCCATGCTTGCGCCAGCTCCCGACAGAATACTACGGCTTCAAGGATCAGGAGCAGCGCCACCGACAGCGATTCCTCGATCTGATCATGAATGATCCGACTCGCGAGACACTTATTACCCGGACTAAGGTCGTCAAGTACGTTCGTAAGTACTTCGACGAGCGAGATTTCTTGGAAGTACAGACTCCCATGATGAACAAGATTGCCGGTGGCGCGACAGCCCGGCCTTTCAAGACCTTCCACAACGATCTCGGTATGGAGCTGTTCCTCCGCATAGCTCCAGAACTCTACCTCAAGGAACTTGTTGTGGGCGGGATTGAGCGTGTTTATGAAATAGGGCGCCAATTTAGAAACGAGGGTATTGATTTGACGCACAACCCGGAATTTACCACCTGCGAGTTTTATATGGCTTTCATGGATATGTACGACATCATGGATATGACTGAAGAGCTTGTGTCGGGCCTGGTACACTCGGTCAAGGGAACATACAAGACTCAGTATCACACTCAGGACGGGCAAACATATGATGTAAATTGGGAGAAACCGTGGAGGAGAGTCGAGATGATTCCTGAGCTTGAGAAGGCAACCGGGGAAAAGTTCCCACCGGCCAACCAGCTACATACGCCAGAATCGAACGAATTCCTCCAGCGTGTGCTCAAGAAGGTCAATGTGGAATGTTCGCCGCCATTAACGGCTTCCAGGATGATCGATAAGCTAGTAAGTCTATCAATTAAGCCCCATTCTTGCTGTACTGATCCGCGCTTTAGGTTGGCGAGTTCATCGAAGAGACTTGCGTCAATCCAACTTTCATCATGGGCCACCCCGAAATCATGTCTCCCTTAGCCAAATACCACCGCTCCATTCCCGGTCTATGCGAGCGCTTCGAAGCTTTCGTCTGCAAGAAGGAGATTTGCAACGCTTATACTGAGTTGAATGATCCCTTCGACCAGCGCATGCGTTTCGAAGAGCAAGCCAACCAAAAGGCACAGGGTGATGACGAAGCACAGCTCATTGATGAGACTTTCTGCCAAGCGTTGGAGTATGGTCTTCCCCCAACGGGAGGATGGGGCATGGGTATTGATAGATTGGTCATGTTCTTGACAGATCACTACAGTATCAAGGAAGTCCTAGCATTCCCATTCATGAAGGATGTTGATGAGAAGAAGCCGCAGCAGACGGCAGCAGAGGCTGTTGGTATTGAGCCTATGCCGGAGGAAGGGATACCCCATAAATGATTTGCATCGAATGAATAGGTGTAGTTGCAGGTGCAGCTACGTATTCACAACTAGGGATTCATGAAGTAGGCGTGAGAAGGACCATTGCTGGCTGGAGTGGGTGAGGGCAACCAAAATGTTCGGGCATTTAGACAGCCCGTAGAACAAAAATACTTCATTCTAGACAATCAATATTTGCAGGTTCAATTTTATGACACTTCTCCGTCTTCTGGGCGTGCGTATACGTCATGCTTTCTATAATTTCACCTCTGCCTTGCCCTTCCGACACCACCTTGCGCTAGTCCGTTTCGGTTAGTTTGTCTCTACCAATCAATGCCCGCTCCGCAACTTGACCTTCACCTCAGAACCACTTTAACTTAGCTCTGACTCCGTTTCTGACCTCTGTCTTTGACCAACTCTTCCGTCAGATCTATCCTTTCAAAGAGTCTTTCGACGCAAACCACCATGCCGATACCTCCAGGATTGTCCGAAGCTCGAGTTGGAGCTTCACTAACACAGTAGCGCAGAAGTCTCGCCTTGACCGGTATCCATCCCTATCCAAACTCACCTTAACAGCCGCTACATGGATACTGAGGGGTTTAAGAGAGGCTGTTGGTCTCCACAACCTCAAGGTTCCACTATGACGCAACCCTTCGGTGCCTTTGCTCTACAATGGCCCTTGTGGCATCGTAAAGTAAGTTTCTACTCTCTCTCCTCCAATATCATTCACTTTAATCCTCACCATGATGAAAAATCGCAAAACACATACGTTAGTCCGATTCTACATGAAGGACAAAAATGCTCCGTCTTCTGCACTGCTTTTACAACGGTTTCTCTCTCGGCACTTGAGTTTAAGGGTTAAAGCTAACACCGAGTTTCAAACCTTAGGACTAGGGCAGTCCGAAGGCGAGAGATACCTGGTTATGATGGAAGGTGTTCACGTTCACTCTCCATTCAAGTGGGATGTCTCGCAGTGACGATGAAGACGTACTTGTGCGCGCTGAAGTCAAATGGGGATTCAAAGTGTTGGATATCTATCTGATCCCACAGCTCCTCCATTATAGTCACATCGCTCATGGTCGATTGCTCTGTAATTAGAAGCCAACCGCGCGTTCTAAGCCGGCCATTCTGCACACTCACCCCTAGCAGTTTTAGACACCACCTTTTTTCACTCAAGGTCAGCCTTTTCCCTTATCCTCTACCTAGTAGCCAGCGGTTATGATGAGTCACGCTTTCTCGTTGAAATTAATTCCCAAGGATGTTTCGAATAAACTTTTATCTATCTGAACCACCTCTATCCTATTCAACACAGCCCGCCGCTGTGATTAGCACGGCACTAGCATTGATCAGTGCAGGTACTCACGTATCTCGTCATGCGCAAGTCACCTCTCACGGTTTCGTACCAGGCACTTATTCGCTCTTGGTTAATCTTACCCTTTTCTCTCTCTCTCGGAGTGTCTATGGAGAATGACTTGCACCGCGAAACCCAACCTACAGTATGATCTCATCATGGCACTGATGTCCCCCGGTGCAGGTGCTTCCATGTCTCATACCCCACCTATAGCAATCTCCCATCATTTCGTTGATTTAGAAGGTACGTTTTACCCTCGACCCTTCCCCACTTCTTACTCAAGCACATATGATCACCCAATTGTACCCGTTTTTTTTATGAACAAACTTTAATTACTCGAGGGTATGATTTTTACACTCTTTTCAATTACAAAATGATATCCATCTAATCCTTCCTTCCCATTTGCACAATTTGAGAGAATATTGACGCTAACGCCGAATATGAGAAGTTGTCGACGTTTGAGAGAGACTAAAAATCTAGATATGGAGGGAGGTTTGAACACGGTATTAAAGCCCACAATACAACGGCTCCGACGGTACTGATACAAGGAGCTTCACAAAGACATATCTACGCGTCCTTTTCTCTGCTAGAAGGTGGGGCAATGATGCGAATGACGTCTTATCTAATATTCATGGGGGTTCGAAATTATTTTCTGCACTTATCCTTCTGAGCCCCTCCTATGCCAAAAATTTGAAACTGCTATTAACTATAAGATACTCGCTGGGGAAACTCGAATACAAGTTCCGAGGCTATGCTTTGTGGGCATCGAAATTACAATGATAATCTAACCTATACTTGAGGCAAGCGTTGGGCGAACGAATAAGATCGACGAAGTAGGTGGAGATTGAAATTGAGGCATCTTGAATTACCAGATTAGCAACACCATGGGAGTCTCGTAACTTCGAAGAGGTTGTTGACTGATGATCACCTAGTCGACTTGATGTGAATGGATCGATAGGCTAGCTAGATACGAAACAACTCCATACACAGTCGCATTCCAGCCACCGTTCACATAAACATGTGAAGATAACTCAACACAAATAAAAACACAACACACTGGCCAAAACAGATGTCCAGCAATACTGACGTCCCATTCCAACCACCTGTACATGTATAATAGCACAGCCCAACGCCTCGCCGGGCCCTTACTTTACCTCTACCTTCGCCGCCTTAAGCATAGCCTCTGGATCCCTAATCCCCGCATTCTGTCCCTGCTGCACCCGTTTCAACGTCAACGCCGCAATCAGGGCAGCGCCAACACCAGACCCATCCTCAGCCGGCAAAATCTCAATAGGGTCGTCCTTACCCTTACCCTTGTCCGCCGGCCAGTCTAGAATCTCCTTTAGTGCCTGCGCACCCCTGACCTTGAAATGCGGGTACTTGTTGAAAACAGATCCATCAGCACCAACGTGACATGTCTCCCAGCCCTTCTTCTTACAGATCGCAGCAACACCACACGCAGATAGACGTGCAGCGCGTGTGCCGACGAGTTCGGCCAGGCGGCGGATGAGCTCAAGTTCGGGCTTTGTGCAGCTGATGCCGAGTTTATTTTGGAAGAGATCGTGGGTTTCTGAGAGGTTCTCGAAGGGGTCTTCTTCGATAAAGGACAGGAACCCCGCGTCGAGCGAGTAGGCTTTTGTGAGCTTGGAGACGTCTTGGGTTTCAAAGATGGCACAATCTTGGTTTTGGTGGAGGTCGAGGAGAACGAGGCGGAAGATCTCGCCGAGATAGAGACCCGCGATCATTTTTTCGAAGGCTTGTTGGCCGGGCCGTGGGGATTCTTTGTCGATGACGATGTCGTAGGGTGTGCGGGGAAGGACTTTGTGCTCGTTGTCGAAGGCGCCCCATTCGCAGTTGATGGCCATGGGGAGCGAGGGGTCAAGATTCATGTGAGCGAGCTTGGGGATTGAGCCGCAGTTTTCCATGTAGGCGGCGTTGCAGCCAGTACCGAAGATGCAGCCGATTCTCATCTCGGTGTCGGTGTAAGCGGAGGCGATGAGCGTGCCGGTGGTGTCGTTGACGAGGGCAGTGAGCTTGATGGGGACGCCACGCTCTGCGAGGGCGGCCTCGAAGGGTGGGACGACGTCCTTGCCTTCTACGCCTTCTATGTCGAAGCCCTTCGTCCATCGCTGCAGCACGCCGTGGTCGATGTATTCCTGTGTCGCGGGGTAGGAGAAAGTGAAGCCGAGAGGTAGTGCATCGAGATCCTCGTCCTGGTGGTGGTACTCGATGAACTGCTGCAGGCAATCCGCGATATAGTTCCACAGCTCTTCAGCCGTGCCTGTCTTCAGCTCCTCGGGCATGCGGTACTTGGATTGTATGATGTCGAACTCTCCCTTTTCCTCTGGGAGCGTGATTTCGCAGACTCTGAGGTTGGTGCCGCCCATGTCGAGGGCGAGAAAGGTACCAGTCTCGTAGCCATCGGGGAAAGCCATGCACCATGTTGGGTTCATGGGCTGTGTGCTGTAGTCAGCGGTCTGTTATCACGACTGCACTTGGGGCTTTCTGCTCACGATAGATCCTCCCTCAACAGTCAACCCCTTGGTGAGCTCGTCCACGAAGTGGTCCGAGATCTGCTTCAGTTTGTCCTGCGGCACTGTGAAGAGCTCCTCTAGCCGAGTGATCTGGTCCATCAGATCCTTTGGCACATCGGCCATGGAGCCTGTCGCGCTCGTGATCAGCCCCATTCTCGCAGCTACAGTATCCGACTGTCGCCTTCTCGAAGTGGTGCCTTGGGAGAAAAGCGGGAGGTGGATGTGCTATAGTACAAATAGAAAGTGCGCTCGTACCCTTCCGCGAGGGCGGTTTCCTAGGACCCAGGCCAACCATGGTTGCGGCTCCAAACTTTTGTCTCGTTCAAGTTCAGATAATAGCTTCCGACGCAATCGTAGACACTTTTTGGTGGCGCAATCGATATCCTTATGACAGCGGGATTCAATAGCTATTTAAGCACTTGTGGCCTGTCAGCGCATGCAATCGTGATTCAAAGCGCGCACCATGTGGGATGATGCGGCATATAAAGATTTACAGGTCATGCGCAGAGGACGGGCTTGGTGTAATTGCCCATAGCTTTCTTAATATTTGCTTTTGGGCAAAGAGAAGAAGAGAAAGGCTTACCAAGCCCCAGGACTAATGCTGAGAAAGAGCCCCCGCCAACAAGGCTTGAGAGCGGGCTGGTAGGGCAATTGAGGTGCTGGTCACTAGGCGATAAGTCTTTCCAAACTACAAGACTCAACGGGGCTATCTGTTGACAACAGTGGAAAATTTTGAGGATTTTAGATGAAAGGTTAACGGTTGAGCAGCGAGAGGTATCGAGTGTTGAGGGGCCCACATCCCACGCGCGAAACTCCGAGGACGCCGGGGATATGACGCTGCAAGCAGGGTTCAGATGTAGACCCTGCACGTCCCGGCGGAAATCATCTCAGGCTCCGGATCCACCACCGTCGCCTACAGTACCACCACGTTCATCATACTTCATCTCGACATCTCACGCTTCAGAGTCGTCGCATCCCGCCCGCCGTTACCTATACAGACGTCAAACCACGGTTCTCTCACTCTAATGCTTCGATCAAGCTCAATGACGTCAACACCCTTCTCGCTGTCTCCCTAGGAGCGGCACCGCTTACTGAGAGACGATAAGAGATAAAAACAATGGAGCTTGCAATCAAGAACTAACTGAAAAATTAAAATCTCTGCAGCCGCGATATGTTGCTTGCGCGAGGAAGCAGCCAGTCAACCTCTCATCTCCTTCACCACTTTCGGACGGTTTCAGGCCCTTCCAGTCCATGATCGATCATCTTCAAAACCATCACCTTGGGCCGAACCACTGTGGGAGCTGAGATCTTCCCTCTCGTGTATATTTCACTCACCTTGTCTATCAAGTATGTTTCTTTTCTATATACCATTCACTCGCCCATTCATATAGGCCACAGGCCGTAGCCATCGCCACAATGCCTGCTGCATCGGAGTTGGGAGTAGGAGCTTGACAACAATTGAGGGAGGCTAACCCCTTCATTCTAACCTTGGTTCCTCCCTTGACAACACTGCCGCAATCACGCAAGTCTACGATCTCCGGGCAACGCTTTTGATTATTTTCCTATCAGGTTCCGACGCAACCAACCAAAAAAGTTGTTTGGACGCTCTCGCCGATGTTAGCCAATATTCCAGAGTTAGAGCACCAGGCCTCCACTTCCGTCATTGGTTACAAAGGCAGCCAGCATCTCCCCCTCCACGTCCACAGCATCCGCCATCTCTCACCATTCTTTACAGGCGCCAAGTCAATCGCAGACATCCGCCTCTTCGAGAAGCTCATCGTCGACAAAGAACTCAGTCACGTGCATTCAACAAACATTCTGGATGCTGTCGATTGCAGAGGCCAATTCTGCACTCGCCTAGCAATCATTTCGCTCATTAACGCAGATTAGGTCTCGATCCTAAAGCGGCTGCTGAACCTGCATCACCTCACCTCTAAGCATCCTGCTAGCGAGCTGGTTAATCTCGACAAGCATACCTAGTCTCCCCTTCGCCGCCGCATAGATGAGGCCGGCCACCTTCGCGATGCCATAGTTGGCAACCTCATTGCACCGCTGGGAATGTTTAGTTTAACTTGGCAGGCTAGTAGGGTGCTTTCTTCTTTCGAGTTTTGTAGGTGGTGTGAGTGTGGTTTAGAAAAGGGCTTGGGTTCAAAAAGCTTGAGACTGGGAGTTAGGTTTTGGAGCTTGGTTTCTTTCTATGAATGATACCCTGCCAGACGGCCTCTAACTTTCTTTCGGGATAAAACAGTAAACTATGTGCCTCTTGCTACTTTCGCATCTAGCTCGGCGATATATTCTTCAGGTGTCGTGAAAACTGGGCATTGTAGCAAGTGGCGTTCTGTGGCGCATGCATGAATATCCTGGCTGTGCAATGTCACCTACGTAGAACTCGGATCCCCACGCGCTTCCGGTCCCAGCCATCAGCGGAACCGAGACCCCGGGCCGCAGGATTGCCTTGACGCAAGTCCGGCACTTGGATCCCTGTGGGGACGAATAGGATAGTTAAATAAATGAAAGGCGTTTGAGTCGTCTATGTACATAAGGCGCAGTTTTGGACATTTGATACAGGGTTCACGAGAGAGAATACTCGGCCTTATTCCTACACCGAAGCCCGAAGCCCAGAAGGTTTTTAAGAAAGAGATAGTCCTAGGAGAGAAAGAGTGTTTTGAGATTTATTCGTACATCTGATCACTTTCTCTTTACTTCATTCCGGAAATTAAGCATCCAACTCTTCACCCAACTACGAAGCCCACATTCATTCCACTCACCATGGCCGCCCCCGGAGGAACCTACTTCATCCAATCTGCCCTCAAAACTCCCGCTGCACACCACACATCCTTCTCGCAGCTTTGGGAAACTAAATGGAAGAAGCCCGCCGAAATGGGTGTCTACCCCTTCATGTTCGGCACAGCGGCAGACTTTGAGCCCGTGGTCGCCGAGCTCGTAAAGCAGGATTTCCACGAACCGTATGACTGGGACGCCTATGCTAAGATGTATTTTCCACAAGCTCAGAATCTGGTACGGGTGGCGGAGGAGGCGGAAAAGATTGGGGATGCGGGGAGGGAGAAGGCGAGCGAGTATTATCTGAGGGCTAGTGCAGTATACCGGATTTCAAGGTTTCCGGCGCCCAGAAGTGAGATGCAGAGGTGGGCATGGAAGGTGGGGAAGGAGTGTTGTATTAAGGGGCTTGGGTGAGTATTTATCTATTATAGGCAAACGGAGACTTGAGAGGTAGACGCTTATGTATAGATAGCTTACGTCCCCATCCGGTCTCAGAGATCCAAGTTCCACACACCCATCGTCTGGATAGCGAAGGCGCACACATCCCAATCTACCACCTCCTCCCCTCATCCGCCACCAAAGCAAACCCCGTCCCCCTCGTCATCATCTTCACCGGCCTCGATGGCTACCGCACCGAACTTGCCGTCTGGATGGAAGGCTGGCGCCAAAACGGCGTTGCAACCATCATCCTCGAAATCCCAGGCACAGGCGACTGTCCCGCGAAACCCGACGACGTGACATCCCCGGACCGACTCTACTCCTCACTTTTCGACTGGATCGCCCAACAGCCTGGCATCGACCAGCAAAAAATCGCAATCTGGGCTTTCTCAACCGGCGGATACTACGCCATCCGCGTCGCGCACACGCACGCCTCGAAACTCGCTGGCGTCGTTGCGCTAGGTGGAGGATGCCACCACATGTTCGACCCAGAATGGTTGAGCGAAGTAAACCACCTCGAATATCCCTTCGACCTCGCCAACACACTAGCCTACAAATGGGGCTACGGGACCGATGTTGAAAAATTCAAAGCCGAAGCGTCCGACAAGTTCTCGCTTCTTAAAGACGGAACGCTAGATAGGCCCGTCTGTGCACGACTTTTGCTGGTTAATGGGACGGAAGATGAAATTTTCCCGATCGATGATTATTATCTTGCGTTACAGCATGGGGCGCCTAAGGAAGCGAGGTTTGTAACAGGGACAAAGCATATGGGCGAGCCGATGAGCTTTTTTATTATTTTGAATTGGTTGTATCGGCTTTTTGGAATTGAGGCAGATCCAGTGAAGCAGATGCAGACGTTACCATTTAAGCCAAAGTATTGAGCGGAGGTGGGGAGGAACTGAAGCAGTGGTCGAATTCGGGAAAGTAAAAGGTTGCGGTTGCAGTGAAAAACTGAGTCTCGAGCGTGAATTTTTGGCAACAGATTCGTAATATCATTGGAGTATCACGGTTTTTGTTTCCTTGAAGACGATAAGTGGAATTCCGCCCCAAAGTGGAATGCATCCGCTGGATCGAATTGCTTGAATTGACTCCGTGAAAGTGGGAAACACAGGATCAGTGCATCGTTCAGCCCAAGATATAAGCTCATTCGGTCAATATTGTAAGACATTGATGAGGGTAGTCAGAAGATGAGGGCGATTTGATATTCGGACCTGGTATTGAAGAGGCATGTATGTCGGGCTTGCCAACCGTCCAAAATGCTGGCTTCAGAGAATCGGATTAGTGAACGTTGGGAGCATCGGTTTGCCCAGTATTGAGTTCAACCTTACTTTAAAGAGCTTTAAAGCCACCGACTACTTTGAAGATGGGAGTTTCTACGTCCTAAATGCGCCTGGCGTATGTTCAGCCCTGCTCTGTTTGGATCAAGTGTGTGACCTTGTGCTAGCATTCACCTGGTCATGTAAATGCGCTTGCGAGGACAAGTTCTGAGCCAGATACATCCATTTTTCTTGCTATTGATAACATACATCTCGGTAGTGAGATTCGACTTACAGATGTGCTACCACTTCTGGACCCAGATACTCGCTTACATTTAACATAGAATGATTCAGTCTTGCCACGCTTCTAGCAAGGACACTTCGGGATATGCGTATGGTGTTTCTAGATACACTTTTGATATTATAAATCAAGCGAGCAAGTATGCCACAGTGGCGGTAAATCTTGATGGTTACAACACGCTTATGATTGATCGAATGTATCTTTTTCGAAACGCTTTAAGTAGCCCATTAAACCATGCCCACAACATACTGGCGATCGCTCCATGGGTTCGAGTGAAGGAATTGATCCAATAGATCTTACGGTACAGACCCAAGGACCTATATTAGCAATCGAGTGACTGTAATATCTGCCCGCAATGCCTGCCTCATTTCTTGACACAAACGGCCTCCAGATTGTTGCCTTCGGGATCAAAGATGTAGGCCGCGTAGTACGGCTGCCGGCTCATCTGTTCTCGAATCCCAGGCTTGCCATTGTCGGTGCCACCCTCCTTTCTACAACTCCCTAATTAGCGTTTGTGCACAACAATTCCACAGGCCCCGCTTACAGTCCAAGCCCATGGAATTCGTCAACAGCATTGTCGTCTGCTGGCGTTAGTGTCTCCTCCGGTTCATTTGACGGATGCAAAACATCCTACCAGGGGCATCAATGGCAACATGGACAGGATATGGCTTGTGCCCCTCCGGTACGACTTGGAGCCAGAGATATGGATAATCACTGCCGTATCCAACTGTCTTGCCTTCGAAAGCTCGAATCATTTCATTATATCCGAGTGGTTTGAGAACAGCCTTATAAAACGATTGCATGGCGGCCATGCGCTGGCTAGTAACATACACGAAGACGTGGTTGATTGTCATGATCCTGATTGGGAGAGCTAACGACAAGACGAGATGAAGGTAAAATTTGAGGCTGAGTTAAAAAGTTGATACAGTAAGAGTTGAGCAGCCACTAGACAGCTGCATCATTTCAGCGGAAGCGGAGATACTGGTACTAATATGTCCCCTGATGCAATTAATAAGCGTGCTGAAAGATGACTGTTGCCTGAAAACAACTCGGAATTCCGAGCAGATACGTTTAAGGTTACGGCTGCCAAGAGTCGGATTTTCCTTATCCAGTCAGTCGAGCCGTAATGGTCAGGAACACGACTACCCCATGCTGTAGATCGGAACATTCTTGCAGGATGAGCAGGGTTCGAAGAGAACTAGGGCCAGAACAGTCTTAGGGGGTGTGTGTCAGCGACCCAAACTCGTCCGTCGCATGCCGCGCGAAGCCTCCACTTTCTGCTCCCGATGACTCCGTTATGAATTTCCAGTAGTGAATGGTCTTGTGCTTTTCCCACCATCAATGATTGGTTTGGAGCACAGCCTGCCCCTTAACCGGACCAATTCAAATGACCGAAAGGGAACGGTCCCGATCGCCAAAGAGCGATTGAAGGTCTTATATAACCGGAATCCCGAGAATTCACCCTGCATCTTAGCTCCGAGAACTGAGTACCGAGAACCTGTTACGATGGATACTCGTATCAAGTGCCAAATCTGCAAGAAATCCTTTACCCAAAGTCCGAAATGCCCTCTCCCCAAAATGCAACCCAGGACGAGCGAACGCTAACGGCGGACAGAATCATCGCTAATTCGACATTCGAAACGCTGTACGCCAGGTCCAGCGCCGAGTCTGCGGCAAAAGTCTTGTCGCCAGTGCACGAACTCGAAGACGAGATGTGATTTGCAGCGCCCCAAATGCTCTAGGTGCGAACAACGAGATTCGCTATGCGAGTACATCACTCCTTTAACCAGGGGCACACGGAAGTCACCGCCCCCAACGGGTGAGGATGTTGTTGACAACAGCGAGGAAGCTCATGGCAACTTCGAGTCTGCTTCTGCTGTGAACTTTGCAGCAGTATCGATTGCGGGGTCATCACACGGCCTGTTGAGGTAAGCCTCCTCGTCGACCTTCGTATTTTACAGAACGCTTCACATCTCCTCTCAGGATGTCTTGGAGGCCAAAGTAAAGATTTAACTAGGCGAAATCTTATTTCTCGCTACAGTCCAGGTTCAATCCAATACGTCAAGATCTGGCTCCATGCAAGCAAGCTTCTCGTGGCAGTGGACTCCGGGAGTGGGAGTGGGCTTCTTCTCCACTGCGAAGTATGCATAACAGAAAAGAAGAATAGACGATGCTGACCAGGATCCTGTAGCACTAGCATGGCTCTTAACTTGAGTCCGCCTTGGGCTTCATTTGTATTAAGCAACCCTTCCACCACCACAAACGCTCCCGTATTCAACACCCAACCACACAAAGATCCCTTCGACGGCTTTCCATTCACCTTTTCTCCCATTACCGATCCTCTGGTCCCTGTAAATCAAGAGCCCGCAAGGACGGAAACAACCCTTGATAGTTACAGGCTTATTTCAGACGATTGGCTGCTTTGGAATCCCGGACCCGGCGGCTCAATCCCCCCACTTGTGCGGCATAGTATGGAAACATTATTGCGTGTGATGAAAACGTGGCCAAAGACTTTGGCTAAGGGATTCCAGACGCCCCCAATGTTACACTTCACTCACATTCATCCCGATACGAGATTGCTGCCGCTGTCGAATTGCATTACGGTCACAAAGATGTGGGCTGGACAAAGCGGTAGGACAACAGAAATCGTCCGTCAAACCGTGGTACAAGAAATGCGTACCCTATTTGAAAGAGTGAGTCGTTTGTCCTACCCTTTCCCAAGAAGTGATAGAGTAACTCTTAGTTTCTCTCTATAGAGATACTGCTACTCTAGCCGCTAAAGGAATTCATTTTGGAGCTGAATTGAACATGGCATTGCAACTGACATTAATAGTACCGATCCATGGATGAGAGGCATCTTCTTGCAGCCCTTCAGGCACTAGTCTTCTATACAATCATCCTAATGTTTCCCGGGAAAGGCCAGATCTCGGTATCCCTGATCGATCCAGCAATATTCCTCTGCTTACAACGAGTGGTTTCTTACGTAGCACAGACTGGCCTCATGCTGACTGAAGAGAGGGACCATGAGAGGTCATCCTGGGAGTCATGGATTCATGTCACTGCCAAGAGACGCGCTGTATTTTCATTGTACCTCCTCCACTGGTCCTACAGCGTCTACCATGGCCTTCCATCCTTCGAGTGCAGCCAGCTGGGCTTCATGCCCGCGCCAGCTCCTAAATTTCTCTGGCAAGCTGAAACGAAGGAGAAGTGGGAGGAACTCTACAATCACTGGCTTGCGCAATGGGGCAATACACCCTACATGATGCGGGAATTTGCTGCAATCCAATCTGGACCGACACTCGAGAGAAGATCTGAAATATGGTTGGAAGATGCAGATGAGTTAGGGGTGCTATTCTTCTCTATTGGTACCACCGTTCACCCTTGTGTTGAATGGTGGTAGTTTTGCTTACCAGGGTAGTTAATGCAACCGAACGAGAGCCTGTCTTCGAGATAGGGATCCCCGTTTTAGCATCATAACGAAGCACCCGCTGCTGAGAATTCCGATAATCCGTCGTGCGGACGAATCCGTTCACTTGACTTTTATAAGTCCCTTCCCTTTGGGGCAACTCGAAATGCTTGGCATACCAGAACTCCGGCCTCCAGCCTTACGCTCCCAAATCATTAGTAACCGCTGTGAGCTTTTGCGAATAAGTCAATCTGGGCGAGGGCTTAGTATGATCATGTACTTGTTATGGCTTTCCCGTTAAAGTCCATTTGCCATTCTTCCATTCTCGACTTCTGCCCCTCAACATCATCCATTACAGTTTCTGCTTTCATTTCACCTTAATTCAAATAAAGGTTTATCAGGGACAGCAGGAAATCTCTCTCAATACCCTCTTTCCTACATATTCATCCAATTATGACCACAGCTCCAGAGTTCGACATTCTCTTCCTCGGTGCGACTGGTTACACTGGCTCGATCGCCCCCGAGCACATTTCTACCCACTTCCCCACGACCTTCAAATGGGCGGTAACCGCTCGCTCTCTCGCAGTCGAGTCTCGAGATGGTTGCAGCAGAGTTGAAAAGGCTTAGCCCCGATCGCTCTCCCCCAGGTATTGTCCTCACAAGCCTTAGAAGGAGGGATTAAAAACCTTTGTAAAGAGGGAAAGAGTTATCACCAATAGCATTAGGCCATACCATAATTATTCTGAACTGGATGTGGAAGTTTGTGTGTCCCAAGGAACTCATTGTGTAGACTTGCATGTCTTCCTACCTAGATCTTATCACTTCTCGATTTTCCAAGCTCACATCTTCTAGTTCAACCGAAACGTCTTGGATCACAGAAATGGTGTCCTGCTATCAAAAAATGGCAAAGAGCACTGGTGCAATCATCATCCCTGCATCGTCGCTTTCCAGTTCTCCCTCCGATCTCCTGGCCTGGCTTACTGCATCTAGAACTCACGAAATAACTGGGAAAGGCGTGAAAAGAATCACTTCCAAAAGCGAAGTGATCACGAAAGGGACGGGAGGTGGGAGTTTAATAACCCTGCTTTCCATGGCGCAATGTAATGGCGTCCGATGGCTATGGAATCCAGATAAGAATTACATGGTAGCCGCCAAAGCCAACGAAACCCCCAAAAAAAAGAAAGGTAGTTACTGGCGCATTTTTTGGGGGTTTAAGAAGGTGGAGGACTTGGGCACCATGACGAGTCTAATTGGCGTATCAAACATCGCCATTGTCACCCGCTCCAATCCCTCAATCACAATTGTTATGCCTTGGATTTCGTCTATGAAGAATACGCACCTGCTCCCAATGCCATCGCCGCGATAATTACACACGTCTTCCTCAAATTCGCAATTCTACTCTTCGCACTCTCTCTTTTCCGCGCCTTCCTCTAAAGCCTGAGTTTCGAGGCTGGCACTGGACCTGGTTGGCGTGAAAATGGGAAAGCTGGAAGTGCGGTATTCGAAAGTGTTGGCACTGGGCAAGAATCGAGAGTGAAAGGCAGGTTTCTATGGAAAGAGGCACTGGTGCATGTTTCAGCGCTTGTGAAGTTGATTAAATAGAATAGTGGCGTTGGCAGAGAGGGAGGAATGAAGAGTCAGAGTTTTTTGGGGATGAAGTTGGTGGAGAAGGCGATAGAGGTTGGATGTGTGGTTATGCTTGAAGTGTTGGAGAAGTGAGGTATTGGTGTCGACTACGATTCCGCGGCTAAAACGCAGGAGGGAGCTACGAGGACGCGAGTTCCAATGCGTCATCTGCTTGCAGAAACCCTTTAAATTACAGCCACATCCTTCCTACATATTTATAACTTTGTAACGATCAGGAATAGACTACCGTCCTGTCTGTCAGCTGAGGCTGAGGCTAAGTCTGAGGTAATCCTCCCGACACGGTTCGCTACCATCCAAAACTCTCCGCCTTTCTCCGACCTGTAAGGTAGCCTATAGACTTTGTTTCGGACACCGATTCCGTTGCGTGCCGTGTTCGGGTCAGATGTTAGAGTGCATGGGTGGTGGGATGGGGTCAGTTTGAGGCACGTGTTACCGAGACATTTTGGCGTTCCAGATACTGTGGTACTACGGAAAGAAGCGAGGGTTGATGAGGAAGGTGGTGTGTAGTTAACAATGGTACGCGACGGGAAAAGAGCCGTGGGTGGGACAGTTCATCGTTTGTGTGCGGATGGCTCACATGTTAGTTTGCTTATTTGTTCTATGTCTAGCTCGAAATTGGAAATATACGACGAAATCATTGAGAGTGCCCTGTGAATTTAGCGCGCATGCTGAATTGATTTCTTTGTATAGTGGAATGGTCCTGTAGGACTTAGTCGCAAGCGTGGGTCCATCTGGAACGGCATGTGTGGCAATTGAATAGAAGATGTCGTTCTATTGACTTGTGATGTAACCGGGGTTCGCGATGAATCAATAATATGAAAGTGCTGCAGGGTAAAACGATGTGACTTAATGAAATTTTTTTTTTTCCTTTTCGGAGAATGCGCCAACATTTTAGACTTCTCCATTGGATCGATAGGCACGTGTTCCAGGGAAATGCCGTGCCTACCTAGAGCTGTTATGGGCTTGAACTGCGAACACTCTAGATGTTGTTTGTATCTAAGTGCTTCTTTCCAACTAGGGTTGACGAGGAAGTCACGACTTTAATCAGAGGCCCGCACACATCCCATGGTATCCCTATATGCAGCGCCTATGTGCCTAAGAAGCATGAGCACATGCTTCCTTCTACGCTACCTGCATAAACTGGGAATTACGCACAATATATAAATGCTTGTGATGGAAGTGTGTGGGGAATGTCAGGAGTCCAAGAACGTATTGAATGCTTGAAGGGCGTTGTCCCCATTTGATAGGAGATAAGCAGCATAAGTGCCGCGATGGGAAATATAGATGGAAGGGCGGTCACGAGTTTCTCCTAGGGAACGGGTTGGAGGAGTCGACATTCCGCCAGACGCCTTGGTTGGGGATTGGTTCTGAGGAAGGGCCGATGCGAATATGGAAGGAGGCTCCAGGAAGTAGTAGTCGAGAAGGGAAATAGTCGAGGTAGGCGTTGCCTTCAATATGGTAAACAACGAAATGCAGACCTCGACCATAGCCAAAGCAGGCAGTACGCACATTTCCTTTTCCTAATGAGAGTTGTTTGGACAAGGGCCGGAGAGATGGAAGAGCGATAGTGTGAGCCAAGAAAAAGGAAAGCAGAGACAACGAAATGAGAGGCCATCCTTATGCCATTTCTAGGTAAATTGGATAGAGGACCTACTATTCCTATAATTCCTCTGACGCCGTCGTCGTACAATTATTGCAGACAATCTTAGACGCCACTCGTTAAGGACAGATGTTGCTTTCTTGTGACGCCCTGCGTGCTTCAAGCCACCAATACAGCGCATGCACACGTCGCCTCAGGTATCGATTGGGGCGATCACTGTCACAATCGATACCCGATAGCCACGGATGCGCATGGCCAAGAAGCAATCATAATGCGGAGAGCTAAGCTGTCTGTCCTCGGCTGGGCCCCTTCATGCGTTCGTCGAGTCCAACGGGCCGCTCCCGGCAGCCCCTTTTCGCATGAAGTCGAGAAATTGCCTCATCACGACGAGCGCTGGGGCGACCACATGATAAAGGGGCATCCTGGTCGACAGCATGATGACGATTGCATTTCAAGGGCCTTGAGCCCTAGATGCCCGATGCCATGATGGTGGGTGTGGCGATCCACTGCCGGGATGTTTGGACAGCGGGAAAGTGTAAACAAACAACGCGTCTCGATTAGCGAACAACAGACTTCTGCCCCCTCCCCCCCCTTGTTGCGGGCAGCAAGAAAAATGCAAAACGGGGCGCGAAGAAGTCAAAAATAAACGCCCTTTGCCCCCGTCTCCTGCCATCACACTCATTGCGCATCGGGTTTGTCCTGGCGGTGTGGTGTTGATTCGACAGGGATTCTTCAACGGCCAGCTGCATGGCGACTCGGATGACGGCGAGAGCACGGGCCCCAAACAAAGCCCCCCGGCCGAAAAAGAACGTCCAACGCGAGCGCGTCTCCCACAGTGTCTTCCATCCATCCCCGTTCGACTGCAGAGCCCAACGCTGAAAGGGCCACATTGCCCGCACGCACCTGTCGTCTGCTCCTCCCCTCAATTGCATCACCACCAGTCTCGTCTGCTGCGTTGCTTCTTCTCTTCGTAGGCTCCAGCGGTCGTCGCTGCCGGTGTTGTTGTTTACGCCTGCACACGCATTCCTTAACTAGCGTCACCCAACCACGGAACAGCGAATCGCCCACGACCACGCCAGCCGGCTTCCCTTCCTCTTGCCAGCGCGTCTCTCTCCGTCTCTGCGCTTCCGCTCTCTTCCATCTCTCGCCCTTCTTCGATCCCGCAGGCCTTGCATGGAGATCCGCGCGGTGCAGTCGGTCATCGTTCGCTGAGGTGGAACTCTGGCTGAGACGTGAAAAGATCGAGAACGGCCTTCGAGCGGACAAGTGTCACCCAGCATTCCACACATTCATACCACGCCACGCGCCCACTCAGCCCTGCAAACACTTGCGCTATCGTTATCGATTGAAGACTCGGTATTCTCCCCATCAATGAACCTCTCGCCTGCCGCACTGTGGATCTGAATATCCAGGCTGCCTCACTCCAACACACACGAGCGAGCTGCTCACTACTGTCTCATTCCGCACGTGGAAGTCGCAGTCCACGGACCAAATTATCCCCTTTCGCCAGGAGCGACCATTCACACCACCATCATCAGGCATGGACTTCGCCTATTCCCCGCATCGTGAGACAGGCGGCACCATGCACCTGCCCTCTCCCACACACTCTCATGCTTACCATATGGAAGGGTTTGCCTCAATCCAGCAGCTTCGACGGTCACTGTCGCGCTCGCCATCGAGGCCATCTCGCTTCCAGCTGCGCAGCAACAGGGCCTCTGACTCACCTGGTTCACCTATCTCACCTCTGGCCCTCGCGCGCGCTTTCAGTCCGAAACCATTCAAAGACACAACTCCCGCCAACACATATCCAACATCTCCCCTTGCGCCACCCCCGGCAACAAACAAGAAGAAATTCAGCCTCCGTCGCACGACGCCTTTCCGATCATCACCCCGCAACCGTACCAAGTCTAAGAGCCCGCGGCGCGCATTAGGGGAATCTTCTAACCAAGGCAACGTGACACTCTTCACCTCGCGGCGCACATCTGGAGAGGAGAACGTTACAGTGCGGAGAACGAGCGTAGAATCAATTGAGAAGATTGCAACTGAACAAAAGCCCTTGATGCGGTTCGACCTGAACGACAAGCCGATCAAGTTCGAATTCGCGCGATCGCGTGCCGAATCCAGTGCACCTGGCGCAAATTGCTTGGTGCCTGCTAAGTCCAGTCCTCTAAAGCGGAGCGACGGTATTATGAACTTGGATACCGCGAGTATGGGCAGCCCAGTTGCAAAGAGGAGGAGTCTACATGGGGCATCTGCGTTTGGATCTGACTTTGATATTTTCGAACATGCACCTACCCCCAGATCAGCTGTCGAAGATGCACAGCGGTCGCATGATCTTGATATTGGAAACGGATACTCCTTCTCTTCGCCTATTGTGAAGACGAATTCCCCTCTCAGGAGAACATCTTCTCTACGCAAGTCAACGCTCTCCCAGCGATACGGATCTAATGCACCCAGAACGAAGCCAGCTTATGATGGTGACTTCCTCCTACCCGGCCAGGCAGCCTCCAAAACCAGGCACCGAATGTCCCTCGATGGTTCTCTGGCATTTAGCTCAGGAACCACCCAGGCTCCCTTCCGTAAGTCTATACATGCCGAACTCGCACGCCCTTCAAATCAACCAGTCCTTCGTGGCGGTGCTGGAAGCCACCAGCCACATCCTCTGTCGAATGCTTTGACCCCATCTTCTTCATCTTCGACTATGGCAGATGATTCTCCAACGCATGCCCATGTTGCAGCTCCTCCTAGCGCTGTCCCCCGGAATCATGCCTTCTCTCGATCATTGCCCATCGGCTCAACCCGGCCACAGGCGCAACCAGAATCAGAGTCTTTCGACTGCTCATTTGAGACTCCAATGGCTTACAAGATGGCTAAGCCCAATCCATCTGCATTCATGTCGACTGGTCTGCTATCAAAAAAGAACCGCAATGCGGATGAAACTGCATCAGGCTCATTCGGGGCATATGTCATGCCTGATACCCCATCGAAGCGGATGTCTTTTCCTCCCGTCACTGCCACTCCCTCGTTTAGTCGTAGTGTATTCGGAAACCCGTCGCAGCCACATCCTGAATTTGGAACGCCGAGCACTCCATTCAGCATCCATGCGTCCAAGACTTCGATAGAGACATTTGGTAAAGGTGTCAGCATCTTCGGTAGCTCTAACACCCTTGAGCGTCGTGGTAGCTTTGCCAGCATTGATGGAGACGAAAATCTCAGCTATTCACCTTCCGGGAATCACATGACAGACAGTCAGTCGAGCAATGATGATATGCCACCTACTCCAACCAAGCCACACGATAGCTCTAGTCGACGCTCCAAGGAGAGTAGTTTGAGGCGTAAGACTTTCGGTCGGGGCCGCGCATCTCTTGATGCAGACACATTCAATCCTCCAGACGGTCCAGAAACTACGAGTATTGACATTCCCGAGGCTGCTCAAGCACAAAATGGTAAGTTTATTTCAACCTTGATCCTTCCGAGACTGCCAGACAAGGGGGCTTCATCATCAGATGACGGACCGGCGTCTTCAGCTCGTAATAGATCTCACTCTGCCCTTGCCCTTTCCTTCGCTCGAAGTCGGCTTTTACGACAGTCCAAGAAAAGGGCACGTCCAGCGCCACTTTCGGTTCGAGTCTTTAGTTCTTCTTTACATTCCGTCAACTCCGTGAACGCCGCTAAGACATGTCCATTTTCAACAGTCAGCCCAGTGGGTGCATCTGGGTCTTCTAACCAATGTTCACCCCATACTCCACTGGAGTCATTTGTACCGCCAGACCCGAGCAAGTTGTCCATCTCGGGCCAGAATCGCCGAGGTTCGTTGTCATTCAACAGCAGCACGAACAGTAACTTGTCGATTCCGCCTGCCACGCCAACGGCCCCACGTGATCACACCATATTCTTCGGAACAGGCCAACCAGCAGTTGTGCCTATCGCAGGACTCACTAAGAACGATGTGGACACAGCATTGACCTCACGGTTCCATTCAGTCACCATGTGCGGCAATGGCGAGTTCTCCCAAGTATATCGTGTTGAGGATCCTGTCGACAAGCGACTCTCGCTTATGTCCCCTCCTGCAAGCAAGGTCTGGGCGGTTAAGAAGACAAAGAAGCCATACGCCGGGCTCCACGATCGCGAAAAGAAGATGCGGGAGGTACATGTTCTCCGAGCACTTCGTGATCATGAGCACATTGTCTCATTCACAAACCATTGGGAGTTTAAGAACCACCTCTATATTCAAACCGAATTCTGCGAGAATGGAAATTTGAAGGACTTTCTCGCTCAGACTGGATATAAGGGTCGTCTCGATGATTTCAGGATCTGGAAGATCCTTCTCGAATTGTCATTGGTGAGCAAAGCCGCTGATTTCATTTGAAAGAGTACTAACGTAATCGCAGGGCGTCAAGCATATTCATGACAATGGTTTTATTCATCTCGATTTAAAACCAGCCAATGTCCTTATTGATTGGGAAGGTGTCCTCAAGATCGGTGACTTCGGCTTGGCTAGCACATGGCCCGCTCCTCCGCACATTGATGGCGAAGGCGATCGCCACTATCTAGGTCCTGAGTTACTGTCAGGCCGCTTTGACAAACCTGCAGATGTCTACGCGCTTGGAATGATTATGTGCGAAATCGCTGCCAATATCGTACTCCCCGAGAATGGCACTTCATGGCAGCGACTCCGCTCGGGCGATTTCACCGAGATACCCAGTCTGACTTGGAGTTCAGAGAGCAGCCTCCATCGAGATGCCAATGGCGACCCAATCAACGACCCAGAGAGCTTGAACGGGTCAGCTGAGACTCTATGTGTCTCCGATGCTGAGGATGACCCACTGAAGTTTCTACGTCTTCCTTCTGTCCCACATCACCCAGAGGAGCTGGTCAAGGCTCCAAACTTCATGGTCGACCCCGAGGACAACGAGGCCCTGGATAGAATTGTTCAGTGGATGATGAACCCCCACCCAGACCAGCGCCCTGCTATCGATCAGGTGTATCACAGTGGAGGTTGCCAGTGGGTTGAACGTAGGAGGCGCGCTGGTGCCACTGTGTACGAAGGAAACTGGGGCCCTGCCGATGACGTTCTGGACTTCACCGAACATCACGAGATGGGGGTGGCAGATATGATGGACACCAGCTGAATGACTTAGGTTGGGATCTGGATTTCTCGCCATCTTGATCTCTGATCTGGATAGGCTTGACTTGCGGCATGGCTCGGCGCTTCGACTCATCATCTACATCTTCGGTTCTTTTCTTGGACAACGACATCTGTATTCAGCATCCGGTGTTAGGCTACGTTGACGGTATGCTCTTTTGAGTGCGAAGTCGATTCGTAGTCGATATTTTCTCGACATGGTTTACGACCTCGATATTACCCGCATATACACTTGTTGCTCGACTGTTGGTGTTCACCGGCGTTTTAACCCAAAAGAATCACAAAAGCATCTTCATTCGACAAATCCGCGGATTTCGTCACTTACGACTTTACGACCTGGAGTTTATGGCCCCTTATTCCACCCGTTTTGGAACTTGTTTTGGAAGCTACATGCATATGCATATTCCCTCCCTATCGATATGGACTTCGATGCCGCTCCTTTTGCGCTGAAATGCGCTTGTGAGTTGCGGGAGGGTTTGGCGTTCTTTGTGATTTTGTTGTGCTAGGCAGGGAAGGATCTTATGACGTATGACTCGCTTAGCCTCCTATATCATTGGAGGAATGAATGGGTATGGGAGGCTTGGGAGGAGGTATTAGTTCTTCGAATTCCTCAGACTGCCTGTTCTGAGTGGTGCGTGTTGATGGAGGTAGTGAAGTGTCTAGTATTTGAACCTGAATAAATATGTTATGAATATCATTGCGAGGCTCTTTGCAATTGTGACTGGCGCTTCATGAGAAAATGTGCTGTATCTTATCACTAAACGCAGAATATGACATAACAGAGGAGGAGTACAGTATAAGGCTGAAATTAGCACCTAAATTTTGGAGAAGTTTGGCTGACTAAATCTGGCTGCAAACTGTTCCGTGCTCTGTGTAAATAATTTTGCTCTACAGCTTTGCTTCTAATCCATGGGAGGTACGCTAGGAATGGCATGTGAAGAAACTCTTCTTTTGAAAGGGTGTATAGGCCCTTTCATCGAGGCTTCTCGACTATAATTCTCGCTACTGTGGCGTAAAATTGACGGCGCATCAATTCATGCGGAAGACTATAGTCTTTTTGCAAAGATGTGCGCAACCGAAATATGTTATCCTTACACTTTGGAGTCTGGAACACTGAAAACAGAGGATGACAATGCTGGGAGGCAATATAAACCTGCTCAGTTTCGCAGAAAGGTTGAACTGTGCAACTCGACTACGTTTTCTCCTACAAAAAATATCTCATGACACGAAAAGAATGTATCTGAACTAAAACCAATGGAGGTACTTTTTTCTCCTCCATACGAGTCCAAGACTAGCTGCTTGAATGCGTTGAACCCAGAAGCAATGGCTTTAAGTTGTGCGCGCGTCCAAGAACCCGCTGCAATCCGGCTCATACCCTTTTCTTATTTTTGAAGGCTTAACTTGGTTATATATACGTGGATACCTCTGCAAGATTCCCACGCCAATTCCTTCGTAGCTTCTACTCTCTACGTCCACTAAATGCAAGGCTTTTTTCAGGTTGTGCTTGCTTGGAAACAACAGAGTTAACTCAATTAAACCTTTCATTATAACTGCTTCCAATTTTATTAATACTCTGTACAAGACTGGAAATAAATAACTGGATTATAGTCCTGGCCGCCAGCTTGTGTTCATCATCAGAATGGAACGACCGGCCGGATATGCCCAGGCATCGAGAAGTGAATTATGAAGGAGTAGAAGTAGAGTCTGTATACATGCTTGTAATTTGCAGTTATTAGCTTGCACGCGTATCGTAAGCAGAAGCGCAATTTCCCACGAGTCCTTTGATGTATATAAACACCTCCCTTCATTGTGTTTTGCGGTCTTCACAGGATCCCTCCCACTTCTTGAAAAACGTGCCACAACTATCGTATTTGGAAGTGGAAATTTGATAAGTTGCCACTGAATACAGTTCGGCATGGAGACCTATAATGACGCCTGCATCTCGTTTAGTGTCCAAAAATGGCAAGCGTATTGCGGATGCTTGGGCTCGGTTAGACTAGAATTTTATGGGGAGATTGCCAATGCCTAGGAAGGTAGACCATATTCTGAATCCTCTTCCGGTTCTGGATGAAAGGCTTTAGAGACTGGTATTCAAATCTCCTGAGTGATGTGCAGGGCTTCCAACGGGCCGTACTACGGTCCGTACAAAGTGAACCGTAACGGTCACGTGTTTAGTACAAACGTACTGAGTTCGTGAGCCGTACCGTACGTTTAATGATGCCCTAGGTACAGTACGTAATACAGATTGTATTACCCTTTAGGAAGTTTGTATAGGGGTTCTAAAAAGGTAGGAGGGCTCTAATTCGCTAAGAGTTTTGCAAGGACGCTTAAATCTCTTTTTAAAGGGTTTAAAAATGCCTCTTAAGGACTATTTTCTATTATAGAGTTATCTATCTACGCCTCTTACTGCCTTACAGGCCTTATCTAGTTAATTAGATCCCTTTGTTATTAGTCTTATAGGTTGCAGAAGTTAAAAGCCCTCTACACTGCGTCTCCTGCCTTATCCCGCGATAGTACACAGGCTGTGGCTAAAGATTAATTGCAGTAGTCCCTAGAGGACTGCAATCACATTGCGAGGCAATTGTACACTGTTAAAGGTGTAGGCTTATGGCGCAGATATAACGCCCCTAGAGGAGCAGGGCAAGGTAATCCGCCTCTAGCTCTACTGTTAGTGTTATAAGTAAACATATCTACTCTTGTTACTAGAGAGAAATAGCTATTTTATAGTTAATTAGACCTTAATCTTGCGTCTCTAGAGACTTATAGTCTTAGTTATTTTAACTAGAGTACAGCGTACTTTAATTAAATTGTACTACTTGTACAGATTACGTGAGCTGTAACAGTTACAATACGTACACCTACCTCTCCTCCTCCCTGTCGTACGAACGTACACAAAATCTCACCCGTACAGCCTCAAAATCGCCCAATCGTACAGTACTACGCCTCGTTGGAAGCCCTGGTGATGTGCTGATTCAAGATCTAACACGGAGATGAAAATAATGTGTGCAGAAATTTGAAATATCGATTTAAAGTCGAGCATTTTGGCTTAAGGCTTGTCTTGTGATGTGACTTTGCTTTGTCCACACGACCTTCAAACTCATCCATGAGTCCACTCTGGCGTACAAGCATCGGTTGCAGCCCCGGTACATTTACAGCACGACCAACAAACCTGCATCTCATCAGCATAATCCACTCTCTAACCAATTCCCGAGCCCACTCATCCCCAAAGCCAGACCAAGCCCGCCAACTTACACTATCATCATTGGCCTTCCAAGCATACTACTCCACATTAGCTATTCATCCCCTCAGCACCGCAAAGAGGAGTATACATACCCATCCTTTTTGGCAAATCGGAGGGTCGAATGCACATATTTTATCGCATATTCTGGCGGGCTCGGAGGTCTGTGTGGGTTGGAGGAAGGTGGATTTTGGACTTGTGGGTATAGTGGGAGAGGCAGAGACAAGGGTGAGGAGGATGGCGATGATAAACTGGGATTTCATATTTGATGGAGAAGAGAGTTGAGTTGTGTCAAGAGGAGGGTCATTGAATGAAGGCGAGAAGTAGAGGGATAGAGCTAGGTAGGAATGCCAGTGTGGTTATGGGATTAATATACTCCCTTCATCCCTTCGGTGTAACCTGAGTTTCTGAGCATTATTACGCCAACTTGTGATCCTGACCTTTGTGTACAGCAATCCACACTCTATGGGATGCAAAGAACGGCGTATACGAGACCTACGGTGGATTTAGATTGATCTATATTAATACGAGAATTCTCCGGGTAACGTGTTCTCACCCAGAGTACTGGGATCGACTGGAGTAGGCACTATTTTGGAGAATCATAATCTAGTACAAGCGGAGCAGTAGTTGGTAGAAGCGTGAGTAATATGTTTGTACGGGATTCTAGAATATCGCAACCGCATTCGGTGGGCTTGCAACACCGCCTGGAACCTATCCGATAGGTCAGCTATGACGTTCGAATTCTTGAAGATTTCAATCTCACCTTCAGCGGGACGCTGGACACGAAACAAGTTGATCTGTCCAGCTCCTTTGCTTTTGTCGTTAGATCTTCAAGGTCCCACATTTCGCCAATCATGACGCCTACATCAGTCAGCTTCACACCCCGTCAGAGATTTGCGTACTCACCCCAACCAGCCAAACACCACTGATGCACAAGCCCACCACCCTGCATCTCATCCTCCCAACTCTCGCCCTTCCAAATCCCACCCCGCTCATTATGTTTCCCGACCAAAGGGCTCATTTCGAAACTCGGGGCATCTGACGCCACGGCCAAGAACCCAGATTCCCAGATCCATTGCAAGACTTCTTTCGTACTCTCCACGCCCATAAACTGTGGCGGTCTCAGCGCTAGATCTTTGCGCTGCTGCATCCCGAGCTTCATATATGCGGCCGTAAACCCCGTTCTCAAGAGTAGAATGTCGCCGTCCCTTGTTTTCACACCGGTGTCCTTCAACATGGCCTTTAAATGGCTTGCTGGAATCGACTGCGCGGATAGCGCATCCATTTTGATATCATTCTTTGTACAATACGCCGGGTAATCCAAAACCACACCTCTGGCTGTAATTCCTCCCTTTGCGGCAATCCGATCGATACCAATGATCTGACTTGTTTCAATGTCCTTCTGACTCCTGCCTCCGTAATACAATCCCGCTTTCTGATACCCATAGTGCCGGAATCTGTGAAAATATAGCCAGAGTGAGTATTGACTCTCTCGCTTGGAAGGGAGTGTTCGACGCTGTACAAGCAAGAGATCAAGCATATCACTTACCCATCCCACTGACTCGAGCTCTGCGTATTAATATGCAGTTCGTCGTCATTCACAATCCTTTTAGTACCATCAGGGCAGGATCTGTTAATCATCTTCCACCCGAATTCAGGACGGCCGAATGAGGGGAAAGTTGGGAAGTTCAGGTGCCAATCAAGCGAAACGCGGTCGCCAGTTTGGATCTCTTCGGCAGCGGATTTAACGGTCGAGGGCGTAATCATGTTGAGCGCGCCAAGTTCATCGTTTGGTCCATAGAGACCCCATGCATTTCCTGGTGGGCCATTTCTGTCGAGAGGGAGGGAGGAAAATGGAGGTCTTTGGGGTGGAGACATGTTGATGGATTGACGTGACAGTTGAATTGGTAGATGTGAGAGAGTAAGAAGCCAATATACGAGGTATATCAAGGGCAGGCACGAGATAAGATCTTGCCGGATTTATTGTTTGCAGTTGCTGTATCCAGAAACTAACGATGATGTAAAGCGGGGTTGAAGCGGGGGGCTGTCTTCCTCTCCTTTCATGAGAACCGTCCTTGCGATCGGCACCTATGCTGGAATCAAGCTCTTTCGGAAATAAACGCAGAGTTCCGCAATTCGCCATACTTGAGATATACATTTCTGAATATCACCGGAAATCTAATCCGACTTAAAGCCACAGGATTGACAGGCCTCAGAGCCTTGGAACCCCAGCAGGGTCGACGGCATCATCTCCGTTCCATTAATTCTGCTTCTATGTAGAAGAGTGCTATATACAGTTCCAGATGGATTCAAGCCATTATGTGTTCGGCCCCATACCAACACCTAAGCCTCCTTTTGAGCCTGTGTTCTTTAGATGAGCGCTGCTCCCTCTAAACAGACTCTGCCAGATATATGCTTCACTTAGAAGCAGTTCGATATCCTTTTCGGTCCATTGTCTAGTTGGTAAGGCTTGCAGAAACATCATGATTTCCTGGAAGTCCATTTTCTGCAGCTGCTCTGACCATTTAACGAGGAAGGCGGCGCAGACGTAGAGATGGAATGTCGAGAAGCCGTCGTCTTCTGACTGGGCGGCTGTTAGCCATATCCTGGTTCAAACGGGGGTAAAGCAGGCAAGATATTTGTGAAAGTCGGCGTCCATGGGGAATATATGGAGACTTATATGTGAGAATGGCTCACCAAATATGTATCCCACATGCGGATAGTGTTTTTGACGGATATCTCGCGCATCAGGAGGCAATTCATCCATCTAAAGCTGAATTGAATGAACTCAACACCCTCATTCTGGAGATGCTTTGCTAGATTTGAATCTATCCGGGTGGTGAGATCTCGCAGACTTCCGACTTGTCTTTGTATCCCTGGCTGCTGTGAGATGTAATTGTCTTGAATGCCATCTAGTAACTTTGTAAGACACCAAAATGTGTCTGCCTCCACCGCATCGAGCACCTGCTTTGGTAACTGTCCAGGGTCCATACCAGATTCAATGTCTGGATCTGAGATATAGGCACCAAGAAAGACCTGCCAGAAGGGGCTGACAAGATCATTGATGCCCTGGACGTACCCCGATGCTGGATGCCGTATCGCCCACACGTATAATATTCTTTCGAGGGATCTTTGAGTGGCTTCGTAGCTATAAAGCTCTAGGTGTGGATTTGTCCGGGGAACGTCAATGCTGATCTGATGCCAGATAGCCTCATCCAGACCTCGCCCCCGGCCTCGGTTTGTGGGTGGGACAGACGATGAACTCGCAACTCCAGACGCGACAGCACCAGCGCTACCGGAAGCACCTCGTTCGAAGGCTTGCCGTACACCTTCCAAGTATTCCTTTCTTTTTCGTTCTAGCGTGGTAACTCGTCGCTCACTGCTGGTTGGAAGATATCCGAGCAGGACCTGCCATGTCATTGCGCGGACTTCCGATGGAATGCCTGACCATGCGGAGTCACGTAGTTCGGATAAGGAAATAGTGCTTGTCTGCAGTATCCGTTTGAACTTATTGATCCTTGTGATACGGGCGGAATGGGCTTCTATATCTTTCGCAGAAGAATTGGGCGGCAACGAAGCGTGGGATATCAAATGTAACGAATTCGCTGGATCTCGAAGGATCTCCTGATACTGTGGTCGCAGGATCTTTCCTTCTGACTTTTTGGTAGTGGGGTAATTGGGGATACCCCGCTCCTCAGCAATGTCTCCGGCGTCTATTGCCCGCCATGCGGTTGACCCCAAACTACTACGACTGGTTGTCCCCCCAGGATCTTTCCCCTTATTTGGTGCCTTCCGCCTGTCTTTCCTCCGCATACTCGCTATACTTGGGAGCCCGAACTCATCCTCGTCATCGTCGAGCAGGATGTCGCCACCTTCATCCTCGTTGTCATCCCAGTCGTGGTTTGTGTCGCGCAGAAAGGAGGTATAGCTGGCTCGAGGAGGGGGGGATGTGGTGCTTCCTACTCGTCCTGGGGGGGCGTTTGACTCGTGAGTGTGGCCGGCCGAAGGCGGGGTTCTGGGGCGAGAGTTGGCTCCGGAGACTGATCTGGCAGATTCCATCAGCGTCAGGAGGCGAAATTTGCAAAAGTTCTGCCTACAAGGAGCCAAGATTCAGCATGTCTGCATGCGAGTAGGAAGCGCCAATGATCTTTTTGCTTTCGTATGGCTTTGGGGTATTTGAGCTCGTCCGCCAAAAGGGAGATGCCGACCTAAAGTCCTAATATGAATATATGTATATGTACGGTTCAAAGGCCTAACATACGAAGAGCGGTCTGGTATATGTAAAGCGAGTTGTTAGCTGTGCCGCTTGCTGTGATGATTGTCGAGGGAGTTGCTACGAACCAACCTGCACCATTTCCTGGGCCTTGCTTGTTAGCGCTAGAGAACTGGTGAAAGCTAAGGGACAAAGCCACGTACCTGCTGCTGTTTCTTGGAGGCCATTGTGTATAGAGAGTCAAGTGCAAGGCCGCCAGAAGTCATCCGTGGCTCCAAGCTGGCATCACCTGCACGTTACTCGGCGGCTGCCGTCAAGCTCTCGTTGCGGCGATTGCTAAGGCCGAGGGGCTCTGCGCTAAGCCGTATTTTCACTAGCGCGCCGTTCTGGCCAAGCTCTCCTCTTTCTTTGGTCAGACTCTGCCTCCGCGACAACGAACCCTCTCATCCTCGCCCTTCACCTCCCATCATCGACAAGAGAAGCCATCGTCGGGCCTGTCTCAGCGGCTAGTCGCGACTCTTTGGTCTATTTTCCCTCATTCTCCCTCGCCATAAACTACCTGAGCTTCTCCTAAGTTACCCTCGCGTCTGCACGAGCTCCATTGGCCTCGCGTTCGCAGCGGCACAACTGCTCTACGCAGCCTCTCTTTCTTTCACTTCCCAATTACCCAAACTGGATAATAGCAAGATGACCGACCCAGAAGAGCTCGACGAGGACCTCTTCGCCGACCTGTAAGCCCGACGCGCGCAACACTCCAGAGCGACAGCTGGAAACCCTGTCAGCGTAACACTCTGCTAATCCCAAGCGTAGTTACGAGGGCGATGAGGCTCCCTCCAAACCTACCCAATCCGCACCTGTCGCAAAGTCAGAATTGCCTGAACCAGCAAAGGCCGCCGAGGAACCAGCGCCGAGCACTGCTTCTAACGGCGTGGGTGGTGGTGACAATAGTGCGATGAAGCAGGAGGCAGCTTCCGAGGGTGGCGATTACGATATGAACGGAGGCGGCTGGAATGCCAATGCCAGTCAGTCATATGATCATGCACCAGCCGATGATGATGACAACTATGGCCCGATCAACGTCAAAGAGGATGGGTGAGTGAAAAACTACTTGTGTTGCAATGCCATGAATGTTCCCCCGCACCTTAATTGTAGTCACGATAGAGCAGCGCAGCAGGAGGCGAATGTGGCAGCTCTCTTTCGTTACATCCAATATTCGGATCCTCGCATTTCTCCCGGACAAGTTTGGCCTGGAACCTGAATCTTGTCGCTGTTTCACCGGCAATCAACGAGAATGAAGCCTCAGCCATAGTCACAAGTGCCGGAAGCTCGCGTGGTGGTGCGTCTTGTGCAGATAGCAGCCGGATCGGAAGGATCCTCGTATGCACCTGGTAGTGTGGAGGCTGATGTTAGAACGATCAAGATCACTATGGTGCGAATGTTGACAGTGGCTGTCTTGGAAGTTGTTCAGAACTTGGGTCACTGTGAGAGGGACCACGTGCATCTACCAAGGTATGGGCAGGCATGAGCGAAGCATTCCAAGTACATAACAGCCAGCGGTGCGTTGACATGCTTGGATGGATCAGGAACTTGAGTAGCCGACAGCTCTACTATACTCATCGTCCAACATCACGACAGACGCGCAAGGGATGTCGCAGCTTGCCGTCACTAGTGGCAGCGCTTCATGTCGATATATACCTAGGTACTTCATAGCGCGTACCATCACGCAAGCTGAGGATAGTCCACCGAGATAGCGGACGTCCTGACATTTCAGGCGTCCACTCTCAAATCCATAGCAAAACACAGACGCTTCAACCGAACCATACTGTGCCTTTCCCGAGGCTACTTGCTCTTCGAATGGTGGAAAGGACTTTGAGTTTTGGAATATCAACAACCGGTCTCGGACTTGTAACTCGCGACGCGAGTTCCATGAAATGGAGGCGCATGCGCTTAGCCGCACGCTCTCATTCGCTTGCGGTTGCCTGTCACGGCCGGCAGCTGTCATTTTCAAGTCAACAACACGACAACTCCCGCATTGCGCCACGGAGTCCTCTTCTTTCTTCCTGACGCAACTGGGATTTTATTTCTTCGACAAAGCAATGATCGAGGATTCCCACAGGCCTTTTTCCCTTATCTGGAATTCGATAGACTGGATCTGGATGATTCGAAAGAGAGCCCGCAACAAGCTATAGCGGTCTCAAGATGCTAACCCTACTCATATACCCCCCTCGCATGCTTCCCTTGGTCTCTTTTTCAGGCTTGCATCTAGTTGTTCGTAGGTGCTTCATGTTACAGTTTGCTAACCCGACCTTGCGCAAAATACAGGAAGATGTTCATTGGAGGTCTAAACTGGGAGACTACAGAACGTAAGTAGCTTTGAATGCACAAGCGATGCATATGCGCCCCCCTCTACTCCTTCCATTCTGTTCACTCTTGCCTCGCATCGATATGCTGACCATTTGCATAGAATCTCTCAAAGACTATTTCTCGCAATTCGGCGAAGTTAGCGAGTGTACCGTCATGCGCGACAGCGCCACTGGCCGCTCTCGTGGCTTCGGTTTCCTCACATTCAAGGATCCTAAATGCGTCAACACTGTTATGGTCAAGGAGCACTATCTGGATGGAAAGATTGTGAGCATTCATAAATCCTTGACTTATGAGAAGATTACTAATACCCTCAAGATCGACCCCAAGCGAGCTATTCCACGAGAAGAGCAAGAGCGAACGAGCAAGATCTTCGTGGGTGGTGTAAGTCAGGAAGCAACTGAAGAAGACTTTAAGAACTTCTTCAAGCAATTTGGTCGTGTTGTAGATGCCACGCTCATGATGGACAAAGATACTGGCCGACCCCGCGGATTTGGATTTGTAACTTTCGATGGCGATGCTGCTGTTGACGCTACCTTGCAGGGGCCTCTTCAAATTCTTGGCAAGCCCATCGAAGTCAAGCGTGCTCAACCGCGTGGAAACATGCGAGATGGCGAAGAGGAGAAGAAATTCGGTGGTCGGGGAGGTGGAAAGTTTGGTGGTCGAAACGACAGCAGTGCTGGATTCGAAAACCAACAGAACCAGAACCAGAATCAGCAGGGTGGGGGCAACAACCAGATGACACCTGCTATGATGGCGCAGTATTGGCAGCGTATGCAACAGTACTTTCAGCAGATGCAACACCAAATTGTCGCTGCTCAGAGCCAAGGCATGCCGAATCCGATGGCCCAAATTGGAGGTCAAATGGGAGGTCAAATGAATCCTGCCATGATGCAGCAAATGATGGCAATGCAACAAGGTGGCATGAACCGGCCTCAAAGCGGAAGTCCCCATCCCCAGGCTCAGATGGGTGGTCAGATGGGAGGGCAGATGAACCCGGCAATGATGCAGCAGATGCAGCAGATGCAGCAGATGCAGATGCAGCAACAACAGGCTGGAGCGGGGTTCGGAGGAAATCAGGCTATGGCGGCGGCAGCAAACCGACCTGCCTACACTGCGCAAGAGCAACTTGCATTTGAGCAGCAAAAGTACGAACAGCAACAAGCTCGCCGCATGCAGCAAGCCGCAGGCTATGGCGGGCAAGGCGGTCCCACAAGCTGGGAAGGCATGTATGATGACATCCCTCAGCCTGTCATGCCCCCTCAGGGACCTTCTGGCGGTCGCGTGCCCAACCAGAACTTTGGTCATGGACACGGACGCGGAGGCCAACACAATCGGGGTCGTCAAGGGTCTTCACAACCACCAACGCAACCAAGCAATGCTCCTCCCAACGCACCGACTGGACCAAAGAATCCGAACAAGCCTGGTATCAACTATCGAGGTGGTGGTCGGAACTCCAACAACTATCGTCACAACCCGTATGGACAACATGGACGTGGTGGTTAGTATTTCAATCCTGGAGCGTGCTTTTCCTACCCATTTCCCTTTTCGGTGCGATTGTTTTGGCATTCGGAATCGATACTTAATTCTGTCCTAGGTTCAAGTAGGTGGGATGCTGCGGCGGCTGCCGAACATGATGCATCCATCTCTCAGATGCTGTCTGACAGTTATTAAGAATTCGAAACCTTTCCAAGATGGTCGAAAACTGCTCTCTTAATTCGAGTGCGGCTTCTGTAGCAGATTTTAAAGGGCGGCTTCTTCACGGGCTTCGGCGTTCATGGCATCTGCCTCACGATAAGGAGAGAGCGTGAGGGCCATTTCATACCTTTCATGTACTCCCCCTTTGCACTCGATGTCCCACATATAGAGCTTTCTCGTCGCTTCGGTCATGGAAACTCCTCTTCTGGGGTGGCGGTTACTTCTTTGGTGGGGACATATGGTACTTGCTGGCGGCTCCTCTAATGTACAATAATGCAACACAATCATACTCTTCAGTCAGTGAAAGTTGATGAAAGTTCTCATGACGTAAATGTATCAATGATTGTACGGCTTGTTGTGTCTCGGAGCAGCAAATGCCAAGTGAACCTAGCCACCGTTTATGAGAATCTAGCGGAATTGAAGTCGCAAGTTATTGATGTTCTATGTGACAGAGATCTCTTTTAGAGAATAACTCGGTTGTTTGTGCAGTGGTGCAGTTGAAGATGAGCGAGCCATCTGAATTGAGCGATGTGGTTGGCCCGCTTCACCGCATCACGCTTGCTTAGAAATCTGCGGCCTGAGTCAGCCACGTCTCTTGGCGGTTCAACCAAAGCCGACTGACAAGCACCTCCTCCTTTCATCCACACCCTCTTTCACTACATCATCCCGCGACTCGTAGTCCGACTCGCCACCTTTATCTTTGTTCTCGACACCTCGAGTTGACTTTCCCACTTCACAACCAACTCCGTTCCCTCAGCTTCCGACGCGCAACACCCTTGCCACACGTGCGCATCGTGCCAGCTTTCTCTTTCTCTTTCCCCTGCAGCAACAGGACAGGTCGCCTTTGCATCTCTACATAGCAATAGAACTGTTGCGCTTCACTCTCTTCATCACTCACGCCTTCGTCCTACCTTCTGCGCCTTTGCCTCACTGGTTTGTCGCTTTGAGTGTCTGCCTGAGTGAGAGAGCCGTTCAACTTCGCACTTGTCGGACCCGGGTGGTCGACTTGCAACTATGGCGTCTTCCGTATTTTACAAGTTCAAGAACTCAAAGGAGCCCGAACGCATCGTGTTCGATGGCACTGGCATCTCGGTATTTGAGTTGAAGCGAGAAATCATCACGGCCTCTGGTCTCGGCGACGGCACTGACTTCGACCTCCACATTTATCCTGAGGACTCGCCCAAGGAAGAGTATGACGATGACACCACGATAATTTCGAGATCGAGCACTGTCATCGCAGTCCGTCGGCCGGCCGCTCGAGGCCATGGCCGAGCTGCCCGCTACGTCTCCGGTCGCGCCCCCGTCCGAGCTATCAAGAAAGCCGACACCACCAAACCCATCACAACAGCGACCGCTGGTATAGGACTGTCAGAGGCAGATGCAGAGGCTGCTTTCCTGGCAGAGTCGGCACAGGCTTGGGACCAGCAGAAAGAGGCTTTGTCACACGCAAAACCTGTATATCACAAGAAGAAGCCCGTGAATATCCCAACACATGATCCGCCGCCTGGATACATTTGCTATCGATGTCAGAAGAAGGGTCACTGGATCCAAGCTTGCCCCACTAACGACGACCCGGATTTCAAACCTGTGCCTCGCGCCAAGCGCACTACCGGAATTCCTCGGTCGTTCCTGCAGACTATTGCTAAACCGACTGAGGACGAATTGGAGGATAGTCGTGGGATTATGTTGAATTCGGAAGGAGAGTATGTGAAGGTACTGCAGGATGAGAGGACATGGAAGAAGTTTCAGGAGAAGGCCAACGCATCCAAGGCTCAGGCTGCGAACGTTGATGCCGTCAATAAGGAGATTCGGGAGCGCGGACTTGAGTGTTCTATCGACAAGCGCTTGTTCGTGGATCCGGTGCAGACCCCGTGTTGTAGCACGACATATTGCCATGACTGCATTGAGAATGCACTGGCAGATGGGGATTTGGTTTGTCCAAACTGTTCAACGGAGGGAGTTCTCATTGATGATCTCACTGCTGATGAGGGCATGGTGGAGAAGATCAGGGCCTTTGAGGCCGAGAAGGCCAAGGAGAAGGTGGAGAAGGAACAGCAGGCAAAGGATGATGCGAAAGCGGCTGCGAAACCCTCTTCTCCCTCTAACAATGAATCTGTTTCTGTGCCTCACTTTACTGATGAGACGGCAAAGGCTAGTGAGAGCAATCAAGCTGGTTCTAAGTCGCCGAAGCAAGCTTCAAGTAGCGTTCCAGTCTCTACCTCAGATGTCAAGTCCCCACTCACATTCGCAGCAGCAACCATGTCCACAGGCAAGGCTTCCGCGTCAGGTGCCGGTGGAAACAATTCGGATACTGACACCTCTTCGGTATCCAAGAAACGGAAGAGTCCTCCCAGCGAGATCAAGCCTCCAACAGCTCCTAAGGCCATGCGAGCACAGAAGGAGCAGGCTGCTAAAGCAGAACACGATCAAATGTCTGCCCTTGAGAAACAATTTTTCCAAAACATGGCCGAGCTAAAGGATATGCCAACATTGGTGCCTCCCGTCTCAATGGGCATGAGCATGGGGATGCCCATGAATCCGATGATGGGTATGACGGTGCCACCAAACATGCAAGCTATGAATGCCATGAACGGCATGAACGGCTACAACATGAACAACTGGAATGGTTATCCCAATCAAGGCTATCAGAATATGTACGGTAACAATATGGGCTACGGGAACATGAATGGTGGCTACAACAACAATAATATGGGTTACGGTGGCATGAACGGGAACATGGGAGGATACGGTGGTGGCTGGAATCAGAATCAGAGTCAGAATCAATATGCTGGCAACATGGGCTACCAACAAAACATGCCCAACAATGCAGCCCCATTCCCGAATCAACAGCGAACCGTCTTCTCTGAACAACCAAACGAGAAGGATGCGTATGAACGCAAGCCTCTCAACCCCCAGCGTAGCCAGAATCGGAATCGGAGGCAGCGTCCCACAGATTACCACTACGTCTGAGCGGCTTGCAGGAGAAACGGTACATGCACTATCTTATTAAGAAAATGCTTCACGGCTTACGGTTACGATTACGGTTACGGTTCTGGTGGTACTTTACTCTTTCTTCTCTTCGGAGTCTTTTTTGTTTTTCTGCGAATGGATACCGGTTTCGGCTAATAACATGGAAAACCCTTGCATGCATCGGGACACTGCATTGGATCGACACACCCCACACACTTTCGCTTCGCCCCACTTCTCTATATGATATACAATCCAGCATTTACGCCTACATCTTCGACTACTCGATCCAAACCGGCGGCCTCTGTCTACAACCATTTGCGTACACACTGCACTCACTGCTCTTTGAGTGGAACTTTCTGGATTATGGCTGGTGGGTGGATGGGCAGCGATGGCGTTTGGCGTTTCTAAGGCCCCGGCAACGGATAAGAATAAATGAAAGAACAGACAGGACAATTGCTCTGGCCGGCTAGAGCTGGTGGGCTTATGGTTTTTAGGGGGGTTAATGGAAATTGTGGGTGGACGTGATCTTGCTTCGTAAGGCGGCGTCTTGTGTAGAACACAGCCTGTAGTCCAATACAAAACTTTCAATCACATAGGAGGTTTATGTGGACTCTCAGTGTGGTAGTGATGAATCGTTCCACCGATGCTGCTTTATGACCCACTCCATCTCATTCCCTAAATGTGCGTGGAACGAAGCAGAGGTAATTTGAAACAAAATATTTAACTCAATAACTTTCTCCCCCGGTTTTGGCATCAGCTTAAATAAATAAACTCTACTCCAGTTACGCTCCCTGTTCTGTATTAGCATGCTGTAATTGGTCTAGATCGAACATACAGAAGTTGCCAAAGATGGTTCTACGATGGCAATGATGATGACCATGAATACTTAGTAAGACTTCATGTCTCTTTTTACAATCGCTCCTCCTCTTTCTTTCTACCAGACACGGTATGAAGTCTACTACCATCGTTTTAACGCAACAGGTTCTTTCCATTTGCTTGTCTTTGTGAGTGCAACGAAACCAATCACGGTCCTCATTCAGTACTGCATATCTCGATTTTCAACTTGGCTTAGGGGTAATCATGTTGATCTTACGATTGGGCCCTTTGCCCTGGATTGAGCTGGTATATTCGCTTTGAAGAGATGCAAGGTGTCCGCGTTCCTTGCCAGCACCAAGTATTCAAGTATCACGAGCTTGATGTACACCTCTTTTTTCAAGGCTAGAGTTCTCAAGTTCTCCAAGCCTCACCCAGGGTTTTTGTGCCAGATTGAGCCTCAATCCAAGTCCCAGTCATGGCCTTTTCCTTCAACTTTTCCGTGCTCTAATAGTGCTAGAAGTCCGCCGAATGCACTTGAGAGTATCCTCTGTTAATTTTGGGAGATTCAGTTGATCGACATTTATAGGTGCTAATGTCGCTTATGAAGACCAACAGGCAGAGCCAGGAGATGCATGATAAACATCCTCCGATTTAAAGTTCGACTCAGACTCCAGACATCACATCATTTGCCACTATTTCTCGACAGAAACCAGAGGGAAACATTTCCGCCCATATACAAACAGGTTATGGCTGGCCAATTTTAAAGCGCAAAGTCGTGCTACATCAAACCTTCAGCCTATTTTTTTTTTTTTTTTTGAATATGTTGCGCTGGCGGAAGGAAAACAACATTACTCAGTTCTGTGAAATAGCAGGTTTTCAGGGTGCTATCACGTTCCATGTCAGATAGGTTACAGCGATGCAGAAAATGTAGGCGAGACCGTTCACCCCTACATTTATAGTTGATAGAGTTCTAATATACAAAACAAAACAGGAAGCGACATATCTTTGCCGCCTTTCGTTTTCTCCCAAGTTTAAAGGATGAGAGAAAAGTGTATCCGGAGTCCTAGGAGGTCTGCCTTACGGATATCTCAAGCGTGAGAATTGAGTAGGATTTAGATATTGAATCAGGCTCCTGGCACACTGGTCAGAATCCAAATGTTTATTGTTTAAATGAGAAGGAGTCGATCTGGGACTCATGCATTTGTTCACTTGCGGTTTGGAAACGGCCCGGAAAAGTCCATAGAAAGTTTCCTTGCACCATTTTGTTTGACGAACAGGATAACCAATTGATTGCAATCACTTAGTTGTAGAGAAGCAGAGAGGTTGCTTCCATGTGCATAGCTTGTGAGATGACTTTGATCGATCCAAAAGCTAGTCATGGTATGAGAGGCCCGGCATTTTCTAAATGACGTGCCGACAAGGGTCGATTCCAGACATGTTGTGGAGTCTTGAGCTTTTGAGAGATGTGGGACAATGCATAGTGCTTTCCTCTCTTTATTTAGAATCCACAAGAAGGATATGAAGGATTCTCTTAACTAGGTGCTAGGTGCTGTCCTGAGCAATTTGATGAATCAATTCCAGGGGTTGAGGTTGCTGAGGGAATAGTAAATGCTGTTAGAGCTGGCGTAAGTTGTATATGTAAGCTCCGAGGACCCATGGATAAGTATTTCTGAATGGTATTCAAAATCAGATATGCCTTTAGCTGCAGGGCTTTTTTTATTCATCTTGGGTAGCACATAGACGAAGTACCAGAGCCAATTAAACTTTGCAGCCCATGTCCCAGATATGGAAAGTCGAATTCCATGTGAATTCCCTGAGATTTTTGAAGTCTCGAAAGCATAGACTCATTTTTAATTTTTTTTTGCAACTATTTTAGCGAGAAACTCGAGGTTGGGACTTTCATCATTACTGAAGATATTTTTCTTTTTTTGGGACAGCTGAGCTGCCCCCCACATGTAAGAATCGGAAGTCCTTTTTGTAATCGATGACGAGCTCTGAGTTCGCTAAATCTCAGACCCTCTAAGGCTGAGAATGTCCCTGACTCGAGTCTCGATGGTGACAGAGGACCACTGCTCCATCTTTTCTAACATGGAGAATGACATGGAAATTTAGGGCAGGAATGTACTCTCCTCAGACCCCTCCTTACATGGAAAAAGGACTTTATACACAGAATCGACCCTGGTTATATTCCGTGTTGTGTGATATTATGCTGTGGAACACACTAGTGACATGGCTCTCTCGATGTAGTCTACAACACGCATAGGCGCCAGCAATAATCTCCATATATGATAGCCTCGAAAAGAGAAGCCAAAAGAACGCTATCTCCAACGTCATAATTCGTACTGGAACGTGGACTCCTGTGGTCGGGACGTCGATCGAACCTATCTCGATTTCTGAAGACAGGTGCCGATGAAGTTTAAGGGTTACGCCCGCCTTTTCCATACAAAATCTACTACAAGTCTTTCTCTAGGAATAGCGTTCACCGACTCCGCACACGTCCATAAATGCTCTGTACTCGTGTTTTGAAGAAGCCAAATGCAGCGCATATTCCGTTGCACAGCTCGCTTTGAAGTTGCAAGTTGGTGAGCGGCATGATCTACTTGATCAGGCAAATTGAAAGCTTCGAAGAGAGTACCATAATGATTGCGAGTAATTCTGACCTGTCCAGTCTCCCATAGGGATCTTCGTGGGTCCATTGATCTTAGCGAGATGACAGGTACTTATTTCTCAAAATGTATTCCGCTATATTGAATTTTTGACAAAGGCCAGAAGACATGAATCGTTCTTGAGGTAATTTTTAGAAGCTAGTGAGGGAATAAGGAATGAGTTTCCTCGAAATTGGACGCTTCGATGCCGACGGTAGATATGAGTGGTGGTATCTTGAATTTTAGATCCGACCCAGCCATTGGGGCGTACGGGAAACAATCTGTTTCCTCGTATGTCGAATTATAAATGAAGCCTCCTTGACGGATAATAGCGCTCAATTCCTTTTTTTCGGCGTATGATCAATCCGGTACCATGCCATGAGGCATCGATGGGCTTGATTTGGTGGGCAGGAGTGGAAGGCGCATTCCCTTCGCATGATGAGTGTATTTCTCTGTCCTTCATGAAAGAACTACGATGATATATCTAAAAGGAATGGTGGAGAAGATATGGAGTCGGGTTTCAAGATCGGGAGACGGCTTCTCTCACACACCAGACTCGTGGTGTACATATGGAGTTCCATGCCACCGTAGGCGCAACTTTCTCGTCAACTGACGCATGTGCATAGGAATAAACATACGAGCGAGCATAAAAAGTAAGTTATGTTACTTTAAGGCCTTACCCGAACTTTGCCTTGTTGCACTCTATAGTTCAACCTGCAACGGTCTCTTTATCCACAGACTCTAACCCCGCCACTAAAGTTGTAAGATAATCCCTCGAGATATCGAGCGCTCTATAATCAAAATACTGAATATTCCATGCTTTTCTTATCGACCTCGGACACTCCACTAGACTTCTACATCCTGTTAACGTTCTTAGTAACCCTAGCTACAGACTTTGTAGATAGACCTTAATCTAATTATAACCCGTGTTAGGTAATAAAATGCTATACATACTTGTTGCAGTCTACCTAGCATGGCGACCATTGTGCACATATTGACCCTGGGGAGACATGAGAAAGAGGACTTACATCTTACTTTTCCGCTCCTTGGCAACCATGGACGAGATCACTAGTTTGTCTCTCATTGGTATGTGGGTAAAGATCTAACGTTAATAATTTTGTTGAGCTAACTTCTCCATAGGCCCTTCTAAAATCCACTAACTTGTTCTTTCCCGAATGATTTGTTTCCCAGCGCTGATTTCTACAGCTTAGAAACAGGGCTCTAGCTATAGGTTTCCAAGGACCACTCAGGGCCTGTTTCTCTAAGGCGTGGTTGCCAAATACACACGTTTGGCTCCCCATGATAGGGATCCCATAATGAGGCGGCTTCGGATCTACTTGCATAAGGTGGTAAGATTGACCAGCGGGAAGAAAGAGCGGTTGAGAAAGAGCGCACATTATCATGAAGAACTGTATATGGCTAATAAAGGACATGGCAGAACAGCCGCGAAAGAACCGACAAGACTTTACCGCAAGGTTGCCAAACCAAAGCCCACTGCATCATTCACTATACCATCCGCCCTTAAGTTCTGCGGGATTGCCGAACAGAGTTACACAGACCCGAACTGGAGGTAACTTCTTGAGTATGGAAATAGATTTCCTAATCATGTCCCTGAACACATATTCAGTTCTGGAATCGAAAAAATGCGCCCCGCTCACAGCAACGGAAAGGTGGCACTCCACTAGAATAAGGCGGAGTGAATTAGCGATATCATGCTGGTGTTTCTCCACTGTTCATTTGACAAACTAAAGCCCATGTAGGGTGCGTGGATCTTGATTCTCAAGCTGAACATTTGAGATTTGTCATATCGGGGTGCATCAAACAACTTAGTGCGAGAAGTGGAGGTTCATTCAACGTTCGCTACCAAGATATGAGTGAACAAGTGGGCTTATTCTTTTCCCTAACCTCATTTAAAAAGCGTGGCAGTGGTTGAGATTTGTACTGTAAGTGGTGCGTCAATTCAAGCATTGCCATTCTGATAGAATACTGCTCAAAGAGCGCAGAAGAAAGCATATAGTCATCCAATATTCCTTTGGAGTGAGCTTGGGAAAGTTTCAGGCAGTTATACATTTCCCTCAGGCTCTTCCACTTCTCCATTTTCACTATTACTTGGTAGGCATGAAATGTTTGGTGCACCGTTGTCCTCAGATTGCCAAAGTTCACTCACGTGCCGCCCGTTGACCTGCCCTTCGTCCAGCGGCGACTTCATTTCGTTGAACGTGTGGTAAAGTGAAGTATATGGACTTGCTACTAAGAATAGTCCAACAGCCACCCGATGTACCCCAGATCTTGGGAAGATGTTTATTTCCCTCACGTGATTCGGGGCCCCCGAAATTTATTGGGCAGCGTCTCCATCCATGGATCATATGAACGGAAGCGAAATCCGATCTTCAAACGGTCAAAATGATCCGGGCGTTGTATCGATCCATATCCTGGAACAAGGAGTAGAAGAGCGAGATGAAGAACACGACGGAAAAGAGGCTACATTCACGAACGATCACGCATTTAGAAGGACGGCGAGAAACCAGACCGGTCTTCCATCATCTTCCATCAATTGATGTATATTACCCTGTCGCTATTTTTAGCCCCCAACCTCGCTGCAACGAAAATCGCTAACCGTGCTCCGGGGAATGCTGGCCGTTTAATCTGGCTAAATACGTCCGTGCCCTGCTCTGGCCTATACATACAACTTTGTCTTATTACTGTCGAAATTTAACGTCACGGTGTGATACTGTGGCAACTAGAGATTTGCAATCCATGGGCTTCGTTCTAGAGGAGAAAGAGCGTGCGCCCTGGCATAGCTTGTGGTATATAAGTTGGCGCCGCGACCTTGAGATCAACACGTCACTATCGAAGCAATCAGATCCATAACAAGCCCATCTACAAGCTCCCCTTAATCCGTTCGAGCGCCCTACCATACTCATTCCCTGATTATATCGAAGATCCCTATCGTCATGCGTTCCTCAGCATCTACCCTGCTTCTAGCAGCTGCAGCGCCCGTCTTCGTTGCCGCCGTATGCCCCGATCCAGTACCTCAGATTTCCTCTCTTTCGTGGTCAGGCTCTGGTTGCCCCAGCACCTCTGCCTCATCAGTGAAGAACTATGGACCGATGGAATTTGGCGAAGTCAAGACCTTCACCTTCAACCAACTCGATTCCGACAACACCGAGAACTGCGAAATCCACCTTCAAGCCGCTCAAGCTCCATCAGGATGGCAGGTTGCTGTCAGAGATGTAGCATATTCGGGCGACGTGATGTTGAAGCCAAATTCGCAGCTAGACTACTTCACGCAAGTCTATTGGAGTGAGAAGGCTGATGATACGGTGAGTTTTGATACGTTTCAGGAGATATAGAGCAGCGAAGCTAATATTGCAAAATAGGGCATCGCCAAGGGAACTATTACAAATGCGGATACCGATGTCTACAACAGGGCTGTCACAATTCGATCAACGGTTCCAGAGAAGTGGTCGAAATGTATTTCTGGCAGTGGTCCAGGAATTTTGAACGTCAACTTCAGGCCAGTGATCAATGGGGACGCGGGGCGCTTCAGCTTCAAGAATGCGACATGGCATCTCGACTGGAGGAAGTGTTAGAGAAGGGGACTGTGGGCTTGTTTTGGATCTAATAAGAAGAGAAAAGGAGTATTGTATAAAGATGTGTGGGAATGAGAGAACCGAAAGGTTCGGAACTGTACATACAACCTTCCAAAAATTACAACTTCTCAAGACAACTTCGGAATTGTATTGATCATTCATGTGTCTAAAGCATATCCTCATAGAGATTCAAGCGTTTGGGGTTGTCAAACATGGCTATCTACTCGGTCAAGTTAGATGCTGTCTTCCTACACCTGTGATGGTCTGTCTCCGCACAATACCTGCTTTCCCGTCAACACTGAGAGAAAAAGCTGACAATATAGTATCTTTACTTGCTCACCTGTACGCAAAATGTACACCATTACATACCCAATAATTTTATACCCTCTTCATCAACACCGGCCTTCTTTTCATTGTAATCATCATCTCTTTATGTATATCGCTTTCGCCAGGTGATGAGATATGCCCATGTATTATATCTTAAACACAAATATATCACGAATCTTGATGATTTAAAAGGCTTCCCCTCCACGTTGTCCTGCGTTGGCAATCTTCAAGCGATCTCTACAAGGATGTAAAGCCGATGGTCTTGACTAGGATGTCGGATTTCTTCTCCTCTCTTGGTTTCAATCGAGCTCGTTCTACAAAGAACATGAGCATGAGAGATGCCAACATAGAGTGCACAGCATCTTACGTATCTCGGGATACTTAATGTATGGCTGCATCACGCAAGCGCCTAGCATGAATTTTCTTTGTGAAAACAAGCAGTACTCGGCCCAGAGCCCATAGTTCGTTTGTAGTGATGAATAATCTTAGTATTGTGAGCGATATGAATCCCATGTGTCAGATTTCTCAACTGCTTCTTTTTCGGAACATGGTACTTCCCTCTGCGCGATGACCTAACTGTCAATATCAACTGTCCTGAATTGCGGCTATATCCTCTTTCTTAATCATGAAACTCCCTGGTAACTTCCCAACTTGCACACCCGTCCTTGCCGACATCGGTATTGGCAGCATAGGGCCTTACACCTTGTTCATAGCCGTGTAATTATCCATCGGTGTGAGGGAGACGGTAATTTCAAGAACGTAGCCCCATGAAGTACCAGCTTCCTTGAGGACAGCAGTGATGCTAGTTAGAACTTGAGGCTGCAAAAGATTAGACTCGTGACAGGAGATACAAGAGAGAGGCAGAACATGCTGTCTTATAACATAGAACATAACTAAGAGATAGTTTGCCTGCTAAACCCCTTGCTGAGATGAGGCAGAAACTTCATAGGATAGTAATTTTTTTCCTCAACTACTCAGGTTATGTTCCACATCAGGTGACAAGATACAGTATGCGCTTCTAACTTACGGCCTAATTCCACCTTCGACGATACTTCCGTTCGAAGAAGGCACTGTGCTAGCGGTATAGACGATATCCTTCGTTGTGAGAACTCCGGAAGCTAGATCAGATCAGAAGATATGGTGACACACGGAAGTAAGATCACACATAAGATAGGGCCTTGATTTCTAAGATACGTGAAAGTAGGCTGAGTAAAATTCTTCTGGTAGGGTATGACAAGAGCTGTGCTGGCGAAAGCAAGGATAATGATGATGAGAATATTAACATAGACCTTCTTCACTGTTGTGCTTTCGTTAGTTGGCATCGTACTTTCTGCCCCCTCCCAATCAAACTCCACCCACTTTAAAGGCCCTTTCAAAAACGATTCAAGCGAATCGTTACAGTTGTAGCGTTGTATATTGTTGTTACGTAGACGTTTTAGTAGAGATGCTATAGCGCTTGCATATAAAACATGTTATTACTTTTAAGCTTTTGTATTATACTATTAAATTTTTTTTAAAAAAAAAACAACTTTATAACGTACCTAACAGGTTGGCCGGCCACACAGGTTGGCCGGCCACTTTTGCTAAGCCCCCACTAAAACTACCCTATTCTCTCGCAAAACAGCCCACTTTAGCCCTATATAAAGTAATA